CTTTTTGGGCATCCTGTGCGCTCAGTCGTGTTTTACGATTGTGCATGATGGGTCTCATGCGTCCTTTACCCATCGGCCGTGGATTTGGAAGGCGTTGGGTGCTTGGCATGATTTTATGAATGGGGCGAGTCAGGTTGCGTGGTTTTATCAGCATGTGTTGGGGCATCAGTAAGTTTCATCCTTTTTTTAATAGTGTTTTTGTTGTTTATGGCATTGATTGATTTTTGTTGTTCTTACCTAGTCCTTATACGAATGTTCCGGACGCTGACCCCGATATCGACGTTGCATCCGTACATTTTCGACGTATCCGTAAAGACCAAACATGGTACCCCTTTTACCTCCTCCAACACGTTTACGCACCCGTCATGTACAGTCTTTACGGTCTCAAATCCCGTTACGACGATATTGCCATCCTCTATTTTTCCAAACGCCGCGGTTCCATCCCCGTGAACCCCCTCACACCTTCCCAACACGCCCTCTTTTGGGGCGGAAAGGCTTTCTTTGTCTTTCACCGTCTCGTTCTCCCTGCATTCTTTATGCCCCTTTCTCAGGTCCTTTATTTCTTTGTATTAGCGGATCTAGCCACAGCATGGACGCTGGCACTCGTTTTTCAAGCCAACCACGTAGTCCAACACGTGGACTGGCCCACACCTGACCCGAAAACAAATACAATCAACCAAGACTGGATGGAACTCCAAATCCGTACTGCGCAAGATTACAGCCACGACGGATTCTTGACGACTAAATTGACGGGTGGATTAAATTACCAGGTCGTCCATCATGCGTTCCCGCAGATTTGTCAGTGGTATTACCCGGAAATTGCCCCGATTGTCAAGAGCACTTGTAAAGAGTTTGGTGTGCCCTACACGGTTCGAAAGGACTTTTGGGAAGCGATTGGTGATCATGTGAGGTTGTTGTGGGATTTGGGGAGAGATGCGCGCGTGGAGAAAAAGGCCAAGTAATGGGCAAATGGGTTTCAACTAGACTTGAAATAGTGTGCCTTCCGTTAATGGAGGAAAAAACAAAAAACTACAGATGTAACTGTAACGGACTTTCGATGAAATATACCAAAAGACGTTTTCTATAACTTTTCTTCATCATCATAATTCATTATCTATGTATACATTATTATAAAAAGTGGTCCTCGCTTACCAACTCTGTATATACATGGCTTCTCACTTTGACGACGACGAGGTGTCGTGGTCATCCAGTTTTCGCTTCAATGTGGGGAGCACCTGCACCGGCGACTCGGAAGGAAGTGAGGGCATATCCCCCTCGCTTTGATCGTGATTCGGTAAACATGTCAACACGTCCAAGACTCGAGTGCTAGCCCGTTTTGGCGACGACAAGGGCAATTCCATAAGGGGTGGCTGTACGCTAAAGACCAAGCACATAACACGTCAACAGATAAACACTAGAAGGGGGCATGTAACAAACGTGCACTCACTCGCTAGGTTCAATCTCAATCACAACGACAGAAACATCATCCCACATCCGTCGACGCTCAGTCCAAAACAACTCTTTTAAACCCCCACACTGTCGTGCACAAAGAGCATCCACATAGTTGACCAATCTCGCCGCCCCAACAGACCCAACAGGTGTGAAGCCTCCACCTACATCCCTGGGATCCCCACGATCATCCAACACCTTTTCCAACCGTCCAGCCCGACCAAAAGCTTCCAATACACGTTCAGCAGCCATATCGGCATCCCTACTCTCCAAACACCCCCACAACCCATCACTCCCCAAAACAACCAAATACCCCCGTTTTCGTTCCAGTTCCAAAATATGGACATCAGGCACGCCTTGAAAGAGCCTTGGTTCAATCTTCATGATCACATCTCCCATGGCGTCACCCATGCCTAAATGTTTGACTGGGAATCCATATGGATTGATAAACTCTTGTGGACGGAACACGCGGGCGTTGGATAGACATCGGATCGCCGTTCGTGCATTCTGGGGAAGTGGTTGCGTGATGGGTGGGTCGGATTTGGATTCTCGAAAGAGGCCACCGGCTTTTTGGATAAAGAGGGCTTTGGTGGGGTGGGAGACAGTGTGGTCTTCTGTGATGTGCCAGCGGGTATAGCTGGGTGGGGTTGGTGAGTCGTGGCTGGGAGTTGGGTTTCGTCGGGTGGTACCACTTCGGCCAATGATTGTGCGTGAGTCGCCGACGTGAGCGGTCAGGATCCATTGCTTGGCGTACAATACCACTACATTCAACGTGCATCCGTCGTCAGGAGGTTTGTGCCCTCCTGGGTTTTTTGTGTACTCCATATACTCGCTTTTCCGCATCTCGCAAAACTGATGGTCAAGTTCCTGAAAGGCTTTTATCATGGCTTCCTTCATGGCCCCCTGCTCTTGAGGTTCGTTCAATTGCCATGTTGCCCGGGAGTTGAAGCATGAGAGTATCTTTCCTGGTATCCGACGCACAAACCATTCCGCCGCCGCCCTTCCACCATGTCCGTCAGCAAGGCAAAAAACGTGGAGTGTTTTCCCATCTTGGGCGGTCAAGGTCTGGTTGGAACGAGGCATGTAAATGACATCCTCCATCGTATCGTGCAGTGGGCGGCAACCTCCGTCAGACTCCTCCCACCATCCTCGAACACCTGCGCCAGCCCAGGTAATGCTGCGGTGGACAGGAGACGTGATGTTGGCGTGAGGTTCGAGATCAATCTCTGCGATACTGCGCGGATCCAAGTTTCGCAGCGTTATCCATGACCGTCGGACTGCCGCAACTACGGGTGAGACAGATTGGACAGCATATAATTTATCATGAATATGTTCTATCGTCTTGAATGCCTCGATATGGCGCAAGTAGCGATACACTTGTAGTACTCTTAGGTCAATCCCTTCGTGATCCAACGCTACAGATCCGCTCGCGTCCGAGTCAGACTCCTTGTCCTTTACATCCAACGCCGATACCTCATCCTCTAAGCATGGTACGGCCGACGCAAGACCAAGAATACGCAAACTCTGGATGCACGACGTGAGACATTCCACTGTTCCCACCTGTGCCATCCCCAACAAATCTCTCCAAACCCTCCTCCCCCAACTTTCTCCGTTCCCCGCGACGCGCGACTGAGCCCTGCATGACTCGCATGACTCACTTGAGGAATAAGCCACGGCACCATGACGACCACCTTCAACTCTTCCTTTGGAGATCATTACATATTTTGTCTACGAAGCAATATGTCTGAGCCAGCACCGACAACAGAGGAGATCACACAAAAGATGGAGGAGGTTGTTCTCGGTGAGGACGGAAAGCCGCTTTCAAAATCTGCTTTGAAAAAACTCGAAAAGGAGCGAGAGAAGGAGAGGAAGAAGGCTGAACGCGAGGCAAAATTGGTAATGCCCGGCCCGACATCTTTCTATCTGATACAAAAGTATTTAACGATTCGGTATGTGAAAGGCTGCGGAGAAAGCTGCAAGGGATGCGGCGACTCCTGTAAGTGCAATCACTGGTGATCTCGCCAGTGTTACTTTTTTTTCAACCAATTGGTTTCGGATGTAGGACTGTTCCAAGGACCGATATGGCAACCTGCCTTTGAACCAATCCCAGGACCGCCCAGGTACACGGCGGAGACATGATCAGGAAAGGACGATTGCCCGAAAGGACGCACATATTCACATTTTATTCTTGTATCAGGTCATCCGCGCAAGAAGATTGTGGGATTGTCAAAGAGCGATGTTGATCAAACAATCCTGCTGAGCGCTCGTGTACAGACTTCCCGTCCTACTGGTAATATATGCCCGTGAAACAGCTCTTGTCAACGGCGCATAAGTACTGACCACGATGCGCTGGTCGCAGGTAGCAAGAAATGTTTCCTGACTTTGCGACAGGGGACGGTCACCGTGCAAGGTGTCCTAACTGTTGACGACACTACCATCAGCAAACAAATGCAAAAATTTGCTGCCAGGTTAGAATAAGTGTTATCATCATCTCGATGAGGGAATCCCACTGATGCGGTCGTCCCATCCTTGTAGTATCTCAGTCGAATCACTTGTGTTGGTTGAGGCCAAAGTGGTGGAAGCGCTCAAGGAGGTCACGTCATGCACGGTTCAGAATCTGGAACTCCAAATTGAAAAGGTAGATAGGCCTGAAAGCGTCCTTGTCGGATATGATCTCGTTACTCACACCACATTTTGCTCAGCTCTACGTTATCAGCGAAGCAAGCCGTCTTCCATTCACTCTTGAAGATGCCTCAAGACCTGAACCCGAGTTTGAAAAGGTATGCTACGTTAAAGTAGGGTGCTCTCTTGTTGTCTTTACCAGAGCCTTGACCCTACTTTGCAGGACCCTTTGCTGGTGCGCGTTAACCTTGACACCAGATTAAACAACCGACCAGTCGATCTAAGGGTACGTTGCATATCTCGTTGACCAATCGGTTATCACTTGCAGCCACGCTTACATGTATACAGACCATCACAAACCAAGCTGTTTTCCGCATGCAACACGGCGTCTGCCGCTTGTTCCGTGAATACTTGGAAGCCAACAACTTTATTGAGATCCACACTCCCAAGTTACTTGGAGCTGCAAGTGAAGGTGGTGCAAATGTGTTCAAGGTGGAATACTTCAAGGGTATGTGGCTCCCCTCTGATTACATTTACGAATTCACCTAGTTCTCATCAATGAGTCTTTCCATGACAGAAAATGCATACCTAGCGCAATCCCCTCAATTCTACAAGCAGATGATGATTTGCTCTGACTTTGAACGAGTCTTTGAGATTGGACCAGGTATATCACCAAGATTTCTTGTTTCATGTTTGGTCGCACTAACACTTCAACCCCTCATAAAACAGTTTTCCGTGCTGAGAACTCTCAAACTCACCGACACATGACCGAATTTGTTGGTCTCGATCTCGAAATGGCATTTGACGAGCACTATCACGAGGTGGGTCCCCGAACACAACATGTCTGACCGCAACCTTTGTACCCATCCATTCGCATTTAGGTTCTTGACCTGATCGGCGGCCTGTTTGTACACATCATCAAAGGTCTCAAGACCCGTTACGCGGCCGAGATTGAGGTTGTGAAGCGGCAATATCCTTTTGAGGACTTTGAGTTCCTTGAGACCACCTTGCGTCTCGAGTACCCGGAAGCTGTCAAGATGCTGAGAGAGGCAGGTGTAGAGATGGACGATTTCGTTGATCTCAGGTACGAAACAATACGCGCCGTTTTGAATTTCACCAATCGTCTTACATGTTCTTTGCTTACTGTTTAGCACTGAGAACGAGCGTCTGCTTGGCAAACTTGTCAAGGAAAAGTACAAGACCGATTTCTACATGCTTGACAAGTTCCCCTTGGCTGTGCGTCCCTTCTACACCATGCCCGACCCGAACCGACCAGTACGTTAACATTGCTCTGTGGTCAAGAATCCGAATAATATATTGACCCCACCGTTGTTACAGGGATACAGTAACTCGTATGACTTTTTCATGCGTGGCGAGGAGATTCTTTCTGGGGCACAACGTGTACATGACCCGAAGCTGCTGGCAGAGCGCGCCAAGGAACACGATATTGAGCCCAGCACCATCCAGCCGTACTTGGATGCGTTCAAATACGGAGTTCCGCCTCACGCAGGTGGTGGTATAGGTACGTGGCTTTTATAGGTCAGTTGCAACCCCGCGTCTTATCCGTATCTCATCATTTGCTGCCTATTTTTTTTTGAAAGGTCTGGAACGTGTCCTCATGTTGTTCTTGAACTTGGGTAACATCCGTAAAACGTCATTGTTCCCCCGTGATCCCCACCGACTGGCACCATAAACATTCTGTTCCAAAAACTACATGCCATTTGATTTTAAAAGTTGTACTACATTAGAAGAATATATACAATGGCTTTCAAACGGCACCACATAATTTCGACACTCTAGGCGTACAGAATAAATAGGCGATTGTTTTTTTATACCAAAAAGTCATTAGTCTTTTGTCCAACACCGCAGCGTTAGTTTTTCTTGTCTTCTGCAGATTCATCATCATCTTTTGTGACCTTTCGTCTTCGCTTCTCAAGAGCCATTTCCTCCGTGTGAGGAATAATTTTGACACTGATAAAATGTAAGTCGTTGGTATCTCCTTCTCATATGATATATGCATGTGCCGATCATACCGGAAGGGTAGCGGGACCTCAGTGACTGCTCTAAACTTGCCAATGTTGTTTGTATGCTCGTTCTCCCTGTGACCACAAGAGGTACATGATGCCATCCTATGTCCACGTACTAAGGAAAACCTACATCCGAATGATACTCCACATAAAGCGTCTATAAAAGTAAAATTCATGGGTGAGCATGCCAGTTCTAGCAGAGTAGACAACGAAAATACCTAAAGAGTTCCAAAAGCGCTTGCACGTAAATCAATATCCGAGCATCGTTGAACACCCCCCAGTTGTTGGGTGACAGGAGGAAAACCCACGACAGTCTCAAAAGGAAGTTGACCCTGTTCATCTCCGCTCTTGAGAATGGGTAGCCAAGTGAAATAACTCGCTACAAAGCAGTCTCACCCGATGGATGTCATGTAGAGCCATGGCGGATACACAATCACTTTTCGCAGGTATTTGTGATACTTGTTCTTCTGGAGAAGACCCCAGTCGTATAGCACATCCCAAGCATATGCATACATTGATGCAAAAATGGCAGACACTACGACAAGCGCGATGATGAGTATAACGGATCCTTGTCAGAAATTCACAGAGGTCTTTACATATCCAAAAGACGCGAGCTACAGTGCTCCCGTTGATACGAGCTGCAGCGGAAATGAAAACAACCGATAGAGACAGACAGTACTTGACCGCATTCGTCAAGTGCGGGTGTACAAGACGGTTGTCGTAATAACCTTGTGATAGGTATGTATGATTAAAAAAGTATCACCAAACATACTGCACAATATACGTACGACGAAGACACTGGAGAAGCCGCCATGTCGCCGGGATAGCGGTAATAAATGGCACAACCCAGGAATGGGAGAACTCGCAGTGATCAGCTAGATGAATGAAGATAAGTCTACGGTGCCGCTTTGTACAAGAGCCGTGCCAAACAAAAACATACCTAATCTGTCAAATTGGTGGAAAGTGGTGCACACTAGAATTTGCATCGATACGAACATGTACGTCTGCAGAACCATAGATAAGCAGAGCGCAACAAGCCTCCTAAGGAGATCGATGCTGATTACCATGGAACTGAGGAGATCTGTGATAAAGAAGTCTCGAAATTGAACTTCAAACAGGCCCGAAAAGGTTATTCTACCCTGTAAACTGAATTATGAGTATTATGAATGCTGACATCAAATAACGGCAAGCCTAACCAAGGTTCGTATGAACCATTTCCGCGACGATCGGTGAAAGAAATTGAAGGGGTTTATCAGGATCACGATTATAAGGAGAAGGAGCATCTGCCAATGAGGGAATCAGGACCATGCTATATCACCGTGCGTAACATTGGCCATCTTACCACTGGATACCAATTGAGGGGAATGAAGGGGAAGATATTGTCGTCCATGGCAAAGTACATGTTGTATGCAAAGAGGAAGAGCAATATAGATGCCACCTCCGAAAAGCCCTCGGGAGGTAAATAATCTGCGTTTCAAGGAATATCTGAGATCCAAGATCTACGATCTGCCCCCGGCGCATGAAATCTCCGTACCTCTAGGATCGAGCTCGAATACGAGGACCCAGTTTACATGATATCTCGCCCAGATTACGAGTAGCATTGAATAGTAGAAAAGGAAGAAAATGGGTATACTGGAATGAATCAAAAGGGTTGATAAAGTCATACTGGCTGAGACGGGCTCGCATAGGCCGTACCTGAAACCGCCATAAATGAGCAGAATCAGTGCAACGTTCTCATCTGGAATTCCGCCTGTGAAGGTCTTCCGCAGAGTCAGCGCGATCGCTGGAATGGCCAAGCCAACAAAGAGCCCTGTACGCCACGAAGTAAACCCTTGCGACTACATGACGTAGTTTGGTAAACATCTATTAGTTGACAAACTTATACCGTGCGTCTCCAAACCTGCGCTTTGAGATCCGGAATCCGAAGTTTTCTCATTGCCGAGTGCCGATCTCCTTCTGCAAACACCTCCGTGTACAAAGCTTCCGTTTCGGCAATCAGATCTTCCACCTTATTTGACGTAAAGAGGTGGAGACTCTTGGCTCGGGATAAGTATATCTCGCTGCCGACCCCAGTAACTGTTGCATAGATGAGCACACTGGTAAGGACGATCCAAACTCTCCCAATTGATAGCTTTTTCGTTCTTCTTGAGAATCTTTGTGAGAGAGGTTTGGTTTATGATTCTAAAGTTTTTCAACAGCTAGCATTGAGGTGTCGATATGATTTCTCGGACTCAGGTAATCAGTACGTCTTACAAACCTCCAAAAGTCTGTAATACTTTGACAGAGTCAGATTTAGTCTGCAAGTGTTTTTACCATATCATCAAGATCATTGCACTACCTCAAGGAATGCCTTTTGTAGGCGGCTCCTGGGGTTTTTCACAACCGGTGTAAAATTCTCGGCCTCGACAGCGGCTGGCGCATCCGCGATAATCTCATCATGTTGCACACTTCTTGGGGCCGGTCCTTCTTGAGGCGAATCGCTTCCGCTATCATTCTCAGTATCCGAGTGTCGCCTCTGTCGTACAGGTCGTCAGTATGTGGTCCGCAAGCGGATCGTCCGCGTGCACTTACGTCCGTTCTAGTTTGCCGTTGTTCCATAATGATGCATTGGCGACGAAGATCCTCCAGCCTCCGAGATGCATCCTGTTCCTTTCCTTCGCCGCATTCAGTCAAGTGAACAAAGCACGTACTGAAGACCGGCTTGTAGTGACTAACCAAGAAAAAAGGCGTCTGCCTTTCGCAACTCCCTATCTAGCTGTTGGAAGAAGCGCACCTCCTCTGGCGCCAGCTGGGCTTCTTCCAACATCAAGACAAGATTTTCTTTACGAAAATTTGAGCAACTTGTCAGTTAACTACAATACTGTTGCGGACGTACCATCGTCCTTTGGCTGATGGGATTCATTTGTAGTGGCTCGCGAGTGCAACCGGGACCCGTCACGCTGGACGACAAGTGACTCAGTGGAACCTTCCAACGATTGTAGACTCTCCTCCTGTGAGCTTTGCGCCGAAGAATCTTTCGCACGCTTCGCTTTATCCCGCGCTGCAACAACTTTCTTGATACTTTTCTTGAGTTGCCGATAATTGACATACCGTGATCTCCACTACGGAAAAGTCAGAGTGTCAAAATGGGTTATCGCGAGGTCGGACCGGGCTGTCAAGCAGATGAGCAAATGGACAAGTCTCTCACCTCCGGTACGCTGTTTTCTGCCAAGTACTTTGCAAACTTCATGACGATCAACAACGAATATCCATCGTCAGAAAAAAAGGTGTGATATCTTGATTCTTGCTGCGCTCGAAGCGATCGCTCACCGAATGTCACGAGGCTCATTTAACCAAATTGGGACAAGCAACTTGAACCCAAAAAAAACCAAAAGCTGAACCCTGACTTTTTACCAGAGCACAGCGTCCGGATCACGATCAGGAATTTTGGAAAGCATTTCAACACAAAAGTTCCGTCAAAATGGCTAAAAAGGGAGGAAAGAAGGCTGAGAAGATGTCGCTCACCGACTTCTTGATGAACAAAGGTTCGCAGATCTGCAGATGAACGGGGGATCTCGAAAGTGGTGGGGACGGGCACACGAACGGTTTTGACTGATATGCGACAAATCTACACAGACTACGGTGGTTCTTGGGCTGACGATGTTGCCGACCTTCCTAGTGCTCGTACGTATTACACTGTTGACCACAATGGAGTTTGTGTCTGACCTTCTTTTTGCGTCCGTTCAGCAGCGGCAGTGGCAGAGCCTTGTATGTTACGGCAAAGTGGAGTTTCGTGAAGCAATTCTTGATATTGACATTAGATGTGTACCAGATGGGTCTGATTCTAGAGGATATGCTGCGTACGATGCTGCGACAGGTCGAGGTGAGTGCCCTTTGGAATGCAGTTTCCAGCGATGGCCACCATAGGTGACGAAACTTGCGCCTTTCCACAGGAGAGCGTGACTCTCGTCCCCAAGCCCCTCTTCCGGATAACCCGCCATACACCTGCTTTTTGGGAAATTTGGCCTACGACGTTTCGGAGCGGGACATAGCTACGCTGTTCGGTGATCTGAAGGTGCATTGAGCCTCCAATACGTATAATCTGCCTTGTTCTGACGGAAAGGCAATTCTTCTTTGAAAAGGTCAAGAACATTCGTATTGTGATGGAGCCCACCGGTAAGCCAAAGGGCTTTGGCTACGCTGAATTTTTCGATCGGGAATCTCTTGCGGAGGCACTCAAATTTAGCGGAGAGGTACAATAATGTCGTTTACAATGGTAAATATCGATATCAAACAAACATCATAATTGATTTCAGAGTGTGATGAGACGCAGCATTCGTATTGACGTTGCCCAGCCACGTAAGCTACTTGCAGTATACTGATTCTGTATGTGGTCGACCTTGATCTTGACTGCCCTCGCCTTGCAGCCGCGGATTCTCGTCGAGGCCCATCGGATCAAGATAGGCCAGACAGGAGTGGCGAGCTCGAAGGTGCATGGAGAAGAGCTGAACCCCTTCCACCTTCGGCCCCTCTGCGCAGGGACAGCTCCAGGGATTCACGAGGTGAGGAGCGCCGTGGATTTGGAGGCGGTTTCCGTCGGGAAGATCGATTTGGAGGTCGCGATGACGGTTTCCGCGGAAACGGACGATACGGTGATGACCGCCGTGGCCGCGGCTTTGGTGGTGACCGCGACCGGTATGACCGTTCAACATCCCGTTCTGGTAAGCAGGTGCATGCCCCTCTCCGATTGCATTAACAACTAATCACCTTTGACTGCTAGACGCTCCCATGGCCCGCAAAAAATTGGAACTTGTTCCCCGCACACGCCCCATCACCTCCCCCGAACCCGCCGAAAATGCTAAACCCTCCGCTCAAAGTCCTGAAGGTAAGGTAGCGGCCGAACCGAAAAAGCCGAAGTCGAACCCTTTCGGCGCTGCAAAACCTCGTGATGAGCAGGAAATAATGAAGCAAATCGAGGAACGCCGGCAGCAGCGAGAAGCCGAAAAGCGTGCTGCTGAGGAGGCTGAAAAGAAAAAGGCAGAAGAAGAGAGAAAGAAACAAGAGGAGGAGAAAAAGAAACAGGAAGAGGAACAGAAAGAGCGTGAGAGGAAAGCAAAAGAGGAACAGGAGCAACAAAAACGGGAAGCGGCTGAGAAAGTGGATAAGGCGGGAGTTGCCAAAGCAAGAAAACAAGATGATGCACAAAGACCTCGCGACAATGGTCGGCCAGAGCGTCGTCCCTCAGAGGGTGTGGAATCTCGTGCGGACGCAGCATCTTCTTGGAGACGCGATGCGCCACTGAAGCCCGCTGGCCGGGGAGAACCTCGTACGGGAGGTCGCCGGGATGGAGAAAGGGGCCGCGGAGGGCGCGGAGGATTCGGGGCCCGGCGAGACAGCCGTGATGACAACAAACCCAGCACTGGGCGCGGTGAAAGCCGACCTCAGACTGCGAAGGCACCGAAAGGCCCAAAACCATTGCCTACTCAAGAGAAGGAGCAAGCACATGTCGAAAGCAAAAATGTCTTTGACCTGTTGGGCGAGGTAAGTGTGAATTCAGTGTGATCTATATTTCTGGGGTAATGGCTGATTCGGTCTGGGCAACAGGACGAATGAATGGACCAAAGCATTTGAGTGTATGCTAGTAGCACACCATATCATAGATGTATCTACCATCAGTTCTCAGTATATTCGTTTAGTCGTTATGCGTAATTATAGCATGGGAGAGGAGTGTAACTTTGTAAGGGTCGCCGTAGCGACGTGAATAGCATTATTAACCAGTCTTCAAACAATACTCCACTCAAAATAAAAACTACTGCAAATCCCGCACTTTCAAGTACCCTCTCACGGCTTCGCGGCCACTACTCTGTTATATGCTTGCAATGCCCTGATTCTGCACCGATCTGCCAATACTGGATCCATGTCCTCTGGAATGTTTTTTGGCCGAAAGTAATCTCGAAACGTATGACTTCGTCTGAGGTACTTATCGGCGTTCTTTGAAACGTAAGGCTTGAGCTATGTACAACAAGTAAAATGAATAACCTTCAAAGTAATCAGACATGGAGCGTGCAGTTCTTACCTCACATGTTGACAGATCTGGTATCTCCCAGGAACGAAACCTCCATGGTTCGAGGATGAAGCGTCCTAACCCCAAGGTCAGTAACCCAACAGCTTACTCTTCAGCGCAAGCGTCAAACACCCACCTCGTGCTGTCCATCGCCCCATTCGTCCGCTCCCCGTTCCCTTGTAGAAATTCTTATTCCCTTGCTTTGCCGACATGACTCCCCTTGTTGCCCCTCGGCAAAGGCCGGTAATGATCCCAGTCATACCCATTATGCTTTATAATGGTGTGTTAAAAATGGCAAGGTTATGCTGCTGTGGTTGAAGAGTTGGAACTCAATGATCAAGGCACATTAGTTGTCATGGTAACGCGGCTGGCATTGGTCATGTTTGATGAATTGCTGGTTCGCCCAGAGCTCCCGTTATGAGAGATATTCACCTTGCAACTTAACGTAGTGGGTCATGACAGTGCCCATATGTTCATAAATATATTAAGCCCTCATCGCTCTGCTAAAGCCCCTTCCAAAATCCCTAGTATATGCGTAGCCCTGGTTCTTGCTGCCTCCAAACAACTTGTTAATGTCTCCTGACCCAATGCAGAACCGCCAGGTTTCAACATCCCACAAAGACCACCATTTTGCTCGATAATCACAGTCAGCTGTGAAGAGAGATGGGGTTCTTCTTCGATGTCGGGATCGGCAAGGATGAATTGTCTGCAAAAGATCTTGTCAATACCAATGGAGTAGTCACAGAGCTTCGAACGACTTACCCATCGAAGACACCGAATGTCACAGATATTGGTGTTCGTGAGAGTTTAAGCGGAATTGTTCGCTGCTCCTTTACTCTGACAGCGTTGTCTGCTTCGTAAAATGTCGCTGTGGGTAGTCGAACTGTGATACGTGGTCGTGATTGTCATCAGCATTTCAGATCCATCGCAGATGGACAGGCAACTTATCCTTACCATGTTTCAAAGCAGCCACTAAAGCAAGCATGGCCGCATCCATCGCGTTTCCCTCATAGTTCAAGCAGACTATGTCAGCGTATAAGACCCAAACCGCACGTCCCTCCTCTATGCAGAGATCCGATAGGTTTAACAGTTTCGAACTACCGAGGCAAGTGCAAAAGTAAAGTCAATGAACAGCCGGCATAAACGGCGCTGGCATGCTCTCCTACCTTTCCAGTACTCGGTTGATGTATTCGCTGATACTTTGGGATAGTTCGGACGGCGGTCCTGGCTTGAATTGCGGAGAACATAGAGGTGGCAGATCAAAATTTGGAACTATGAAAAGTCACAATCAGGACCGACTTGCATCATATAGTGCAAACGTATGCAAAAGATGCACGAATCCAACCTATAAAGCCGTCCCTCGGCGCGCCAGTTTTTGGCTCTGTTATTTCTGCTTTTATCCCACACACCACCGTTGTCTCTCCCAACCTCGCCATAGCCGACCCATGTGCAGTGGTTATCGCACCTTTAGAGATGGAATTAATCGTCCGATTCAAACAGACTGGATTAACAGTTATCAACCACGTCCACCATACCAACAGTAATTTTGGCTTTTCTAAACCTTGACAAAGTCCTGCCGTCCGGTCGTACGCCTTGAGATAGAAAGCGGCGATGGTATTCTGTTGGATGGATTTTCTTGAAAGTTTCGGAATCGAGAGAGAAGACAGCAGGAGTGCTGGTCACAGATGGGGGAGTGTCGACGTCCATTCCATTCTGAACGGACGCTGGTGTTGAGTCGTCCATAATGGGGGGATATGTTGAGATCACAGACCACACAATACGTGTAGGGAATCGTAATGGAGTCCTTGTTGCCATCGAAACGAATCTGATTAGGTGATGATGTTGAAGGCAGCGCTCTTGACATTTTGTAGATCACAGCAATGCCAACTACGTCGTCCTCGTCCTCGTCTGACAGTCCAACCCTTTCCGAACGAGCCCATGACTTGCTTTCTAAAGCATCCGATCAGTTAGTTTCCCGCGGATATCCTTCACTGACAACTTTAGCGCAACGCCCGGGACTGACACCGTACCCTGCAATGGCAACATCTGCTTTGTGTATGTGAGGTTTCTGACAAGTGCATTGCGGAGGATGGCCTTCCTTGGCTCATTTGTGATCCCATATATCTGTTTCAGGTTTTGCATCTGCAATTCCAGCGCTGCGAGGAGGAAGAGGGTGGCCTGGATATTTTCCCTTGGTCGGATTCGGAGCGATATTTGCTGGGGCAAGGTGTGCACTCGAGTGGCTACTGCATTCGTAAATTATTTGATATGTATCCACCTTTTCTCTCCTATCAGCTACGTACTTTTGCATGATCTTGATAATGGCACGTCTACCGCGACAGGTACTTTATTGTGTTGATAGCCCACAACCTGTCAGCGTACTAATTGGACATGTACATCCAGCTTGGGGAGTAGTATATACTTCTTTATTCCTTCGGTCGACAATAGCATCTCGACGAATTGGGCCCATTGGTCTCCTGGCTTGCGTAATGGGAACAACCGGTGCCTACGGGGTCGAGATGTGGGACTCGTTCTTTGGATGAGCAAGGTGGAACATCTTATTTAAATATCATTAACCATATGCGCGTGCATGCGCATAACATCAGGGCGCGCTGGATAGTTCACAACATTATTCATGTACAGTATACCGAGTATTGCATAGAAGATTAGACAGTAGTTATTCATATTGTATTTGGTTGCTTCAAACCTGGTTTTTTTTGATCTGGAAGAAACCAAAAGAACTGGATATGTTTGTGACGTCTATTTTAGTGAAATGAATTTTGTATCAGTGTCATACCGCTCGCTAGTCAACCAAGACAACCCTCTTCGCCTTGATCTCTTCCAAGATCTCTCGAGCGCCCTTGGCCACCAATGCCGCCCCAAGTCGCTCTCCTAGTGCTTCCGCGGCTTTCAAGTCTTCTTCCCGAGTTCGCCCTTCAATAATACACTTATCCTCTTCACGAATCTCCACCGTCCCATCCAAGCTAGATACGGAGCCAGTCATTAAAAGCTCCCCGCCGCCCGCGTACTTTGTTGACACGCCAAGCGGCACACTGCATCCACCCTCTAAGAACCGCATGAACGCCCGCTCCGCTGTACATCTTAGACGTGTTTCCCAGTGGTCTAGCGGTTGAAGCAATTCTAACGTTTCTGCGTCATCCCCTCTGCATTCGATCCCAAGAGCCCCTTGCCCCACAGCATGCAAGATTGTTTCGGGGCCCAGTACTTGTGAAATACGGTCATCCCAGCCTAATCGGTGCAAACCCGCGTAGGCAAGAAGGATAGCCGCGTAGGGCCCTTCAGGTGCATCCAGCTTGCTTAGCCGAGTATTCAAATTACCTCGAACATCTTGAAAGACAAGGTGTGGAAATCGACGCTTCAGTTGCGCTATGCGTCGGACTGAGCTAGATCCAACTATACTGCCCTCCTTCAAATCGGAAAGCTGTTTTAGGCCCTCAGATTGACTTTTCAATGACAGAACCAAGGCATCCCTGGGGTCCTCTCTCTCCGTTATGGCGCCAAGGCACATTCCCTCGGGCAGCACGGTTTGCAAGTCTTTGAGGGAGTGTACGACAAGATCCACAGTGCCTTCGGCCAAAGCTACCTCCAGCTCCTTTGTGAAGAGGGACTTTGAACCAATCTTCGACAGGGCAGTGTCCTGAATTTTGTCGCCTTTGGTTGTCATGCCGTAGATGGCAAAGGTGTATTGAGGGTGCATGTTCCGTAGACGGTTTAGGACAAATTCCGCTTGGACCATAGCGAGCTGAGATTCGCGGGTGCCAATCACAAAGTGCGTTCGTCGGCTGCCGGGTGCGGCACCCGCTGCGGCTCCAGATTGGGATGCCATTGCAGCAATAAACAGGTAAACAAAGTTGGGGCAAATCCGACATCCCACCTAGTAAAGAGTTGGTGACACAAAGTGTTGCCACGACTACCGTAGTGGACCTGCGTGATCCTCCCCCCCTGCCCTTTCACCACCAACACACCCGTCCCCAATTAATTCTGCTTGCGATCAACCAAAAAGTGTGAACAAAAATGAACACAACCACAGCTGATTCTGATTCCGACAATGATTCCCTCTTCGCGGAGTTGGAACGCGACGACGACGAATTCCTCGCGTCCCACCGTGAACTTCGGATGGAGGAACTGAAGCGTGAGTGAGTTTTACCCTCAGAATACTTGCAGTCTCCCGCTCCGTGAAATTCTCACTCTCCTTTAAACGCAGAATGACAAAGGTTCAAGAAATGCGAAATAGCTCACACGGCACATATGACACGGTCTCCACAGAAAAAGCGGTACTGAATATCACAACAACGACAAAACACTGTGTGGTGCACTTTGCGCATAAAGATTTCCGGCGTTGTCAGTTGATGGATAAGCATTTAGGGGTGAGCAGACCAGTGTTCTCGTATACGTGAGCGTGTTCACTTATTGATTCTGTGGCTGCGCATTGAAGGAACTAGCAAGAAAACACTTTAGAACCCGGTTCATTCGGGTCGACGTGGAAAACGCGCCATTTTTGGTCGAACGATTGCAGGTCAAAGTGTTGCCGTGTGTAATACCGTTCATAGATGGGGTATCTGTGGATAGGTGCGACATTGTCTCTGAAAATCGCGCTCCGTCGACCTCACTGACCTTCCTTTTCACAGATTAATTGGATTTGAGGATGTAGGAGACAATGACAATGTACCCACATCGGCAATAGAAGAATGGTTAAAGAAGACGAGTGAGTAGTTGAATTAGATGACGTGCTCTCGTAATTCAAATTGTTGACACTGCCTTTGCTCCATGTCAAATCAGAGGTGATACCGGAGTCTGAAATGGATCTGACGCACAGAAAGACCATATTCGGATTTCCGGACAAGTCGAGGGAGGATGAGTCGGACGATGATGATTACTAGCTTCTGTCGTTGGGGTTTGTGAATAATATGATAAGTTATGTTAGTGAAAGGGTGTCAAATGCTCAGTTCTGGAATATGTTACTGCGATATGTTATGTCCGCTTGGAAGCGCTTGGAGGAGCGGGTATCACAACAGTAATTAGGTATTCTTATTATAGAAGGGCAGGAAAAAAAAAAGTCACAATTGACCGAGCAAGAAACCATCTATATCCAATTGCCTTTTGTCTATCTACTACATCACCAAACAATCCTTGTCCTTGTCCTTCGAACTCCCAGGAAGTGATTTCCTCTTTGCCTTTTTGGTACTCTTTTTCCCTTTCATTTTCTCGTCCCGGTGGACGTCGTCTTTGCAAGATTCTGTAATCGACACGTGAGTATCAGCAGGATTGTGTACTTCAGGTGCAGATCGGCAAGGACGCATCACCACTGGAAGGGCTGAGGTGTCGCTGCTCGAGTCGGGCTTTGTGCCAAGGTCAGGCAGACTGGGTGGAGTGGAATTGGGAGGGGGTAGTGGTGAGTCCTTTGGTGTCGAGCTCATTGATGCAGCAGACGTTGATGGTTGTTGTGATGAACAAAAAGAATCTTCGCGGATCGTTGGAGTTCTAGATGTTTCGGGAGTTTCGAGGTCAAAGCTAGGTGTAGGTTCGGGGATGGTATCCATGGATTGCGGTATTGATGGGGTCATGGCATTTTCTTGGATCATTCTTGTTCCGACTTCGAGGAGCATAGCGCTTTCTTCCGCGGTATCCGGGTCCTATTTTTGCGTAGAATCCATACATCGGTGTTGGGTTCTTCAGAAGAGAGGTATCCTACGCCGTACCTGGTATTTCAGTCGTATCCAATCATGCTTCAGTAAGGCACTAGCTGTCCATCGCTTGTCAACGTCACGTTGGAAGCATTTGTCGAAAAAGTCCCGAAGATCCTATATGTGGTTAGGTAGTTTGAGCTTCGCGCTTGCAAGCAACAGATGCTGTGCATTCTTACATCCGATATGTCATCCGGCAATGGTGGAGAGTCATCTGCAGACGTGTACGTCAGCTACTATCCTTTTCCGAATCTCGTCAGCGCGAATGAATCAGTGTGTACCTTCAACAATACGGAACAAGGCAGTCATCGGGTTCTTCAGATCCAGATATGGAGGCTTTCCGGTGATCATTTCAATTATAGTACATCCAAGACTCCTATGTAGAGTGAGAGGCAATGTTAGAGAATTGTGCTTGGCAGGAAAAACGGAAACACGACGAAGAGTGCTTACCAAATGTCTGACGCCGTCGATGCGCCCTTCAACTCTATGATCTGTGCGACAGATATATGACCTACATACCCATAAGCTGCTCTATATCACTCGGAACATACCTCGGGTGCCATCCAGTAGGGTGTACCAGCTGCAAGAAATGAATAAGATACGAAACGATTCTAAATCGCAGACGGATTGTATACCAACCGACAGCTTGCTCGTCCTCCCCCACGCCATTAAGTTGCTTTGATACTCCAAAGTCGGACAGCTTCACTGTGCTGTCCTTGGTTGTCAGGATATTGGCACACTGTATAGTACATCAAATGCACATGTTATTCACAGAACGGAAATTATTCCTTCCTAAAATGACGCACATACTTTGAGGTCACAATGGACAACACCCTTTTCATGCAGGTACTGAAGTCCCTCCAAAATGTTTTCCACGTAAACTGCAGCCAGCTTTTCGGGTATCAGAAGGTTGTACTTTTTCATTACGCTTTGTAGCGAACCACACTCCATGAACCTATACCGTGACACCCCATGAGTGAGTCAATGAAGATGAATGGCCCACAAATTATCCACTTACTCCAAAATGATGTTTAGATATCCTTCCTGAAGGACGAAACCCAGGTACTTGACTATATTAGGGTGTGTCAACGACTTCAGGAGTTCAACCTCTTGCTGTAGAACTTTAGCGGTGAGTCCAAGTCTAGGGATATCAATGACTGGACAACGACAAACCATGAGCTCTTGTACACCCTGTTCTTTACGGTCAGCCAATGGAATGCGTTTGATGGCCGCCACTTGCCCTTTGGTTGAGTCCGGAGTAAGCATCCAGTCTGAGGTGGACTATTCGGTTTGGGCAATTTCTTACCAGTTTCCATATTCAATGCCCTGATAACAAGCCAGAGTAAGTTAGAAAATGGATCCGCAAGGAGCCGACATATCCTTGTACTCACTGGTAAACCGTTCCAAATTGACCCTTCCCAATACTGCTTCCCAATTGCTAAACCACTAGACCTGAGTTGGGAATCTCAATCAGGACATGACGAGCACCACTCACGTAAGGCCCCAGAGTGATCCTCTCCGCTGGCGTCTTGGATCCCCGAACGCTGCTTGCTCTCGATCCGGGTCGACTAGATCGGTGTGGTGACTCAGTTCTTGTTCGTGGTGCTCGGAGGTTTCGGTCTGAATCTGCTTTCTTCATCCCCGAGGGCGTCACCGGTCTAGTGTTCCCAAAATGTGATACTGATATCGACTTGGTATGGACAGGAACTGGTTTCTGGGGTGGTGCATCTTCAGATACTATCACCTCATTCCGATATGGGTTCAGTTCGTCAGGTGGCCGAGATTTTAGAGGAGATCCCGCAATGACCCGTGCGATGGTGAGGATGGTGATGATCACCTACATCACAGACAGTCAGCTACCCTCACGTCGACTAGGATACACGTGAATCTCACCTGCTGCATGTCCTTCCCCTCAAATAGGTCGACAGTTTGAAAGAGCTCATGTCCTTTCAGACCAAGGTTTTTGCTCGCAGTGAGAAAGCGATTGATATTCTCCATCTGGCAAGGAATTTTCAGTTAGGGGTGCTTCAACAGCCAGTTGGTTGGCTAGCTCCAACGAACCTGCAGAAATGGGGCATCTCTCGTGCTGATTATGGAAATACTCCCAGGCTTCAGCTTATTCATGAGCCTAGAAAAGGGAAGCAGTGATTCAACACCATGAGGACGCTAGCTATAGACTTTGAAACAAAAGTCGGAGTCTTATGACTCACTCGCATAGAACGACACCATTTCGTAAGGACTCGTGCAAGCTGTCATTCCCCAGCTTTCTTCCTATGGTTGTCTCTATAAAGTCTACTGCCGCTTGCTGATTCTCCAAGTGCTGTTAAATTCAGGAATCATCATGAGCACTGGAACATTGGAAACCTTTGTGATTCAACAGTCGCCGAAGATAGCCGGGCTTTCCTCAAGTGGCTGATGTTGACAGTAGTCCATCCCACAAATCCTCACCTGAGCAGCTCGTTTCTGCGCTACCTTGTCGAGAGCGGCCCCCTCCTCGGAAAGCGCCGGTGTAGACACGTCGGGAGGTGGAACAACGGAGTCAGGGGCAACCTTTGTCATGAATTGGCAGAGTGCACCGGTGGACCTTCGCTTCAGTGTTCTAGGAGCCCGCGGTCCTTTCGGCAATCGGGGTAATGACGGTTGACGAACAAGGGTAGTTCCGTATGGTGCGCTGTTCGAGTCTATGGGTGAAGGAGGAAGCGGTTCGCTGGCAACGTGATAGATGCTGCGGTGCGGCCAGCTGTCACCTTGCAGGTGGGACAAAGCATGTCAACTTTGACTAATACATATTATGAAGACGCAATAGGCTATACCAATAGAATACAGCGGCGGGCAAGTCGGTGTAGGTCCTGGCAAGTGCATTGAACATTAGTGATCAGCGATGACAATCATAATCAATTGGGCAGCCCCGAAAGAGCTGACCAAGTTCATTTCTTTGACGTCAGTGGACAAGCAGCATGTAATACGTACGTTGTTGGCTACTGTCGAAACAACGACCTGTTGCCCGGCAAAGGAAGAGATTTGACAGGTTTCTTGCTAAAGCTCGATGGATTACTCTACCATGAAGACCCAAACAACCGCGATGCTTAGTCAAAGGGGCTTAGCACCTACAGAAGGTCGCGACACCCGTAGGATTTCTTCCCTTTTGGATCTGTAGGTTGTTGAATAGCAGAACATTAAAGTCATCGCTTGAACTTTTTACATTTGTTACGGATTTATTCTCAACAGCAACTGTGTGATATTTTGGTCTCGCACTGGCACAGAGTTTTGTTGATAACGGCTAGACGCAGCGCTCGCTGCCTCAAGCATAACGAGATCACCATTTGGAAGCTCTTTCCCCGCCACCTCCATCGAACCCCAAAGAATTCTATTTTTGCGTTTCGCACGCTCAGAACTCGAACGTAGTTGCCGGCTTTGCAGCGCATAATCTTTGAGATGCCCCTACACAAAAGGAAACCTGTGGAAATTCTACCACTTCCAACCCTGCCTGAAGGTGACGGTGAAGAGGTCTGGCAAGTACGAACGACGGGAGAAATCTTTCAGAATTACGAGTAAGTATCAGAATGGGGACATATATATTGGCGTCGTCCTCCGCGGTCGCGTTCTACTCGATTGTGTGTGGTCCTTGACATGCCATGTCGGGTCAGATCCTGCGCATTCGGGAGCAGCAGTCGCCGAAAAATCATTGTCTTTGCGTGGATATGTGCACTGTTGAATGACTAGACTACTTTCTGTTGCAGAGATTACGTCGCCAGATACAATTTTCTTCGAAAAAAACAATTCGCTTGCGCTAAAACTGGCCGGTCAAACCTAACCTATGAGGATGCTCTCATATCTGAACAGGAAGCCACAAGAAGAGTTGAAGAGAACTTTCCTGAGGTCTGGCGTAGACCTGCTATGGAAATCATTCACTACAGTGAGTATGTTTCTGTTGTGATTCCGCAAAAGTCCTGCTCATCCAATTGTTTATGTTAGGTATGGAGAAGCTTAATTCTCTTGTAGATCATTTATATGATTTTTTCAAAGACAGAATATTTGTGGGAGAGTATATCTATATTGACGTTGAAGGCACGCTGGCGCTTGCAAAAGTCTTGGAGGAGATTCGCAATGTCCGGGACGGGAACGGGTTCGTCTACACAAATGGCGCGAATGATAAAGGGGTCGATGTAGAGGGAAACGATAAAAGTGGATATCGCTATCGTGTCAATCTCGTGGATGATCAATATGAACTACTGTCAATGGAAGATATGGATGGGGATCTCGCTGTCGAGTATGAACTTCCCGCTTCACAGCTGAAACGTGATCGTCAGATCTTGTCGAAACAAAACTTCAAGAAATTTATTAGAGATGTTGCGACGAAGGATATGTGGGTTGGGGCACCGTGGACAGTGAGGTCAGAGTTCCTTAAGCGGTATAGCGTTCCCGATACTCCACCTCCCGCAGTACGAGAGCTACTTGACGAGCGACATAGGAAGCTTACGGGTGATACCAAGCCCGTTCACAAGAAAAAGGCCGCTGACAATGGTGGTACCGATAAGGGAAGTCCAAGAAAAGGTAAACAAAGGGCCAACGATGATTCGGAACTGGATGATGATTTAAAGAAGAAAGGCCGATCAAGAAAGTCATCGACTTCTAAGCGGGGGGAAACCCCTCCGAAATCGAAAGCTAAGCCATTGCGCTTTCCAATGGAAGACCTAGAGTTATTGAAATTGGCACCTCGTCCCAAGAGTCTAGGGATACCGGACCGTCCAGAACCTTCCCGCGACTTTGGCGAAATACCCGAGCACCTCACAACCGCTTTAATGGAAGTATGGACATTCCTCGCTGTGTATGGAAAGCCACTTCAACTGTATCCATTTACCTTGGACGAATTCATCAAATCACTGTCACATCAAGCTGCACATCCGAGGGCAGTCCTAATTCACGAGGCATTCGGGTCTCTTCTTGCTGTAGCATGTCAGGAGTGGAGCAATAAACTGGACGCAAGTGCTACTCATGTCATTCCAATACCGGACTTTGCGAGCATTGATCCCACTAAAGCGACACCGGGTGAATTGTTCTTGCTCGATAAACGAGAAGCTGTGGAACAGTACAAAGCTGTTTATCAGGCGCTCACTGACGATGAGAAGGCAGCACTGGATCAGTGGTGGAAGTGGGAACCGGGGAGATGGTCCACAGGTTACGAATCGCAGAAAGTGAACGCCTATGGATCTGGCAAACAGGGTCCCGGGGCCGGCCGGTTGAAAGCCTGGGAGATTGTTCTCGCTGGAGTCGTAAGAGATTGGTTACAGCTTGAGCGCTTCCCGCGCAAATGGGCCATTGTATCTCACTTACTAGGCGGCCTAAGACAACAAGAGGACCAAGTTGATGTAACGGATGAACAGGATGATATCGCGATGGAGGAGGAAGATATAGATATCAACGGAAGTGCAACGCCGGAGCGGAACGTTACACCCATGGAAACAGACAATGATGAAGAGGATGTGCCTCGACCGTTTGGCCTACGGAAACGGCGCCGCAAAGATGATGAGGATGATGACTTTGTTTTCGATAAGAAGGAAGAACAGGGTTCGACTAGAAGCAAGCGTCGCGCTCGTCAGCCAGTTGACACTATACCGGCCAATGGGTCTCGATCGAAAACTCGAGCTGCAGCTAAAGCGAAAGCCGACGCTGCTTTGGCCTTTGACCGATTGTGCCAGTCCACGGAGTCTGGATTCCTCTCTCTCAGTTGTAATGACCGGTTAGAGCTATTGTCATTTCTGGTGCGCGATTGTGTGGGACAAAGCTCTCTCATCCGCGGATATGTCGATGAGTGTATCGAAAAAAGTTTCGAATTGAAAAAGGAAAAAAGAGAAATAGCGAAAGAACGCAAAGATCTGTAAGTTTTTATCATGTTATCGGCTTCGAACGGCTGTCTTATAGACTCTCTGTGCTGTCATAGCTTAATCATGCGCGCTGAGTTTGAGAGTCGCGATCGTGGGGATTCACCATTGAATGACGGCGAAAATGGTGTTGTTGCGTCAGCATTGATTGGTGCCTCAGAAGGGCAAGAGGTCATCGACGACGCTGGAAATTCAAGCTCAAACAGTTCAGATGAAGAGTCGCCTAGGTATTTATCTGTGCACAGGATGGTGTTACTCCCTCGCTGTATATTCGTGGTTTTTTCTAATGCACGAGAACTTAGGGCGTCCAGGTCACGGCATACATCACGTGTGCAGAAACTGAGGGAGGAGCAGGCTCGACGGGAGGAGGAAGACCGTCGAAGGCGGCAAGAATATGAACAAATGCGACGCCACAGCAGAGCCCGACAAAAGGAGCAACGAGCGCGTGCGGAGGTGAGGCGGAAACATTTTACTGCGACTTTCTTTTTCTGCCCCTTTTAACAAAGATCAACGACAAATGTACAGGAACGTAAAAAGATTGAGGAACAGGAACGAGTCCTTGCTCGCCGCGAGTTGACGGTCGACTATCAACTGCGCGTCCTGACGGCCGCTTCACGGCTCAAACCACTCGGTCGAGATCGATATTGGAATCGGTATTGGTGGTTTGATCCATCACTCGGGTCATCATTCGAGACCGACGCGAATAATGCAAAGAGCAAGACTAGGGCTCGAGGAGGACAGGCTCAATCGGGGCAATTGGATTGGGTTTCAGGCAGGCTTTTTGTGGAGGACGTCGGCTTGGAACCAAGAACAATCCTTCAGGATGACGAGCAGGATGTTGTGAAGCAAGGACTGACGCATGGTGTGTGGGGTTTCTATAGCGAGCCACATCAGGTATAAGCGAATTGCACTATGTCTCATCCTCGGGTCTCTTGGCTGACATTTGATATTCAGATCGAACAGCTTCTTACCTGGCTGGATCCGCGCGGTGTACGGGAGTTGAGCCTCAAGACCACGGTAGAGCGACTGGCAGAGCACATCACTGCAGGCATGCAACGACGCAATGAGGTTTGTCCGATAATTGACGTCTTGATATCCTACCCAGCGTATTTACAACTTTACCTTTCTGTAGGACATCACTGCAGCGATTGCCCGACAAGAAGTTATGTCCTCCCGGCGACCCACGCGGAGCACACGGACGTCTGTGGGTGGCACGGATAACGATGGGGCCGACGGGGAAGGACTAATATGGGAGTCGTACCTGGACTATACAAATCGGTGGGCAAAGTAGCGCACATCCTTTTAGAGTGTCTAGGCATGTTTTTGGTTCTGTCAAGTCTATATTTTTGTGTGAACATGTTTAATGTGGGGGCCTTTTTGCAAAAGTGATCTGTATATAATAGAACGGCGACTCTGCATTGGTGATTGCTCTTCTTTCCTATTCCTTCTATCCGCTACAGCTATCTCTTACATTCTACATTTGTCATTATGACTTATCTACAGTAAGGAACCTGCCTATAACGAGACGTAGGACTCGCGTAATAGCAATACAATGCGCCATGCAGAGACGTTTCAGTAGATTTGGTCGCAGGGGAACTTAGGATGCAACCACGGAGACGTTCCTTGCGATACCATCTGCCTCATTGCTCACATCCCTCTCAGTCTCTGGATTCGAAAGAGCAGACAACCCAACCATTCTTCCAACATCCATTTCATCCAACATTCTCTCTGTCGTCTGGACAGGCGGCAATATTGCAGGGGCATGTGGAACGGGGCTGGGGAGGTTCCCATCTGCTACGACCCTCATAGAAGATGATGACAAAACAGGAGAGATCAATTCCCCATCAACAGACGACAAAACTCTTGATCGGGATTCCTCCAAACTATCCATTTCACTACCACCCCGGTGTTTTCCCAATCTCCAATGGTACAACGCTGTAATACTGCCCCGAATAGGGGATATAGTTCCGCTCCCAACTGACATTGACGCCGATCGCAAACTGCTCGTATCATCCATGTTGACTGTCCCTGGGATAGTCATACTCCCGTCCTGACTATGCAGTCGCCAATTGTGGATGGCCATGGTGCTGCTGATTGAAGCCGGGTGATCAGATAATGAAGATGATGTGGAGCATGGTCCGCTGGTAGGACGAGTAGTGTATCGAAAGATGGCGGATATGCTCGAACGGGGTGTGCTGATTTTGCTGAGGTTTATGGAGGGTACATTGGCGGTGGTTGCAAGGGATTCTCTGTTAGGATTGCTGTCTAAACGAAAACGAAAACTGGATGCATCAGCGCTGCCGGGCTCATTTTCACTCAATGCGTGACTGGCATTGGTTTTGAGCGTGTGTGGGTACTTGGATGTGACAGTTTCGAGTGAGGCATGGCTGTCGCTCTTGTAGGGCGACTCTGGGGCAATTACGTTTCCTGGGCGAGATCGTTGCCTTCGTAGCCATCTTGGCAATAGCAGTTTGCTTGAGCACTTGCCCATTAGACGATGGAGCTTCCAGGTGGCTTACGAATAGCAAAGTAAAGTAGGAGTCCTGTAATGCTCAAAGACGAGCGATTGATGAGGGGTAATATTATTACTGTGCAATTTAACGTTTTTTTTTTAGGCTTTCATCCCCGGAATTTCTGGACAGTTTCATTTGGTCATAATATCCACGGGCGTGCCAGAACCCTATTTTAAATGGCGCAAAAGCAACTCAGTGGGAGATATTGATCCAATGATGTTCGTGTCTAAATGCAGAAATTTGAGGGTGATATCCCCAAAACCAAACTATTTATGATTTAACCTGTAATAAAAAATACTTGTCAGGATCCTGCCGCGATGCGTGTTTGTCCACGTTCAGGATCTTGCAACCTGTGGACTCGGACGTCCGGTCCACCCAATCCGGGAACGTTCCTGGAAAGAAGGGCCCATGGCATTCTAGAAATCCGAAAACCAAACGACGCTCAGCAAACAACACTTACCCCATTGTTTGTGGTGTGATGAAAATATACTGACATGCGCGATCCTGTTCTCGAGCATTGTCAATCATTGCTTTCATGCTGACGCGTCGGTTTACAGCGTCCTACACTGCAACAGTCAACAGGGCAAAAAACCTTTGTAACAACATTACTCCCACTGACCATGAAAACATCGAATTCATCCAAAGCACGGAATGGGCTTCCCATGCTCTCCCACAGAGCCAAGAGCAAACATACTGTAGAAAAACTTTTCTCTCCGCCAGACAAGGCACGAGGATCTTTGTCTTTTGAAGTGCTACTTGCTGTTCTGCCGTCGGCTGTCCCGCCATCATCTTGCTTTTGTACCTAGGCAGAATCCGGTTGATTGGATACCTCTAGGTGCTGCGCGCGATACAGCCATTCTGCTCACCTTGAGTTCCAAGCTCCTGCCATGGTGATCTAGAACCAAGCGTCCTCGATAACCTCTCTTTCGCATAAGCTCCGCAAACAGAGTCTTTGCTCGAATGGAAATGTAGTGTCTGAACGATGACCAAGAGTTCAGCCGGCTCTGCAGTGAGTTTTTTACCTCACGGATGAGGAGCTCCGTATTTTGTATTTCTCTTTTTGCGGCAGCATAAGCCGCCTTCTTGGTAACGTAAGCATGGTATACATCGTCTCGACTTCCATGCCTTTAACGCAGAATGGGAGAAGGGGTGAACACCAATGTCACGATCGTACAAACGCACAACTAAACGTACTTCTTCTCGATCTCTTTCAAGCGCGCCTGGCACAATCTGATATCTCGCTCAATTTCATCGGCTGGTTTATCCACAGGTACGCGCTCGCAGTACTGTTCGCACTTTTCAGTATCAACCGCCAGCTGCTCCTCCGCAACGTTGAGTTCCTCTTGAGCCTGGCGAAGTTTCTCCTGATATTGTATACGCTGATTCTCCCAGTGCGTACGATCATTTTCGTATTTCACTTTCTTGTCTGCGGCTTCCCTGACCCTATTCTGCGGATGATGTAAGTGGTGTACTAGTCATCGATGAAATTATCAGCGAACTTACCGTAAGCGCCGTGTGGCGCTCAACCATGATCTGCCGCTCATCCTCAAGTGTGGCCAATTGCGCTTTTAGCGACGCCTCCGCTGTTTGCACCTCTCGCCGTTGCCCTTCAAGCGCTTCGAACTGCCGCAGAATGAGCTCTATTTGATCCTCTTCATACTGAGGCAACGTCAGTTTTTTTGGCCAAGTGATGCTCAATATCTACTATATTTGTACCTTGCACGCCTCTTGCAAAGCCCCAATGTTCGATTCTTCGTCGTCCTTGTGGCGACTCAATGAGTTTCTCGTGTGTGACCGTTTCATGAAACTATTTTACTGCTTACCACCAAATCCTCACGCATTTGCCGGATCTCGGTCTCTTTCTTCCCAACATCACTATGAAGCGCCACCTGCTCCGCCTTATACCAAAGTGCATTCAGTGATGGAATAAGGGCTGCCTTAATGCGTATCTTGACTTTACCCTGAGCCTCTGCCGTTGCTGCGACACGGCAGCCACCTGATCTTCCAGTTGATCGACTGTCGGTTTCCATGCCGCCTTTTCCTCGCGCAATTGATTGATTTGAGCCTCCTCTTGTCTAGAAGGGCAATTGAATTTGCTGTCATCAGCAATAACCAGAACCTTCTAACACGTTACCTAATAAAGATGCTGACATCTGCCGCCAGCCTCGGCTGGCCTCGATACGGAACTATACTCTGTGTCGAAAGACCACCGCCGCGACTACCCATGGAAAAGCAATCTATGGTGAAGACGCCGCTAACATTACGCGGAAAGCTTTTCCCCGTGATGGCATTTCCCTCGTCGCGAGTTTGTACCAGAACCATTTGTTCGATGTGATGTTGTAAAATCAACTGATCTCGCACAACGTCGTTGTCGAACTAGAAAACACCAACTATGTATAGCACAGATACGGTTATACAAGTGAAAGTGTGTTTACCTCAAGAGCACGCAAAACGGTTAAGTATTGGGTGTCTGGCTCGCCGTTTTTAAAGTGAATGGGTCGTCTTGAATACTTCAAAATGTTACTAGGACTGACATTGTCCGCATTAGTATACTATTACGTCCATCAGAGGTGCAGTCAAGAATACCATCTGCAACGATCCAAAATACTCTGCATAGTCAGTAGATCTTCTTGATTCTCGACTGCCATCGAGTTCAGAGTATTGCCCAGCAAGCTTTCAATGACGCGAGCAAAGTCATCCTGCAGGACCTTCACGTGCAATCCTAACCGCAGTGTTACCGATACAGTGCCAAGTACGGGGGAGTGAGTCGCAACGCACCTAACGGCCCAATCGGTTTTCGTCCCGTCCAACGTCCCTGCTGCTCATACTCTTCAACCATCCGTACCACATTCCCCATAGTGGGACCAAAAGCGGCCAGTCGGTCAGTTCGCTGCCGCGACAGACCCGAGATTCTTTCTTGGCAAGATCGTATGTCAGCGTCAAATCGTCGTAATCGTCCTTGCGCTTCACGCAATCTATCGGTAGCTTCACCATGGGCCGTTTCTACGCGATCTCGCTCCAATTGAAGCTGCCACCAGTTTAATTATTGATTTTCCCTACATGAGTGCAGCAGATGGTACCTGACGCAATTTTTCCTCAAGGACGGCCTTCTCAGTTTCGCGTTCGCTAATTAGGGTCAGCTGCTGCTTTCGGGTGGTTCTACTTGTACGTGAGTTTCGATAAGAGTTCATCGGGCTCGCTTGTCGTAGACATACCGACTGTCATTTTCAGTCTTTTTCGTCTCTTCCGCAATTCGTCTTCGGAAGTCATCTCTATTTCGCCGGTGGGTTTTCACGGTGGTATTCATCTCCTGCTCTTCAGTAGCAAAATCCATCAACCTCTGTCGGAGCGCCATGATCTCTTGCACAATCTGCTGCTTTTGCTCGTGTAGTGGTTGTGTCGCTTGCTTTTGATGTGCAATCTGGGTTTCCAAATTGTCTATTTCTTTCCCAATGTCGGACAAGGCATTCTGGTGCATCTTATCAGCACTTTGTGGCGCAATCGTTCCATGACCACAGTATGCATACCTCACAGTCGGAGATTTTGGTATGCACAAGGTCCACTTTCCGCTGGGCTTTTTCTGCAGCCTTCCTTTTCGCTTCGACTTCCTACATCATCAATCAGCGGACATCCTGGCATTAACATAATGATCGGAAACACAACCTGTTCCTCTTCCGCAATCTGTGCCCAAGCCATTTGCTTCTTTAAATGTTCCACGTGCTCCTCGAGGTCTTTCGCTTGCTCCAAATTCTGTAGAGAGGCTCTTTAGTCGGAATACATGAGTGCCGCAACATTTGGTCCTGACCTTCAAAGTGGTCTCGAGATCTTTCACCGAAGATTTCATTTCCGGTAAGACCTATCAGTATTACTTAGAGCTGACAAGAATCATTGCAAATTACGGGCAGGCACTGTACCTGTCGCTTGTGCTGCAACACATTCTCGATGGTGGAGACGCTCTCATTAATCATATAGTAATCAGCACTGAGCTGATTCAGCTGAGTGCCATTCATAAAGAACTGAATAAAGCATGAGACTCCGTCATCATGTGAAAAGGAGACAAAACATACGTACATTATACTTGTCCACGGACGTGCTGTTTGCAAGGAAGCTCCGGGCAGAATCTTGCGTTAATATGGTCATAGGGTTATTCGCCAGTATCTGCATGTGGTCACAAATGGCCACCAGCTCATCTCGCTTCGTAGAAATCGTTGCCCCTGAGATACAAATCGATATGAGATCAGGACGAAAGCCGACACCTGCGCATAGAGCCTTGCCTTGAGCTGACTTCAGTCTGTAGGTGCTTGAGCCCTCCCGAAGAATTTTTCGTTCGATGGTGATGGTATTGCCGTATTCGTGAGGTTTATACGCATCCTCGCCCTCGTTCCGTAAGGTCACACTCACGGAGCCTACTCTGGAAACAGGTTCAGTCGGTAACTCCATACCCACCAAAACGTTTATCCAAACATACTGGCTTCCTTCACGAAGGAATTCCTTCAAACTCCCCGCTCTGTTGGTAAACGTTGCTCTCCCTCCCAGGCATATAGCCAATGCCGTTAAGATGGCGCTCTTTCCACCTGCAGCACTGTTAGTGTTTCATTTTTCTCGGCATATGTCAGAAAGTTCCTTCCTTACTCCCGTTATGTCCAACAATGAAATTTATCTTGCGACCAAAGGATACGGCAAGGTATTTATGACACATGAAATTCACCAATTCGACGCGTGCGACGGTCCCGGTTCCGTCCAACTCCTGTAGAGTTTCTTATAGTCCATGATAGCTTTCAATGGTTCATATCAGAATACTTACACGCGCCCCATTCTTGGTAAAAATCTTTATAAACAAACTCCATTAGTGAGCCGCACAAAGACATTTGCAACCAGCACAAAGCCAGGAAGCAGGTTGCCAAGAAGTCAGGCAAAAACACCTCAAGCAGAAATATATACATACTTCTTCTATGACGCTTTCAGTGTCAGAGTTGGACGAAGCGCTGTCGTAATCTACATGGGATCGTCGTTTCTTCCGGCTACCACTATCGTTGACGGAAGGTCGGCGTTTTTTTCCTGCACTGGTACGTCCAGAATTACTATAGAGAGGACTTGACGGAGCTTCTGGAACACTCGACGGCGGATCGTCGTCTTCCATGTCCACCATAATGATTCAAATTGCGGTGGGAACCTGCTCAGGTTGACCTGTCAACTCGGACGAATGTCCGATCGCGCAGTTGCTGAATGACTCATTATGACACATTTCACGTGCAGGACCAAACTTTTAAGATCCTCCACAAGTGCCTTTCTGGCGGATTTGAGATTTGGTTTGGGAAAATGGAGGTAAAGCATGGGGGGACTTTCATATTCATGCTCCTGGGGTTATTTACTAAATAGTGGGTACAGGCATATGCTGCAGAACTTGAACAGCTTCTCAAGCAAATCAACAGCGGAGACACCGCGCGTTTGCAGTCGGTAATGACTGACAGCTTCGTTACTGCTTCTATTATGATGTCCATCGCTAAACATTTATCAGGCTACAGCAACCCTCAGCAGTCAGTACTACTCGAAGGTGATATGCATCCCGGCGCTGTTTGAAATTGCCTCCCGCCACCCAGACATTGGTGTGAGTACAAATAATTGTCACCTGTGAACATCGGTGATCTCGATAACTCAAGTCATTTCTGTAGCTTCGTCAACTTGCTGCCGTAGAGCTTCGAAAGCAAGTTAGGAAGCAAGGTGGTAACTGGTGGGAATCGTTGGAAGAACCTTACAGAAATCAAATCAAACAGCGATTGCTCGAGATCATTGTGGTTGAGCCCAGGTTTGAAGCGCATATGTAGTTTTCTCCTTTGCTATGGGAGCTGACTTGAGATTTCTATTGCCTAGCAAACCTGTGCGACACTCATTAGCACGCGTCATTTCTGAAGTTGCGAAGGTGGAGCTGTCCAAAGAGCGGTGGGGAGAACTCATTACTTTCCTCTACACATGTTGTCAGAGTCCAACTGCTGGCCACCGGGAAGTCGGTGTATATGTACTCGATACGCTGTTTGAAGTGATTGCGGATACGCTGACCGACCGTATTGCCGACCTCTTTCTGCTATTTTCCAAAACCTTGGCCGATCCCGATAGTCTTGAAGTTAGGGTGACGACTCTGATGGCTCTCGGAAAGATTGCAGACTTCATTGATCCGCAAGCACAGAATGAGATTAAAGCGTTTAGAGATCTTTTGCCTGGCATGGTCGCTGTGCTGCGTGACTGCCTTGCTCAAGGAGATGAGGATAGCGCAGTGAAGGGATTTGAAGTCTTTGACAATCTTCTCGTTATCGAAGCGCCGTTATTGTCTAGGCATATATCCGATCTCATTCAGTTTTTTGTGGGCATCGGTGCCAATAGAGCCTATGGAGGGACGGTTCGCGTGTCTGCCTTGTCGTTCTTGATGTGGAGCACCGTATACCAGAAAAATAAACTTGTGAAACTCAAGTTGATATCCCCGATCATTGGCAGTATCTTCCCTATCGCTGCGGAGCCAGAGCCAGAAGATGATGACGAAGACTCTCCAGGGCGCTTGGCCTTGCAAGTCATCAACTCGCTGTCAACAAACTTGCCACCACAGCAGGTGTTTCCCGATTGTATGCAGCTGATCGTCTCGTACATGCAGAATCCGGAGCCCACGGCCCGGAAGGCGGCGATGCTTGCCTTTGGGGTTCTTGTAGATGGTTGCGCCGATCATATGCGAAGCAAGATCAACGAACTACTTCCGTTGCTGTGTAATGGATTGCAGGATCCGGAGAATATTGTACGACGGGCCGCATGCATGGCTCTGGGATCTGTTGCAGAGGAACTCAGTGAGGAGATTGGCCAGCACCATGCGACACTCTTGCCATTGATTTTTAATCTGCTGAATGATCCAAGCGAGAAAGTGCAAAAGTCATCTACGAACGCACTTGACGCCATTTTGGAGGGTCTGGGCGACGATATTAACCAGTATCTCCCCGCTTTAATGGAGAAGCTCGTTTACTTGCTGGATAGTGGCAGTAATTCAGTCAAAGGCGTTGTCATTGCTTGTATTGGGTCTGCTGCTCATTCAGCAGGTGACAGCTTCCAGCCGTATTTCCCGCAAGTCATGGCACGGTTGCAGTCTTACATGGCTATCACAGACAAGGATGTGCTCGATCTACGGGGTCTTGCAACCGATACCGTTAGTGCAGTTGCTGAAGCCGTGGGGAAAGAGATCTTTAGGGTATGTTGCAAAATGGATTGGTATTGGAATTGAGGCATTAACTATACTGCGTATATCTCTAGCCCCATATGAACGCAACGATGAGTCAAGCAGTGCAAGGACTGGAACTCGACAACAACAGACTGCGCGAATGCAGTTATGTCTTCTTTTCCGTTATGGCTCGGGTGTTTGAGGTTTGTGTACACTGCAGAACTTCCCGTGACTGTTCTTATATTCATAGTGTCATTGCTTCACCATTACCCAGGAGGAATTTGCTCCCTTTTTAACCGTTATTGTACCGCAACTTCTCAAGTCTTGCAACGAGGAGGAGAAGAATCCAACTGAATGGAGTGGGGAAGCTGAAGATGATCAATCTATATCGTTGGATGACGAGGATGATGACCACTTCCCTGGGTTTAGTCTCAATAACGCCTTGGCAGAAGAAAAGGAAACCGCGGCAGATGCATTGGGACAAATTTTCGAGGCTTGTCGTAGTGCATTCATGCCCTACGTTCATGAGAGCGTAAACACTTTTGTCAAATTGCTTGGACACTACCATGAGAGCGTCCGCAAGTCGGCTGTGGGATCCCTCTTGTCGTTCTTGTTGACCTTTTATAAAATGTCGAATCCCCAAAAATGGGCACCTGGGACACCTTTACAGGTGCCGCTTCACGAGAATGTAGCTGGTCTCGCCAAAGCTTCCGCAGATGCTATCCTTAATATGTTGGATGATGAGGATGATCGGTAAGTTGGATCGATATGTGGGGTCCGGATTATGGACCACACATCTCATATTGACTATGGTGTAAAGGAGCGTCGTGGCGCAAGCATTCAACGAATATACCGAAGCTTTGAAAGAGATGGGCCCTGGAGCGTTGGCAGACAGAAAACAATCACTTGCGGAACTCGTTCTACTAGTGCTGCAAAAGGAACATAAATGTCAGCTTGACGTTGAGTTGGATGACGAAATGTCCGATGGCTCCGTGCTGCGTCGAGTCCCGCAGCGAGTGGAGGAGGACGATGAGCAAGCAGAATACGATGCTGTTCTCATTAACTCTGCTTGTGACCTCGTGGGAGCCATGGCAAATGCACTAGGAGCTGAATTTGCTGTATATTTCCAGCAATTATTCCCGCTGATTGCAAAGTACTACAAAAAGTCACGCCCGGTGTCAGATCGGAGCATGGCTACTGGGGTCTTGGCAGAATGCGCTATGGGATTGAAGAAAGGGGTCACACCATTCACCAACGAAATGTTACAAATTATGATCCGTGCGCTTGCAGACGAAGAGGAGGAAGTTCGAAGTAATGCAGCGTTTGGAGTGGGAGTGCTGCTTGAGCAGAGCGAGACGGATTTGACGAGGTGGGTTTAGACCACGTGAATAGCCGCCGAGTGCCTATGCTGATGGTGGCTTGTTTTGTTTCCAGTTTCTACCCCCAGATTCTACAGCTTCTCCGACCGCTATTCGAAGTTCAAGATGGTATCCCTAATATGGCAGATAATGCTGCAGGCGCTGTTTGTCGTATGATTGTGCGAAATCCGTCCGCTGTCCCCTTGGATCAAGTTCTCCCCGTGGTGATGCAACATCTTCCATTGAAGAAGGACTTTGAGGAGAATGAACCTGTCTTCCGATGTGTTCTGCAATTGCTTCAGAACAACAACTCTTACGTGAGTGGATAGAGGCTTCATCCCTTGTGTGATTGCTTTGGCTCATTAGACTGTTTGTCACAGCTCCTGGCAAACATGCCTGCACTCTTGAACGTCTTTGCTCAGGTTTTGAGCCCTCCTGAGAATCAGCTAAAGGATGCGACGCGTGCGGAAATCATTGGTCTTCTCAAAACTCTTCAAACCCACCACGCAGATTCGTTCCAAAATATGATTTCTGGCATGCAGAGTCAATATGCGACTGTGTTAATAAGCTTGCTGCAGTAGAGATTATGTAGATTAGCCTGGGCCCCCTCCCCCTCTTAGCGATTATTATACATTCTATCCCTCTTGTGTATTTGTAGTGACTATTTCATTCCTCATCATAGATATCTATTTCATGACATTTGGCCGGCCTCTGCCTCTCGTGCCCGTGATCCCCGTGACTGTTATCACGTGCCATAGTGCTTTGAACGTCAAGTGGCACTCCACAGGGCGCTAACAAGGGTTTTTAGCTCTGCATAGCATGCATTACCCAAAAGCCCCCCCTGAACGTACAAGCCGTTTTGTTTTGGAAGGCTTTAAAAAAGGTTTCCAAAAGGTTCAATACGTTGAGGGTAGCGCGTTCGTTCCTTGTATGATATGTGAGTAATGTCAACGCCTCTCTTGCATTGAACACTCTTTGCATGCCAGTGTCAGGTTCCCAATCGGAAGTTGGTGGGCTGTTTTTCTTTGGTAATTCCGTTTACCAATATCTACTTTTAACAAGGACCAAAAAAGTGTGTTAAAAGAAAGAGGCGTGACAGTGAGATGACGTTTGGGGGGTTTCGTAATGACCAGATATGTAGCGTAACAAGATAGCTATAGTGTGCTTTGTTTTAAACCCGCGCGCGCGCTTCCCAATGATCGCTCCAAGTTCGCCTTCCTTTGACCCTTTTTTTTTTACAAGTGGCAAACTGTTGCGTGGGCAGGGGCGTAAAAAAAGGTATTTCCAGTTACTTTATGCGCTGGTGTTTTGAGGATTTAACTCGTCACGAAATTCCAACACACAAGTTTGGGTTCTTTAAAAAGCTACTGCGTTCAGCTGTTCCTTTTGTTGCATGGCGTCAGCTGTTGGACTTGCTTGTTCGTAGTGGTTTCCGCTTATCTCTTTTCTGGTGATTGGTTACTTGTTTAAACCGGGTAATCCAAGTTCTGCTGTGCATTGTTGGGGTTTCCCTCTCCCTCAAAACCTCACACACACATCAGAACGCATTGGGAGCCCCATTATATACATATATATAATTTTTTTTTTCTTGTTACGTATCTCGTATTTCTTTGCGTTCGTTCAACATCTCCAAACACCACACAACAAGGGCACTACGCGCCAACCTCATACACCTGCTTGCTTTTTTATAACCCCCCCCCCCCCCCCCCCAAAGAAACCGAAAAAGACGCATCGTGCCCTATATTCCAATGTCATCGGTATGGCAGGCAGCCAACAGTGGGGACCTCGCCACCCTCCGTCGAGCTCTCGACGACGCTGAAAAACGTGGCAATATGGCTTTTCGAAAGGAGATGGAGTGGCAGGACGCTGTAGGCCGGACGCCGATCATCGAAGCTGCTAAATACAATCACGTTGCGTGTGTTCGGGAACTGTTGAAACGAGGTGCGAATGTGAGGCATACAGGTAAGTGTGAGTGGCTTAGTTTGGTGATGGTGGGATGACCATGCAGGATTCATGACATGATGATGAATGCCATTTGCATAGTGGATGGGGGGGTGCTTGCGAGTTGTCTTGCCTTGTTGCATTTCGCAGCTGTCGCTGCATTCATCGACCTTCTACTCTGCCAATGAGGAGCAGCAGATGGGCCATCTTGCAAACGCGTCATGGCACTGCCGGCAGTCGCCGCTCCCGCCCAACCCACACAAAAGCACAAAAGCAGCAGGGCGGGAAGAAAAGGAACTTGCGCCACTCTCGTCGTTCTCCCCCTCCTCTTCTACTTTGCTAGCTCACTCAGCCATTTGTAACTAGCTCTCCTCGGCACCGCAATGGATTACACGACGCATCCCGAAATCAAGGAACTCCTTGCACAGGCTGCTGGCCTAAAGAACATGGCGAACATTCCTACGACTTGGCATCCCCTTCCGCCAGCTGCTCCGCCTCCCGTGTTGAGTGAAAGGGAAGTGGATGGTGAGCGTATCCTCCTTCTTCAACAACAGCAACAGGAGAGAAGATTGAGTGGAAACGGTGGTGAGGTGCGTGGGTTATGCAGGTTTTGGCAAAAGGGAACATGTCGGTGAGTAGATATTGCTTGTATCTCACTGTTCCTCTTGAAAGTATTGATTGTTTTGAGGTTTTATAGCTATGGTGATACGTGCTGGTTTATCCATGAAGGACAACAGGGAGCGCCAACGTCGCCTTTGCAACAGAATGTGCAACAGAATGCCCAAGCTGCCTATTGTCGGTCTCGGGATTTGTGTTGGCCTCAGCATCTGCAACAACTCCAGCAGCAGCAACTACAGCAGTTGCACCAACAGCAACAACTGCCGTATCAAACACCCAATCATTCCCGGACCCAATCCGCCGGACAAGGCACCTTTTCCTCCTTCCACACTATCCCACTCTCCCGAAACTCGTCGCGGAGTGTATGCAGGTACTGGCTCCAAGGTATCTGCAATAGGGGCCCCGCATGCCGCTTCCTCCATGGCTCAGCGGCTCCAGCCGCCATTGGAGCCGCCGCCGCCGCCATTGCGGAACGTAACGCCCTAACAGCCGCACGACCTCGTCCTCGCCCCCGGTCGGCTCCCTACATTCAAACCCTTCCCCCGTCCATGGATGCCATGTCCACCCATCCTCAATTGACGCGACCCCGCCATTACTCCCACCCATCCCTCCTGCTCCCGAGTCTACCCACATCCACAGCAACGTACGAGTCCCTTCTCGAGTCCCTCCCGTCGTCATCTCCCATCCCGCCTCTAACGGAAGCCTCTTCTGTAGACTCTTTTGCTCTCCCGTTCGACTTGGATGAATATGACGATTACTCCGAGGCCGGATTGGAACTTGGTGGGCTGGATGAGAATCAAGTGTTGGGGCTTTTGGCTTCCTCTTTCCCCCCTTCTTCGGCTGCTTTGATTCCTTCTTTTGCGCCCGTGTCACCTCCTAGTGTCTCGAAACCGGGTTCGGGTGTGCCGCGTTCGAGTGTTCCGCGTTCTGAAAGCGAGAAATTGTGGAAGGAGGATATGTGGGGTGCCAGTGTTTTGAAAGCATTGGATCGGTTGGCGTTGTGAAAGTAGTGAATAGTGAGGGTTGTTTATTACCTTGGAGTAAAGGTTGAACGTGAAAGAAGGCAATGAAGAAAAAAAAACACACAAGTAAATTGGAAAAAGGAAGTGGCATTAAACAAAAAAGAGGTGGTGATGGGACTTCTTGGACGAGGCTTTCTGTGTAGAATTGTTTTGTTTTTTTTGTGTTTCTGTAGGATTGTATGCAGGTTGCTTTTTAGCCTTTTTGTTATTTTTTGTGTATACCCGGTTGAGGTAGAGTAGCTGTGAGTGGGGGAAGAGGTAGCGGAAATCAGAAAAAAACAAGGAAAAAAACTTTGATTGAACAATCGGGAAAGATGGAGGGGAGAAAACCACAAATGTAGAGTACGTTGACCCACCAGGGCTCACCAGTCAGGAGCTGCTGGAAATATGATATATTCTTTTGAAAAATGCAATATTGGAAAATATCCGCCCAGCAAAGGTCTTCAGCCATTGCTTGATTTTTGACTCAGCCATTTCTGATGAAGAGAGTTGATGGATTTTGGGTCTCGACAGCATTTCACACCATTTTGAATTGACGACGACAGCTGTTGAGAATCTCGTTTTTTTTTTTTTTTTTTGCGATTACTGGCTCAACCGTCCTCAAAACGTTCAACTCTCATTGCCTCCATTCGCATTTCCAACGTTTTATGTTCAAATGACTTTGAACGAATATTGAAAAGATCTCACACATTTTGCACAGCCACATCCGCTCAACTGACACTTGCTCTCAACTGGCATTCTACCTTCTTTTCCTTTGCCAAAACAAGGGATTTGCTACCACGTAGATGCACGCAACATGGCCAGCGCAGGCTCGGTCAGAGTCCCCCGTGCTGATGCATCGTCTGGAAAACCGGACGAACCTATAGGCACGCAGAATGGAGTAAACGTTCCATTGACATGGGAGGAGGAGTTGGCCGAGGACGAACCTCTTGTTCCGACACATAGAAAACCGCAGAGAGCGCCTTCTCCGCCTTTGGATAATCTCGTGCCTGATAGGTATGATGCTAGTGTATTATTGTCATTGTGCGTAGCACCCACCCACTCTGGTTCGTAGTGCGTCAGAGACGAGTGGTGCCACACATTCTACCTTTCCATCTCACAACACAAATGCGCACTCTAATGTACCCCACGCACCTCCCAGCACCAACGCCCTTTTCCCTCCCTCTCCGGGCCCGACACGCTCATCACACGACTCGGCCCGCACAGCCCGCGAGATCAACAACCTATCCGAAACAGCCATCCCAATTGGCGTGGCAACTGGAGAACGGAAGAGTGCCGAAGTGGATTTGATGAGACGGGATTGGACATGGGGTCCTAGGGGAAAGTTACGCATTGTCAACCAAGAGAATACTATGCAGGAAGAGGGAGAGAAGACTCCTATTGATGCGTCCTACCCGCGACCCATGTCATCTCAATCAAGCGGTCACAGTCCTTCTACAATATCTTCGTACTATGCACGACCGACAAGCGTATACAGGGAATATCTATCAGACACCCCTACTCCATCCATTACCACAACACAAACACTGCGAGATATCTCCCCCCTCCCGGCAATTCCACCCCCTGACGCATTGCAGCCGAGGGGAACAGTCGCAGGCGTATATTACCCTCCGCGACCGAGACCCAAGGTAGTCGATATTCGGCAACCGAGTAAGGGGGCAAAAAGCAATGTTGTTTTGAGGGCCAAGAGTCGGATGCGAAGGGTGTTGTTGGGTGGGAGCAAGAAGAAGAAGGAGGGGCAGAAAGTGACCGGGAAGAATCGGATGTCCGTGGCGTCCTCTGATCAATCTGGGAAGGTGGAATTCGTGAGTCCATCTGCGTCGTCGTCGCCTCGTGAAACTAGAGAGCAAGAGTTGCAAAAGCGGCCTACAGAACAGCCACAGCAGCAAGCGCTGCAGCAAGCGCAAATCCCGAATATGTCACCGAATTACACTACATCACCGCATCCTCATGACCCTGCCTTCCGAATGTGGACCGTCCGCCACCAACCCAGTAGCGGCGCCCCTCTCCTCGTCGTCAAGTCTCCTCTCCTAGGCGAGACACTTTCCAAGGAGCTCGGCCTCGAGTCCTTCAACTCTACCCAATCCGAAGGCCCCGAGCATATCCCCTCAAAATATGTACCACCTCCCAGTGAACAAGAACTGATCGTCAAAACCCGCATCTACAACCCACCACAGCATGGCCACTTACCGGACGTGAAGGACAACCGCCCGCGATCAATGGCTGGTGCTCAGAGTGGTGCCCAGAGCGAACCCGTTCGTGTTCTCACACATCTTGTTCCACTTGAGAATGGAAGTAGGTGGAGTTTACCGGCGCGGAAGGAATCGCTTTTAGACGAAGAGGAGAATGCGAATGTGGGTCATACCCCTACTACAGGTGTAAAGTACACTCCCATCCAAATCGATACGCGACGCTTTACGAGGGAATCAATGATCTCATCAACATCACAGACGGATACCGGTAACACCGCTGAACCGTTACATCGGTTGTCTGGTGGACGGATTGGGATGTATGCTTTGGTTGCATCTCCCACTCCGATGTCGCCGAGCCAAAGCGGACCGCAGGTGGTAGATGCTCCTCTTGTGGCGTCACAGACTGCAATGTTTCCCTGGCGTGAGCGGCCCCCACAGCCTAATGCACGTCCAATAAGAACGCATGGAATGGGTGCTGTATCGGCTGCTTCGATGGTGGAAAGTGAACGATTGGTGGCGGGCGAGACAAGTTCTCAGGGTGATATCCTTCCTTGTACAGACGCTGACGCTACCGCGCATCTACCTAGCGGGCTCTGGCAACTGCAAAGGCCTGTAGCCGCTGATGCATTGACCCGTCGAGATGAACGTGGTCTGGAAGACAAGCGGTTTGAGCCAGCTGAAACATCTTTGCCATTGACATCTTCGGATACATTGGCGGGGAGTGAGGCACCTGTGACTCCAGTCGCATCGGAGATACGGAACTCTACCGTACCTTCTCCGACCACGTATCCGGCGAATACTACCGATGGATTGACATACCCGGATGAACAGCGTTCAGAAGAGGAAGAGGAAGATGCAGAGGGGTTCGAGCGCACGGGCACTGTTTCACCTTCCATTGCTGGTGCACTAGCTGGGGAGGTATCCCCTGTGTTCATGCGAACCCTGACGTGGGCCCCACGTCTCCCATTACGCGTGGTCAATTCAAAAGAACCTTTGGATGAGGGAGGCACGGAAGAAAGGGAAGAACCTGTTCTTTCAGATATTCCAATGTGGCCAGCTCCACCTACTTTGGATTCCTCGCCCCCCGAGTCTGAACAATTTGAGTTCACCGCTCAACCGACCGATGCTGCCACTACCAAGGAAGCAGTCTCTGCAAGTCGATCAAGTGTCGCGCGTTTCAAATCGCGCGTACGCAGGGTGATGCATAGACATGGTGGTAGACGGAAACCCCCAACGAGCTCTGCTAGGCGGTTCACCTCCTCGGGTATGGCGGGAGTGCGTGCAACGGGGTCAGTTAAACGTTCGAACCAAGTAGGAGGTGAACAACCGGAACAGATGGCCATGCTACCACCTAGGACGGTATCGATGGTATTAGCCCCGGAAGAGGATGGCATGCCACCTGAATCGGAAGGTTCATCACCTAGTTTGTGTGGAATGTCTCGTCATAATCTTCCTTCGCCGCCGCCACCCCCTGTCCGTGTTGATTCGATGGTTTCGGAACAAGATGCTTTGGGGCCAGCAGTCGGAGGGCTGGATGTGCCTGAGCACGGAGCTCCTGGTATTGTGAATGAAGCGGCCACTAACCTCCCTGTGCGTCTTGAGTCGATGGTTTCGGAACAAGATGATTTGGTGCCAGCAATTCGAGGGCCGGATGTGCCGGAACACGGACCTCCTGGTATTGTGAATGAAGGGGTGCCTAGTACCCCTGTGCGTGCTGATCCTGATAGTGATCGGGCGGAGGAAAAAGTTTCTATGCCGTGTGATGCAGAAATCCAGGATCATGTCATGAAATATCATGAAGAGTTGAAGGAGAGTTTGGAGAGAAGACTACAAATTCAATTACCTGAACGGCTTGATTCCCGTGTTGCAGAGAGTTCCAGTACGCCAGGAGGACCATCATCGTTGAACCAAGTTGCATCATCTCCTCCCCACTCTCGACGCGACGCTCCTGCAAGTCCTTCCACACCCCGGCCCAACCCATCCCAAGACATTCCCGACCGCCCAAGTTTCGACAGTTTCAACTCTGGATCAACCGCAACCGTCGTCAATGTGTCAATCACACCCCGACGGGCAGCTTCTCCCGAGCAAATGCATGAGAAGCATGTTCCGGATGCGCACATGCCAGAGCCAGATACATCGCAGTCTACTGGTGCCGTGAAAGCGACAACAGAAGAAGAATGGAAAGCTGCCCAAGCGGATCTGTTGGAGCGGATTGCGAAGCATTTGGGTCGAGCTTCTATATCGACACCGACTGGATCACCAGAAAGTGAGAGAAGCCGAGTCCTCGTCGCTCGACCCATGTCGTTTGTCTCCCAACCCGCAACTTGGGTCTACACAACCAATGATCACATGTTGGACGATTTGTCGAGAATGGCCTCTGCGTCCTCAGCCCCGTCCCAACCACAGCATACTTGGTCGTATTCCTCATCTGGCTCGTTGTATGGGGGGTTTGAACCTTTGGCAAATTACGTTCCTGAATCGGCTTATGGGGAAGTCACGCCGTCGAGTGCCTCGGTCGAGTACCCGCCGCGAGCTGAATCGGTTGGACAAGGGAGTGGAATGCCCATGCAAGCGCCTCAGCACCCGTGGCCGAATGTACCACCCGTCTACGGTGGCAGAGTAGGTTCCGTGACGGGGTCTGTGACGGGGTCGACTGCGTCGGGGGATACCTTTGGATGCACGCACAGCGATGGCGGGGAGGCACCGAACGACGTTGCATGGCCTTTGCGAACCGCTTCGAGTGTAGATATGAGCCAAGAAGTACGTCCTGCGAGTGGAGTTGAGTATAGTGCGGATGCAATTCCTGTCATGTCCCAGCAACCCGCACGACCTCTGCGGCATCGGCCACCGACACCGGCCTGGCCGAAACCAGAGACATCCGTGCAAGCCAGCGTTTCATCCCGATCCAGTGTTACCGGAGAAATGGCGGAACATCCTCCTCAGAGATCCGCATCTCCCTGGTCGTTTGTTTCAGGCGCATCGGCCTACCTCACCCGCAGTGAACCCCAAGAACACATGGCACCTCTTGGACCGTATTCCCAAGATCCATACCGGGACATGACCTCCCTCCCACATGTCCCTCCTGTCCCACTCCCGTCCGTCAACACCCACCCCTGGCTCGACCAATCTATCCCTCCTGCAAGATTCAATCCCCCCCGCCCGTGGTCCCTACCTCCCAACCAAACCGATAAAAACATGGCAATCCCACCGCGGCATAGCATTCATTCTGGATTCAAAGTCTTGGGCGTTCAGCATGTTGCTGGGGTTTCTGGTGTCGATGATGCTGCAATTACCGGTGCGCCTTCCAAGAAGGGCAAGGAGAACAAGGGGAGGTGGAGTCGGGTGGTTGAAATTGTTAAAGGGCGATGATTGAGTAGACTTTTCGCTTTGGGGTATTTGATCAGAGTATATTTTTGGGGTGCGTGTGGGATATAAATGGTATTTCATTTTTTTTTTGTTTCTGATTATTATCATTTATTTGTCAGTGTTGAGTAATTTTGTTCTTTGTTGGATATTGTTAATAGAATTGACAGTACACTTTTTTTTTTACTCTGCCTTTTGGATTATATTTTGACTGGTTGCTTTGTTCATTTCGGGAACTTGGCCATTTTCGTGTTTGTCATTCTTGGTCGTTATAGACGTTGTCTGTCTCGGCCCCAGTTTATTATATATAAGGGGGGAACTACTATCGTTTGTCCTCAAATCAATATCGAAATGAAAATGCAGCCAGATGGCCAAAACTGGCGTGATAACCAAACATTAAAAATTGTAAACATTCATCGTCTTGTTTTCTGGCCAAGTTAATTCAGGGATGACAGACGTTTGGGAGACGAAAAAAAAGTTAGATATTAAAGTTGGATCATGTTTTGATCAAAGGTTCAAAGTTTTATAAGTTTTTTTTTTCCTGCTGTTCCCCCTGAATACGGGGGGTCCTATTCCCTGGAATGCCTTGCCCATATCATGAAATGGAGATGTTGGCCTACGCTACAAAGGAATCTGACGAGATGCTACAAATATCTCGTATTATATCTCTAACCTCTAGGCAGCGAGATCTCCCTTCTTTACTGACAGACACAGCCATCCTATTGACATTGGTGCATCGTAGCCGCGCAGGACAAGGACTTTGTATGGTAAACCGATACAATCGTGCAACGTTTACTGGTATTTAAACTTGCAATATGTTGGATGTGATTTTGACTTGGGTTTGTGCCGGCCGGACAGGGCATGCCATAGTGTTGGAGCAGACCACATGGTCGATCAATGTTGCTGCTTTCCCTGCGTTGTTCCCATAGGTGGAATGAAAAAGTACCCAAGGTGATTGTTATTCATCCTTTGAATTCCTTCCTTTATCTTCTAAAACTTTTGGGCCCTTCCTCTGAGAGGAGCGCTCGTCATCGGCCGTAGCTCAACAATCCTGGACCTCCGACAGGAGTAATACGTCGATTTTCCAAACGACGACCATTCAACGTGTTTCCGGTATCCGTTTTCGACCGAGTCGAGTTTACCGTCAAGTCCTGGGGCGCTTTCCACCTTCTCTTCTGGCCGACCATAGAAGGAAAAAGCTAGCGAGTCGGTGGGGAGTAAAGAATGGACGAGGGCTAGGGAGGTCGACTTTTTATAACCCTGGAGGACTGGGGGGTTTTTTTTTTTTTAGTTTTTCCAATTCGGAATTCTATGCAAAAGTTCTTTTGCGCATGTCATCCTTCTTCTCCAGTAAAAGCTCGTCTCTTTCACCGCCAGGCGGAATTTCTCGGGTGCTTACCATAGCTGAAGAAACAGTCTTCATCGCTAAACATTCACGAGCTCTTGAGCAGAGAGATCCGAAAAAGGATCAGATTTTCATTAAATGGAACATGATATTGGAAGCAGTTTTATGGATATGTCGTCGTACCAAAGAATCTGATAAACCATGTTTTCAAGAACTGTGTCATCTATTACCGCTAGCCAGCTACAATGCATCGTGCCATCATGCTGCAAGTGGTATTCCTTTGGATGCGAGGTGCGATCCCAAATATCATGAAGGTGCGCGAATCTGATCTCAAACGCGTTCGTGTACGTGATCCACTTCGTCTATTGCCCATCACCTTGAACTTTTATGGACCGATACAAAATCCTCGGCAAAGTACATCTCATCCCTTTAGCAAAACCTTGAACATGCCACTCACCATTCTCTATACAAACAAAAAACTACAGATAGGCGAAGGAGCCCACGGAGTAGTTCTCAAAGCCAAATCAATAGAAACAGGCCTAGTAGTCGCTCTCAAAAAAGTCCCACTGCGACGATTGGAAGATGGGATTCCGAATACGATTTTGAGAGAAATCAAGGCTTTGCAGGAGATTGATTATCAGAATGTACTGGTTTTCTCCCAATCTTATATAAACGCAATACTGTCGACTAAACGTAGGATTAGGTCGTCAAACTCCTTTCCGTGCACCCGTCTGGTCCCTCATTTGTCCTCGTCTTTGAGTACATGCTCTCAGACCTCTCCCACATCCTCCGCACAACACCCCTCACCTCCTCTCAAGTGAAAGCCTATATGCTCATGCTTCTGCGAGGGTTATCCTATTGTCATGAGAACAATATCATGCATAGGGACCTGAAACCTGCCAATCTCCTCATTTCGCCGACGGGAGTGCTTAAACTGGCGGATTTTGGGTTGGCGAGGGTTCATCGATATGCAGGCGAGGAGGTCCCCAAACGCCCGTATTCGCATCAAGTAGCGACCCGATGGTATAGAGCGCCCGAGTTGCTGTATGGAGCCAGGATGTATGATGCTGGAGTAGATTTGTGGGCTGTGGGGTGTATATTTGGGGAGCTATTGAACCATTCTCCATTATTCCCCGGTCAAAATGATATTGACCAGTTGTATTGTGTGTTGAGTATTTTGGGGACGCCGACCAAGGAGAGCTGGCCGGTGAGCACCGATGGAAACCGTTTGCAATTTCTCATTGTGTGTGCAATCTCATTTCTCAGTAAAATTAGGACCTGGAGACTTTGCCAGATTACAACAAGATTCAATTCCCAAATATGCCTGCTGTGGCATTGGAACGTGTATGCCCAGACGCATCTCAAGAGGCTGTAGGACTATTGAAAAAGTTTCTCGTGTATTCTTGCAAAAACCGTATCCCAGCAAAAGAGGTCAGCATTGCTAGTCACGGTTCGGTTCTACTCTACTGAGAATGCTAACACCAATATGGCATTGCTACAAACAGGCCCTGCTGGAACCCTACTTTTTCAATAAACCGCTGCCGGCCCATCACCTCGAGCTCCCCATCCCAGAACGAACAACCCAAGAACAATTCGATGTCGACAAATCGCTAGATCTGTCCGTATTTTTCCCACTCGGCGCCGGAGGAGGCGGTGGGGATGGTATAGTCGAAGATTGAGTTTCCAACGGGCCGACGAATAGGGAAGAGGGTAAATCTCCAGTCGCTGCAACATCTGCAATATTCAAGTACGCAACGAACCCCGTCTAGAACTTCCCAAACTTAAACCCCCCGCACTACTACTTCGTGTTAATATGTCTATAAACTGTTGTGCGTCCTTTTCCTGCTGCCCCCCCGCTTTCACCATCATTTGGACGTATTTCTGTGCTTGAGCTGTTGCAGCCGGAGTATTGGCCCGAAGAAGAGTATCGACGATACCAGTGTATCCGTACTTTGTGGTGGTTTTAGCAAACTGGTAGAGGGTGGACGGAAGGGTAGCATTAAATTCTGTACATGACACATATGAGTGAATAACTTTGCGGTTGCATCGCCGGGTTACCTTTTCTAGCCCGTCCCAGTTGCTGGACTAGAATTCGATAAATGTGAGATCAAGCAAATTACCCAAGTATCGACAGTAGCGCTCACCTGCACAAGCGCCTTAACCTTGAGCCACCAAAACCTGTGGCAAAGCCAGCAGATCAGCATTACACCATAGCATCTCCATGAATCCTTTGTGTGTACCTTTTCTCCGGCACCTTGAAATCCGCCTTGACCTTTGCGGCCCTATTCCCATGTCCTAAAATTAACAACTTTGATATCGTCTCGCTGATTGTTAGGTCCAAGAACGTGTGGGCGGTATCCCGTTCTAGGGTTGTTTGCAGATTCAAGAGTTTGACTTGATCATCGGTGGCCTGATTTAATTGTGAATATTAATATATGGCACTCAATGATGGGTAGACACTATTACCTTTGCTTCAAAGAGATGCTCTTTATCATCTTGATAGAGTTTTGTAGCAACCTTGAATTTATTGATGCGCTCTGTTATGTCCTAAGAACATGGCCACAGCTTCAGCTAAATTGCTCTCGACATCAATGTTTTTTCAACATGGACAGTGCAAAACTTACACCACTTTCATAACCTTCCACCACGACCGCATTCGCACTCTCGACCCTTCGATCATCCTGATAATAAAAGTCGCGCAAAAGCTGCCGGTCCTGTTCTCTACTGTAACATTCCAAAAGACTAGATGCGAGCGGCTTGCCGTTGATGATGCGGAAAAAATCCGCGGGCGGGAGTTTGCGCTTTAAATGAAGCATGACGAGGTAGACTGGTAGATCGACTCGCTTTAAGCCAAAACAATCATTGGTGACCACAAATTCCAGTGGACTTACCAAGATCGGTATCACCGCTTTCGATGGCTTTGATCATTGCAAGCTCGTCTTCCTGCATACTCATCAGGAGAGGTACTTGGTTTGCTGCTTGTGGTTCGTAATCTAGAAGCTGACAAACCAGTCTTGCAATGAGTCGTACGCTACCAAAAAGCTTTTTTCTGTGTACAAACCTTGGTGGCAAGCCTAGTCTGTCCAGTTTCATATGCGGTTTTGGCTACCTCCGTATATGAGATACCCGAATCTCGGCCCCCCAGCTTCTCTACAATCAAGCGGCAAAGTGTCTCTTCGTCGTCGACAGAAACTTTAATCTAAATTTCAAAGCATATAAGGCCAAGAGTCGCTCCCCGAGTTTTGCCACTCCTGCTCGTACTTTTGCGCAGGCCCAATGGATCAAAACTCTGTCCCGATTCATTCCCAAATACTCGCAAATGCGGAGCGCAAGCAAATGATGGTGTCGGTTGGTTAATCGGTTGATCAATACTTGAGGCGTTAATCGCATATATCTATGTAGGTTCATTTGCCGTTAGCTCCATCCCCGCATACGCAAAAAAAAAAAAAATCAAAAAACGTATTTAACGTACTGTGAGTAGGTGAGGGGTATGCCAATTTCGTAGTGTCTTACAGCGTTGAGGACGCGCAACGTCTGACACATGGTGACGAATCTGTTTGCATTATAAGAGTCCACAAAGCATTTACCAAAACTAGCCGCCTGAAAAATCTGGTATGTCAAGAGAATTTCGAGAAAATTATAATGTCAATTTATATCATACCCGAAGTAAAGCCCGTTGCCGTCCGGTATGCAACTCATGGCCAGCGGCCTCTATGCAGCTATCAACGGCTTCCGTTAGTTCGGGTTTGATGTTGCGAATGTTTTCGTCGGCGCGAGGGCTTTTTTTCTGAACACCAAACACCGCAACATGAGTCTTTTGAAAACCTCACACGGAATACTGACGATAGCGTATATAAACTAACGACTCTTGATACTAACCTCAAAATGCTCCAAGGCATCAAACAGAATCGCGCCAGGGGCAGTAGAACCAATCTTGAAAATGTCCTCAATCGCAGCTGGCGTTTGTACGAATTAATCTTCTGATCCACATCTGTACGTTTCATCCAAAGTTTGCACTGCGCTTACTTGGCACACGTTGCAGAAACTCGCATCTCTCGTCACTGATGATGCGGACGCCGTCAACTTCTGGTACCAGGTGCACGATCCCTTCATATGAATACCTGACTTTCATGTAAGCGATGCTGCGCACCATACGGCTAGCTTGTTTTAAACTTACTTGATCCAGTCTCCAAAAGGACCCACCATAAGCACTGTGTCCGGCCAATGAAGCACTACAGCATCTGTCCCGCACCTGAACGTATATGGTCACTTAAATGCCTGTGTCTTTGGAATCGGCTGGCACGTACCAGGTCATCTGCACCGGTGGCGTACTTGAATTGGTAGAAAACTCGGCAAGATTCTTTTGGAAGTCAGTGGAGACTACCCAAAGCCGTCCGTCTGTTGTGAACAGAGCCAAGAACTTTCCGTTAGGCGATACCGACATGCCACTGAATGGTCCTTGAGACAACATCTGGAGTGGACAAACGTGTTAAATAATCTGTTTTGGCAAGAGCAGCCGACGGTCTTTGTAGATCTCTGAATCTTTGCAACGAGCTGTACCTGATCTTGAACACTTGAGGCATCAACAACCATGACCGTGGCATTTACAGCAACGATGACTTCTAAATGTTTGCTCAACGTGAATTCTGGAGGTATGATGGTCCACGAATGTGGTGCCTGATGTAGACCTTCACAGTGGATTATCAGTGAGCAACGATTGCATATCTCCACACGTTGCCAAACGCAAGTAAACCAATGCCAATATCCTTTCTCATACGTACCAGGATCTGCTAGTTGCTTGGGCCTTGGTTCCTCCAAGTCTGTCACCGCTATCAGCTTATAGTTCCCAGTAAGAACCACCAGGCCCGTTTCCCACAATTGGCATTCTAGTACTCCATACTCTTTGGCGTCCTGAACAGAGCACAGCTACTGAGTACTGTATCCTCAGCCTCTTGGTCAATCAAACGCTTCACCTGTCCCAGTGAGAATTGAATAAACTCCCCGTGTATATCATACACTCTGACAGCGCCATACTCGAGAATGCATATCAAGTGTTCAGTGTTTGTCCATCCCATGCCCACGATTCGACCTTTATCCCACTGGTGACAATGCGTTGACATTAGAAACAGAACAGAGAGCGTTTCTGGGCTTTTAACGCATGGGAAGCTCACCTGGAATTGATTGATGAGCTTCCCAGAGGATGTGTAAATGTGCATAACCGGCTTTATTGTTTGATTTTGCAGCGATAGAATCTTTTTATCGTCTCGTATCATGGCTGAAAGCATCAGAATACAAGAGCATAAGGAAAAAAAACTTTAGGAAACAACAACGATAGCCACTTTTGTATTTATTACGTATTTCAATTCTCGTCCTTTTTCGCAGTATGAACCAATTTTACTAGCTACTGGCATCAAATGCCTTACCTATTGGACCGCCATAAGGAGCGGCAGCAACGATAAACTTGGAGAGGTCCATATCCTTCCAGAGCATGAGATAGGTTTCCTGCTTGCTACCGCCCTCATTTAGACAATGACACGTTCTCTTACCCGTGAGCAAAAGTGTAAAAGACCTACCAGTAGAACCTGTCATGGAGGAGATTCCAATCTGCCGTGGGAGAAAGGTTTCCTGCCAACATTGTGGTTGTGGGTGTGTCGCTTTACAGCAAGATGAGAATGGTATGCAAGACTCGTTAAATACGTTGCTTGACCAGCTCATTCCCCCCGCGCCACATTGTTGAGTCATGCATCCAGCAAGCCTTCAACTTTCATCTCCTGTCACCGCACACCTTGCTCTTCATTCCTTTTTGCTCATGACAAGTATGCATATCTCCTGCAAGGTGCAAGATTGTGCTCACTGGCAACAATCCACACGGTTGCAAATCAACTGCAAATCCACCAAGTGTGCAGGATTACATGAGGACACAAGAACACTATAAACTGTCCTCCCGCACGACTGCATCCTCGACTCCAAGCTGAAATCTCAAAGTCTAGTATACTTTTGTGAAGGGAAACTTGCTGGAATACACAGTATGGAAATACCCCATGGTATTGCATAGATGATGCACTCAACAAGCAGCTCTAAAGAGGCATAACGATCGAATTCAGTTGAAAGCAACTGCACACTGCCTAATGGCACAGCCATGCTATACACCAACTCCGCACAAAAGGCGATGGAACACCAAAAGTCACTCGTCTGTACGATTTGTCCGCTTTTTTGGATTTCAAACGACTTGTCACCTGGTTCAAGATGTAGCCAAGAAGCAACAACAAAAGCATGAGGGTTTCGGAAGAAACAAGAAGCGTTCTGGGCGGGCTGGGGATTGAAAGGTGTCTGCTAGCCTTCCTTTAGCGATCACGTCAAAAGACCTACTTTTGCCACGCCATTTGCTCAGTCTTTTTTTTGCCTCAGCAAATGCCACCAAATGGGCATTAAGCCCTTTTCCGCCGAGCCGACTCTTTCCAAAAAAAAGAAGAGGTTGTCGCCCCGCCATACTTGAAGTGTGCTTTTTTTGAGTCATGGCACTGTTGGACGGGTTAGATTTCCAATGAGTCTACTTTCAAATATTTCACATGCAACAAAACCCCCACACTCGTTTGTTCGTCATTGTGCCTTCCGATCGTTATTATAAAGTGTGTGTGTGTGGGGATGTTTTCATACACAATGTGCTGCATTGACTTTTCATAAAACAACATTTAACAAAGTACATGACATCACGTTACTCTTCTCCAATAAACTTGTTCTGGATGATTGCCTGTGTGCTACGCATACCATATTGTTGTGTGTGTGTGTGTGTGTAGGGATTCCAAGTGTTTGTTTTGAGAGTGTTTAAAACCAACGAAATAAAGCTTTTCTTGTACCTGTGTGTGTGTGTGTGTGTGTGTTCCAAGTACTTGAGGAGAGTAACAAAAGGTGAACAAGTGAAAGGTTACTACAAAGTGTGATATCAAAACACTTTGCTTTTACCACCAATTGTTGAAATGTTACCCGTCCTTGTCTCACTCCCGTTACCCCGGCTTTCTACATCCATCTACTCCTTCCTTCCTTCTTCCTCCTTCTCCTTCTTCTACCTCCTTTAAGGGGGGAGAGGCGAAGCAGCCCTTCCGCTTTCTTTGTTGTTTTAAACAACTCTTGAACACTCTACCCAAAATGCAAATGGGGAAGGAAGGAGGTTTTTTTGGTCCTTTTGGGAGACGAGATTTGAACCGAATCCCAAATATTCTTTTTTTCGTTTTTTTCAAACTTTCTAAACTCGCTTTTGACGAGTGAAACTCCCTGGGGTACAGCAAACATCTAGCTATTCGTTCCTTTTGCTTTAAACCTTTTTAGCCAAACAACGTCCCCAAGCTGAAAATCCTGATTTTCCGCCCACAGTGTTTGTCATATAAGCAAGCGCTGCTGGGGTGAAGAAGGAGCAGGTTTTTTAAGAGATTTCTGCTTATTCTCATCTTGGCCAGTGACAGCGACCCACACACAAAAAAAAAAATAATAAATCGAGCGAGGAGCTGGGAGACTGGACACTTGTGCGTTTTGACATGAAATGATGGAGGGCCTGCCAGATTTGCCAGCGTCTGACATTCACTCTGACGGAAATACACCGTACATGGAACCATTTTACAACACTTTCCACCCATTGCCGTACGGCGACTTTCGTCAACATGTAAGTGCTGCCGGCCGTCGTTCGATACCTATAGCTTTGCTTACTTTTTGTTCGCATCTTTACATCTGGGTTCCGACAGGCGTACAATCCGTTCTTTCACAAAACTCGTCGAAAGACGACCAAAATGCAACTGGAAGTCCTTGAAGCAAATTTCCGTGATAATACAAAACCAGATGCGGAAACCAGACAACTGCTAGCACGTCAATTGAACATGACGCCAAGAGGCGTGCAAATCTGGTTCCAAAACCGCCGTGCAAAGGAAAAGGCGGCGTTCAAGAAAACTGCAGAGTCCACAAAAGAACAGAGCTCGTCGCCAAATATGATGGAGAGTGGGTCCGATTCCGGTGGTGCGGTTTTTGATCCAGGCATCAAGACTTCTCCTCGCAGTGTGGAGGAAAGTCCTCCAAAGATTGGCTCACTCGGTCAGGTCCAGAGAACACCCCAGTTTGCCGTTGTGCCCCCTCCGTATGAGGGCGCCTATCAATTTCTGGACGATATCGCCGTACCTCCACATCAGGACTCGCTGCCATTCGACCTTGTCGCGGCCGCCTCTGGATTGATGCCACCCTTTGGGACAGTGGACACCAGTTTAGACGCTGTTGACATTGGTGAACGTGGTCTGGACACTAGCGGACGCCTGCCACCAAAGACGTCTATGCGCAATCGTGCTGTGTCAATGCCGGAACCATACAAGCCGTACGGCACCTATGAAGAGACGTTGGCTTCATCCTTACCAAAGGACGAGCAAGTGGACTCTCAACAGAGTGGCCTTCCATTCCATGGCACATCCCTAGAGTACGTCCCACAACCACAACAGTCAGCGTCTCACATTCCAGAAATCCGACATCCCTCACAATCACCCACTCGTCTGGCCGTCGTTGGCCATGGCCCGCCAAGCACGAATCGCCAGCGAAAACGTGCGCTCACCATAACCATCCCTGAACGCCCAACACCGGGACCTACTTCCACTTCCACTGCGCCCGCAGGAAGGATTGAGAGCACTCACGCACCTTACAGTGCCGGGGCTTACGCTCCAGTGTATCGACTACAGCATCCTTCACCATCAGTACTTTCCCCTCATTATTCCGGAGATACGCCCACTTGGAGTGGCGCACGTCGCGGATCGTGCCCACCAGAGTTCCTTGCCTCATTTATGAACATGACTATACCATCAACAGATGACGGCAGTACATCGCTAGAAACCCCTCAGCCCTCGCCGTCCTTGCAACCGATTATGGAGGACTGTACTTATGGACGGTCAAGCGAAATTGCTTATGCAAGTGCATCGCTTACGCCTCCGCAAACCTATGCGGACTGCGAAGCCAGTGTCGCTGTGGTTCCACAGTATCCCATGACGGCATACCCAAGATTTTACAACAAGGACATGGCATGCCTGGGCCCATGTTACGATTCTTACGGTCAGAAGCAGCTTCACATTCCCCAAGCGCTACAAGAAACACAGTCCAAGCCTGATGTACAACACTTTCAAAGGCTTAGAATGAATCGGCGGAGTTCTGAGCCAGTCAATATACTACGACAGCAGCACGTATTACGCGCTAATGCGGGTGCAGAGGTATCTAGCTGGGATTCTGTATACCCGGGATACACGATTGCGATGCCTGGAGTCCATAAAGGTTATAATTCTGCGGCATATTGGAGTCCGCAAACCGGACGACCGCCATCACAACGAACACTAGCATTTGAGAGCGGGCTGGAAGAGCCTCATATGTGTGTGGAAGAGAAAATGTTACTGAGTGGGATTAATGATTTTGACAATCTCAGTCCTGTGGTCGGGCAATCACCCACGATACCGTATCCGAGATCATTCCCTGTAGAGTTACCGAATGCTGTAGGAGAATTTGTAGAGCAGTAAAGCTTTTGTAACTAGGATGGAAGCGACTCAAGAGCGGACTGAACAGTTTCCTTTTGTTAGTGTTTTTCCTTTATATCTTCTCTGCTTCTACCGGACATTACCTCTTTGTAAATTGGACAGTACCAGGAATTGTACTTTGTATTTTTACTTTTAGTCTTAACCTTTTTCTTTTGTTCGATTTTTTACAAATGAGACTTTTGAATATATGTTTGAAGAAAGCATACAGTGTAATTCTTATGGTTTAATCTGAGGAACCACCTTCGGCCGCCACAGCGACCTTCTGCCGATGCCCGAAATGCTGAGAATTTTTAAATTCGGCGTATAGTGTGAACAGTACGTGAAGAGATTCGATGTAGGTGCGGCTTTCCTTGGGTTTCGACTTTTTTTCTTTAAAGACATGTACGGGTATGTCCACCATATTGCAGGCTAGTTGGGCATAGTCGCGCAAAGACAGGTCGATCTCGGCTGGTGGAACCCGAACCTATTATGATGTGCATGTGTGTGTGTTAGTGTGTGAATCCTGCAATATTGGCTGTTTGGAACAAACCTCTCCAGCATTGAAGCCTTCCTCGACCGCGTCAGGCCATTGAGCCATCAGCTTCTCGACATCCGGCATTCGCTTAAAGTACTCCACCTTATCCTGTGGCGTCTGCAAGTGAAGATTGTAAACATTTTGAATCCATTGCGACAAGGCTTTTTGCCCGTCGGGTGCTGATGTTCCCGGACCCAGTTGTATTGACCGGATTTTGGATGGTGTTAGTTTAGGGGTTGCGGATTCGCTCTTTTGAAGAGCACGAAGACGAAGGTCCAGGACTGGCCGATTTTAGGACGGTGAGTAACGTGTCTTTGTAAACATTTGTTCACTCGCACAAACATACCAGCCGGATCAGATTGCTGTATATTAGGTTCATCGAGCACTATTGCTCCCAATGACGACAGCTTTTGAGTATTCACTGGTTTAGATGGATCATCTGGATATCGCGATGGAGGCGGAATCTGCAGCAGCAAAAACATTGTTTAGATCCCATGAAAAAAAGGTCAAAATGAAATGCCTGCAAAACGTACTTTGATGATTGGATCAATGTCACCAATGGACGGCATGTAATCCAGGATAAAACATTTCAGCTCTGGGTTGAGTTCAAACGTTTGTGGTTCATATCCCGCAATATAAGTGAAAAGCTCTTCCAATTCTGTCTTGAGCGGACCGCCGGAGCTTGATACGGCGGAAGTCTCCGACGTTGAGCGGGTGGCCTCGGTAAAGATCATGTCTGTATTGCGCAAATGGTCGTCGTCCTGGTCTGTGGGTGGGTAGCCTAAACTATCGGAGCGTGGCGGCCATGGATGCTTTTCTTTCGGAAGGGGCTGCGGGTCTGCTAGCCCAAAAGTTGTCTGCCTATCATCTTGCATACGTTGAATGATAGCATCGGTGTTGGAATCCTGATATTCATCCTCTTCTTGGCGAAGCTGGGAACAAGATTGAGATATTATGACATACATTGGGGTAGAAGAAAATGTCCTTTACCGGTTGGTGCCGTTTTGCAGAGCGCCGCGCACTTTCGGGCCTCATGGCTCTACGTTGTGGAGGTGGTGACTCTGGTTGTGCTTGGATAGTGTCCTGTAGATACTGGGACGACCCTGTAGTCGACTTGGTATTTTTCGCCATGAGGGCGTTAAATTCTTCGTCACTATCGTCAGGATGATTATCCTCAGGATGCGTTGAGTAGAACGCTGTAGGTTCCGCATCAAGCCCCATGGAGTTTACATTCACATCTGACATCAGATTTGCGGAAAGGTTTGCTGACGCTGGCACACTTCCTTTCAATGCCGTTGCTCTTGCAGATGCCTGTACAATTTGCGTTTTTCATGTCAACTGGTGAGGATCTGGTTCAAAGGCCAAACGCTCTATTCACATTACCTCATCGACTGGTTCGGGTCTCTCCTCTGTCCTCAAGTCAGATAATCCACCGCTCCTGCTAATTGATTCACGTCGCGGTATACGACCCATAGCCAGATCGTTTTGGCTCATCATTTCGCGCGAAAGGCTGTTTTGTGTTGCGGCCAGAGGACTTGTTGAGCTGTCGACACCGATTTCGTTCAGCGCTCCTTCTGACTTGGTTGGCAGTTGTCTTCTCAATCCACTGTAGGGTCGTGTTGGAGGATCTAGTCCAGCTTCAAGATCGCTTTGCAACCTTAAAGGATCGGGAGCAAGTTCCAATGACTTCCGTTCAATCAGCAAAGAATCTTAAACCCCCATGCAGCGGCCAAGTTTTTGACCGATCACTTAACTCTCCCGGACTCACTTTCTTGCAAATTTTTCATCCTCTTCTATGGCAATTACTCGAGCCAAGAGCTCATCTTCTGATACTTGATCCTCCAGTTGACGCCTTCGCGCACTAGGAAGGCGGTTGACCCGTGATTGCATGTCTCTAGCAAGAGCTTCATCTGACTGTTCCATCCGTTGCTTGGATCGACTTGTCATAGGACGACCTCCAAGATCATCAGTTGACCGCCCGCGTGTAGATGTAACGGGACGTTTTCCCTTTTCCGTCCGTCTGGCATTATCACCTTGGTTGTGGAGCATCGTTCTCTCGAGTGCTTCAATGGCAGCGTCGACGTTATAGTCCACGCGTTGAAGCACTGCAGAGAGAATTTCTGGATCCACTAGAGGAAACTGTGCAACGAGACGAGCGAGCGAGAGCTGGTCCTCCTCTTCAGCCATTGTGGTTTACTACATCCAGCGTGCACCAAACGAACGGGCATTCGATCGCTTTGATCGGGCCCGATGCTGAGCTAAGCTGCCACGTGACGGAATGCAAGAAGAACTCGCATCTCTAGTTCCGAACATTTGTTGCTTGGCTCCTTGCTGGACGAAGGATGAAAGCAAGAAGTTGTCTTGGAGGACGAAAGGCTACCTCTCTTCTCCCTTGCAATAGGCAAAGGCCCTCGGGCTGCCTGCTTGCTGCAAGTCGTCATAGTCACCTAGGGCGGCAGTCGGTGCTTGCGCGACATGACAGAACTGTCATTCGCCCGTATACAGCCGTCGCCTCCTTGGCGCCAGTAACGGAAGGTGAGCGGCTACTCCATTACCAACCCAATGTTATATTTGCTCTAAAATCTGCTTCTGATAGCCTCTATAGCTTCTGAAGGTGGGCAAATGCGACGTTTGAAAAAGATGCAGACCTTGCTCTCGGCTGAGAACTATGATGGCGTTGTGCACGAATTCAAGCGGGCCGCTCACCGTGGAAATGTTTCCGAGGACTTTTTCGGAGTAGTATTAGAAGCATGTTCGAGATTGGGTGACTTGGAGACGGCCATGCGGTTACTGGAAACAATGAAGCTCAAAGGAATCCCGCTGTCAACTGACGTCTATACTACTCTGTTGAAGGCAGCTGCTAAAGGTCCAAATGCAGTTGAGAGAGTTGTGAGGCTTTTGACAATCTTGGAGAAGGAGGCAGGGGATGGATCGTCGCTTACAGAAAACAGTTACCTTGTCGTTGCAAAGACGTTGCTGATGTCGAATGAACGACGCTACGTGAAGGCAGCCCTCACAGTTCTAGAGCGCCTGCAGGGGAAGGTGGATAGTACCAAGATCCTGGGTCTGGAGATCTTGGTAAGTCGCTAGTGATACCATGCGTGCGAGATTGGGACTGAAAAAGCTGAGCACCTACTCTTCAAAAGGCTTTGGGTAACTTGGATGAAGTGGAAGAGCTTTCGTCAAGGATATCATCTGCACCCGACTCCGTGATCAGTTGTGATTTTTGGGCATATTGCACGATTGCTCTGCACCGATGTACCTCAGTAAAAGACCGCCATGAGAAATGTGTTTCCGCATATTCTGCTTTACTGCATGCGATAGACGCGCAGGCAAAAGAGCATACATTTTTCGACCCAGAGCGTCAAGACCTGATTGTCATGGCCACAAGAGCAGTTTTCGACTCCATCCAGACCGAGGGTAAGCTCGCCGAAGCGCTGACGATACGAAGGCAGGGCCAAGCAGTATTTCGTACCATGTTGATAACCCAGCGGCAGCGTGACCAGCTGTATAAAGAGCTGGACAGCGGGACGCTACGTGTACTGCGTGCGGCGTTGATTGAATCCCTAACGCGTAGAGAAGCCGCAACATCACGTCGTACACTGCACCAGGAGTGGACAACAATTGTGGATAATATGCGATATCGAAGGGTGCTCCAGGATGCAGATGCATGCTATGTGGTGTTGGATCTTCACATCCTTGCCAGCAAAGATGGTCTGTCTTCGATGGAGAATGCCACGCAATTGTTTGAGGACATGAAAAAAGAGGGACTGCGTCCGAATAGGGAAATATACAACTTGTTGATGCAAGGTTGGGCGTCAATGGAATCGTTGGATAGTGAGCACAGGCTGCGACAGGTTTTGCAAATCTTTGAAGCTCTACGGCGAGCCGGTCATATACCGGACGTGGGCTCATATACTGCGCTTTTTACCGCTTGTGCTCCGCTGAATGAAGAGATGACCCGCGACGTCACGTCGGGTCAAGCGGCGGCGGTTTTGGAATATGAACTACAAATGCTGAGAGAAGGCGTTGTTCATGATGCCAAAAGTACTCATGCTATCATTGATGCTCTCCTGGGACTTGGGCAATATGAGGAAGCGACACAGCGTTTCGTGGACATGCGACTGACCGGGATTCCAAGAGATCTGGAGTTGTACAATACCATGATTTGGAGATGCAGTTTGGAATCATCAGGAAGGGCGGCTTTGTTTGCAGTGAAGGATTTATGGTACACGATGCAGCGTGAGGAACATATCACCCCAGATCCGCGAACTTTTGAGGGTTTGATCCGCTGTTGCCAGAGACAGGGCGATGTCGTTTCAGCGCTTCGGTTGGTCGAAGATATGGGTGTCAGGGGCATTACTCCCGACATTATGATCTATCAGATAGTATTGGATATGATGGAGCCGTGGGGGGATTTAGTCGCTTGTGAACGAACTACTATATTGAAATGTATCGCTCAGAATGGCAAAGTTTAAGGGCAATGTAGTGTAGATATTTGATGAGGTCATGTTAAGGTTTAGATAATGGTAAAGATCTTGTATTTATTTTCTGTACAGTTTTTGACTAGATGGATAATCTGAAAATTTAGCTTTAAACCTTGTTCTACCGCCTGTAGTTTATGAAAACTCGTTTTTTTCACGAAAAACTATTTGAAATACGTGGAGGGTATGCAGGCATCAGTAGCAAATCAACTCGAATTCTTGGTATTGCCACGAATAGAGGCGGGGGGATTGTAGTTCTGATTCCTCATCATGAAAAAGATGAAGAGGAAGCCTGCAATGACCACCAGGAGTAACAATACCCAGCATTTGACTCGATGAAAGACTCGCATAGGACGACTATATTGCTGAAGGGTGGCCGCGCTAGGATAACACCATTCGCAAAGCGGCGAGTCGTCGATGATGACAACCGGCGGGGGAGTGTCCAAACCAGTATATTCTGGCATTTCAAAGAGTTTGACATCTTCTGATGTCACCGCATTCTGGCGAAAGATTGCTCGGATGCGCGATGATTCAAGGTAATCCGTATCTGTGGCAAAAAGTATGGCGTCGTAGAACGTAACTGGAGCATGGTTCTTTAATGGCGGATGGCTGCCCAATGTAGCAGAGGATTGGTGTGGAACATGATCAGCCAAAAGCTGGGTTGTTGAATCGCGAGCCGGGTTGACCGCTGACATCTTCTTATCCTTTTCGGAGGTTTGCTTGGTGGGTGAGGCGCCAATAAAAGAAACAGTATCATAAGGATCACCATCTTCGGTGACCCTATCCTCCCGCTCCTGATCCTGCCGAACCATCTGCAACCACTCCTCAAATGTTGGACTCAACCCGTCACCAGCAGCAGCCGCCGCAGAATTTACATAAGAGTACGCTCGTCTTCGCCCTTTCGGGGTAGGTGACACTTGTCGCAAATCTTCGGGAGAAATTGGCCTGGCAAACCTCGTCACACTCCCGACAGCAACCTGCATTCGGTTATTGCGACGGTGCCCGTGCATCTGCATTATCCCTGGAGGAGGTTTGGTCACGACACGTATATCAAGTGATGTTCCCCGCTGGTCGTCTACTGGGGTCATTTGACGGGCACCAAAGTCGAACGATTTTGAACCCATGGGGGATTTGGTAGGAGAGGGAGGTATGGTGATAATAAACTCTTGTGGCTCCGAACCACCAAGTGCTGGATACGCGCTACGTGGACCCAATGGCACGCCCTTTTTTGGCGATGGATATGGGCTTTTCAGACCCATAGTCATCAGGCTGAACTTTCGGGGTTGTGGCCCCGGTCCTGTTGCCTCTTCTTCTGTGATTTCGGTCACTGACGGGGCAACCATCGTCCAGGAAATCAATTTTCCCGCTTCCACATCTCGAACGCTGGGACTAGGGGGAGGAAGGACACCTGGAGATCCGGTGGGCGAAGCGGGGGGCCAGCTAGTTACAATGCTTGGGATCAGCCGCTTGTTGCGAGCAGGAGATGAGCGTCTAGTGCGTCTGGTCACCCCTGATTCGCTGATTGTTTGCATAGTCCCTCCTTCAACATCCTTATTCTCCTCTACAGCAGCTGTTGCCACGATAGAAGCTAAATCCTCCTCCTTTTTTTTATCCTTTTCCTTCTCTTGGGGTTTCGGATTTATTTGCCCCGGTTCGTTGTCCTTTCGAATTCGTAGCATAAAATATTGCACATCTCCGATGATATCGGTATTGGTCAAGGGGTTTAAAACGTGCAATCGATGTATCAGCTTTTTGCCTAGGTAAACTTGTGTCTGGAATAGGATTTTGTTGAGTTGAAAAGCACTATAATACGAATAAAAAGCCTGCGGGAAAATAATTGATTAGCAAGCTTCTCAGACCATGTGAAATGTTCTAAAGGGTAAATCATGTAGAGGAGATTCACCTTGCCCGGCTGTTTGATGTCCCAAGTCTGCACTCTTGCAATAATGAAAGATTTGCCACCTTTCGGTTCCAATTCATCATGTAGCTTGGCAAGGTCTCCAAATGTCTCCAAGCTGAATGAATCTTCATATTCTGCCAAAACAGAATCCAACACAGTGTTGCCTGAGCTATCCAGGAGTCTTATAACTTCTTCCCCCATGATGCTGATTTCTGCGGAATGTTGAGGCAAGAGCCGTGCAAGTGCAATGTGGGAGCTATGCGTGAGCAAACGGGGAGTGGGTTGGTTTCTTTGGGTGTGAGTATTTTTAGCTTGACATGTAAATAATTAGAATAGGAATCAAGATCCCCAAAAAAGCCACGACGCCAGCTATAAACCAAACCTGATATTTTGTTGACTACAGCATTCAATTAATCCCTAATCAAAGTAATTCTTAAAAAACGCGGGTATTTCTGGGGATACAGCGTAAATTCCATAATTGGCATATACAGCTTATCATGCACAATATACAAGAGTCCCTCATTTCACATATTCAGATTTCGCGACATCGACATCGACAGTCCGACACGGGACATTCTTGGTGCTTTTCAAACCATTGTAGCATATGCACCGCATGCCCACCATGTCGACAGGTTTGACACCACGTAAACCACAAATCAAAGCCAGATAGAGCAGATCCTGCAAACGGAAAAGCGTCAGAACTTGAACGGGAGATCGGTTACTGAGGAATAAGGTACCATCAGTGCCAGAAGAGGGCGACGGTTTATCCCTTCTCGAGAAGTACTGTAGATTCTCCGCTGCCGTTCCCAGATGCAAGAGACACAGCGCACAGCGCGGTAGAGGCTTCCGGCAGTTGGGGCAACTTGTGACCTAGTTTTCCCAAGATCAGATAATGGTTTCATCATTCTTAGATTGGATCACGTACCTTCTGTTTGCTAGACCCAATCATCAGAGTTCCGAGGGGATTTCCCGCAGCACCCGCCATGTGTGGATTGTTGCCGGGCATGACAGGCATTGGGGCAGCGCTTGACATAGCTGTCCCGGTGCTCCTCTTCACTGGAGATGCAAATAGCCCGTTCGCCACTGGTTGATTGCAAAAGTTACATCGCACGTAGATTTGAGGGGGCACGTTTGCATTATACGGCGTGCTCGGATGGGGAGTATGTGCAACAAACCCATCACCAGCTAGATGCCGTTGTCGAGCAATGTCGAAGCCGGCACGGATGCGATACAATTGCCATCGGTCGAGCAAGGTTCGATAGCTGAAGGTGGATGAGTTTTAAGCTTGAGATTTCAAAATTTCACGACCCTACTCACGTTTCGGCCCAATCATCCACCCGAGAGTCCAAAAACCGACCTGGCGCAACCATGCTCAGTAACAATGCGGCTGTTTGCACATCCCCTGTCTTATTTAGGTAGTGCTCCATGAGATCCACCCCAGCTGGTGTGAGTCCAGTAAGCGGCAGCCCGTTAATATCTCCCACCAAGACCATCTTGTTCGTCATTTTATTGATGTACGCAAGTAGCTACAACCCAAGGAATGAACTCATGTTACTGATGTGCGACCGAGGTTAATGGACACAGAACGACTTACGTCCTCATCGTTCAAAAAACGAAGCGCTATGCCTATGCGATCCTTCATCGAAAGACCTCGTTCCTGCAAAACAATACGCCAGTCACCATCCGAGGCGATGAGAGCAAACATAGATCGCAAATATGGATCTTTGAGATCGGAGCTAAGTGATCGGCACAAGTCCTGCCATAATTTTGAACCACTCTTGTTACTCGGGACGGTGGAATAACCTGCCAGTGCGGTGGCGACGAGCTTTAGGCGCTCATCTTTCGGCGGCAACATCATTAGAGAAAGTTACACTTAAGCGCAAAGCATCGAACTAACCTTTACTGGCGTTCAAAGCTTGAACCGCCCGTGTTAAGCTAGACGAATGGAACAAAGCCCATCCTGCCGCTTTCTCATACTCGCCCGCAGCTTCCATACTGCATTCGAGTCAGTTACGGCCCTTGATATGAGCTCTGAGCATAGTATTAGCAGACTTACTTCTGGAGAACCTGCTCCAGGGTTTCGTCCGCGCTTCCATCACCGTCGCTGCTATCATCTTTCACATGAAACTGCCATCCGCACATCAAAAGCGCAACAGTACGATGTGGGTTGGAATAGCTAATGAAGGGAACGAATGGTTCCGCAGATGGATCACTTGACATATTTGAAACGCTCGTCGCAGGGGAACTCGCTGTTGGAAATGTTCTTCGTAAGCTGGAAGCTGGTTTCCTATGTTACCTTTACGTCTCATTTAAAGCGGTACAATGTCCCCTCACCCGCAGGTGCCATCATATCTTGGATTACGGCTTGTATTCCTTGCCCCGAATAATCTATTCCGTTAATGCGCATTCGATCTTGTGCCGAATTCCGCTTCGCTCCTGAGAAATATGGCTTCAGCCTAACCGTTCTATTGATCACGATACAGGCCCCATGCTGTGAAGCATATAGAACTTACTGTGAACCCACGCCCAGAGTTCTCGCAGATCCCTGTCGTCTTCCGTGAGCAATCTGCCATTTTTCTCGGCCTTAAACAGCGTCGTCTCAGCAATGCCTGTCGCCGAGTCTTACAGTGGCTTATTAACAGTCCACTCACGTTCATCGAATATCCTGCTAGTGCGCGCTTTCTCATAACTACCGAAATGTCGTTGTGAAGGGCATGGACGCTACCCACATAAGATGCGTGGTCCAACCGTTTCGGAAAGTTTTCATATCCTGAAGACTGTCGTGATAGAAACAGCATTCCATCAATATCCTTCGCAAGTTCACTGACGCTGTTCGCTTGGCTTTGCAATGCACTCCCAACAGAAGCATCCGCGAGAAGCATTGTGATGGATTTTCCACCGGTGACAGCGAGATCGCCACGAGGAGATAAAGAGACCTTATAGGTCACGGGAAGACGAGTGATATCAAACTGCTGTTCCTTGGTATTCGTCGCCGTTACAACGTAGTGAGAGAAGTCATCTGACACAGGTACCGGAATCCAGGCAAATCCTTGAATATGTTGCGATGTTGGCCTCACTGAAGCGGCGAGATCGATTTGTTAGGTAGCCCACCGGATACTACCCTGCTCAACTACCTGAACTCACCTTGACGAGTCTTCCATAGGATAGGAATTGTGCTGTCATCTCCGGGGTTTAGATCCTGCGGACTCAACGTCCCGGGTACCACAGGATATTCTCCAACCCCGGGTGCAGCGGCTCCAGTACCATTACTGCCCAAAGTTCCTCCATTGCCTACAGAGCTACTATCAAAGCGCGGACCAGGACCATGGCCATCGCTGCCGACAGAGCCAGCACCGGCAACCGAAGGCGGCAGATGTGACTCTGCGAGCGCGTCACCGGCCGATGTCGTAGATGGTGCTTCACCTATCGGACTTGGCAGCTGGTGCGGTCCAGGTCCCTGTGACTGAGAAGGGACTCGAACTGAGCTACTGCGCGATATTGTCGAGCTGATGTAGTCTGTCGTTATTGTTTCTTGAATGTCCCATACTTTGAGAGCGGGTGAATCCTTTCCCACTGCTGCAAGACATCCTGAACGTATTGGAGACCAGGAGATCTGAGTGATACCAGTACGAAATTCTGCATTGAATGTTAGAGCGTGTGAACGTCAAGGTGTAATAAGCAGATCTCAGATGAGGAAGAAACAAATCAAAATAAAGTGATGAAGGATATTGGCTCCGTTGTATTGCGCGCGTCCCACAGGCGAATTATGTTGTCTTCGGCGAATGAAGCAAATCGATGGGCGTGAAAAGGATCTGTGGCAATACCAAGCACAGCTTTTGTAGGTATAACCAGACTGGGTGTGTTATTTCCAGCCGCTATCAGGAATTGTTATCATGAGACACCGGCGACCACACATTCTCCCCTTCCCTTCCCCAAAGAAGCCAGCAACTCACCTCGCAAATCATAGCCACGTATCCATTTTAACCCCATGCCGGCAACTAGGTGTGGTGAGGATTTGTAGAGCCATGCTGCTGACGATATCCCTTCCGAGGAACCATACTGGGCTACCGGTTTACTTGGAATCGGATTTCGGCTATATCAAAGGTAAACACATCACTATCTCTGAACATTAACAGTACAGCACAGGTTCGGTGTATGAAGTGCCCGCCTACCTCGTCGAAGTCGATGCACTCTTTCCAGATATCTCCGAGACATTTGATACTGAGATTTTACGGCTATCTGTAGCGGTAGGCTGTCTACTTTAGCATTTGGTCCGCCGTTGTCCGGAGATCCATCGTTGTCTGATCTGATAGCATACCCAAAACATTATCAATGTCTTGACCCAAGTGCGTGCCTGAAAACACGCTGCGGATTCCATCGGTTACAACTGCAGTGCTGGTTCCACCCAATCCACCTCGTCCCTCTACAATTCGATCTGCGCTTGGCTCAGTAGGCGTTCCAGCACCATTTAATCCCGAAGAGCTGGCCATCTCTGTATTCCATACAATCAATCCAAAGTCATTCCGAACTTTGTCCAGTCCAGCAACTAGCAAATGTGGATCAGTTGGACAAAATGCCACAACATTACAAGCGCGGGTGTGTCGGGGCATGAACTCTCCAAGAACTTTGGAGACGGGTGGGTTCGATGGCAGTTGAAGTAGTGAAGACGTGGAGGGATTTCGAGAAAGTACATGAGCGTTGGATGGCGTGCTTACAAAGTTGAAGGCCTGAATTGTGGTAAGAATCGTTCGGCCGGTTGTATAACCGACAGCTAATAGATCGCTGAACTCTGGATGAGGTGACCAGTCAAAACACTGGTGGAATAAACAAAGGTTAATTGAATTTCGTTCTAGCGGCTATCAACTCGCCAAAAGACAGGTATATGCAGCACAGATCTACCTTCATGTGGCTCACGTCCGTATTCACAGCAATCAAACGAATCGCTTCGTCACCCTCAAGTTCCTATAGTACAAAATCAATATAGCTGTATCAACAGCAGCTCATTCCAGTTGACTTACCGGGGACCATTCGTATAGACGAAGGTCATTTCCGCCAACCAGGAACAATCGCTGTCCGTCCAGAGGAGACCACACAATCCTGCAATTCGCAGACATTAGCGGTTTATAGTGGCGAAGAAAGTCAGTTTTCCAGTCAGACACCTCTTCATCCGGTTACTGATATTGGCACTCATAGCATTTTGGTATGGGAGAGCTTGGAATGTTTTCCTAGGAACTTTGCGTTGCGTTGCGTTTTAGCAATGTCGAGTTGGAAGTTGGGTGTGGTAAGTGTTGGTGAGTCAGGTCTGGATGTGACTGTAGACTTAGTCACGCGGGATTCGGCTTACGTGTGTGATTACCAAACGCGCCTGTGAACAATTGTTCACTACCGACCAAGCTTCCAGCTGGTCTGCATGATTTGTACAGCACACTTGAGATTGGCACGAAGCAATGTTCCTAAAGTCCAGTAACCTATCGGAAGTGATCGAAAAACCAGAGTCGCCTGAGGACGTTGGGTCCTTACAGAGCGCACATTTTCTGCCTCGCAAATCCGCATTGGGACATCAGCCGTCCATGGTTGCGACAGCTGGTTCAGGGTTATTGCAGCACATTGAGAGCAAATCAGCGCTAAGGAAGCAGCCTTCTGCAATAGCAGGCGCTGGATCGGGGATGTTCTCAGTCACAAAGTTGGACGCGCGGAAGTCAAGAGTGTCGCACTCGTTACTACCTGCCAGGATCCCGGGAAGCAGCAGCTTGCCACCCCCACCACGCAACTCACTCACCAGCTCTCAGTCGGGACCTGCTTTTGCAAGCGGCCTACTCCCAATATCTGGGGGCGCAGATGCCTTTACCACTAACCCATCCGCAGGGCCATCTCAAATTGGGAAATCACAAAGCAGACAATCTGTTGCAGAAGAAGGAGACACCCTCGTGGCTATACAGCCAATAGCAGAAGAAATACCGAAACATCCGCCTAGTGCTCGAAGATCCTCTGCACTTAAAGTTTTAGATGACGGAATGCCCGAACAGCTCGCACTGGCTGTAGCTGAGGCAGAAACAGAAGCAGAGCAGGAGCGTCTAGCTAATCTCGCACGCTCACGCGCCCCGAAGGGCACAACGTCCAGGCGAGGTAGCCTTGCTCCTTCCCAACGCGAGAGCGTTGAAAATAGTGGCCTATCTAGTGAACCTCATAGCGCGCGCCCTACCTCGCATTTACGGGCCATCGTTGAGCCTCATCCCAAAAAGCAGGCACTAAATCTAGACCGTCTTTATCTAAATGTCACCAGATCGACAGAGGAGCGACGAGGACCAGATCCGGGAACATATGACCCTTGGCCTCTGACCTGGCCGAGTAAGGAGAAAGTAAGATCGGACCGAAAAGCGTCGGGCAAACCAGAAAAAGATGACTGGACGAGAGCGCCTAGGAGATTCCCAAAATTGGGGAAGGTAAGTTAGGCTTTCTTGGGCCGCGCGGACATTAGATCCTCGTTAAGGAGCGATATAGAGTACCCTTGGTCCAGCTATATATGTGCCTCAGCATCGCGGCACGCGTGACTCCCGTCCTTCCAACAAAGCAAGCGTCGTGCTGCGAAGCCGTGTGGGTAGATTTCCAAGGACACAAGGGGGCGTTGACAATGCCAACGTGGCTCCAGGATCATATGCAGTAAGTCACTGTCTACTATCCGATGCCTGCCAGTTGATGACTCATGTCTCTTCGAATCTATACGATAGGTGGAACCCTGTCATATTGAGCATGGTACGGTGTACCATACGCCATATATTGATATCCTTGATAACTGAAACCCCATGTTGCATAAATAGGGTTTAAGCCCTGGATCATGCGTATTGGTCCGCATCTTGGGCGCATCCTTAGTGGTGAGGAGCACACTCCATGGGGTCCTCCTTTGAAGGTTGTACACGACTTCTCGGATGATCTTGAAGAGGTGACTACATTTTCAGAATCGCGCAAGCGAGTTGTTGTGAGTAGTAATGCGATGAACTGCCAGTACGCCTCCCGCTATTGGCATGTACTGACTTCAATCTTCAGAATGACAGAATCAAACGTGAAGAGTTGGTAACCGCCGCGACAGTAGGTACTAATGTTAATGCGAATGCTGTCCCTCCGTCTGCAGGAGATTCCAAACCGGCACATCCATTCAGTTTGGTATGTCCCGCTTTTTCGATATATTTGAATCCCTTATTCATTGTAACAATCATTCCAGGGATATCTGATTCGTCCAGTGCCAGTCCCACCTCCACTTCCTCCAACCGGTCTTCCCGCTGGAATACCTGGCTGATAGTCAGAAGTAGCTATCAACTAGACTAGGGTAGCTAGGATTGAGATAGACCTATAGATGGGGCTTCATATCTTACTGAGCCCGATGCTTGCAACTTGGTAACTTCAAGAAGTTCCCAAGATTCAAATGGGAGATGGAACAGGCCTCAGAAGTCCAGAAGTAGCTGAGCAATGACCTTTTCTAGGTGCGCAACACCGATTTGAACCGGAACTGCATCGTCGTCAAAGTCGTCTTTGCGTCCTTCTAACATCGCCTGCTTTCCGGCCTGCAGAAAGGCCTCTGTGATGCCATCAAATAAAGTACAAAGAGTCAGCATGTCAGTTGGAGAACAAAGAGCTGATTCTTTTCCCAGATGGCGACCTTGCACAAATAGGCGAAGGAACTCTGCCGAGAGTTGTAACGCTTCCTTGTTCACTAGAGCGGAGAGAAGACCCCAATGAGGTGCAGAATAATTAGATTTCATAAGAAAGTTTGTTTTTAAAGGTAAAGTCAATGCGGACTGCATATTCTAACCTTTAGTATTTGGGTCTCGGAATACGGTCTTGAAGATAGCCCCTACTGTCTCCTGCTCGTTGATGTTCCGACGGACAATTCATTAGAGAAAAAGCCACCACCAAGGTGATGTATAGCGCAGCTGAAAAGACCGACCGACTTAAAACTGGGACCTTGTCTTGGTTGAGCCATTGGGGACAACTCATCCAGGCAATGAGTAGAGTCTCACACTAGGGCTTCTCTTGATGACTAAGCGCGAGTGAGTCATCCACTGACTCCCCTTCTTGCGATCTGACACTGGGACATCTTCGATAAATTCCCAATTTGAGTAGACAGCAATGGTGCGTCCGTCTACCCACTGTGCGCCTTGAAATATCTCGCTTACACTGAGAATAGGATTTCTGGCCTTTTCAACCAGACGGGAACGGTCGCGATTATGAAGCTGAAGAGTTGGAAGAGCTTGAGAATGCTGAACTGGAAACAACCCCGTCGCAACAGCCCCGGATTGTGGTATGAATGGTGGTGACCTGGTTATTTATTCGAACTCTTGTGGACAATACTTCTTGTCATAGTGGGCACCGTCCTCGACACGCAAACTCAACTCTGAAAAGCAGCAGTTGAACGCGAGGATTCTACTTTTGGGATTCAATGGCGCGGGATCGCTGTTCTTACACGCCCAGTTTGAAAATAAGAAAGTCATAGGAGCTCTACTCCTTCCCGGTGCTGAGTTGGTAAAGTTCTGACTGTTGCCCTTTGCTGCTTAACGTGGGTTTTGAACCGGTTCATGACGGTCAGGACGGAAGATCGTTGGAAGAGAAGCCGTCTATACAGAACAAGGTAAGCTTTCCCGTCGTCTGTAATATCCGTCAACTTCTTCTTTGACTGCTTGATAGATGTGTCTCATTTACGAAATAGAGGATGACCCGTCTTGTTTGGTGGTAACGTGCCAGTATGATGTCCCAAAAGAACAGACTGCCGCCTGGGCTCATGTGCTATTAAATCATATTCAACCTGAGAGGTAACGATCAAATATTCTTTCGGCATGTACTACGCATATCTGATCATTTCAAACATAGGACAATTATATTTGATTCCATCACCATTCATGAATACAAGACTGCCAGCGAAGACTTGGCTCCTCCATTCTTGCGTAAACTCAAAACATCTGCGGCAGAAGAAGTATGCATATGGCATCTTTCCATATTCTCTGTCGTGTGAGCTGATCCAGCTCTTGTACGTTGGTTGTAGATCGATAACATTGCATATTTGGAACCAGCAAATATGCTCACTGGTTGTGGTGCGGCCATTCTAACTTTGGTATGTATCTCTGTGGGGACATGAGCATCCTAAAGGGGAGGTTACTGATCGCAATTCTTTGGTCCAACAAAGCTTGAGATACGTCATGCCAGAGCATGGATGTACGTCAGCCTTCTTGAGATGCAGCTAGGACGCTACGACGTGACAACCGACACGTTACAAGCATTTGAGCCTGTTATCAAGTCGCTATCAAGACAAGACTGGGTGAAGAGAGAGGGTTCACCCCAATATTCAAAGCTGATTAATATGTTTAGTAGAAAGGACGTAAACCATCTATACCTATAAATACATATGCATCTGCACCTATTCTAAAGAACACGTGGGGGTAATAATAACATACACACTTGCCATGCCGCTACAGCGACAAATCCACATCACTTGTCGGCTGATAAGCCAACAATGCCGGAAGCGGTGATTTCAAATTTGCAATTGGAGAGTGGTAGATGTGGCCCGAAGCAGACCGTCAGCGTTCTTGTGATGTTGCAGGCAGCGGTCTCCGAACCATTAGCGCAAACGATGTCACTCTCTGGAACTAATGTGTCTCTACGTGACATCTTTATCCGAGTGTTGACAATATTAGACCAAGCAAGTCCCAAAGTAGGCGTCACGGCATCTTCATTCGGATCTTTCTGAACACATGCTGTCACTCGTAAATACGGATCCCCGCCTTGAATCCCACCGACCGTTGCGTGCGATATAGTATCATTGAATATATCTGTAACTTGATTGACGCACACAACGGCTGCATTATATTCATGTGCAAGCTTCTTCAACGAGGCACCCAGTTCGAAAATTGCCTTCGCTCGAGCGGCCGCATCCCAAGAAGCTACATCCTCGTCTCCTCTAAAGTTGGCTGCTATGGAGTCCACTATAACGAGTCGAATATTATGTGTAAGCATCGCTGTAGCCAGATGATATGACAGAATATGTTGCTGGGTTTCATGATCACGAATGTGGACGATATGTACATTGTCGCTCATGTTCATGTTGGACAGCTGAGGAAATCGCTTTTTCATATGCTGCTCCAGTTGGGCGAAGCGGTTGATTGGAAAAGTTTGCTCCGTTGCGATGTAAAGAGCTCCTTTTATGCGGAGACTATCAATCTGAGTTGACGGTGCATCATCACAACCCTCTGGAAAACATTCGGAACGTACCTGACGCAAGCCCGCCCAGCTCCACAGGAAGTTGCGCCATAATGCACAACTGCAACATCAGTTGCGTCTTGCCAACAGCGCTCTTGCCATGAACTTCTGTGATGCTGCTTGTTAGTACGCCGCCTCTTAGGACGGCATCAATATATGGATCCCCCACAGACAGTCTATCATATTGCTGCCTTCGTTCTAGCAAAGCGGTCGACTTGCACAATACGCAGGAATAGACGGCTTCTGATAATATTGTAAGGGTGTCTTGGACATCACGCTGCTCGAGACTTGTCCGCGTAGCCAACTCGGTTGCCGACAGGTGTAACACCTGATCAATAGTGTCGAAACAGGCTTAAGAGGTAGAGATCTGCTAATGAGTAGCAGACCATGTAGCTTCGGTACTGGTTGAGCTAACCTCTTTTCAATGCGCGATAGATTCGTGGTGGAAGATCTACTTGCTCCAAATCCATTACGTGTCAAAAATACAAATGTCGTGAATTTACCACATTTGTTGTGAGATTATCATGACGATCAACATGCAAATGGGTCGCTTGCAGCCATCTGATGACTGGCGTCTTCTGCAGGAGCCACGTAACTGGTTGACTGTGTCCGAATGATGTCCGCCCGCGACTTGAAAAGCACGTGATGTGGCAAAGCCCCGTCGACACCGACACAGCTCAGATTCACACTCCAATCACGATCACCATCTTACTTTCGCACTGAACGTCACGAGCAACAATCGACTGTAACAGACGATCAGGATAAGCAGAACGCGGATAAATATACGAAGTAGAGGCCTGTGTAGCCATCTCCACGCCGAATCTTTCTGAATGGGGCCTTACCTCTCCCGGGAACCATGACGGGACGGTGGAGGCGAAGACGATCCCCTGGGCAACAAAGCACCACAACAGCACGCACCCCAGAGAACCAGACACCCATTACTACATGTTATAAAGGGACAAAAGTGGGTCGCATTTCAGCGTCCAAGAAAACGGCGCCTGTATCCGTCGCTATAAGTGCTCGGTCGGATCCGGTTTATAAACTTCCGTTGCCCAGGCGATCATCGCGGAAACCAACACGTTCATTAACTTCAAATGATGAGAAGATACCGCTCGATCGACCTCTATCGCGGTCTGTTTCACCAAACAGCCCTGCTAACGAGTCCCGGACTAGAAGTCGTGTGAACGAGCGGGCCAGTGCCCAGAATATACCCCAGGATCAGAAGGGTAACAAATCATCCGTACCTGAACTGACAAACGAGGAACAAACAGATACCAAGGGTAAGAAGAGAACTCGGGACCCTTCCTTTGCCGCACCGCGGAAAAAGCATCATACTGGGTCTACCTACCGGGAAGACCCAACAGGGCAGACAGTCAAGGCACCAATCAATGCGGAAACAGGATTGACCACGGCGCAGGACAATGGTTCCAATGCCATAGCGAACAATGCCGATAATCGACCTCTGTCGGCGGTCATTCATCCAGTGGAAGGAGCGTGCTTTGCAGCGGCTTCGACTTTATTGAAGACTCCTACTGGATACCGCAGTTTCCAGAGCACGCCAGACTCTTCACTGTCCCATTTGGATGATGTGGAGCAAATGGAGCCGGCGGTTATATATGGGGTGGATTCTTCCGGTAGGCAACGGAATGGATTCCAATCTCCAGGAGCCTACAGTCCGTTCCTCTTTGACAAGCTAGACCGCGATATTGAACAGCATCTTCATCAAGGAAATGATTCCTTGATTGAAGAGGAGCAACCTTTGAATAGTAATTGCGACCTGACCATGCGGACAGAGGACTTGCTGGAATTTCTGAACGACGACATAGATGGATTCAGTGACGGGGAGGATCTTGTATCCGCCCATAGGTCGGTCAAGACGCCAGAGAGTGAGACTGACCTGCTTAAGGAAGCACGTTGGCCCACGCACCAGTATACGGACGAATCAACCAAAGAGCCGAGAGTGGACACGACAGAAATAAACACCAGAGACGCATCGAATGTCACCACCCATGAGTCTCATGACGCAGGATTGTCCATTGACGATACATATCTGCAAGCTACCGATTTCCAGTATCAATCAGAGGATGGGATTTCGGATCCGAGATTACTTCTTGTAAGCACAGTCACCAGTGCAAGCCCTTTGATGCACATACAACTCACAGAACCCAATCTTCTTAGTCCAATAAAGCATATGGTATCCCGGAGTCAGTGCTGGGCGCATTTAAGGAACGCGGAATCACCTCGCTACTTCCCTGGCAGGTACGCATATGAACGCAACTGCGAGCGAGAGAACGACTGGGAGCATGCGACAAGGACTAACATTTCGCCTGTAGATGGAATGCTTACTGCAGGAAGGCGTTCTGGACGGGAAGAGAAATCTTCTGTACAGTGCGCCTACTTCTGCTGGGAAGAGCATGGTTGCAGATATTCTCATGCTGAATAAAGTCATCAAGACGAAGCGGAAAGCAATCATGATTGTGCCGTTTGTGGCAATCGCCAGTGAAAAGGTTGGCACAGCAAAGGTCTATTGCGCATGTAGCACATCACTAAACCTCTACAACCTAGACGCGGGAAATGCAAAAAATACTGGCCTCCGCGAGCCTTAACATTGTTGGATACTACAGCGATGTGGGATCGTCTTCATTCGATGATGTTGATATAGGTAAGCGTCTCTACTCCTGTGGTTATAGGAACATGTGTCGTCCTGACTTAAATATGTGGTCATGTAGCGTATTGCACAACAGAAAAAGTGAGAGACTTTTTGTCAGCGACCTTGTGGGATTCGACTGATACACGATTTGTCAAAAGGCAAATAGTCTGATTAACAAGCTACTCGAAGAGCGAAAACTTGACTCGTTAGGAATCGTGGTAGTCGACGAGCTACACATGGCCGGAGATCCTTCTCGCGGTTATTTGCTCGAACTACTCCTGACCAAACTGAAGTTCTTGATGAAAGATGATCTTCAGTTGGTTGGGATGTCCGCAACCCTTCCCAACCTTGACTTATTTCGTAAATATGCTCCATGTGCTGCAACGACGATGTACATAGGCATATCTCAGTGTGACTAATTTTAAAATGTTTATATTCAACGTAGAGGGTTGGCTCGATGCTCACTTGTATGTAACACACGATCGCCCAGTACCCTTGACTGAGCATATTAAGTATGCCCATCAAGTCTACGATGTGGCCGGTCGACCAATCCAGACGTTAAAGAAGAATCATCATCTCGATGCTGATATGTTAGGTTAGTCCTATGCGTTTCGGAAATTCTTCAAGCGACCGATGACTGAATGGGACTCAAGGGTCATTGGTGCAACCGGTCATTGATGATTCTGCATCCGTCCTAATTTTCTGCAGTTCCAAAAAGCATTGTGAAAGTACTGCTACATTTCTGGCGCAAATCCTCCGTGATGTCGGGGACGAGGAAACAAAGTTACAACGCTTAAACATTGTGCGGGAACTAGAACGAGCGACTCCGGCAAAGCCAGATGAGCTTCTGCCGAACCTGATAATGAAGGGAATCGCTTTCCATCACTCTGTATGGGCCTTCTCGTTCTCGGATGTATTGTGATGCCTTCTACTGGTGTTAACGGGATTGTGTAAAGGGCGTACTCACTCAAGAAAAGGAAATCATTGAAGATGCGTATCGGGCTGGAATCATTCGTGTCATGACATGCACCTCTACATTGGCCATGGGTGTGAATCTCCCAGCCCGTCGCGTAATATTCCGTGACATGGTAGGTTCCAGGCATCTGAGAGATCTTGAATGTACACGTTCGAAATGTTAATTCATCGTCTCCGCCTTCCTCAGAAAATTGGGAGAAATCATATAAGTGTCAGGGAATACCAGCAAATGAAAGGGCGAGCAGGAAGGAAGGGTCTGGATGCTTATGGCGAATGTTACCTCATGTGTGCACAGTCTGCGGATTTCCAAAGGGCACAACAGCTCGTTCAGGCGGGCCTCGACTGTGTCACGTCATGTCTAATGACGGAGCTGAAAGGAATGAAGAGGGCTTTGCTCGAAGTGATTGTTGCTGGGGTCGCCAACGTCGGTCCAGACTTTGAGGCATACTTGCAAGCGACCCTACTTTACGCCGAGATTGGAGTGTTCAATGAGGAGCTTCGGAAATGCATCGATGGAGCAATCTGCTTCTTATGTGATCATGCCTTTATTTTATGGAATCCTGGAGCAAAACGATTTGAAGCCACTAAACTGGGGATAGCAACAGTTGCGTCTGCACTCGCGCCTGAGGAGGCTCACATTGTATATCTTGAGTTGGACAGATCATCGGCAAATTTTGTTTTAAAGGACGAGGTAGGTTATTTGCATACTGATGTCAGTTTGAAATAGCATATATCTTGACTGTCGACCTGGTTACAAGCTGCATACCGTCTACCACGTCACCCCACCCTACATCCAAATCGAAGTTGACTGGAATCAGCTACGATCTCTCTACATGAATTTCACAGAGACGAGTTCGCATATTGCGCATCTTCTCGGCATTCAGGAGCATGTGTTATACAGCTCTGCGAGACGATCACGACTAACAATCACGGAACAGCGAACCTACAGCCGATTTTATACGGCCCTGGTTCTCAATGATCTGGTCCAGGAAAAACCCTTCGACGTCATCATGAAGAGGTTCCCCAATTTGACACGTGGCATGTTGCAAACCCTGCAGAATCAATCGGCTACCTTTGCTGGACAGGTCAAGATCTTCTGTGAGAAGATGGGATGGGATACTCTGGGCGTCATTGTAACCCATTTTCAAGCTCGTTTGAATTTTGGTGTTGCAAAGGACCTGGTGGATCTTGTCCAAGTTCCACATATTGGAGGTACGTACGTGTTCACCAACATTGGGTGAACTCATATTGAAGTGAATTACAGCCAGTCATGCCCGAAGCTTGTACAAAGCTGGGTATAAAAATGTTGCTTCTTTGGTATGTGGTATTTGTCTTATAAAACTCGACGATGACACCTCGTGGAAGAAACTTATAGACGCATTGCGCAGGCATGTGCATCGGTCGACGAGATTTTTGATGTATTGAATAAAGCTCTGCCGTTCCGGTTACGAAACCCGGATCACGCTGAAGGCAACCGGCGAATTCTGTATCGAGAGGCTCACATCATTCTGAATGGTGCCATTGAGATTGTGCAAACGCAGATCAAGGAGGCCGCTATGGAGGCTGAGAGGAAAAAGAAACTGCTGACCAGGGCCAGAGAGCTTCGAACACCGGCTTCATCTGGCACTAAGGTACATAGTTCAAGTCGTAAGTTGTCTTCGAACACGAGTCTCAACAGTTATCGGACCCTTGGACGTCTATAGAAGGCCCCGAAAATGTGTTCTCCAGAGACCTCGTCCCCACAATATCGTTCAAACCAACTCAGAGAAAGCAATTTTGCAGATACTATAAAAGAACAAAAGGGAGATCTTCCGGATAATGACAGAGATCAGCAGACGACCCCACCCGATCAAATTACAAAATCCGCTCTTTCCGACGAATTTTCAATTGTAAACGTTACGGAAACACAGGAACGCTTTGATATGTTTATCAAACAGTGGGGTGACCAACGAGAATACGTCTGGAACTCATATACTAGACCGTTTGATTCGAAGAGGAGATTAGCTGGACTGTCAATATGCTGGCAGCGCTCAGAGGTTTACTTCCTAGATCTTGTGGACGGAACCTTTAGCTGGGACAAGATTCGCATGGTGTTTGGGCAAAGGTCTACCAAGATCTGCTTTAACACAACAAAACAGCTCCAATATTTGATGCAAAACTGCGTGATACCTGCGGGGGACTTTGATGATCCGAAGGTTGCAGCATGGTGCTTGGAACCAGACTCCCCAGAACCGGATCTGAAGAAGATGTTCAACACGTACTTTCCAGGGCAGAGCTTCAGCGATGTCGGCCCCCCGGAGGCTGCATGTGCTCGAAAAGCCATCCAAACATACCTTTTGATGCAGACAATGCGCAAGCGATTGGACAATCAAGGCTTGTTGGACTATTATGAAAGGGTCGAGATGAAAATTGCCCCTATTCTCGCTCGAATGGAATATATCGGTCTTGGCTTTGTCCATCTTGAATTTCACAAATACTGGAAGGTCTTTACCGAAAAGCTGGAGGACCTCGAACAGCAGGCATACAAAGTGTCCGGTTACACGTTCAGCCTTACCAACCCAAATGAAGTTGCTGGGGTGCTATATGATAAACTTGAATTATCTTATGAAGAGACCATTGCCGGCACATCTCTTGGCTACATCGAGGCGAAGAAAACGGATAACGGCAAACCGATTTTGCGGAGTACCTGTAAAGAAGTTTTGTTGAAATTGGCAGCAAAGCATGAGTTTCCTCGCATCATCATGGAACATCGGAGGATATCCAAGCTTCTTGGTACGCATTTGGTTCCCTTGCGACATAACCAAATCATGAACCAGCATCTTGGTATGCCGAGAATACATTGTACATTTGATACCCACACGGTAGGGAGCAGCAATTTGATTTGTTTGATTCATCAGATTTGCCAATCATCATCACATCCATTATGCAGGCTACTGGTAGAATGGTCGCAAAGGATCCTAACCTGCAGGTAGGCTGCCAATTAGCGTCGTGTTGGAATCAGTCGTTAATCTGCAATTACTTTGCCTAGAATGTCCCACATCCCACAAAGGGACTAACTGAAGCTGGTCTAGACATTGATTCCGCTAATTTGCGAAACGCATTTCAAGCAGCAGAGGGCATGATGTTGGTGTCAGCAGATTATTCTCAAGTAGAATTGAGGCTAATTGGTAAGCTTGGCGCGGTTCTCCACAGTTGAATCACACTGATTCGAACACCGGGCGCCAGCTCACCTGTCGCAAGACAAGAATCTATTGGAGATCGTCAATAGCGGTGACGACTTTTTCAAACTCATGGCCAGTAAGCTTCACGGAAAGCCGCAGGAGCGCGTCACATATGAAGAGAGGGCTAGAGCAAAGGCCCTTTCATACGGAGGTACACGCAGATAAACGCATAATGCTCAAACTTTTCGGGTGTTTAACCGATTCCTCAGTCATGTACGGTAGAGGTGCGCGATCGCTTTCCGAAGAATTGGAAGTCGACCTAGCCGGCGCCGAAGCTTTCCTGCGTGAATTTCAAGCAGCCTACCCGGGTGTTCCCGCCTGGAAACAGCAAACTATTCAAAAGTGCCACGAGAAGGGATACGTTGAAACGATTCTGGGACGGCGCCGGTATTTGCCCGGTATTCATGAAAACAAACTCTCTGTCAGGTGCGTGGCTTTGTAACAGCTTTGGAGAACCAGGTGATGATTCTCATGAGCCACTATTAGGACTCATGCAGAGCGCCAGGCTATCAACACTACCGTGCAGGGATCAGCTGCAGATCTGGTAAGGCCTACATTCCCTGCATCTAGATTGCATTCTTAGAATTGACCGCTAATATTCCTTCGCGGGTCAGGTCAAAGTTGCTATGATCCATGTTGGTAAGTTTTGTTTTAGGCAATGCCACGGCCCAGGAATTGACCGTGCATCTTGTGGTAGACAAAGCATTTCGACATCGCGGTTGGGACTCTTGGATCAGCGATCCTGATAATGTCCGCAAGGTCCCTCATTTGGTTCTTCAAATTCATGACGAATTATTATTTGTGCGTTTTGCTTTGATTTGATATTGCTGGTCCAAATGCTTATATGCATTTTTTGTGTTCACTTTTAGGAGGTCCCAATGCATCTTGTTGACGAAGTCAAGGTAAGAAGGTCATTTCTCATGAGTCTGATGTACCTACTCTGATCATGCGTTTGACAGTCGATCATTGTTGACTGTATGAGCCATACGTTTGAACTGGATGTGCCATTGCCCGTTCGCATGAAGATGGGAAAGAAATGGGGTTCGTTAAAATAATAATTGTGTGTAGAATAATTTAATTCGTAATAGTCTATTGTTCCATATTTTTCTTTTGCATATATGCTCAGGCAGAAGCTCTTTCTACGATGGTCTGCTTAATGCGGTTAACTGGGATGACAGGAAATGCCCATGGTACCCAAACCAACAATTGTAAATACTATCACCGAAAAGGGTTAATTCTGTCTTTCGTTCAACTGGCCCACTGCTTCCCGAAGATATTTTTTCTCCTTTGAATAATGATAATTTAGCTGCAATTCGTCATACCGATGGATGCCAACACGGTCGCCCAAGAATCCCCCGACCAGATCCCGTATCTCTACTAGTTCGTGCCACCGTCTATTTAATGCTACTGCTATCGGAGCAGCGTCTACATCTACTTCCTGTTGTAACTTGCTGCATCTTTCACGAACGGCCTCGTCGCCCTCCGGATACGGATTGGTTGGCTCCTCAAACGCTTCATCTGGAGAGGGACCATCCATGTCAAGGACAATGACGGCTCGCAACGCCATCCAGGGACCATGTATGGGGTGTACGCACAGAAAACAGTTTGGATTACGATAGGCTGTGCCCGATAAATGACAAAGACGTTGGAAATGGACAAATTCCTTGCCGGTATTGTGCGGATATCGGATCAGATACTGTGTTTTGGATGGGACAGTATTCAGTAATGCAGATTCAATAGTTTTGGCTGCATAGTCGTCAAGGGGATTTGAGGTGCCTTTAAAGCTCACAAGATTAGACTGACAGCTTCAACAAATGCGAGGCAAATAAACGACGCGCACCTTCTAGTCGAGATGCCGGGTCTTGTGCCAGGTACGCAATGAACGGGTCCCAAATAGATTTGCTATTGTAGACGAGAATGGCTAGTGTGGAATGAGAGCGATCAAAGGTCGGTAGGGGATATGGAGAGCAGGCGGGATCATTATTGTATCCTGAACATTGACATCAGACAACAAGCACCTAGGAAGATAGTAATAACCAGTACAAACGTTGTACAGGGAATGGCTGGCTAACAGCAAGACCCGCCGGGGACAAGGCATTGGCCAAGCTCTTGACTAGTTGCTTGTAATTGCTCATGCCAATTTCAGTGAGGCAGATCGCAAACACAACAGCAAGTTTCTGATCTTGGGGTTATCTCGTAGACACGTGACCTGGAGTGTTCACCTGGTGACAAACCCCACACTCAACATGTATGTTTTTGATTCTACAAAGATGATGCCAATAAAGAATATGTAAATGTTCTTTCCAAAAGAAGATTGTTGCCAAGAGTCCATCATGTCTCCCGTGGCCATTTGGAGTTGAACGACGACGACGACGACGGCGGCACGACAGTCTCCTCCTCCCATTGCGCGGATTGGAAATTTCGAAATTTTTATTTCCTTTTCATTAGGTGGTTTCATCAATAATTGCAAGCGTTTCATCTGTTTATTCATCAGCTATATAAAGGATTCTGTTCATTTTAGTCTCGCCCCATTTTGCTACAAGAATCTTTACGATGATCAAGCGGATATTTTGGGGAGCAGCTGCAGCTGCAGTCGCACTTTTTCCATCTTTGACTAGCGGACATGCCATTCTACTTTTCCCCACATCTCGCCAGACGGGAACGCAAATGTCTTTCACTGATGTTGGAATCAAGATTGCCACTTTCCCCCCTACTGCTGCACAGCTGAATTCCTGCCTAGACTCAACACCCGTGGCTCCCCAGGAAGCATTTGTCGCCGGCAGCGATGTGACTGTCAAATGGAGCATTACAATCCCGCACCAGGTAGCTATTGGATGGAGTTATCGAGCCCCAATGTTCTACCTTGGTTGAACGACATTCATTCACAGAACCCACCTGGTGTGCGTGTTGCCGTGCAATATGATCCACAAAGCGACTTTATTGTCCTCCAGGATAACATTGATGTGAATGCTTTATGTAAGCACAAAGATGGACTTCCTTTCCATGAGACAGCATCTTACTTTTTTTGATGTAGCGGCTACACTGAGCCTTCCAGCGGACAAGAGCTCCGACACAGCAGTTCTCCAATGGCTCTGGGCTTCGCAGGAAGATGGTGCGTTTTCACTGTCGTGTGACTGATAACCTTTTAGGGGGGTTTTTTTTAATTGTTTGAAAATGTAGGAGGATTCTACATGGCTTGTAGCGATGTTATGATCAAACCTGCAGCGGCTGGGAATACTGGCTTATCACCGCAGGAGCCTGTCTCACCGTCTGCCGCAACTCCCGCTGGCTGCTGAACCCAGAGCAGTCCCAGTAGCCTCTATTGCACCTCCGGGTACAGCACCTTGACCCCGCCGTAAGTACCAAAGACAGGGCCAAAGAGCTATGGCAGCTCCCGTTTACTAGAGGAAAGGTACTTTTTGTACAGGTTCATTTGCCTTGTCCCTTTCAGTTGGGAGAAGTAGAAGTAGAACATGTAGCATTTTCATTGTACAGTTTTTTCAAAATTATTGAAAATATCATGCTTAAAGCGTGCTAAGCGCGATATGCTTGAACAGCAGCATTCTTGTGCGAAAGCCATTTCGCTTCCTGAATTGTGATTTCTTCTGGTTGCGATTTTGAGTCTTACACGACGTGCCGAACAACCACCTTGACACACAAGCACCCCACATTCTCTTCCGACTTTAGAACCTCCCGTTCCTCCGACCTTTCACGCGTAAACGGGTTGGTGATCGTCAACTGACAGCGTGCACACCGCCAGCATTTCGCGTGTTGCCTTTCTAGCGAACCCGGAGCGCCATGCTGAGCGGGTTTTTTATATTCAACGTGAAGGGAGAAGTGCTGATATCGCGACTGTATCGGCCTGACGTAAAGTGAGTTGTAGGCATGGGTGGGAGTGGCCGTAAGAGTAGAGGACACACTGGGAAACTGGCAAAACAACTCGGTGGGGCACAGGAAAGCAACCACGCCAGTGCCCAGTGCGGAAGCATGAAGTACACAAAGTACCTTGAATACGTTGGTCGGAATTGCACAGGAAATGAACAAGCGTTGCAATGTGTTTGAGGTTTATATACGTTGGCAAGAAAATAACGTTGGTCCCAAGGCGTTCTGTTGCAGATGTCTTCCGAATCCAAGTGGTATCCTCTACCGATGTCCGCTCGCCCATTACCACACTCGGAAGCATGTCATTCTTCCACGTTCGACACGAAAACATGTACCTTGTAGGCGTAACGAAGATTAACGCCAATGCTGCGCTGGTGTTTGAGTTTTTGTACAAAGTCGTCAACCTGGGACGAAGTTATTTTGGAAAGTTCGATGAAGACGCCGTGAAGAGCAATTTCACTTTGATATATGAGTTGTTGGATGGTAAAGTGCCGTCTCCACGTCCCTACTTTTGTTTCGTGATTCGAGGAAACGAGTGTTTTGCGTCTTGCTAACTTTTTTCTCTCTCCTAAAGAGATATGCGACTTTGGATTCCCCCAAAACACGGAGGCTGAAACGCTCAAACTCTATATAACAACGGAAGGCGTGCGATCAGAGAAAGCAATGGTCAGTTTTTTTGCTTGCATTTATGGACCAATGCGAGGATGATGGCTAATGCAACGCAACATTCCGTTTTTGACAGAAGGAGGAGGGGTCAAAGATTGCCATCCAGGCGACAGGCGCGGTGGCATGGCGCAGGCCAGATATAAAATACCGAAAGAACGAGGCCTTCGTTGATGTGGTGGAAAGTGTTAATCTCTTGATGAGTGCAAAAGGTACGTAAAGAAACCGGAATCAACTGGTTCTGACTGCCTTGGCTAACTTTACACCAGGAACTGTACTTCGAGCAGACGTTTCAGGCCAAATTTTGATGCGAGCATATCTGTCTGGGATGCCAGAGTGCAAGTTTGGTCTTAATGACAAGGTCTTGCTGGAAAAGGAAGGAAAGCTTGGTACCGCTACTGCAGCGATGCCAGGAGGCGGAAAACGATCTACCGGAGCGGTAGAGCTCGATGATTGTCAATTCCATCAATGTGTCAAGCTTGGAAATTTTGAAAGGGATAGGACGATAAACTTCATCCCGCCAGATGGCGAGTGCGAATTGATGAAGTATCGAACCACCGAGAACATTAACCTACCATTCCGAGTGCATGCAGTAGTAGTGGAACTGTCAAAGAATCGCATGGAATTCAAAGTATCAGTGCGATCCCAATTCACGGGCAAAATATTTGCGCAGAACGTGCAGCTCAAAATACCAGTGCCGACAAATACCAGTGGAGCAAAGTGCTTGGTAACTGCTGGAAAGGCAAAATACGTCGGGAGCGAAAATGCGCTCGTTTGGAAGTACGTGTTTTGTTCCCAGCATTTTGGACATGGTCACCCATATTAATTGGCATGATGATTAGAATATCACGATTCCAAGGGCAACAAGAATACCTACTCAGCGCGGAAGCCGAACTGACTCCAACTACTAATAAGAAGGCATGGTCGCGGCCACCGATCTCGATGGACTTTCAGGTGAGTGTGTGTTATTACGTTCTTCAGTGGCGCATACATACGCTGAAGCCATCATTTCACTTTTTAGGTCTTGATGTTCACGGCTTCCGGCCTCATGGTTCGGTTCTTGAAAATATTCGAAAAGAGCAATTACCCAAGTGTGAAATGGGTACGCTATATGACGAAACCTGGGACCTACCAGATTAGGGTAAGACGAACGCAATGTTTCCTTAGAATACAGTGACACTAACGCCCGCCCTGCACCGTAGTTTTAAGATCTTGCGGTTGGTACTGCAATATACAGTCGTACCCCAGCCGGGCTATGTACGGTACTATTGTGTCATCACAGTAGGCGTTATTGGAAAATCGTAGTTAAAATGATCATAAACAAACAGGATGGTTGCAGTTTATAATTTCAAATAATAAGCGGAAGTCACCTTCCCTAATTTGCCTCATGGCATGCATTGTATACAGAACACAACATTTTTATCTAAATAGACTAATAACAGATCTTACGGTTGATCGAGATCGCTCAGTTGGACTGGCTCTTCTCGCACAATTCAAACGGATCTGATTGGGGAAAATCTGGCGTTCATTCGAATAGGAATGGAGAGTAGATTTGAGTACCGCTTTCGCGATCATGTAAGACGTGGTGCCAAAAGGTACCTGCAATGGTTTCCAAGTTATCAGTCGGGTATGAGTGGGATACGGCAGTCATCGAGGCGAGGTATCCATTATTGAAGCTGCTGTCATCAAGTGGTAGGTGGAATGCTATAGGATTCGCCATAGGTTCTCCTTCTGCAGCACCAGCCACTCGATTTGGCGGCGATACTTGATTGAGTGATTCGGATACGTTGGGCGATGCGTCCCCGGCTGTTGATGGATGGGGACTGCCAGCCGTTCTTCTATCAAGCGCACTGTGCTCGAATGATGGGGATTTGATGGGGACAACAACGCTTGGAAGGGATACTTTCCCAGTTTCATGTAAAGGTGGATGAACTCCTTTATCCCCACTTTCTGAAGTTGATGAAATAGAAGAAATTGACAGTCGTGCTTTCTTTGTTGAGCTTTCCTTGCGTTTCTTCAGGGGGGTATATTTGTAGTCGGGATATCGGAGCATGTGTTCTTTGCGTCCCATTTCGGCTTTCTTGCGGTAATACTCTTTGACTGCTTCTGGCTCATTTCTCCACATTTCTCCAATAATGACTGAGATATCCTTGTTGTTTGCGCCTGCGTGTTTCGCGAGGACCTCGTGCTGCTTTTCCATGCGATCTGGTACACATCAATATGATAAGTAAGCGCGCATTCAGACGAATGCGTTTCAATACTTACACGTCATAAAGGAGTTTGCTGGGCGTGGTATTCGTTTAGGAGCAGCAGGCTTGGGATTTGTGGACACAAGGTATGATGGAAAGCCATATTGTGTTGTCGGAAATGAGGTTACGGGGTGGGGTGCAGAAGGGACCATTACGGGGGTATACCCTTCCGGCACCAAAACGAGCTGCTGTCCGGCAGTACTGTATACGTGCCGTGCGGGTAAGACTTGAGGTGCTCCCGGCTGGGGTACGAGAGGTCCTGGCTGTTGATACATTTGCATTGTGGGTAGCGTTTGCATCGGCGCTATGGACGCTGGGGCACCACCCGCCATATGACGCTGCACTTGTGCCATCATCATTGGGTCGTTTATAGAGTACCCCGTCATTGGTGGAGTCTGCTGGTATACTACTGCAGGCGTTGGCTGAAGAGCGGGTTCAGAAGATCGCAAGTAAGAATATGTGTTTGGGATGGTCACGAACGGCATAACTGCTCCGGCTGACCAAAATCGAAGGCGACTGTGGGAGATGGGTGTGTAATCAATTCGGTAATCTCGCACGCCAATGAGCAGTAATTAATTGAAAGGAGACAGGGAAGGAGTATGTGTTTAATCTGGTAAAATCTTACTGCGCTGCACTGCGCACGGCGTGTCCGTCTTGCGTACTATGGAGCACGTCTCCTTTAATGCATCAAAGGCATTAACGGGGCTATGTCTTGCTTTTATGTTCATACCAGCGGATGTCTCACGCAATTGGTACTGATGGCATGGTAAACATTGTGATTTAGGGTAGGGGTCGGAAGACAACTGGGACAGCTGCTGCGCGGCGGAACTACCGAGGGCGCACTTACCTAATCACACTATTGTTCTGGAGCCACGGCCGTGTTCTGATACCTGGGTCTCCCAGCTGTCCCGAAAGCCGCAGTTGCGTCTGGGGAACTATGGTGCCCGTAACCGGAAACGTCAGTCGTTCCCCACGAGGAATATGCTGCTATACAAGTGATGGGCGTTGTCATCTCCTTGCATGCTTCTACCAAGAAATCGGAACCAACGAGACTGAACACGAGGGATGTTTATGCCCTTCAATTGAATTGTGCTAGAAGAATGGTTCCAAAGGGGTCTTCAGGCGTCAACTCTGCAAAGGCAAAGAGGGTTCCGTTTGTCATTCACGAAAAAACCGGAGAGCGGGACGATTATGCTTTTTGAGCTGCAAAGTTCGATATCAAGGACTTAAGGACCACTTTGTTTTAATGAACTGAAGGAGATCCAAAGACCTGGAATTCTTGTTCTACTTGTCGCTGTCGTGTTGGATAATCATATTAATCATATTCGCATTGGCCCCAGGGTCCAGGTTTCTGAACGTTCGGAGACGTCATGCATTCAGGCCGAGACATACTGACTGAAATTGGAAGCACCGGAGTTCATCCGGTTGGCGGTGTTTAACCCTGATAAGCAGTCGCTAATGCTTACGTGCATATCACCTAAAACGTATCAACGCGCAATACGGAACGCGATGGTAGCTTTCTCCTAAATCAGACAAGCAGGTCCAGCACAAGGGTCACATATCTAGCTAGTTTGACAGACTTGTATCAGATATGCACATCTTGTCGCACCATTCATCCAAAATATAAAACCATTAGGCACAAATAAATTAAGAAAAAAAAAGACATCAGGTCTACTGTCGGGGAAATGGATGTTTTCCGACAGTGGAGGAAGGCAGTGATTTGACATCCACGGCTATATCTGCTGGTAAGTCTTGACAAAAGACGAGATAAATTCCGAAAGTGGGAATGAGGTATAAAAGAAAGTGACAATACCAGTTTTGCCTGGGGGATATATCGCTTGCAATGAGATGGTGAAAATAATTCAGACGCGCATCATAATATCAAATATCGCCCAAGTTGAAATCTTTCAGATCTAGCTTGCAATCCAATGTAAGACGTCGTGATAGAAGAGTATATTAGTCAGTGGGTGACCGTAATACCCGACAGGCAAAAAGGAAAATGCATCTTTATTTGAAGTCCGATCATAATCCTTCTTCGAGGAATATCTTGTCCTCATGCTTCGTGAGCACTGACAAGTGCAGGATATTCCCAGCATGGCCGAAGCTTCCCTTGCCGACAGAGGTCGTATGCAATCCATGACGTTTGCTCATAGTACGAATCAATCGACGGGTCCATTGAATAAACGAAGCCTTAGCTTGCCTTCCTTAAAATTGGGCAACGATGGTGGTCCAAAGGCAGGGACGAACACATTACGTGTTTTGAAGACGAGAGGATGGGTTCCACTTATGATAGCAGCTTTGGAAGGGGAGGCGCCCAAAAAATCTGGGTCGGAGCCCACGCCAGGGCGACTGGCTCAAAGCACTTATCCAGAGAGCGAGCTCTTATCAACCGGACACAGTCAACAAAACCTACCTAGCAAACGGCCTCCAGGTCGATCGAAGGTTACAGAATACGGTGCAGCTTTTTCAGCTAGGATTCCAGAAGTAAACAGCCCGGAAGATAGGTCAGCTGGAACTAAGGAATCTTCAAGGAAATCTAATTATGAGGCATCCACGAAGTACAGTTCATCGGCTCTGCAAAATCGATCTTCGCCGAGGGCATTTCAAGCTGCAGGTGAGCGATCCATGAACACCAGAGTCAGATCGGCATCCTATTCGCAAGAAACCAGAAGCCAGCAGACGAGAGATTTTAATTCGGCACATTCGACGTCCCAAGCATCAGATATTAATTTTGGACAAGATGCAAAGAGTTTGGCAGATGCGATATCAAGAGGCGATGCGGGCAATACTCCTCAGCACGCAGCAATGATCGTTTCAGCTGCCAATCATCTCTTGGAAGCTGCAAACAAAGAGATACAGAGTAATAACGACCCACGATATCAAGCTGAGATGAAAAGATTGATAACTGAAGTTAAGCAAAGTAAGACAATTCGTTCAGGTTAGCATGGCAGATTGCCCAATTTAGTGATATATCCTGCAGTTCTTCCCGAGTTTCGTTCAAAGGCCTGGATATCGCTAGGATCGGGCAATGCACCTCCCTTAGAGACTGCTATGGAGGTCCTTGGTATACTTAATACAGTGACATCCAGGCTCACAGATCTTGGGAACTTCATGAAACACAATCCTAGTCAAAATCCTGCGAAGGATGTACGGCCTTCTTACGGCCAAGTGAATGAGTCTGTGTTGGATACTCGACGAAATTTGAAGCCAGAATCGCTTCATTTATCAGTATGTATGGCTTTCCTAACTAGATTGGAATCTTGCAGCTGATTTATGGAATTGCTTATAGTCGCAGGAAAGCCAAGAAGCTACCCCGAATTTGAGTGCCAAAGGGCCGATAAAGCCCCACTACCAATCATCTGAGATGCTGCATAAATTCTCAATCGCAAATCCCCCCAAATCAAGCTCCACGAAGGAGGAAGATTCACTGCACATGAGAAGATTATCTGAAATGGACAATAACGAATCGCCGTATGTATCTGCTCCTGAAATCCCGTTAGTAGACGAAACCTTGCAGGCGACAACGGTGGAAGCTGCAACGATGTTTGCAAAGCCTGAAAATAGATCCCAAAATCCGAAGCAGGTACGCGATGAGACTGTATATGCTCCTCTGGCAGGAATTTTAAGTTGTTTATCTAGGCAAGTTTACCACCTACTACCTCCTCGGAATCTTCTTTTGCCAGCAAGAAACATGCCGTTTCTCCACTACAAGAAGCCACCACAAGAAATCCACTCCAGCAGGGCAACCCGAGCACCAGAAGGTCACATGCAAGACAACCTTCCGATGTCATGCAAGATATTCCAATAACTAAGAACTACCAACCTTGGATAAGAGAACCGACAGACAAGACACCCGGTTCTGCACACCAAAGTATCGCTTCCGGAAATACTGGAGTAGCTACAGATGTAGATAACGCTTGGGTTGAGGAAGTGCAACCCTTGCAAGATTCTCTTGTATGGCGACCACAGACTGGATCGCTACCTAGCGATGGCGCGGTCGAAACCGGTGAGTTTTCAATGACGGGAAACACGAGTCCAGCAGAGAACATCGGTGTGAACTCGCAGAATCAGCAAGTTCTAGTGAGGAACAGATTTCATTCCCCTCTGGATGAACCTTCAAGTATCGAAACCGAACCATTGATGGATGCTGGATTGCGACTACGGTCGCAAAGAAGGTTGGAATATAATAGCATCCTTCCTGATGCATCTACCAGCATTCAAACTGCGGGCATTGGGCAGATTCAACCAGATAGGGCCGCTCCATTCGACTCTCAAACTTCAACAAGCAACGCACATATAAAAATGAAGTCTCAAGCAGAAGCAGCACCATTAATTCCGTACAACCGTACCTCCAAAGTATCCGGCGCGGCAATAGCTGGGACAGACACCGTTGCAGAAGCTATTGGAAAAATTCCCAACCCACCTGTTAACAGCGGACCTATTTTTGTGGTCAACTGGGCTCCGGGAGGAGACCTCCCATCCGCACAAGATGTGTCCGCGGAACAGGGAACAGTCGCAATTCGCCCCCAGCAGCATGTAGCAAAATTAGCAGCAGAGCAGTCAGAATTGGTAAAGCCATCAAAAGCCAAGCATATCACGGAGGATTTCGGTACAACACCGGCTGCAGAGTCTAGTCTGGCAGGCGGAGAGGTAGTTCCACAGGCAGCCGTGTCAGGAGGGAGCAATACCGTTATCGTAAAAAACAACCCTGTGGATGCCCAAGCACCAGTGGTTCAGCAGAATTTGCATTCTCAACAGCAAAATGAAACAGAAGGTGAATCGGCTACCGTTGAAGTTTACGATGTTTATGGCACTCGAAAACGACTTCGATTTTGTCCCTGGATATCTTGGCGAAGCGACGGTGGTGGGGGAAGCCGAAGGCGAAATCGCAGCGGACCTTGTGCGGCCTGCTGCTCCTGCAGAACCCTTTGTAAGGGAGTGTGTGGAACATTGTTATTAGGGTTCTTGGTCCTGCTTTTCTTGACGAATCTAGTGATTCTGAACGTCTCCGTGGTTCGAGATACCATTAATATGAAGAGCGCCCTGGCGAATATCGTTATTCCACCGGATGGTGGATCTACAACTATCCGGACCTCGTCCACCACCACCCGAAGCTCTTCTGCCGCGGTCTCAATTACATTATCAAGTATGTTACCCAGCGATATTCCAATTATCAGCGCGCACCTATCAGAGAGCACGACCATTTCTTCCACCAGTTCCCTTACTAGTTCCATGTCTTGGACCTCGTCGAACATAATTTTGAGCACTTCTTCTATTTCTTCGCCGTTGAGTCTTACAGAAACCGCTTCCACGTCGCTCTCTGGAAGCCAGTCATCAACCTGGAGTGCAGTGGCAAGCACAAGCACAACTTCGAGTACTACCTTATCAAGTTTTTCGCAGTCAAGCTCGAATGTGGTAGCCAGCTCAAGCTTGTTGTCAACCTTCGACTCATCTACAAGTATGCTGAGCGCCACGACATCACAGAGTGCCTCTGACTTTTCAACCAGTCCATCCTCTTCCGGTTCAACTCAACAGTCAACTATGTCATCAAGTCAATCTCTGGCTTCTGAAATATCCAGCGTATCTACGTCTACGTCTGGGTTGACAACACCTTCCACATCATCCAGTGCAATTCAGACGTCGTACACGGGGTGGAGCCAAACATCAAGTAGCATGCCGCTTCCGAGCTCGAGTGTGTCGTCATCTCAAACTGCGGGCGGATCATCCACCTCTAGCAGTGCGTCCGCTAGCGGATCGTTACCCCCCACGTCAAGCTTTAGTATGTCCTCAAGCGATGTCTCCTCGAGTACCACAACGATGTCCAGTAGTACTTCCAATTATGTCCTCAGCTCCAGCATAATGTCGTCGTACAGTGAGGCAAGCATGACATCCAGCAGCTCAATAACTGACTCCATAACCGTCACACGAATATCAAGCAGTGAAACAGCTAGCTCAAGCGAATCATTCAGTAGTAGCGTGCCTACCTCTACTGATATATTGAGCTACACACAGACATCTAGCGCTTCTCAGACGCCGCGAAATAGTGTCACCGAGACGCCTACCCCCACGCCCACTTCGAGCGAGGTAGTCAGCTCTGAATCCGTATCCGGGACAGTAACCTCCAGCACCACGTCTAGCCTATCATCAACTCAAGCACCTACCTCCAGCGCGACATTTAATTTGACATCGCAAGCATCTATCTCTACGGAATATCCAACTGAATCTTCAACTGGAGTAAGTATAGTGAGCGAAACACTGACCTCGAGTGACGTGGCTTCCTCAACCACGACCTCGATATCGAGCGAAAGGTCTTCCTCGTCACGCGGAGCGTCAACATCAAGCATGGAGTCTTCGTCAGCAAGCACACAGTCTTCCTCATCGAGTGTAGCGCCTACTTCAAGCATAGAGACGTCGTCAGCAAGCGTAATCTCTTCCTCATCAAGTGTAGCACCAACATCAAGCACAGCGCCGTCATCAGCAAGCGTAATCACTTCCTCATCAAGCGTAGCACCAACATCAAGCCTAGCGCCGACATCAAGCATAGAGTCTTCCTCATCGAGTGCCGTGCCGACATCAAGTATAGGGACTTCTTCATCGACCGTGGAGCCTTCGTCATCAAGCCTAGCGCCGACATCAAGCATAGAGTCTTCCTCATCGAGTGCCGTGCCGACATCAAGTATAGGGACTTCTTCATCGACTGTGGGACCTTCGTCATCAAGCGTAACGCCGACATCAAGTGTAGAGCCTTTGTCAGCAAGCGTAGAGTCTTCCTCATCAAGTGTAACACCAACATCAAGCATAGAATCGTCATCAGCAAGCATAGTGTCTTCCTCATCAAGTGTAACGCCAACTTCAAGCATCGAGCCCTCTTCATCAACCATGGAGCCTTCGTCATCAAGCGTAACGCCTACATCAAGCATAGAGCCGTCGTCAGCAACCGTGGAGTCCTCATCCAGCGTAGAGCCTACCTCGAGCGTCCAGCTTACATCGATGCAAGAATCGTCATCGTCATCTCTGCTTCAAACACCGACGTCGAGTATGGAACCTACATCGAGCGAAGAGTCTTCGTCATCAAGCGATATGCCCACCTCAAGTATAGAGCCTACCTCGAGCGAGCAGCCTTCATCATCAAGCGATACGCCCACCTCAAGCGTGAGCGTAGAGCCTACCACAAGCATAGAAATCTCATCATCAAGCGGAACACCGACGTCGAGCATGCAATTCACGTCAAGCGAGGAGTCTTCCTCGTCAAGTGAGGCGCCGACATCAAGCGCTGCATCCACGTCGAGCGAGACCTCAATTTCATCAAGCGAAGGAGTATCTTCTACCGAATTCAGCCAAACGCTTTCCTCAAGCACACTAAGCGAGACACCAACATCGAGTGAATCAGCTACCGTAACCTCCAGTGAAAACTATAGTTCCAGCGCTCAATCATCATCAGCGTCGCCCACTCCAACAGCTTCACCTTTACTTCGTATCTGGCCGTATCAAAGCAAGCAAATCGGCGACCCATTAGATGCAACGGAACTGTCCCAGCGGGCGTCGTGCGAGAACGCACGGACATCGGCTACCACTCCGAATGATTTCCTCACCAACTCTTGCGGCGGCTGTCTTCAGGACATTGGAATTTTGACGGCAGAAGTCCTCAACTTCTGTGTTATGGGTCTTTTCAACCAGGACAGTGGGCCTTTCACAGGCTGGATGTCAACCACGAATGTCTGCCAAGGATGGGACCTCACAGGCGGTGGAATTGCCCACATTACCTGTAGTGGTCCAAATGTTACCGGGCTGTAAGTGTTATAGTTTACATGACGATCTATCCATTTTTCTGTGGAAAAATGGGGGCCATGATGACTTGACCACCCTAATTTCCTTTGCAGATCGATTACAAGTGACTTAGTGAACGGGATGCCTTCATATATGGGCAAGCTTCTATCGCTTGAGACGCTGTAAGTGAACAAAAAAGCATGTATTTTTGCGACTACAGTACATTGAGGATCTTACAAGTGAAGTTCACGATGTGTAGGGAAGTCAGCAGGTTAGGAAATGTCGACTCGTCTGCTCCGTTTGCCGCGGAATTTTGGCAATTGCCCCATTTACAAGATGTGTATGTTTTGTGGCAGTCAGGTTTGCACATCAAGTACTCTTTCTGAAATTCACCCACTTGCGTTTTGTATCCAGAACCATTAGCGAAGGTATCTGGGACATCACCTTCCCAGCAAACGTCACTTCTTTAAAGAGACTGTTAGTAGTTTTTGAAGACAGTGTCACTAGCTATTATATTACTAACAAAGTATGTTGCCTCTCCGTCACAGTGTTATCAGAAACATGGATATCGTAACATCATCTCTACAAAACTTGGCTACCGCGCCATTGGAGAGAATGTAAGTCGTTCGGCCCCGGGTCACCGAAAAGGACAAAATAATTAACAACCACCCTTTCACAACAGTACCTTCATTGTGGTGGATCTAAGCGGACTCGGAACGATACCGTCTTGGATTGGTGGCAGTCAGACTTGGTCCCAAACTCTCCAGTCCCTGCAATTCGAGTACACTGGATTGGGAGGTGCAATTCCAACGAACCTGCAAAATCTTGCCTCGCTGACGGTTATGTAAGACTTCATTGCTTTTAGAGTTCCAGTCAACCAGGCCTGATGATTTGCTTTTTGTAGCTCACTCGCACACAACTCCCTTACGGGATCTATTCCTGCACCAGTCTGCAGCTTAAGTCTGTCAGTCTGCGACATGAGATCTAACCCAAGCTTGGTCAGAGGAACGTGCGCAAAATGTCTAGATTGATGCCTTTTCTCGTCTTAATCAATTAAATGACAAAAAAAAAAATTAAATATCCGGATGAGGCTCTCCAATTAAATATCGTGGAAATCATGTATGGAGTGCCTGGCCCGTAAGCCTTTGGCGTTGATGAGCAGCCATTCCTTCAAATCATTCTTCACGCTCGTGTTCCGTGATCCAGACTTTTTCGTGATCGCCGATGACCCAGGCAAGGACTGCGGGTAAATGTATGGCACCAGGAGCGGCATTTGCATGTTTTCTGTAAGGAGAATGAGCTATATGATAGAATCGTTGGTTGAAAGAAAAGGTATGAGCTGAAGGAGCAACATCAAGATTATAGCACACAGTCTTTACATGAACATAGAGGAAACCTGATCGCATCGGATATGTGATGGCTTCAGACACCATGATCTGAAAACGACCGGGATGAATTAGTCGCAAATCTGCCAAGACATGTAGTAAACAATATCCGTGCCTGTTTGATTCGCTTCTCGAGGTCAAATCCGGTATCGATCTCAACTCGGTTGATGAGAAGTGGAGGGTTATGGTCTTCTTGCCTCACGATTCCATAGTTCTTGACCTAACACCCAGTCCGTCAAGTTCGACCACAAACTAATCTGAAAGCATTTTCTACCGGCAGAATTAATGGCTGGACACCTGCTAATTTCAGGCGAGCCTGGCAAGACTTGTTGGATATAATTCTTCAGGTGGTGACCACTGCGTGAACGTACTGCTTCTTCTTTCACCCGCTCCTGGAGCCACGCTTTTGCCTCCACATCCAACTCAATGTCATCGTCCTGGACACTATTCTCTCCTTCGTCCAACAAAGTATGGACTCTGCTGTTGTGATCTGCCATAGGTTCTTGCTGTATCACTGTCTCATCGCGATTGGGGCTTATGGCTACAGCCACGTGATACGATCGGGTAAACTTACAAGCATCGCAATGTCAAGTTATAAAGCTCCCCATCTCAGTGACATCCCTCGCTTGTAAAACCCTCCCAGCTCTGAAGTATCGTACCTCATTCACTATGAGTGCTCCTGATTTGTCTCTCAAGACCCTATTTGATGTCAAGGGCAAAGTTGCTCTGGTTACCGGTGGTGGAACAGGAATTGGCAAGAGTGAGTTGTATTAAAATCGGTGCCTTTATACAGCGTATTCTCGCTTACAGTTGTTTATTTATACCGCTCTATAGTGATTGCCGCTGCGTTGGTACAAAATGGTGCAAGAGGTGAGCTGCAAATTTGTCAGGCTGTGGTGTGGTCTGCATTGGTCTAATATGTTGTATAGTGTACATTGCGTCGCGAAAGAAGCAAGTTGTGGATGAGACCGCAAAAGAACTCACTGAAATGGGCCCGGGTGAATGCATTGCACTCGTAGCGGACCTGGGTACCAAAGCGCAGGCGCATGCTCTTGCGGACCAAATCAAGCAACGCGAGTCAAAACTGCATATTCTGGTCAATAATGCCGGTATGGCTTGGGGCAGTAATTTGGAGGACTTTGACGAAAAGAACGGATGGGATAGGTTAATGGCTTTAAACGTGAAAAGTGTCTTTTATGTAACTACTGCGTAAGTATACATTGGATCCCGGACAGTTGGCGTTTTGGTAATCAACACTCAAATACACCCTTCTAGGTTACTGCCACTTCTTGAGAAGGGATCTGATGGCAACTTGAGTCCTGCCAGAGTGATCAACATCAGGTGACTGATTGTGACTGATTCATCGTGTATTTTACGTGGTGTAACCTAAAGATTCTGCCAACCTTCAGCTCTGTCGCTGGCACGGCGGGTTCAGCAGAAGACAAGTTGTCTGCACCAGGCAATGGCACATGGTCTTGTACGTAATGCAGATCCGCCTGTTCAGTTGAAAGCTAGCTTTGAAGCTAATGATTTTACCTAGATGCTACATCGAAGGCGGCGGTGAATCACTTGACTCGTGTTCTGGCACTCCCTCTAGCCCGGTATGCGACAGAATCTGTTTTTTACGTTGTGATTTCATTATCCTGATTGACAACAACAGCCGAAACATCCTTGTGAATGCGATTGCTCCGGGGGTGTTCCCTTCCCGTATGACGAAATTCGGTATTGAGCATGGAATCAGCACTATGGAGAAGCAACAACCTCTCGGTAGGTGGCTGTTCTATTCCGAAAAAGCATGCAAAATAATATCCAACTCAACCCTTAATTGATCGTTTGCAGGCCGTATTGGCACAACCGAAGATATGGCTGGATTGGCACTCTTCTTATGCAGTCGTTCTTCGGCGCATATTACCGGTACCGTCATTCCTATCGATGGTGGGGCGACTATCTCCCTCAATGCCTACGCTAAGTTGTAAAAATATAAACCTGGGAATTGATGTGCGCATGGATTCTAGAGTTAGTATGGCGATTTTGCCGGAGTTGGGCTATTGATGTCTGAGCCCTAACTATGAAGAAGCACAAGTGTTACCGCTGGGGACTGTCCATACACCCTTATTTTGGCCAAAAGCAGCATCTTTGTTGAGAAGTTACCATGAAATTATTTCAGTTCCTTTTTTCCAGTTAACTCGTTCCATAAAAATCATTCTCATTCTGTCAGTCGCCACACATGCTGACGCTCACTCACAAGAAGGCTTAGTCGCGTGTCAGGTTACCAGACCACGTGAGGCCGCTGATCGGCCTTGAACTTCTACGAGATGGTCAACCACGGAGTTCATGTGGATATTCCGCTACATTGACTTCGTAATTTTTTGAACATGCATTACCAGATTCTCGTGAACAAAGAGCGTGGGCTTCCAGTTCGAAGTACACGTAGAAACTTCGCGTAATTATGGATCACATTTCCTGTGGTTAAGATGATCCAAAAACAGGTTGTCATTCTCGGATATGCCCAGAGAGACAGTCCTTTTCCAGTCTCACTGTATACCTCGAGTGCAACGTGTACTCTCGGTGGATTCCTCCGGCTCCGCCTACTAATGTGTCTTGTCCTATTTTCGGCCTTTGGGGTGGTGCGCGTAAGCGGGTGTTACGGGCCGATCGCGCGTTTTGTCCGATCCCCGCGCACCGGTATTCAAAATACCGCATCAACGCCAGCGAATCTTTCGTACTAATACTCATTTTACTTTTTGCACGTTCTTCTCTTATTTCTCTCTATCTTAAATCTTAAATGGAAGCGGTCGCGGAAGTGCCTTTGGTTACCCCTTTTGGGGCCAATATATCCAAGGAGGTGGGCGATCTGGTCCAATTATGAATAAGCATCTTGATTATCGCCTAGCATCTAACATCTTGACTGTCTTTATTATAACTGCCGTCCTGACTCTTAATGGAATCTATGCCAGCATGCGCATACATCATTCGCGCCCCATACCACTTCGTTTACTTGTTCCGCCCCTCACTCTACGACCATCTTGCAATCACAAGCTGCTAGTGAGTCTACGTGGACCCAAAGATCTCTTCAGGAAGCAATAATTCAACTTCCCACAAGTTCGAAAAACGTGTTGGAGGATGCGGATCTGGAACTTGGTGGAGAGCTAAGCGTAGCGGACATAGATGCAATGTTGGATACAGACCCTCGCGGTCACAATGTTCGCAAAGAGAGCAGACATCTGGGCAAACTTGACTGTGAATCACTGTCCCACTGTCAAAGTCCGGCGGCGAACATCCCACCGCATCATGGGCCAGAAAGCTCTTGCATGAGCGGCAGTGTAGATGACCCTATGCAAATGTCCGATGAGCCAGCTGCGATCGACGGTGTTGTGTCATCACCATCGTGTGAGAAAACAGAGGAATGGGCAGAACCTAAGCATTCCGTACAAAGCGAGGAAGGTAGCCCTGAACCCATCAAATTGATTCCACAAGCTGCGACGGAATGCCCGCCACGGCCAAGGCGGTCAATGAGTATCGAAAATTTAGTGGCTGAGCGTTTATCTCAGAATCACAGTACATCAAGCTCTCCAGCTTTGCCATCAAGTCCAGACCAGCAGGATGGCGTGAGATGTCAGAGTCAGTGCCAAGATCCCTCTACCAATTTCTCCCTCTCTAGAGCCAGGGATCGGCTGGCAGTGGAACGAGTCCTAAAGAAAGCACCATATCAAAAGGTAGGAGTCATCATCATCTTTACCCCTTAAAATCGACATATTTCATGCTAACCACTGCTTCAGTATCTGCATCAAATTGAAATTCGTCTGAAGTACGCAATATTTAAAGTGCAGAATGGATGGGAGAAGAAGTCCTTAGCGGAAGTAAAGAACGACTATGTGGATACATGCAGCGTTACGCCAGGACATAGGAACAGTATAGCGATGATGCAATCATGCAAGAGGCTGTTACCAGATTTTGGTATGCTGCCATTGTACTATTCTGATTGGCGGTTACGTTACTAAATCGCTATGTGTATAGAGCATAATTGTGACACACGTTCCGCCAAAAAGAAAGTACCTGCCATCAGAGAAGCCAGACTAGGCAGAACCAACGGTGGGCTGACAGGAAACCGTCCGAACGACACGGAAGTAACCAATGCGGCCTTGGCCCTTCAATCCCTAAGCAGAGCGGGTACACCACCAGACGTCCCGAAGAAAGCCCTATCCCCCTGTGCGTCGCGAGCTGTCAAACGAAAACGTGCGGAGGACAGAAAAGCTGCCCAAACCAATCCGCCTGCGGGGCAGTTAGGCATGTCTGGTATGGCATCGCAATATTTATCAACTGGACTTCAACAAATACAGCAGCAAACCGATTTAGCAAAACGTGCGATACCTTTGTTCACAACGGAATCACAATCAAAGACTTCCTCAGCACCTGCCACATTTTATGTTCCTCCCTTGCCCTATGCATATACCATTCCTTCGACATCACGCCCATCTTCCGTCAATAGCAATTTTCCACAACCATTACCAATTTCATTGCGGTCCCAATCCACCAATGACCAGAAACAAAATTCGACTGTCGCTGCTTGGTATGCTTTAGCGCGAGCGAATCAGTCTGGCGATGTTTCTGGGGGTTTGGGAAAATGCATTGGACCACGGCGACGAAGAGGGAAGCATACGAGCCCCACTCAAAAACTGCCGTAAGATTACGATTTCAATAATATACTCTTGATTTTCAGAATGATATGTTTAAATTTCAAGTATGTTGTGTCGTCATGATGTTCCACCAACTCTCTACGGAGGGTTTCTTGCACCAGTTATGTGGAACGTATTTTCAAGATGAAATAGTGGTGCGATTTATTTCCCAAGCAAACTGCTTCTTCCTAAGACAAATGCTCGGCTGCAACAGAATGTGATCCGCAATACCTACCTTAACCTCCAGAGTCATCGCGAATATTACAGTGTAATGGTAAACGTTGTGCATGCAAATGTTGGAACGGATAAATATTGCTTTCTCACGCAATCCATACATATACTGTTAGCTGTTACCACACCGTCTTCGAGACATATTCCGAAACCCAAACAACGGCCATGAAGCCTATTAATGACCAAGCGTGTGCGGATTACCGTTTTGCATGTCAGACAAAAATGGCTACCGGTCTAAGGCAAATGCTCTTAGGAAAGAATTGCTTTGAGTCCCATACTGACGAGCAGGTCGTCCCCGTAAGGCGTTCAACGGAAATACTAGACGTTGAATTATTCGTTGTATTATGTAATCTAGGATGTTCGAAAGATTCGGACTTTGTCCCTCCATCCATCCAACCCAGAACCAGATCGCATACACTGTCCCTGCCTTTCCTACGTTTTCCGACAACGCAATTGCTCACCAAATCGCTAGCAATACTGCCTCGTATCGGATCGTCGTGAAGTAACCATAACCTGCTCGCAGGTATTCGGCCCAATTATCTCAACGGGGTCACAATGGAGACCGTACGCGCCTTCGTAGAGGCAATGGAAGGCACAAGTAGGTGAAGTGCCGTGTGAAGAGCATACAGGCGAGAACTTTCTATTTTCAGGATATAGTGAGCTAATACCGTTCTATACCAGACATAGATCGGAAACTGCAAACTTTAGAGGAGCTTCTCCAAGAGTTTTCGACCATCAGTGTTGCATCCATAGAGGTGAGTGTACTGTACGTGCCCTTTTATAGTCCGAATTCGTGCTGTCCACTGTCGAATGTGTTGCTCACATATGAAATATTGATTCGGAAGCCCGACTTGTATGAGAATTTCCTGGATGCGGTTGTGCGTTGCATAAAGTCCCCCCAGCTGAAATTGTGTCAACAAGCTCTCAGCTTCCTGCCCGTCCTGTCGGTGTCGACAGATGCTCGTTCTCATAATTCCGCTTCACATTTGAGAACTATAGTTGTCTTTGCAGCCCCGGTCGTTGTCGAAAGGCTTGCAGATGGCAAAGAGAAAATAAGAGAACTTGCGCAAGCAGCGATTATTGAACTCTATCGGATTGTTTGCCGTAGTGTCGCTCATAGCGCGAGCAAAGATTCCAATAAAGAAGGCGGACCGTACGCACAGATGCTGATATTTTTAGACCGAGAAATGAAGACAAATGGATTTGGCCACAAAACTCCACGCGGACGAGAACAGGTCATTTCGCTTGCTGAAGTGCCAAATTCCAAAGAATTAGCCCACTTAAAAATATATCATAGGCGGTCATATGGTTGGTCCAGTGCGTTCGAGCGGTGCCAGAATTTCCCGTAAAGCAGTATATTCCTCTGCTTGTGAGACTACTGGAGGATTCGAATGAAAGTGTCAGAAACACAAGCAAGGAGGCCGTAATCGCCGTGTATAAGTATGTATACATTGGCATCCGATGAGGTTCTCTATCTGATTATCTAACGTAGATTTAAACTGCTGCTACAGTAACACGACCATAAAAGCCATGCGAACCGACATAAAAAAAGAGCTCGTCAAAAATAAAATACGTCAATCGATTGTGGATCATATCTTAGCCAACTTTATCGACGGACAGGCCGAGAGTCCCGCAGACACCGTCCCTGATCGGTCAGAGTCGACTTTGTCCGGAACCACCTCTGCCGCACTAGGAAACGGGGCTCCAAGACGGGAAACAGGAGCGGTGTCCCCACCAAATAATCTCGCGGGGGGAACATCCGCACCTGATCCCGATCCGATAAATGTACCTGATGCTACAGTTTTTGACAAGCATGTTATTACAATATTAATTCCCTATCTTGTAACGCTAGATCGGGTCCAGCAAAGAACTGGAGATGGAGATATCTGCAATCTGTGTTCTTTTCGAGGGCAAGGAGACTGAGGAAAACTGGAAAGCTCGGGAGGATGCATTGCAGCGCTTGCGCGGCATTTGCCGCGGCACCGCGCGTCACATTGATGGCTTCATCAATTACATACGACCAGCCACGGAACCAATCACACGAACGGTTTGTTTCAATTGATTCGTTCGGATTACTTCGGAAACGTCATCCTCATACAGGTGTTCCATTTGAATATAGATGCACAGTTTGCGTACTGCTTTAGTGATGACGACTTGCACCACCGTAGTCGATATGGTAAACATCCTGGGCTGCCAGCTAGATCCATTGGTTGACGCGTTCATAGTCAACTTGCTCAAGTTGAGCGGGCAAGCGAAGAAGGTCGTTGCAACCGCAAGTATAAGCGCTATCCAGATCCTTCTCCAACGAACTTCGTATCAGCTTAAATTTGTCCAATATTTCCAAATGGCGCTTAGTGATAAGAGTGCAGGTACCCGGAGTGCCGCTGCCCTCTTTATTAAAACTGTTGTAGAAGTGATGGGATCTTCTGACACCGGCCGGTCGACATTGGAGACAAGCGGTGGACTCGACATTGTAGAGAAAGGCTTGAAAAAGGGCTTGGCGGATGCAAATGGGCCCGTGCGCCAAACTTGCCGTGAGACGTTTAGCAATTTTCAGAGCGCCTGGCCAGAGCGAGCGGAAATGTGAGCATACTTGCCCTCTTTGCGCTAAGGATCAAGGAGCTTGCAGCTGACTTGCAATTTTAGTTTGTTCGATACACTCGATGCCGCCACCCGCAAAGCTATCTCTCGGGCGAAGTTGTCCTCTGCCCCTGCCAAGATCCGCCCATCGATACGGGCTGTTGCCGCAACTCGATCGGCATTTTCAAACCCAGCCAATGACTCACCCGCACTTTCGGAAGGAACCGTAGAAGGGATCAACTTCGCTATTGAACCACAGGAGTCTGATCCATTACCAAATGGCCTCAGTTTGGAGGATGGGATTCATTCTGTCGGGGAACTGCGCGCCGCCACGCCCAAAACTGAAGATCCACAAGACAACAGAGGTATTATTCTGCAGCAACTAATGCATGAGAATGTGGATGAGCAAGTTCGGGGCTATTGTGCATTAGCAACGCTAGCTCGTCAACATAGCGAACGCGGCATCTCTCTCGAGATGGAGCCCGAGTTCAATCTGGCCATACGCTCAGCGATTGGACATCTTTTGGAGAAGGGCTCTGAGGACATATCGAGTACGCTGCTGGATGCGGAGTATTTGGCCCCTTTGATAGACAGTAGAATCATTGCGATCTCTGAACTGCTCATTCCGATTCTGGCCTCTGCTGGCAGTGGAAATCCAGGGCGCCAGAGTGCGGGCCGGGGAGCCCTTGAATTTGTCAAGGGCAGGTTGGGTTTTGTGGCCCTCTTGGATATGGTTGTACGGTTCTTGACGAAACCTTCAGAAGCAGATCCATGTCCAGGTGGAGCACAAACGCAGCGTTTAGCCCGATGGGGTGCTGCAGAATGGATAGAAAGCACCAATATCGGTACAGAACCGATTCATGGAGAAGTTGCTGCCTACTTTGCGGATCCTAGCAACTGTCAATTACTCTTTCATGGTCTTGTCAATCAAATCTCGCACCCGGGAGGCGACGATCGGCGGCTGCTACGGCTGCTACGTCTCGTTCAACAATCACGACCGGACCAGTTCGCCCACCTGTTAAGCACCTGCGATGACGAAATTACGGAACGTATACAGGAAGAGCTAGGTGTGAAGCGTACGTTGTTAACTTCAAAAGACAGAATCAGTAGAGGGCCGCCAGCTCTGCTCGGAGTCCATGATCAGTTTGGAGACGGTGAACCCAGTGAAGGCATAACAGTGGAGGACTTGAGCCGAATTGAAGCAGGCGAAGGCGCAACATTACTGGACATGACGGACATGACATTTGACACGTCATTGATGCTGCAAGGCCATGTCCGCAACTTAATGGATGTAGGTGTCCGCTTTGATAGATATAGCAACCGTTTATTAACTGTCCATATTATTTGACTCCAGGAGACAATGCCATATGGCATGGCAGACATGAGCAGTGCTCAAGCCAGCTTTGCGGTACATCGAGCAGGTGAGACAGCCCTGGTCTGGGCAGTCCAGCAGTCACAGCAAGGAGGTGGATCAGAGGCATGCGAGCAGATGGACATAGCGGTGCCACAGTCTGCAGACAGTAGTCCCAGGGAATCTGCTAAGCGAAAGGGATCCGAGGGGCCCTCGGCAGGACTGGTAGGGATCAAGCGGGAGCGACGGTCTTCTACCGAGACAACGCCTTTAAAACCCGGCGCAACACATATGGGTACCAAGTTTGATGGTAGGTAGACAGTCTTGTGCTCCACGGAGGTTGTCATTTTGATAATCGACATTTAACGGCTACCAGTATTTTCGGCGGGTACGCCAACGCCAATGCAACTCTCCAAGATAGATAGGGCACGAGAGATTCCAACTTTACTCGACGCAATCTCCAAAGGCACTGCAGAGGACACCGTCTGGCGCCGGCTTTACCGGATATGTGACGGCTCTGCAGCACCGGGTGATGATTTTGACGAAGAGGAATATTGGAACCAATGGTTCGCAGAAACATTGGCTGTACTGCTCAGCTTTTTGCGACGAGGGGGCCAGGTTCGTTGATGCGTGCACAAATTTAATATTCCAGGATTGATCATTTATGCTATGGCTTAGAACAAAATGGAACAAGAAACATGCCTATTGCTGTTGACGAGGATGATAGAGAGACTCAGCCAGTATTTTATTGGTCATGAAGCCGAGCTTCTAATGGTATTACTCCAAGCCAGGAGCGATGGAACAGAGCTGGTGCGTTGCGATGCTTTCCGCCGGGTGATACCGTCTTTTAATATTTCAGCCTAAAAGGTTTCTGGAAGCGCGACAAATGCATTGTCAATCATGGCAGAAAAACTGGATGGAAGAGCGTGTCTCGACGCATTGCTGAAAATGCTCTATGAATGGGATATGGCACGTGAACGTCAGCGAAAGATGCTCTCCGTGAGCTCGCGTCTATACTCGGGGCGCTCAAAGACGCTGACTGTCGAATCACTGCCCTCTTACGAGCCTACCCCGGCTGAGTCGGGTTTAGAGATTTTAGGCACGTTTCTATCAAAAGTCGATGGCGCAGATGTGGAGGAAGACGCTCTCTGGCGCATTGGAGATATTGGTGCCATGGTAAGGACTCGACATCGCTAGTTAATGCTCTGCTCAAATCATTCCTCATTCGTGCGTCTCCTTAGTACATGAGTTGCCAGGTCACCGAAACCCGGAGGTTGGCCACTTTATGTCTGGTCGACGTCTATTCGATAGTAGGGGACCGTGTGTGGCAATATCTGGGCAAATTGTCAAAACAACAGCGAAAACTGTTACAAGTCATTATTGACCGACAACTGCACCGCAAACCCAGTATTTCATAATTATAGAAAAAGTATGTAGGGTGTACGTAAGGTGATGGGACGAGATTAACCCTTGTTTATTGTCCTGCAAGAGGGCATTTGTACATAATATCTGCATTATTTTGATCTGTTTCCATGTGCAGTGCACTGTTGGCTCACATACAACGAGGATCTTATCCCAAAATCGTCATCGATTTGCGCAAGCGTCTACTTTCTCTTTCCCATGTCCGCGCGTGTAGGGTGTTGTCAGCTGTCCTCACATGAGCACAGGAGAAGACTTGGGTAAGATGACTGAAAGTCCATCTATAGGCTGGTCGCTTGCGGAACAAATATAGAGTTCAAAGACTCGCGAGGGACAGATTCCTTTCAGTTCTTAGCAGCTCTCATGGTAGGAAGCCGCAGGTGGGATGGTCAGACGCTGGGTTGCGATTTACGGCCAGCATTCACTCTCGCTACAGCCGCAACGGAGATGTTCAACACCATTAGTCTAGTCCCCGAACAACCAAACGATTGCATCTTAAGCGTACCTTATCACTTTCCGCCGGTAACCTTTGCAGATCGGCCGTACCCGCCCCGTGCACCGCCAGTTCCTTCATAACTTCCTCCTGTTCCACGAGTGCTGACGAAGCCACGACCTCGGCCACCGCTCCCACGATACAAACCTCCACGGTGTGCACTACTGCTCATGATGACTGTATGAGGGCGGCCGTTCCAGATGGTGTTCTCTTCAACCGCTTCAACAACCCGAGCAGGTGAGTTGGACTTGATGAACCAAAGTCATCCAATAGCAAGAAACCAACCTCGCTTTGCATTTTCACGTTCCCTTTCTTCATAGTTCAATACTAATTGTTTCAAATGTTGTTTTTCCTCTTGCTCTGCTTCCTGCTTGCTCCTTGTACTAATGACAAATGAGCTGTCGGCGGGAAGAGCCATAGTCTTCACCTACAAGGACAGATTAATACATCCAGGTGGCCTATACATAAGGATACGCCATGGAGGATACAAAACACACCTGCTGTTTGTTGCCCTTCTTTGTCAAGAGTGTAAATGCCACCTGTCCGTTCCCAGCCTCCTCCTGACCTTCCGCTGTGTTCCCGGACTTTATGCGCACAGGAACAGGCGCATCGAAAGTTGATTTTCGATCGTTTCTGCGAGTATCTATGCTTTCCTGCATCATTCGACTGAACTGCTGCTCAAAGTCTTCGTCCGCTTCTTCATCGAGCTCATGCTGAACGTGCACCACAACAGTATCTTCATACATCTCTCCCTCCTCCTCCTCGTCGTCCTCATCGTCCCTGTCCTCAACATGATCATCATCATCTTCCCCGGTGGCGTTATTACGACGCACCGCTTCATCGTCGTCATCCTCGTCTTCATCGTCATCTTCCTCGCTCTCCTCTCCTCCCGGTACGTCACCACCAATGCCATTTTGCTCTGCCTGCATCTGCTCTACGGCTAAGCGATTGACTTCAGCTACCGCTTCCTCATAACTCTGCATCAATTTCAAATTCGGCCGCAGTTGCTCGAATGTTTCGGAAATCATAAAATCCACATCCATGGCAGGAGGTGGCTTCGTTTGGATGTACATCTGCGACGAATTAGTATATCACCCAATGCGCGATGGAATCTTGAGCGCTTACTTGTAGATAAGCGAGGAACGCATCTAGACGTTTCGCGTATGTGCCACGATCAAAGCACTGTCCACAAGTGTCCAAAAGAGTGCAACACAACCGCACACGGAAGAAATCGTGCTGAGCATCCAGCGGTATCCCCACACCGTAGCGAGGAAGGTTGTTTTCTTAAAGTGTTGAATCGTGTAAGTTAAGATTTACCTTTGCATGATTCAGGCAGCCCAATTCTTCATTACCATGGCCAAACGAAACAATCAAGAACAATGTGTCAAATATCACCGGGCTTTCCACCATCCGATAGTTATATAATTCTCCAAGGTACTTAACAACGGCGATGCGGCGCTGATTGTGCGTGAAGATGTTTTGCTCCAAACCAATTCGCACCTCTTCCAATGTGCTGTCGACAACCGCAACGCCGAATTCGGGATGATGGCGAGTCAGCTCACATGCAATGTAGGCTACCATATGGAGATGCGAGAATTTGATCTTCCAGATTTTACAAAATGTTCGCGTGATTATTTGGCGCACTTTTGGATCCTCCCAGTTCAACTTGCGAAGTTGTTTTGATATTTTATCAACCGTTTTCTTGGTCAGATCGGAAAATATTAATTTCCTGACGTACAGTTCCAACGGTGGGCGAGCTTTGGCTACAACAGGTGGTCGGTCGGGCGGATTGCACTGTAGATAAATTGCAACGGTAAGCAAGAAAAAAATGCAGTGATAGCTGAATCAATGAATGCGCAACTTATTACTACCTGGTAGAAGGCATTTTCAATCATCAATGCCTGCCGGTTGTCAATGTTTTTGACATTCTTTTTCCGCATAAGAATGTCGAGCTAGTGGCGCCATTAACGGGTTACAGTTTATCCTAGATGCAGCATATGTCATCGTCACTTACATAATTGGAGGTCCTAGTACTGGTTTCAGGAGACTTGTAAAGGAAGCGCCCGCATGTCTCAAGTAGGGTACATAGCAGTTCCACATTGTGATGCTTGAAATCATCTAAAAGTACTTTTATACAGTGGAACACGATATGAAGGGGCGTTACTTTGAACTTTGTCAGTTCGCCAATAAATCGGATGTTCTACAAAACGAAACAATGAGATTAATATAATATAAATATCCGGAGCGAATAAGACTTTCAGCTAACCTTGATTTTCTCCTCGATGAACACTTGCTCTTTTCTCTTCTGATGGCCATGAAAGGACCTTTCCAGCTAGTAACCGATAAGCCAAGAGAGTCATTGCAAAATGCAGATGTCAATCCCACTAACCGCATCGACAATGCCAGCTCCAATATCAGGCATATAGGGATTCAACGTTGCAATGAGACGTGAATAATAAGGCAGTAAATCCAGTCGCTGCCTAGGAACCGCTAGCAACGTCTTGACCAACTTTTTGCGCGTGCTTTTTGAGTTTAAAAATGCAATGTCGATGGCAAGTTGGTCAATCGTGTCTCGGTTCAGAGCATTTGGTAATCGATTCAGTAGCGTCTCGAGCGCAGCTTGTGCAGTAGACGAGACGTTCTGATTCTTCTCATCCTCATCCTCATCGGCCTCCAGTATGTCCTCTTCCTCCTCCCCTGTCTCATCGCTTGGACTCTCCTCCATCTGAAGAGCATCGTCCTTTTCATCGTCCTTGGTATCCGCAGATCGCACGTCTTCCCGACTCTGATCAGCCACCTCATCCGGGGCACCTTCGAGACCTTTGCTTCCTTCATCCAGAGTATCTTCAGCTTTCTCCTTCTTCTCACCAAGGAAAATCGCTGGCACATGGTTTTTCAGATCTATCAGGTTTTCGTAGAACGCCTTTGCATCGTCATCCTCCCACACACTATGAGTCTCCTATCGTAGAGTTATTGACTCCCAGCTCCTGATATGTTCCATGAACTTATTACGTACCTTATCCTCCTTGTCTGGAGCATTTCCAGTGATCCCAATTCCAATCCGGGTCATTCCTTCATCTTCGGGGAGATCTGGCATCTCTTGCTCCAAATATTCAGCTAAGGTCTGTGTGCCGCTGAGAAGTTTTTCGTAGGCTTTCAATCCCTTTTCATATCGCTCCTGGCGATCCTCGCTAATTTCACCTCGAGCAATGTAATGTTCATGATTATTCTTCTCCACTTTTCGGATATGCTACAGGCCGACGATGAGTATTGAACGAATGATGCACTTTCGTATGTTCGGCGCATAGGGAAGCAATACCTTATGATCCCGGATCAAGTGACGCTCAAGGGTTGTATAGTATTCAAGCAAAGTCGCCCTGACTGCTTCTTGCACCTCTTTCGGCACGAAGCTCTGGCGCTAGGGCAGCAACAGTGAGCCATGTGCACTTCGAGCACGCAAAGTCGATGCTTCGAAGACAAACCTGCTTTGTAGCTACAGATTCGGTTGACGACAAGGCTTCGTCCTCATCTCCAGTGGTAGCAGGGTCAGCAGCCACGCTGTCACTGCGATTCCGGCCCTTCTTGGGCAGAACTCCAAGGAACTGATCACCATAGTGCTTGACAAAAGCAACAGCAAGCGATAGGTTGGCATGCTGCTCCTTATCCGAGGAAAGCTGTACCTTGCAGCTTAGTTTTCGCCTCCTTTGCGTGCCGGACGGACTTCAAATGTAAATACGTACCATATCTTTAAGTATTACTGAAATTAATCCATCCTTCTGATTGGGTGGATCTTTCGCCACACCGACCAGATAGAGTTCCACAAGAAATCTGAGCATGCTTCGCTGCTTCCCGATCCTTGCAGATTCTTCTTTTTCTCTCTGGTCTGGTGCCATGCCATACAGCGGTGGCGGAGGACCAAGTTGTTTCACTATCATGGGCACAAGCTGCGAAGAGAAGTCGGCAAATCTCTGGTGCAGTAGGGAGCTTATCTCAACTGCTGCCCAAACATCGGCGGAGGATTTGAACTTTGCTTCGGAGAGCGCCGAGACAATCTCTGAAAGATACTTCTCAAGCTTCAGTGATAGTAGTTCCTTCGAAAGCGATGGGAGTTGCTCATGAGTGAGGCTAACTCGGAGCTTCCGAACAAACGAAGTATTCTTCTTAATTGAGCCATCGAGATTCTTCAAGGTTGATAGATCTTGGAACGAATAATTGGTAAAGCAAGTCACTTAACATGGGTAATAGGTCATTCCTCACCAGGTCTGCTTATGTAGGCGTCTAAATTCTTCTTTCTAATTTCTTTCTTGTGCTCATATCGGATGAGTGCCTCGTCATCGGCTGCGGACAGCTTCAGCGGATGCTGTGCAGAAACCAGGCAGGAAATTTGACGATTAGCTCGGCCAGCTCAACCCAGGACAGTTACAGGTAGATTGAATCATAATCATTCAACACGTACATCTTGTGACGCTTGCATGAACCGCGGAAAGTGACGGGCGAGATTTGCAAAATGTCGAGTTGGAAGGAGGCCAAACTGGTCAGCTACTCGCGCGGGGCACAGTCATGTTATGAATGTGATGGCAATAAGAAATGTCACACACAGTGCACTTGGACGGATCGAACCTATTGGGTCTGGCGACAGCGAACCCCTATCTACTACGTACTTGGCCTACTTACACATGCGATAATTAGCCAGAATCCTACTTTTATCTCATATGTTGCAACAATAAATGTGCTGTATTCAAATAGTGATATTCATATCCTCCAACATACTATGATCTTGGCTGCATTCCTCCAGATTATAAAACTGCAAATACCAAAAGCGCTACAATCACATCGAAATCAAACATCCATAAAGGCAGGAAACCCCACACTTTCACCTCCACCACCAGAAGAGATTTCCAGTATATCATTCCATAGCATCACAGCACCACCTAACCCCTCAAATAATGACCAAGGGTGATCTGGTACCTTCAGAACATGACGCCTCGTCAGGTCCTCCCACTGCAGTATGAACTCTGCAAACTTCACCGCCCGATGCCAATATAGCCTCTCATTAGTTAGGAGATAGAGATGGAGGAAGACATATGCATTCCCGCTAGCAATTGGTGCAAGAATCAAGTTGAGGCTGAACCATGAGCGCTAGTCACGCCCGATGCATACCTTATGCCATGACAAAGGCCCACTCCTTTGCGCAACAATCCTAGGAATAGGTTGAAAATATTGCCAGTAAGTATCACATAAATGTCAGCGCCGAAACGGAAGCAATTAAACCTTTCTCCCATACAACATCTGCGGCCAGTTTTGCCGCATCCAAGAACAGCTGATCACGAAAGACCTCGTATGCGCGGCAAAGACAGAGTGCGGCTCCCGGTGGTCCATGACACCTGAAAATGATAAAGAAACCAGGCATAACGACCCCATCCATGCGGCTGACGTTCTGTCAGTAATATCCTACCAATGGACCAGTTCCTTTCCTTCTCTCTCCTCGTCCAACGCCACTGGCCAACCGCCCTGCCTCTTTATCACTTCGCTAGCAACCCACTCTAGAGTCTCCTTCACACCCTGCAGATCCACACAAACGCCTTCAACCTGACTAGCACGCAAGAGCATACATAGGATGCCGACCACGCCATGCGCGGCGCCTAGGTAGTATTTATTGTGCCACGACCAGACATATGGACGTCGGGATTCGCATGTTGAGAGAATGGTATTGACTGTTTGGGTGAGAAGATGCGCTAGTGGGAAGGTTGATGGCAGTATACGGTGGTGGGAGAGGAAGAGGAGTCCATAGAGGTAGCCTTGGCGGTTTTCGTTCAGGATGCCACTCTGAGGGCCAGATGCACTGCATGAGCCTCTGTCTCCTCACCTGCACGACCGTACAGAACCTCATTCCACTCCCGAGGATTAGAAATGGCCTCTTTTCCACATAGTTCAATCTCCTGTAAAGCCCTCTTTTGCAGGTCTGGGACGAGCAGAGCGCTGACCGCCCAAAGACCTGCATCGACGGAAAAAATGGTCAGCCATACCCGTGCTTGGTACAATGAAACATTACCACAACTAGACAAGTTTTTCAAATAGGGGTCTATAACACGGGGTAACAGAGAGTCACCTATGCTGCCTACCTGCCTCTCCACAGATAAACCCGACGTGGTGCCCGGATGTCATATTGGTAGTCATTTCAACCAATCTATCCGCCAGCTCATTGGACCTACTATTGCCAACCTTCCACAGTACAAGAGCAGCTCCACATAATCCGGTGTAGACATCAGCTTTGTTGACGTCAGAAGCCAAATAATGGGCGTGGATGTGAGCTGCACCTGTGGCGATTGTTTGCTGAAAAGCTTGTTTTTGGTTAGATGTCAAACCCTGGTCATTAGACAATTGAAGATCCTCATGAAGGTACGGATTTGAAATATAGCGACTGGGCATCACAACGTCGATCACTTCAAAGTCGTTTACGTGTTGCCCTATCCTCATTACCGATGCTTACCCATGCATATCACGTGCAGAAAACGATATTGGCCGGGGATGCAAGCCTGAGCGACACTGAGTGCGTTCTCATCCCTACACTTAGATCTAATTGGACATAAATGTCACGGTTGGTCAACAGGGTAACTAGCACCCACCACCATGCAAGGGAAATCTGTCTACTAGTGCCCACCACCATGATAGTTCTAGAATGTTGCGCTACTAGTAAACCAGAATTGTATATCTTAATGCCAATGTCAATTACAAGTTCACCCGGTTGCAATGCAACAGCTAAATACATTTGTACTTTCCCACACACTATGTCAGGGAAGAATGTCCCCCATTACCCAGTGTAGAGACGAGAATCGGTTAGACGCGATATACTTTACGGTGGGAACGAAACGCTGTATTATATTTACATCCAAGATACCAAGGGTTAAGCCTAATTGATCCAAGTTTGCCATAAGGTTTGCACAGGGTTATCAAGCCTTGCAACTTGAAAAGGCTGGTAGTCGTTCGAACAGAACGGTTGTATATCACGGTAACAGCGCAGATACGACAACTTCCCGAAACCGACTGAACATGAGAGCAGTTAGACGGAATCTATACGTATACGTATTCCTGCGACGCTTTCACCTTAGTATAGTCCGCAGATCTTTCCTGAGGAACGCAGTCCAATGAGTTACACAGTAACCATTATAAACAAGAGCAAGGGACCTACTTGGTCAAATTCTCCCGGAATACAATTTCCTCAACGTGATACTTTCCCGAAAAGTACGGTGCTAATCTGACACCCGATACAATGTCAGCTCCAATCCCCCATAACTTGTATCTGACATTCACCAACTCACCGAAGAAACAAGGATCCAATGGCCGGCGGATGCTCATAAGCCAACTTATTTATCCATTCGCGTTCCACTTCCGTTGCTCGCGCCGGATCAGGAATGAATACGGCTGGTGGCCCTGGAGCCTCGGCCTCTCCTCCCATCACTGTTTTACCGCAGATATGTTCTGGTATCATCAGATCTGCAAGTATTGCCGGTTAACTGAATCAGGTCACAGAAATGTCGTAACGCTCGGTAGAAGAATGATACGCACAGATATACATGTGCAATTGTGTCACCAAATTGTATCGAAGTAGAAAAGTCAGTACCTCAAGGTACAGGGTTCTGAATTCCTTCTGAGGGATTATGGCGGAGTACGGACGGGGGATGGAAAGATCAGAAAGAATGGTCGGGAGATCCAATTGTGGAAATCTGCTATTGAAATCCTGCACAAGGCGTGGCAAGCTATAAGATCAGGTGTTAGTTGGACAGATGAGTACTTGTCTCATGAACGAAGGCAAACTCACAGATCTAGCTCAGCGCCTTGTGAAACAACATAAACGTTGCGTATGCTAATCACGTCAATGATTTTGGCTTTCTGCCAATGAACCAGGTGAGCGGCCAAACGATACAGTTGGGACAAGGAGCAGTCAAGAGTGGTTTGGAGTTCTTCGAAACTGGATATTAGAGAGGGAGATAGGATTAAAATAAAAGCATTTAGGCCGAACATGTTCCCAAAAGAAAAATGACCATTGTGTTGGGGTAACAATCTGGATCAACTCCACGAGCAGAGGCGAAGGATCCAGGGGAAGCGCTTTGAGAATCTCTTCTGGATCGTATAAAAGTAATAATGCATGGTAGGGCCGAAGAATCGGACTGCCGGTATCCTCTGACCCAAAAGCATACTTAGGTCTTGCTAGTGTCGTCGATTCTGTTAGTGCCAGTGGTCTGCTTACACGATCTGGAATGTGCAAGGAGAGATCGACAGAAGAGTTCACGACAACATGCGCCACAGAGTCGTTTGTTATTGAGTTGTAGATGTGCGCTAGACATCGCGCCAATGTACTTTCGGCCAGCACCTGGTCCATGACGTCGCTCAATCGAACTCGCTCTTTGAACGCAACTGCATTGGTATAACGGAATGACGCTACGGCGAGGTGAGAATATAACCTTACCTAGAGACTTTACTTGCGCCTCGTCCTTGATGGATAGAATCAATTCGGCTTCCTTTCGAATGTAACCTCTTTTGAGTTGTTCATACTTTAGGGCAGCCGTGATTTTTGATATCACATGTTTGTACATTGTATCCACTTGGCATTGCCCGCGGTCAGGCTGCATCGCAAAGACAAGGTTGAACATGGACAGCTGATGGGCGGAGGCAATGTTCACAGGAGAATTAGCAGATTTGAGAAAGGGATCTGATGAGGATCGGTCAGACAACGACGGTGTGATCGTCACTCCAGGAGCAACGGATTCCTGCAAATTGGTTGATGTGGGCGCTGCGGCTCCCATGTGTGCCGCTAAACGTTTCTTTTGAATCATGCGCGCAAATCGATGGCCCGTGCCTGGGCGGTCAGCGTGCAAGAGTGTCGGGTGGCCGATAAAAGTGACATCGTCTACTGTGAGCTGGAATTGCCTATCACACAATGCCACCTTTGGGGAAAGAATATCAGACAAAAAATGTGTGTCAAATCCAAGAAACTTTTCAGCGTCTGGACGCAAGCAAGCCTTGGCCCTTTCGAGATCGGCGGTGCTTGGTCTTTGGGAGATTCCTTCACGCAGAGTATCACGCCCAGCGCCATCTCTCACTTCAGGTACTTCATTTGGCTGTCCCACGGAGGACCCTGGTAGGTTTCGAGGCAAGCGCGATCTCTGCTCGTCTCGAGATGTGCCGCGAACTCGCTTAGGATCGCTAGGATAGCTGAATACCAATTGGTGTCCACGGCTGGAATAGCATATAAGAAGAATGCCAAGGACTGATGAGCTCATAGCGTTATAAGCAAAGCACGCGGCTTGCCGCCAACCTGCTGGGCGGCGTAACCGACAATGGTGAGGCCGTGGCGCTCAGCGAGATGTGCAAAGATGTCGAGCGAGATGACGACTGTTTGAGTTCACGTGACCTGACAAAGTCGCCATGCTTGCAGTAAAAACGCTGTGCCCCGCGATGGGACAATTCCATCGACAAAAAGGCGGAAGGGCTTCTGACGCTTTACAAAGTGGGCTTGCAGCTCAAAAAGCAGAAATGGTGATGTCGTAGCATTCACAGTTGTCGTCACCTTTTCGCACCATCAACTACTTATACTGCTTGCTGAAAGGGTTTTATTGTGGGGCTTTTTTATTACAATCTCATCAGCACTTTTTAGATGAGATATCCCTGCCTGTATAAACGCGCCTGTATCCCTCTTATCTTTTTGGGCACAGTCTCCCACTAGGAAAAATTCAGATCAAAAGGACGCATTGGAAAGAAAAATAAATAAATACATGTAGACAGGCTAACGCCAAGTTCACCGCAAGCAATGCGCTCATATTCGCTATTGTTCTCGCAACATAGTTTGAGACGTTGATGGGATTGGCTACACAGAGTCTCTTGCAAAAGTCCGTGGACAAAATATGACTGACCCCGGCGAGATTCATTCCAAACGCCAAGGTCACTCGCGTTCCAGCTCATCCTCTTCTGGTTCGTCTTCCAACTCCTCGGCATCTGCTCGAGGTGGTACACCAGCAAGCCTCCCTATTCCCACGCCGACAATCCCCACTCCCACACAGGCAGAGCACCCGATAACAGCGAGACTCCGACGAACTGGATCCGGTCGTGGGAGAACCCAAATTGCAAGGTCTTACTATTCGACGAGGTCAGACGAAAGCTGTGAGTATGCGAGACTTGTACCCGTTGCTTGTCATTCCCAGGGCCGTGAACTAATTACTCTTCCCAGGTTACTCCATTGACGAACCGTCCTTGACACTTTCCGCTGCACAAGTACGCCAGCAAACGCTTTCATGGACATATCGCGAACTGAAATTAGGTTCAACCCCACTCGAAGCTGCCAGGCGGAGGTCCACCCGTCCTCCATTTCCTAACGTCCTCCGTGAGGGTCCATCTGCCCCCGAGGACAGTACTAGTGACGCTACCGGGGGCGCGGGACAAGCGTCATCAGCAGATCCGCGAGCAGGAAAGGATATGTTTGACTCTTTACTGCAGCAGAAAACGGAGGGTTTTGCTAGGAAGCGCCAAGTGTCTCAGTTGAGCGCGCTCCGGCAGCTTGCGCTATCAATAGAGCAACAGACAGCGGCAGATGATGCTGAAGATAATGTTGAAACGTCTACGGAACAAACACCTTTGCTGGCAGCCAAGTCTGCGCGTCCTGTTGAGGACACCGAGATGCCCGATGTGAGCAGGCCTTTCAGAGCGGCCATCCAGGTAGAGGAAGGCTTCGCAAAACCTAATGGCGTACGTGGAACTTTTGGAAACGATGATGTGTGGGAGGACAGGGCCAGTGCAGAGGTCATGGACGAAGCCTACTCTAGCGGGCGAAAATCGTACGGCGGACAGTGTTGGGATAATTGTTTCCACGAAATGGTGCGGAGCCTCAAGCAATTTGAGATGCGAGATCTCCTTACGTGGAGCGGTTGGATTATGGCTGCGTTACCGGCTGTCGTTCTTGCTCTGATTCTCAATCTCTTGGATGCTGTAAGTGACTTTGAATGGAGAAGGCTCTCTGCCAAGTACTGAAATGACTAATTACTTCAGATGTCGTACGGAATCATCATCTTCCCGTCGTCTGATGAACATATGCCAGATACCGCCATTCAAGCTGGTATCTCCATGTTCTTAACTAGGTGAATCAACTGCGACCCGTTGGATTTTCTGGACGTCTCGCTAAAAAAAAAATTAAATATCGCAGCACTCTCATCTCACAATTAGTATACACCCTTGGTGGCTCCGCCTTCAAGGGAGCAGTGGGCAGTATGGTGGGTTCGTCGCCGTAAAATAAAGTCAGTTGAATGTGAGGTAACATGCTGTTATCGTACAGATGATTGAGGTCATGCCGTTTTTGCATATTATGTGTCGTACAGTGGAAGAGCACATGAACGGTGCTGACAGCAAGGCTATTTTGGCCACCATTATGGTCGCCTATGCAATGAGTACCCTTATGACTGGGATCGTATTCTTCCTATTGGGGGCCTTCAAACTGGGAAACTTGATTCAAGTACGTTGCTATTATCCTCGTTGCCAATGTCCTTGCATAACCATTTGTTTCTCTCTTTCTAGTTTTTCCCGCGCCATATCTTGGTCGGATGCATTGGTATGCAATATGTCCACATGTCCATACTTGTACCACCTGGAGCTAATGGCATCGATCGATTCTAGGTGGTATTGGACTTTTCCTGATCCTGACGGGAATAGAAGTGACCACCGGCATACCAAACGAGTACTCGCTAGAATGGATTCGCAACATCTTTACACCTTCCGCTCTAATGTTGTGGGGCTCCAGTCTGGGACTTGCCGTGTGTTTGAAGATTATGCAGCGTCGTATTCATCACCCACTATTTGTGCCAATGTTTTATGTCGCTGTGCCCGTCGTCTTTTTTATCATTGTGCTGGTTGCACGAATCCCGATGGACGAGCTTCGCCGAAGCGGCTGGCTGTTCCCAATGCCAGAGGGTGAACCAGCTCCGTTTTACGAGTTCTGGACGTACTATGATTTCGGCAAGGTCGATTGGACTGCACTACCTGGTGCGTTGTTGATCTGGACTCTAATAATACCATGCTCTGCTAACCTGCATGCTTCTTTTGTAGCGACAATTCCCACGCAGCTGGCCCTTACGTTCTTTGGCATACTCCATGTGCCCATAAATGGTTAGAGTCGGCGACAGCTGTTAAACCCTTGGTGCATGTTCCTAACGTAGCTTTAGTCCCAGCTCTTGCCGTGTCTACTCATCAAGATGTGGACCTGAACAGGGAGCTGATAGGACATGGCATCAGTAATTTTGTGTCGGGACTCTTTGGAGCCACACAGGTAACTAACAATTTAGCTCGACATCTACCGATCTACCGCTGCTTATGCAATTCATTCTCGTAGAACTACCTAGTGTACTCCAATTCTATTCTGTACATACGATCGGGCGGGGCCTCCATTACAGGTGGTCTGCTTTTAGCCCTGGGTACAGCGCTGGTCTGGATAGCCGGTGGCAAAGTCGTTGCCTTTGTGCCAACGATCGTCGTGGGCGCGTAAGTGAAGTTCGTTTCATAGAAGATCGAATGATACAGACTCGCTAAGTTTTCTCGTTATTAGGTTGATCTTCCATCTTGGCATTGACTTACTCAAGGAAAGCGTTGTGGATACTTGGAACACTGGGATTCACACCTTAGAGTATTTGACAATTTTATCCATTGTCACCATCATGGGTATGAGCATGCATTGTCAATGACCTGCTGGCAATTCTGTTGAACGCGAGGATATTTTGCCGGTTTATTAGGTGTCGTGGGGTTTACCGAAGGAATCGTGGCCGGTGTAATCCTCGCCTGCACGTTCTTTGGTATGTCCATTGAATTGAACTGACGGAAGTAGGAATGTCTAATCCAGGTCTTGCCATAGTGGTGATGTATGCTCGAAAATCCGTGATACGTGCCGTATATACTGGTTCGCAATTACGCTCGACCGTCCATCGATTGTACCGACAGCAATGTTTCCTTGATCAAGTTGGAGACCAGATCCATTGTATCAAGTTGCAAGGGTTAGTTATACCTAGTGAATATGTCATATTGTACTCTTTGACTGACGGCCCTTCTCTACATTTTCGTTTAGTTTTATGTTCTTTGGTACAATCAATCAACGTGAGTTGCTCTACGCTTGAAGTTCTTGTATATGGGAATCTAACCTCGTCTCACTCTCAGTGGACGTCTATATGCAAAATGTTCTCAATGAAAATCCGCGGATCCGGTACATTGTCCTTGACTTCTCTCTCATTTACGGCATCGACTATTCGGCTTTGGAAAGCTTCCATCGCATCAAGCGGATGTTGCGAGAGCGCAACACAGGTCTTGTTTTTGCTGGGTTGGCCACTGTTGGACGAACACTTGCGCAATCCGGGATTTTTGAGCATGAAGAGGAGCAGGATGCTCTGAATGTGCATAACTTTGGGAATCTGAACGAGGCTCTGGAGTGGTGTGAGAACCAGTTGCTGGTGACGTATTACGTCAAACAAGCGTCGAGGAGTAGTAGCGCTGCATCTTTGGGTAGGAACAAGAGTTTAATGTCGACACAATCTGGTCATTCACACTCACATTCATGCAGAAATACCTCGGCATACAGTTCCACCAGCTTTGAATGACTCTGGTTCCGTCTTTGGCATATCTCATTTAACGCCACGACAGCAGGAGGTGCATAAGGCTGCCTCCAAGATTTTGAAAGGTCAGGACCCTGATCCCCTTTGCTGATAAGTGCCTCTAATATTAATGCTGTACAAGTAGAAGACCCATTGCCTCCTCGCCCTGAACGCGAGGGTTTCCTTCCTGTGGCAATTCTCCTGCAAGCCTTCTCGGAAAACGCAGAGTATGATGCAGAACTATTGCACTTTTGTGAAGGACGCTTTCAACGAGTTACTGTGGCGAAAGGCACGATACTTTGGTTCCCCGGAGAGGAGGCGAAGGATTTGTATGTCATTGAGGAAGGGGAGCTAGCCCTGTTAATTGTGGAGCATCATAGATCAGGACAGCAAATGAAGGTGGTTGAGACGTTGTTACCAGGGACAATGGTGAGTCAAAGATACACTTGTCTTTCAAGGAGAATTCATTAAATTAACATATGTACAGGTTGGGGAGCTCGAAATGTTTACTAGTCGTCCACGAACCTGCCGTCTAGTGGCCAATGATGATTCCGTGCTGTGGAGACTGTCTAAAGAAACATTCGAACGCATGTCAGAGGAGAATCCCCAGCTCATGCTCAAGTTTGTGACAAAGATTGCCTTGTCTTTTGATGCCGTTAGGTTTTACAACACCGTGTACCATTGGGGTCAGTTGAAATAGAGGGTCAGATTGTGCTGTTGTAGGGGCATATAAGCATCTGGTGGGGGGCTGAACGTACTGTAAGGCACGATGTACTTGTATTATATAGCATGTGTATAGCATAGCCCACATTCAAAAGGATTGCACGAGATGATTACGTAGCGTTTGTCGCGCCCTGCGATCATGGGTCTTGGGTGCATTTGCGTTATACGTTTTTGTCAGAATTCAATCCCCAGTTCTTTCAATACCAACCCAGCGCGCAAACTAGCTGACAGCAAGTCAGAACCATGTCGTCGTCAAGTCTTCCTATTGCTGTACCTCCTACTGTAGCAGGCACCGCGCCCGGTATCTCCCAAAGCACAAGTACCAACAGTGCCGACCCCACCAGCGCCAGTAGCACCCTACCTTCCTCTAACGCCAGCGTTCCCCGTGCCCCTTGTCCGCCGAGTGTCCAACGAGAATGGTCGGATATTGATACAGACGATGGATGCCATGACCCTCTTGAAGCTCACTTGATGGTTACGGCTGAAAAACATTGGGGGACCACGCAAAAGTATAAAACAGAAGAGGAGGCTTATGGGAGAAAGTAGCATTCGGCCATCAACAGTGGCATTGTCTGGTACGATAAGGTCTCTAGCCTACGGATGGAGCAGTCGATATTTTATAGGTAGCTGGCATTTTTTGCTCTTGGCATCTTTTATGCACGACCGAGAGGGAATGGTTTGAATTGTATTATTGATGTTTTGAACGACAGAATCGGCTGCTGTTATGGATATGCATCGTTTTCTCGTCTTTAAATTTGTATTGCTTGATGTGCGATATCTGTGGGGTAAGCAGGTGCAATCCGGGCGTGACTCATCATCCCCGCTCCAAGTCGACGAATGTCCCCATCTCCGTCTACATTCTTCCCTGACCTCACATGGGACAGTGCTCCTTATGCTCCTCCTTGGCTCGCATCGTTTCACGTAGTCCGCTTTGCATACTTTCTCTTAGGTGCGAACCTTGCCCCTTATATCTTGTTTAGAGCGTTCGCGTGCGGCAGATTGGGGTGGGAGCATCATGGTGAGCTAGCTTTGAAGTATAGTAAACGTTCAGAGACAGCTGCTCATTTCATATATTAAATAGAAAAGTTTCCTGCAACCCATTATCGGGATCTTGTTCTGGTGATTGGATATGCTTTCCCATTGTTTGTCCTTGGCAACTACTCTGACACACTGAAGTGAGCAAGGCATATTTAACTCGAGTTTCCTTCACATGCCGTTCGTCTCTTACTGTTTGAAGTAACGTCAGCTTCCTCCTTTTTCAGCTGGATAACTCTCACCCTGCCCAACGTATCAATCTTCCTATATGCCTGGATTGCGGAACACCCATCACTTCGCCACAGTTTCGCAACGGTTCGAAACTGGCCTAAATTCATGTGGGCTACGGTGCTCGGTGCCGTTACAACTATCCTGGCCTTTGCTGCCTACCATATCTATCTGTCTTACGATCTGCGGGTACCGCGTGATATGTTTGAAGCCCAAGGTGGTCTCACAGGATCAGCTGTGACTGGTAGCATTCTCGGATGGTATGTCTTGGCGGTCATTGCAATTCCATTGGGTCTCCTGTTAGCGGCTGCCCTGACAGCATGGTGTCAGAACGGTGGGTGGGGCATGGTTGGATTGATCGTGCAGAAAATGAGGGGCGTTTGCAGGCAAGTCGCGGGAAAGCAAACAGGAAAGCCGCCTGCCCATCCACCAGTCGAAGGACCAGACACATCTGTTACGGATATAGTTCAGGGCATGACCGCAGAGCAACCTAATGGTATTCAGTCGCAGTCTGCATGGCCTCGAACCGTTTTCCACCCTCATCACTGGGCTATATTTTATTTTCTTGCGTTCTTCACGCGCTTCAAGGATCCAGTATCCCAAGCGGCTGCCGGTATTCTCATGGGGATTTACATGCATGGAGTAGCCGCGTATGGATATCATGACTTACTAGAAACGTGACGGACGTTCAAAAATGTTAATTTGCATTATGTTTGCGTATGTACAGTGAATGTATTTGGCTCACTTAAATATGTTAGAGAACATTCTTCTTTCCTTTTCACGATGAGCTCTAAGCTTTGTTTCTAGCAATTGCTCCTCTTTTCGGAGCTCGGTAAATTCAGGTCCTGCCTTTGCATAGTTGCCCGCTTCTAGTATGTTCCTCAATTTTTCGAAATCATGTTGCGCAAGGTCAAGGTCCCTCCCTATCTGCAAAAAAGCTTGTCCTCGCCGAAATAGCGCCTTGACATTGGTAGGATCCTGCTTGAGGACTTCGGTGCACTGCGGTATTACCGATTCGGGATCCCCCAGTTTGAGTTTGCAGGCAGCATAGTTTAGTCTGCATGCCTGCATCAAAGCATTGAGAGTGTCAAGATTGATTTCATTGTCGACCTCAGACTTGGTATCTTCCGTTTGACTGTCAGACTCAAGGTCTGCTGATTGCCGAGATTTCTTTCCATCAGCCACCTGTGCTCTTTGCATGTCCATCACCGTCGAACTCATTGATACGCTTTCCAGTAGTGCAAGCGCTCGCGTGTACTTCTCCAATGCTTGTGGGTATCTTCCTTCCTTGTAGAGCTTGCCACCCTCCTCCTTCCGTATTGGCGCTTCACGGTACTTATCGATGGTTTCCATCTCCCACGGTTCTCGGACATACGAGTCGGGAGACTGCACGTCGACGAGCTCAATTTCAAACTCGAGTGGAACATTGTACAGCTCCGCAAGGTCGCTTTGCGACTCCATCTCCTGATGGAGAGCATGAGCGCAGCATCCGTGTACTCTGGATGTGGGTAGACCTTGCTTCGCCTTGTTCCGGTTTTCCCTCTCTTGCTTCAAGACCTTGGCCAGTTGTACATAACCCTAGAGTGAATCGTTAAACAGCCAGCACAATGCATCCTTAAGACATTGGACCATGAACTCACTTCACAATACTCTGGCATGCAAAGAAATCTTGACCGTTCGCCCACAGTCATTGTTTTCACACACATTTCCATGGCTTTGACTGAAAAACTGAATCCAATCCGAAGCTCAAAAGGCCTCTCTGGATCATCTTCGCGTGAATCCCCGACTTTTTTCCGTTTCGGTTGAGGGAACTCTCTGTTTGCACTCACTTCAACATCCTTTGTTGCGGTACGGGTGTGGGAGCAGCATGGTCCATTTCCATGTGTGTGGCCCGACTTTGCACTATGGTCATGTCCGGAACCTTGAGGTGAAGATTCCTTCATAGGTTTCCCATAAGTGTAGACTTGATAGTGGAAGCGGGCATTTGCCCCGCGAACCCACTGCGGTCTCGGCTTTGTCTTATCGCCGTCTCGTAGAAGGATTTTTAGGATACCTCCGTCTGGCGTGACTTTGTCCATTTTGGACATTGGATCTTCCATGGCGACGAATATGAGACTGGTGGACGGAGAGTGATGGCGATGATAGTTTGAAAGAAACAAGGTCCTGGTATCAGCGCGTCAAAAGATGATAATTGGACGCAAAATAGTGTGGGCTCTAGAGCTGGATAACAGTCATCTCGACAGTGTTTCGGAGATCTAGCTGGCTCTTCTTCTTACTACTGCCACTGTACAAAGTCGGAATAAGCTTACGCTACTTGCGCGACAGCGTCGACTTCGCGGATTCTGTACAACACGGCTTACGCAACACTCCTATGCTCATTACATGACTAGACAAGTGGGACAGTTTACACACATGCCATCTTTCTTCCTTTATTTGTATTCGGCGGCCAAGCAATCAGGTTGAGGACACGCTATCACTATTTCAAATATCGACCAAAGTAGAGCCGAGTAATACAAAAGAGGGTGAAAGCAGCTCAAAATCAGGCCAGCCGTTGAACCCGTCTAAAATTTAAGAGAGGATTTCAGCAGAACTGATCTTCCTCTTGTCGCTTTCGACCGATGTCACTCGGCCGAGTTATTATCCTTACTCAAGAGTTGCGGCAAAGAATCAAGGTTGGGACCAGGAGAAGGCGCTTTATATATGGTTCTAGTTGCCATGGCTACGATGGAGAATTCTGGTCACCTGATGTGGTGAACACCTGGCTTACACTCGTTGGGTGTCAGAGCACAGCTCTCCAGTTTCCCATTCTTGTCCATAATGAGCGCGCTCACCAGGTAGATGGTTCCGACATTTCTTATGCAGCTGGTTTACCTCTCGTGTCGAGCCCGAACTACCCCCTCCATCGGTCTAGTGCCGTCGGAGAAGTCAATATTCGAGTGTTTGTGGTCTCCGTCGTCCACAGCGTCGTGATATCTCTCACTGCAGGGCCCGTTGGCTTCCCTTGTTTACGTTCAGTGGATAGGAGAATTTGAAAAATGCGTCACGGCTCCCCACCTGTTCGAGGCTCCTCGCCCATGGTGGCTGCGTCAACGGCGTCACTGTCCTCTTCAGCTGGGGCGCAGGCAAACTTTTCAAGCTCAAGCCGTATGGGAAGCACGGGACGGGCGGAGCAGATTATTCAAAACGTGTATTCAAAAGTGGCTCAAGTCATTGTTCAGGCGCGCGCTACTGAACACGCTCGAAGATCTTTGTCGTCGGGCAGAAAGCTGAACAAATGGGTAAGAACATCCACGCCATCTTGTGCTAGATGGGCTACATGTGTCTAATCACGATTCGATTGTTTAAATCATAGTTCAATTTGGAAACTTTGGATATTGAAAGTCTAAAGGAAGAACTGAAATATTGGCGGGCGCATGCCATAACGTCGCCACAACCTCCTCCACTCATCATCGACATATTCCTGGATCTATCAGCATTGACAGCAAGTCAAGTTTTGATGCTTCGTGACGAACTCACTCAACGCCGTCAGCGGATTGGACACGAGCATCTGCAAGCGGTAGATCCATCTACCGGCATTTCTGGGCGCCACAAATCGGTGCTTTTGGAATCGTGGCAGTTGACGTTGTCGTAAGTTTATTACGTCAAGCTTCAATACGCAACAGATTACTGATACTGTGATCGTCTCTTCAGACATCCAATAGCGTCACAGGCACCTGAGCTCCCCGTGGTCTATAAAAAGTCTGTTGCTCTGTTCCGCTCATTGTATAGCTATGTTCGGCTTCTGCCGGCATATCGATTGTATAGAAAGCTGCGAAGGCAAAAGGATGGGAATCTGGGCATCGGCTACAGACTGTCAACCTCACGGGTAATGCCAGTTGATGAGGCAGGGCTTGGTAAGTACTATCACAGGATATCGAAGTGCATTGCTTTCCTGTATGTTCATTACTGGCCTTGCAGATCAACTCCACAGTAGCGGCGACATGCGACGGGGCCTTTCAGAGTACAACTTTGGATCCATAGATACCCCATTTGGGTGAGTACACCGCCGCCGTCGCTGTACGGCGAAAACCCAAGACCTCCACGCTTACGGTGTCATATCTTACAGTATTCCGCTCTTCATTTTATTTCAGAGTGTTTAGTCTTCACGTTAATTACCGGTTGGAATGCGACTTTTCCGTTGAGGATCCCGAGGCGGTGTTGGGCACCCGCCTTGGAGATATGGACGAGCACTACTTTTCTCCCCGATCGTTGGACCGAGCCCGTGATATTGGAAGTGGACCTTTGTTATTACAGCAAGCTCGCCGCAGCAGTTCTTCATCGAGTCGTCGCGGGGTTATTCATCAGAATGATGACATGACTAGAACAAGTTCTGCTGGTTCGTTGCCGCGGCGGACGAGTCGTTATGGATCACAAACGTCGGTGCACTCACAGGACGGATTTCATACTGGGAGAGATTATGGTAGGGGAGGCGTCCCTCCAGTCAATATTCCGCCGGGATCATTACCGACTCGTGTAGGACATCGCCATTCGTATTCGACAGCGTCAACTTCATCGTCACCGGGAGTTTTCCAGTTCCAAAGGACAGGGACTCCCTCTCCTTCTTCCCATCACTCATCCAGCCAGCAACATCTGATGGATCGCAGACAGTCATGGCAAGTATCACCGGCTTCTAACCCATCTGTGGCCGCGTTCACTCCCCCATCTGCTGCGTTCAGCATGGGAGGTCGTCAGGATTTTGAGAATGCTCGCTTTAATGAACCGCCACCGTTTTCGGCAAACACGGATGTTGCGGAACCCCAGGTGGTACCAGAGATTCTCACGGCTGATGTAATTCCGTTTACCTCTCATAGTCCGCCGTTTGATATGCAGTTATCTAACAAGGTAGGTTTGGACTCAGCAAGCCATTTTTGCATGTGAATCGCTTCTCATACGTTTTGCAGACTCATGCGAAATCCGTACTTGCCCATCGTGCCAGCTTCTCTGTTTCGCGTTCAGCATCACCGGTATCCACGGATCTGGCGCGTCGTCCATCCGTAACTTTCCCGACCGCTTCTGTCCCCTTCAAAGCCGATATTTCGCATTCACCGCCTTCCTTTTTTACTCCTAACTCTTCATCACTCGGCCGTCCGCTCCCGGCCGGATATAAGCTTTCTCCTCCGCCGTTGGCAAACTTGGTGAGTGTGTACCGGAGCGCAGAATTGGGCTGCGCCCTTTAACTTACTACTACTGCCAAATCTTGCAAGAGTTCTGGGAGTGGGTCCAGTGCAATGGAACTCGGTGAATTCTTCCGGACGCTTGAACTCGGTCGGCGCTCTCTGAGAATCTCCGATACGCCAAGCGGTGAGGGTACCGCTTACGGAGTAGACAACTGCGGTCCTGGAGGGCATGAAGGATCAATTATGAATGCGGCCGATTCTTCTTTAGCCAGACTATCCAGAACAAAGGTGGTTATTTGTTGTTCAGTGTATTGCAGACATTCGGCGAGAGGAGTAGCTAATCTTCTTTCCTAATCTCAAGCTGGTACTGGCTCGGTATCGAGAGTTAAATGAACTTAATGCGGCCTTTTCGAATTCTCTTTCAGAATTCATTGCATCCGAAGAACTTGACGGTCCGTCGGAGATGGGCGAATCACATCCGCAGGCAGTAGTCGAAACCATCTCACCGAGCAATGCAGATCCCACGGATCTTGTACTATCTCCTCGGCCATTGGATGCCATAGAGGATTCAAGAAGATTGGAACAACATGACGACGCGGAATATCCCGTTCTGGACACAGAAAGCTTCGCGTTTGATGAGGCCATCGATCGCCCTCGTGTAGGACGAGCAAATTATCCAAATTCCTTGCCTAATCACCTTCAGCCCGTTTCTCACCAACACCACCTTGATCCCACAAGTAGCACACCGATTGCGATGCCTCGAGACCACTTGTCTGGCGGGAGCCCTTTTATGAGGAGAGAGCACAATGATTCGCACGGAGCTGCGCATTTGCGACGGCGGTCGGTCGCCACCCTCCTTCCCGACCACGATCTTGATAAACACCCAGGTCGTCCTCCGGATCGGATGTCTCCCGATCCTCCGATCGCGTCTCCGACACCGAGAACTCGGGATTGGATCCATTCAACTGAATCGTCGCATCATGTCTCTCGACCCAGTATGCATTTATCACCGGGTTGGTCAGGAGGGCAGCGGGATCCTGCATTCCCTTATGGGATGATACAGCAGGAGTTGACCTCAACTCGCCTTTCTAATCCCAGTCATGAATCTAGTGAGGAGGACGAGGAGTTACTGTTTAACATGAGCGGATTAGATCTATGTGATAGTAGGGAGTGTATGTAAATTCAGGAGATTACCGGGTGGGTGATGGGAAATCTAATAAAGTGTATATATCCTGCAATACATGACTATGTACAAATGGATGCCAAGTTTCCAAAAATTAAGCTATTGCGTTGATGCGCTCTTCTTTTTCTTTTTCTTTTTCCCAATCTTTTCTCTGTCCAAGTATGAAGATAGCACATCCCGTGGCTTCTTGATGGCTTTGGAAGATGTTGCGAGTCTATGTAAAAGCTCCTCCTCGTCATCTCCAACTATTACAAACGAAAACCAGTGAGCATGATAAACTCGGAACGAGCGCGAGGCAACGAAGCCAACCTTTTTGCTCCACTGGTTTACGTTTTTCCGAGCCTTCCAACCTCGAGTCTGCTTCCCCTCTTCCGTTCGGGTCCAAGCTCACGGCACCATTCGATCCTACATTGCCCACCAACTTTCTTTTCAGTTGAGCCTGACGTTTAGAGGCGGCAGGATCGCCCGAATATAGTGCTGTTACACTGTAGTAAAGGAATAGAATTAAGTACATGGCTTTGGGGACCGCTGCATCGTCACGAGTGATATCACCTCGTCTTTACGGAAGGTTGTTTCTCCCTTTCAGAAGGTGATGGTTTAGGAAGCCAGCTAGAAACCAACTGGCGTACAAGACCAACTGATACTTCAGCTTTTGCTCTAATGTCCTCTACATTTTCGTCCATAATGAATTGGGAGGTAGATCATGCATTGTTTCCGTTTTCTCGACGATAGTGTAATCTGAGATTAGCCACGTGAGCTGCGCCACTTGAGGAATAACAAGATATCGTCAAACGATGCAGATATTATATCCAATGAATCATTCCTTCCCAGAACACGAATTTTGGTATGCTTTAGTTATTACCATGGTCATATAAGTAGCTAGTTACTATCCAATAAAGTATTGCTAATCTAACGAGCTATTTCGAGGTGTCATCGTATACGACTGTTTTAGTCGGATAACGCCAATGTCAGAGCGTCCAAACAGATCAGACAAGTCTGCGCCATGCAGTTGATGCACCACCTCACGGGGCATTCGGTAGCGGAATTATGTTTGGAAAGAATGGCAGGGGTGCAGAGCTATCAGTGATTATTTTTGTTACTGGAAGGATAGTGGGTTGCAAAAACATTATAAGGAGTATCTTGTAGCACTATCTATGGATTGAACATCATCAAGCCCGTAGCACGACATTTCTAGGGGCTATAGCGGTATGCGTAGACCAGATCTGCGGTTTGGTGAAGCCGTTAGCGTAAGCTAGTTGGATCACATATAGTAGTGTAACTAGCGTATTGCCAACAAAAAGAAAAGCGAATGTTAAAAGTTATGTGCTATATTCGGCAGTAGCCAGGAATCATCAGTGATATGAGAAGTGTTACCAATCTCGATCGTAATAACTCCGACGCGTCATTAGATCGGTTATTACTAGCAGAACAAGTGCTCAACAAGTGGTAGAAACGAGAAAGGGCAATGACATTGCAAGTCTCTGACTACCTGGACAGTTATCTTCAGCTGTGTAATGAGCGAGATGTGTTCGTAATTGGATCGTTCAGGAAGGTTTGTAGCTGGCCAGTTAATTTCGAGTCCGGTATTCTACAATATCAAACTTTCTTACCACTTTTTGTTCCATGCACTTTTCTCCTATATTCCCAGTCTCTGCAAGGTGCGGTAGAAGGCGGGTAGGTCTTACGGCATTATATAGGAAATTTGTTATGGTCCTACTGACGCTCAATGTTGGCTTGCAGTCCAGTCCCAGAAACATTCAAACTTAACGGAAATCAACCTGACTTGTCAAATGCCCGTCTAAAGGACTCTTATATCGATATAATTTTGAGTCCTTTATCACGTTCTGGGGCATTTCTACGGGAGTTGGATTTAAGTTGTAATGAGATTGGCGATGTGGGCGCAGGGGTACTAGCCGCTTTCCTAAAGGTACATCTTAGCTCCAGGTTGACGAACAGTTTTGTTTTTGTTAATGTATTCTGACTATTTAGTTCACCAGGACGATATGTCACTAGAGGTACTCGATCTGCATTCAAACAATATTGGTTCCAACGGTGTGACAGCTTTAGCAAGAGCATTGCATGTCAATGATAAATTGAATGTTCTGGATTTGAGCGACAATGTGGCTGGGAACGAGGGAGGAATGGAGCTGGCAAATATGTTGCAGGTTTGATACTGGACGAGATTTGAGGTGCTTTTGACTAACGGGTTTCCTAACCGTCTCGTGAAATGACAGATAAATTCCACTCTAACACACCTACACTTGCGCAACACGTTCCTTACGGCTACTCCGCTGGTAGCGCTAGCAACTGTCCTCCGGAACAACACCACTCTCATCAGATTGGATATCTCAAATAACCACCATTACACAACCAATCTAACACAGTCACTCTCAAACGATGTCATGATGCATATGACCAGGATGCTTGCGCTGAACTATACTTTGAGGGAGATTGCATTGGCGAAGATGGGAGTGACGGACTGGCAGGTTATGGAATATTGGGCTCGAGCTCTAAAGACGAATCTACGGATTGAAATGGTTGATCTGAGCTGGTGAGTGACTTGTCTACCATGTGATTTCGGTCCTGAACTAGACACGATTTCTGCCATGCTCTATGCAGTAATCGCATTTCACGGGACGGAGGAGTATCAATATGCAGATCATTGTATAATCACCCATCACTCGGCACACTCAAGTTGAGCCGGTGTTCAATTCAGGATGAGGGAGCAGAGGCTGTTAGCCAAATGCTGCAGAATAACTTTGGGCTTCAAAGGTTGGTCCATATCTGGATGTATCACAGGCAGCGTTGCAACCAAAGGCTTATTTTCTGCATTAAATATCAACTAGTTTGCATTTGGACTACAATGCCATAACAGGAAAAGGGCTCGTCGCCATCGCTCAAGCGTTCACAAAGAACTTCTCTCTTAAACAGATCAAATTATGGGGCAACAAGTGGGATGTGGAAGCTTGCGAGGTCGGCATATCAATTACGAACTGACAGTTTCGCGCTACTTTGCTGACACTTGATCAATTTGCAGGCTTGGGCAAAACTCGTGGGTGGACCTGTTGCAAACATTGCATACGGTGATGATCTGAGCGGGACCATTGTTGAAGCGAATCAAATGTTTCCTCGCGATGGCCGAAGAACTGTCAGTGTGCGGGCGCTCTCAGCCAAAGAGAAGGGAGCAGGCAATGTGCAACCACGGAATTACGATGACCCTAGAGTCAACCGAAGATTCAAAGAGTCGGAGATAGACGTAGTATTCTATGCAGTTGAGGGTGTATTAAGTGTTGCTAGAAGAGATTGATTGCAGGTGCAGCTGGTAACGAGTCCATCCTGATTGAAGGCGTTTAATGTTAGCTTTGTGGCCCTTCCTTCATAGCTTCGAAAGCCAATCATTGTCCCGAAAATTATCCGCTACGTCAGCTGCTACAATGCCCCGCATAACATGCCAGCACTTGTCCAGTTTGACAAAACATAAACATCGCGGTCTGTTAACAGTCATCGGTCAACAAGGCTGACCAGATCGCCAAACTTTGGCGGGCTGAAGCAGCCGCTAATATTGGAGCCAAGGATATCGGTGCAAGCTGGGTATAAAACAAAGGTCACAACCAAGGCTGTGCAGTCACAAAAGGGAAAGAAACACATACAGGGATCGCGGTGAGGTGAGCGGGGATATATGTCGATCGCGGGGCGGAGGGAAGATAGGAAAAGCCGGCTGGCGTATTTATGGCAGCAGGTTCTTGTCGGAAGGCAAATGACGTGCAAGAGGACCGGGCGACCCGGATACAGCGTGAGAATCGTGGCGGCATCGTAAAGTTAGGTAGACCAGTTGAACTACAGAACTCAATCGCTGTTTGATTTCAACCCGTTGCCGTGGCAACTGCATTGACGGCTGCCTGAAGGCTGGTCGGAACAGTCAACATCCTTCCATCAACCGGGAGGATCCCTTGATTGCGTCGTCCACCTTTTTCACCATGTTGTCTGCAACTCGAACCGTTCTTGCTCGCCGGCTTATGGTAGAGTAGCGTGAAAGTGGGCTTTTGTGTCTTTCAATCATTACTGACGCTCCAACCTTCCTTTTGGTCACCCAATGCAGACCCGTGCTCCTGCGTGTTCCCGTGCCTTCTCTCAGGTATATTCCTCTCGATTCCAGCACACACAGTAGATGGACTACTTTGCCAAACTTTGGAGCATATCAGTGACTTGTTCATGCCTTGCAGACCCCCGCTTCCCTTGGCCTCTTCAGCGACTACGTTAAAACCCTCAAGACCAATGTCAAGGAGATTACCTCCGAGCAACTGAACGCAAAGCTCACAAAGGATCCTGTCAATGGCCCACCACCTACGGTACATGTTCTTGACGTCCGGTAAGTGTCGACTTGGGTAGACAATGCGCGTTCGTACGCGACCTTGCTAGACGCTCACCGCGTTTTCTTCACAGCGAGACATATGAATGGAATGAAGAGCACCTTCCTTTTGCTGTGTACACGGGAAGAGGATGCCTGGAACGGGATATTGTAAGTACTGGTCTTCTTTTATCTATTTATGGGGCATTTTGTATGGGGAATGGTTGGCAATTAGGCAGGTCCCTCTGCCGATGACAGCCATCATATCAAGTTCCAGAAATCGATGCGGCTGTGCTTGATAGACGAGCTGTCGTCCACCTCCAGCGCTAGTTATACCTGCGACTTACGATGATGGTTGTGACTTTTCTAGGAGGGCCTCATTCCGGATCAGTTTGACGAAATTATCCTCTACTGCGCTGGAGGAAACCGGTCGATTGTTGCTGCCGACTCGCTTCAAAAGATGGGCTACAAGAATGTGTACAGCTTGGCTGGTGGCATTGGTGGATGGAAAAAGGACGGATATCAAATTGTGCAAAACTTCAAGACCTACTCTGATCAAGTGAAGGGATACTAGGCCAGAGCTGTGCGCATGTCATCGTAGTTTAGACTACAAAATAAATATATATCGCATCTAGATGCCATACAAATGTGTTTTATGTTGATCAATATGCATTGGCCCTGGGGGCAAAAAGGCCAAATGGACGAAAGTTTCTGATTGGGGGGCACAGCCATGATCAATATCACACTTTTCACGTGTTTACGTGGTCTGCGATGCAGTGTGTCAAACAAGTGTCCTTTCCAAAAGGTGTGTGTGCTGCGAAACCCTGGGGCTGGCGGTGAGCGGTTGGGGGTTAACCAACCAAGATACCAAATACAGCAGCAAGCGAGATGCCAATGCTCAATCCGGCAGCGAACGGTGCTGAGGGCACAGAACGGCAGCGGAGGAAGAAGACATCAAAGAGCTTGCTGGATTTCTCACTGCATTTGGACGAGAATCGAACAATTTTCACCCCTGGGCAGAAGGTTGAGGGTCATTTACTCGTGTCCTTCTCCATACCCTCCGAGGTCAAACTCCTTCGCATTCGATTTACTGGTGTCGTTCAGACTCAACTTTACAAATCCGACAACAGGTAACTCTCACTACGTGCTTGACTTTATTACACGCAATCTCATTCTCCCTCTAGTAGCTTGACAAGTCAGAATACCTCGACAGTCACACTATTTAAAGAAATTCAGACGTTCTGTGGTAGCGCTGTGCCTGGGGAAATACCAGAGGTTATCCCTGCTGGGGAGCACCGTTTTCCTTTTGCTTTTAGAGTCCCGCCGACTCAATTGCCGGCATCGTTTGAGGTAAGTAGTGGGTTGACTATCGCTATTGGTACATGAATCTAAGCGATCTGATGATCCAGGGACCATATGGTCGGGTCAAATATGAAGTTGCGGCAGGTGAGAAGTGAAAAGACATTCATCGTTAATCGCATGAATTAATCCTTGTCCGTGTGCGCAGTATTGGTTCGGCCGCACCATATGAACAAATTGACGTATCTCAACCTGACGATTCCCTCGACTATGGATGCCACTGACCTCGATTTGATGCAAAGTGCAACCGCTACTGCGGAAGGTCCAGTGGGGTTTTGGTGGTGGCGGTCAGGGCACTTGGAAGTGAACGTGAGCACTCCCAAATCGGGTTATGCGTCGGGTATGGAACTCGCAGCCAAAATACCAATATATAAATCAATGTTGATTGTGATCCTTTTTGCAGAGGAGGTTGTTCCAGTCAAAGTGGAAATCACGAATCACTCTGGAAGTGGTACAATTCTAAAGGAAGTGTATCTGAAGCAGCGTGCGACGTACAAGACGTTCAATGAGTAAGTAGCATACCGTTAGTCATGCTACAATGGAGACTGACAGCGTGTTTAGGACACGAGGACCGAAAACGGAGCGCATTCACCGTCTCGCATTTACGGAGCATTACCCTAGTACGACCCGGAGAGTCAGTCGAGTCATAAATTTTCCCATTCCGTCTACCAATATCATGTCCCCATCCATCAATACGACGATCCTTGACGTCACACATTTGTTGATTGTGAAAGTCTTGAGTAAAGCCAAGTTTAGTAAACCGATAAAAGTGGAGCTTCCCATTGTGATAGCGGGATTTCCTGCTGTGTATTTTGACAATAACTTGACAAGGATGAGTGTGGACACCTTACCCCCTTATGAGCAATCTGAGACTGTGGGGAGACGGCGGAGTAGCACTGTGTCACGACTCAGTCGGGACTTTATCCGTGGTCGGCGTTCACGATCCACTACACGAGAGCGAAGCAGGAGCCGAACCCGAACCTGGAGCATAGGGCGGAGGGGAAGTAGACACAGTGGCTCCAGCCAAGTTGGAGCGGACTGGGAACCGGTCGATGGGGTTGCGCCGGACCTTCCTCCTGTACCCGAACTGCCGGCGCACCTTCGAAGAACTGTCGTTGGGCTGCCCACAACAACCGACACGTTTGTATCTCTCCCGGTCACTCGGGCACGCGGTTCAACCATAAATGCAGAACAAGCCGCAGGGACATCGATGCCAGGTGGGGATACCGAGACGTGTGGCACGACCCCCGTCAATGGCCTATCGATGGCAAGACAGATGGAGCGGCACTCACGGAGGGCCTCTGTGGTCCTCACGACGGGTAATCATGGGATTGAAGGTGAATTTGGCAGTATTGGAACAAGAGTGCAGGAAGATGCTGTGGAAAGTACCCAAGGGGCTTCAATAGATGGGAAAGAGATTGCTGGCAATCAGGACGAAGCAACAGATCAGCCTTTGGAAAGTGCTTTGGAAAGCACAGCAGGTTCTGCTACGCAAGTGTCCAGCGTTAATGTTGAGCAAGACGGTGCAACGCACAGCGATTTAGAACCAGAGTCGGACGTTACGACTGTAGACGAAACCAAGAATGATGACACACATACATTTGAGCAAGCAAGGGAAGGACATGATGAGAACCCGTTGGTTGCGCTACGAAACAAGGATTCGGCAATTATCTTGGAAAACTCTTTGTAAAATACTTTTTGGTTTTTGATTTTGATTTATTTGGGATGATTTTTATGTTTTTTACATGTTTTTTGAAGAATAGTCATCAGTTATATATGTTTGGATGATGTAAAGTAGATCGAGTGTATAGTATATAGTCCTGGAAGAAAAAAGTATTTTTATATCGAGTCTGGTTGTTTATCTTTTTTCATAGTGTTTTTATTGATCTTCTAATTTCTGCCACGTAGTGTGCGATTTTGGACGATGACGATTATATGAGTCATCCCACCCATCAACGCATTCAAAAAGCTTGGCACTCAAGCGGTACTTGCATCAAAACCACCATCAAAAACCCATCCCATTGTTTATTTTTTTTTTCTAAACATCATGTCGCTATTCAATCAGCTAGTATACTACATGCTCCTCACTGAGCTGACATTTTACCTGTTAACACTCATTCCTTTGAGTTTCATCCCAATACCAACGTACGTGGCATCCCCACATTTCCTTACACACATGTTTCTAACATATGTTCCAAACAACAGCCGCAAAAGAATCATGAACAGCATCTCAACCCTCGCAAGAAAAGATCCAATTGTATGGACAGCACGGGTGATATTCCTTGTAATGGCACTCGTGTTTTGGGATACGGTGACGAGGTTGTATCGTATGGAGACTGAGGTGCATCCTAAAGAGGAGGGACATCATTCGCATTTGGATCCGATGGGTATGCAAGGTTTGGACATTTTGTGTTGTTTTTGGGGTGGGATTGTGATGGGGAGCTGATTTATTTTTTGTGTGTGTGTGTAGCGGATTTACAGCAAAAGGCTCGTCGTGTATGTTGAGATTTTTTGTAAAAGATTTTTTGGGATAACGATGGGGTACTAACATGTCATTACAGTTTTATACGCAACGAAACTTGTACTTGTCCCTCTTTGCCATTTTTATGATCCTGTACGTACATGCCATTCGGGTTTATTCGATTGATTCATCTCAACGCGATTCTTACCCTTGTGTGTTTTTTTTAGCGTCGATTATCGTCGCGTCAAGGACCTCTACCTCCAACTCGTATACCAAGAAGAAATTGTCGATTTAAAAAAAAAGATTCGGATGGTGTCGGGGCAGGTTGAGACGTTGACGCATGCTGCTGCTGCTGTTGATGGAGAAAAATTGGAAAAGGTGATTAGTAAGGAAGAAGTGGATGGTGGTGGGGTGCGGAAGAGGGGGGTGGTGGTGGCTGATGCGAGTGAGTAAACGGCGGGTTTGGATTTTGTAGGAGAGAGAGGGGAGGGCTGGTTTATGATGATGCGAGGATGTGGTCGTGGTTTTTAGGAGTTTTGGGTCGAGATTTTCTTCTGCTGTTTTTGCATATTGGGGTAATATGATTTTGTTTTGGACTGTTGCTGCACTTTCTTTTTCAACCACGCCATGTTTTGTTTAAACTACGTTTGCACTCAAGTTTAAAGTGTGGTATAGACCGAGTATTGATAAAATTCGACATCATCACCCATATTTGTTCATGGCATGATGAAATTCTTGCAGGGTGTGCAAGTGACATTCCATCGTTTTACGGATACGCCAAAAAAAAGGGGGATTTGTGCAGTGGTATTCTGTATCTCAGGCTGGATTTTTCCTTGTTCTCTCAAGTTGGTTTTTTCAAATACCAATAGGATATAAAAGTCCATGTTTTCGTAAAATTGCTCTAGTATTCTATTAACAAAACCCACACACACAAAACACACGATCAAACTCCACTTAGTCATCCAAAAACCCCATACCACCTTTCAACCCCCCCAAAAGCACCTCCCCCTTCTCCACCTCCCCTATTTCCCGATACATCCCAACAAGCCCAAAAAGCGTCTCATCCAAAACAACAACACCCTCACTCTGCATCTCCAAAAAAATCCATTCAGCAAGTTCATATTCCCCAAATGCTATATGATTCGCAATAGCCGCTCCAAAAGCCCTTGACAAGAACAGTGGGTGCAAAGAGAGGCGTCGTAGGTCTTTAATGTAATATTGGATCGTTTCGGTCGGGTAGAGATGGACGTAGAGGTCGTATACGACTTTAAGGGATCCAATATCAGGGAGAACGTCATGGGAAAGAAGAGTTTGAAGGACATCTAACGCAGAATATCGATCCCTCGTTCGAGCATAATACCGTAAAAGCGGTGTAACAACAATACTATTCGGCGTAAACTCTTTTGCAAGTTGAGTTAAATGGTTAATCGCCAAATGAGGGGCATTGAGACGACATAATGCGGAGATAATGGTTGAATAGGCTACAAGGAGGGGTGGGTGGCGATGAAAGGGGGATCGAGAAGTTTTGACGAGTTTAGGATGGGTCCGAGAAGATGGGTCAAGTGTTAATCGCCGTAAAAGACGTAACGCAGTCTGCATATCACCCGATTTGGTAAAAGCGTGAATAAGGGTACTCGTCAATACCGGGTCAATAAATTCAGAATGTTTGTTGGCCCATTCGGCGATCGACAGGGCTTTGGTATAATTTTTTGTGCGGATGCAGGCGTCGACGAGCATGCTGAGTATCACGGGGTCGGGTGTACCGTTTTTGGAGTCTAGGAGTTGGGTGTAGAGGGTTTGGGCTTGCTCGGTTTGACCCGTACGGATTAGGCTGTTGATCCATGTTGTCCGGAAATGACCCAATTTGTCCTTGTATCCCAATGATTGGTATTCTTGGATAATATCCAGTGCGGAGGAGAGGTTGTTTTGTTTCATGTAGGCGGCGAGACAGCTGTTGAGGAGCTTGGGTGTTGGTACGAGGTTTTTGGAACGGAGGTCTTTGAGGAGGGTTTCGGCTGCTGGAAGATTGCCGAGTCGAAAGTGGGCTTCAATGAGGGATGTGTAGGCGTATACGGTGGGTATCACGTTGAGGGATGCGAGAGAGGACATGTGTCGTTCGGCGGCAAGGATATTGTCTTGGAAAACGTATGCTTCAATCAATGCGCCGTGAATGTCGGGGGTTTGGGGTACACCCCGTGCCGTCATATCATGAAAATAGGTTTGTAGCTGATCATGAGTACCATGTCGACCCACAGCAATTAATACTTGTCGATACATTTCTTCACTGGGTACCTCCCCACTCGCAACATACGTCTCAAAAGCACTCTCCACCGCACTCACGTCTCCCAATTGTCCAAAGGCTTTGATCTTTTGCGCAACCGCCCAGGCCGGTAACGGTCCTTCCCGCTCCACATCCTCAAGAATCCGCAACGCCTCTTTGGGTCCATACCGATACAAACACGCATCCACCAACATTTCATTCAATTTGGGCAAAAGTAACCCCCGCTCCTTGAATCCAGTGTACAGTCGTACCAGCCCTTCTAGCTTCGATGCAGATCCTACACGTTGTATAGCCAAGACCAACATGTCTACATCCGGTATCATGTCCGATCCCAGCATGGCGTCCACCCATTCGAGGGCTTTGGTATCTGAAAACGTTGACCCGGCATGCTCGACGAGTAATTTGTAGTCTTGGATACTCCATGGACTACCGTGTGTCCAGAGGGCTTTGAGGACGTGTCGGATGGTGCGAGAGATTTCTTTGGTGATGGGGGCGGATTGGAGGAGGGTGAGAAAGTCCCGTAGGGTGGACGTATCAAGAGCCGTCTTACTCGCCTCGACTTGCTCAATCCCCTCGCGCTCGTAAAGAGACGAAAAATGCACACAAGCCACAGAAACATTTCCTTCCTTTACAGCCGTCCGAAAAAGCATTGCATGATCCTCCCCGTCTCTCTTTCTGTCGCTTGTCACATTGCTTCGTACGTCGATCCTCTCCATGTCGTGCAGTGTGTTATCCTTGACTCCATTCAACGATCTATGATTGTCCCCAGCAACCGCCAACCCCCTCCTCCCCCACAAAACTCTTGAACAAGAACCCACCACCCGTAACCTACCCCTCAACACTCTCGTCACCCCAATGACAAGGCGCATTATCACTGTTATTTTTGACTGCGACTGTTAACCCAGGTGTCGTGGGATCTTGCATGTCGACGTTACCATACCAACAGCGCACGGAAGATGAGATAATCACGATCACGGTAGCGTAAGCCGATGTGACAGGGAGCATGTTGACAGCAGAGGAGGTTCTTCATTTGCAGAGTACTTGTCACCAATAAAGTGGCCATAAACTTTATGTGTTTGTGCAGTGTCGGATAGGAATGCTCACAATAGAGTTCCCTGTTGCATGTAAACGCCTCGAGAAACAAAAAGTTGAACATATTTGGCTGCAATTGAGGGCAATCGGTCGAGATTTTTTATTGTTATTGTCGCGGTGAGGTTCCTCACAAACAAAGTGGTCATGACTTGCATGTGTTTGTGTAGTGTTGAGTAGGAATGCACACATAGAGTCGCTGCCTGCACGTTAAAACTCCTCAGCAAACGCATCAAATATCAAAAAAAATCCCACACATCGACAATATACATTCCAAAATATCCAAAAAAAATATTAAAATATAAACAACTAAAAAAAATCCAATGCTTGCTCCAAACAAGCTATCACACCCCAATCCCACAAACAACAAACGCAAGCCACTCACACATCTCCCTCAGACCCGCACTTCCAACCCCCCCAAAATGTCCTTGCCCAGTAACACGCACCAAAACATTTATTCCAACCTCCCGCATCTTGGCAACCCACTTTAACGGCTCATAAAAGCCTACACGCGCGTCTTTTAATCCCGTCGTGACAAATACTTTGATCTTCGACTTGGGGACATTGTAATAAGGCGAGTAGTCCATCATGGCATGAAAGATGTTGATATTGTTTGGATTGCCCCATTCGTAGTACTCGTATGGGACCCATGGCATGGTGGGATCAATCATATCGCCAACGGGGTCCACAAAGGGGACTTGAGTGACGACGAGTTGGACGAGACCGTTGAAACCTGATGAAGACACGGCGGAGCCTGTGATGAGGCCACCTGCACTTCGACCATAGAGTCCGATATGGCCTGGTAAGGCGACTCCCAGGGAAATAAGACCGGAAATGCAATCACGGACGTCAGAGAATGTGAGGTTTTTCGTAGTGTATTTGGCAGAGGTGTACCATTCTGCACCCAGGTCGGCGTCTCCACGGGGATGGCAAATCGCATAGGATATGTTGCGACGGAGGAGTGAAAAGAGGTGGGGAGACCATGTCGGGTCCTGGAATCCTCCGTAGGCGCCATAGGCACTCACGAGGATGGGTGTTGGGTTGCTTGTGGGTGGGGTGAGGAGGGAGATGGGGATAAACGTATTTGGTGTACGGGTGGACGGCACCCAGACGCGGCGTTCCGAAAAGGGTACGGAAACCGTCTTGTGCGTCATGCGTCTTGTGTCTGCGGTACCAAGGTGATGAACATATGACGCATGCGGAACCGTAAACGAGGAATTGGAAAAGAGGAGACAGGAACTGTTGAATTCTGTATAGAGCCGCTGGTCCATGTCTGTGTTAGTCCCAGGGAACAAAGAGTAGGTTTCCAGTGTAGGAGGGACCGGACGCGTCATGGATTGGGATACTAGATCGATGGTGACGACTTGACGCAACCCGCGGACACGCACCCACGCGACCAGATGCAAGGAGAGGAGATCCATACGTTCAATGTATTGGGCATCCGAGGCAGGGAGGACGGGTTCGGGGGGTTTGTCGGAGAAGAGGGCCGAGATGGACATGTTGGAGGCGAGGGCTTGAGCTGTGGGGAGGCGGTGGATGGCATAGTTGGGTGCAAGGGCGTTGGTGAGAATGTAGAAATGGGCATGAGCGTGGTCGATGGTGTAGTGGATGGCGAGAGAGCGGTGGAAGAGGGGGGTGGCGATTGTAGAGTTGATGAGACGGATTTCAGACGTGACCTGACCAGTGACCTGAAAGTAACAAAAGGCGCCGCCGTGAGTGGTGGACCCACGCAATATTTTGTCCAGTAAAACTCAAGAGTCAAATGTGTGCCCACAAAGACAATACGCAACGTGTGTCTGTGTGTGTGTGTCTGTGTGTGTATGGGCAAGTTACGACCCATTATGACATGACGCACTGCGGGCACCCACTCGGTACACGACAAGTGGTCATTCGAAACCTCTTTTCCACGACACGCACCTTGACAAACACAAAAAGACCATCACTGGTGGCATCCACAGCCGTCGTCAGACTCGGATCCTCTTCAACATACACCCACTCTGGTTCACCCCGTTCATCCCTCTTGTCTTGCTTTGGGCACGCACGAGCACACGCTCTCAACACCCACCGCGGAATCCCCCACTGAGGATCCACGGCATTATAATACAAGTAATGCGCGCCGCGGTCCACGGCCCATCGCGCAGAATCATATGAAGGCCATCCGCCCCACATCTTGCCTGTTTTTGTGTCACGAATGTAGAGGGCGTAGGTTTCGGAGCCTGTTGTGTCATAGGAAAAGGCAATGAGGGAGGGATCGCGGGGGTTGACTTCAAAGATGCCCGGAGAAAAGTAGGTTGTGTTTGGAGGGAGGATGGTGTTGTAGTCCAGGACCGTTTCTACAAAAGAGGCGAAACGATATGCAAACGAACATTAGTGAGTGCATAAGTCTGTGCAACGAACGACAGTGAGTACAACGAGCACAACGACAGTTAACAGTGCGCTGACTCTTGCACTCGCCATCATTCTTCACCCTCTCCCTCCATGCGACTATGTGCTATCCACTCGCCGTAGCCACGACGAGCGTTAGCGAGTCGTGGTCCATCTCCATCCCAACCCCTCATCCCACACTCTCTGCTATATCTCCATGACGAGCGTCAGCGAGTCTAGTCCCCAGCCCTGACCCTCAGTACTGCACAGTTCACCCAAGGAACTAGAAGAAAACCAAAGATAGCAGCGCCATCCTGTAGACCACCACCGAGCGCCAACCTGAACGCTAACCAACCCACGAACCCTAACCCTAATCAAACTCCAACCCGAGTCCTAACCCTAAACGCTAACCCGAACCCGATGCGCTAACGAACCCTAACACTCACTCCAAACCCTAACCCCAAACCTAGCCTGAAAACACTCACCCTCGGGACCCAAATCCAATGTGCAAAAACATGCTGTCTCATTAAAGCGCAATCTCCGAAATGTGGCGGGATAAGGGGCAGTGGAGCGAGTGTAGTAGAGATAGCCTCCCTCTTGCCAATACTGTGATACTGCCAACATGTCACATTCTGACTTTGCATAGAGATTGGCCCCCTCGAGTTCCTTCTGAATCTCGCCTTGTAGCCCTCTCTGCCCTCTTAGAGATGCGTCCGTGTACGAGTTTTCTTGCTCAATGTAAGAATAAACGTCTGGGTCCTGTGTGTTGCGTAGCCATGCATAATTGTCCTGTATGCGTGTGCCATGCAAATAAAAGTCAAAAGGTATGCGTTTGGGAGTGGGAATAATAGAGTAGTGAGATGGACTAGAAGAAGAGAGAGAGTAGAATGACCAAGTCAAGGACAAGAGAATAAAAACGAGTGTAATAAAGGGATAAAAAGAGCGAGTCGATTTGAAGAGCATGTGTGCAAGTGTTCCCATTTCCCAATGCCCGAATGCCCAATTCCCAATGCAAACGAGACAAGAGTGTGTGTGAATGTGTGAATAACACGTGATATGATCGTGATGACATAATAATACCTGTGTGTGTGTGTGTGTGTGTGTGTGTGTGTAAATGAGAAAGTAAAGAGAGAATATAAGAAAGAAAAAGAATAAAATGCATGTGGAAATGAGAATAAAAAGAGCAATGAGAGTATCAAATGCGATAGATATGAGAATAGAAATAATAAATACTAAATAATTCATAGAGTAGAAATGATTTCATTTAATAGTCTCTCTCTCTCTCATTTATGATAGATAGATATATAATAGAGTGTGAATGAGAGAATTCAATAGAGATAGAGATTTCACACCATTACTTGTTGTTTTCTCTCTCTCTCTCTCTCTCTGTCTGCCAACTAGACGCTTATTCTCTCTCTCTCTTGTGTGTGTGTGTGTGTGTGAATCTCCCATTATAAACAGCTATTTTCTCTCTCTCTCTCTCTCTCTCTCTCTCTCTCGCGTGGGAATATTTCATTCGTGTGTGTGGGAATATTTTTGACAGCTTCTGTTTTTCACGTGTTTCTTATTAGACTCTTGTTCCCACGCTTCTTTCTTCTTGCTTTTTACTTTTCATCCCATCGTTCTCTTGTTATGATGAGTTGGGATACTCCTTCTACTAGTATCGATCAGGGCTGGAATATGGATTCTATGGATGATCAACCCACAGTGGATACACGCATGGATACAGATACTGTGGGTGCAGAGGGTTGGAAGAACGAGTCTCGCTCTTTTGACGACACTCCCATGCAAGGTATTTTTTTATTGTTTGTGTGTTTTCAGTTTCTTTCTGCTGACTATTATCAAGGAGAGACTTGCCACAATTGTGGAGCAGAGGGGCACAAGGCAAGGGACTGCACAGAGCCTCGCAAACCACGCCAAGGAGAGACTTGTCGCAACTGTGGAGATCCTACTCACTATGCCAAAGACTGTCCTCTGCCCAAAAAGCCAAAGGAAGGAACGGGCTGCATGACGTGTGGATCCTCGGACCATTACGCCCGTGATTGTCCAGAGAGGACACGCGAGCGCACCCGTGCTTCCGACGAGGAATTGATTGCCCTCTGGGAATCCTTTATTACGGCTGATGATGATGGGGAATTTGATGAGATTAGAAGGATTCTCTTGGCCATTATGGACAAGGATCCCGATGAAACGTGGCCTGGTCTCGAGAAGAGGCTGCGTAATTCTGGCTGCAAGCAAGTATCCCTTGCACTCATTGACCATGTTCCAATACGCTTACACACTTGACAGAACGCATGTGGTGGCAGAACCTCGCATGTTGCCCCCCAACAAGGAACTCGCTGATAACCAGGGTCACGGCAACAAGCGGTAATTCAATATCTTGTTGCCATTTTTAACCCGCCTTTTACTAATCTCCTTTGACTTTAGCTACGAGATTACATTCATTAGGAACCCCCGCGTTCTCAAATTCAAGCTCAAGGACGACGATGCAAAGACGGCCAATGCTGAACGGCTCAAGGACGCGGGCACCATTCGCGAACGGTTCAAAGTGAATGGCAAATTCGAGTTGCCCGACTGGCAGATGGAGGGTCTGACGGCCACTCAGAGAAACATTGCCAATAATGCCTGTCTTTGTTGCGGCAAGTCTTTTTTTTCAAATTCACCACGCCCAGTCACGTACATGCTCTGATTTAATCAACGCAGGTTCCACTGAGCACAGGACCAAAGAATGTAGCGAGGAACGTGAGCGGCCCAAAGTCGGCATTTGCTTCAAGGTAACTCTTGGTTGCAAAAATGTGTTGAGCAACTATTGACATTTGTCATGTACAGTGCGGCGAGTCTGGACATCATTTCCGTACATGCCCCAATCCCGATCGTACGTGCTTGTCTCGATCCATGCACTCTAGAGTCCTAGACACTAATGCATTCTTGTCCATTTTCATGACTTGCACACACACACACACACAGCGGCACGTATGAATACGGGGTGCCGTCGTTGTGGCAAAGAAGGTCACAGGGTATGCATGCATGTTATTTGATACTTTTAGGTCGTGCAGTCATCTCAACTGACGGATAACAGGCATCCGATTGTCCCGAGCCCGACACCAGGACGTAGGTAGCAATCCATTATTGAACTTGCAGCAATTTTAACATTTCGTTTTCTTGCAGCATAACGTGCAGGCGCTGTGAAAAAGAAGGTGGGTCAACATGAAACGCAAACTCGATCCATGGCAATGCTGACGCCAGTGTGTTTGATTTTCTAGGGCACAAGGCGAGCGAATGTCCTGAACCCGACACTCGTACCTGCAACAATTGCGGTGAGCCCGGCCACAAGCAAGCAGAGTGCACCGAGCCCCGCAAACCTCGCGGCGGAGGTAGTGCCTGCTACAAGTATGTGACCTTTTCCATGTCCTATTCAACTCTGTACTGACGCGTGGGGGTGGATAGTTGTCAACAGGAAGGTCATTTATCCAAGGACTGCACTGAGCCGAGGAGGGAACGCAGGCCAATGAAGTGCCACAAGTGTCACCAAGAAGGTATTTCACGGTAGACGCCAGCATCCACACGGTATGGCTTTTTCTGACGCTTTTGATAGGCCACAAGGCTGCGGATTGCACTGAATCTGGTGGCGACTATTCCAACGACGGCTATTCTGGCGGGTACGGAAACAATTCGACCGGTGACAATGATGTTACCATGCAAGATTCCGCTTCGAGTGCCGCCGCGTTTGATAGCAACTGGAACCCCCAAGAAGAAACGCCCCAAGTCGGGGGAGGCTGGTAAAGAAGCAGACATTTTGAAAACAGCGATACCCACTGGTGTTTGTTTGTCGTGCGTTGGTCATGATGACAAGGCTTTGCGAATGTGATTTAAAAAAATTGTGTAAAATGTTGCGAGAGATGCTGTCAAAATAAAAATGGAATTGCGAAATGAAAATCCAGAACCCCCAAACCCCGATCGCCACGCCACATGCGCCACATTGACGCAAGCTAGTAGACAAGGCGCGTGTCTACTAGTAATAGTTTTGGTTCAGCAACGATTGAGCGACTTATTGAATTCAAATATGGCCGATGCACAAGAAACCATCAAGCAATTTACGGGGATCACTGGGTGCACAGAGGATCAAGGTGTGTGTGTGGGTTGTGCTGTTGTTCAAGACTTTAGTAAGCTTACCAAGTACGTTCCCTTGTCTTGTAGCCAAATTCTTTTTGGAAGCCAATGGATGGGATCTAGAGGTACTGCAACCCGCTCCACATTGATTCTATTACTGCGTCTCGTGCTCATACATACTGTCTAGTCTGCCACGAGCAGCTACTTTGAAGATTCCTCTGAACCGGGCACATCCACCCGTCCATCTGGACCCACCAGCGCAACACCGCACACTGAACCCGCACCACCTTCATCATCATCATCATCATCGTCTCGACCCACCCGCGACACACGCGTCAAAACGTTTCGAGACCTCATGGAAGGACAAGCAGCAAGTGATAGCGAAGAAGAGGATCAAACTTTTTTTGCGGGTGGTGAAAAATCGTAATGTTATTCGTCATTTGAATTTTTACTTTTATGCACATGTTTGACTGGTATTGTTTTTTTGTTAGGGGGTTGATGATGCAGGGTGGACCCAAGAGTGATCAGCTTGTTAAAAAGATTTTGGATAAAGCTGCCAAGTATGTTTTTTTCTTGTATTAGGTTTTGGATCTGTGCGAAAGATATTAAAATGTGTTGAATGTTTTAGATCTGGACCAGCCCCTGAAGAATTTAAAAAGAATGAAAAAAAGACGTTTGTCGGCGCTGGTAATGTTCTTAGTTCCTGTTTTTTTCAAAATGGTTTTTGTTTATGGTTTTATATAGGATACCGGTTGGGATCCGAGGATGAACCCGTTGGTCCATCTACACCGGCCGTTCAACCCTCTGCGCGGACAGCACCCGAACCCGTACGTTCCCTCCAAACCCTTGTAAAGAAAATTTGACTAAATATTTTATCAAAAGGTTGAACGTCATTTAACGTTTTGGCGAAACGGGTTTAGTATTGATGATGGGCCGTTACGGGGGTACGATGACCCCGAATCTCAAGAATTTTTACGAGCCATTAATAGCGGGTACGGTATCCAACACCCATCTTGCACACACATCACTCTTTTAATTCCCTTTTTTTAGACGTGCACCCACCCACCTCCTCAATGTCGCCTACGACCAACCCGTCGAAGTCAAAGTCACGCGAAACCTTGAACAAGATTACATCCCACCCCCCAAGAAACCCGTAGCAGCATTTTCAGGAAGCGGACAACGATTAGGTGGTGTGACGAGTACCCTCCCCGGGTCCTTCCCCCCATCCCAATCAAGTACAACAAACACGACGTTGGAAATCAACCCATCTCTCCCGACCACGACCCTCCAACTCCGTCTTCCAGATGGTACACGTCTCCCCATTCAATTGAATACGGTGCATACACTTGGGGATGTCCGGAGGGTTCTTGGGAGTCGACCTGATGTCAGTGCGAGGCCTTTTGGGTTTTTTTCGAGTTTTCCGACAAAAGAGTTGAAAGAGGATGTGTCTGTTGAGGAGGCGGGGGTTTTGGGGGCTGTTGTTGTTGTTAGGTGGATTTAAGAATTGTGGGTTTTGTTGATGTACATGTTGCAAATAATACATATATTCTTTTGCAAACAAGATGTCTGTATGGCAATGCGCCCATTATGCGATTTGATATACAGTGCATAGTGTAGAGGTGACATAAAAACTGGCACTAGCTACTACACCAGGGAATAAACCGGCGACAACCGGTTCGGAAAAGCTAAGCTACTAATAGGCAATTATACACGCAATACGTAACCGTTGGTTCTAACCGGATAATTGCCCACCACCACACGCGGTCCCTACTAGGCCTTGATCTGGAACTCTTGATGGCATTGAAGCCAGAGTCTTCGCAAGAGAGTTGATATCGTCTGGGAGACTCGCAAGCCAGAGGATGTTCAGTGACAAGGCTTGGAGACTATACATGCATGTTAGTGACAGAATAACATGAAAAGAGATGATGCCATTGGTACATACCAACCAAGCTCAACTAATGTGGCAGCATAATAGTAGTTTTTGTTATCGGGATCCGATTGGTTGCCACTGGTTCTGGTCACGGTTGCTGTCGGGCGGTCGAGGTCCTCGACACCACCACATCGGCGTTCTCATGGTTGACCGAGTCGCGATGAGGTTGTGTGGGTCGCTATGAGGTTGCAATGTGGGTCGTAATGAGCGTTGCGCAGATGCTTCGAGTCGAGGATGGGTAAAGAGGAAAGAGGGAAAAGGCCCCCCTTTTATAAACCTTCGGCATGCGCCTCACCGCAGTTTAAAAAACAAAACATTACAATACATGCTTCACCGTTTTGAGTGATAGATGGGGGTGCTGATTATGCGATATGATTAACCGGATTATCCGGATAATAATGGGTCTTAGTGCCATTTTCAATCACCTCCACACTATGTTTGTAATGTAAGGAGTGTATCTTTGTCGTCGTCGTTGGGTATACTCTATTGAAACAAAACACAAAATGTTTTTTTCCAAACCCCAAAATACAAAAAAAAATACTTTTTCTACTAAAACAACAACAACACCTATATAATATATTCAAAAACAAAAAAATAAAACTATACAAACTATATAAAAAAAAAAAAACTCGTCTTCTTTACATACCTACAAGCCTCTTTAAACCCCTCCACCTCCGTTTCTTCATCATACTATCCAAACGAGGGGGCGGGATAAACACCCTCGATTTAGGGGTACCGTTAGAGTTTGTGGGGTGAATAGAGTAGGGTTGGGTGGGTGTGATGGGTTCCAAAAGCAAAGTGTCGTGAGTGGATTCATTGGAATGGGTATTCAGTGCGTTGCAAGAGGACTTGCATGCAGAGGACATTTCCAACACACGTTCACCATCTTGAACCACACGTTGAGTGGTGGAATCTCCACTCCGAATTTTTCCATACGTCCTCCTCGAGCTTTGAACAGGCCTTAAAACCGCCCGTTGAGAATCCAATGACGGCCGCTCAAGTCGATCAATCGTCGTAGAGTACTCAATTAACGCTGTCGTCTTGTCTTTTGGATGCGGGTCTTCTTGGATCGTAAGCGAACGTCGTGTCCCCGCAAAACTTGAAGTTTTCGCAGGTCGAGGAGAGTAAGTCGTGTTGAGTTTATCATCCCAACGTACAATCTCCTCACTCTTTGATTTACGTAACGTGGCTCTCTGTAACTCAAAACAAGGTTCACGGAGTCGGTTGACGCCTAATGTGTAGTTGAGTAAAATGGCGTTCAAGAGGGCTTCGTTGCCTGAATTTGAGAGTTGGCGTGTGAGGGACGGGAGGGAGGATACCCTAATCTCCTATCCAAAAAAAAAAAAAAAAAAACGTAAATACACTTATCATCCAAAAAAAAAACAATAAAAGACAGTACCTGACTCCACTCCCTCTTCCACTCCTCCAGATCCGAAACCCTCCTTCCCTGCTCTCTAAACCCATCCGTCGACACCACACTCTGGAAATTCAACCACTCGTCAATAGTAGGTGTGGTTGGGCGGTCGGGACGTGGACTGGCGGGTGGTGTCACAGGAGTCTGAATCGGTGGACTGAGAATGGGGGGAAGGTCCAGTGGATGGAACATGGCGCCGAAACCGTTTGTGGTGGAGAGTGAGGAATGGGTTAGTGAGGCTGTGGAGGGGTAGGATCGGGAAGAGCGGGTTGAGGAGGAGGATACTGGGCGGGAAGTCCTATAATAAACAACATTGTAAATATCATTTCAAAGGATGTTTTATTGGTACACGTTCAGAGGTAAAAACTTACCGTCTCGTTTTCCGTTCCAACGTATCATTCAACTTTTCCGGCTGGAACGCATACGGATCATTCGCCAACTCCAACGGCGGGGTCGGGAACTGATCGACCAACCTCCGAATCCCCTCATTCGTAACCCCCTCCGACCCCGACGCTGACGCAGATCCAGATTGAACAGACTGCACATCATCACTTAAGGACGCATGTGCACTTGACGGCGATTTCCGGGAAGGAGAAGCAAGTTCCAATGAATCCCGGGCGTTTTTGATGGCATGGGGATTCACAACGGGGCGAGGTCGGGGTTTACGTGGTTTTGGCGTCTCCATCCGTTGAGACTCTACCAAATCTTGTTTACACGCTACAGGTTCTGGACTCGTACTACTACTCGTAGCCACACCAGCAAAAGGTCCCCGCGGCATCAACAACAACTGCGGAAATAAATTCAAATACCCCTGTGCATGGGATCCTAATCCCGCCGAGGCAGCCCAATCGTCCATGAGCTTTTGACTTGCTGCGAGGTAATGCAGTAATTCTGGTGTCCATGGTATAGGTGGCCCTTGAGTTGCGTATGGGTGGTAAGGGTATGATAGTGGTGTACAAGATGATTGTGGGGGCTCGACGGAGAGACCTAGTACCGGCCGGTCTGGAGCGGACTTGGGTGGTCGTCCAAACGTCATGTCTAAACGCGAATGTCCGGAATGTTGGTTTTGTGGTTTCCAAATGGACAATGAACACACTCCCAAGAGTGTTGTTGTTGTTGTTTTTTCGTAGTAGCTTGTAGGAAAGGTAACTAGGTTCGAAAACTCCCTCCACCAACAGAAACCTCCTTTGAACCCGCGGATAAACAACTCAATCTTACGTCAAAGAAAAACCCCAAGCGTTGCCCAATAAGAAAACCTTAAGCTCCTTGCCAGTTGCAAACAGTAACGGGCAAATCTCCTTGTCAACTCGGGCAGCTGGCTGTCAAAACAGCAAAAAGCTCAAAAAGCAAAACGCACGACGATCGATGCGTTTACTCAGCCAAAAACGAGAGCCCAAAAACCCAAAATTCATATAAAAAACAGTTCAATTCCTGTTTATGTTCTTGCTTTTCCCGAGGGTTTTCTTTTTTCTTTTTCACCTCCTCCTCCTCCTCCTCCCACCATCATCATCATCCCTCTAAAAAAAAAAGGAGAGACTTCAATAATAAACTCCCCCCAAATCTCCTTAAAAAAAAAAGGAACACCTTTCAAGTGTGAAATCCCAACTCTACGCGCGTCCACGATCCCATCTCTTTGTTCGCATGTGTGTTTCTTTGGGCTTTTTGTTTTGTTTGCACCATTCGATCGACAATCATTTTACTTTATCTTAACAAGTTGTGATTGGTGTTGATCAAAACAGGTAAAAGAAGATGGCAGAGTTTGGGACAAAACTCCTTTCAAGACGTCATTTACTAGAATGCGTGATCTGTTTGGGAGGAGGTGGAAGAAAAGAGCCCTTTTGGTCCTTTTTTTCTTTTTAAGTGGCAATTGGGTATTGATACAAGAGTAGGTCAGCGTCCTTTTTATAGAGAAAAGCGTCCCGTCTGTATCCCTCCGTCTTTAAGGTAATGTGGATATCCTGTTATACAATGGTCTTGTCGAAAGATGTTTTGCAGTGACTGTCTGGTTGCGTGGGTGTTATTATTATCTTTCTAGTATCAACTAATAGTATGATTGTGTGGAGTAGTGCATATGCATTTTTGGCAGTGATGTGTGCAGCTGAAGAGTCTCGCAAAATGAAAATCAGAAAAAATGCCACTACGTTGAAAAAACCAGATGCATGTATTAAAAAGATTAAAAAAATATCGAATGCTATGGGGGGTATTCAAGTGTTTGGGTATGATGCATCAACTTTTTTTCCAAAATCAGGATCCGCCTTCCTTTTCTTTTGCAGGGGGACCGAATGCCGTCCCTGACTGACTACGCAAGAGTGCGGATTGGAGTACCCCCAATCTCTCTCCCTTCCCACTTTTGCCCATCGTCCCCGTCCCACTGTTGCTCAGCGTTCCCATCATGTTTGCCAATGCATGTTTACCCAGCGTCCCTATTGTCGCTGTTCCACTCCGAGTGTCAGGCATGGAAGCCGTCTTGCTCAAGCTGAATCCGGGGTCCATCACTTCGGGCGGGTGCATCTCACCCCAAATGATGCTGATAAAGTTGCAGACAACGAGAGATGGGACGCTGACAGAGGTTCCAAAACAATGAATGATTGCCAACCATCGAATCGAAATCATCTGATAATGTGGAAAATACCCTCTTAATCTCATATACACCAACAAAATCGCCAGCAAAAGCAAAATAAACGTACCGCATCCTCAAGTACCGCAAACAACGAGAGAATAATCCCAAACCACACAAAAATCATCACCCACGTCACATTAATCACCTTCATCTTTTTTATCGCTTTTTTCATTCGACTCCGACTGGCTTCCGTCCCACTCGCTGTGGTCCTCGTCCCAAGTGCCCTCTCAATATCCCGCGCAGAGGCCCCCGCAATCCTGATAATCTGCCTCCCAAAAAACCCATACGAAATCCCAAGCATGACGCACCAAAAACTCGTGACACCCCACAACCCGTGCGAATAATTGTCAAACTTGTCCCATTCGCCCTTTTCATACGCTTGGCCACATAGGAACGCGAATGGGATGAGCGAGCTACTGTGGATGCCATATGTTGTTAACCGGATCTTTCGGAGGGCTCCGTCCGATGGGAGCCAGACGTTTGGGGCGTGCCTTGGTGTTGTTTTCACACTAGATGACTTGGCATTAGAACTTATAGTTTGCGAGGTCGTCATATGCGTGCCAAGACTTACACTGAGAAAATATACGTCCATGCCGAGAGCATACCACCCAACCATGCAAAATCATGAATAAAGTGATTCAACGTCATCGTGTTGCTTGGATAGAGATTGCCGGCCAGTAACAGGCAATGAACAAATCGTGCTGTATAATATTATCAGCTGTTCGTTTATTGAAAAGCACTTTTAAAAGTCGATATGGACATACCAATACCGAACCAATTACTCATAACAAAGATATATGAATCCAAGGTCGTGAATCCTTCATTCCATATTCTATGCTTCTTGATTCCACATCGGTAAAAGAGAATCCCGTTCCCCATAATGAAAAGTGTAATCGCCACGACGGCCGACAGGTAGTTGATAGCAATGAACCATTCCGAGTCGGGACAGTCTCGTACTTCAATATACCAACTACAAAAAAAGCAAGTACCGTAAGTAACAGTTTGACTGTATGATTTATTCCTGTTCTGTGTTGTGTGTCTTACTGGCATGCAGGAATTGGATGTTTGTTCAGTGACATTGTCAAAGACAAAAAAGAAACAAAAAGAAGGAAGGAAAACCGGTTGATATAAAAACTGTTCAAGACTTTAGAATGGGAGACGGTGCGCTTAATGTTCAAAAGTTTATTTACATTTGACAGTTATTTGGTTATGAGCCGTGGCTGCAAACACTGTTCTAAAAATAACTTTACATGCAATATCTGATCACGCCTTCCTATGCATGAATTAAAAATACGTCTATCGAAAATAATAACAAGGAAAAAGAATTCTAACATTTGAGGATATCCAAACATTAAACTGAAGTCGATCGAGATGAGTCATGACGTGATTGGATACACATTGTAGCCGATTGGAATGATTGCATCGGATTCTTGCTTGCGAGTCGCTAATTGCTTCCGATCGGGACAAACCGACCAAAACACAATCTGTCACTTTTTTACATTTCAGTCTTTTTGACGATGCGACTGGTCCCCTACTTGTCACGCTCTACTTATATTTTCACAAGAGCAAACACACCATTATATCGCTCCCGTCTTGGACTTGGCCGTGTCCACCATTTTCATAATTTAACCATGAGCGCACGGACAGTGACATGTTCTGGGTCACTGGTTTTGACTAGACCAGGCAAACCCGCATTTTCAACCGACGCACCCAAACAACCACCCACACCTGAGCAACTCGCTCAAGCACATGTCAAAGCTACCACACAGGATCCAATAATCAACAAACCGGATCAGACGACACCGTTTCCGGTTTTCGCGACAGAGGGAGTGACGCCCAAACGGGCTGAGAATGTCCCCAAGAAACCGACTCCAACGACTCATCCACGGTTTTCAAGAGGATGGTGGTGGGATTGGGGTATTGTGTTTTTGGTGTTTGCCATTACGGGGAGTACGACAATGCGGGTTGTGAGGCCCTTGGTGTCACAATTGTTTGGTGTGGAGGGTATGTTTTCCTCCTCTTTAACATCTTTCAACTGATGGACTAACATCTTATCACTCACTAGGTACGTTTATAGATGGTCCGTGGGCGTACCGACTACTATACCTCTCGACAACACTCCCACTCTACTCTCTCATCCTCATTGCAGTTGGAACGGCATTTGGTCGTGGAGCCTATTTTCGTGCTGTAGCATATAGAATGTGGGGACGGTTCTTACCGAACCGAAAGCGATAGTTTCAAATTCTGTATATATATTCTGGCAACCACCATAGAAGCACGGTACGGTAGAATTCTGTACATTATTTACATTTTTTTTTGAAAAAAAAAAAAAAAACAAGATTGTCTCGTAGTCGTATTTTGTTTTGTACAAGTAGGCTTAAAAAGGTTGCAGGGTGTGCTACAGTGACAAACTGTTCTCTAGAAAAAGGTTCGTAGATCCAGCTTGTTGGATTGTTGTGTGAAAGAAGGTGATTTGGGGATACCGCTAGGAGATTTGGCGATATTTCGAACAGGGATGGGTTTCTTTTCGGCCAAGGCTGTCGCGCACTCTATTTTCACGTCAGGCGTGGAATGAGCAAACCCGCGATGCCCATAGTCATTGCTATTTAAACAAAAGAGTAACGTATGTTTACCTTGTAGATGATCTCTGATCTCCACTGAATAAGCCCAATCAAATGGCGTCCACCCTCGCTTGTTCTTTACATTGTATTGTGCACCATTGTCCATCAAGAGCGTTATCGTGTCAAAGTACCCCCAGGCGGCAGCACTGTATGAAAAAGCATACTCAAAACCCCATTCACACCAACCGCGTTTTTGCATACGTGAAAACATACTGGTGAAGAGGTGCTGATCCGGTGCTATCGACTGAATTGATATCCGCGCCCTTGTCCAGCAATGACTACAAGCGGATGTGAGCGGCGATGCAGATCGTAAAGTTCATGATAAACTTTACCTGTACGACTCCATTCAGACCCCGTTCGGTCGCGAGTATCAAAGCAGTCTTGCCTTCATCGTTTGACATGTTGATCGTGTGTGGATACCTTGCGAGATAATCGTGAAAAGCCTTCAGGAAGCCATGATAGATATAAAAACGGCTCCATTCTTTTCGCCATGCTTCGCATTTTTCGTTAATGACCTACTTCTTCATTTTTATAGTTGGCTGCAATTATGAGAGCGGTGTTGTTGGCAAAGTCCTGTATGAAGAACAATATTTGGCGCGCTTTCTTAGTCGATGGACAGTTTGGCCTTCAACAATTCGCATACCTTGGATATCTCTTTTTCGTCATGTCCGCTATCTAATAGGTATGATACAATCTCATTCTGTCCATACCGTATGGCATAAAACAGTATCGGCCTGTTGAAAGTGGAAGCACCTGTTACACTTGGCACGCGGCGAGAAACAGACTGGAAAGAGCAAGACCGAAGTGCTTACCATCCATTTAGGGGATCTGGACATCGCAGAGGCAGCTTTTTGCGGGTGATAAACCGCTTCACTTGAAACAGATTGCCTTCTGCCACCGCGGCACGCAAGAGGTGGTGGTATATTTCATCGGGCATGGCGATATGGAGGGGGATGACAGACCCCTCATTCAGGACCAGAGAGACCAACGTGGATTCATGAGTAAGCACGAGCTGGCGTGTTGACACGTGATGGAATTTGATCTTGACTGTCCATCGTATAAAGTGTGCAAAAGGGCGTCGCGGAGATCTCGTCCAGAGTTGGCGTTTAAAGGTTTTTGCTCAAGTTGCGGAGAGTATTTCTTATTTTTTCCAGGTTGACGGCATCGAGTCGACTTGATTTGTCGCATGATGCCCCCCACCAAACATGCTGAACCCGCAGAGCCCTACGACCTCTTGTCACCAATCGTCCGCGTAACAGACTGGTGCCTTTCATGGCGCCCAGTTCGTTACCTCGTCCTCATTAGTCTCCAACCCTTAGTGGTTGGTAGATACATTTACGAGCGGACAGCACCCAAGCGATTTGTTTCGACCGCGTTGGGAATGTCTGGGAGCCCAAAGAAGGGGAGACAACGAACAAGCTCGACTGATTCGCATTCTAGCGATGTGAGCGTCGGGGATAGACGACGGAGTAGAGTGCGAACAAAGTTTCATCGTAACTCTGTGACAGGAGCAAGTGATTTGGGGAGCGAGACGAGCGGCTCTGTTTACAGTGGTGCGAATCGCGTTCTTGACTTTTTGTCTTTGATGCGCGTCCTGATGGATTTTTTTACCCTAAGTTGCTTCAACTATACCCGCTTCTTTACCCCCAATAAACCGAATGGCTGTCCTTCGGACACCTGACTCTTGCTTTAAAGATCTGGATCAGTTCTTTCCTTACATTCCACATTATTTCAAAGTGGGTCCAATGAGAGTCCATTACGTGGACGAGTACATCCCGTCGCAATCTGCGAATGGTTTGCCAAGTAAAACTGTCGTGCTACTCCACGGAGGTGAGAGTTGGATGCTCCTTACCAATAGATGTGATGATGGTTAACTGAATGGTCCGTATCTTTATCTTGGCAGCATTGACGTGGAGTTACTTGTATCGTAAAATGATAACGCCACTTATACAGGCTGGCGTGCGCGTGATTGCGCTAGACTTGCCTGGGTATGTCTTACTGATGTATTCTCAACCTCCAATGCATCTAACCACAATTGGCCATACTAGCCACGGAAAATCTGACAAGCTCACCTCTTCAAATACGTCCCTCCTTCACCTTCAAGTGGCAGCAGTCCGTCATTTTCTCACTACCTTTTTTACACCGGAGATGGATGTGACGTTGGTTGCCCATGGTTGGGGAGGCACGGTCGCGTCGATTACGTTGGCGGAGATGGGCGAATTTCAGAATAGGGTGACGCGGCTGGTGCTGATGAATACATTTCTACCTCCGCACCAGGTATGTACCATGTCTAAAGTGAGATTCTATATGGGTGTTAATGTGTTCGCATGACTTTATAGGAGGAAAGTACTGGGCGTGAAATCGAGAATTCGCTGCTGGCAGCCACGTGGTTTTATTGCTTCCGTACGATAACGTCCGTGTCGACCATGATACGGAGTGCTTCTGCGATATCTACTCGCAAGTCGATTGGTGTTACTGAATCAAGAGGATATGATGCGCCGTGTAGGTCATCCTTGTTCAAATATTTCAGCGTTATAAATCTGATTGTTGTTGTTTTAGATCCAACTCTCAACCACCGTCTAGCACCTTCGGCTCTCCCCAGGATTCTTCCCTTGCCACTCTTCTCCGACCCTCTCATCCTCCGCATACGTGAATTGGCACCTTTTTTGAACAAAACACCAATGATTCGCGAATTGTTTACAAACAACGCTGATGTGGAGGTGGAGACCGAAAAGGCAAAATTATTTTTGGCAGATTATGCAAAAAGGGTTAGGACGTGGGTTGATGGGCGGATTGGCGGTGCGAATATCGTGAGAGCGAGAGAAAGGGCGTTGGTTATTTGGTAAGTCAAATGTTGACCCCCGGTAAAGCCTGGTTTTCACTGATTTGACCAACAACTCTTGTAGGGGCCGCCAAGACCGTCTGTGGGGTGGATTGGGAACGTGGTTTGCCGACTTGATGGGATGCCGATGTGTTTACTTGGATGGGGCCGGTACGTTGCATGAAGTTGCAGAAATTACGACACAACTAGGATTCATTTTTGTGATTTTATCACATAGGCCATTACCTTCCCGAAGACGATCCAACTGGCGTCGTGCAACATCTTTTGGAGTTTATAAAGAATTAGTATCTTGAGTGATGCGTTCGATAACCATTTTGATTTGTGTTAGTGAGGGATTGGAGGGATAGTTTTTGGTATCTTTCGCGGATCTGATGGTGTGGGTGTTGTGCGGAGCTTCTAGATGTATTTTGTGCAAGTAGAGATCAACCCTCAGACTCCTTCATTCTTTGCGAATCAGCTCTTGGGCAAAGGCTGCCATTGCTAAGGTCCATCATGTTGATCGTGTACCACTATGGTAAGCGTTACCCACGAATTATAGCAATTAGACTTTGAAGCTCCACGACGCAGAGCAACCGCCCAAAATCGGCGTGAAGGAAATAAAGCTGGTGACTTCTGGACAGAAAGGAGTTGTCGCAGAACAAAAGGAGCTCTTTGCTTTAAAGTTTTTGGACACGGTGATATCTGTCATTTCGCGGAAATGGCTGGGTCAAAGGTAACCGCCGCCTACGCTTTCTTGAAAAATACTCTTTGGTCCTAATGTACAATGCATAGAAAACAAGTCCGGAAGACGGGTACTTTCTTCACTCTCTCAACAGCCCTTCAGCGACAGGCTGGACTCTCCGCTTTCTCTGCGGAATATTGGAATATTTCGGATATGCCCTTGGGATCTCGTACAAGATTGCTGGGGACAGTAACTTGTTCTTTTTGCGCAAGAAGCGCTGTTTGGAAGTGCCCACCTACTATCCGGTGGTAGAGGACAGGACTCAATCCCTGGCCACTGACAAAGTGAGCAGATGAGATGGTTGCATAAATGCTGAAGAGATTATCCAAAACTACGATGCTCATTACTAACTCCAATAAGCAGGAGACTCCCATCGATTTGGTTCCCGTCGCCGAGTCTGGGCTCGAACTCGGAAACCGCATCTTTAGATCCGTGATGGACTTTCATCAGGCTTACAAGTTGAAATTAACGACACCCGTCGAGGTGCGATTATGTCTTACTTCATCAGAACACATTTGGACCGCGCATCCACCATGTATTCGTATCTCCATAGGTGGCAGAAGCTGTCGTAAAGGCCATTGATGCGAGCAATACGGTACACAGTCCACCTTTGCTAGCTGTCATCAAGCATAATCAGGATGATATTTTGCGGCAGGCCCGAGGTAGAGTTATATTTTACTCATATCTGATATCTATGCGATAACGTACTGATTTCACACGGTTCAAAGAGTCCAATGAACGATATCTTGCTGGAAAATCTCTTTCGGTTCTTGATGGCGTTCCTATTGGTAAGTGCTTGGACTTGATTAAACATGGAGACTTTATTATACCACATCTTGCCTTATCACGTTTATTTCAAAAGCTGTAAAGGACGATACGGACGTTGTCGGATATGAAACAAGTGCGTAGCATGTTAGCCCTATTAATTTTTAACTTTTTGTCTCAGATACATGCTCTGCTTTCTTCAGACGTAGGAACCACCTGCATTAGCATCCATCCAGAAAGGGACGCGACCTGCATCGCCAACTTGCGTCGCGCCGGCGCAATCATCATCGGAAAGGCAAACATGCACGAGATTGGGATAGACGTTACAAATTGCAATCCTTGGAGTGGAACACCTCGAAACCCATATAACACCAATCACTTCACGGGAGGATCTTCCGGCGGCTCAGCTTGTGCTGTAGGCATTGGATTGTGTCCCATTGCAGTAGGAGCAGGTCAGAATTGGCGTCAGATTGGGCATAGTAGTACAATGAACCAACGTGCATGATTCCAGATGGCGGAGGCAGTATTCGGATTCCTAGTGCGTACTGTGGACTGTATGGGCTCAAGCCAACTGCCGGGCGTATTAGTGGGGACGGAGCATTCCCGCTGGCACCGACGGTTGGAGTTACAGGACCCATTGCAGCCACCGCGGGCGATTTGGCTATAGGGGTAATTATTGAGGAGTGGACGTGAATGGCACCCTGGCTGACGTCCTCCTCACTCTTCATAGTACGCGCTTTTGGCAGGCCCTGATGAGAATGTACGTGCAGAATATCGGCTTGACATGACGACTCTGTCTGTTAATGACTTTATTGATTATACAGGATACCAATACTCTCAAGCAGCCTCCCATTCGACTTGAAAGTTTCAACTCGATTTCTTCATTGGAGGACGTTCGCATTGGCGTATACCGACCGTACTTTGATAATGCTGATCCTCAAATCGTCAAAGCATGCGACGAGTTTGTAACGCGACTTGAGTAAGGATGCAATCGTACTTGCCCTCCATGTCCATCGACATATTTTTCGTTGACTGGTTGATTTTTCATGTGACTAGACGCCGGGGTGCCAAAGTAGTTAATATCATGCTGCACGACCTCGAAGCCATGCGTGTTGCACATGCTAATACAATTACATCGGAAATGGGTGCTGCAACCGCAGGAATTCCTCGGCACAAGTTTTCGTATTCAACCCGGATGGCCCTGGGTGTGACTGGGAACCATATCACAGCTGCGGTAAACAGGCCAAGTCTCTCGCCTTGATCATGCTCCCTATCATCTCAACAGCGTATCTCTACAGGATTATATCATGGCTGCACAGATTCGTACTAGAGGAATGCGAATGCTCGAAGGCGTCTTTAAGGAAGTGGATGTAATCGTGACCCCTACCACTGGTATCACTGCCCCCAAGATTCCTTCCGGTGCTTTGAAATGGGGATTTTCCGACTATACAACCTCTGGAAAGGCTATGCGATTTATTTGTAAGTCCTCACCCCATTAAATTATCAAAATGATTGTTGCTTACAACCTCCTTGCAGTCATGGCCAATCTACTGGGTATACCAGCGATATCAGTACCAGTCGGGTATACGCCAGAGGGATTACCGATTGGCATGCAGTTTCAGGCAAAATGGTGCGGGCGACTATGAAAACTGTCTCATTGGCGTTTTTACTAATTCAATTCTGTAGGTGGAATGAGGAGCTTCTGCTCCGTCTGGCTCACGTCAGTGAGGATTTATTTGCCGCGGAACGCCGCAAGCCCGCAGTATTCTACGATCTATTGGGAGCCAACGGCGTAGACTCTGATGAGTGATGGAGCGATGTTGCAGCTGAGCTACTATGTGACCTGGCGCCTGATGGATATATAGCCTTGATCTTAGTTTCTTTTTACCTCGTTTGCTACCGAATCAGAATATGTGACGAACAGTTTATCAGGCAATCCCCTATTTTGGCCATGATGCGCTCCACGTTCGTAATCTTGCTTGACAAACACTAAACTCTTTTCTTGCGCATCAGCTTCAGTTTATCAATACACAGCAGGATCCATCCTACAATGGAATCAAAGGATGGCTATGGTATCATGCAATCCCCGAAATGCAGTCTCTCACATTCAAAAGTGTCGCGACTACACATGATTAAGTATATTTACCAACAAGCCACTGCCCAGAATTGCAGATAACACATTCCCTGGCGCACTCGCCAAAACAAGATGTCGCCATGTTATTGGGTCTCTTTTTCCCGTGACGGCTCACTTACTACCGCCCCTTCCACAGCATCTTTACGATTACTTTTATCACTCTTCTCATCTCCATCCCGCTCATCGCGTTCGGCAGGTTTTACCTTATCCCGCTTCTTTGACTTTTCGCTCTTCTCCTTTCCTTCCCCATCGCGATCTTTCTTGCGCTCACGATCTTTGGTTCGCTCCTTGTGTTTGTCCCCATCCCGATTCTTATCCCGCTCTCGACCTGACCTATCGCGGTTTCGGTCTTTTTCCTTTCGACTCCGATCCAGTCTAGAGTCATCTCGCTTGCGATCATCTCTCGAACGACCGGGTGAGCGGTCCCTTGACTGGTATCGAGAACGATCCCGGGATCGGGTGCGGGATGCTCGCCGCCGACTGAGTGGAGATCTTGAACGGGATCTTCGACGCCGGTCCCATGACCGTGACCGGGAGCGTCTTCTACGCCGATCTGGGAACATAGTTGAGCCCGTCAGACGCACCACGGTGATGCAATGCTAGCAGGTTGTTTTCTTACCATATGACGGGGAACGCCGCGGTCGGTACCGTTCCGAAGGCTTGCTTCGGCTCCGGCTTCGACTTCTTCTGTGCATGGATCGACGATCTCTGTCCCCATCAACCGACATATCTTCCGAATCTCGTTCGCTGCCATACTTTTTGGCAATGGCTGCTTGAGCTTCTGCAACAAGTTTCATTGCAGGATCAGAAAAGGACTCTAGTTTTTTTGGCGTCTTATTTATGGCATTTTTTGAGTGGTTTACTCTGATGCTTGACGTGAGCTTTAAACCAATATTGGATACGCGATCATTGAGAAAGACCTACTTCAATGCACGATCACCAAGCATTATGCCGTTCTGCTTCAAAGCCTCCGATGCCCCTTCCTGAGTAACTAGTTACTCCATCATTATGAGTTTTGCCGCGTAAGGTGGACGGTAACATTACGAGGATACTTACTAAACTCTACGAACGCAAACCGGGTCACTTGCCCAGGATCACCAGCCATTTTCACATGAGCAATGGGTCCACAGCCACCAAAGCATTGTCTGACATCCTCCTCAGTCACATTTGAGTTGATATTTCCCACGTAGACCGTCCGGGCAATTTCTTCAGCTTTCTGCGGGTCAAAATGGAGTATGGTTGGATTTATGTTTGGATTGCGAGCCAAGAGCTCTGCAGAGGTTGCGGTTGGAGGTACATTTATGGGTGCTGGAAGGTCCGTCCCTCCAGTTGTGACAAAGAGGGTTCGATCCCCAAGATCGGTACCCGTCAAATGTAACGCTGTAATTGCAGATGTGGCATCGCCAAACTCCACTTCACACTCTTGTAAACCATCATTGTGTGGGCTGTTTGGGTTAAAACGTCGAATGAAAGTCCAGTAGGTACCTTACGGCAACTCTCGTTCCCATACCTGGGATGAAGGTCGAAATTACGAACTGTTCCAATTATCTCAAACAGTTGCTTCAACAGTTCTTCTGTGACGTATGAGGAAACGTTGGCAACCTGGTAATTGCAAGACGATGTCACATTATCAGAGACCTTCAGGCACTATACAACTCTACATGTTTATCTACCTTGACCGTTGTACCGGAAGCCATCCGGATCTCAATGTAGAATGGTAAACGACGTAGAGAACCCTCGCAGCCGTCGCCCTGCGCGATGACTAACTATGACTAAGCCAACCATTGCTGGAAGCTGGCAAGCCTACACGTAAAGTTGCAAGCGATCACCTCAAGCTACTTGTATCCCCGTTCATATCGTCACCGAAAGGTGATATATGTCATAACTTAATAGCTGGTACATAAGATACTTTGTTTCGTCTTTACAACGGCATCTGAAACCGTGCATCCATATCTCAAATTGTGGATAAAGACCATTAGGCACATCCACAGCTCGATTTGCGGATAGAAGTTATTAGGCAAACCAGAACCACAGCAGGTAGCGCGAGAAAGAATATTGAGCAGAAAATACGATGTTGATTTAAGTCCCTCCTCCCCTCTAGCCAATGGGCTTGAATGGCACGCATTCGGAGCCAACAATATCAAACGAGACTTCCTCCAAAACAGAAGGTCACTCAAATGCTGGCCAAGATGTTGGGCCACCACCGAACATGCTCGACGTTTCGGTGGGAGACGAGCTTGAGGCCTCTCCTTGGGCCATGATTGAAAGCGATCCTGGTACTTCATGGACATTATCCGGCATGCGTATCTACTACTAACATGATCGCTCATTGTTCGCTCAAAAAGGGGTGTTTACAGAATTGGCGGCCAAAATCGGCATTAAAGGGGTAGTAGTGGAGGAAATGTTTGGACTTGGCGAAGAATGTTTTGAACCTCTGAAGTAGGTCGTATTGCGAGGAGTTCTTTGCCATCCCGATGTTTAAGCACTGTAATGACCATATTCTCAGACCTATTTATGGGTTGATTTTCCTCTTTCGCTGGCGGGATGCGGACACAAACGAGAGCGACGTGCGTGGAGACATTGCAAATGATCTGTTCTTCATGAACCAGGTGAGGCTACGACTTTGGCCCCTCCACTCTGTCTACTAGAGAGATACCAATCGGATCAACACCGGCACAGGTCGTCGAAAATGCATGTGCTACACAGGCGCTGGTTAGCATCGCCCTCAATTGTGACTTTCTTGACATCGGTGAGGAGCTATCGCGCTTTAAAACTTTCACCCAAGATTTTACCCCCGCGGTATGTGGTCCATGATCAGGATGTATTTCTGCACTTGGCAGCTAAATGTAATTATAAAGATGAGGGGTTTGGCATTGACAAATAGCCATCTGTTGCGAACAGCGCATAATTCCTTTTCAAGGTGACTAATAATGAGCGTGGCTCGCACATCTCAGATCCCTAACCCATTTTGCCTCACTATTAGACAGACAGACCTACCCGTGCTCGACTATCCTATACCAGAAATCCATAAGAACCCCGGGTCCCGAAAGCGAAAATTATCAGAGACAGATGAAGATGCACCTTTTCATTTCATTAGCTACGTACCAGTCAATGGGATCGTGTGGGAACTGGATGGATTGAAACGAGCTCCAAAGAAGCTAGGTGAGCCCGCGTGATTCTTGTTCTAATAACGGTACTAATCGTGTTAGAATATAGGCGAGGTACCTGATGGCTGTAATTGGATTGATGTCGTACAACCTGCAATTCGAAAACGGATGGAAAGGTACATTTAAAGAAGCGTCAAGGCACCAGGACCTGGTCAACCTCTGACTGACGTACTTTTTGTCATTCTATCAGATACGAGAATGACGCGGTAGAATTTAGCCTAATGGCGGTGATTAAAGATCGGATTGAAACCTTGCGGGAATTGCAAGAGGACTGTGCTCGTTCACTGTCTGCGGTTCGTGAGCGTCTGAGCCATGAGGAGTCTGGACTGGTATGATACGAACCCAATGGTGTCAGGTGACACTGTCATGGTCTTTATAACTTGGAAACTTCGTAGGGAATTCATCCGGACACTGCAAGTAGCCATTTGAACGAGTTGAGGGACACTATGACCAAGTTGGAAAGTCAGCAACGTGCAACCCAACGCGATCTCGAAGATGAGATAGCAAAACGTGAAAAGTATCATGTAAGCGGTGATAAAATAGTCGAATTGTACACGTTTATAGCCACTAATAAGGAACATTTAGGCGGAAAATGTGAGACGAAGATTCAATTATGGCCCGTTCATTCGGAAATACATAGAAATTGTGCATCGAAGCGGATTTCTTGAGGATCTACTGATCGCATAAAAGCACAATTTTGGGTCGATCTGTATATAAACGAATATAATTATGATATTTTAGACTATGTACAGGTGCCTTCCAAGCAGCTCAGTCAGAGTCCTGCGGGGAATGTTATGAGAAATCAAGAGCCAATCAAGAATTGTCACAATAGAGTACAATACCTCAAGGACCCTCCTTCGCTTCGGTTTTGTTGAAAATCCCATCTCCTCGTCGCTATCTGTGGACACCACCAAATGAACATCAGTTCCGAGGGACAGAATCTAACTCTGGGGACATTGAACGTTACCGTTCATGCGTTCGGTGGATTGGACTCCGGTCGCCGTTGCGAGTGGCTTGGCGAGGAAGGAGTCAGTCGGCCTTTTCGTTTGTGTCGAAGAAGGGTGCCGCCGGTCTGTCATGAAATCATCCTCGAAGAGATTTGCCAGGTCCTGCCCAAACCGACGCAGAGCTTCATTGGCTTCTTCCCTGCCGTGGTCCACTTCTGAGTCAGTATCAGCCGAAGGTCTCTCAATGTTATCATCGCTTTCACGAGAATCATCCGATTCATCACTGCTGCTATCATCTACTTCTGCATCGCTACCGTCACTAAGAGACGAGCTGTTCTGGTCATCTTGAGTGGTGGCTGCTTTGGCAGGTGCCGCTCTCGACGGTTTTTGGTTTGCCAGAGCCGTAGCTACTGCTGCTCCATGAAGCTTAGCCATTTTCACGCGCCGCTCCGCTTCCGCTCTGAAAAACTCTTCATCGCCTTCAGTGTCGTCACTGTCTTCAATATACTGATCAAATTTGATTTAAGTTTTTCACAGAGGGCATAGTGCGTAGAAATGCGATGTACATACCGCGGCCGACTTATATATCTTTGGCTCTTGCTCTTTCGCTTGCCGCCGTCGTGAACCCGAAGACTTGCGCTTATTCCGTCTCTTTCGAACCATCTCAGAGGCGGGTTTGCTACCTTCCATCCCTACTTGCATGAAGTTAACGATCATCTCTCGATTGGCAAACAAATCGGCTGTGGGGATGCTCGACGGAATGCGCCACCATGTGTCGTATAACTCTGGAGTGTTGGTGAAGAGATTTCAGTGCGTATTTGATGATGAGACGGGGGAAGTGTGTGTGGCGTACCTTCGACCTCCTCGAGCTTCAGAAGTCTGAGTAACAGCCTGAGACGAGTATTTCTCTTCAAGGCCTCTTTTTTCTCTGGAACGCTTCCCTTCATATCTGTTCGCTCGCGATCAGCACAGGACATGAGTTCAGTCCATTGCCGACCGTTCATTTCTTACCATATGATTCCGCGCTGACCTCGCTCGAGAGGAGTTCTGGCCCACCATCCGCGGGGGGTCGGCCAACTCGCATTGTTGCCGCCTCGAGAAGACTCTGAATCCTTTCATCAGCGTCAAATTCCAAAGAGAACCACGTAAGCACGTTCCACCTCCTTGACCCATTCTAACAGGTGTGTCTCTTCCTTTTCCAAAAGCAGCGCCACTGCCACCTGAACTTCCTGGCTCCATGTTAACCTAAAAAAGATACATGAGAATTGTACAAACAGAAGATATGATAAATGGACTTACCCCGGCTTCACCTCGATCTCCTTCACTGGCCTGTAATAGACGCAGAACATCAATCGTAAGGACTTGGTGATTCACGCTAGTCGGACTTACAAATCTTTATCAGCAGACGGAAGCTTTTTTTGGCAAGGTGGAGCGACGTTAGATATCTGTTAGTTGCATTAACCACAATCCATCAGTTACATACTTGCTCGCTTGTTTGTAACTTGCCACCATTTTCGATTCGTTGACAATCTGCTTTCGTTTTAGGGAATAGCACCTGTTTATTGGTTTATCGTTAATGTAAGTTGAGAGCTACGGGAAAGCTTGGCTTATAACGAGGCTCTTCTTACCTCCACCAGTAATACAGGGTTTTTTGCCGCCTTTTTGAAGAATTTGGCAAGCATGTACTTGATAAATCCGTACAATTCTTTGTGTGACTTAGTCGATGGCAACATTCGGATGTCGGTCAGTATGCGATTGAAGAGCTCTAATGTTGACAACTGTACCGACGTCAATCATTCGTGAGTCAGCAAATCTTCCCATTTCTGGACACTTACCTTGTAAAAGAAAGCTTCAGCCTTACTTTTCACGAAGATTCGATGGAACATTCGTGTAATATGATCAATAGAGCGTTCGTCAATCTCGCGGTAGTGTTTCAGTAAGGCACAGTATGTGCTGACAACTGATTCGGAAGCAAACGCCTAGTGACCGTTGAGTACATGTTAGTGGGCACTTTCTGCTGGACGTTCCTTTCTACCCACCGACTCAATATCCTCAAATTTGAACTGGCGCTCCACATAATCAGATTTTTGTGGCGCCACAGATTCCTCCTCCCCGGAGTCATAATCTTGAGTCACATCGGGTTCAGTGGAGTCTAATCAAGTTTTGACTGAGCCTATATCTCTTAAAAACCAGCAAACGATGTCAGTCATACCTTGAACCGCAGGTGCCTTCTTACTATTTCCTCCTTTTTTCTTGCGAGTAAACATGATACCCTTGTTCTTGGCATACGCTTCCAGCATTTTAAGGAGTATATGAACTACTTCAACAAGCGTCTTCAGGTAGCTGGCAATGATAACGGTACAAGTAAGCCTTGAGAGGGACGAAATAAAACTCAAAACCTTTCGCAACGGTACCTCAAATGCAATGGCCGCTTAAAATTCTTGACCAGGCTTACAACCTGTTCAATGCTAGCGTGTTCGTAGTACATATTGCTTTGCATGTTCTCGGATGCTTCACGATACTCCTCGTTTGTAGATGCCGACATCGCGTCCAGTACTAGAAGCTGGTTGCATCAAGTCCACATCAAAAACCGTGCGTATGTTCACAATGATACGGATGTGCATGCGTACCATGTGCTTTAGGCAGTCCATTGCAAGATATAACTCTGTCCATCTCTGAATCCAATTATGCCGATCAGATTCGTATTGGACAACCGCATTTCCAAATCCAGTCAGGCTACCTTTTCGTCCTGGGACATTCTCATTCGCTTGAACACGAATTGCAATCCCCGCATATTCAAGAATCCAGTGACAGTGTCGAAGTCAAGCGTCCCTTCGGTTGGAGTCGTTCCGATGTCCTGCACCGATTTTCGACTTTGCTGTAGTAAGTTTGGTAAGAAGGGGTGCAATATCCGTCTTAACGTGTGTCACATACCCGCAATGCGCACAGCTGAAACTTTAGAAAGAAAGAGCACAGCCAGAAAAAACGGGCATAATGGTCATCCTGTACTTTATCTCGTTCCATATCAAAGTCTCGCTTAACGCACGACATGAGACCTGCAAGAGTAGTCAAGTGAATCGTGATCAGGTGAAGTGGGAGTCTTGAGGCTTATAGATAGTGTGCGTAAAAACAAACCATTGAAACAGTTTTCCAGGAAGTCCTTTGCAGTCCGCTCGTATATTCGAGCTGCCTCTGCGCTCCTGATACCGCGTTGCTTCTGATACTCGTCCTGCAGTCAAGTACAGTGAGAAGCCTTTCCCATAAGGTTATTAGAAAAGTGCATATCACCTGCGGCATCCCTTTTCGTTGACCTCTATTTTCGGATTTGTCCTTATCAAGGGCTTCCTCCACCGAATTCAACGCCGATGCCGGGTTATGTACCGTAAAAGTTTGTCCGTCCTACTACGATTTCAGACTCGCAACCACCACAACCGTAATCAGGGAAAGGGTACCTACACTAAGTTTAAAAGACAACGTCCCTCCAAATCGAGAGTGCCGCGATGCCGGTTTTCGTGCTTCTCGTCGTTTACGTCGTTCCTCCTCCTCTAAGAGCCTAGCGAGTTCGATCGACGCAGTCTATATTCTCATAAGCATTGACGACTATGGTAGTGGCATAGGAGGGGCAATTACCTTGCTTTCCGCCAATATCGCTTCCGGATCGCGCTCCAGGAAAAAGTAATAGAAAACCTCCATCAAAATAAGATTCCACTCGGCATATTCACGTTGATCCATCGACCCCGCAAATGAAAGTAGAAGCTGTATGATGTCCGCTTTTTCCATGCATTGGATTAGGTGCTCCTGTATTCTGGCATCAGATGACTGACCCGCCTGATTGTGTCGCTCATGGCTCACCTGTAGAGTAGACTGCATGTACTTCTCCGTTGTTGACGTCACTGCTGCCTGTACATCTTTAATGGCCAGCAAGTTACGGAACAGTGTCAATATCAAGCCAATCAGGCCATTATCCCTGTCCGATCGATCTCTAAAGGCGTCGAGAAGTCACTAATTTAGTTCCTCTACATCACTGCAATTTCGATGATTCGCGGCATTTCGCGTACTAACCTATGATTTACAGAAAGCGGTTTGAGCAGCTCCTCCAGAATTGCTGCCAACACGCCCTCCTTCAAGAATACTTCTTTGTATCCTCGTTGTATTTCCAGGAGCTCTGCAGCATCAGCAGACGTAGAATCTACTGGCCATGTCAATGGGATAAAAAGCTGCACTAAACAGACAGAAACGCGTGTTATGGCCCATATATTAGGCAACCCTTGGAAACTACCAGAATACGATATGCCCTCAAACTAACCAACTGCCTGGGCAATCTTGTCCTGGTTTGCAGCATGTGCATTCATAAGAATCGGTATCAAATCCGTTTGAAGTATCTTCCAGCGGCCAAGGGCACGGACTATATTCCTTTCCTTCGAGAGGGCGTCCTCCTTCCGCAGAAGACGCTTAAGGTCACGCAAACAAGCTATGGCACATGAGTAATTATAACTATGGTCAGCTCCTCTAGTGCGTACCTAGCGCTTCGTCGCCCATGACATATTGCTTCTCGAGCACGGTTTGGCCATCTTTGCCCAATACTTCTTTCTCCTCATAGCCGCCCAGTGCAGCACATATCGACAGCAGGTGAGAATGCTGCGTCTCTTCTTCGTCCATAGTTTCAAATTTTAGGGAATGTACCTTCCACAAGCCTAAAGCCCGAGTTAACAGTCAGGCAAGGACAGCGATGATGACTCATCATATGTCCATCGGTTCGGACATAGTCTGTGATCGATCACGTAAGCTTACCTCCGCAAGCTCGCTCTCGATACTCCCACGGCTGGGAGGGCCTGCACGGACCTATGGCGTAGCGAATCTTGGTGTTGGTAAGTGAAGTCAATTTTGTGTGTCATAGGTTTCAGCACACTTCTCTCGCTATGAAGGTCAGGAACCGGAAAGCCAGCTTCCCTTGCTGCCTTATGAGAATGAGGGCGATGGTGTTACTTCTGCTAATGTGGAGGTTCATCAAGGCTCGGGGAGCAAAAGGTGTCTGCTCAATCGTCTCCACATGGGCTTGGGATGCCTTCGGTGGTAGAGATCCTCAGGGGCAAAAAAGGACAGGAAAATTAGGTCTTTCCTGATGTCTAATATGGAACTAAATCGGAATACAATGGTTTGAGTCAGATGTCCGAATGCCGATTGAAGTTTGAATTGTAACGATGTTCACACAGTCCTTCTCGCATTTATCGTCCCTGATTCATCGTCCTCACATGCACGGATCATAACTCTGCGCTTGTTCTAGATTTGAAAAATGTTTTCGTCACCACCAGGTTGTTGAGACCTGCCACAAAAATATCTTGAATGAACGTAGCAAGCGTAAGAAGGGGAACTTCTAGTGTGGGCATTTTCCCAAGGTTCAAAATAATTGGTTTACACCAGCCAAATATCAGTCTTCAGTGCTCCCGAGAAGGCTTGTCCATTAATCGGGATATTCGACTCGCCAGCCGGATACCCACTGAAGACACAAGCTGTCCATATGAGCAGCCAAGCTACTTACCTGCCTTTCCAGGGTAATTCAAAAACTTAGCTTCCAGCAAACTTCATGATACCTCAGCTCAATCAGATATTGTATAGCTAACCTATTAAATCTCACTAGATGTAACAGGGGATCTCTACAGCTTGCCTATGACAGAGCAGCCAGAAGTGCAGATTATTGATTGGCGTCCCTACTCTGGACAATGCGGGAGCCACTTCGAACTGGCTATCAAGTTGGAATCCGATGTGGCTTACACAATCTTTTCAGTTGCATTCGGCACTTGCGTTGTGACCAACGTCGATCATGCGAGGCTTGGCGACGGGTATTTGGTGTTGACCACCAACGTTCCAGCGTGGTCAGACACTGGATGGAACGGGGGGCAAGTGCCGGTGCATCTTATTATGCAACATGCTGGCCGCCCAGAAACCATTTATTCAGGTTGCCTGGGATCGTTTACTTACAATGAATACCTGGAGGGTAAGGAAAAAAAAAAATCGGTTGTTGCATTTAGGTTTTGTCAGACTCATTGTTTTGTGTCGTTTAGAACCCATTTTTACAAATTCCCGCGAATCGTCGCTCGAAGAGCCCTGGGAATTGGAGCCGCAGCCCTGCGACTTCTCATTCGCAAGCTCTCACCCATTAAGTCAAGCTGCACAAATAACCGATCTCTGTGAGGTCGACCCAAGTACGATGTTGAAGCTTCTCACTTGTCGAATCACCGTACTAACAATTACCGCCAGGCGCCCAGGCACCTGCGGGTGTGCTATGGCGAAGTCTTCCTCAGCTTATGGATAGCGCACACCAGTGCTCATCTCCTGAAGAGGACCCTACCACCTTTCCGAGTAACAAATCCGCTTCTGATACGGCTATGATCTTGTGGACATCCGAGCCCTCTTTGACGCCATCAAACTCGTCATCATCCGACTCTGCGGAAGTGACACAACTGCAGCCGTTGGCTCCTCTGTTTGAGACGGGAGATATAAAATATTGTATTGATGACTCAATTACTCTGATGGATACCTTGAGCAACTGGTAAGATGCTGTCAAGTATTTCAATAGCCATAGGAGAAACACGATTCGCCTTTAATGCCCAAGGGCACAGGTCCGCAACCGAGCGATTTGAATGTCGTCGTTTGGTTCAAGTTCGTAGCGAAAGTACTGGGGACACCGTGGTGTGTTCATTTGGTCCAGTACGTGAGGACCAGATCCAGCCAACGGACACGATCGTCTCATGCATCTTCTGGGAAGCTCGACGAGCATGCTTCATTACGAGTGTTGAGTAAGTGAACGCCCAGCCATTTCATTGCTCATCAAGAATTACTGTTGATAATATTCTCTTTAACCAGCTGCATATATCTGCTGGAATCGTTACTGGAAAAGAGGTACGTGGCTTCATTGAATCTTGGGGACTGTTGTCATACCACTATTATTTCCAACAATACCATGGTATTAGGTTTACAGTGGAGGAGAAAAATCGAATACGGCGCAATTTGGAGGCATTCCGTCCATCAACCATATCAAAAACAAAACCTGAAACCGAATCATTCTTCAGATTAATTATGAGTTTCCCTAAACCTCGTCCCCGGAACATCGAAAAGGATGTCAAAGTTTTTCCTTGGAAAGTTTTGAAAAGTGCTCTATTAAAAGTTACTGCAAAAAGCACACTATTCGCATAGGGCCACGAGCTATAAACAGTCTCCCTTTGTAGCAATTTGTGCTATTTGGGTAATAGTATCATGTTCTTGTATGTCCACAGCCTGTGTGCGGTTGCTGTATTCTATTACCAGACGCGAGCGCCATCCAGAGGGCGCCGGTGTCCGTGGTTTCCACTCTCCATCCTACCGCAATGGAGCAGATGTGGAAGACGAATGCTAGGGCGATTCTTGCCACCGGCTCCACCGCCTTCGGAGATACCTGGATTGAGGATGTAAACCGTCATTCGGTTCTCCCTTTAATGTAATTCATAAAGTCTCATATATGTTGCTGATACCACATGCGCAGGTTTGTTTATATCTAAGCGGTTGTTGAGTGAGAATGTACAAATGAACAAATAACAACATCACTCACTCGCCCGTTCCTTCAAGTAGTTGAGGCTCTCCGAACTTGTGTACGTGCGTTTCATCCGCTCTTCTTTGCCAGGTGCTAGTTCGCGTCTTTTTTCGCAATTCTAACATGAAAGAGTCACTTCAAATCCCGTAATATACCCTAATATTACAATCGGTTCTTCATACCGCTCAACTTTGACTTAAACTTTTTCTCTTTTCGTTCCTTCTTCTCCCTCTCCCTACTTTCGAACTCTCGATCCAGTGCCTCTGGGCTACCCCATTTCTCCCAAGCAAATTTCTCGACCTGGTGCCAGGCGCTTGTCAATCATGCTCACTTGCAGAAACTAGTGCATGACCTTACCTGAAAACGCAGATACAACAGCATATTGCTATATGTCGACTTGTGTGGATTTGGACGTTCCCAATGTGGTAAACGACTACTATCACGGAGTTCGCCTAGGCAAAATGCGGACTTGATCAGAAGATGGACAGAATGCGATGTAACAACAGGCGCGCACTCTCTGTCAAAAGATAATCCTAATCGAAAGTCAATAAGATCATCCACGAGAGAATCACGAAGGGGATGCAGACAACAACCTCTCTACACTCAGTTTTAGTCAACAGGCTATATTTCTCTGAATGTTTGTCTTTACAGGAACGGCACACCTCAATGCGAAAGTGCTTTTGGAAGTGAGGGTCAACGTCTATCGACTGACATGCCTCACATCGAGGGTTATTCTCCATGACCAGATCAATCGCTATTAAAAACAGGACGTTAGGGTCACAAGCATTCGGAAGGAAATGCGAAACTGGACACACGTGGCTCATAAACGACCGTCTTTTCTTCATGCTTTTGCTTCTTGGAATCTGGCATGCCTTGTTCCTCCAGAATAAACCCTCCTTTCGTATCCTTCATTGTGGCAAAGTTGTACTCGCCTATGTAATTGATAAACGTCGAGTACACAGACGATAACGGCGACGCTCAACGGGCAGCTTACAGTAGTTCAGATCAATTGCTCGTCTTTTTCTTTGTACGGCCGTCGGTTTGGCCTCGGCATTTACTGGGACAGAGCCGGTAACATTGGGCTCCACAGCTTTTGTAATGTTCCGCTGCTCCAGTCGCGCTTTTGCTACAGCCCGATTGTTGGCAATACGAGCTATTTCGTCCACAGATCTAGTTGTCTCTTCCGGCATCTTTCGACTGCGCTAACAGATAAGTATGGTATTTGTGTTATTTATTGTTGGAAATGGTCGCAGCGATCTGCAAGTGGACGACCTGAGCGGAACTTCAGATTGTCATAGTTCACGTGACGCCCACGCCACAGAATCTCAATTCTCGCCGAGCTTCAGTTGAAGACAACAGTTTAACCCATCGTGGAGTTGACACCATGAGAATCTTCAGACCCTTGCTACAGGCCGCAAAACTTAAGGAGGTAAGCTTTTGATCTTGCGCCGTATAGCCACCCAGCATTGCATATCGCGTGTCAGCTATGGGAAGCGGTGTTGAAGCGAGCTCCGGCCCAGTCGGTACAATAGTCATGTTTGGAGGACGTGCCTTGCTCACCCGCTGGTTACAATTAGACGACAGGCCTTTACGGCGTCCCCGTCCATCCCAACCCACGCCCGCACCTCATCTCCTTGTACCAACGCATTATTCATACTGCTGAGCGACTCCCCGCTGCCTCCGCTTACCGTCAGAGTGCCGAGGCTCTCGCAAAGCACCGATTGGCTGTTGTTGAGAAACATGAGGACGTTTCGGCTATTGAGCAGGAAATCCAGGCAGGCCAAATTGAAGAGCTCATAGAGCAAGCGGAGGATGAGCTAAAGCTTATACCCAAAATGATGGATTTGAAGGTAATGTGGATATGGAAGCAAGTGACCTACGACATGGTGGACGTTTGTCGGCCACTATGCTGGTCTTTTACGGACATGTATTTACTTACCCCTTCGCATCTTACTAGCCCTGGGAACCTTTGGAGGAGCCAGCACCTGCAGGCCAATGGGAATACTTTGGCAAGGGGAGAACAGCGTAGATAGTTTTACACACATAAAGACCCGATATCGATATATTGTTTGATGCTTTATCCTTCCGCTTCCTATTCTCTTGTTGCCCAAATGCGAGCTTTCTCTCGACAGCTATATTTATTAATCCAGCAGAATTCTTAACTGCGTTTGCGACGGTGCTTTGTAAACCTGAATATTGATATGGTCAGGTCATCAACCTTTTTTGGGAGAACCCCTACATATTTCGATCACGGTTATGGCCCGCTAGGGTCGAGCTAAGAGATATCCGCACGGAAAATTACCTGATCAGGAATGCGGGCCACGGGTTGCACATCCAAAAACTCAGCTAGTGACCTTCTCATGCTTACACATTAGGAGCGCAATTCATGCCAGTATTAGTTTTTACGTCTGATCTGAAATGACAGCTTTTACGCCTTATCTTGCGGAAATTGCTGATATCGTCTGCCGGTAGGACTTGAATGGGACTTCCCGCATGAACCGCATGAGATAACGACCGTGCAGCAATCGCTGAATCCTGGGATTTGTAGGTTATGTCGATGTGCAAGCAATACCGGGCTTGGAAACCTCTTGATATTATCTGGAGATGAACCCGTAGCTTCAAACCATGTGTCTGCAGCACATAATATTGCCCTAAAGTCCCTCTGGGGTGAAACACTTGCGAGGCTCGGATCCACAAGCCCAGCTCAAACCAATCCAACGCCAAGTTGGCAAGACATTGGCGAATTTCGGGCGCTGATGGTCGACGAGTCCGAAGCCATCACTCTGATTATCCGCCACATGTTCGTGATGGCAATGAAACAACCAGAAAAACTGCCAGCTGCAGTGCCGGAAATTTCTGTCGGACTCGATAACTGCCTAAGATCACTGAAGACGTTAGAAGCTACCACCTTGCTTGGTGCAATCCTGTTTCAAGACTCCGCAGGTATAGGATCCCAGGAGCGACTGATACTGGCAGTCGCAGAGTTGGTGGCAGTTGTGTGTGAATTCTTCCGATGCCTTGGAGCTTTGATGACCACCTCCAGGATTGCGGAGGTGCAAAGTGGTACTGGGGACGGTGGCATGAGAGCCGGAAATGTACAAATGAAGACAGCCAAAACGTTTGTACAGAAGGCGATGAAGGCTGGCAAGTTCCTTAACTCTCGGCGAAATTCATTCGCGAGTGTGCGAGGTGCAGCGGCTCCCTCTGCCGAGAAGATAGCCGAGAACAGCCCAATAAAAGACGCAAACACAGACATCTGGGCTGTACAAGAGAAGCTACAAGAGCTCAACCAGTGCGGCAAAGCCCTCGTCAGTGCTCTTAATACTTTTTTGAATGTATTGTTGTCAGTGGAGCGTCATCTTGTGCTTCAACGCGCATCGTCCTCTCTGGCAAATGGTGGTGACAAGAAGAGCGGGATCCGACGTCTACGAGATGCTTTGGAAAATGTACTCAGGAGTCAACAAATCAGTGATGTGGATTTAGAAGACACTAATCTGTCGGCCTCTGAGCATGTGAGAGAAGTCAGTCGAGATTCGTTCGGAGAGGAGCCACTGCATGTACGTAGGTCAAAGACTGTCAGAAGGCGAGCTAAATCCCTGGAGAGAGTATCAACGCTGGAATCTTGCTCGTCCCTTGAAAGTGATCACCACCGTACGGGGAAACAAGGAGAAGAAGAAACGTCTTTCAACTTTAAAATGGGAATGAACTCTACTCCTGGAGAACTACTAAATTCTGTGCAGACTTTGTACACAGAAGGGGAAGACCCTCCTGAGGGTAACGAATCAGCTGCCTCAGTCAGGAGACCTCGCTCATTATCCCATCCCACCGAAGCTGTTTCGTCAGGTCGTTTGTCATTCCCGACTCAACGGCGCGCAACAGGACCGAGTCAACTGCGGCAGGAAATATCGGCCGAGGTGAGGTTGAAAACGTGCGCACCGTGCAATGCTGTCAAACTCATTTCATAATTTTTTTCAGCCTACACCGCATGCGAACATTTCAACAAGCCATACTGAATTGCCTTCCGCAGCCCCGGACATATGGAGTTCTCAGTCTGCCTTGCCCTCCCCATATGAAGACCTTCTGAGGCATATCGAAGAGATTGAACAAACTCAACTTGAAATGCTCAAACAGTCAACACAACATAATCAACGGTCACCTGCAACCCAGCCAAAAACTGCAACATATATTGCCGCCCCTAAGATTGGCTCACTACCTTCAACCTTCTCGATTGCCAAATCCCCGATGGGCGGCCAGATCATCAATGTCGGTATCAACAAAAGAGGCATGGTAGGAAGCCCTTCTTCAACGACGTCCCTAATGATGCCACCCCCTCCGCACCATGTGCACCCGAAAATTGCGGTAGCGCAGATCAAGAAAGAGTGGGAACCAAGTTTGACTGTCAAAAGGCAGCTCCTGAGACAAGATTCCGGAATGACTTCGTGGAAACTGTGTGTGGCCAAGCTTTCGCATTCAAGCCATTCATTGTTGATATTCCCAAGTGGAAGAGCGACTGTCAAGGACATGGACTTTCCCGTGAGGGACCCAGAGGTGAGTATATTGCCAACTGCGTGACCATTTCATGATTGGGATGACCGCTCAATTCGATACAAATCCTGATGATAAAGTTGTCCGGAGCGAGTCCCATAGCCGCGTATAACCTCCGTAATGCCGTGATAGAGAAGGCATCCAATGTACCCAGACATAAGGCAATACGTGCACGCCTAATGAACGGAGTGAACGTTCTCATTGATGTTGGGTCCGATGCCCGGCTCGAAGATTGGATGTATGCAATGAGACGTATTGCAGAAGATGAATCGGCTACCGCCCCGTCTCGGAGGGATAGCGCGCTTCCGAAAGGACGGGATAGTCGAGTAAATAGCTCCACATATTTGTCATACCCATCCGCCTCAAGTTTTGTAATCTAGTGCCCAGGCGGCGGAACAAGATCAGAGGGTGCTTTACAACAATTAGAAATATAGACTGCGCATTCCCTCACATTTTGATCTTAGATGTGCAGATGTTTCCTTTTGCCTTGCAGCTCTTTAGATCTCCTCGCAACTTCAAAAACCTCATCCGCCATGAGTAACCCATTTTCACGCAACATGAACAATAAAGTCATAATGTCTGCATGATCTACGGTATCACGCTGGCAACGGTGAAAGAAATAGTGTCAGTGCAGCACGCTGCTATCTTGTATACATAGAGTGCATACCTTTGATATAAAGCGCATTAGGGAATCTTTATATTGACATCTGCCCAAGGGTCGGTCTCGTATAACGTGTTTATTCCACGCTTTTAACAATGCACACTCCGATCTTGTCAGATTAGCATCCATACACATGTCCTCCAAGTGCTGCAAGAGGAATACGTCATTCTTGCCATTCATACCCTAACATGACTGGTAACAGTAATAGCATAGTAGATACCTTTCCAAGCTCAGCCTCCAGGAAAGACATATCGACGCAGTCGTCGCTGATTCGGGTGAGGGATGATGTCATTCGAACTGCATTTGGGTTAAAAAGGGAGGGCTTATACCTATCGTATTCATCTTCTTCCGGTTGGATGGCGACATTTGTGCTACTATGAAAATACTGTCTAGCAGACTGAGCCCGCCCCACCCGGTCAACCTGGATCGATGAAACCGAGACTCTCGCACTGTCGGTTGAGACACTGCTCCCACGGAGACTGTATGTAGCGCTATTCCGCTCCGTTCCCAGTGTTTTTTCCACTTCCACAACATATGGATCCTGAACAATCTCAATATCTAACTTGCAGGTAGCGTTCACAAGCGGCTTCTTCTTCAATTGCCACAGGTGGACTGTCACGGGTTTCGCCACTTTTGGGAGAATGTCAAACTCACATTCGCCACATGGATGCCGGCCCCTCTCTGTGACGATGGAATATTGTCCATCTTCTTTTGAAAGAGTCGCCTAAAATGGGACCACCTTTCGTCAGCTTGTCCTCACCTTTCGACGTGCTAGTCGGTGACATCACTGACATCAAAGTAAAACGGAGGTTCGTACCTCCTTTTGTTGGTACATTTCTCCTTTTCCGAATCTATGGCATCGAACGTCAGACACTTAATTTCGGCAATGACAGAAAGAAGTAACTTTAGATATGCTCACCGAAATCATCATACGGAATGAATGCGACCCGCAGAGTGTGCTTTATGACTCTCGCGCCAGTAATCAAATGGCCGCCAGGTGAAATACACCGTCCCTTTGATCCATGGTGTAAACCAACCTCGCCGTCCTCGTTCAACATGACGACAACATCAGAGTAACAGGTTCGGCAGGTAAAGTCGGTTCCGTCCGAGTACGTGGCGGTAAGTTCGATTTCCACAACAAGGCGAATAGGTACAGGTGCGGGCAGCTGCTGTGTATTGTCCACTGTGATCTGCGAATGCCTTGTGTTGATATCCAGCAGCTTGAGCTGTAGCCGCACAGAGACCGGACTACCAAGGGTAGGGTAAATTTACCCATATCAGTCAGTGCAAGCGATGACTTTCCCCGAACCTGAGCATCGCGAGTCGGCCCGCTTTAGCCATCGGAGCGCTGGTCAATACTGAAGGCGAGAAGCCTGCTTCCACCCCACTGCTGTCCCCAGTGTACACGTGACTCAGCACAGTGCAAACCAAATGCAGTTCCTCCAACGTAAGGATTTACTCTCTCACGAACGTATTTGGTCACCATGCTTGCCTCCGCCGTCTCTACCGCTCCACTTGAACTTATGCGCCAGTTCAACGCTTTACAATCAACTAGGGTACAGACATATCGTGACTTTGAAAGGTAACGCGGCAGTACTTTTCTGAAGCAATGGAGCGGTACTTTTTCCCACACATGCTATTGTGTAGAGGTTTTGATGACTATATTACCGAGGCGAAAACACCAGCAGAGTATGAACGACTTGTTGAAGATATCACGCAAAAATTTGCGTCCATTTCGCGGGACATACGGGCAGTCGAACAACGCTTGCGAGATCAAGATCAAAGTGAGTGGGCCACGATGATACGGGAGATCCAAGATTTGGAGAAAATGAAACTACGAGCGGTATGCAAATTAAGGGTTAGAGTTCATTGTCAGCGCTGCTCACCTGTATCCATACCATCACTGAGCAGACGGTCAACTACCAGATGAACAAACTTGAATCGGTATTTGGAGAAAGAGATTACCAGGGTGATCTGGAGCAATCCCAAAAAATGATAGAGAAGATTACGCTTGAGATTGTTGACAAGCTATTCGCTCTGCGACATGACATGGCGGAACTGTTAGAAAGTTAATCTTCACTTAAAGCTTATGTAAGCAACACTACACTTTTTGCTGCAAGGGTAGTGGGCGTCAACTTTAATGTATCGCGATGACCTTTCACCTTGTGCCTGTCAAGTAACCTTCAGCTTGGTCGATGATGCCTATGCGGAAGTATTTACGCTCTTCTCATCTAAAGCTGCGCACACCTGGCGCCACAATTTCCATGTTACCCAGAAATCTCCCAAAGTCGACTATACCTTGGGTGATAGAACCATAACCATATCGCAGGACAATTCAGCGCTTGGCCGCTTAGGTGTGACGGGTGTTGTTGTCTGGGATAGCGCTGTGGTTCTGTCTAGGTTGTGTGAACGTGGAGTTTTCGACGTTCGCAACAGGGCCTGCCTTGAACTAGGTAGTGGGACAGGCCTATTTGGGATCGCACTGGTTACACTTGGTGCTCGCACTATTGTGCTGACTGACAGGTTCGATGAGCTGAAGCATGCGGAGAAAAATATTCTGAAAAACATAAAAGAGGCTGAAGAACGGGCCAGGATCCAGTTGGTGGAATATGAGTGGGGTTCTGACACCAGGTCCATCTTTCAGGCGCTTCGGTGCAAGGAGGAAGCTGGTGATGAAGAAATAGCAAAGCGATCGACACAATTTGACTACATCTTTGCTAGTGATTGTGTGTATAACGAACACATCGTTCCGTATCTAGTCGAAACGTTCAAAAAATTCTGTTCTGAGTCAAATGGCGGAGGTTCGGTTCGCTGTGCAGCCAGCGAGGCCTCTGTCGTAGAAGCGCGATTGTGGCCCGAAAATACTACCCTAGTCGTAATTGCGCAAGAGTTGCGATCAGATAGTGTCCACCTAGAGTTTCTCGAACAGATGGTACAATCAGGCTTTTGCATGGCTCGATTGGAAGGTATCGGGGATGTTGTGCAGAATTCTGCGGTCTGTCTCTATGTTGCATGGTTGGAAACTTAGAGCTATTGGCGTCGCCCACAATCCTTCCTTCGTTTTGGCTGTTTCAAACATGTGACGTAGTTTACAAAGTCGGCGACTCGAAATTAAAATGTATTGTTTGGAAGATATCCCTCAGGTTGAACCCCGAGTACCAGCTAATGTCTCGATAAGTTTCGCCGATGCCTAGAAGGCCCATTAACCATAGTCAGGACATCAGAATCTTCCGCCCACTCACCTTTGCACCTTGAACAAGTCTATCCTCGAAAAAGGCCGCAGTTTCTGTAAATCGCTTCTCATACCCCTCCATGCTCCCCAGTTCTATACATTCAACCCAGCCCCGAGTAGCGGTGTAAAATTCGCAATCGTCTGAACGAATCTCGCGATTGTACAGCGCTGCATTGATGGCATCGTCTAAGGACCCAGGCTCGAGGAAGAGGTATTCCGTAAGGCCCTGTAGTATGTGCGAAAGTTCCTAGTGACGGTCGGCAGCGCAGAGCACGTGGTCAAAATGGGCATACCAGAAGCATACGGAAAGGTGGAGTTTGGCAGATTAGGTGGTCATAGGGACTGGGCAACATTTAATGATACCTTAGCATTAAATTGTGCCAGCCTGCAAGATGCACATATGACAATAATCTTACGAGGGTTCCAGCGCGTGCCAGCAGTCAACGACTGCGAGGAGCGACAAGTGTGAATTCTAAATATGAATCGTTCATTTAGTTTACCCGCCTAGCCATCCATAGAGCCACTCATCCACTCACAGGTTTTCGTTGCGCTCTTGGAATCGCTGATAAAGAGAATTGATCCAGGACATCGTCTGAGAGGAGAAGGGCTTGGCGGTCAGCATTTCCAAAGACAAATGCAGCAGCCTGGAATTCGACAAATTAAGCTTGACTCCAATAGCGCCAATATTATTTTCACCACATACAGCCTTCACGCGTTTCCTAAACTCTTCCTCCTTCTCTTGAATCATCAGCTTGAACAATTCAGATACTGAGTTGGCATATTGTCGAACTTGAGGTCTCGCGCTTGGATTTAGTATAGCCAGTCCTGTTACAAAGTCAATCTTTAATCTTCGGTGCTCTCTTTGGAAGAGCCAATACATGTTCGTACCAGCGTATACATGCCATTTGTTGCTGTATATTCGCAGAGTCATCAGCGTCTTTACGTTCTCAATACCACCGACATAAGACGGGTTTTCCCACTGACGAAGCAACAACGCCCATCAAAAGCTCGTCGAAAGGAGCGATTTCACGTATTCTGATTTAACACTTACTGGATAGACCTTGTGAACCTTCCAAGCCGTACCCATGCTAAATGATACCGGACATAGAGGAACACGAATCAAGACAGCGGATCATAGCGATTGAAAGACGGACGTGGGAATCCTACCTCAAGAAAGCAAGGTGTGTGGCCACTTGAGTATCTGCAGTTATACGATCATGGTCCAGATAATTCAGGTATACAATATCCGATTGTAAGGAATTTAATATTCGGACAGCTCGGTCGAAAGATTCTTGGTCACTTCTGTGTCGTATCACCACCTATGTATCGGAGCATTCAGCATCGTCGCTCGTATTTCTCAATGGTCGACGGATGATACCAAAGGTTGATTTTTGGGATTAACTCTTGGCCCATGCATTGAATGACAGGTTACTATATTGACGTCTGGTGGAAGGTATTTCTCAAAAGCCCTAATCTCTGGCTCTTTAACAGACGTCTATCGTGGAATGATGTCGTGTAAGTAGGTTTATCCAGTAGCTACCTGCGTCTTGAAACCAATCGCTGTATTACCTGCCCGCACACAGTTGCACCAAGTTTAGTTCCTATGTTCCATGAGAGCAAGGAAACACGTTGGCAAGTATTCTACCGGGATACTCTAGACAATTTATAATTCTCCTACCAGGACCGTACATTCCCACCACTCTATCGATATTTGCTGCCTCCACACTGTAAACAATAAAGTCGCTCCTTCGAGATACAGAATAACCGTCGGGAAGGACATTCAATCCGGTGCCTGAAGGTCACCGACGGTAAGGTGTCGCGTGTCGACGGGTTGTCTACGGGTGACGTACCAGCTAGCTCTTCTCTCAGTTGTTCATAGCGAGAAGGTATGTCGCAGACGTTGACACTTCAAATATATAGTTTGAAGTCAGTAGGGCGTGAAATCTTGGTTGTCACTTGAAACTCACCGCTTCCAACCCGCCGCAAGAAAAGACAACCCGTACAGCCGACCCATGTCCCCTAAGGTATGGGTTCCGGTGAGCAAACTGTGACGAAGCCAAGGTTGTGCACTCTGAATTCTTAAGCTTCACGTACCCAAGCCAATTATGCCCACTTCTATCGTTTCTTTCTCCATTATTTCTGAAATTCATGTGCGAGATCGCTGTGAATCGCGTCGAGAGCACCCGACCTCAATTTCGCAGGACAGCATGAGTCACGTCATTAACCTCAAAATGGGAGCAGCTAATCAGGTCAATTGGTAACCTCACCTGCAACCATCCTCCCCACATCGGCCTTGGACGAAAAACAGCTCGATAAGCTATTCAAAGGCCACTGTATTCACCAATTCTGCATCCACAATATGATGGACATAGACTTACCCCTGGATCAGAACTTCAACCAACCGCCGCGAAGACCCGCAGAGGCCTGGGATGAAGCTGCAGACGAGAACAATGAAAGCAAAAAGAAAAAGACAAGCACAATAATAGTCGACAACCCAACCTTAGACCTGGAAAGTTACAGTGCGAACTACGTAGGTGAGCTTTACTGAACCACTGGAGGCTTTCTGCTTACGATCGGCCGGACTAAGAGGATTATCCGGCTGTAAAGGGCATACACGAGTTGAACGCCTTATCTTCATTGCGGAGCACTCCCCACCACTTGCCATTGACGCTTATAAAATTGCTTTGAACGACTTAAAAAACACAATGGATTATACGCGTTACACTGTGGTGCACCAGAAGTTGAACGACCTACTTCTGGGACGAGGTCTGCCAACCATCCCTTTGGACCAAACATGGGTCGACAACACAAAGAAAGCACAGCGAGCGAAAACGGAAAAGCTGGAACGAGAGTTGAAAGATTACAAGAGCAATTTGATTAAGGAGAGCATCAGGGTATGTGTTGTGCGCAATTCATACTTGATGACTCTGAGATGACCGTCACAATCAGATGGGACACAACGATCTAGGCGATCATCTTTACGATAGTGGTGACTTATCGGGGGCTTTGAAATCATATTCACGAACGAGAGATTACTGCACAACGTCAAAGCACATTGTAGATATGTGCATCAACGTAGCAAGAGTAAGCGTGCCCATGATCATCCAGTGGATACGTGTTTGCATCTAACGTATACAAAATCACAACTTGTAGCTCAGCATGGAATTGAATAACTTTGCTCATGTCCAAAGCTACGTCGTAAAGGCGGAAACAACGCCCGATATACCAGAAAAGAACATAGTAACCAGCAAACTCAACTGTATCATGGGGTTGGTGAATTTGGAGGCTGGAAAGTTCAAGCGAGCGGCGCGAAATTTCCTTGATACTAGCTTTGAACTGAATACGCACTTCTCTGAGGTACGGTTCATAGACTGTGCCTTTTTGTAGACAATCTAACAAGGTATCTTCTTATTAGGTTCTTTCTCCCAACGACGTGGCAATTTATGGCGGACTTTGTGCATTGGCAACATTCGACCGTTCGGAACTGAAAAGCAGAGTTTTCGACAATGCCGACTTTAAGCAATTTCTCGAACTCGAACCGCAAGTGCGAGAGTTGCTATCAAATTTTTACCACTCCAAGTATTCGCTGTGTCTGGATATATTGGAAAAGATGAAAGTATGGTCGTCGTCTAACATCTTGGTATTTGCCAAGAAGTCGTACTAAATTAAGAGATCTACAGAATGACCTATATCTCGACATATGGCTGCATGGGCATGTCGACATGATATATCAAAGTATTCGCAAGAAGGCCCTTGTGCAGTATTTCTATCCATTCTTATCCGTCGACCTGAACCTGATGGCACAAGCCTTCAGCACAACGGTTCCGGAGCTGGAACAGGAACTAGCCACCTTGATAACGAGCAAAGAAATTCAAGCTCGTATAGATAGCCATAATAAGGTAAGACAATGATTGATAAAAACGTTGTACACTGGACGCTGACCTGGTGTTTTCCTTTTGACACCAGATCCTACGGATCAAATCCGCAGACCAGCGAACCAATATATTCGAAAAGTCACTTGCAATGGGATCGGATTATCAGACTCAAGTAAAACATATGCTATTGCGAATGAAGCTTGTACGCGCCGATATGATTGGTATGTCTGTTGTCGATCCCTCGTAGACCGAACCAACTGTTCAACCATCTTCATGTTAGTGAGACCTCCCGAACGTGATCGACATGACTCATCCTAAGCAACGAGGTCTAAGCCTCCGACTTGAAGCGCGTCAGATTCCTACTTTAACCTTTTATGGAATGTAATTTGCCTTATTTGAATGTCATATGTGCGTGTGGGAAAAGGCGATGCTTTCAGCGTGAGAAAAGGCTCAACTGGCCGGATAAGGAGGAGACCGAACAAAAAACAAGTTGCGCACACACTTCTCATCTCCCCCTAATTTCCGTTTTTTGGCATCATCGTTCCTTGCTGAATGGCCCTCGCGCAGAGAGGATCGTGCCTCCGGCCGCGCTGTGCATCCCTTCTCGCACTTGTCACTATAACCTTCTTCTTATCTACTACCAATGTCCTAGCGCAGCAAAGCAACTGGTCTCTTGAAGGATGTATGGCTGTTCTTCCAAACCTTCCCACACCATCGTCAACGCCAATTACTGCATCAACTCAGATCATTCAGTCTTGCGTTGATACCTGCGCGAACCAAAACATTACCTATGCGCTGCTTTCTGGACCGACTTGTGCGTGTTTGAGTTCAGATGCCGTGATACGAACCCTATTAGCGGTGAATGTTGCGGAATGTAACCTAAAATGTGACGGGGAGCTACCCTGTGGAAATCCCGTATCTGGACGATACTCTGTATATAATACTGGCAAGGGTTTGGGAGCTGGTGCAGGTACATCCACGTCAGCACCTCTCCCTTCTGCTTCACCAGCGGTTGCCACGTCTACACCTCAACCACCACCTCAAGCCAATGGCGGGACGATCACCACATCCGGCAAAGTAACCGCACCTAGTAGCCGAAATGTAGCAACTATCGTTGCGTCTTCCATCTCTGCCGGTGTCGTCGTCGCCTGTCTTGTAGCATTCCTTTGCTACCGATATCGAAAACGACGTTCACTTCACCACTTGCCTCGTCTCGAAGCTGGCACGACCGATGGTAAAGCAGGAGGACTCATTCGATCAGCCTCAAAACGAGGCGCGAAAGCTCTAAAAGCAGGCGTTGTTCCCGCTACCACTACGGTCGAAAGTCTTCAATCGGGCTTGAATGGTGCGGGTATTGTCGTGAAAGGCAATGGTCTGAATGCCATCCTTCCACGAACACCAAACATGATCTACTCTGTCATCACGGCCCATAAACCCATCCTGTCTGATGAAATCGAGCTGAGAACAGATGATGTGGTCGCAGTCCAAAAGCACTTTGAGGATGGATGGGGCGTAGGAACGAATGTCTCAACAGGGCAGGTGGGGGTTTTCCCATTGGGATGCTTGGTGAGCGAGGATGAGTGGGTAGAAAAAGGATTTGCATTACCTAGTAGAGCGGCAAGTGCTGCTTCCAAGACCTCGTTCAGGCCTGGAAAAGAAGCGATTTAAACTGGGAAAGTGCGGGGAGAGTTATAGATTGTACAAAGTTTTGTGAACTATGCTACCACTTAGTGTCCTGTTTCTTGGTGTCAATTGTATCTTTATTACATGTATGTTTACATTTCTGGCTGGTAGCGCCGAAAAAATAGACTAGTAGTTATCTGTTGATCTGATGCAGTTTGTGTCAATGAAATGCCAGTCCATCTCAGAGGAGGCAAGATTATATTGCACGTTCAGATAGCGCAGGGAAGAACAGATGATGCTGAAAGGAATTGCCAAAATTTCTCCAAAATAACAGTTTGTATGTATAATTAACATGGAATATGCCAGAAATCGATTGTATGTATATGATTATGATAATAGGATGTCACAGTAAAACTTGAAAGTAATATCTGCAGCACTGCGCTAGATACTCATGTTTGCGGGTACTTCTCCTTCCCTCTTCGCCTTGGCTCGCTCCACCATCTCTGACCAGACGTTCAGCGCCACGACAGCCGACGGCAACTCATTCTTCAAATCAAAAGTCCACTCAGGGAAGTGCCTGTCGATGTAGGCCCACAGATCCTTCTCCGTTTGTCGGCTGACCTTGTCCTTCCTAACGGACAATAGCCCTAAAAAGTTTCTAAAGAGTTTCTGTGTCGGATTTACGCCATCCTGGGGCATCTCTTCCATGACAACTTTGCAAGCTGCTGGGACTTTATCACATCGAACCAGTGCCTCGATCAGAGACGTATAATTGTTCGGGTCTAATGGAACCTTTGCAGACCGAAGCTGATTCCATACTTCGTGAATCTCGTCAAGACGATTGGAGAAGGCGAGAGCATCGATAACTACTGAAATCATAGCGGTTTTCACTCCGTAATGCTCCTCAAATGCACGGTCAGTGTCCAATACGCTAGAATTTAGCAAGGGTTTTGCCTTTGGTCGCCATTGTTGCTTCCAAATATTCAGAGCTTTCTCCCACTCATTCCCATACCCGTAGCCGCATATCAGTATAGTCCACGTTGACGAATCTGGCTCCAGCTTCGGAGCAGAAGCTCCTTCCAACCCCCATTTGCCTTCCAACATCAAGTTGAATATTCGCTCCATCGACTCGGACTTGCCCTGCTTCCCGTACCAGTCGAGAATGGAGTTCATTGCGTGAGACTTGCTGTCCAGTTCACTTGCTAAACGACGGATTTTGTGGATGTACTCTGTTGCACCATCAAAACTTCGAACAGCAGTATGTGCTGCCACAATGGCGGCACACATCAAGGCATTCTCCGCAATCCCGTATGACTTGACTAGATCGACAATCCTCAGAGCTTCGGACAGGGATTGGGTTTTCTTAGCAATTGTAGTTACGACAGGCGTGTATATTGATGGATCTATCCGCCGCTTGAAAATTTGTAAAGCGTCTTCAAGCGCCTTCGTTGCTCCTCTCAGATCGCCATTTCGCAAGGCGTGGTGTACAAGGATAGAATATGTGATCTCATCCACCAAACCAGACCCCTTAGCCTTCATTTCGTCCACTAATCGTCGGGCATCCTCCTCACGACCGTGTTTAAGATACGCAACGATCATCGTGTTGTAAACTTCGGCTGTTAATGCACCTCTGCAATCTGCAGACTGCCGCATCACGCGTTCCGCTGTTTCCAAATCTCCACGGACGCAATAGAGGTCTACTGCCGCGCGATACACCATTGCATCGGGTGGCATAAGCCCTTGTCCGGCTTGAATGTGTTCCCAGATCACCATGGCCCTTTCTAGCTTCCCATTCTTCAATAACCCATTCAGGAGCGTGCCATCCCCAACACAGGATGTAGCCACTCCTTTTGCTTTCATATCTTCCCAAAGTTTCTCTGCCTGATCATCAAGACCCGCTCGTAATAGTCCATTCATAAAGATGTTGTAAGTGTATTCGTTAGGTTCTATTCCAACCTCTCGCATTTCTTGGACGATGTTTCTTGCTGTACCGAGCCGTCCGTTTTTTATCATGACGCCAAGAATGGTACTGTAAAGAACGACATCCCTCTTGATTCCTCGCCGACTCATTTCCTCAAGCATAGTTGCAACACGCGCAGAGTCCCCCTCTTTTGCAAACCAGTTGATAAGAATTGTGAATGTGATAACATCAGGAGGACACCCCATTATTTCCATGTCGTCGAAAAGTTTAAGAGCCTCGTGCTCGTTTCGCACTGAAAGCAGAGAAGATATCAAATAATTGTAAAGAGGTGTGTCAAAGAATGGTTCATTTTCTGCGGCCGATGCTTCGCGTTTTGTCGGAGTCACGAGACTTCTCACGGCCGAGTACAGGGACAATGCGCAAGAGATTTCATCCTGTCCTAAAAGTTTTCGCATAATGAGTGTAATCGATTTTTTTGCTGGGACCAATCCCGCCCGGCAAATATCCTTGGCAAGCATGGATGCTGGTACTGTCAGGCCTCCCTCCTTGCTGACAACGGCCAAGAGCTTCTGAGCAAGCATAGGATCCTGACTGAGAAGCTTTTGTCGAAGTTTATAGTCCGTGTCGCCCACTTTCCTGTACATGGTTATCGCTGCATGGACACGTCCGAGACGAATGTATCCAGCAATCATGATTCGCCAAGTATCGAGGTGTGGCTTAACACCTTTAAGCTCAACCTCGTTCAGCAGTTCGTTCGCATCAGTGGGGTTTTCATGATACATCAAATGATCCAACAGAAAATTATACGTTCCAATGTTTGGGCGGTACCCTTCTTGCTCCATTTGCTCGAGGATCACTTTTGCATCGGCAAGAGTGCGCACGGACGATCTGCTCACACTGATGACCCTGTTATATTCCCAGGTGGTAATACTATTGGGACCTAAATGTTGGCGCATGGCATCCAGGATGCTCCTGACAACCATTTGAAGCTGCTCCTCACATTTTTTCAGTTCGCTGTCCGACATCTCTGCGCGCTTTTTTGTCTTGCCCAGCATGCTAGACTCTCTCAATAGTTCTGCAACTACCGTCAAGCACATGTCGCGCTTCCAGTTCGCATCTCCCTTTTGTGCCATGCGATTCGCAACCAGTCGAGAGACCTCTTCAAAATGACCAGACTGGAAGAGGCCCCGCGCCAGCATCGCGTACGTTTTGCAATCTGCATCTATATGCAATAGCTCTTTCACATCCACCAAGAAAGCCTCTGCCTCTTCCGCCGTCCGCCGCTGAAATGCGCTCGCCTGTGCCAGTATATGCACGTCGAGCTGATTCACTGGAACGTCTGCTTTTTGCTTCCACAGAATCATCTTCACCACCCGCTTGGCAGAAACCTCTGGTGAATTAGAGCGTCCTAGGGTTAGAACTATAGTCCTCCATTGGAAGGGACTGAGATCGCGCAACATCTTTGGCTCGTGGGAAGCCAAGTGCTCCAGGAGTTCATAGACCTTGTCGGGATTGGGATCTTGTACTTGCAGCTGGGACTCAAGATGTTTTCTTAAAGAATCACCGTCAAAAGACACAGCGATGGCCGTCCCCGCCCTCGAGGCAGTTGGAGCACGTCGGGAGGATCTATCCTTGACTTGAGCCGACTGCAAGAACCGCCTGTTGGTCCAAGCAACCGCCAAAAGGGCTTGCGGCATGGCCGGCCAACGTGGCGACCTTGTCCCATGAGAACATGCGCAAACAAGCCTTACCGCAGTTCTCGTACTAGGCCTTGATGTCATTCCGTTGGCGGCCTTCCATGTCACTCACCTGTTCCTGAATCCCATTTCCAGGTCGTTGCTTGGATACCCCGACTGTGGCAAATGCATGCAGTGTGCGATGCCTTTGCCACCTCAAGTGTGCTTGCAAAAGTTCCGCACGTAGATCCAAAAAGTCAATTCCTCCAATTTGTTAAAACCTCCTCCCGCCCCTTCAACACGCTTGCGATAATTCTCCGCGGCGATAGCGATATGTACGCCAAATCTCCATCTTGTACGCTCGTTGCTTGCATTTGTCAGTTTGCATTTGTCAGATATCGCTATTAGCGTATTCCCATCGACAAACCCTCAAATCCAATGATGGAAATGACGACAAAATTATTTCCTTTTTTGGTAATGAATTGCGCGCATCCACCAAAGAGGTTTCATCACTGGTGACTCTCCTCCCGATAGCCTTTTTTTTTCTTTTTTTTTATTGGACACTAGGCCAACATGTCGGACTTTTCTTTTTTCACGCCTTTGGCCCTCCAAACAAGTTATTCCGCCCCAATTATTCCACCAACGAGGATCTATAAAGGAAACTTCGCTTTGGAGTTTTCCCTTCCTAGGGATTCGTTTTTGGTCAACCAACAACTCTAGACAGTACACCATTCGACATGCAAACTATTGTTCACAGTAATCCAATCCCACCAGTTAGAGAAGTTCCCCGAAAGCCTTTGATCACAGCAAGGAAGAGTGTTGGACTGGTTTCCACTGCTCGCAATGTCCCCAATGTCCTTCACAACTGGTCTGGTATAAATCCGATAGCACGCACGAGTCAAATACGCTATCCAAAGACTGAGCAACAGCTATCGAATCTCGTACGAAGATGTAAAGGCAAGATTGGCATCGTAGGAAGTGCGTTATCATTTGAAAAGATTGCCACAGTTCCGCTTTCCGATGACACATCCGTGCTCGTGAATCTGAAGCACTTTACCGGATTACAGCGCATGACGGAGAGCACCGCAGTCTTTGGTGCGCAAACAACAGTTGATGATGTTATCCGTATACTTGGCGAACATGATCGAATGATGCCATGTAGTCCGGGAGTGATCGGTATACAGACACTGGCAGGATCCATGTCGACGGGCACCCACGGACAAGGCCTGTTTCAAAGTGCCTATTCAGACATTGTCGTGTCTCTCCGAGTTGTCCTCCCAGATGGGGAGATTGCCGTAATAGGCGGCGAGCACAGCCGGAGCGATCTCCCACTTCAAGCCTTTGTAACATCATTGGGAATGCTTGGAGTTATCACCGAGGTTGAAATCAGGACAGAGCCTCGCCGAGTATTTGCCTGTAAAAAGGTCACCTGTGACTTTGATGATTTCATAGAAGATTATACAAAGTGGAACCAACAAGTCGAATATGTAAAAGTTTGGTGGTACGTATCTCTGTTGATATTCGATATATCTGCCCATCCCTGAAACATTGCAATAGGTTTCCAGAAACCGATCAGGTTCACGTTTGGTTTACCGATCCGGCTTGCCCCAAATCAAGTGCATACTTGGATTTCCTTTCCTCCTCCCGCGATCATCCTATCGAATCCGCCGTGTGCTCGGCGGCACTGAACGATACGGTCAGCATATATTGCAACGCCATGTCACACGATACCAAATCCTCCCACTCGCCCTCTTCCACTTCAGTCGCCCCCCAATTCAAGACCGTACGACGTTTCGCAGATGCGAGGGACCTCATAGGGTATTCGGAGCAAATCCTCTGTAAAGGAATTCCTGTACCCCAAATCAACTGCGAAATTGCTGTCCCTTTGGAAAACTTCACTTCAGCCACGTTGGCGTTGAGGGAATGGAGTATGAGGAACAAGGGGCGCTTGCATTATCCCTTCATTTATCGAGCGACAGGACGCAGTGAAGCTTGGCTGAGCCCTGCATTCCAAGGACCAGTAGTTTATATTGGGCTCCTTGTTTATATTGCGAGTGACGGAACCGTACGCGACGATGGTTTCGAGACAATGCGAGAAGTGCAAAAAATATTGGCGCAGTTTGGCGGGCTTCCCCACTGGGGTAAACACTTTGTCCCTGAACTATACGATTTCGAAAGAAGTTACACAATGTGGACTCGATTCGAACAGATTCGTCAGAAAACAGATCCGGAAAACAAGTTTCTCAATCCATTCTTGGGCACAGTGTTTGGAAGGCGGCGGAGTGCAAGTGCCAGCGCACATTTGTAATTTTAGATAAAACTAGTCTAGTAGTATGTAAATATTTTATATATATTTGATCAACGCACCAGTGGTCAATCAAACGGTAACGGTCGTGCCACGCGTGCTTTGACTGCCTCTCCACCAGCAGCGGCAGCGATCGCGCTGGGTACCCGTATCCCGCAACATTCCGGAAACTCTTGGCCAAACGCATGGATATGCCCTTGCCCACAAGGATCTTCCTCCTCATCTTCCTCCGCAAGGTGGATATGCCCGGATACACCTTCAAAAGGAAGAATCGACCCAAAAAGAAAGTGCTGCATGATGGGTAATTTCCCCAGCACTTCAGCTTTGTACATTTTCATCATTCCTTCAGCGATTTTGGCCCAAGTTTTCACGCCGCTGATGTCGTCCAGCATCGGTGAATGCCAACGTAGAGAGGCAGTCTTTACCTAGTGACAGTACAAGATATAAGCAGGACAGACCAATTATAGAATTTCCATTGCTGAGATGTCCATACCGAATTGATGAACTTAATGCAGGCGAGGTACATGTAGTCTTTTGAAAACTCTTCCACAACATCCTTATCATGGATGGCCTTCGGCCTGATATACTTGTGATCTAATTTCATTCATCAGGAACCGGTGCAACTGAAATCAACAAATATGTAATCGGACCAATACCCACCAGCCAATTGAGACGCTCCAAATAAAAATGGCAAGAAATGGTAATCATCCAATCCCCAAACTCCATGCGATCCAGCAGGCTCAAGCCAGTAAGAAAACTGTAGACCACGCATTACGTCAATATACCTGAAGTTTCGACATGTAACATCAGCAACTACACTTTGAGACTTTCCAATGACAATGGGTAACCATACCGCCAAAATACATTGATCACGAGGGGAACATAATCAGATTCCACTATTAGACCAAGTCGTTCCAAGCATAACCTTAGAGAGGAAATGCATGTGTAAGAGCGTCCTCAGCGTTGTAACAAGAATGAGACGCTACTTACAAAAAGGCGATAAAATGGGCCTCATGTCCCGTCCCATAATCAATTCGCTTCCGGTTCCCAAAACTATGCATCAAATAAGTCGCAAGTTCAGCTGCTTCAATTCCTGGGACGATTTCTTCCACCAATGATTGCGCATTCTAATTGCGCAAAAATAAGCCATTAGAGGGACTCAAAGAGTATGTCCAGAAGAGCAAAGCGAATCTCACCTCTGCCAACCGATCGTACCACGTCCGAAATGCAGGATTTCCAAACCTAGATTTCGAGTTGTCAACAGGCAAAATCTCCCTTGTCCAGTCATCCAAACGGTCGAGTATTGAAAGAAGGGATGTGACAATCTATAGATCGGCATAACCAAAACAAGATTAGAGATCATGTCATGTTCACATCAACGTAGAGATGACACACCTGAGACTTTTCCGTTTCCTCCCTTAACCGCTTCCCGCGAACAGCTGCACTTAGTTTCTCGATAAATTGGACGATACCCGTGTACGTGTCACTTGTTTGGAACTTTTCCAAATCTTCTTTGGTCAGAATGGCACGAGATGGGATGCGCGAGGTGTTGGCCGTGTCCGCACCCGTGCTATCCAGTTGTGTTAACGGTGATTTTGTTACAGTAACCATCTCGGTATTAGTGTAATTCAACGCGGTCTAGAGTCGTTTGCTCCTGGGACTTTGCTCTCCACGAGTGAACCAAGTCAAAGCAGGAAGCACGTGATACTGTCGCCCAAATCGTGATCGGTTACGTAATCATAATGTATGTGGTTTGGCACGCTGTAAGGCGATCTAATTGAAGTGCCTTTCACTGCCTTCCCATCCCTAGGATGCACCGGATTTGATTGAAAGCCAGGGATCACTTCTGAACTTTTATATCAGGCTAAACAGCATCGACCAACCGTCTTCAGATCTGTTGAAAAGGCTCGCGGACGTCAACGTCCTTTTACCTATTATGAATTGAACGCAAATCAGAAGAACAGGTGGAAGGAGGCGACCAACTGAAAGGGAAGATGGTAGATGGGTAATCCAATTTCACTATACCAATGCTAATTTAGCTTGGTATACGCATATCTTACATGCCGTAAGCAGTCGATACAGTCACAATAATGTTCCCGTTATCACACGAATGGCTTAGCGGAATTTATGGCCCATCTCAAACAAGATGTAGAAATACCTCCGTCCATCCGTGTGTCTGCGGAACTTTCCAGCTTCGATAAAGCCACACTTTTAATTTACTGCAGTGCAGATGGGGACTTGGTAGCCCTCCAGCTTATAAATATGTATGTAGGTAGTTGATTGTAAATCTAACAGTTAAATTTAAAGTCTTTCATTGAAGACAGTGAGATTTTAAGCAAGTTCTTTCCATATTAACAACTCAACAAGTAATAATCCAAAGTAAATAAAATTAATAAGTTATCACCTTGCCGTACTGATATTACTGGCGCACATGTCGCTTCGGAGGAGGTAAGTTATTGGTCATTGTAATTAGAAGAGACTTTGTGAGCTGAAATATTGGCTTGTTCCGGCGCTGAGACGAATGGTGTAACGAATGGTCGACGCGGATTAGAATTGTTGTTTTTTTCTCCCGTTTAACAGATTACTGCTCCCCTAGCTCCACCACATGCTGCTACCGAGAAGTAAATACAGGAGCAGCCACCAAAACTGACTCGGGGCTGATAAATTATCGTTGATTTCAATTCAAGTGAGTTTATCGCCTCCTCCTGTCATAGTCACGGTCACGGTCACGGTCGCGGCGGTCCCGATCATCATACCGGTCCCTCCGATCATCCCGAGACCCGCGGTCCCTGCGATCGTCATAACGGTCTCGCGGAGCATACCGATCGTGCCGGTCGCGACGATCATAAGAATCTCGGTCACGACGGTCCCTGTCTGTTACAGATCCTATTTGAGCGACATCAACAAAAACCGGGATACACACGAGAGATGGTGGAAGCGTACCTTCACGCTTGGGTGGGCCATAGTAGCGGCCCGGCGTGGGAGTTCGAGCACGACTCCTTTTGGCCTGATAAAAAAAAATGGTAAGGGCTTCGCTTCGTGCTCTGACAGCAGGCGGGTCGAGCCCTCACTTACCCTTTCGACGGTTACGATTCTTCCGTCAACATCCAGCTTACCACTCTCTTCTACAGCTCTGTCTGCATCTTCCAACCTGACAAATGACACAAAGGCAAACCCGCGCGAGTCACGAGTGTGTGGATCGTACCTGAGTCCACAAAGACGGTTAGTATTTGGCTGCCCACTGCAGATTAAATACGACCATACATTATCTGGCATCGTTCAATCTTTACAACCAAAGACGAAGGCTTCTCAGAACTGGGGAGACGTGTATCGTTTCATTGCTGAAAGGTGGCACGGGCTCGTACCTCTCCAAATTTGCCAAAGGCCCTTTCAAGGTCGGTTTCGCGTGTCCTTTGACCAAGTCCAGTTACAAACAAATTGTTTCCAGGATTGCGGCTTGCTTCAGCCCTACGGTATCGAGAGCGAAAGAAGGTGCAAATCAGTTAGGAGTGGGAGAGTGTGGCAAAACTGCAATTCGCGGGAGCTTACGAGTCAGGGCGACCCCTATCGCTGCCCCCCCGACGAACGGGAGAAGCAGATGACCTGTCTCTTGGCCTACGATCCGGAGAAGGAGAGCGAGAGCGAGGCGGCTCGCCGCGGGTGTCAATGCGAATATCACCGTCACCGTCAATGCTCACTGACGTAGGATACGCAAACGTCGGCATCAGAATCAAATTCTCCAAGTCGGCTGCAATTAAAAGTTCCAGAACAGTTCCTTGGTGGGCTTACTTTTGTGAGGGGAACTGCTCAGTTGAAGCTGGTTTTTATAGTATTCACGCAATTGATGATTGCGTCGCGGATGGCCCGAGATCGTGCGGTGTCGAGGTTGCCCACCTGCCGGATCCTGGAAGGTTAATTGGCATACGCCACATTGTGGCTCTACTGTGGCTTAAATGAGATTTTGGCCCCATCGTTCCCGACAAAAGGACAATCTGTCACCCAATTCCATACATCCAAGTTACCCTTGGCCCCTTCAACGCGGGGGGGATAACACATGCGATACCACACACCCCCCCAGGCCATATTTCGAAGATGACAACGGCATCTTTCCAGAATTTCTTTTTAGATTAGCAAGCAGGGCAACCTTATGGTCCACAATGAAAGGCTCTTAGTTTTGTTTGGTCACATGTAAAGCGTGGGCTCCGAGGATCAACGCAGGTCAATCAAGTGTACAGGATACCTACTTCAAGTACTTTGAGCCCACAAGGGCCTATTATTTTTGAACACGCGCAGACCCTTACTGCTAGTATCATGAAATGAATGGTTAATGACTTTTGCTCAGAATAAACATGAACAATACTCAGTTATGGCGTGGCTGTGAACGAATTTACGAGAAACCCAGTAAAAGACGCAAGAGCAACTCGCAGTATCAGACCCATCCATAAAAAGGGTGTAACCGCCATTCCTCCCCCCACTAGTTTTTGCATTACATAGCATTACTTTATCAACATGTCCACTGATGTTCAAACTATTCCCCTGGAGCCTACTCCTGCAGAAAAACAAATCAACAATGTTGATCAACGCATTTTAACCCATGCGGTATGTATGCTTGTATCATCGTTTGCTGTACCTTCTATAGCCAATTCCCCTTTTTCATTCAATTAGACGGAACAACTGAACCAACTTGTGAAAGCGTATCTCGAGGCGTATCCTGCGGATGCGAACGATGTCGCAACTTCACCAGATCCATTAAAGTCACAATGTTATTTTTTGTAATCACCAAGAAATCGCCCATGGGAATGTTGTTGGAAGGAGATAGACACGACATGATGGAGTGCTTGAACTATCATTTATTAAAGTGGTGTGTGTGTAGTTTGTAGTTTGTGTTTGTGTAGTAGTGTATAATAGTAATATATCCAAAATTTATTTTGAATGTGTTTGTGGATTGGCTGATGATGTCGTCCACAACAGGAATACCTATTCTACGTTGCAATACAAAGGGCATGTACATACAGTCAACTATCAATAGCCTCCTCGTCGTCGTCCTCCTTGCTTTACCCTGCCACCCGCAACAGATCTATCGCCAGCAATATTCGCAATTGCCGTTTCGGCGCCCTCCCGGAACGCAGACGGCGCAAGTGGTACGATATGTCGGATAGCATCCGTAATATCTCGTGGTTTCTGTTTTGGCTTGACAGGTGGATTGGGGACAATATCTTCGCAACGGAGTGGATCAAAGGTATTGTTTTTAAAATACAGCTTTGTTGCTCGCGCGCCGGTTTTATACTGTAAGCTGCAAAAGTTACCATTTAATGGACATTGACTCTGTCGATGTCATGCCTACCATAGCTCTCGCATCCTCAGCAGCCAAAATCGTGCCTTCGGGAGAATTCAGATAGTGTAACGTGATAGGATTGTATCCTGAACTATCGACAGACTTCTCATATAGCACACTGATGATTCTTCAGTATTGCGCCGATAACCCACCTGTTTTTGCCAACTCTCGTTGTTGCACGCTTTTGTTCTCTCAATGTTTCTATTCTCTCAGTCTCAGCAGCCATGCGATCCCATCGTGCAGTTTCAAGGTCAGATAGCCAATTGCTGTTCAATTTGAAGCAGTCAGTCAGTGCAAAGATCCGCAGCAACGTCCGACGGCTCCTACCGCTTCACTTGTATCCTCCGTGCCTTCTTCTCTTCGCTGTCCTTCTGTCTCAGTTTTTCGGCTGTGGCTACATCCGTCTCGTAGCGATGTTTGTCTAACAGCCGAGCGAAATCATATTAGCATGAAGTATGACGTGAGGAGTCTTTCAAGCTGGCAAATCACACCATCCATAACTCCTCCAAATTTGAAGACGAGATCGCTCGTATTTCGAGAGTTGTTCCCGATTCGTCGTACTCGACCACATGGCTCAGGCGCCAGTACTGTCGGATTTAACTTGATGTATGATTCTTCTTGTAACGACATTGTATGTGACAGCGGTCACTAGGAGCAGCGCTAATGACTGGTTTACAAACCAAGGATTCCATATAGACTGCCATTCGCTTGTCAGAAATCCTCCGGCATTTGGTAACCCCCTTGATAGGCTGCAAGAATTACATGTAAGGGGAATATCCTTGATCCAAGGATCAGTCGTCGGAGAGCAACTTGCTCCTTATGTAATCACGCCCTTTCCGTTGCAGTGGACCATCCTGTATTTTTCTGTGGACAATTTGTGGTATTTCTTTGAAATTAACTTTTTGGCATCGATTCCATTAACTTTCCACTCTCAAGCCCAGAGGCATTATTCACAAACGTATTGGTCTTTACAGCGTGTACAGCAATGCGTCGTCTAGAAAGGATGCACAATTGGCCATCAAACCCAACAGCGACGTAGGATGGTAGCGCTTACCAAACTTGCGCGAAAACGCGTCCCACGTATGCGCAGCACTACACGATATCCAGGTCAGAATCACTTTGAGAAAATCCATTTGGAAACTACAGACAGTTGGAATTCTCAAATTTCAAGCATGCTTTCCCATCTAGTTCCTGATCGAGACCAAGGAGAATGTCCACGCAACAAACGACGGAGGCCACCGCAGTCGGCGGGGCTGGTGCCATCGTGGCTGGAGAGCTTGAAGAACAGCTTGGGGAAAAATTTTGACAAACATGCTGGTACGTTCGTTTTAACGGTTCCCAAAGCATCTTAATATATTGGAAGCACCATCCTTATTCATTATGGGTTGGCAGCGAGAGTTCAGCTGTCGACACTGTCCACCCAGACCCGTCCACAAACCCGTACCACCAGGTTTCGCGGGTTCTTCAACACCCCCTGTGCAGCCTCCCGACTTCCAGCAGCAATCACGGTCAAATTATCCTCCCTCCTTCTCTTGAAATATGACCTGAGATCAGACAGCCTGGTCATGGGCTCTGAAGCCGAACTCTTGTTTTCTCTGCCGAAAACCAACGAAGAATATCGTTTGAGCGGAACATTATATTGCATTGCTCCACCCAACGCGACAGTATCCCAGTTGCCTTCTTGGGCTCGTGGCATTATGACAAATCCATGCATGTGGGACGCAGAACGACGGCGAGTGTGGATGAGCTTGAGTCCAAAGGAACAGAAGGAGTACGGAAGCGAAGAGCATTTCGGGATTTTATTATTAGACGTGGATTCTGTAGATCATTTGGTGTTGGAAGAATGGAATGAGGTGGTGGCCAAGGAGCGGACGCTCTTCAAGGTGGTTGTGCCCAAGCGGACTTGGGGTAGGATTACGGGGGTTGACTGGGAGGTTGAAATTGTAAAATAATTCTCTGCGTATATAACAAGATAGAGACTGTGTATAATCATGCAAGTCATTTAAAATCAGAATTCATCCCGAATCCCCGTCCTCATCATCCTCGTCAATTTCCATTTCACGAAACAAGAAGCTGCGATACAGGCTATTATTACGGGGACTCGGAGCAGGAGACCCTTCCCCATTATCAGATTTGTCAGGACGATTAGAGGCCAGAAGGTGGTTAGGAATATTTCCGGTCATCAGATGCATGAACCGTATTCGGGTTCGAAACGGTGGCTGTGAGGAAAAACCCTCGGTTACACGCCACTGAGGAGACATTCCAAAACCAGTTCATGGTTGAAGTTACAGACCTCAAATCGTGCCATGGCATGCATAATAGCGGTCCACTCCGTCTGGCACACTCCTGCAAGCGTGTTCTTCAACTCCCTCTCTTCGCTGTCTGTATCATCAGTCCACTGTTCCAAGGTGCTTACAAAGTTTGGCTTTGTGGCTGCTGCAAGGGACGAGGACGAGAACGGCGGTTCAAGAGCGAAAGTGGTGATGGAATGAACAGAAGGTGTGTATTGAGTTCGGACGGATGCAGAGCGGGTGTGGGCAGAAGGAGCGCTCTCTCGTGGGGAAGGTACTGGTGGGAAAGGCATGGGAGGGCAATGATTCGTGACTGGCCTTGGGCAAAGGCAGACTGGAAATCCAAAGCTTGAATTTCAACAGTTGGGAATTGCGCGTTCCTGTGCACGTGGACAGACAGGTCACAGCAATGCAAATGTACTTCACGCCAGATGGGTGGGCTACTAGGATACTGCATGCACACATATGAAAGAAAGAGACAAAATAGAGGGTATTTTACATTGGATTGTCAAAGGATACGAACCATATTGACAACCAAAGGCCATATATATGACAACAGTATCACCCGTACGCAGACCTACTGTGCCTGGACTCCAACAAAGCTTGCGATAATGTCGCTTTGCGAGACCACCCCGATTGGTCTCAGGTCCTCCAACGTTTCAACGACCCAGACCCTGTGAATGTGATTCCCGACGAGAAAGCCTATGATATCACGGAGTGTGTGATCCGGCGTACAGACAACAGGTGTCTTAATTTGACCAGTCGAAGATTTGCTCTGCACAAGGTACGCGTGATTAGGGTGGACCAAGTGTCGCGATCTGAAATGCAGAGCCCACCTTCAAATATTCCAACACGGGCTTTTCCAACTCGGTCAATCCGATTCTTGTAATGCCCCTCAAATCACTCGCACTTAGGTTCGCCACAATCAGTCCGTTATCATTGACTACTGGCAATGCTGCCACCTTCTTCTCCCTCAGGATAGCAAAACCTTGAATGGCGGTATCCCTGTCACGCATGGTCACCACGTGCTTTTGGGCAGTCAAAGGCTTCAACAAGGACACTTTGATGGGAAGGTCCAGATCAATGGAGGGTGTAACGGATTCGGGATGTGCATGAACATGACGGATGATATCTGACTGGGTCAAGAGGTAGGGATTCTGTTGCAAGAAAACATTAGCTAAACCATGCATGCCTTCGCGAATGCACGCTTAGAGGGCTTACCTTCGCACCCATAGCGTCCGTGATGAGTGCACGATGAATTCCACGAGCAAATGCGACCATGGTCTGACCAGTAAGGTAAATTTATTGGACATTGGCGTCAGGAACGAGTCAGTGACACTTGCCGCTTCAAGGGTATCCCTAAAGTCTCGCTCCCATATCCTGTAACTCTCTTCCTCTTCGTCCCCCAATCCCAACGTCTCTACATTCTCAATGGTTTCCTTTTCCAAGTCAACTTTGTCTAAGCCGTCCACTCCACCAGTTTTGAGTATATACCCGACAATGTCGGACACGCTAACCACAGCCGCAATAGGCGAGATGCCGGATCGGCCTTTGATAGGAACTATGATGCTGTCACGCTGCTTCATAAATTCTAAGCACCGAGCAATGCTTCAAGCCCAGCAAATGTTAGCAGTTTGCTTTTTGCCTAGTCGTGATGACTTTGACGATACCTCGCGTCGGGTGGGACCGTCGTCACCGGGGGTTTCTTGGTTTCGAGGTGCAGGTCATCGAAGGTGAGGTTTGCAAGGGGACAAAGGGATGGCATCTTACGACGATGTTATATTTGAGAGGGTAAACCGGCAGTGTCAAGATGGTATTTCTTGGAGGATGAATGTTATCTAGGTGCTCTGCGCCAGGTGGCTTAGAAGCTGCTGATTCCAAACAGCGGCGTGTTTGGCCAGCGCGGCTGACGTGGAGAAGGGAACTAGAATTCGCTCAGACCATAATATAAACCAGCTGAAGATGTCGGGAAGAGCAACAAAAACGGATATAGACAAGGTAGGCAAACCACGGGCATTGCTTTTGATAGGTGCGGAGATTTACTGTACTCATAGGTGTGGCAAACCTTCGACTACAACAACAATGGCATTCTGTCCTTGGCCGAGATAGACCGAGCTGTGATAGAATTGCTCCCCCAGTATGCCAAAGATAAGCCAGCCATCTTGCGGGCATACAAGGCCGCGGATGCCAGCAAGGACGGTTTCATTGACCGCAAAGAATTTGAGAGACTGGTAGACTTTTTGGGGTACTATGATGACCTGTTCAAAAAGTTCTCCAAGATGGACACGGATGGAGATAGGAGAGTGTCGTTTGATGAATTCAAGAAGGGGTGGTCTGATGCTGGATTCAGTGTAAACGAGGGAGATGTAAGGAAGACTTTTGACGCCATTGACAAGAATAAGGGTGGTTACATCCTCTTCGAAGAGGTATGCAAGGCTTCCTTTGCTACTATCATTATTGCTTGATGCTAATGTATGTGACCTGCTTTCTAGTTTTGCGGAGCGCTGGCGAAGAAGAAGGTGTCAAGTAAACATTAGACTTAGAGGTTAGATAACGCATTGGGGAAACGTAGTTGACGCGTTTTTGTACTTGGTCAAACTCTACTGTCGCGCAATACAAATCATGACAGATCTGCAGCGGCCTGGAACTTCAGAACCCCCAAACCGCACAAACCCACTTTCATCCGCACAAAGCACACGCAATGCTGCGCAAAAACCTAGTCCAAAGCAATATCTGGCTCCGCTCCCCAACTCCACTTCACCTTCTTCCTCCCCGGATCGCCGCACACCCCAACCTCCCCCAACAAAGCTCGCACAAACAATAAGCAATTTGACAGAACGCACTCGGGCAGCTCGTGAATCACTGGAAAAGATGACGCAACTAACTGCCCAACTTCGGGAACAATGCAACTTGCAAGATGCCGAATGCGCCGCGTTGGAAACCGAAAAAACCAGGGCAAAGGAGGAGTTGGAAGGGATGATCAAGCGAGTGGAGGAACTCGTAAAAGAAAAAGTGAAGGTTGAGCATCGGTTGGAGGAACTGAGAGGAGAGAATGATAGATTGGAGAGTTTCTTGGCTGTATGTTCTGCAAATTCAATCCTCACCAGAGTAACATAAATTCACACGGTATCTTTTGTTACAGGAGAGTGAGACGGTCGCTAAATCCACTGCAACCTTTCTGAAACCAAAAACATCGCACCAAAAGCAACTGTCCTAATCATCCTTACGATCCATCCTAGCCTGATTCTATGTACGGCTAGCACCATCTGGACACACTGTCCATTGTTTGTGTCGAAATAGCCTCAATGACTGCAAACTCTTCAGTCCCGTGGCCGAAAGGCATCTCCAACAAACAGAGTTTAGTCATCATTTTCTGGCAAGAATCCGCCTCTTGGCGACTGTCCGTTCTGAGGCGTAGATCCACCAGAAAAGCTGCCATCACCGTCACCGACTTCATCGTCAGCAAACGGGCCTGCCATGTCCGATTGGTCATCCTCCTCTCCATCATCTATTGTGTTTTCCGAATAGCGCGCACCATTTCCACCATCTTCTTCCTCATCACTGTCTCCCTGACTTCCGTCCTCGTCCACCATGTACTCTCTCATCAACCTCTCCTTCGTCAAAACCGAAACAATAAGCTTTTTCCAGCGAGTATACACGCGTCTTTGCCGCTTTCTGATCTCTTGTTCACGCAAGAGCTGAAGATTCTCTTCATATGCCTGGGAGACGCAAATTACCTATCAGCAAAAGAGCTGCGCGGGTGTGATTTAACCTTGCACAAACCACGATGAGGATTTCCTCGAATTCTTCGGCAACGACAATACCGTTAATCACTGGCGTTGAACGTCCTGCGTGGAACTCAAATCCGACCTGGCGAAAAGATTAACAATGATGAGGCCTTCAGTCGAGAAAGAACCTTAGATAGATGTAAACCCACCACTGCATTGGCATAGTCGATTCCAAGCTTCTTCGCCAGTCTGCCTACACCATTCACTGAATGAAGAACATGGTATTGAGTACGACGTGTAGCCTCCCACGTTGAAGATAAGCACATCAGCAAACACACATTGTAGATGAACAGCACCGATGGGCAACATATTTCGATGAAAGATTTCAATGTTCCCAAAGGCGTTTCTTGGAATCTTTCCCTACATATGCGGCCGGTCATTTATTAGGACCTGCATTCATTACCCAGCCAAATGCCTCCAGGGCCATATTCACTTACATCGACCAAGGGTTCTGCGACGAATTCCTCCGTCTGCCACTCGCCAAAAACCGCCGACATTGAAGAATCCCCTTCTGGGCCCAATTCCTCTCTGCTGGCTGGATCATTGAGCTTCTCTGCTTCAATCTGCCGTTTACGAGTAATGGTCGCGACGCGGGCTTTCACATGTTTGACAGGTTCTTCATCGGGTTTGACTCGCCGGCCTTTCTTGAGCCATGTTTCTGCGGTATGAAGCTGTTGATACGATTTAGATGGTAGCGAAGATAGGCTAAACAAGAAGAACTTGTATATACCTGCTTCACATGACTACGCGGATAGACGAGCTCATTCTTAAATCTTCCAATCGCGTGTGCTTTTCCACGGGGATGAATGACCTCGTACTTTTTCAAATGCCGTTCTAACGCATATCTGCAGAAGATCAGCTTCAACAACCCACCCACACATTATGTGCGGCAAAAGGGTGGGTCACAAACATACAATGTATGATCCTTGAATCCCGCTAAACTTGTGGGCATCTTCTCGTCTACTTCTGATTTTTTCAGCTGCTCGTCCTCATTTTTGTCCACTTCATTTCGGTCGCTCTTTGAGTACAGCCACAGAGTCTGTTCCCACCATCCTTCGCCTTCCTGTCCGGAAGGAAGGCGGAGACGGACAGTACGGGCTCCCCATTGAGATGTGTATCGGCGGGTCACGTCTTTGACGCCAAATCCTTTGGTGTGCGCGATGATGTCTTTGTCGTGGCATAACAACCTAAATCACCGAGAGTGCTTACCTTGCTCATAACCGACGACGTAGCTTATCTGTAACTGGTTCATAGCCGATGCCGGGGGTTCCATAGCTTCAGTGTCCTTTACAATACCTCGCGACGGATCGACAGGCACCCACTCCTTATCCACCTGCGAATAGATTTCACACCAACATTGGAGCGGATACGGTATGAGAACTGTAGTGGTACCATTCGGGTTCCCTGTAGCAGTACCAACAGACGATGATCTCGAACTTGGGCCCTCATAGACTTCCGAATCGCTTCCACGGTCCGACTGTCTGCGTGGTTGTCTAGTCTTTTTGGAGGATCGCCCCGATGGTTTTATGGTTGCCTTTTGATTGGATAAAGAAAGTGGTATAGGATGAAGAGAACAAACTAAGCGGGTTTCCAGCTTCATTGCTCGGCATGCAGCGGTGAATAGCAATCCAGACACTTCCGCTGATACAAATCGTGTTGGATCGTCCTGAGCCTTTGCCATGTATGCCCCAAATATATCCAGTAAAGTGGCTGGGCCATCGACCATTTGAGAATCTGAGGTGCCTTGTACTCTCACTTGATCTTTCCACCACCGAGCAAATAGTTTAATGTAATGCGTCAGAAGCTTCTCGCGATGCCCAGGTCTTTGCCTTGCAGTTGCTTTCCCTTTTCCCTTCCCTGTGCCGCGCTGCTGTCCCGTCAATCCCGCATAAATATCCTCTGGGACAATCGATACAACTACAGCCTGCAGTTCCTCGTCATTACACCATCTGTTGCGAAATAATCCGCTAGATAATAGGCATAGAAGATGGACTTTATGTATTAGCATTCGGCGAATGCGGTCCTCTTTACGAATTCCCCGAGACTTGGGCTTTTTAGTGGTTATAGCGCCAGTTACGGAACTTGACTCTGACGTTTTGATGGAGATTTCAAAGCCTTCATCGGCGATTTCGTTGCTGATTTCAACAGACTGATTGAAATCCATGGTGGAAGTATTCTCAACCCCAACCTCTTCCCACTCTTCGTCCTCCTCACTATCAGAGTCATCCGCCACCAATTCAGTGGTACAAGCGTCTTTGACTGGACTCGCAGGCACCGGCGACTTTGGAAGAGAATGGTTCTCCCATTGGGACTTTGCATGCACCGACGGGTTGAAGAAGTTGTTTAGAAACGGATCAGCACGTTGTGTCGCCGGTGATGGCAAATGTGAAGAATTGTGGCTTTTATCATGCTCCCCCCGCGCTGTCGATGAACTTCCCGCCGCTCTATGACCAGAGGAGGACCCGGATGCTGCCCATCTTGTCGCATCCAGGGTCTTCACCCGTTTCGGCGGAGACAGCGGCTCAACATTGAGTGGTCTTTTATTTTCAGACTTTGTCTTTTCTGAGGATTGTTTCGATAAAGACGATGGAGTTTCATTTTTGCCTGAGGATCGGGTTCGGGAGTTCATTGATTTCCTGAAAAGCAGAGATCACCCTACAAGGAAAGCTTGTGGGAGAGGGTGGGTAAGTATTATTATGTAAGCATATCGTCTGTGCCATCCAAGGTCAACGAAAGCCGAAAAACAACTTGAGTTGCTGTTGTGATCCCCTGGACATGCGAAAGGGGAAAAGTAGTTTAAAAGCAAAACTTTCAAACAGCGTCAAGAGTCGTAATCCATCCATTGTTCAGCAGCAAACAGGATCAGCATGTTCCGAAACCAAATCAGTTCAAGACCTCCTTTGGAGCTCTCGCCCTCGTGGGAGGGTTAGAGATGCCGACGAGAACAAGGTCGTGAACGCCTATAGTTGGTATCTTGCGCATGTTACGCCTCCGTTGCGAACGAGAACCTTTGCGGGTCCACCGCCCCCTAATGGTTGGGTCCAATTATGGAAGGGTGAGTTCTCTTTACGTTGGTTTCAAAGCTCAACGAGCTCATGTGGTGATACGTAGGACCCCGAACGCTAACAGCCGACGACCTGACCGTAACTTGCCAAAGTTTGCAGTCGCTATCTGCAGAGGTCGTTGCCAAAAACCTACGGTTACGTGCACGCTTGGCGGGCGATTTGCGGGCGATACCATTTCATCAGAAGGAGAACATAATGAAGTGTGCAACTGGAATGCGGGACACTGATTTGGCCTTGTTTTCCGCTGAGGATCTTACAATCGTTGCCTTACGAAGATCAGCGGTGACTGTTGAGGGACTCGCGAGATTTCTTAATGTGGCATTAATTGTGGATGAAGATGACATACAGCCACATATGGAAGACATGGATGCTGAGAAAAAAGAGGAAATAGTGGATTCGTGGGAAGAGTTGGAGGAGGATGATATGATCCCCAGGTCAATGGAACCCGTCGGTTACTCGCATATCCATACTCTCGACATATCCTTCAATGTTCGAATTACTGGGGTGGCTTTTGCAAAGTTGATCACGCAAGCCCTCCCGCGCTTGTTCATACTCAACATATCTGGTTGTTTTGATCAAGTGCAGGGCCCAAGTACCTTGGGTATACTGTCCAGGAAATTGAATTATCTCAAAGAACTGGATGTATCATATTCCAACTGGGTCACAAAAGAGGTTTTGATGTGTATCGGTTGGGAAGAATGGTGGAGGAGCTTGGAGCTACTGCAAATTGTCGACTGTGGAGACGGTGTACAGGCAGTTAGGGAGGAGCTTAAAGTGATTCGGCCGAGTCTTGTAATCCGATACTGATGTGCATGTTTTATTGCGGTTAGCTATTGTTGATTAAACATAGAATAACCTAACACTGAATTCTGATAAAGGCATGTCTCCATCGTAAAAGGATGTCCTAATAATTGTGTTTCCGCTCAGAACTGAAGCGGGTATCATACTACCAATGTCCGCCTCAACGGTGTGCTGCCAGGAGTTGGTCGAATTTGGAATTACGAAGCCGAAGGTTGAGGACCAGTCTATTGCATACGGCAAAAATAAAAGAAAATATAGGGACGCTAGTATACTACAGACACGCCTACCTTCAGCGCATTCATCATGAACGTAAACCTTCTGAGAGACATGCAATCTTTGAATGGATGCCACAGACGAAAATACAATCTCGCGAGATATGGACGGAACAGTTAGAATGGAGGCCGGAAGAGTGGCATGCTTCTCCTGATTGGATATTGTGTCTTGCCTGCACTTTTGTAAATCTCTGAGTGGAAATAAACCCAGGATGTGCAGTAACATTGACGCGCCATACCAATTCATCTCTTGCCATATTATCTCGCCCGTTTCGGCATTTCTGAGATTCATGCTCTCTCTTTATAACCAGGACCACAGAGGCGATGAATGCAGCAAATCTATCTGGGATATCCATAGTTCACTCACATTTTGAATCCTGTGCCTTGGTCCAACATTGCAATAATTGTTATGGCCTGTTTGCCCTTGTCGGAATCTCTAAAGAGCTTGCTTACGTGAACCCACGTGTTAATAGGCGTCACATGCGTTGCTGATTTGTCTCGTGGAGGAGAGGCGAAGAAGTGGCCTCACAAAGGCTGGAGATCTCCAACGAAGGGGTTACTTGAAGGACACTGGAAAGCACTTGGCGAACACACGACTTGGATGCACTGGAACAACTAGGTGTTTTGCTGACAAGGCTGCATCCTCACGCCCACTGACGCCCTCGTCCTGACCACCATGAATGACTCACCAGCTGTTCGGAGCGATTCTCAGTCTCCTGGTCACAGTCGGGGGCCAGATAAGAAAAGACAAACTCAAGCATGTGGTAGGTTTTAACTGGGAACTCAGAAGTATCATGTCATACTTGGTTTCTCATTAACATTGCCACGTTCTCTTTGCAAATAGATGGATGCCGGTCGAAGAAACGTCGCTGTGATGGGCTACGACCTGTTTGCACACAGTGTCTAAAGTCTAGAGTCCGCGATGGGGAAACCATCAAGTGCACATATCTCACAGCCACGAAAAAGCGTGGACCTCGGCGGGGCTATCGAAGTGAACTCATCGAAAGGCTCACCACACTGGAAAAGATGATTCTCCCCGAGCAAGGAAAGGATTCGCAGATGGAACCTACGATGGTTCCAGTGGCCCAGGGACAATTGAAAGAACTGAGAGCGATGATGGGAAAGAATAATACTGTTGTCAGCGACATTAGACCGACCATTGATGTGGCAGAAGAAGGTGACGAAATGGGTGGGCTGGAAATGCCGTCACCTGATAGCGGGTTCTCAGGATCGTCGTCAGATTCGCCTGAAGGTCTGGAAATGGCGTATGGAAGTTTCCCGATAATCCAGCAGACTGCACCCTTTGATATCTATAATGGCACACATGCGGATAGAAGTATCGTAACAGACCTTGGGATGGCGCCTCCTCTGACTGCAACTGAAGAGGAGGAACCCTCAAACGCAGAGCCGATGTTTGGGGAATTGGAGACGATACTTGGGATCGGAGGACAAGAAGCGCCTGTTTTTCCTTCTCTGTCGGCAAGTCCCAGATCCAAAATTTGGGAATTGAGTGGATTAATTGGTGAGTTGGTGCATTGTAGTCTAGTGTACACATTTTTGGCTAATGACGATATTTTAGATTCCAACGATGCGTTTCCCTCTTTTGTTTTTGATGGGGAAACCTTTCAAGACCTTGGTTTCAACATACCTAGCCCAACCTCGACCAATCTTACGCCCTCGTATGCACCGTCTGTGGATCTCTACACGCATCTTCGTCATCTCGGATCCGCCATGCGGACTATCGAGCTTCCTAATGCGCCGCTTGTCCAGGATGCAAACGACTTATATCATCCTGCAATGATGAATGTCCTGTATGCCAATGGTGCAAAGCTGTCCGCCCATCCTGATCTGATTACGCAATACGGATCGAGGGCAAATGCGATCAAAACTTTTGTACTGAGAGCAGAAGAAGCATTGATGTCCAAAGGAGTGGACGTCTCAGTTGGAATGATACAAGCTATGCTGATGCTAGGAGGCCTGTACTATGAGTTGGATGACGGATGGAAAGCTTGTAAATGGATTGGTGAGTATGCAGCGTCAATTTTAGACCCAGGTTTGCACTCCGTGACCAGCTAACGTTGCCTTCATGTCCAGTCGAGGCGTGCAACCTGTGCACAATCAAGCACTATGATCGGGCGATGCACCACATTGGAATTTATGCTGTCCTACATGGTCAGGATGAAGATCCTGTGGAGAAGCTTCCTGCTGAGTGTCGGGAGGCCCGCTGGGATACGTGGGCAACTGCACTTATATATGACTCGTATGCAGGGCTAGCGTCTGGTTTCCCATGTCTCATTGAGGAGGCGGATTATGTTGAACTCTTATACGACCGACGTCCATGGGAGGATGATATGGGGTACATGAGTCGTAAACGAAGAGAGGAGGAGAATCAACGATCAAGGATAGCATCCGGCATGCCGGGTGCAACAATCTTCCATGACTCCGGGATGAGTGCTATGATAGAAGGACTATTCGTAGGAGAAAATGGAAACCACGGGAGACCTGGGCAAGCTGCGATAGATTTTACTAGGATGATTCAAATCTGCTTTCTGCTAAGGAGGGTGTTACGACATATTGCGCAGGTGGACGGGCGTAAGGGAGGGAGCAGCCTGGATCACGATATTGGTTTGGCTCGAGGTGCAGCGTCAGTGCTATCGTCGTTACCTGGGGATAACGACACGAGATTATTGCACGAGTCTCTGGTACAATGGTTCTCGACGCTACCGGTCAGTTCCCGGGGGTTCGAAAGCTTGGCAGTCTTCAGAACGGGTGTGACGGGACCGGCTGCCGCGCCAGACGGGCATCATTGGACCCGGAACCCGACAATGATGCATTCCATCAGTCTTTTCTTGGTGGCTCTCGCCATTCTTCATTATCCACGTCAGAACATTATTGACACGCAGCATAACACGACGGCCCATAAAATCTTCCGCATTGATTCTTTCGGCACTCAAGCCATCCGTGTGTCTGCTCCGCAAGTTGTCACATTGGTTCGAAGAGCATTGACACACCTGTTTCGATGCGCTTACGAAGACAAGCCCATTCCCTTATCACCTGCACCCCTTCGTACGACCCCGGATTACAGCAATACTCTCCGGGATACGCCCTTCATTCCCACCCATCCTCCTCCACCGCCCCACCTTTGCATGTCTCCGATGATGGCGCTCGTCACCCTCCTCATCATATGCGCGGAGCTGTCCTCCCCAGCCTCAGCTGCCATACTGCAGGAGTGTCTCAACGATGTTTCGACCGTTTTCCTACCTTTCTTGGATAATCTGGGTCGAATCTATCCCATGAGTGTGCGATATGCCGCCAGGGTTAGAGCTGTGGTCGGAGGTGTGGTAGGTTGCTCGGTAGAGGTGGGTGTGTGGAAAGGCGTATGGGCTGCGGGGTGGGGTGTATGTGGGGCTGGGGTGTGTAGTTGACATATGGAATCAAACATGTAAATAAGGTCGTGCTGTCGTTCACCTATATAGAATCTAAATAGAGGTCTGAATTAGGGCTAATTCTTGCATAGTTCACGTTTTATCATGTATTTTGAGAACTCTTACGAGGTAACATTTACCTAGGCAATTGAGACTGGAACAATGTAGCGTTTGGATCATTATCAAGTACGTGAGCGTTAATAGTTGTCTGGTCGATAGTAGACCTATGTAATGATGGGTCGCCGACTTTACAGGGTGGCCCACTTGAAAAGCGTCTGACCCTGGTCGGGCCGGATGCATAATTCAACGGCAGCCATGATACTTTCAACTGATTTCATAGAACATGAAGCTAGCATGCAACCACCAATATATCACTTTTTCCCTCGCCTCAGAAATAGCCAGCCTCCACGGGCGCCTCTAATAGACTCGACACTCCCATCGACGGCAATTCAACAGCCATCGAGCATTGTGCCGATTGCGATATCAATCCCGCAGCTGCACCAACTCACAATTCCTGAAATGGTCCGACGGAAGAAGCTGGTTATAGTGAACAAAAGAAGGCTAGTGTATGTGCGAGAAAGGAAATCCAGATGTGAAAGAGTGGTATAATGCGTCAGCTGAATAAACAAAAGGATCGTGCCGGTCGTTTTCATGAGGAAGACCTTGCTACTGCTGCTGCTGCAACTTTCCATTGCCTTTATATCGCTACTTGACTTAAGCTGTGTTACAAACCTATACCACTTAGAAGGAGACTCCACAATGACCGCGTCAGACGTCGCCGCAAATCATGTTTGGGTCAGGTACCACATCCCAGGAAATCATACATAAGGGAGTGCACTAATACGCTCTGCCTCGCAGCACTTGCATCCCGTGCCTTTTCATACGCTTCAAAGCTAAAAACTGCGATAAGCGACGCCGCTACTTCGTTTGAAGAGGAGAGGAAGTCTTACCTTCAAGAGAAGAAGGAGCAGGATGGAGGAGACTTTTCAGAGACAGCGGAGGAAGTCAATTTCCCTCAAATTGCAGCCGTGCGAAACAGTTCGTCGGCCATTCGGGAGGTTATAGCCCATGCCATACCCATTCCAACTGTACTCGGCCAACCGAGTGAGGATAAGATTGACAGCGACCGCTCAGAGGGTGCAGGGAAAGGCAAATCTTCTGAAGAAGAGAACCTTCTGCCCTGGGCGGGTGTAGCTGACGAGGGTGAGTTGAAGGCCAAAATCCTAGCAATATCATCGGTAAGTTTTGATGAACCTCTTTGAATTGAACGCACTTGACTTGTCTGCAGCACAGGGAGAATTTCCTTGAAGATATACCATCAGAATTTGTGTTCGACCTGAACGCTTCTTATCCTACTGCCATGGTAAGTTTGCAAATTGCAGAGTAACGAACGTCCATTCATATCTAATGTGCTCATATCATCTAGGAAATGCTGAAATTGGATAGTAAACTGCAGGACATGCGCTTTGAGCTCGTTCCAAAGAAGTGAGAAGATTCATCTTTGCATGATCTCTCACTGGTACTCATTGGTGCCTGCAAAAAGGATCAAAGATGCCCAGTTTTGGCACGCTTATTTCTACCACATCAGTCAACTCAAACTGCAGTCAGGTTCTAATCAAAAAGCTATCGATGGCACGTTTGTACCCTTACCGGATAGTCCGCTGCCCACGATCGTCGATTCACCGACGAACCCTGCACCGCAGACTGTGCCTGTGCCTGAGGTAATCCCGTCGCCTGCTCCACAGCGATTACCGCCAGTGGATTTGAAGAAAGATGAAGACCTTCCTACGGCCAAGGACCTCCGAGAAGCCATGCCACTGCCACTAAGTCTGACGGATCCGGTGAACTCTGTAAGTCACCCTATTTGTTCTTTGCATTTCGCGGTCCACTCATAAGATGTTACATGTACATATAGTCAACATTGGTATACGATGGAGAAGATTTTGTTAGCGATATGTACGACAACGAGTGGGATAAGACTTCGCAGGGGCAAGACGAAGAGGATTACTAGCTGTAATTGCTCCCCTAGCTCATGGGTGGTGCATACATTACTTTTGGGATTGTAGATGCGCTTAATGATACATCCTAGAGCTTTCGAACCGAATTGTTTGTGCCCGCTCGTTGTGCATATCATCGCATGAACGTATAGAAAAAGCAGGCGTCCACTTCCTCAATATTTGCGCGGCTCACCAAGGGATTTTATTATCATTCACCGTTTGTAAAAGCGGTACCCAGGCACCCACCGTTTCTTCCCTGCAACCTTTCTGTACTTTTCTCAACTTTTGAGACGTGCCCCGATGCTATTTGCTCCAATTGTAGAGTCCACTAATTAGACACCGGACCAGGGCTAATAGGAACAAGACTAGTGGAATGTTGGCCCGTACGCCGTACAATTCTGGAAACAAATCATTAAGAAGGATGTGAGTCGCATATTTGAAGTCACGTGAATTCATTATTGGGTAGAGATATCTAACAAGTTGCAACTAGTTTGTTTGCAGCGAAAACCTCGTCGAATACAATCGGAATGGACTGGGACTTTGGGCAGCAGGTATTATGTTTGCTGAATACCGTCTAACGTGCATCCCAATGAAGCATTCAAGACACTCCATCACTAACGCATGGTATTTGGTAGATGCTGTTCTGGACGTTTGTCCCGGTAGGCGGCTCACCCATGTCGGCGCATTGGGAACAGCTTCACTAAAACGTATCACATTTCTTACAGAGCATGGCGACCAAATTCCTCCAGAAGCAGTATTACAGCTTCCGGTCTTCCAAAAAACCCCCGACGCCTTCCGAAGCCCAGTTCCACTACAGTGTCATATATGTCCTCGTGGTAGTGGTGTACTTAATATACAGTTTTGTCCAGGTGAAGGGTTTTGCATTGCGGTCATTTAATCGGGCAACACACACTAATTTGAGTTTGGAAACTCAGGTTGAACGTAACTTACCTCCGACATACTATGATTTCCTCGACGTGTCTCGAAATTGCGACGCAAGGGATCTACGGTCGCAATTTAGGCAGATGTCGTTGCTATACCATCCGGTAGGAGTGCATTACTTGATTCAGGTTAGAAGGTGTCGGTTCTGATCACGCCCACTTTAGGATAAACTGCAATCTGTAGGGCATTGCTTAATTAGAGCTGGAGGAGCAGCACAATGCAAGCAAACTGATTGTCACACTTAGCTCCCAGAATCAGAGAGGGTACTTCATGAGACACGATACTTGCAAATACGCCAAGCTTACGATATTCTTAAAGAACCTATAAAGCGAGCTGCCTACGGTAAGTGTGCCGACCGGGATTAGCAGGGCCGATGAGTTGCGTAAACAAATTCCTAAAGCTGATTCATAAACATTGGTGTTTCCAGATAAATATGGCTTAACTAGCCATGACTGTCAACGGTGCGCCACGGAACGGGAGTATCTCATGAAAGCCCTACCGAATTTTATTACGTTCTATGGTGGAAGTGCAGTATTCCTTGTCATTCTTAGCATGCTTGGAACGCTCAACTTTGGGCGATACTGGCGATTTGTCGGATTGCTGAGTATGGGCTGCTTCGAGGCCAAGATACTCTTTAGCGGCCCCTCTTCCACGGCACTTCTTGTCCTCCGCACCTTATTACCATGGCGAACTCTCCACGAACAAATAATCATGCTCCACCAGCTGTTCGTTGTGGTCTTCATCGCCATCTCTCAATTGGGCCCCATATTATTCCCCGAGGATAAGCGAACTGTAAAGCAGATGATGCTGGAGCTTGAGAATTTAACGAATCTGCAGTTGAAGGAAAGCACGAGGTCGTTTAGGTCAGCATTCGAACCTTTTGCAAGAGATCCTGTCGCTGTCGCAGACGTGCAAAAAAAGATGGAGAAACTGGCGGTGGATTTACAATTGTTGGAAGGTAATGCCGATTTGACCGTCGCAGCAGGAAAAGCACAGATGAGAATTTCAAAGAGAAAATGATTTGTCTGAGCGTTTGGGATATTGTATTTGGGATAATATAGCCCGTTGAGTATATAATCTGTGTAAAGGAGCTAGTGGCAGCGTAAACACATCCTTCATCAACCCACTTGACAAATCGAGATGTCTAACCCCCGATCTATGGGCCCGGCCACATCTATCTCCATTTACCCTGTTAATCTAATCTTTTGAACCGACTAGTGCGGTCACTCTCAGTTAAGAATGCCATGCTCCGCCGTGAGATCAGGCTCGCAATGTCTCGATCACTTCCATACAGATGTCCAGAAAGGGTGCTCAGGATCAAAATCAATGGACTGAGTTTCCGCATTGGCCATTGGAAAATGTAGGGTAGTAATTTTTCTTTCCACCAAATAGTCGCGCAGTTTATCATAATGCATGCCAACATCTGCTGGGCCATGGCTATCGTCGGACAATGTGAACCTTACTCCTTTCTCTTTCATGCACTAAAACGCTGGTAAGATATAGACACGTCTCCCATTTTTCCAACGAAGAACATACCTCCAGTATATCGCGCTGTGGATAAGCGTCTCTCAATCCTTTCTTCCACGCGCGAGAGTTTATTTCAACTAGTCCCCCGTAGCCAGTAATAGCGTCGATATTCCGATGAATTTTGGTCCAAACATTGTCAGACAAGACATGATTCGGTCTGAACAGGCGCACGAGATCAAAGTGCCCAACTACACTAGGCTTAACCCGCAGTAGCATCTCATATTGAGCATCAAAGTAGGCCTGGAAAAGCGCCTCGGTACCACCCACAGCTCTCTCTGCAAGTTCGTAGCGAGATAAATCAAAATCGATGGGGTGGCCTTTGACGTGATGTACAGAACCGACGACATAATCCAAAGGTACAGATCGACAGAGTGTTTCGAGTTCGTTGAGCGTATCTGCGTGAATATGTTCTGTTTCCGCCCCTATAACTAGGCGAATTTGTGAACGATACTTTTCTTGTAAGAGACGTGCGTTAGCGACAAAGGCTGTGAAAGTGGCTTGGAGGTCGTCGGGAGTTATATGTGACTACGTATGTGTGCCAGCAGGTAGTCTTATGATCAACTACTGATTCAAAGGTAAGATGCCGCTTTCTTATCACCTACTTCTTCCGGGTACAGGTCCTGCGGCCGAGATCGCGGTACATGTTCAGAAAGGCCATAAACTTCAAATCCAAGTTCTATAGCTCTGAGAACCACATCTTCCAATTCCCCTTTGGCATGTAGGCAGTACTGCCCAGAGTGGGAGTGAAGTGAAATCATATTTCAATGACAATCGGATCGTTGATGGATAGTTGGAGGCGGGTACTGCAGGTCACGTGTCAGATGGCTTACGAGATTGATCGGCACATCCAAATTATCACATGCAGACGAAGTTCACAAAACTAGGTACTATTTTGATTAATGGTCTGTACAAAGCAAAAGCGCCGATGTATTAGGTGTCAGTATTGTACCAAGGTCTATATCGAAATATCAATGGCTGAATTGGATCGGATGCTGCCACATTTCCTAATGTCCATTCTGGGTCTAACTTTGAGCCATTATGCAAAATGTCGACCTATGCTATTAAGATGAGAATCCAGATCCTGAGGGTACGCGCAGTACTTCAGGGTACGCAAACCTTTGCTGGCTTTATCGCTAATCGCTTCCGTAAATGTTTTCCAACTTGTCCAATTGTTGCGCGCGCTTTAGTTTTCAGACAGGGATCTGCCAGTCTGGCCTGCCCCCGTGATACATTCTCGTATTTCCGCATATTGAACCATCTGGGGATATGAGCATCAATACTCGTAGCGTCATATTTATCGCAAATGTAAAGATGAGACAGTACTCTGTGTCCAGTTCAAGGGCAAACGCTACGAGAGTTTCCGGCCCCACTGCCGGAGAGGAACTTGGACTAGCTGCAGTGGCAGGACGCGTTGCGGTTGATAGACAGCCATCCGTAACTTTGGAGTGCTTCTTTGCTGGTTGTGTATTGCTGCTTCGAACAGAGCCTGCCGATGTTCTTTTGCGTACACGAACTTCTTGAGATTCTTCACCGGCCCAAAGTGAGACAGACGACATATTTTTTCCTCAAGAAGATCAACATTACTTTCAAATGTACGTATGAGCTCCTGTTCTCGTTCTTGTAGATGTGGTACGAGTTTGTAGGCTATGTTTTGCATGCTAGGATCGGGTCTAAAGTACATTGGATATGTTGTCAGACAAAGCATACACACTAATATAGGGAATGATACTCACTTGAGATGCTGCAGAGGATTAGGTCCAAGCGGGTGCATACATGCCGGACAGCACTTGTCATTATCATGCTGTCGCTTCCAGTGCTTGTAAATACAAGATTTGCAGACTGTACACATGGATCATCAGCCCTCTAACATAGGTCATGCATGGTAATCTTGAGAACTTGCATGTGTGAAGGCATGGATGTACTGTCGTTGCGTCAACAAAGTAACCCGCGCAGAGTTTGCACGTCATCAAACTCCATGTGCCAGTGAAAAGCCGTTATTAAAGCGGCGCTAGCTAAGCGAGACGTGCCCTCTTACTCATTGAAAATTCGAGTCTAGGAAGAGATAATTCGAAAGCAAACGAAACTTTACTTCTGATTTAGAATACGTTATGCAGCGAACGAAGCTCTTACCATGAACGTTATCTGCAAGGTCAGGTTTATCATCAAGTTGTCAGTACAAACATTACAAAATACGCAAGACAAATGATATGGCTCATTTCTACAAAGAAGTTATAACTAACCTTGCGACCAACTACAGTCGGAATAGCATCTCGTTGCAGGTTTCCCTGGTTTCCCTTCTGCTCGGTGGTTTGTACTGGGTCATCCTCTGTGATATGAGAACGGCAAGGTCAGTTCTAATACTTGGTCTTATTAATCGTTCCAAAGGTTGTACCGGAATAATTGTTTGATATCTCGTGGTGAACTATTGGTAGACGGTCTCTTTGTGGATTGGGATGGTCATGGTTTGCAGATCTTTGGCTATGAGCGCGTAGCTGAATCGAACACAAATGCAAGCATAAGGAACTGAAATGAGTGGCAACCTGTCACAAGGAGATTGTGCACCTTTCCGGCGTCCAAAGAAGCAGCCGTTGCGGCCATTTGTCAATCACTGATCTCAGCAAGTGCCAGAACGACGTTCGCTGCGCAATGAGATTGTTTACGCACTTTGTCACACGTGATTGGATTGAGGGACGTGTGACTAAGCACCCCTAACCAGCAGAAGCCGAGCGAAGCGCACTTCTAGCACGTCGAACTTAATCGAGAGCATTTAAAGAGATTGTTACTGGTTGTCTTTTGAAACTAACGAAGAGGGTACTGCGAGTACTTACTGATAGAGAGCCGGACCATTGTCAAGCCGAGCAGTTCCATCTGACCCTTAGACCCGTTCACTCTGTGGAGTCGCAAAGTGTAGATCAACTTGATATTGGGGAACAAAAAAACCCGAGTTCGGGACGGCAGACTTCACCCCGACTGTCAACAGTGGTCTTGTTATCCTAGAATAAAGCTTTTCTGCCTTGGAGGTTGATGCTGCAGTTGAGGGTCCAGGATCAAATGGATCTCGACCCTTTTCCCCGACGCCCTGGTTTCGGGAGTGCGGGGCGCCAACTTCAAGTCCGGACCAACTTCTTTCCCGTTCTCTCTCTTCCCGGTCAAAATATCCATCACTACGATGTGCAGATCCAGCCTGACGCCAATCCTCGAATAAATCGGAGATTATACGCACTCTGGGAAGACCTCAATCGAAATGGAATATTAAAGAATACAAAACCCGTATTTGACGGAAGGAAAAACATTTTCTCTCCTCGCTGCCTTCCGCTGAAAGATGATCAAGCGAACTTCACACTGGAACTTCCGGAGGAGGATGAGGATATCAGATCCAGAAAGTACGTGTTATTCCAAAATTATCTAGTGGGTGTATTGGAATGTGGCTGTAGCTGTGATTGTAGCCTAAGGGCTGTGCAGGAGTTTACTCCCTCTTTGAGAGGTAACCAGTCTTGGATAGATCGCTAATCTTGTCTCTTAGGTTTCAACGGGGACCTAGAAAATTTAGAATTTCCATTTGTAAAGTGGGCGAGATCAACATGCACAGACTACATCTTTTCCTCGAAGGAAAGTCTCATGAAGCACCACATGATGCAGTAATGGCACTCGACATCCTTTTGCGGCACCGACCATCTATGCTGTATACAACAGTCGGGAGGTGTTTCTACACACCGGAAGGTTCTGCGTCAATAGCTAATGGCGCAGAATTGTGGCAAGGATTTCATCAATCGATCAGGCCCTCGCAGCATAAGATGCTTTTGAATCTGGATGTTTCAGCAACCGCATTTCTTGAAGCAGGTAATCAAGGAGCATTTCTGTCCTCCATGAAGTAGGCCGTTTCTCACTGAGCTCCGTTCTATTAGGTCCCGTAGTCGATGTGGTTGCGCGAATTTTGGGCAGGGGACGCGCCGAGGATATTCGACAGCCATTCAACGAACGTGATAGATATAGAGTGGAGAAGACCCTCAAAAATATTAAAGTCGTTACTACACATCGCGGTAATAGCAAACGGCGGTGGAAAATAGCCAAAATTACCACGACACCAACGAGTCGAACGCTATTCCCTATCAAGGAGGATGGAGGACGAGAAGAGAGTGTATCAAACTACTTCAAGGAACGCTACGGAGTTATTTTACAATATGAGCACTTTCCTTGCCTGGTAGTTGGTGATCCAGCAAAACATGTGTACCTTCCCATGGAAGTTTGTCGCGTAGTACCTGGCCAACGCGTCTTGAGAAAACTAAATGAGAAGCAAACGGTGCGGTAACTGACGCAGATAGTCATAGTTGCATGAATAAGGCTGAACGGGAGCTTTTTTTGCAGGCTGATATGATTAGGTTCACCTGTCAACCGCCACACGTGCGCTCAAACAAAGTATCCAACGGTTTCAACCTGCTGCTTACTCACGACAACGAATACCTTCAAGACTTCAATGTAAAAATAGGTCGCGAGATGGCTACCGTCAATGCCCGTGTCCTGCCAACACCGATTCTTTCCTATCATCCAACCTCGCGTGAGTCGAGCATTGCTCCCCGTGAAGGTTCCTGGAATCTCCGAGACAAAAAGGTTGCTCAAGGAGCTGTTTTGAACTCTTGGGCGGTAGTTGTCTTTGGATCCGAGCGAGAAGTTGCAGTGTACAATGTTCAAAAGTTCCTGCGCGAGCTCATCTCTACCTGCCGTGATACTGGAGTAGATATTCGGCAATTGCAACCCCCAATACGACATGCCAATCCGCTAGGCAATATCGAAGCCATTTTGAAGGCAGCTTTCATGGATGCTGGTAATGCTTCTAATCACAAGCCACAACTAATTCTCGTGATTTTACCAAACACTGGGGTACCGCTCTATGCGGAGATTAAGCGAATTGCTGACACGGTAATTGGAATTGCAACTCAGTGCATGCAGGCAAAACGTAAGTTAAACAGTCACCAATGCCGACCAGCTCTGATTCATTTAATAATCGCGCTCCCTCACAGATGTTTTTGCGGCCAAAAAGCAATACTGCGCCAACATTTGCTTGAAAATTAACGTTAAACTTGGGGGTATGAATTGCTTCCTAGGAAGCGCCCAATTACCCTTCGTTGCTGAAAGACCGACGATAATCTTTGGCGCAGATGTAAGAGCAACCTTAAATCAACATTTGGCCTTTCCGGGTTGCAGGGTACTAAACAGTTCCGCCCAGGTCACGCATCCGGCACCAGGCGATCATAACAAACCGTCCATAGCGGCGATCGTTGGATCAATGGATGCGCAATGTTCACGATATGCAGCAGCTATCCGCGTTCAGAAAGGCCGGCAAGAGATAATAAAAGATCTAGGAGGCGCAGTTGTTGAACTGTTGAGAACCTTTTATCAATTTTGTGGATCAAAGCCGCAGCGGATACTGTTTTACCGTGATGGGGTATCTGAAGGGCAGTTTGGAGAAGTGGTTCGAGAAGAGGTCGCAGCTATACGACGAGCATGTGCTACCCTACAGGGCAAGTGAATGGACGTCACATGATGGTATCATAGGAGCTGACATCTGATACGGTTTCCTACTTTGTAGAGGATTATCGTCCGACTGTTACCTTTGTTATAGTGCAAAAGCGACATCATGCTAGATTCTTCCCTTTGAGGAAAGAGGACGCCGATAAGTCGGGAAATGTCCTACCGGGCACTGTGGTGGAAACAGGCATTACCCACCCAGCAGAATTTGGTTAGTACATTTGAAAGGAAGTGTGGAACTGGCTCGCGCTGAGAGTGTTCTACTATTTGTGATTGTGCAGATTTCTACCTCGCTTCCCATCCTGGCCTCCAAGGCACGTCGAAACCCACGCACTATCATGTCCTTCACGACGAAAATCATTTTACTGCAGACGGTCTGCAGGAACTCACCTACCGCCTATGCTATCTCTACTGCCGTGCAACGCGCGCAGTATCCGTCTGTCCACCAGCGTATTATGCGCACTTGGTGGCAGCCAGAGCCCGGTTCCATTTCATGGGAGATAACTGGTCCGATATTGCAAGTGAGCGGAGTCATATGCCGGGCGGGCCTATCATGTCCTTGGAGGCATTGACGGCGAATTACGGATTGGTGAAACCTGATCTGGCGAAAGTCATGTATTACATGTGATTGCCTTACTGTGAAAATACCTTTTTTTCAGCATTCTAATGCGCAGAATGAAGGGGACGATACAGGAAAATCTTTCATGTCTGAGAGACTAAGTCTGTAATGGTCTGTAACGTTAAGTATTTAAAATAATTCCGGGCGTACGTGGCGTATAAAACACCAAATATATGGTCGTGAGATGCATTTGATGGCCGAGAGCCGGCATGTTGATAAGTGTAGAGCTCCGTTTAGTTCATCTAGTCGATCTGAGCTTTAATTAGTTTAATGGCATGGCAAACAGCATGCTTAACCGGCACTGTAGAATGGCGCACCCACGGCTCACCATTTTCAGGTGATAATGAGTAACTCAACGTTAATCTCAGATGTCGAAGCCATTGCCTGTTACTAGTAACACATATCAAGAAGTGTAGAGGCGAAAGATTGCCAATCTACCTCTACCAACGCTGGCTGGCGATGATTGTCGCACCTTCCAAGTCACAATGGAGATTTCATTACAAGAGTAATTTCAATTTCAATTTCCATCCGTATGTACAATTTCCACATGCAAAGATACCACTACGATCGCTATGTCGTCCTACCAGTAACGAGGACTCCGCGATCGTGAATGCCGTCGAGTGGTGCGGGACTGGGAGTGCCTGCCACGACTGCCGACCCTGTTTCTATCTTCAGTCTCGTCTTCCCGTCTGCTTTGTTTTGTCCGAACTGGAGATACCGACCTCCGCCCTCGGGGAACTTCGTCAATCGCACCTTCTTCGCTTTCACTTTCGCTGCTGATTCTTAAAGATGCTGTAGACGGACCAGACCCCGCAGAGGATGGGGACGATAATAAAGAAATGCATTCGATCGTTTTATTGGTTTGCCGAGGTCTTTCAAACTCTGTTGAAGTCTTTCGATCCGTCCGGAAAGAGGTGGCACCAAGGACATTTACGAGCTGGGGTGCGCTCGTATTTTTGACGTATGGCAAATTAAAAGTTTCTCGGGGTAGGTTGTTAGTTTGATAATAGTTGTCTATGTATGCTTTTAAAGTCGGCAGCTGTGGCGGTTCCATTCGCTGCGGCCTTTTATCATCCATATCTTCGATCACAATTGGCGAAAGCTGCGCGGTTCCACAATCTGCGTTGGAAGTTACGCCGATCGCTTCGGGCAATGCGTGAGGTGCGCCATCTTCCACGACCCGACTATCAGGCAGCGTGGTTTTGGTGGAAGACTTCGTAGCAGCCGTCTGCGTCATGATGGGAGAGGGACTAGAAGTGTCAATATCCATATCTTCTTCCGCCGAAATTGGCGATGTTTCAGTAGGGCGGATAGTTTGGCTTCCTATCGGTCGCACATCGACCTTCACGGACAGCTCCGACTTTCTAGCGTTGGATGGTTGTGGATTCTTCCTGGTCGGCTGGCGTTGCGAGCTTGTGCTCTGTTCGGAGTCGCTGATTGGGTCAATCATAGTTGCGGGTTGAGTGACCATACCGGAAAATGTGACCGCAGTCGGATGCTGCGCAGGTGAGTGAATTGATGAAGGCACATCTACAGCCATCGAATCTAGTGACACTCCAATCTCGTCATTCAGCTGAAAGGTTTGTTGACATAATTTAGTCGTTTTGCATGAGATAATAGTTCAGTACCTTGTCCTCTTACATAGTCATTCCATTCAGCGCAAAACCTATCCCTCTGGTGTCGTACCATATCGTCGTCACCACGCACAATGCCATCCAACATGTCTCCCGTTCCGAGATCGCAAAACACCCCACCCTGATACCGGAGCTTTAAGACTCCAGAGCTGTCCTGGCATTGTCCTCTAATTTCCGAGAACTTGAATGCACGAGATGTCATGTCGTTCAGATAATCGCTGGGATCGATGACTTGAAAATTAGAAATTGACTGCCCTTCAGGGTTTCCGTTCCATTTGTCTATCGCACGCGCTTTTTTCATACAGACGCCTTCTTCCACCTGACAACAGATAGCGTGGAGATCCGGAGTGAAATCGAACCCAAAGAATTGAAAATATTGCACGAAAAGCCTGGCCAGCGGCGACGTGTCGCGCGTCAATTTCTCGAAACGTAATACCAATGCAAGAACCATATTGACCACCGCGAAACCGCTGACACCCCCGCTGTCAGTTTTAGAAAACCCACGAATGTGGAACCACTGCTTCACCACCAAAGTTAGCGGATACAAATGAGGCTGAAGGTCAAGCATGGCACGCTGCATGGCGTCTGCTGCCTTGAGGGCCGAGGGACAGTTCAGATACAGGAAGACTTTAAGACTGCCCATCCTTGTGCAGAATTGAATGTACCGAGTAACAGAGCCGTGTCGGTTAATTTTCAATGTCGAAAGATTGGCAACCTTTTGTATCAGTGGAGACACTAGGAGAGCGTCATGCAGATCTCCTAGTAAGTTCTCATTCTGCTCCAATTCTAAATCAAATTCGATCATAATATCGAGGCCGCTCGTTGGAAGGCATCCTCCGTAGCGAGAGGACCCAATCAGATGCGCTTTCGCAGCGCCGGGTCTCAATTGCTTCGCTTTGCAATAGTCTTTCAGAAACGTGCGTAGCTGGCGAACGACCCAACCACGCAGCGCCCTTTCCTGAGGACGGAGATTCAGCTGTGCGGCAAGCAGAATTATCTCATTATTTAGCTTTGCAAAAAGGTCCGATGGTCTGCTATCGAATTTTGGCGGTAAAGTATGGAGAAGGGGCAAACCAGGCAGCTCCGGTAAGTCTTCATTTGCAAGATCAGAATGTTCACCCCCATTTGCAGTCGATTCAATGACTGGTCGATAGCTCTTGTCCAAAAGCGAATTAGGAGATTTGAGCCATTCCCGCCCCAATTTTTCCAAACTACGGTTGGCCCACTGGGTCAAGGGATCCACGGTGGGCATTGCCACGGACAGCATTGCCGGACCGCCCTATATCACAGCAAGGAAAAGAAGGTAAGTGTTAGTCAAACCTATCTAGTCTCATTGTAATGGAGCGGCTACTCACCCTTTGATCGATGCGGAAGAGTGGGAAAGGTCAAAGTGGTAGCTTTGCTGCGCGCAAGTTCACGTGGTTCCAACCAGTGCAGTGGTTCGTTTCCTGGACGAGTCTTGGAGGGCCTGCCCAAACCCGCGTTTGCATCAGATTAGCACCAGACGGTGGACCCGCGCAGAGATCCCAGACTGGAGCAACGAGCTTCGTTCCAACCACAAGAGCCTCATCAGCAAACTTTGCAACAAGCATTGCTGGGAATCCCTCCTGGCGTGCAGCAGCTAATAGCACAACATCCAGAGCTCCTGCAACAAATCGTTTCCCTCGCTTCTCCAGCAGAGGTGACGCACCTCCTTACACTGCTAGGTTTAGTTCCAGGCGCACCAGAGCAAGCTTTTACCCCCACCCTGCAGCCGACAGGCTATCTTGCGCCTGTCCAACAGCAGCAGCAGCACAGTAATATATGGGCAAGTTCGGTCCAGTCAAACCACCCTCCCCAGTCACAAAAGTCGTTGTCTGTAGCGCCCACTCCACCAAACAACATACAGCACCAAACACCCTCTTTAACAGAGCAAAAAACTGACGTTGGACACTTTTCGCATGACAGGTGAGACTGGGACGAGCAGTCTGCGAGCGCCTCAGTGCCTACAATGACCGCTTACTCTATGTCAATAGCTCCCAAGCAATACCCCGTAGTAATATGGGGACACTTCATACAATTCCACCGGCTTCTCAGAAGCGCCCAAGATCCCCGCCTTCGTCTCAAGCCCTGCCGCCAATGTACGAATATCTGGTCCCATGGTCAAAGCTCGTACATCTTATGATTTCCCTCTTAACAGGAATGATCGACACGTCCCACTTGCGACTCAAAAGAAACATGAACCCCAAGTGCCTAGCGACGGAGATGTGGAGGTATGTCTCATTTTGCTTGTTTTGAAAGAAGAGTCCTCCCTTACCGTTTTCATCCGGTAACCCTCACTCATGTTTGCTGTATGTTGACTACCAAATTTACCACACCTTTCTTCTTACGGTAAACCTTTTGATATCATTCAGCTTGATATGAAGTCACCGTGGAGATATTGGAATGTAATTACAGGCACTCGATATCAGAATCGCCTAATCCAGACATACAGGCCAGATGGATAGGAAGTTGAGCGTCCGGTCATGTGATGTCACGCCAATGCTTGCAACCGGAATGCACATGAAACAAATGTGTAAAATGCAAATTGAACCACTTCTTGATCTTACCCTTCCATGAGAGTTGAAAGTTGTCTTCGTTTGTTTCCCTACAACGATCTGCTCTCATGATAGCTATAAAAAAACGGTTCAGTAAGGCACAAGCGGTTGCACAGCAGTGGACTGAGGAAAGGCGTCAGCAGCTCTTGAAAGATCCGGAAATCAAGGAATTACTGGGCGCATTAGAGCTCGAAAGGGCGCAGTCGGTACCCGTTTCTTCGGCGTCCCCAGAAGATATTGCCAAAGTTACTGGGTTCAATTTTTCCCAGAATGACATGGAAGGATATAGTAATTGGGACTTAGAGGCTCAAAATGTAATTCCTCCACTTCAACCGTCAGATGTCTTCACTAGACAGATGGACCGCTTAAACAGATGGTTCAACCCAAAAAGTGAAGCTCTTGCTCGCTCGTTTCTGGATAACTATATCTTGGAAGGGTTGGAGCACACGCAACCCAGTGACAGTCCTCTCACATTTTACGGAGAGGTTAGCGTTAGTCAGACGAACCCATCGGTCAAGATGACGCTGGCAGGAGATATCGACTATGTGTTTGCGTATGGAGATGCAACGAAACCTCAAGTCCAAAATATTGTCCTATTGGCAGAGGCGAAAAGCCGCAGAGTAGCCATTGGAGGTTGGATTATGGTTCAATTGCTGGCGTACATGGCGATGGTATATCGAGCGCGCAAAGTCAGCAAAAAGATAAATCCCGGTGTTTTCGGTATTATGACGAATGGCCATGCATGGATATTCTGTCGAATTGATAACGACGGAGAGGTGTACCAGTCTCCTAGGTACACGGGAACAGACGTGGTTCTACGAAACCTTGCTTTTGTTCTTGATGCTTCAAAGATTTCATCCCCGTCGACCACCCCCTTCGGCTCGGAGGAAGATCTCAGCGCAAGCAGCGTTTTTGCTAGTCTTGAGCACCTTGCAGGGTATACACCGGCCATCAAGTCTGCCGAAGAGGAAGCAGAAAGTCAAGACCCACAAAATTTTGATGTGGTGTTTGAGGGACCAGAGGAGGACCGTGAACCTCCATACTAAAGAACGTACAGCACTATCTTAATTTTGCCTATTTCATATTTTATTTGCATCTTTCAATGTATATTTCAAATACAACGGCTCGACGTGAATCGTACTGATGATCGACGTTGAGGGATGTATTCTTACGTAACCGCACAAATATGACTCACCAGGAAGGTGGGCAGCTGTTGGCCTCTCCACGCAGCAGCCCAATTTACCATCTGACGGACTTCCACTTATTAATTTCCAGAGTTCATTACTCACATCACGCGTTGACACTGCATCTCAGTATCAAACGAACAATCTGACAATGACGTTCCAACTCTCAGCGGTTCTAGTCGGCCACGAATCTGATGTATGCCTCTGTTTTTCTTGCGAGATCTACTCAACGTCCCTTCGTTACTAAAGCATCGCATATTTCCGTTAGGTGAAAGCAGTGGTGGCCGCAACGGAGGACTTACTTGCATCTGTATCCCGTGATACATCCACAATTACGTGGCGACGAACGGGAGCCAATTCGTTTGAACCGTCGGGCCGCTTCCAGGAACACTCACACTTTGTAAACGCAGTAACATATCTACCACCAAGTGGAGATCATCCAAATGGTCGGACATCAGTTACGCTTAAGATACGAGATGAAATATGACTTATTGGGTGCTGCGATTCAGGCCTTTTTGCAAGTGCTGGTTCCGACAAAATCATTGCAGTGTTTGACCCGACCTTGCCAAAGAATGCACTCTATTCTTTGATTGGACATACTGACAACGTGTGTGCGCTTTCAACTGCACCAAACGGCGATATCATCTCTGGATCGTGGGACTTGTGAGTTGATGCACAATGCTGGCTCGATACAGCGTATGCCTGTCCGGCTCATTCAACTTCTGTGGTGATCAGTACTGCCAAAGTGTGGAGGAACTGGGAATGTATTTTTACGGTCAAACATAATCAGTCAGTCTGGGCAGTTCTTGGACTGGAGGATGGGGGATTTTTAACTGGTACGGTATTTCTACGAATTCGGGCACCTCATCTCACCATCTAATACGGTGATCGTTAAAGGATCCGCCGATAAGACTATTAAGCTATGGCGTGATGGGAAGTGTGTGCACACATACTTGGGTCATACCGATGCCGTCAGGGGCTTGGCTCCTCTATCTGATCGGAGATTTGTGTCCTGTTCAAATGACGGGTGAGTTACACAGTTGTTCTATTTAATGGCGTCACGTATATTCATGCTATTTACGCTTGATTAGAACACTGCGAATTTGGTCTCTAGATGGAGAATGTCTGCAAGAGTTGACAGGACACACCTCCTTTGTATATACTGTTGCCATTTTGCCCTCGGGAGAAATCGTGTCAGGTGGTGAAGATCGCTCAATCCGAATCTGGAAAGGTCTGCTCTAGCTTGTCTTATCCCGTGTTCTATGGCGTGATATTTATAAGATGGACCGAAAAAGGAGGCGAATGTGTGCAAACTATCATCCACCCATGTCCGTCGGTTTGGAGCGTTGCCTCTCTTGCCAACGGTGATATTATCACCGGCGCAAGTGATGCGGTGGTCCGCGTCTTTACCAAGTCCAATGATCGCTTGGCCCCTCCAGAAGTCCTCAAGGTATTCCGGATACAATGCCTGGTGAATTTCTATGGAAATCACTAACGTCTGCTGAAGGCTTTCGATGACTCCGTAGCGAGCCAAGCCATACCATCGAATCAGATCGGCGATGTCGACAAGTCAAAGCTGCCTGGTCCTGATGTTTTGGATCGACCAGGTATTCTTGACGTTGATTGGGGTGCCTCCTGTATTTTCTTGTTTTGATATCCTATCGTAGGGAACAAGGACCAGCAAGTTATCATGGTCAATATGGGTAATTCGGTCGAAGCGCATCAAGTAAGCTTCCCCAGAGTTTCATATCATGCTCCAAGAGTGCTAAGTAGCGTCAACAGTGGAGTCAAGCGGACCACAAATGGCATAAAGTTGGTGAGGTCGTGGATGCTATAGGATCTGGTCGCAAAACACAATTTGAGGGAAGAGATTACGACTACGTTTTCGATGTTGATATTGGAGAAGGGATGCCACCTCTCAAGTTGCCATATAACGCATCACGTATGTTGATGTGCCATTAAGATTAAGCTCGTCGTCTAATGAGTCCTTACAACATAACCTGCTTATGTAGAGAATCCATACGAGGCCGCACAAGAGTTTATATGGAAACATGAGCTTCCGCAAGATTACTTGGACCAAATTGCAAATTTCATTCTTCAGAATGCAAAGGACGCGACGCTGGGCGCTAGCTCGTCGTCATATCAAGATCCCTTTACTGGTATGACAGGGATTTCTTCATCAATAGTCCGCGTCCTCATCTGGTGGTTTTTCGCAGGTGGTAATAGATACGTGCCCGGTGGATCCAGGGTAGGTCTTCCCTGTGGGATCAAAATCCCCACCGTTAGCTGATTTTGGATATTTATGGTATAGGGCCCAGCCTCCGAAGGAAGCGCATATCAGTCAGCCGGTGTTCAGCTGAACCGAGCACCCCAATCGAGTTCATACATTCCGCACGTAAGACTACCACTTCTCATATGAAGCCACCAATCCCTTACCTTGGCTATCTCAATTACTAGCTTGAATATACGTTATTTAAAGCCGCGAACCTCACAGCCATCCTTGCCAAATTGGTACAGCTGAATGCAGATCTGGAAAAGAGCATGGTATGCAGCTTTGTCTGAAATGACCAGTCAGCGAAAGCTAAGTCGCATACGCTATTCTCATAGGATTATGGCACCGCTGCTCTGAAACCAGAGGAAGAAAAGGACCTGGAGCAAGTGATCAAGTCGCTTGAGACACCCTCTAAGTCCCAGCAGGCCTTTAAGCCGCACCACCTTGCAATCTTGCAGAAGGCTGCTCTCCAATGGCCACCACAGCAACGATTTCCCGGTAAGCGGGACGTTTTACAGAATTGGAAGGACATGTTTAGGCATATATTGACATCAACTCCATCAGCCATTGATATTCTCCGTCTAGTGGTGCTACACTCATCATTGCCGGTCACTTCAGGAAGTCTGGCACGCCTACTCGACCAACTGGCTGGCTTCTCGACGCTCAAACAGGATGCGTTGAGCAAAGTAGAAGAAACAAATATTATGCTTGCATTGCGCTTTTTGGCAAATGCGTTTGCCACCAAAGAGGGTCAGGCATCAGCATACAATGAGCGACAGCAGGTAACATTTGTGAGATACTCAGATCATCGTCCACATGGGAGCTTATAATGATTGCTATGTTAGATTGTGGATCTTGTTAAAGACTGCTGGCGGGGAACACAGAACAAAAACCTGAGGGTAGCCCTCGCGACTGTTTTCCTGAAGTGGGTACACTCCGAGTTTGGAGGCGGACTATTCGACGGATGTGTATTGACTAATATCTTCTATAGTTATGCTGTGTTGTTGAATGAACGGCCCGACGACGCTCTGCGTGTAGACCTACTCAAAACGGTGATTGAGGTACGTATTGGCTAAGTGGAATGGACCGCGTGGCGTATAGTAAACACCAGTCTGGAATGGAATAGTTTCTCCGGACCGAAACGGATGCTGAGACAGAGTTCCGAGCCATGGTCGCGCTTGGAACATTGGTAAGCAAACAGCGCACCAAACAATACACCTCAATAGCTCACTCTCCCATTAAATTCCACAGGTTCACGACAACGCGGACGCCAAGGAGGCTGCTAATCTCATGAATGCTGCGTCGACTGTGAAACGTGCCCGTCGAACTACCGGTGATTCCGAGGTGAAGCTGCAGCAAATTGAAAAAGATCTGATAGCACTGCTTAGATGAGTGGTTTTCGGGGCCTGTAATGGACTACTGACAGCATAGCTGCAATGTGACAATATATGCAAATACATTAAAACATTCTGCAACAACCGTAAGAACAATTCAAGTACAGAAACAGTCGGGTTTATCTAGGATTGCGTGCTGGTTGCACCGCTCTTTTAGCGGACTTGAATGATACCAGCATTGATGAGCGTTCGGATCTTTGCCGCTACTTGGGGATTCTTCATGTGGCTGTGTAGCAGAAAAGAAGAGTAGTTTAGTTTTCAGCTGATTCAAAGCGCATTTCTGGTGAACAACGTACTCTTGTGCCGCTCTTGGGTCTTCCTGCATCTGTTTTAGAATGCTGTTCATGACTGGGTCGGCCATGATGGCTTGCACTTCAGGATCATTCATTGCCCGTTTCAGATTTTCTTCCCGGTTTCCAGTGTTCTGCACTTGATTGAGCCCGGCATAGCATTTGAAGATCTATCCAGCCAAAATAGAGTTGGCGTGGTCAGCTGCCTGCGCATAAATAAGGAAACAAAGACACATGGCCATACTTGAGCATCAATCTCCTGAGTATGTTTGCCTTCTACATCCTTCTCCTTCGCTTCATTGCACATATCGATCGCTTTAACGTAATCCCGTTTGGCGTGGAGAATAGCGGCCTTCCGGATGTAAGCCTTCACAAAGTTGGGGTCCAATTGCAACGCTGCATCGCAGTCCTTTTCAGCCTCCGGGAAGGCCATCAATTTCACATAGCAAGCAGCGCGGTTCGAGTAGTTGCGTGGGTCGGCGTCGTTCCGCTTGATGGCTTCGGTGTAGTATTTAACGGCCTCGGCAAAGTTGGATTCCTTGAAAAGCTCATTGCCCTTCTCACGCGCTTCATCAGCAAGCTGTGGATTCCGGTATGACTCTTTTTCTTGGATAGCTTTCAACTTTTCCGCCTCCTTCAATTTGGTGAGGATGTCTGGGGTGCGATGCTCGGTCAAGGACTTGTTATAGTACTTGATAGCATTATCCAAATCGCCTTTCTTCATGTAAGCGTTCGCCATGCGGCCAAGTGCTCTGGTATATTCAAAAATCGTTAGGTCGTCCACAGAGGATTTCAGCGTTGCATAAAACTAAATTCACCTGGCGATGATCTTGTAGTCTGCACGTTGCTCACGACCTGCGTCCACTGCATCCTCACATGTCTTTATACTTTCGTCGTATCGTTCGGCTTCATATAGTGCAGCTGCAAGTCAAACGCAAAAAATTAGCCTCATCTTGGCGAAGTCATCGATTATTAGCATGATGCTCACCAGCCTTGTTAGTCAAAACAGCAATGTTGGTATTGTCCAACTCCCATGCTTTGTCGTAATGCGACAAGGCTTCATCAAACTTGCGCTGCTTGTAAGCTTGGTTACCGAGGTCCTTTTCCCTGTCACTTTGAGCCCTCTTCTGTTTCTTTTCCTTCTCCTCTTCTGTGAGTTCAGGCTCAGGTTCAGGTTGCGCCTTTTTTGGTTCGCTTTTTGATGTGGCGGTTGGGTTGGGGGCTGATCTCGATTCGGCGTCGTTCGCAGCGGCAGCAGCCGCAGCAGCGGCATCCTCCGCATTGTTTGCCACCGTCGCATCCAGACCCATTGCCGCCATCATGAGAGTCATGATACGAGGATCTCGCATGTACCTGAAAGATTATTCTTACATTATTAAACTGGATTTCACAGCCATCACAATTTGAATTTGTTGACTTACAAATTCATGTTCTGTGGGTTCTTTTGAATGTCCTGAATCTTTGCTTGAATATCCGGCTGAGCAAGTAGGGGCGCAACTTTTGGGTTGCTGGCAATCTTTGCCAAACCCTCGGGACCAAAAATGTTACCGAAAGGGTCTAGTCAGATGCGATCGTCAGTCAGATGTAAGATTCCACAAAAAGAGGTCGTCCTTACTGTCTCCTTCAGCGGCCATCGCGGCTTCCACGTCATCCAATGACTTTTGCAGTTGTGCATTGTTGGGGTCAATCTTCAATCCTGCTTTATATGCATCTGCGGCCGCCACCAAGTCGCCCAATCCATGAAGGGCAGCACCTTTCCGTGAATATCCCTAAAGCCCACGCTTTCAGCATCTGATGAGTGATACCCAAAAAGCACACTCTATACTCACTCTTGCCCAATCTGGCTTCAGCTGAACTGTCTTTTCAGCATCCTGTAGGGCATTCTGGTAATCCTTCAGACTCGCGTGTGCTGCTGATCTACAATTATGCAAGTCAATGCATATTCTCGATGCCAAGCGCGGGGGTCAAAAGACTTGCCTACCTATTTGAGTACAGAACATGATTCGAGGGGTCCATCTCAATAGCTTGAGAAAATAGTTTGATGGCTTCGTCAAATTGGCCAGACGAGAAGGCCTTGTTGCCGCGTGTTTTGAAATCTTCCGCCTAACACAAACCTTGGTTATGGCAAAATTCATGGGAACAGAATTAAGCTACAATATCACACTTACTGTCATGCTTATATGGAAGTGCCTGTGTGTTCAAAGGGTTGGTTGGGAGGTTAAAGTGCTCGTCGTAACACTTTATGAAAGCCAAAGACCCGCGCTGTGTGCTTTTTCGACGACCTTCGATGTGTCCAGCTGATGACTCATGTTGGCTGGATCCAAGACTAAGGTTTTACGTAATGGACTTCAACAAACGCAACGTCGTTTTTACAGATGACTTTTACTTGTTCGCTGGCGACATTTGAAAACCTTTGGAGAAAGCGCCCTAGCGTTGCTATAATAAAGTATTATTCGTAACCACAAATATTCAACGAAGCCTCCCCAGGGCGGGATCTCAGCATCAGTCCAATCTCCTTATCGTTTGCTATCCGCTGATTACCACGTATTGGCAGAAAAAAGTAGCAATTCCAACATATGCGTAACGCTCTTCTCCTCGGAAAGTCACAACCTGAAAGTCCAACCTTGCCGGAAGCATCAACCTTGTCCTTAACATCTGCTGGTTGACGGGCAGGCGGCCTTCCACACGTGATTAAAACGATCGCGTTGTGTGCCAGCTGTTTAGCGTTTGTGTTCGCCTTGTGCTGACAACATGATAGCCGCCAAGAAATGTCTTCTCGCTTTCCTCCGTCGCTTTCCTTTCATCTCCCCCATCCTTACCACCATTCTAGCGTACAAATATGAGTGCCCAGCCTGCCAATGAAGGCAGTCCTCCAAATGACTTTGCGGCCACAAGCACTTCCTTACCTGCGGCGGATTCCGTACAACAAGCAGTGGGCAAAGCCGCCAAGGGAGTCGCCCACGCAGTTCATTCCACGCTGCTGCACGCTGACATTCCAGCTGATGGCATATGTGGCTTCTCTCAGTCTCAGGCTCTTGTGCTAGCGGCACTCGCCGATACTTTGGTCGCCGCGCTCAACCCTGAGGAGACTGCTCGTCTAGTTGCGACCACCCAGAGTGTTCGGAACGCCCAATCCTTATCGGACGATGTGATCAGCTTTGCTCAGATATCCGGGGGTACTATGGAGCTGGTGAAAAACATGATTGATTATCTTCACAAGGCCGCCCATCCGGATCAGCTGCAGAGCGTTCAAACTGCGCTCTGGGTTTTATCCACGGGCCCTGGATGCTTCCTTTTGACGGGCTCGTCAACTCCTGTTCATAGATTAGATAGAAGTGCTAGAGAGAAGGTAGTTAGCAAACTCTTTCACAGTCCCCTTGCAGCATTGCGTGCATTGGTGAAATCCATCTATGGCATGGTTATATTAAATACCTATGGGGAACCTAAGCTGGGCAAGGGTAGAAATCCATTCTTGAAAGTCATAGGCTACCCTGAAGGGCCTCACGTCGAAAGACCGCTTCCAGATCCAGCGGATATCTGGAGACCCTCATTTTTGGACCTCCAGGGTCTGGTCGGGCCGAACGATAGCGAGGAGATCAGATTGGCTTGCGATATTGTGGTTGTTGGTTCCGGCGCCGGGGGAGGTGTAGTCGCAGGAGAACTGGCACAGGCTGGGCATGATGTTCTGGTTCTAGAGAAGGCGTTTTACACCCATCCATCCGAGCTGCCATATACACCAAAGGCATCTTTCGAGCTCCTCTTTGAGCGGTCTGGCGCACTTGGTAGCGAGGATGGCTCGATGCAGGTATTGACCGGGAATGCGTGGGGTGGTGGTACGGCGGTGAACTGGTGAGTAAATGATCAACTCTTGGAATTAAATGCGACGATGGTTAACAATGTCCAGGTCCGCGTCGTTGCGGCTTCCATCAAAGGTCCGGGAAGAGTGGGCGACCAAATATAAGTTGCCTTATTTTATGTCGCTTGATTATGCGAACGCTGTGGATGCTGTATGCACGAGAGTGGGTGTTAGCACAGATGCTATCGAGCACAATGCGTCCAACTCGCTGTTGCTGGAAGGATTGGCACGATTAGGGATGCCACACGGAGTAATTCCACAAAACACCGATAGTCAGTCCCATGAATGCGGTTTCTGTTGCTTCGGATGTCCTTATGGAACAAAGCAAGGAACGCATTTGACGTTCTTGCGGGACGCCGCCGAGTCAGGGAACGCGCGATTCATAGAGGGATGTACAGTGGACAGAGTTTTGCACAAGGGTGGACGGGCCGTTGGAGTAAAGGGGACGGTTATTGAGCGTGGAACTGGACGCACTCGCAAAATTATGGTCAAAGCAAAAAAAGTTGTGGTTAGCGCAGGCAGCCTTCACAGCCCGGCCATTCTCCTTCGATCTGGGCTACGAAATCCCAATATTGGTAAACACCTTCGCCTACATCCTTGTACCCACGTATTCGGAATATTCCGCAATTCCGAAAAGCCCATTAACACGTACTCAGGCTCCATAATGACCGTCCTGGGTACGCCAGCTGAAAATGCTCATGGAGATGGTTATGGAAGTAAGCTTGAGATCTCCTGCATGCATCCAGCCATGTTTGCAAGCTGCGTTCCCTGGAGAAGTGCAGAGGAACATAAGAGATTGCTGGCGCTCTACGATCGCATGGTGCCAGTACTTGTCATCGGGCGAGATAGTGATGCGACAAAGGGTCGTGTCTACCTGGACAAAACAGGGACGCCGCGGATAGAGTACACCATCTCCCCAAAGGACCAGATCTCTCTCGCTGCAGGTGTTGAGGCTGGTATAAAGGCTCTTATCGCTGCGGGCGCAACGGAAATCATTACGAATCAGAGGGGAGTGGACCCATTCTCGATCGACCCTGAAAAGATCAATGACATATTCACCAGCAAGGAGTTTGGAAATTACTTGGCCAAAGTCCGCAAGTGGGGTTTCCAGCCGACGTGGACACCATTGTTCACAGCCCATCAGATGGGCACATGTCGCATGGCTGGTAGCGCATCACAAGGAGCTTGTAATCCTGACGGTAGGACATGGGAAGTTGATGGCTTATACGTTGCAGATGCGAGCTTGTTTCCGACTGCAAGTGGCGTCAAGTAAGTATTCTGGTCTCGTTGCTCAAACCTGACATTACCCCTCTCACATACCTTGCACTTTAGTCCCATGGTGACAACTCTCTCCTTGGGCTACGCTGTTGCGCAAAGAGTAAAAGAGAGCTTGCAGAGTACTGCCAAGTTGTAATCCATTCATTTAGTATGTACGAGAGTGATACCACGATAATCATCTGGGAGGGTGTTTTACATTGTGTATTATAGATTTTGGAATCAAAGATATATGGACCTCTTATCTCGTACATTTGTTCATTCCCACGCATCCACATTCCACAGTTTATGTCCAACAGAAATTAGTAACTAGCTGAAAGAGAACTATAACCCCACAGTAGCTGCTTCATGACAGTCGTGTTGGCATTAGAGCTCCGTCGGACGAAGCTCATTTCAGTCTTCACCCAAACAAACCGTTGTTGGCTCTTCAAAGTTGCACAACCTTCTGATGTTTTCATGCAAAAGATCATCCGTCTGCTCCTATATTAGCAAGCTTTCTATACAGTAAGGCATACATGCACTAACACAACCAAATAATACTATAAAACACACAAATATCTATACTATATATACTATGTTACACACGAATATGTAGCAACTCACTAAATCCATTTCCTGGACCCTTTAGTCTCCTTTTTTACATTGACTTTGATGGACGGGGCTTCGTTGGATTTCTTCTTGGCTACTGCAGTGAGACGCTCCCAAACAGGGATCTTCCGCTCTTTTTCCCTTTTGGCAGGGGCGGGTGAAGCGGGGGGCGTCAACATATTTGAGGCTGGCTGGATCGTTGATGCCACTGATCGCGCAGATATCATTTGCTTGTCTGGATGTGGTTCTCGCTTCCACAGTGATGAGATGCTTGTTCGCTTCTTTAATTCAGTTACGGGGTGATTTCGTGTGGGGACTTGGGTCTGCTGACCAACTCGATTGGTTTCTAGAGCCCCGATACCAATGATGCTGGGTGACTTTCGCAAGACTGACGGCGACGCCTTTGGAGGAGGGGCAGGCGTGCTGCGCCGCTTGTCTGCGGTACGAGGAGCGACAGGTTCAGTATTTTGGGCGACGCGGCTGGCCGGCGACATAGTTGGGTCCTTGATACGCTTGGTCGTGAATGAAGTCCGGCTAGTTGTACTCGCAGCAGATTTCGTGCCAGGTTCACTCACTACAGCCAAATCTGACTTGGATGCTTTCTTTCTCAATGAACCTGGTGAGGTGGCTGGAGTGGGTATTACATGTTTCTTCTGCTCCGCTTTGACACTCTTTTCGACAACTGCGTGCTCGGCCACGGTCGGCAGCGTCATCATGGATCGCTGTTTTGTCAGCTCTGCACGTTGCGCATTCGTCCCCACCGTGCTACGAGGTGCACTTCGGCTCGACTTTGAACGAGTTAACGCTGGCGATGTCCCGTTTGCTTCAACAGCAACTCGTCGCACCCCCTTCTTTACCTCTACCGCCAGCGTCCGCTCAACAGTTGATGACAGTGAGCGTCTAGCAGAGACTACTGTTTTACGTGTCGATACTGGCGTGCCAGGCGAGGAAGAGACTGACTCAATCTCCTCACCCTTTCCTGAAGTGGATGAAAGAGTGACAATTTCATCCTCGGCATTGCTCTCCTCCTCTCCCTTTTTAACATGAGATGGGCTTTCCACCCCTGCTTTAAAGACATCTATTATGGCTTCTTTAGTTTTTGCACTACATTCCAGGTAATGCGTTGCGCCGACGTTCTCAGCCATCTTCTGACCCTATACAATTGCCAGGCGTTAGCGGATCTGAATGGTCTTCGTGAATTTGAGCCGACTGACCTCTTCTGTTGTTACCATAATCTCCCCATTGATTTTCAGTCTGGCATTGGCCGCTCGATCATGTCTCAAATCGACCTTCGTAGCAACGAGAGCAAACGTGCAAGAGGGTGTGAAATATTTGATCTCGGGAAGCCACTTTGACAAAGGACGACAGTCAACGTTGAATGACAAGGTCCAGCAAAGCGATCAATGCTGCCATACTTTCTCCTCTATATCCCTAAAACTCCTCCTTTCATCGACAGCAAAGCAAACAAGAAATCCCTGGACGCCCTCATATGAGAAGGGTCGGAGCCGATCGAAAGCTGGGGCTCCAGCAGTGTCACATATTAAAACACTGCCAAATTCGGGACTATGCCACGAGTAAGTATCTAAACTAACTGAGTCAGCAGTGGCCTGGACAAGCTTTCGGCTGCATGTATGCCACATACCTTCGAACGTCGGTCTGTAGCTTAGTGGAAAATCATTGTGCAGAAACACCTGGACAAGCGCTGACTTCCCTACACCTTCATTTCCTACAAGCGCTATTTTTCTGGGCATACTTGGAAGGGGCGAGGCAGGAGTCATCGTTCTTCCTACGCCCATCAGAGGTTGTCCAAGTTCCTTTGCAAACGTCAGGCGGAAATATGGGAATACTCACGTGATGATACCAAATTCAAATAATTTCAGTAATACAGTTTGCTTGTTTGTAGATTCAACCATTGAATATAGATATCAGCAGCTGGACATTAGCAATTCCATCATGAGTTTTCAGGCTTTGGTCGTTAATTATTTACTGTATCTATAGTTATAGTACTTTTGTACATGCCGGGATCGGTGAGCCAAGTTTGCAATGTTGATTAAAATTTCCTGGCACGAAAGCTTCCTTTCCCAAGCGAATAGCATGCTCTTCACATCAACATGTGTCAATATCTGGGTATAATTATGTTATCAATTGACGCTGCACAGATGTGCAATGCTCAGGGCAAATACTTACGCATGCATGTGCTCCTGAAAGCGCTCCTGTGGCATGGCACCGTGCTTGGAAAACCAAATGCCACATGCGTTGCAAAGTGTGTGCTTCCCCTTCGGTCCTCTACGTAGTGTTGGAGTGTACATTCCGGAAAGTCCGCACCAGAGACAACGCCAGCTTGCGCGGAAATCTACATTACCGGAACGACAAAATATGGTTGGAATCGTTTGAAAGCCAAGATTGCGTCGTACAAAGGCCAGTGCCGTCGCACAATCAATAGGCAATACAATAGGTAACGCAGGAGCCAGTAGAGATGTATTTTATTTATCCCCCCGCAACCAACAACTCACCAGTCGAGTTTCTCCGCGGAGAGCCTTCAGTGAGCTGCCGCTTCTGTTTGTCTATCTCATCTATGTTGCATTGCATCATTTGCAGCTGCTTTGCAAAGTACATATGGTCGTTAATAAACTGATTCTGCTTTGCTTTGATGGGTGATTTGCGTGGAGTGTTCTGCGTAGGGCCATATGCTGCTGGTGTGAATCGCGTCTCGATTGGGGGGACACTTGGCGTGGCTAGTGCAAGAATGCTTGCACCCAGCGAATCTGAAGTAGTGACAGTACCGGACGTCGCCGTTAGAGGGACAGCTGGTGGCACATGATTTTCTATCGCAGATTGTGCCGTTCCGGGGTGTAAAGGTTGACTTCCATTGGTGCGGACAGATGGAGTGGAAGGAAGAGCGAAAGAGTAGGTAATGTATTGCTGCGTGGGTGGTGGCTGGTGAGGAGGAGGATCCATCGCAGGCTGATAGGTACGGTGAGAGGTCCTTGTGTTGCTATAGGGTGTAAGAGCGGATCGTGTACTCCGATCGCGATAAACTGGCGGTGTTTCATGACGTTGGTATGATGCGGCAGTTCGACCCATTTGTCTGTTTTGTCGACGCAAGCGGCTGTAATGGTGTAAAGGATAACTTAGTCGAGCTTTTACCACGCAAGGCGATATGAAAGGCAATTGTCGCATACCGGGTGCTCCTCTCTCTCTCTCGCATGATTCGCTCGATCTCCTGCTCGGTCAACTCCCTGAGCTCCGGTTCCCAATCATCTTCAATATTCTCTGGTCGGAAGGGTCGTCCACGCATTGGGGGAGCAGGTGTGGCATCATCCCAATTCATCCTCGCCAAACAGACTTGTTCCCGTATGGCATGCGCGATCACTGGAACAAATTCACCACCAACTCCTAAATCCGCCGCTAATTGTTTCGCAAACTCTTCTGGCGTTATAGACGAGGTTGAAAATACCGGCCACTCAAATTGATCTCTCAAATGCAATGTTCCCACATGCAGGTCAAGCTGGAATTCGCAAGAGACGGGAATAGGAAACACCAATTGTCAAGATACTGCTTCCAAATACTTGCTCGCGATAAACTCGGCTGCTACCTTTATGATAATCCTGATTTCTCCATAATCTGTCTCATCCGCTTCATCATCCTTTATTCGGGGCTTCCCATCAGCGGTCGGATCCTCTTCCACCGCTGCACCATAATTTTGCACCTGTCTCCGAATTTCTTCCGCAATGAGAGGGACGAATTGCAGTGCGTATGGTGTATCAAAATCATCTGCAAGCAGCTGCGCGAATTGCTCTGGGGTGATTAATGTTTCTATTGCAACCAACGAATTCGAGCGAGAGAAACAACGACAAATAAAAAAATAGAAGAACACGTTGAGCATATCGTTAGGAAACATGGCCATCCATGGGAGAGATTACCATTCAAGTTCCACGTAAACTGGTCTCGTAGTTTGACTCCCTCAACCTCGAGATCAAGTCGGATAGGCACCAACTGAACTGTACGTTCGGCGACGTCTTGCAATTGTTGCTTGTTGCTGTTAGCGAGGAGCAAGAAAACATCATGTTTAGTCAAGTGATCTTGAGCTACCTATATAGGACCCGGGAGCGGGCTCCACTGTAATTCTGGTGCTTCCCAGCCAACCTCGACGCTAGCGCTTGTTCCAGCGTGCGCGTTTCGTACTCTCGCGAAAAACAAAATACTCACTAATAGTAGTGTCGAGTTCCACTTGCCCTGGCACGCTTATCAGATTTGTATTTGAAGTCCCCAAGGTCCCGTCGCGGTCGTGGAGGAGCAAGTTCCTCATCTTCAATGAGATCGGAATCGACATACGCAGACTGGGAGTAAATGTTGCTTCCCATTGTGGACTAAATAAGTTACCGATGACGGCTGGTAGGCGGTGCAGCCACGGTGCAAACCGAAGGTTTTTGCAGCTGCTTGCTCGGTCGCTGGATAGGAAAGCGAAAGTTCGTGCCTGGCCCAACAATCATCTCTTCGAGGACGAGGTGGCTTAGTATATACCCGCCGAATGCAGTGTGGATTGATGGGACACATTCCAACCGTCTGCAAATACGAGCGCCGCGAACAGTCGAACAGTGCCGGTTGGTCTTTCGTTACTGGACCTTTTGCCACTTTTTCATCATTCAGATGCCAAGCTGTGCCAAAAGTAGGCTTTCATGCAAGGCTATTCATAATCCATATGATGCCGCTCTTCTTCCACCAATACGTGCTGCATTCTTGAAGGTGAATGCAACCTTGACGGATGGTAAAGTTCTAGAGGACTCTCACAGCAGTTATCTTTTAAAGTCCTCCAAACATTGCTTTGCTTCTCAAAGATGACAGAGTTCTCGAGAGCGTTCATTGCATTCCTGGCACTCAGATATCACAGTGCGATCTTTACAGTATTGACGGGGCTTTGAAGTGAACATTAAATCAATTTTTCTCGGTTCCAACCATTGTCCATATATGCGACTTACTGCCACTATTGTCACAGCATTCCTAGCAATGCGGCCACTGTTCTTTGTCGTCAGCCAAAAACCTACAAGACAACTGCCATCATTCTCCCGACAATGCTTCTCAAATCGCTTCATATCTTCCTCACGTATTTGTGGAGCACGGAAGAATCATTACCAAACACTAGATGTCCCACCAAGTGCCGATAAAAAGGCGCTCAAAGCTCAGTTTTACAAGTTGTCGATGAGGTGAGCTTGGAAGAGCGGGTCGATGTCCCGTATCCGCTTCATATTCAAGTCTTACCCTCCGCTTTGCAGATACCACCCGGATAAGAATCCCGGAGATGAAGAGGCGAGCGCAAAGTTTATCGAAATCAACGAAGCTTATTCCACACTGAATGACGACTTCAAACGCCGAGAGTATGACCGAACCATGGAAGTGCTCGACTCAAAAGCCTCCCCATTCACCCATAACCGCACTGGTCCTCGACGTACTGTTCGCCCTTATGAATCCCGCGACCACATCAAACCAGACGATTGGATACTCTATCGCCGCCCACAACGATCGTCACGTCCAATATATGATTTTGGTAAACACGAGCAAGAACACTACGGCCGAGCAGCGGAGAAGAGAGAGCATACACGCCAGGCTAGACTCTTCAAGACACTTTACTTTAGGAAATTACAGGAGGCTGAAAGGATGGAGTCACGGATGATGTATGTTTGTGCATTGGTTGGGTTTGGAGTATTCTTCTTGTTTCAATCCGGCCTTATACAGCTCATCTTTCTGGATGATGATGGCTTGGACGAAGATTTGGCCGAGATTTATCGGATCAGTAAGGCCATGGGCCGAAACAGAGAGAAAGACTGATCTTGCATCGCTTCCAGTCTCCGCTGTGCTAGCTTGAAGTTTATGCACCCTAACTAGATTATAGCCTTGGATGTGATTTAATATCTTAAGTTATGTTTTTTCCTGATACTCGCTATTATTTTTGGGGTACATTGTCCATGCACTGTATGATCAACAATCACCAATATAAACAGACATCACGTGGACATAATTTTGGAATGTTCAGGCAGCACTGTCCACCTAGATCGTGCGTAATGTTTGCCATCCATCTGCCGAAATCACGCACATCTGGAATCTATCAGCAGCACTTGAATAACCTTCGCCATATATTGCGAACTGCTCTTTCTGACTTGCAAGGAGACCCAGAAAAGAATGCAGAACAGTATTCATTGGCCTATGACACTGCCAAAGTCCTGTTAGAACGCCCTTCCATCCAAGGACGTAAAGATGAAAATGGTTCTTCTTCAGCCTTTGAGCTCATGTGGAAAGTTGGGGCAGAGCTGCTTCGCTCTGTCGCCCCTTACAGAGCACAACTGGAGGCCGAGGAAGGCGAGCACAATGGCCTTCTCCTTCAAGGTGACGGCTATCCCCACATACTTATGCAAGTCGATGAAGATAAAAGGGACGAAGCAGTTAGAGCCGCAAAGAAGCTTCTGAGATTCTTGGCGCAAATGAGCGGTATCGACGCCAAATTGGTAAATACTGTTCTCCTTGACGCAGGGAGTTTGGAGATAGATTCGAATATCGCTTCTAGGACCCAGAGCTACTTCTCGAAATGACTCTATATCACATGCGCTTTGGGATGTTCGAGGAAGCGTACAATCGCCTCCAAGGGTACGCAGCACCCTTGTGTGTCTGGCATAATAAGGACAGATCTAACACATGCATTTCGGCAGATATATATCTACGTACCCATATAACGAGAATGCCGTCCTAATTGGATATGCAGGAGTCCTATCTTATATACTCTGGCGTCGAGAAGCTGTCCGATTGCAAAGTGAGCGTGACATCGATACCCACTGGAGCAGTAGCCAATGGGAAAATCAGTGGGACCATAGTCAATCGAGCGGGAACGAGTGGTCACAAAATCGTTCAGAGGAAAAGACAGGAGACCTCTCAACAGCTCAAGGTCGGTTGCAGGTGCCTTTGTATAGCAGTTAAACGTTATGGCTCACCGTCTACGGCAGAGGGCGACCTTGCATCACGATTCTATTCTCAGGGATTACAACATTTCGAAGTATCATTATTCATAGACAATACGAGCGACATGTTTCTTTTCTATTACGTTAAGGTAGGCTCCTGTGACACCGGACTTTACGTGTTTGGGGGCCCAGTGTACCCACTCTCGTCTTGTAGCTTCTTCTTGCGGCTGACGACCACCACGCAGCAACCCAGAAACTGACTCAGTTCATTCAAAACAACCCAGAGCATCCGAATGGATACCGGTACTCTGCCGTCTTCGATAAAGTGAAGCATTTTTTTGTGAACTAACTTTGACCGTCTTCCCCGAAAAGTTATCTACTGCAGTTGCATCTCAAGAACTGCAGAATGCCTTCTGAGTGGATTCCGTTAGCGTACAAGTTAATGCAGCTAGATCCAGTCTGTGATCAGCGAATTGCCCTTGAGCCACTCATACGTCACCACGAAGCGGCAGCAGGTACGACCCAAGGTTCTCATTCATTACCTCAATAAATCTCATTCCATAATCTCATCCACACAGATCCCAATGCAGCGATTTCTTCGCATATAATGGTGGAGGCGTCTCTTTCAGTGATCAATTTACTCGCGGATAGGCTAGACTATGAGAAGGGGAATGGATGGATGTGGGACAAGTTGGTCAAGCATATCCAATGCGTCCGGTACAGCAAAGTTCTCAAAGAGCCATTTCATTTTGACGCTGTTGCTAATTTTTATTACAGGCGACATGACGCGATGGCGGATGCCTTAGTATGGGAAGATCGGCGACATTGGTGGCCAAGATTCCATTTTGTGTCATTGCCATCATCTCATGATCACTTAGAATCGGAACAACAAGGTACGCGCACGTCCCATCTATCGGCGACAGATAGTAGCTCACCTTGCTCTCTGTCAGCCTTGGTGGCGGTGAAGGCGGTTTGTGCTCTGTATATTTTCCCCGATGAATACGCACGCTTGTGTTGGCCTCAGCGATTCGGGCTGACGCCTGACACTCTGAGTGAGATTTCAATATCAATGCTGCGTGGTCATGGAATCCCGCTGGACCTTTTCTTTGGAGCCACGGGACGAACGTCACCGCTCTGCTTTCTCGGGAAATCGGCCCGGGCGGGAACGTGGACCGACCAGAGCAATACCGCAGACGTTGAAGATGTGGTCAATTTGCTAATAGCAGGCGATCGTCTTCAAAATGATCATGGGCCTGGTGACGGACGCGATGGAGCGAGTTCAATCAATTCAAAGGATACCAGTATTCGTGATGATAATCACCTATCTCACGGAGCAGAGCAAAGCACATCATGTAATGATAAAGATGTCCATGACATCGTGAGAACTGAGAAAGAAGAATTGCTTTCCTTTGAAGGTGACCTCGTCCGGGTTCAGCATGATGCGAATCAGCATACTACGGTAGCCGAGGCCGCGGCATTCCCCGAACCGCTGGAAGGAAGTAGCTCCTCCCTGGAAGACTTAACTGCTGGATCTGGAAGAATTGGAGCTGATCTTGAACAGCCTCAAATGCCTGTTCGCGGGTCGAAACGAAAGCGCGACCGCGATCACAGCGATGATGATACTCATGACGTGTTAGATACAATTGTGGAGCCTAGGCAAATTGGGCTGGCCCGCGTCACATCTTCATCACCGTTATCTCCAGGAGCACCAAGAAAAAAGCGCGCCAAGAGAGTGAAAGGCTTCTAATTGAAGCGGTCGGCCGACATACATGATGCTACATAAACACACCAACGAGGCTGCTTTCATGGGTCTCCTATGCAACAATCTATCAGCTTCCGGACGCTTGTGCATGTTTAAACGACCCCATTTGAGCTGCTTGATACAATTCTGGCACAAGGGTTGCGGGCGTGGGCGGAGGACTTGGTCCTAACCAGTCGCACAGCCCGCTGGGATCGCCTGGGGTAACGGCTTTCTCCGCAATACCTTTAATAATTGTCCGAAAAGTCTGGGGAATGTTACTTTGCGATGTTGTTACTTTCCCCGGTTTATCACGAGGGCCGCTGATATTAGCTGTCGTTTTGGTACGGAGGTGGCAGCCGCGGTTTTTATGTGGATAGGAAGGAAGCGAGGATGAGGGATGCGCTTTACACGTGGTTCGGGGAGGTGTAACCTGGGAGCCACGGAAAGACGTTCGCTCTGGAGAGGGGAAGCGTTTGCCTATATGGGCCTTCTCCCCAGTCACGCGTACTGTGTTGTCATCCAACGGTCTATCCGACTGAACTGGTAGAGTGCATGCGAGTTGAGCGGTCAAGCATAGTAGCTCGGGACTACAATCCCGGACTTTCCCAAGGATTGAGTACAAACGAGAAAGCTTGACGTCAATATCAGTCTGAGATCGTATACCAGGATCAGACATGCGGATAATTTAAAAGCTGGGTTCGCAGCACAACGAGCAGGCTCACCTGTAGTCTCATCAATTTGTCCCGTACATCATCCGCCACTCGATCCCTTCCAGTTTTCCCAAAGCCGATCTTAAGCAGCGGATGCCACCGTTCGTCAGGAAGGATCCTCTGGTTAATTATCAATGTGGCGCGCTTTGCGGGGGTCTTTTTGGAAACATATCTATCCGGATGCACTTCAAAGTGTGCCTGATATCGCTCCGAATCTTCACAGCACCCACTGATCAGATCGTCAAAAATTACAGCCACCACCCCGCCGACACCCTGATCTGGATGGAAGCCCACTTTGATATTCCTTGCTGAATCATCAGATTTGGTGCTTCCCGACTCCACAAGATCGACACCGTGCATCATTGTCTCAAAGCGCGACTCTGTGAGGTCCTCGGAGGTGAAATGGAAAAATGGACGCGTTGGATGATGCAAAGTCAGGATGTACGCTGACCGTGCTTTGCGAAAGATAGTGAGAATGTACCGCTCGGCTTCTGGCTTGAACTCGCCAATAGAACCCGTGTTGAACCATGTTGCATGACCGTCATCCTGCGAAGCTTGTGGCCACCTTTGCCCATGAACATATAAGGGCAGGGACTTGGCCTGGAGAGCTACACAATTTTTGTTATTCGTGAATAGATGCAGCGTGCCCTTAGATTGAATGGCATCCGTACCCTCTAGTTCATCATATCGCTTCTGGGTGGCGAGCACGAAAGCTTTTTTTCTGGACGGATCAGATAAGCTTTGGTGTTTGTCGGTTGGACCCAAGTAGTCCTGTACTGCCTGCATCCAATCAGGTGGTTGGTTCACTATCACCTCGTCAGAGTTGCATGTGTTATTAAGCAGGATGCTAGGCTCGTGACGGCTAATGACCTCTAGGGTCTGAATGAGGCAAGTGGTAACTTGATCATGATGTGCCTACAAGGCGATTTCTGTTATTATATAAAAAAAAAAAAAACCTTGTGTTCCGGTAACAGTTTACGAAAGGTCTACCCACCTTGAGGAGTAAGAAATCATTTTGCACAACTTCCTGCAGCTGCTCCCATTTTACGGCATTCAATTCCAGCTTCAGCAGCTGGACACGCCGGTATCCGCGTATAGTTTCGAAAAATGTGAGAACAGAAATTCGTTCCGACTTTATTGTATCCAACCTGGTTGTGAACCTCATGTATCATGCACTGCATGAGTTTCTCTTGCGTGCATATCGTATCAATTCTACGCATTCAGCTCACCTTTTTGGCTCCGCGACACAAGCATTGATCCGTTCCTTGAGCATACCTCCAAACTGCAAAAAAAGATCTTCCCCTCTCTCTGTAGCATCCCATCCAGCGCTTTTGGCCAAGGTCCGAAAGCTGAACGGCGTACACGAGTATGTCCATCGGGCAAATGGATCTTTCGTATCTACGAGGTTGATGATGTGTTGTTGAGGAAACGGGCCCGGTGTAAAGGAATTGACCGAGATTCGGAGGTGAATGCAGCCGGTAACAGTTTGTGCTACAAAGTTCTTCATCCAGGTTGACGACTGGACTACGGTGGTCATCATTAGCCACACCCCCACCTTCAAATATGTCTTCGTAGCATACCATCATCATCCGCCAGGCACAGAGCCTGTGGATCTCTTATTCGATCCCAATAGTTATTGAACGACTTTTCAGCATCCTTTTTGGTCACCCTACTAATCGGAACTTTGCGCGCAAACGACGGATATATGTGCGTGTGCAGAACACGACTCCGCGGTACGGTAGGCTTATGACCTATGGGGGGAACAAAGCCGGTTCCTAGATCATAACTTAGATCGTTCCTTCTTTTAGAACTGGAACTAGAAGCTGGTATTATAAATGGGTCTGGCGAAGGCGGTCGGAGCATGATGAGATATGACAAGTTGGGAGTGGTCTGCCTTAACATGTGAACTGGACGCGACGCGTATGCGCAGGCTTACGAAGAAGGACGTCCCACCCGCACTTTACGCATGTATTTCTTCTTGAAGCTGAACAGTTCTACGGCATATCAACCGCACAAGCAGCTTTCTGGTATTCTAATTGTCTGATTTCCATGCTTTTCGCGGGATGTTTACCGAGAGACGGCCGGATGTTGTCACAGATGTGGAGTCTTGTTTAAGGGAGATCGCGGGGCTTAGCATATCACGTAAGCCTGTTGGTCATCCAGAAGCTCATTATTACCACTCTGCTAGAATGCTTTTTACAGCTGAATCCAAGTGTCACCGATCTGTAGGATCAAGCACTTGTCTTAGGTTATAGGAAGAGTTCTGAGCATTTCCATCGGGACATGTCAAGTCAAGATGATTCAGAAGCGTTCCATCTTAAAAAGTATCTCGCGAAATCTCTTCATATATACCCTACTCGGGGCAAAAGTATATTAAATAACATCTTCTCCATGTTCTCTCATATCAGGAAGATTATACCAGGTCATATCGATGTCCATCCGACAGACAGCGCCATCGTTGTCCATTACACGGTGCAGGCCAGTATACTTGGGGAAAACGGTCAACCCGTAGTCGACGACCGGAAAACATTGCAGAAAATGTAGGCGGCACCCTTATTTCTTTCCAGACACTACCTATCATTCCTCTGATCATTGATGCTATTACATTTAGCGTTCGAATAAAGGCTCTCCATCCCGGATCGAATCTCAGCGCCCTAGCGCAAGAAGTTGTAGACAAATGCAAATTGATTAGTCCATCGAAAACGAGGGAGGTGGAACAATTATTGTATTATCTTCAGCAGAGACAAGGCGGTGACGATGAAGGGGGTGAGGATCTCAAACAAATGATAACTTTGACGGTTGTCGCGAACTAATAGTCTCCTCATGAAGGCATGGTTTCTGATAGAGAATGGCTTCGCCGACAACTCGAAAACCAAAAGAAACAGGAAGAGCCATTAAAGGTGGAAGAGCCAGAGGTGCGTGACTGCGGTACAATACGTAGGACAGCGTAAAATGACTTCATATTTAACTCACTCTGTGTTTCACCAGCTGGAAGCTCCGTCAATTGCAAACGTCGAGCAATACATCGAAGGTCTGTACGAGGATATCCCCGACAAAATGAAGTCTACTCGTTACGTACTGGAATTAGCCAGGCAACCGGAAAATCTGGAAGTCCTTGTCACGAACGGTACGCCACTTTAAAGTCTTATGAAACATTACAAACGTACTCACCGAGTCAAATTGAATACCGTATATACAGATGCTCTCATGAGCGCTCTCTCTCGTGTCCTTCGCGAAGACAACAGGAAAAGCACAGTACTCAATACGAACATTATCACGATCTTCTACTGTTTTTCTCAATTTCTTCAATACCATGGTGTTATCACCACCCATAAAGTCGGTGACATGTGCCTGAGAATCATTGAAATGGAAATGAAGAGGTTTGAAATGTGGGTAGGAGATTTGAAGACCGTCGAAGAGAAATGTGAGTCCAGGATAGAAAACCTACCAAATAAAGTCTACTTGGGGCTGATTTAGCAACTCTATAGGTGCGCGGAATCCGACAGATAAAGCACTAATAGTCGATGCGGAGCAGGAACATCGCAAGTTTCAAGCAATGCTACAAAAGCAAGATCAGCTGTTGTTTGGTAAACTTTCATCAGGGATTCGCTCCCTTTGTCATTAACCCCGCTGACATCTCACCAACTGTACATCAGTGTCCTTTCACCTCCTATTCAATCTCGCTCAAGACCTTACCATCGAGCCCAAAATGGTTAAAAGAGGTATTATCAAACTTCTTGTCACCGTGTTGGACCGGCAAACGCCCGAACTGTTGATTTTGGTGATCGGTTTCTTAAAACGGTTGAGCGTGATTCGGGAAAACAAAAATGAACTGGTTGCGGTATGCCTCTCTAGTCCAATTCTCTGCCTAGCTTGCTTCTTACAATTATGACACCAGATGGGTGACGAATTTCTCTCTAAAGTGGACCGGCTGATTCCGTGTGACCATCCTGTTAGTACCTATACCTTTTGTATTTTCTCCCGTCCAGGATATACAAATATCAACCTAACCTTGCCTCAGGTGGTTCAAGAACTTGCGCTCCGCCTCATATTCAATTTGAGCCATGATGCCGCTTTCAGATCCCTCCTTCTACGAAAGAACTTTCTACCAAAAATCGTCGCCCTGCTCCATTCCTCCGTCACAAGTGGTGCCTCTAAAAACATCCCAGAACTGGTGTTAGAGGTCCTCTATATGATGAGCTTGGATGACAAAGGGCGAGTCGGACTCGCCGGAGTAGATGCGGCAAGTTTGGTATGTCCACTGTGAACCTCGGCTTCGATTGTCAAGCCAATGCGTAATGCCGAATTTGGGTTTTGGTAGCTTCTACGCTTAATTCTCTCCCAACCTTTAACACCCATATCTTCCTCCCAATCTCCCGAACGTCTTGCGCTCATGGCCCTTGGCGTTAACCTATCAATGCACCCTCGCACCGTACCACCCCTACTGGCGGACAATAGCTTGAAATTTTTGATGAAGCGGGTAATGAAGACGAAGGACCCACTACTCATAAAGATGCTGCGAGGAGTCGCTGGCTGTGGGGATTCGGGCAGGATGTCCTTTTTGGTGAGTATGCATATTTCGCCGGAAGGGCCGCCTTGTTGTAACCTCTTCATATCGGTATGACACAGGACTACATTGACGACATAATGCATCTTCTTTTGAAAAACGCAAACCATGATGAAGTCTTGGTTGAGGTTACTGGCCTACTGGCTGCCCTCAGTATCCCAGATTTTGACTTTGCAAAACTAGCAGAAACGTATAATCTCCTCGATTTTATATCTGGGAAACTCCAAAGATCAATCGCGGCGGTTACAGCGGCCACAAGCGGGAACGGCGGGATTTCTGCTGCAGGAGGTGGCGGAACAGGCGGCGGGTTGGCAGAGGATGACGACGTCACTTTGGAAATCGTAATTTTGCTTGGGACCATGGCTAATGATGAAAACATTGGGCCAATGGTCGCGAGAACAGGCATCTTGCCATTGCTCATGGAATTAATGATTGGTAAGACGGGTTGCAATTCACCACCACAGTAACCACAGAGTGTCTTTCTCAACCATACGCATCCATTGGCATGCTCCATATTCAGCAAAGGAAGATGATGACGAAATGATCCTCCAAATCATCTACTGTGCATATCAATTCTTGCTGTTAGATAGCACAAGAACGATGTTGATAAACAAAACACGTAAGACCTTCTGCATTCTGCGAAGACCACCAACGCAAGAAAGAATTATCACTTACACATGATGACCCGCAGAGCTCGTTTCATACCTCATCGACCTGCTTTACGACAGAAATGTTGAGATTCGGAAAATGTGTGATGTGTGTTTGGATCTCATCTGCGTAAGCCCAGTCCTTGTTTCATGTTGCGATGTAACTGTAACCCTTGGCCCACATATCAAATGCATAGGAAACTAACACCGAGTATCTGTCAAAAATTCGACATCAAAAATTTCATTATCACAATTCTGAATGGTTACATCGTATTGCCCAGTCAACCGCATCAGCATCAAGTGTTAATATGTACACAGTGGAAGATGACGCAGTAGGAATGGGATATCAGAAATATGCCGGGGCCGGAAGGCGCGGGGCCATCGTTGATGTGAATGACGCGTGGAGTGATAGCGAGAGCGAAGACGAAAGCGATGGTGATGATTTTGGCCGGGGTATGGTAGTAGGCGGGAACAGTGCGCTATTAGACGGCTTTTGATTTGTGCGCGGGTCGCAAGGTCAATACCGTCAGCTTTTGCACGTCCGCGGGCAAAATGGATGAAGTCTGAAACTAAACAGCGCTGATGTTAGCTGGATACGGCTGTCTCCGTTCAAACACGATCAAAGACTTCGAATATACCTCACTATGACTACCGCTTCATCACTGCTCGTCTGCCTAAACATTGCATTTGTTCCCTCAAAAGTTGTATCCAAGTGCCTTCCTTGTCTCCTTAGACATTCCTTCCAATATAGGCCGTTCCCACAAGTCAATCGCAGTACTGGCTACCGCATCCATATCTACATATCGGTCAAGCTGGTAACAATACTGCATTAACATACGCAGATCCTAGAACTATTGGTTTTTTGCTCTGACTAACCTGCTGCAGAAGTTTCATCAATTCGGTACTGCTCCGCGTGGTCTCAATTTTACGTTTGCAGGCCAATAGCAGACTTAAACCAAGGTAGGGAAGAATAGCGGGGGCACCCCCTAATAGAATATCCCATATTCTGTTGAGGTAGACAGAGATTCCGTGTAAGGATCAGGTAGTTTAGCAACGGTAGTACCCGCTAATTACCCCTCTAGACAATCTGGCGGGAGCACACTTGTAAAGTACGTTCGAAACCAGCTGTTCCATTTTGAAAAGTTGTTATTGCACCGAGACTGTCCAACTGATCGCTTGAACACTTGCCTGTGACAGTAATGGTCAAGCCCCGATCCGAATGAAAGAATGTGATCAAGGAGCCGTTCATTTTGAGTTCTTAGCAGGTTTGTGAGGACACTGATTTCAGTCCGGATCCTTTCCTGGGTTATGAATAGATCAGAAGCCATACGAGAGGACTTGGAGAAAACGTGTGTACGCACCTCCTCATGTCCATCCTTCTCATTAATATCTTCCAGGACGCTAATGTGAAATCTCCGAACGAAGCCATCAAACAACCAGAAAGCATCAATTTCATTGCCATCACAGATTTCTAACATGGTATTTGCAATGCCATTTAGGTGAGACGAATTACCGAAGGAGGACGCAGAAAACCCCTTTTTCAACAATTGAGAAGCGTCAAAGGTGGATGGCGGCGAAGCTCTTGGACGTAAAAATACCTCGGCAAGCTTATGCGGTGGTCGGGTATCGGATTGCACTAGCAGCATGCCAACCATGACATTTGGTGTTGACTCTTTGTCACTGTAACAAGTGCAATTATTAGAGATATATTACACGCCAAATGAGATGTATGTTTGATGCGCTTCCCATACCGTCCACCCAGATATTTGACACATTCCTTCAGGTCTCGATACTGTTCCGCTCTTTGCTCTTCAACAAATGGCCAGACATCTTTAGACAAGGGAAGGGTGCCTAAAATAACCTTCCACACCAGAGGTCGATATGCATGAGGTATGCGGACCCAAAGGCATAATTTATTTAAGCGCTCGACATCTAAAGAAGATTACTCAGGTTAACCTACGAACTGAATTGCGTAGTTCTTACATACCAAGGATATCCCCTTGAAGGGCATTTTCAAGTGATGGCTTGACTTCAACAACCTGTACACCAAGTGATGAATAGTACGCTTTCCGAAAGTTCGCACTCATCCCAGCTCAGGATGCGGGAACAGGAACCGCAAGCACCATTTTCAATGACCAATTGCGGTCATGTGACATTATGAAAATAAACAAACGATTGCCGAACACAAGGCGAGAGTGTGAGCATCAGTTTGCCTATTCCTTCAAGATATTTTCTTTGATCATAAAAAGCTATGATCCTTTCCGTCTGATAACGTTCTTTGAGCTTGACATACTCATCAGAATTGCTTCTTGTAATGAGAGTGCGGGAAACTATTGTGCATCAAGTATCGCTGTCCCACCACCTTAACATGTGGAGCAAATGCGTGCTAATATAAGCATGCCAGTTTGTTTGCGTATCAAGGTCTACTGGGCAAAGATAATCCGTCGAACCTGCAACAAGTTGGACAAGTACGAAGCTTCTTTAAACAAAAGTTATCTTAGTCATGACTCACACAATTGCCATGGAAACATGGATATATGTCTGACGTTTCCGCGCTTAACATGCCTGAGGTGCAGTTCTACAGGATAGCAATGTCTCCTCAGGCACCTCCGCCATCGTGCCCGGTAGACCATTCGTCGTCCACGCCTCCGCCATCGGCTGAACCACCCATGTCATGCCCCATAGATCACTCAAAAGCAAGCACTCCTCAACAACCGCAACCACACCCTACCAATAATCCCCTTGCAGGACTGACCGCCGACTCATGTCCTTACTCTGCGGAACGTCAGGAACAAGAGCTAATAGCCGAAAGTAATAACATGCCACCTCCTTCGCAGTTACCGGCACAGGACCAGAAGCAGCTCTTGAGCACTGAGAGAGAACATAGCACTATTCCTATGGGTGGACGGTTTGACGGAAAGAATTGGGTCTATCCTAGTGAACAGGTAAGAAACTGCTTTATAAAAGGGTAGCAACTGGCTTGCCGTAGTTCGTTACTCACGGTCCATCTGCGCAGATGTTTTTCAACGCCATGCGTCGCAAAAATTGGCAACCATCAGAGCAAGACATGTCCGTCGTTGTTCCCATCCATAATGCCGTTAATGAGCAATGCTGGCGCAAAATACTGGAGTGGGAAGCTCTTTACAAATCGTCATGCGGACAACCAAAGTTATTGAAATTCCAAGGAAAACCGAAAGATTATACGCCGAAAGCACGCATCCGATCGTTGTTGGGCTACACGCTTCCATTTGACAGGCACGATTGGACCATCGATAGATGTGGGAAGACCGTAACATATGTTATCGACTTTTATTCAGGTGCACCAGCGAAGGATGGGGGAGTCAGCTTTTATTTAGACGTCAGACCAAAGCTAACGGTGGACGGCGTGAAGGACAGAATAAAAATGTGGTGGTCGACCGGGTCCGGATTGTGGTAAACATTCTTTTTCTGATACATAATATATTTAATTTGTGTCCTGTGCACCCATATCATGATTTGTTCTTGGCATTTAATGCTGGGTGTGGACTCGGTCGGTGAGTGTCGACCGCCGGTACATCAACCGTAAATCGTTCTTCTATACATCCATACGCTTTCGGAGTAAGTTTGACCACTGCATGCAGGGGAATCTTGACGTATGGCAACTCATCCAGCGAATAGTTGAGAAAGTATGCATAGATTGCTCGGAGGACAGCTTGATGACCCACAATCAATATGGAATGATCGCGCTCATGATGACGTTCCAATTCCATAATGACGGGCTCCAGGCGCTGTACGAGATCTCGGTAGCTCTCGCCGCCATGGTATCGGTAGTTGACTTAATTTACGATCAGTCACAACCCCCAATTCCAATGGTTACATGTCACCTACATTTGTCCTGATCTCTCTCACTAAAGTCTTGTGGATACTTCTCTGCAATTTCCTCATATGTCAGCTGATCGCATACACCAGAATCCAATTCATCCAATTGCTTCCACTGTATTTGCGTATACGGAAGATACGCTGCTGTCTGAATGGTTCGCTTCAAAGTAGACGTCCATACGGTTAATTGCGTTTCACCTCCTAAATTTTCGGTGATCAGGGTCGGTAGCTTTCTTGCAAAATCCTGCCCACGTGGACTTAGGTCTGCATCCCCTCCGATCCTTCCGGCAACGTTGAAAAGTGATTCGCCATGCCGCGTAAAGTAGAAGCATTTCGGGGTAATGTTTAAGTTCATTAAGAAGTACACGATGCGAGACTGGAGGTAGCCTTTGACTTTATTGACGATGACTTGGTCACCAACATTGATAACTTTGACGAACGGGATTTGGCAATTGCATTCAGCGGGATCAAGCGTTTCGTAGTACTCGGAATAGTGAGAAATACGGCGAACAAAGTCTTCAACGGCTTTGTCAGGATCCATGCCTGCGTAATCTGGAGATGAAAGTTTCACCTTTGCAGATGGACCCATTAGAATGTCTCTGCTAGCACAACACGTGAACCAGACCCACCTCTTTGATATTGGCCAAAATGATGTCGTCCTTATCACATATACTTTCAATAAACATGACTTGAATTCCATTCTCTACACACTTTTCATAAATCCCGCGTCGCCTCTCGGCCGTTGAATTAGTTGCATCATATACAGCTACCCATCCGGGCCCTGCCCTTCCTACTCCGGTGACGGATTCAGTTTTAAGGGATCGATTGGGCGCAGGTGATATGGGGCTGTTTGTTAACACTGCTCCACTAGCAGGTGCGTCTCCGGCTCTGTCAAACCATAACAGCATATCTTCCAACGCTCGTGAGGCCACCTCCTTTCGCATCGCTACACTTTCGGGATTAGAAGGGTCGAAGAAATCGTGGGGTTGTACTGCTCCAACTGCGTTTCGCCGGTAGTTTCCTACGTTGAAAATGCGGGAATGGTGTCCGAGCCATGCCAGGTATCGGGCGATCTTACGTGCGACGTACGTTTTGCCTCTTGCCGGCAGACCAACCATCACGCATGCGACCTTGGTCGCTGCCGGATGGGGTTTGTGCGGAGGCGTCATGCTGCAACGCGTGACAGGTCCGCCTGAGTTAATGTAGCTGATAATTGGTCGATTACCAGGTCTGACACTGATGGCAACGGTGCAAGTAACCCAACGAGTCTGGCACTGTCATCGCAAGGATCACGTGCATAGGTGGTTTAGCCTCGTGTGAAGTTTATTTATTGACTTTGGCAATGTTATCGCAGATGGATCGAGGCAAGGACATTGCCGTGCTCAAGCTGCCTTGCAAGCTTATCAATAAATCCATTAGTATGGCCACCCCTCCTCTCCTCGTGCTTGCCTATGAATATTATTGACACGACTATTCGCGGCACAACGCGAGCAAGAATGTACGTGGCGTTGACCTTCTTATCGTAAAAGTGAACTGGTTTGCCTTTTGACCGCGGTGTACTTGCAGTTGACTTTTTGAAGTAAGCTGTCATGAGATTTGAATAGTATCCTCCGGATAGCCGATCGTTGCGTGTAGGATTATTGCCACTTGTCGCGGGAAGCAGTTCTTGCTGCAGGATAGATATCATATTCGGCCAATGCTCCATCGGAGGGTCCTGAACGGCGTACATCACTACTTTGCTGACGCATCCGATAATAAACAAGTAACAAATATTTCATTTCAATGAATCTTACCGATGGAACACTGCATATAGCAGGAAAAGATTGTATTCCAGTCAGCTGCTCATTCGTGGTCCGCTTTGAGCATGTGTAACCCTCAGCGCAAAACGGAATATTTGGTCGAATCAAGTATATGAGGGAAATATTGAAAGCACTAGTATGTCGTCGATAGTGCGCCAATCTAATTTGGGCGTTAGGAAGGTCATAAATCTTCCACAAGAATTCAATTTAATGCTTACAAATGCAAAGCGGGTCCCACCGCATCGGAGTTTCCATCTGCGATCGGCGAAAGAGGGACTAGATGGACTCGTTTTTCCGTAATAATTCGATGAAAGAATATGGCGATCTTATTTGCAACAGAGAAGGCGAATCTTCTCATGAAGGAAAGGAGTTCCCTGCTGCAATTCAGTTTCTTGTCACCGGATGCATGATTTCCCTTTAGCTATCAATTTTCAAGAGTCATCGGATCAATTCGGATCTCTATGATCACAACAGGAGTATATAACATGGTCTCACGTTTCCAATAAGGATGGACTCCCATTTGCGAAGACTGTCGTGCGCCACAAAAAGATGAAATGAAGCGTCCTTGAACGAATACTGTTCGATAGCCAGTTCGGCTAAGAGTAGGTGGAGCATAGATCGCACTTCCAACCTGAACTCGACAACATCAGCTTGATGAAAATGAAGAAAGATCTCCATTATCTGCTCACCCGAGTACATGTACGGACTGCCCCAACGTGCGCACCATGAAAGGAAGATCCAATTTGCTGATGACGTTTACATCGGCTGCAAGACGTTCACATGTTCCTTCATCAAGAAAATCGAATGAGCTGAGGGTTTGATAACTATGAGAAAGAGATTAATCGTCAACCACACGCCACCAAAATGCAGACAGCTGGACGTACACTTTGACCATCTTCTCACGGACATCGCACCACATGGTCAAACTTTGGAGGACAGCTGTCGGTGGAAGATTCACATTGTTTTCCATGCTCTGCAGCTGGCTTATCGCTAGAGTCACTTCATGGTAAGCTGCTTCCAGATTCTAAGATGTGTTACTTCTCAGATCAGAGAGTTCATTTTATGAGCCACTTATGTTGTCTTTCCTCCACGTACATCACGTCGGAATAGTCTTTGTCGCAAGAAGCTGAATGCGACATATGCTTGCTCGTACGCAGCCAAAGAAGTTATAATTCGCAGTACCCCCGGCTCCTTCAGAACTTTCCCGTCAATAAGTGTCTACAGCACATCGCAGACCTCCTAGCTGGTTTACCGGGATCTGGGAGGTGACGCCAGACAGTCTTGATTGATCTAGCTTGATGATAGCATCGATGGCGGTTTGCAGATCCATGGCTGGCAGTCATAATCTTATCCGATGGCCATATTTCGTCATACCACTGTCTCCCCCAAAAGAGTGTCCATCGTGCGCGGGATGACAGGTACAGGTAAGCATTCGCTCGCATTGCGTCTTCGCACTTCATGTCACGTGATGAGAACCTCGCATCACGGGGACATCCACGTCATAGGCCTGCTGGGGGTGTTGGTGCGGATCTTACACATGTAAACTAATTCTACCTGTACCTGTGGTATATACGTTTGCACCTGGTTTGGAATTTGCGGAGGGTTGCAGATAGAGTTTGACTGGACGTGGATCAACAAGGATGGAGAAAACAGTTGCTCATGAATCACCTGTGCATGTGCGTAAGCACATGCACTTCCCAATCACAATGTAAGGAGATGCCGCTAGCAAGGTGGCTGCAGTCCATTTTCCTTTTCCTTTACCTTTGATCACCTTCAAGGTACTCGGTCCATTCTAACGTAGCGTCTTCCTTCCGCATGTAGTCGGGATGAGAACCTTCGACATACTCTCGCAGGAGCCGCAGCAGGATTGGTATCCTCTGTCCTTGTATGTAAGTGGAGCTGTGATTACATTGATAAATGTAATAAGTAGTTTTTAATCTTGATGGTGCGTAGGTCCACTTGACGTTCTGAAAATTCGGCTACAGAATCAAATCGTGAAGCCCGGACAAATAGCAAAGTATCGGGGCACCATATCCGGATTGGAAATAATATGGCGGGAAGAAGGTTTACGTGGCCTATTTCGGGGATTGGGCGCAACAACAGTGGCGTACATTGCAGATCGAGCAATATGGTTTGCATCGTACAATCGAATAAAGGAGCAATTGGCGAAGGTTGCAGGTGGGTAACCTTGGTGTTCGTGTTTTTTCAGCATGGTTCTACATTGTCTATTAATTAGGCCGGTCGCCCGATGATGCTGGTACCATTGTACATCTGAATGCATCCGTCGCTGCGTCTTTGCTGACAATGGCCTTTGTTAACCCTCTTTGGGTCGTTCGGACGCGAATGATGGTATGGACAACCTGACACGATGTATAGAGTAGGAAACTCCTTAACGCTCCTAAATTGCATAGGTTCAGAGTAGTGTTGCGAATGAAAAGTCTCGGTGGCATTACACGTCTACTTGGAACGCCCTCAGCAGTATTGTCAAAGCGGAAGGGTTTGGAGCGTTGTACAAGGGCTTCACCCCATCTCTACTGGGCATCACTCATGTGGCAGTTCAGTTTCCACTCTATGAAAAGCTGAAGGTTCTCATGCGAGGTATATTTACAATCTCCACGCTTGATTTCTGTTCCGCGACTTGTTCAATTAAAACAATGGTTCGCAGAGTTTGAGAAGAAGAGAGGACCGCAGGAGAATGACTTGAGCGCCTTTAGTATCTTGGTCGCAAGTGCAGGATCAAAAATGGTCGCGAGTATAGCCACTTATCCTCATGAGGTAGATCGATGATGACGCCGATCAGGAAACTCTGGATGGAGCTAACGTGAAATTGTTGTGCGATTGTAGGTTCTCCGAACCAGATTACAAACCCAATCCGCACGGCGGCAGCTCACTCATATACCCGACAAAATATGCGAAGGGCCCAACTGTCCCCCACCCGCACCGCCACCCCCACCAAAGACTGGACCGAAATATCGCGGTCTGATACATGCAACTAAAGTGATATTGAAGGAGGAGGGGTGGCATGCATTTTATCGGGGTCTCGGGACAAATCTCATCCGAACGGTGCCAGCGTCGGCACTGTCTCTATGGACGTACGAAGTCTTGGTGCAGAAAATGGGTCATACAGATGAATCATGAGAGTTATAGACGTTCAACTTAGAGTTATTATCCGCAAAGATTTTGAATAGTGGAATATGTCACTCAAATATACCCATTACAAGTATAGGATAGGGACGCGCAGCACTTGCCGCGCTGTGTCAGCGCACGTCACGTGTTGCGCAACCCGCAACACTCGTTGGACGATCTTCCGACAATTGCAATTAAGACTTGCAACCTTTGAACAGTGCAATGTACACGCTGATCACTGGACTCTATAAGCAGTGGACACAAAAGGAAGAGTTCTACGTTATCATATTGGGGCTGGATAATGCCGGGAAAACGGTGAGTTTGAATGGCAGCTTATCCTACAAGTTCTGGACTTCAAAATAGTGAAACTCATCACTCTATCCAGACTCTTTTGGAGCGTATAAAGTCGATATATTTGGGGGTAGCTGGTCTTCCTCCAGAAAAGATCGCGCCGACCGTTGGTTTAAACAGTTGAGTTGTGTCCTCCTACAAGTCACATTCTAGGGTTGCTTCTCGAGCACCCCTAACCTTTCTTCTTTTTGCGGTGCGCTCCTGTACTCACCTAGTATAGTCGGAAAGGTTGAAATCAATAACACCCGCTTAAATTTTTGGGATCTGGGTGGACAGCGAGAACTTCACAGCATCTGGGAGAAATACTATTCCGAATGTCACGCCATTGTTTTTGTAGTTGACGCTACCGATAAGGAGAGGATTGAAGAGGTTAAGGAGACATTTGGTCGGTCTCTCTTCCCCTTTGCCGGTTTCTCTCAGTGAAGCTGTTACATTTTTCTGATATATCAAGCTTAGAGACCGTGATCACGAATGACACAGTCGAGGGTGTCCCAGTACTCATGCTTGCAAACAAGCAAGATGTCCCGTCAGCTCTAAAAGTGCACGAAATCAAAGAAATTTTCAACCCGATTGCTCTGCGACTTGGCGCAAGGGACAGCAAAGTACTGCCGGTGTCGGCTTTGAAGGGGTGGGTCTCTTCCCCGTTCCTGTTGCCTGCTTTGCCAAAGAGTCACATTTCTTCCATAGGGACGGCGTGCAGGAAGCAGTAGATTGGTTGTTTGTTCGCCTTCAGCGAAACAGAACAAATAGGCCGCCCATCTTCAGGAATTAAAGTAGTATATGATTATGGAATGGTCAGACCCTATACCATTATGATTTTATTTCTACGCTTTTTTCCTTTGGATTCAGTATTTACATTTTCCTCCTTTTGGCGGTAACAACCACCGCTTATCCCCTTCGTCTTCCCTTTTATACAATGGTGTCGTGCAATATCTTACAGAAAAATCCGATAAAATCCTTTACAGGCAGAACTCAAGGTGGGACGCAAAAACAGGCGCTACGAACGAGAATTCTTCGGTTGAATACTTCTTGACTACATTCGATGTCTTGGGATTTTGGTCAAGCACAAGCATCATCAGAGGTCTGGAGAGTTCCTTCAAAGCGTCTTCCATGTACCCAGATGAAGCGACGAGGTGCTGATTCTGCAATGAGATGACAGGGCATCAGTTTAAGAGTAAGGAGCGGCACGCTGTATCTATGGTCACAGTGTATGTTACATACCCACGGGTCGTCATTCATCACTTTACGAGCTGTGTAGTTGGCCACGGCTGCAAGCTGAGAAGGCTTAACTCTCACAAACTTCTGGTCGTACTGTGCAACTTCAACCAAGTATTTGGCTGTTTGGTGGTACTTTTTCTCAAAGCGTGTTTTTCCATTAATCTGCCGAAGAAATTGTAACGGAGTCGGATACGTGTAGACACCGACAACCTCTAGAATCTTGCTCTCCATCATCATAAACTCATTGGGCGTCCAAGTTGGAGCCATCGTGCCCATCAGCTTTTTATACGTCCATCCGGGGTTTTGTGAGTCACCCTTCGCCGCCAGCGAAAGAGTCGCCACAACGGCAAGAAGAAGTCCGCGATCATCCCACGTCATTTCGTAGTTACCGTAGGAGCGAACGTACTTCCATTTTGCAATGAAAAGATCAAACGTGCGGATTGCCGTAAACAAGACGTCAGGAGAGCATTTTAGGCCTGAGTGGATTGCAAATAAGGTGTTGATGGCTTTTGCCCGCTGCTGACAAGTGAATGGGCGCGGAGAGGCGACGTCAACATTGCACATTCGAACCTGAGATGGAAGCGGGGTAAGCATAAAGGAACTAGGACACCGTTTCTGTCCACATGCACATACTTCTGCTTCCCAGTCTGCTTTGGCGTGCTCTTCGGCGTATTCATCAAATCCGAAAAGATCATTGCTATCAATAACGGGAGGGTCTGAGATTCGGCGACCTAAAGATTCACGTTTCTGCTGTTGTGATATTGGAGCTTGATCGGGAGTTGGGGATTTCAAGCGAGCCTGGGCGACCGGAGCAGCCGGATGAGAGGTACGGTGACGGACGGGAGTTATGTCGGGACTGGTCTTGTTCTCGATGTCTTGGAGGGGTGAAGACAACTTCATTCGCTCAAGTTGTCCAGCTGGCGGAGACACAGACCAAGCGTCTATCATATCAAAGAGGGCTTTCTGCTTAAGCAGTTGGGCAGGGTGAGGTGACGAAGATGTGGTTTGAGGCGCCGCGAACGAGGAAACAGGGGCTTTGATGGGTGAAATTTCCATGGCGTCAGCGGAACGGACCTCCTCCTTCATCATCTCTCGCGTACTTGAACCATAGGTTTTCTTCATTGCGTTGACGGGCACAAAGTGTCCCGTCGGCAAAAAGTTGGTAGATGCACGCGAACCCTTACTAACGCCGTTTACGGGAGCCAAAATGCTCTTCGAGACAAGCTTTATTGGTACAGCACTTTCCTTGCTGAAGGTATCAATACGAGCAGAAGGGATGGTAGAATGGATGAAACCGATGTTCTCCTTCCCACTAAGGCCAGGCCGACAACTATTGGCTTGGTCACGAGTGTTACCCTTGGAAGATAGTGCACGACGAGCCACGGCGTTCCTCTCCTTTCCCTTTTCTTTTGCCGCACGGTACGCAGTAGAGATATTCTTGGGCTTGGGCGCCAGGACAGGTGCCGTGCTTTTCACATCGCTCTTGATCCTTTTAGCCTCTTGTCGTGAAGAAGGGCGTTCTGCTGGCCTCTTGACGCCATTATTGAGCTCCGCAGACTCAACGAGTACGCCAGCAGACTGCTTTCTAGACCACATTTTGGCGGTAGCCGCGGAAACATAACCTCTAGGTTGCTGGCCAGTTGTAGGGTGTGCTAAATCAACCCGCGTCTGTCATCGTCGGCTGTTAATTACTGACTTGGCAATTGAAGACTCGTGTGCATACTACTTGCCTTTGGGACAGGCGGCGCAAACAGCATTGCGCTCCAGATATGAATTTCACAGTTTGAAGGTAATAACAGAATGTCAACTTTTGCGATCTGCAAGGATTCGTGCCGCTTACAAAGAAGAGCGCGTTGGGGGGCATCCCAGCTGGGCCGGGGTTGTCCAATCAACATTGATTACCATATGCAACGTGACGGTGCCGTCCAGTTTTGTCAAACAGCTATCGCAGTCTGGGAACACTTTGCCCAGAGATCTTTCCCATTGACTATCTTGACTTGTAGCCTGCACCAGACCACTTTCAGGAAGCCTGCGCAAAGGAGACCGAGGATGGCGGCCAGAAGGCCCAAGGTGGCGATGAAAATCAGGCCTCCAGCAAAGAAGTCGGTAAGTTATTTGACCGCCCTCTTTCCCATTCTTGAAAATGAATGCCTTTCGAGCGGGTCAACACGGCTTATAATGGCCGTTGAAAGGACAGGTCGCGTGCTAGCTGAGAATAAGCTAATATATTGTTTTTGCTTTTTTGCTATTCAGAATGCCGAGACTCAATGGACAGAAACATGGGAACGGCTGTCGACAGCGATAAAAGAGATATACAAGAGAAATGCTGGGGTACTGAGCTTTGAGGAGCTGTATAGGTCGGCTGGGGCTGGAACTGGTCGATATTCCAAGCAAAGTATATAGGCTGACGATTTCTGCTTCTTTACCACAGAAATGCCTACAACATGGTTTTGAACAAGCAGGGCGATAAACTGTACAATGGTGTGCGAGACGTCGTGACAGAGCATCTTCAGCAGGTTGCAAGGGATTTTGTTGTTCCATCTTTTCCTCAAATGGCTCCTGGAGGCGGGATGACGGGGGGAACTGAATTCCTCAAAACGGTGAAGAACGTATGGGAAGATCACACCACGTGCATGTTGATGATTCGAGACATCTTGATGTATATGGTTGGTCAAGCAATCATGTCTAACTTCACCTACACAGGTGGACTCATTGAAGATGGCTTACTATAGGATCGTGTATATGTCAAGGCGGCGAACCTTGCTCCGGTGTACGATCTTGGCTTAGATTTGTTCCGGGACGTGGTGCAAAGGTCCCCAGACTACCCCATATCAAGGCACTTGATCGCTACATTGCTGTATCACATTCGATTAGAACGAGATGGCGAGGTCATTGATCGGCTAGTTCTGAAGAATATTATTGATATGCTCTTAGGACTCAGTGAACCAAGGGGTAAGTACCTTGCACTTGGATTATCATATACCTTGGAATTTGGAAAGCTAATGCATGTCGTAGGACCGACGCGCACACGTAACGACAAAACAGTGTACGTCACGGACTTTGAGGAGACGTTTTTGGAATCCAGTCGAGAGTTTTATCGGTTGGAAGGGCAAGTGTTCCTGCAGCAATGCGATGCCACAGAGTACCTTAAAAAGGTGAGTCGGTTTGCGCAGTCCGTAGTAAGCGGGCCTCCTCATGTGTCCGTTCAGGCTGAGCGGCGGCTACAAGAGGAGGAGCAACGTATAGCAAATTATCTGGCCTCAACCACAGAACCCAAAATAAGACAAGTTTTGGAGGAGGAGCTACTCCAGAGACATGTAAAGGCGGTGATTGAGGTTAGTGGTATGTTTCAGTCGCCGTACTTCTTAGTAGACTGACATGGTCCATCAGATGGAAAATTCGGGCTTAGTGGCTATGTTATCTAATGACAAATACAATGACCTGAGCCGAATGTACCACCTTTTCAGTCGGGTGTCTAATGGACACGCGGAAATGCGGCACAATGCTTCGAGCTATGTGGAGGGGTTAGCTAGGGCCATCAATGAGACATATGGTGGGATGGGGGAAGCTGCCGATCCTTCAACGATCGCGACTTCAGCATCTTTGGCAAAGGCTTCAGAGCAAGACGTGGAAGCCTCGGCGGCATCAACACAACAAGCGAATCCCACACAATGGGTAGAAAGAATACTAGCATTGAAGGACAAATTCGACAAGATCCTAGAACAGTCATTCGCGAATGACCGACATTTCGAAACAGATATAAATGCTGCAATTGAAAGATCGATCAACCAGAACAGAAAAGCTCCGGAGTTCGTCAGCTTGTTTATCGACGAGAACCTACGAAAAGGCCTCAAGGGGGTGCGTATCTGATCCACTGATGTTTAACATTGGCGATAACCGTGTAACCGGCTGTTCATGTGGTTGTTAGAAAACGGAGATCGAGGTCGACAGTCTCCTGGATAAAACGGTTACTCTTTTCCGCTTTATCGAGGAGAAGGATGTGTTTGAGAGGTACTACAAGCAGCATTTAGCCAAGCGGCTGCTTCTGGGCAGGAGTGTCAGTGAAGATGCGGAGAAGAATATGATTGGAAAACTGAAGGTCCGAATTATGATCTTCCCGCAGCTTTAGTCTTATGACCTAATTCTCTCCTACAGGTTGAGTGCGGATGCCAGTTCACAGTCAAGTTGGAAGGCATGTTCAACGATATGCGGCTTGCAGCTGATACGATGGGTGATTTCCGATCCCACCTAGCGAATTCTATAACGGCACCAAAGAACATGCCTGAACTATATGTTAACGTGCTGACCTCTACTTTCTGGCCTATGAACACCGCTACCAGCGGGGATACTTGCGTGTTTCCCACCGAGATAACTGCGGCTATGGATCATTTCCAGAGATTCTACCATTCGAGGCATTCTGGTCGTCGGTTGACGTGGTTAACACATATCGGATCTGCCGATATTAAGGCAAACTTCGATAAGGGCCGAAAGGAAATTAACGTTTCAACATACGCCATGGTGCTATTGGTTGGCATTTTCAATAAACTTGCCGATGGACAATCAATTTCGTACGACCGAATTCGCGAAGAGAGCAGCATTCCAGACCACGATCTGAAGCGAACGTTACAAAGTCTTTCAGTGGCAAAACACCGGATATTGTTGAAGAGCACGAAAGGGCGGGATATCTCACCTAGTGATCACTTCAAGGTCAACACCGGGTTTACCTCGCAGTTGCACAAGATTAAAATTCAACAGATATCGGCAACCTCTGGAAGCTCATCATCCGCTAGCAATTCGATGGAAACAGACGCAGAGCGAGCGGATACGTTAGAAAAAGTCGATGAAGCACGAAAGCACCAGGTTGAAGCCTGCATTGTGCGGATCATGAAATCAAGGAAGAGAATGGATCATAATAATCTAGTCGCTGAGGTCGTAAAGCAATTGAGCGCTCGATTTTCTCCAAGTCCTTTAATGGTTAAGAAACGGGTCGAGGGATTGATTGAGCGCGAATATTTGGAACGAGATAAGAGTGACAGGTGGGTACATCAACGCGCATGCAAGTGGTCCAGCCAGCCAAACCAGAGAAATAACTGTTCCGTTATAAAAGGAAAATCTACAATTATCTCGCATAACCTCCATTTCATCTACCTTTTGAAGCCGGGCTCTTTTTGGCGTTACCATTTTTGCTTGATCTCTTGTTGTTCCACCCAATCCATTTTTTGTGCAGAGCAAGACCAGCCCTACAGGATTTGTGCCTATGGCAGACGTGTTCCAGCCAGGAAACTCAATCTACCCCAACTGTTACTACTTTCTTTTTGAATATGCTAGATGCGTGTATTTTTGTTCATAAATTTTGAGGCATGATTATTATATTTGTCCTCTTGTTCAATAGCGAGTTTTTCAACAATTTGCTCAAAGTTAACAAAGGCTTATAAGGTTTCATTGCCAAAGGTTGTGAAGATTGATACACATGTGGGACATCTAGAATCCAATGCATCCCTCGTGGAAACCCAAACAATAAAAGGGCGACAAAATATCCTCCGACTGCTTGCCTCCTTTATTATTAACCTTCGCACGAGCTGCGCGACGCGTGAGTCGTCTCGTAATCGTCATCTAAAAAACCCCGACATGGATGGGAAACCTTATGAATGGCCTTGGGAAAGTTCTTCACGAGAGCTCGTCCTCGTCCTACATGTGATCCATTCCTTGCACGTAGTTTGCGGAGAACGACGAGATAGAACGTTTCCATGATCATTTTTGACGACCGACGCTTTGCGTGCAAATCATGTCAACGTGGGCACCGGAACGTGGCATGCGACCATCTGCAAAGAATGGTATTTGAGATCCGGGCAATAGGACGACCAAAAGAGAAGCTTAAGCAGCGCGCTGTGCGAAAAAGAGCTTATGCGCCTGAAAAATCCAAGGAAGAGGCGCTCATAGGCAAAGTCCAAGGTACTGCACATTTTGCGAATGGACATGGACCACCATTCGGACGGCATTGATAATCTGGCCTTTTTGACTTTACTCAACCAGTCCAAGTATCTACCGGTACCGTCTTTGTATATGTGCCTGTGGACCCTACCTATGAGGCCTTGCAAGAGCGACTATCTCGGATAGATGCATGTAATATTGGCGTACAGAGAGCCAAATCAAAAGACGCGGCGACATTGGAAGTAGAGACACATTCAGCACTGTTTCTCACGGTGCGGATATATCATGATCTTTGTAAGTTTGTCGTCTTGAAAAGATCTCTACGGGATAAGAGGTGGACACCTGCAGTCAGTTTTGATCTGACGCGATTCCGTCTACTTTTTTTCCATCAAAAAAGCGGATGATGGTGTCCCTGCGCGATTCAGCCCTGTTCCTGTCCGGCCTGATGTGCGACATCGTCGATGTCTTTCTGAAACGTCCGCCATCACTACGACACCCAAGATATCCCGACCGCACAGGGCTTCACCGTATGTCGTTTCTGTCCCCTCATCGCCGAGAACATCATCCCCTCAAAGTCCCTCCACGCCAAATTGTGGGTTTGGCAAGAACTCAACGTTACGACCTTGTTTCCCGAGCCCACCACGGTCATTGCCCGCCAGCCCCACACCCATAATGCAGGAATATCCATCTGACACAGACACGGGGGCGACAGATAAATCAGCTTTCATGTCTGAATTCTTCTACAACACCTCCCCTCCCATTCAGGCGTGTTTTCCTGATATCCACTTTGAACAACTGTTCAATAATGCTTCAAGAACGCCCGCACCTGAAGGAGGGAGTGATGTAGGATTGTTAGGAGAACCTTGGCTGGATCTTTTACCCTTGGAGGACAGTTTTATGGCATTGGACGAAACGTCCGCGTCAGTAAACAGCGGTGTTGACGCAGATGGATTTGAGGATGTATTTTGTCAAGTAGACGAAAGCATCCGAACATCGGATGAATTTTTTCAGCGGGAGGACATTGGCGATACAAGTGTGCAGTCATGCGTGAGCCGTTGCGTTCTTGGGGACAATGGATTTGAAGATATACTGAGGAGGGCTAGGGAAATGTGAGGTTAAAATGCGGCGGATGGGTACGAATTTCTGTTATGATAGATACATGTAGATAAACAGAGAAATACGATCCTAAACATGAGTACAGTATATATTCGTTCTTGTGGTTTACTTGTTATAAGATGAAAGCAGGAAACGACCAGGGTCACCAAGCGAGCACTGCGTAAATGGGATGCCCAAGTTTGGACGCTTTGCGGGACGTGCTTACTAAGCAATCACTAGCGCTTAGCAGTGGGATTGGGGGAAGCACCGCTCCTGTCGCCTCTCGGCCTGCCCCATTCCATTTGGTCTTTTTCTGCGCCTGTCAACAAATAGACGCAACCAAAAACTCTGCGTCTGCTGTATTAGGTTTACCTTGACGAAACACTGCTGTGCTTGAGCGGTTTGACGAGAGGCGTTGACGGGTTTTGTTTGGACACGCATTCGGAGCTTTTTCCCGCTACGCACAGGAACCAAAGGTTTCATCGGGCTACATTCAAACGTGCCAACATTGAATAAGAACAGCCGCTAGGCACTACATTGTTACGACTTTCCCACAATTCGACTGGGGGTTGACTCCCACCGCGTCAGACGAACGCCTATTTTTCTCTTGAACGCAGCAAAATATGGGAGCGTTCCTCTCCCTATTGAGAGGCGGTGGGCCAACAGATGAGCCACCTGTTGACATACCCGTCAACTTGGAAGGTATGTATGGAGATGGGAAATTTATAACGGATTCGGGTGCAGCGATACCTGCCTGAGCGTCAAGTGGTCCATTTTCCGAGTCGCAGTGTCAAACTATGGTGCATGACAAGTTTTGCAACAAAGTACTAACTTTCTACTCGGTTGTTATTATTGCATGATTAACAGGTGCACAGCCAACCGCTGATGAAGTGGAAATTTATCAGTACATTATTCAAATTATGCAACCAGCACCCGGCTATCTCGACGCATTGAAAGGATATATTGGATGTCAGGAAGAGATTCGCAAGGTATGAATGAAAGCTGGACGTGGTGCTCGGTCAATATCTCGCTTACCTACTTGAAACTTTTTTCCACCTTGTCGTATAGGCCATTAGCAGTCCATCCCGAGAAACTGAGGAAGCGGCATGGGCAGCGGTATGTCCGGCTGTTCTGAAGTTGAGAGAATACTATGAGTTTGCTTTAAAGCTTGGTAAGTTCATCCTCCGAGCCTCTGATTTGGTTGAGTTTTGGCTAAACCGAGTTTTTAGAGGAAGCATTTCCGCGCCTGATGGCGTTCCTTTGTACCGGTGATGTCATGAGGAATTTAGAAGTGCGGCAGGCAACAGCCAAGCAGTTGGCTGATGTGCTACATTTCGTATCCCTTTTCGATGAATTGAAGGTAAGAGGCCATGCATAATATTGAACCAATGAATCAGTAATGACACGCCTGGGTCTTTTTCTTCACCATATAGATGGGCAACCCAAATGTGCAGAATGACTTTTCTTATTACCGCCGAACATTGAGTCGCATGCGAATGGCTAATCCCGTAAGTCCGCTCAAAGTTTGATGATTACGATGGATAATGTAACTGAATTTCATTTTGGCATCAATCAATTAGTCGCAACAGAACGTGGTAGTTCCAGATGAGCTTGCAAATAGAATGTCCCTATTTTACGCTCATGCTACCCCAATGACGAAATCACTTGTCGACGCGACAATGAAGCTTGTCAAAGAGGTATGCATAACTTTAAGCGCCATGGATTTATTTTTTATCTATCCTCAACTTGCAACTGTTTGTTAGAACAATACTGTGACTCCTGACGCCGTTACCACCATCCTTTCCATTATCTCCGGCATTTGCTACAATGCGGTAATAAAAGAACGTGCACAGGGCGCTATGGTGCACTACTGTTTGCGGGTGTTGACTGTATCCATCATTCTGTACGATCATGTGGATCCGGAGGGTGCGTTCGGAAAGGGATCAAAGTTAATGTAAGTCAGAGGAAACGCAGAGTCTCGCTGCACAAGCCCTCGTGGAGGGTGTCAACGCGATTCGTATATATGTTCTTACCGCCGGGTTGCGAATTTTTTGGTAGATCCGAGCATCAGTGCGAGTTATCCAAACATCCGGCGGGTCCGGCAGCAACAATCTCCTTAACGCTTTACGATACACAACTTTACACCTAAATGACGAGTCTACCCCGAAATCCATTAAACTCATGCTTGCTGCCTGAAGACCGCACCCGCTGTGTTTTGTTTTAGTTCCAAGGAGTAATGATGTAAAGAACGGGTCGAGATGAGAGGATGTTAACCTGGGTGGTGTGGATGTTGGGATTTGTTAGCTAAAGGTTGGAAACTCGTGCGATATGTAGAGAATGCTTTATGGTGAACGGTTCAAGGTGGACAGGGGGAATGTTGCTATTTGACAAATGGCGAAGGGGAGTGAACTGGTGGAATTATTCTTGGCTGTTGAGGGCCTAGTAGCAGAAATGATGAATTCTACAATCGGTTTGCGCAGCCAAAAACTCTGTTCAATTGGAACATGGCTTTGTAAGCGTGGCTTCAACGTTATCTCTTTGCTCGTTATCGCAATTTTAATAAAAGATACGGGGAACCTTTTCAACGTTGGCAGCCGGGACTTTCCCAGAGACAACAACCGACTTTAAGCCAGCTTTACCTCCTACACACACACAGACATTCCAGACATTGCACACACATGGAAACCGAAATTCTCCCCACCATTTTGGATACATACCCTTTTCATGACCATGAAAGTGTCCTGACAGCAAATTCAACCTATTCACTGAGACCGACATTGAAAACCACCCTCGTTTGCGCATCGCATCGTTTGTAGCCTGCAAGGACAGCTACCTCCATTCTGGCTTTCCTCTTCGACCGGTCTCTTTCCAACATTCGCGGAAGCATAGGTGGAGGGAATATATACGAATTCGACTTGCGAATGAATCTTTGGTATCGTGGTTCAGACGTACTTCCCGCACACCGTCATTCCCTGCTTTTTACCGGTACTCATGAAGGTCCTCGTCAAAAGAAACTCGCCAAAAGGACAATGTTCGAAACTGGACTGTGCCACCCAAAGAATGATGGTCAAAACCTTCGAAATTTGTCAATACCACGCAGAGGCATGTTTTTGACAACATGAAGAGGGCACTGCAGAGGTACTGGAATGGAATCCTCGCTAGACCATCACGAGGCGTCCTACCTGGCATTCCGTCGGGAAAGGAGATAATTGCCTCGTGGATAGCCACATTTATCGGTATTGGTAAGCACGCAGTCTCGTTCGCAATTTCCATGTTCATTCACTGAGTGCACTGGAACATTTGTTTTTCGCAGGTGTTGTTACTGCGCTCCATTACCACGCACCAGCTTTACTTGCTGCTGAAGTTCCAGTCGTGGTTGCCTCGTTTGGAGCCTCTGCCGTGCTTATCTACAACACAATAGAAAGTCCTCTCTCCCAGCCAAGGTTCGTTGCAGAAAATTGTCGTGGAAAGAGGGAAGGGGACAGCGCTGTTCATCTATTTCATGTATTGACTGTGTTGTTGTTGTTGTTGTTGTTGATAACAGGTGTCTTTTGGGTGGACACATTTTCTCCGCGGTCGTAGGAGTAACTGTTCAAAAGATCATTTCCGCGTTGGCTGAAGCGACAAAGACCGATGTACTACAATGGAGATGGTTTGGTTGTGCTCTTGCTGTATCCTGTGCCATTTTCGTTATGCAGGTGAGTAGCACTGTTCGTGTGGTACCCGTCCTGGTCTAATGACAATTACTAGGTAACCAAAACCACACATCCACCAGGTGGAGCTACGGCGCTTGCTGCTGTTCTCGGCCCAGATCCCGTCTGGCATTTAGGTATTGGATACATATACATGCCACACATTGCAGTAAAGGACAATTATCTGACTTTAGTCCTGTCTCTATTTCGTGTTGCTTGCAGGGTACCTGTACGTTGCATCACCAGTCGCGCTTGGGGCAGTTTTACTATTATCCGTCGCGGTACTAGTCAATAACGCATTTGGACGACAATATCCACAGTACTGGTTTGTACCGACCCCACCAGTCCTACAAGATGGTTCATCATCAAGTCCGCTCCATGAACTAAAGTTGGAATGTGACGCGACTGCAGTCATATCACACCATGACAATATGCATGTTGATGATGGACATCGTTTATCTGTATCAGTATCGACTCGTGCCCACGACCTCCAACAGGCAGAGCGACTAATAGAGCACGGGGCGGGACTTGGGGTAGGGGACGGACAAGTTGGCGGCGTGCATGGAGGATCTGCCAGTTTGGCTGGGGAGCGATTCAGGCGTGGAATATCCTCCCATAGCTTAAATTCGTCTTCACCACCAGCAGATGGTGTTCAAGATATGCCTTAATGATAAAAGTGTAAATAACTAGGAGTTATGGGGACTTGTCATGTGACTAATAGATGCGCGTAACTAAGCACTATGACTTCATCATTACCCGACAGCATGACGCGTAGCAATTGTCGACGGGGGGGCTGGAGCTCTTCACCTTCTTTTATGTTTTCCTCGGCGTTTCGTCACACTACCGCCACTAGTTCCGTCTCCCCCCGTCTCCCACTGCATGGGTATAAGTAAAGGGCTGCTGCTTCCTCGTCTCTCCTTCAACAATTCATACCCCGCAATCTGCAGATACAAATCAACTTTCTTTAAAAACATCAACTCTGTTCACGCACATCCATGGACACAATGAACGCAGCAATGTCAGGTGCGGCTCAGTCCGTTGCAGACGCAGCACAAACCGTCCACGCATCTACTCCAACGAGCGGAGCAGGAACACCTCTGATGAACCTGGCCACCTATCTCCTCTACATTGAATGTGCACTGATCATTTTGTTGAGTGTGCCCGTATACGTTCCCTACCGCAAGCAATTGATGGAGTGGATTCATTATTCACCAAGGTATGAATGAGTTTGGATGCGTTTTCTTCTGGTATTTGTGAATGCTCATTCAAAGTCTATGATTAGCCTTTGGAAATTCCGGGTCATTATATTTTGCATTAATGCTTTCGTGGCTGTTTACTCGGCGACACATACCTCCGCCTCAATCGCGTCACGCACCAAATTGCAGCAATTCAAGCTGCCCATGCACAAGCTGTCACTGGAATCCCGACCGCTGGCGCTACTATGGCAAAAGCAGCTGGATCTCTTGCCGGAGCAACAACGGGCTCCCCCATCGACGCGAGTAGCCACATCGCCAACCTAAACGATCTTTACACCGCCCGATTCCGTGGTCAACGTGACTTTTATATCCTCGCCTTCACTCTTTTCTGCTCAACAGTTCTCTACCAACTTCATATGCTACTCATCAAGATGGACAAGTACCGTTTGCAGCGCAACGAATTGCGAAGCAAAATGTCGCCGCGCAAAGATTCAGCCTCCTCATCAAGCAAGACAACGGGTGTTGTAGAGGGGCTTTCAAAGACCGTCAAAGAGGCAAGCAGTAAGGTTGTAGACAAGGTTGACGCCATTCTGCATCACGGTGCGGCGACCGCTGCCAATGGCACTTCTCCTGCGATAGGAGCCGCTCCAGCAGAACCCGGTGTTGCTCAAAAGCGTACTGTTTTTGTAACGAAGGAGGAATGAAGAATGGGGATGAGTGGGAAGGAAGGTTTTAATTTTGTTCTTGAATTGTGAAGTTTGTTGTGAATTAATTTTCCTGTCAATATAATTGTCAACCTTTTTATTCTGGAAGTTATCAGAAAAGACCGCTTTGAGCTTCAACTGTGAAAGTTCGGGGGCTCTCAGTACATAAAGGCCAATCTCTGTAGGCCGTAAAAATGCACTTGCACTTCTGAAGCGAACGACTAACAGTGTCCTGAGTATTTTACAACGGGATCATTAACAAATGGAGAAAAGAAATATATATACGAAATTGCGGCTCGGTGCATGGTACACCCTATCGCTTTGCAGGAGCTCTCTTTTTCAGTTTATCTTTCTCTAAACTCATGGCCGCCGCATCCATCTCGACTCCTTGCTCCGCGGCCAAAGCTGACTCTCTGGCTGCAGCTTCCATGGCGGCCCTGGCTTTCGCTTGAGCTTCTTCAATCTCTTTGATAACCTTTTGTCGGTATGCTTCTCGTCGCGATAAATCAAGTTCTCTAAAGCCTTCGACTTGCTTCATCTTCTCTTCAATTTTATCTACAAAGAGTTGTCGATCGTGAGCGCGCTTTTCGCGGTCTTCCGCTCTGGCTTTCCTGACAGATTCTTGGTATCTTTCATGTTCCTGTTGTCTGGAATCTCGTTCTGCTTGGAGCTCTGTCATTTCTTCGGGAGTGAGAACATGTGGTTTTGACATTATCCTACTTTCCGCGGAAGCCGCTCGTGATGGGGATGCAGTGGATCTTCGGGAGGGTGAGGTTTGAGGATATTGGCCTGCGCTGCTAGGTGGTGGAGGGGGTGTCTCACTTTCGGTATCTTCGCGTATCATGCTGCTATGTGAACCGCGCGTACTCTCTTGTCTTCGCGCTAGTCGAGCTGCTGCCATAGTCCCATGTATTGTCCAGGGCTTGTACGGTACATCCTTACCACCGACTCCGGTAATGAAGATTGGTCGAATGATTCCCGCTTCGACCTGTTTTAAATACGTATCTCTGGCTTCGCGGGCCCGTGCTGCTCTTCCCGGCTGTGCTGTTTCCCAGGAGTCTTTTATTGCCCGATAACGATCTTCCTTTTCTGTGTCACGAGCAACCCCAAGAGATGCCGTATCCGTTGATATGATACGTAGTCGCCAGGAAGGTTCGTTGCCGGTAGGCACCGATCTCTCTTCTCCAGTTGTTCCAGCCTGATTTTGCACTGCTGCACCTGAGCCACCTGAGATCGTTGCTGATCTTTTCTTTTTGGCTGATGCGGACGCAGAGGGTGCGGCCTTGACGCCGCGTGATGGTGGACGGTTAGGTTCGCCTACTGGCGCTGGGGTCACTGGAAGAAGCCCAATGAGTTTGGAAAGCTCGACATTCTCAACGCTCCCTTGGACAATGTACTTGTGCTTAGGCTAGAATAACGTGGCGTGTAAATCACAGTGCTCAATTGCTCGCATATGACAAGTATAACAAAACTTACAATCGGCGGTAAATCATTCACCGGAGGCGTAACTATCCCAGGATGCTCCTTCAGCGACTCTTTTAAAGTTTCCTTTGGGCCATCCTTTCCTTTCTTCTCAGATTTGTCCGGCTTGTCGTTGCCTTTTTCCGCCTTAGTGACTGCTGGAGGAGCGACGACCGGATCGTCTGTTTGCATGAGGTTGAGGGCATAGATTGTAGCAATGCCCTTGCCTCGAGCAGATTGGACTTCTACCCCATTGTCAAAAACTTGCAGTTTGAGCCATATAGACGGGAAGGAAAATGTGAGCTGCATGGATACGCAGTTCATGGGTGCGTCTTTGACCTTCACTACGTAGCTATACGGGTTGAGTTCGATGTCAGGATTGATTACTCATCGTGATCGCCGAGATCATGTCGTGCTCACCGGAAAAGCACATTGTGCTTGTTTGGGGTGTACATGTCGTCAAAGTCTTGAACGATGGGCTTTGTCCACATTTCTAACGGACGCTCGGGAGGAATTACTGGAACAGGCTCTGAAACAAATCGTAATTTCCATTTTCCGCCCGGTTTTGGTTGTGATATTCGACAGTCTGCGACCAGCGTGTATCCATTCTGACATATGTCATATCACTTGTTAGAACCTGCGGTTATGTGTTTCAATCTGAATTATTTACCTGGTTTGGCAGGTAGGTCCGAGGGCGCAACTGGTAGAATACTTGCGGGATCTCTTCATTGGTGTCGTTGTCGAACATACGGAGGCACGTCGATTGTTGGATGTATTCAGGAACAAAGATACTCGTCGCAAGAAATGTCGGTTCGGCAAAATGTACAATGTTTCTGATAAGGATATCGCCATTTATGAGTTTTTTCCATGACCAGCAGCGAAATATGCAAAACACCCATCATTGAAACGACGATACCGTACTTGACCAGCAAAAACCAAGAATTCGCCGGCTGAGCCGGAAACGTTTCATCTATATCCCGCACATGTACTTCGAGACGCTCCGAAAGGTACTTTCCTTCGTCTTCCAACAGAAACTCCTCACGAGCCCAGACAGAAAGACTGTAAGACGTTGGGCAGTTCACAATAAAGCGATATGCTTGGCGCCTATTTCAGCGCATGTAAGTAATGCAACCGTGATGATTTCGGATTCTTTTCTTAGAGAACGCACAGACAGGGGTGGACCTTACCCTTCCGGTATCCGAAGGTAGCTACATAACGCGGCGTTTGTCGTCATACGCAATACAGGTCGTCGCTCGGCCGTCCCTTTCCAGTCATATTCTTCAACCAGTGCAGAAGATACTTGCATCGTTACTTCATTTTTTACACGTCCGTAGGTTGAAAGAAAGACAAAGACGGAAAGATCCTTTGTTATATCTGGTAAGTCTGTAGAATTCCTGTTAGCTCCTTTAAAGCCGTTGTATTTCTGCATATTTCATAGCTTACAAAGAACCTGGGGGATACGCAGGTTTTCGCTCGCCTTGGCTGGATCGGGAATACTGTGCACTGACTTGACAAACTTAAAACTCCCCTGACTATGGTAGACCGTAGCGGACCTAATCAAATCCAAAAATCAGTATTGCCGTGTATCAAATCGTCCATCGGTAGAAATACAAAATAGAAAAACTAATTGAATGGTACCTGAATACTCGACAGAATTCACTGTACGGCATCCAGCAGTCGGTTGTCTCGAAGGCGGCCTCTGACGGTGGCTCTTCCACTACTTTACTGTTACTCTTCGCGTCTCCCGGTTTGCGAGCACGAAAGTGTCTACATCATCGAACATGGCGAGGGATGAGGACAATATTTTGATTACTATCAGCATTTTGGCCTTACCCGCAACTATAGTAGCTTCGCAACCTGATCAACCTCTGTGTTGTGGTCAGGTCAACATTGGAGAGGTCTTTTGCTTGTATACCGGGCGCTATCACAGTCGCGCGTATGTCCATGATGCGACATGGTACAGCGATCGTGTTCATGTCCAACTTTTCTGATGCTTCCTATGGTTCAAACGTGTCAGAAACACATCATTCCACGTCTGTAAGAGATTCAATGTCTGCTTACCTCCCCTTCTCTCCACGCGAAGATTATCACAAAAGGACTTTGCTTCCCACCTGGTACCGTACCAGCTGTTCCAGTACCTCCTCTTGGCCCATTTGCGGATGCCATGGTTGATCTATCCCCCGGACCAGCCATCACAGCACCCCGATCTTTTGCCATTGTTGTGGAACTGGCAGGATTAAGGTTTCCACCTCGCGATGCTTGAGCACCAGTAAGTGGAGGTGCGAGGCCCGACTGGAAAGTTTTGATGTTCAACGCAGACAAAGCTGTCCATAGGGGTTTGCTTGGTTTTTCGTGAACAGGCAGCTTTTCGGGAAGCCAGCCTTTCAGCGTATGGAAGACATCAAAGTCACCAAATTCGCAAGCTTGGTCTGTTTCTTTGTAGCTGATCGATTCACCAAGCATGAGTAATAAGCAAATGCCTGAACGTCTGCCAAAACGAATTTCGCTTGCACCGTACTCACCTCAATGCTGCCACCTTCAACAATGCCTTCGTCAACAGCATCGGCCATATTTCATGTGCCACCACACTGGAAACGACCAGTGGCCGCCCTTCCGAATCGACTGGTAGTCGATCATCTACAGTAATCTTTCTCCAAGCCCCCAGCCAGAAAAGCTTGACCGCATACTTTCCAGATATGTTGTAAATGGGTAGACCGTCTTTTGATTTTGGGTATATCTGGTCCCATGGGCAGAATTCGTCGGACGCATTCATACCACTGACGGGTCCGCTGGATGCTTTTGATTTCTTATACTGGTCATATAGGAAATGGAGTGTGGAGAGTATTGAACGCATTAGTTCTGAGCCTAGGAGATGGCGGTTGGCCTGAAAAAGCTTGGATGTCCCAGACAAGATTTCTTGATCTGAAGCTTCGTCTTCCAGTGCCTTGTTGGCCGAGGCGCTCGCAGTGTTGTCCTCTTCCGTTGAAGTCGCCTCTTCCATTGTAGCCATATTGCTGCCATGAGGAGATCCTAGTGAGTTACCGCCGAGTCCTTGTGCATGCCCAGGTGCAGCAGGTGTCCCCGGAACTGCGGGTGTGCCAGGAGGGTGAGATGATCCCAAATTGCCCCCACCGTCATCCACTCCCTCCTTTTGATTTCTATCACTCTTTTCTATTCCCTCGGGCGATTCGAGTACGGCTTCTGGAAAACTGCTTCCCATGACAGAAGCGGCAGCATCTACATTGGACGCCTTCGAATAACTTCGTGTTAACCCAGGGGATGTCGAAATGCTTCCAAACCCGACAGACCCGGTGCTTGAAGGTGCAATACTGTGGAACATTTCGTCTTCGAGATGTAGTGGCTGCATACATATCGGTGATTGACCTTCAGGAGCCAGATCAACTGGCCGCTTGAAACCATCTACCAGGCCTCTCAAGGACCGCGGTAGCCATGGCAGTCCTTCTGGGTCTTCAAAGACGTGTTTCACCGCCCATTTCTCCGCTGCTACTTCAGCATCTGACCATTCTGGCCATATTACCACTGGTGCATCCTGCGACTCGTCCGATCCAATACTCGGTGCCCCTCCGAACCCAGCCCCAGTTCCAGGATGTGTAAGGCCCGCGTTTGTAGGTTGACCACTCCCAGATGGTGTCCGTTTTTTAGTGTTGCCAGACTTGGCTAAGCGGTCCTTGGAGCTGGAGCCAGCCTTTTTCATGCTGTAATTGTGGAGATCGTACTGCGTAATGACGGCGAATCGGAAGACTAACTGACTTTGCCTTAGCTAATCCATTAAACGACGCGTCAAGCGCTGCATCTCTGGACTTGCTACCAGCCATATATTTTGTACCTCTCTTTGAACCTGTGCAAAATACGATGTTTTCTCGCCCTTTCCACCACTACCGGATATATAGGAACACGATAAGAGATCAATACCTGCAAGACTTCCAGCACGATGCTAAATAGAACCTGCCAGTTCATTCAAGAATTTGGGTCGCCATTCGATTGGTACGTCTGGCAATGCCAACTACTTCACCACACTTCGGACAAACTAGTTATTACATTGCCACATTACATTCGCCTGAGTTTGAATGGGAAAGATGGGAGGTGACCATTCCGAGAAAGGAGCCACAGTTACCCAGCCCGTCTCCGACGTTCCGCCTCATTTTCTTGAAAACTTCCGACTTCTCCTTAAAGCTTACAGCTGTGCTGAAGACATTGCGGCACATCTCCACTAGCTCAGCCAACAGCTCTTGTATTGTTGTTGACGGTAGCAGCCCTACATACAGCGCCGTGTTTCATCATCTGTAGTCAATTCATTTCTGGACAGCTCGAGTATCTGTTTCTCCCTTGGGTCCTGATTTGTTATATTTCATTCTGATTAGCTTCATGCCAAGTTTGGAATATCGTTCGTCGTCCGTGAGCATAACCTTCTCAAGAATGTAAGTTCCTCAAAGTACCTAAATTGCCAACAGATAGATGTGCAATGCTTCGACGTTTGGACGACAGCTGCATGACTTTCACAGAGATCATTCCTTGAAACATTGCATGGGCTTAGATTTGGTGTAAATAAAGTTCCACATACCTTGGAATCTCATGTTTGCTGGAACAGTGTTCGATACCTTTTGTCTTTTTTCGAGGAACATTAAGTAGAATTTGAACGGTCCTGGAGTGCGTTGACACTCCTTCAGTCTCTTTTTAGCGGCATTTCAATCGCCTTCCCCCTTGTCGGCCACACTGCAAAGAGAATCATTCGATTGGCGAATGGGATATCATCTTAATGTCATGCTTGGCATCATGAAGACATCCAGCTCCTGTTTCCCAATAGTTTTTGCTGTTCCTGCTCGTTGCGGAAGGTCAATTCAAACATCTAGCGAAATTTCTCTTATGGGACCAAGTGCTCATCAACTGTGGCTCGGTCAATGATCGCAAGATCCCAAATCTTTGCCCTCGAAACGGTATAAGTACGATAGGATCCGCGTGATTGAGAGCGTTTGCACCATCTGCATAATGCGGAAGATCCACCGAAGCCGATTGATCTTTCCTCAGAGAAAGTGCACTGTCGCGTAGCTATTTGACTCGATGAGAATACGTCAAATGGTTGAGAGTGTCATTCAAAGTACTAATGAACTCCTTCAGCCTAATGAACTTGGGCTGATATGATGGCTCCAAGGTAAGCGCCATTCTAGCACCGTGGGGACGATACTGATGATGCGAAACCGGGTGCAACCGGTAGCAAAGTAGATTGCTATAAAAACATCGGAGCCTCGCATGAATCAAAACCCAAATCCCAGTGATCAAGCTCAATGCGTGCAGATGCGCGAGTGGATGTGATGGCGGCCACAACAAAATATCTCATCTGATACTGATTAGCGAGAATCCTTACCTTTTGCGTAATGGACCTTTGACATTTCGTGCGATCCAGACAATGTGTGTGGTTCCAAAAATGAAAATGGCGTATATTAAATGCAGATGAACATCAGTGGGCTAAAACCAAACTTACAAAGTTCCAAATGGGATCAGGATGATTTGAGAGAAAGCAGGTCCCTTGTCCTCGTTGAAGGTACGCGCGGGTGGCACAGCATCAGAGCGAGAGTAGAATTCGTCAGCCAAGCAAGCATCCAAGCACTGGTCTCAAGTAGCAACAGATGCTTACTTTGCATATAACTACGATTAGCCATTGCCCTATTGGCGTAATCTTTACCTTCAAGTGAGCAGCTGCTGGTTTAAGGACTTGTCAAAGTCTGTTTATACAATATGCACGTTGGGACATTGGAATGGCCATTAGCGGCGTTGGTGAGATGCACAGTGCGCACAAAAGTTTCCACTCAATAGCACAGCAGATTGTGGCGCACAATGACGATGTGCAGTCATACTCCACATCTCGTGAATTGAGCAATACGAGAAGGAAACGATGCCTTCCAACATATTTAGTAAGGGAATGAACGACATTCCGCATGATGCTTCTCTCGTAGCCTGGAGTCCCTTCACCCATATTGCCTCCCTGCCAATACTCTGCATGCGATTGTGCACAGTGCGCTTGTCGTTGTCCATCACTCGTGTCTCAACATGGCTTTTGGATTTGTTTGTTTATCATTTCCTCCACGTGCGCAAAGTATCATGGCGGCACAGTGACTCATTTCATCAGCTGCTGAGGGTCATCGGCTTGTTAATCGCTTGCTTGAAATCAAAAGCCGACGAGCCTTCCTCATTTTCGCTCATTTCAAACGCTTGCTTTCCTTACGCATCTTGTCCATTTCCCAATAATCTCCACACCCGGTCTTTTGGGTGGATTCACTCTCTTAAAGACCAAGTTTGCCTCATACAAGATGCGAATAGCACCATCAGACACCTCATGGGCATTTTGTCCTGGGTCGCTGCCCTTTCTCCTTCTGGTTCTCATACTTTTGCAGACTTTTTCTTTGAGCCATGCTATTACTGATGATGAACGGCTTTCTGAAACCGAAACCGCTCGTCTGGAGGCTGAAACCCTTTCTTTTACCACTACTCTCAACCTTTCGGCTGCCGATCGTGCTGCCATTCTCGAAAAGTATGCGCCAATAGTTTATTTACACCCACGCGATAGATGGAGACCCGCCGATCCAGCAAAGATTTTTGAGGCCTCGAAGCTTGCGGAGGATAACAGAACTCTGGTAATACCAGAACACATGTTGCATGGAGACGAAGTCGAAGAGGGAGGGACGATGCGGGCAAAGGTTGTTGGCCAAGTAGTGCAGGATGGTCCCGGAAAGAAGACATATTTGCAGGTACCGTGACATGGAGCTGTGAGGACTATACCATCTTCTGTTATCTCAACCCTTTGTAGTACTGGTTTTTCTATCCTGTCAATGGCTGTCAAGGCTTCCGGATAGGAATATGGAGTGGTCTAAAGTCCTTTGTGAGCGAAAGAGCCGAGAATTTTGAATGGTGTGGGATGGCATTTCACAATGGGTACGTGCGTACATAACATCTGATGCTATATTGGGAAGCCGCTCACCATTTGTCTTTCGTTTTCATAAAAATAGAGACTGGTAGGAGATAAGAGATTACTTTACTGCAGAATACGTCGAATTGATCGCATTGCATATACAGGGAGCATATCACTGTGCAGCTGTCCAGCGTCTGGGCGGGCGGCTCGGTCGACACTGCACCACCGGTGGAAGCCGTAAGACTTTCACTTGATGCGTTTCGCGAGATTTGTTTTCTCACTGGTGCGTAAATTTACCCGCAGATTGCCTTTTCCCAACACTCTGGATCCCAATGGCTCCCGGCCTCAGCTGTGAAGTTCACCGCTACACATCCACATGTCTACTCCGCGCTACACTCACACGCAAATTATGCTGTGGAAGGAACACATAAGAACATTGATGACACATTTGCCTTCGTCTCGCGGATATCCCCACTCTTGACGCTCGGCTCGGTGCAATGGATACAAATTGCAGACGTTGCCGATCTTCAGTCGGATCTGTTCACATACGATGAGCCTCTGGGCCGAAGGTTTCAACGATTCATCGTTTGGAAAACTTGGGAGGATGGGGTGTGGGATTTTACAGATAGAGGTGATCATGGTGACTGGGCAAGATTCTCGGGATATTGGGGTTTACCGGTGGACCAAACCGAAATTATTTTGCCTCCATTGGGAGTGACGGCCGGGACCCAGCTACTATCTGCTACGGTGGTAAGTTGATGTCGGACAAATGAGAATTGGTAGTTCCGCATTGTGTCTCAAACAGACTTGCGCTCTCTGTAGGGCGCAAAGCATATGGGCTTGTTGCGCAAGTTTGTTCACAAATTTGAGCAGGCCCCTAAAGGCCCGCGGCAACATCGAACATGGTATACGCTCGATAGTCCATCCTTTATATAATGTGCGCATGCTCACGGACCTGCGTTACTCCTATTACATTCTTCGTATAATGTGTGTGTGGAAGCAATGTCCTATGTATATATATTTTAGCAACCACGATGTAATGATTGTGCACAAACAAAATCCAATTGGAGAAATAAAGTAACTTTCGCATGAATTTTTATTTTTTGTTGTCAATTGCTGGCTGCCGAAATATAGGTCACATTCTAAATCGCAAAGGAACTGTACTAGACGGTATAATTCAACATGGGCCGTCTGCGCCGACTTCAATAGATAAGAAGAACTCTCGAGCCTGAGCAAGGTATTGATAGGAGCTGCTCTAAGCAACTGACGGCCCGCTCGATGCACGATTCAGGGCGTTGCTGGGCGGAGGTACCGAGACTGGTGGCATAATTCTAGAGACAAGAATTAATTTAGCATCATGGCTGGATCAGTGTCCAACTTTTCAAAATGCGCAATCTTGCAATAAAGAACTTACATCATGCTTCCCCTCCGACTCCCAGCTGCACCGCCGGAAACCCCACCAACACCAACCAAATTTGCGATACTCCCTCTCCTACTCGTACCACCAGTTGCCTGCACCGCGGCGGTCGCAGCAGCAGCAGAAGCAGCTTGGATGATCCCTAGCTGCGAGGGCACGGGCTGAGGAATATGCGCAAGGGTATAGCGAGGCGGGGTAAATACTTTCCAATTTGGAGTGGAAGGTCCATATGGTGTCATCATTAAGGTGGTAGCTCCGGCGGCGCCCGGATTAAAGGTGCTGAAGAACGGACTGTGTTTTGTTAGACATTTCTTGTACCATTCACGATAGTATCGAGGAAGTAGATCGGCTTGGATCGGAGCATTCCTAGGATCAGAAATGTTAAGTTCCATTTACTAATGTAGTTGCCAAACTTTCAATTTCAATCCTCACCAAGGCTTTGCCCCCTCCCTCAACCTCTCCTGCATTCCTTTCAAAATCTGATATTCGCCCAATATCCTCTTCAACCAGGTTGTATTGTAAAGCGACCCGACAAACGGGATCCAGTCGATCCATGTCCAGTAGTTTCGACTGTGACGATAAATTACCCTTGTTTGACCAGGTCGCATGGGCACACAGTGAAAAGTCTGTTCGAATTTGTAACCTTTGATATTGGAGGAGAGTTGAACCTAGTAAAGGACAAACAGGGTTACATGGTGCCATTTTTAATGCAAAGATGTGAGACGCACGTGGCAAGGAGGTATGAATTTGACCTCTACAGGTGGATGGTCCGTCTCGGGTCGATGTATCACCGCAATCACAGATGCTGTGTCTACGCCGAAACTGATGTCAACTTGCATGGGTGTAGGGTTAGCTTTCGGGGGGTGCGTAGGTAAACTTGCTTGATGTGTATATGGCAGCTGCAAATATATAGCAAACAATATTAATCGTCTGCTTCCGGTAGATCTTTTCGAACATCCACATACATGTGCGTAATCCAAAAAGCATTCCAGGAGGACGCTATGATCAACATCCATATCCACAATCCCCGTGAACACCTTCCCCCATTTATCTGTCTTGGTCTTATCTCCTCCTTTGTTAATCTCCCGTTTTCCATCATTCGGTTGCTCGTCCTCGGACTCGTCCGTGCTGCGAGCGACGCTGGCGTGCTTGTTTGGTGTGCCAGCATGTGCTGTCACTGAACTGCCGGGGGACAGAATGGGCGGGAGGCGGACATGGATGTCGTATGCAGGTAGAGTTGCTTCACCCGGCCACACCTGGATTACATCTTCAATGATCCCGCCATAGATAATCTCAAGGCGCGCCCATAGCTAATACTTTACCCAGACAAGCCCATCTCTCTCAACCGTCGGATACCGCCTGGCACCGGCGTTGGTGGGTATTTCCCTATCGGGTAGCAGCGCGGGTATATGTGTCACAGTACCCTCGGAGTCATACGTCCAGCCGTCATATGCACACTCGAGTTCACCGGTGGGAGTGATGTGTCCGAGAGAGAGAGGTGCGCTGCGGTGCGCACATTTATCTTCAAGACACTGAAAGAGAATTTCAGTTGTTGAATGGAGCGATTAAACAAGTACGATACTTAACGTACAACTGGGGTGCCTTCTGCATCACGCCAGAGAACGATTGGGTCTCCCTGAAAATGAGGTCCATCACATCAACATTGACCTTGCAGAGTCCGTCCACACCAAGTCAAGGAACTAACCAACAGCCACATCCCAATAACTTTTCCCTTGGCCAGCTCCTCTGCCATCAAAAGAGGGTACCAACCCCTCCGTAGGTCAGTACTAGTAACCTCATCAAAAAATTTAGCTCTTGCCCTCTGTTGAGCTTGGGATTCTGGCTCGACAGTTTCCGCCTCGGCCGCGCGTGCTAGCCGGAGGTCAGGGGCCGAAAACCAAATAGACGGTGTCTGGTTGAGCGGAGAAGGTGTGCTGGCTGAGCTCCTTGGACTGTGGTTCAGTCCTGTTTCCAGGCTAGCTGCACGGGAGACGGAGAGATTGGAAAGGGCCGGACGGTGAAGTGGCTGGTCTGACATTGTATTCAGACTGCGAGTGGATTACTGCAGAGCTATGTTTCTGAGTCTGGAATGGAATTCTCGCCGTGTGCTGTTCAGAGAAGAGAAAAAGGAAGCCTTGAACCCCACATCAAGAGTCACCGTAGGTATTGTTTTGGTAGGGTCGAGCAACGACGACGCGACCCAACAGGGCTTACGCAATACGCGTCCTTCAGCAGTAGTGGGTCTGAAAGCCGCATACGCAAAAGCCTGTGGATGATGGTTCGTTGAAAGTAAACCAACGAAAACCATGGATGAGAGACCTGGAGTATCGTCCAAGTACACAAACTCCATTAGAGCATAACACTAGAGTGTAAACATATAGATTTTAATATTGTATTAGGCGAAAGTTCTGATATTAAATATCTATGTAAACTACGTTTGTCATCTTCTATTCTTCTTTTTATTATTAACTCTACGCTCCGCAGGTTTCCATGTCTTGGAAGAAACCATGCTCGCAGGTGTAAGACCTCTTGGCAACTTATCAGAGCCCGGGCGTAACGGCGGAAATGTAGGTCCCTCTCCTAGCACCGGTTCTCCAATCTTGAGACGAGTAATGTAGACGCGAGCCCATCCTGCTATTAATGTCACAAGTATCAGGGTGAAGCTGAGGCGAGTGACCGTCCATTTTATCTTTGTCGATGGAGGAGCAGCATGAGATGCTATTGAGAAGATGACTCGGTCGCGAGGCCATCCTTCGTGAGGAGCATCAAAGCCGGAGACGGCTACGATAAGGATAAGATTTTCCACAATCTCACAAAATAAAATTAAGAATGGAACCAGGTTTAACAAAGTTGCCGGGAAAGGGTTTGTAGAGCTTGGGGCATGTGAGGTCTCCACAGGGTGCTTGTCCACCTCTTCTGTTTCTCGCAACTCTGATGCGTCGTTTCTCAGAACCACCAGAGGAGCGCTCAGATGTTGCTCAGCTGCGACTAGCGGACCAGTGATTGCAGATATAGGCAAAATCACGAGAACTGTCCACATGAGTAGCGACGGAATTTCGAGAATGAGGTAGCCCATGTACCACCATCGACCACTACTCCCTATTCTACTGAGAAAGTTGGCAAGATCCTTTAATTCATAGTTCGTTAAAGTATCTGGGAGACGAAGGGGTACGTGTTCTAAACTTTCATCGCCATGTGGGTTCGTGGCGCCAATCCGACGTTCGATCAAGCTTGTCGCGTACAAGCATGCGGCATAAACAGGAAGGATCAAGAGGACGCGAGGAGGTAATGCTGTTAACTGCTGGGACAGACTATAGAGTTTTGAACCTGGGCGATTGCCAGCCATGGTCTTGCCAATCTGCCAAACGGGCTGTTCAAACCTTCAGGTCAGCTTCAAATCCGACGTTGATCGAATCCAATGTCATTGGAGTGTGGCACATTACGGTGAGGCGCGGATGGAAAGTTGATGAAACGTCTGGGGAAACGTGCCTGGGCAAGACTTGCGTTTCTAAATTCTGTCATTTGGGCGCAGTAGAAAGAGGTCGTCAAAGTATTTCATCTTCTTTATTCCATTGGGCTCTTCCGACTTGCAATTTCCTCTGCCAACGAGACGGTCCTTGTTTCCATCTGTCAACTGTAGCTGTCATGACAAGCTTTCAATTCGGAAAGTTTGACTATTTTTGTAGTCAAATTGCTCTCAGTCTCTGTCCCTATATCGGGCCCGACAATGGGGTTGAGCCAGAATGCTACTCTAGAAATATAGAAATGGGGAGTTTGTTGATATTTGAACCTGGTAAGTATGCCAGTTGTCACGTCAGATGAAACCGTGGGACGGCAAGTGTGGAGATGTGAACTTTTAAGAAGAGGCACACCACTAGTAGTTATTGAAGGCGCTGAAGGGTTATTTCTGGATTTACCTGTGTCGGAGCGAGAGGAGGGCCGGTGACGAGTCTCACGCGCGCATTCCAGTGGTTGCCGAGAGAGGGAAGACTTTTCGCTTTCTGTGCTGACAGTATTGTCATTTCTTTGTAGCTACCCTCGTTATACATTTGATCGCTCTCGTTATGACCGGAATTATGATCTACCACATCAAAACAAAATATACAGCTGTTGGTTAGTGTTGCGTCTCGCATCTTTACTAACAGTACGTATCTAACCTTGAGCCGTGTGTGTGTTACAGGTCGCAAGGAGATCGTTATGTTCTTCTATATGTATTTTGTGACGATTGTTCTCGAGTTCTTTGTGATATCTGGTATCATACCAACGGCACATTCATCCTATCCGGTAGGTGGAGCCGGGCGGCGCATGGGTGTGGAATATGTCTCTTACAATTGTAATCTGTCCACTAGTATTTCGCGGCGGCACATATTGCCATGGTCATCACTACTCTATGGTGTCTTTTACTTAATGGCTTTGTCGGCTTCCAATGGGCAGAAGACGGAACTCCACTCTCTCTTTGGGTAAGTCTTCCACGCTGTTTTCATGTCACTTTTTGCGATTAGCTAATATAGAACATATTGCTAGTCTATCCGCATCAGTTCCTTGATCATCTTTGGCATTAGCTTCTTCATCAGTATTGCGACCTTCCAAAATATTGCCGGGTTCAGCAGAACAAGCCCCACGCCGCTCTTTATTATATACTTTGTTTTTGGTGCCGCTTTCATCCTTATTTACGTGTTGCTCCAAATTGTGCTGGTGGTAAACACCTTGGACGATCGATGGCCACTTGGTGAGTCACAGTGTGATATTTTTTTGTTACGCAGGGCCGCCATACTGAATATGACCTTTCATTCAGGTGATATCTTATTTGGTTTCACATTCTTCGTTGTGGGACGAATCTTTGAATACGTGATATCGAAAGAGATTTGCGATATGGCAAAGCATTATGTGGACGGCATGTTCTTTGGAACGATTTGCACACTACTTGCCGTAATGATGGTCTACAAGTATTGGGACTCTATTACGAAGGAGGATTTGGAGTTTTCTGTGGGCGGGAAGAGTAATGTATGGGAAATCAAGGACCCATTGTTGAGTGATGATGGGTTGGCCGCTATGGGCCGGGACGAGAGGATGTACGACAGGTATTAATATGTATTATTTGTAATGTGTATACAGATGTAGTAGATTTGGTCATTGTATTCTGTCCGTTTTTTTTTAATCATTGCTATTCTTCCACGGTATCGTGGACGAAGTCTCCCACCTAGGCACGTGAAGGGGCGGGGTTCACAATATTTTGGTAATCAAGCGGGACCATGAGGGTTTCCACCGCAGCCAGCAACGCTTAAGGTTGTGCAGAGTCGTCGTCCTTTCCCCCGACAGCCGTCCTCTTTCCGGGACTCGGGCGGATCACCATACACCACATTCCCCCGCTTATATACCCATTCGCTACGCGCGCCACGGCGCTCTCTACTCATGCCGGTCACCTTACTATACGCGGGCACCACGGACATTGGTCGTCGTACCTCGCAACAAGACGATTATATTCTCAAGGATACCCTTTTCCCAAATGTTCCCGACTCTTATCTTTTCGCCGTGTTCGACGGCCATGGGGCGGACGGTGCAAAAGCCGCGTCGTTTGCAAAACACGCCTTCAGTACGACGCTTTCCTCTCTCCAAAGCCAGTTATCTCAAGATCCTGTAAATACCATGAAAGAGACATTTAGGGTGGTTAACGAACAGCTGGTGGAAAATCAAGCCATAGATACGTACATGTCTGGATCGACCGTCGCGTTGGTTGTTATTTTTGATGGGAAAATGATTATCGCACATATTGGGGACAGTAAAGTTGTGCTGGGGAGCAGAGATGAAACAGGAACGTGGAGAATAGACAAATTAACAAAGTAAGATAACATGCTCTACATCACGTAGCGCGCTTCTCCTACTATCCAAGATGACTTATTGGGGTTTTCGTTCAAAAAGGGACCACACATGCGACGACGCAACCGAGATGGCGCGAGTAATAGCTGCTGGTGCTCGAGTAGAACGATTGGATGTGCAAGATGGTAAGGACTTGGGACGCTCTCGATCTGTATAGTTAGCCCTCATGGCTTATTGATGCGGTTACAGGTCCTTTGCGGATATTTAAAGGAAGTCTGCCTTATCCAGGGTAAGTCACTGAAGCTTTCGAATGATGCAAATGCCTGCTCCCTGAACCGTCTTGGCCTTTTCAGGTTGGTAGTGACCCGAGCATTGGGTGATACAGTTGCAACTCGTCTCGGCATACTGTGGGAACCGGACGTCACTGTTCGCGACATCATCCCTACGGACGCGTTTTTGGTGCTTGCAACCGACGGAGTGTGGGACGGGGTATCTTTGGAGGAAGTCCTGGTGATTGTTTCCAAAGAAACTGACCCTCTCGCCGCCAGTAGGCAAATAACACAAAGCAGTCTGGCGGGGATGGATAGGCAACAGCTAGATGATAACACGACAAACATTGTAGTATATATTAATTCATGAACAGGCGCGAGTAAATACTAGTAATAACGACAATGTGCGAGATCTACTCTATAATGCAATGATCTAAAACCGGGAAAAATCAATGGATGGAATGTAGGCATGTTGCTTGGGCCCTTGGGTATCGGTACGTCCCAACCAGAGATCCACAATCTGACACGTTGGTACACGTATTCAATGGGAATGTGCTCTTCAGTAAACGGACAAGGTGTCTCGTATCATCGTTCAACGACTAGCTCACGATCCATACTCGGTTGTGATATCTGTTCTTCGAATCCATTCCGAATCCACTCAAAATTAGGCCATATCTATGATCAAACGACATATATAAGATATCAATCTCAACTACATTGTGCCATCTCCCACTTTCGCAGGATACACAAACCTTGCATAGTACTCGGCCACGAAGTAAGCCAAGGGATACTGGTCCATATTTGCGAGAGTCTGTTGAATTGGTAAAGTTATCGCCTTGGAGCCATATATGCCCTGGCGGCACCTATTTACATGATCAGAGCTGATGAGGATAATTCCCATGTTAAGCGTGGTTGGAGTAACTTGTTCCCACCGTAATATATCTCCGCTCCGATAACGTAGGATCTACGCATACAAAGTCTCCCGGCTGCATATGTATAACATGTTAAGGTTGCCTGATACAAAGGCTTTGATCGTATGGGTACCCACCAAGCCCAACACTCTTTTGCATATCGCCTTCTGTGGATTTGTCGGAGATACACACACAACCACATCCCCCAGGTCCAACTTTCGATAATGTCTTGATACATGCTCCACCACTACAATATCTCCGACAATGTTGAAGGTCGGAAGCATGGAAGGCCCTATGCACTGGCGATCTCAGGTTACGTGGTGATGCGAAGCAGACTGCAGTGCATGTCATTAACTTACCATTGTGACTTCAGCTACATAATTTTGAAAGAGAAGCATAACACATCCACCTTGAACGCTCCAACTGAAGAAGCGCAAGGCCGGTCGGAATGGTATTCGGCTGAAAAGTCCCATTGTACTATATTCTGTAAGAGTAAAAGAATGAATGCAATCTCAGTCGAGAATGAGGTCGGGCCGATGATAATAGCGATTATATTCAAGTGGCACAGTCTTGCTTGAGTAAACGCTAGCTCGTCGTTCCTTGCCCAGACCTGACGATTTGGGGTTAAAAATGGAGCATAGAATAAGGTTTACCTCCCGACCCACACTTCCCGACTCACTCACATGGTCAGATGACAACCAAATAGCAGTGATTACGTTCAAAGCGGTCAACATTGTGGTCAGTTCAGCTTCTTCGGATGGGTATGGGACGCAATGATCTAAGAATGGTGTGTTAGACTCCTCAACACAAAAACCGGACCGTTGAACTTGTACGGACGAGTATATTGAATACAGCGGCACCAAAGAGGGAACACAGCCTAGCTCCACAGTTGCAGAAAGTCGAAAATGGTACAGTACGGTGAATCGAAACTGGGCAGAGATCGTGTTCGTATACTCACCAGGTCTTGTGAGCAGAGGATATTCGAGCCGCCCATGTGTGGAGGGAAGGGTTTAGATGCATGGCTTGGTCACCAACCGGATGCTCATCTATGAAGGGGTAAGGAGAGGGCTCTTAAAAGCAAAAACTGCTTCCTGATGAATGCTCCTTATCGCGACGTAGATGTCTACTTGCGACAGTCAGCACACATCATTCGGTACTCTTATGGGCTCCAATGGATGATCCCGCTACGGCAGAATGGGAACAGGTGACGATGGCATCTGTTCATGAGTCGCGAGGTGATGCGTGGATTCTAATGCAAGGCTTTAGATTTGCGATCTATCTGACATGTTGCGCGCTAGATGTGAAGCAGACAACAACGAAGCAGACCTGTCTCCCCAGCATCTCAGCTCGCTATCCGTTATCTGTAAGGCATTAGAGGTCAAAGACCACTGACTTCAGTGCTGATGCGATTCCTACTAGCCATCGGGTGGTCGCCGCTCAACTTGAACCCGAAGAAGCCCACGTTTTCTCTAATAGCACTTGGGTCGAAAGACGGGACAGTCAGCCTTTGGAGGTAGAGACCATTGTCAAGCTGCCGCATACTCTAGACTCTTGCACTCATCTCATCGCTAGGTATCGGGAAGGTGAAATAACACATTGTGGGACCTTTTCGGCGCATAGTGCATGGGTCAGCAGTCTAAGTTGGTCTGATTGGACTACTGCCATGACAGGAGAGTCATGTATGAGTTGTCAGAATTCCGATAAGTCCGTGAAATCGCGTATTCATCTTCATCTGCTTTGTAGATGCATATCTGGCTACCAGTGGATCTGATGGCTCAGTGAAGGTGTGGATCGTTAATCTCAAGGATCACGAGATGTTTGAGTGTGATATCAAGCTCCAATCCGACGTGTTCCGACCCGATGCTAGAGGAGCATCTCTTATCAAGTTTCTGCATCCTTCGGTAAGGTGCCAATGTCCCTAATTTCTAACCAGATGGATCCATTTATACCTTCATTTATGCGCTAGGTCGTCGGGAAATCCATCCGACTGGTTGCGGCCAAAGGCAGAATAGTAAGCCTATGGTTTGCCCCATCAGGGGAGTCGGAAATATTGAAGGATATTATCACCTATAAACTTCCGCCTACGATGTCGGTTGGAGGTTCAGTATTGTTCTCAGTGTCTTACAAGTGCAAATATACTGATCATTGTTCATGGTACAGGTGTGGTGTGGGGTTTGGATGGGGAAGAGCTCAGATTGTACACGGTCGATGGTCAGTGCTACGTGTTGGCACTTGAGGACTTGCCACAGGAAAGGCGTATGGTTCTTGTAGAGGATGGAACGGCACATCTTCACCGCGAACTCCTACACACCTCATCGTCGGCAGCCGATATGGATGATGATGATCGCGCGAACACTGACGAAGGCGTTGATCTCGAAGTTGCTGGTACTCAAAGCAAACAGCTACGGATATTTGGCGCTGCAACATCCGGAAATAGTATGTTTGATGCCATAGTTTATTGGTAAGTGAGGTTGGATGGCTGAGAATGGACGTTTGAAACCTCAACCTAATGCGTTTGGCATAGCGTGGCATCCTCATCCGACATGGAGTACAGCACAGAAAAGTCGCTGATCTCTCACTTGTCGTTGCGACCAACATTTCCACAGAGTGGGGAAGAGTTTGAGAATGAGCTGGTTGCTCGCATTGAAGGAATTATGCGAAAAGAGGACATAAGTAGGTGGTTTGCTGATAGATGCTGGTGACATACACACTTGATTAACCCGGGACTTTGGATAGTGCTGCAGTGGCCATCGGCGTTTTTACTCTGGGACGTCATACAATATTGTGCAACGGACTTGGCACAGTGGGCGAATATGGAAGATACCTTTCTGCATCGCCTGATAGGAATCATGCGAGATTTTTACATAAGTTCTGATGGTACAGCTGCTGGGATCACCAATAGTGTGAAGGGAGGTCCAGGTCTGGATAGGTAAGAATCCGGTTATGATACTTTTCCTTCGTGCCTTTTCTGATATGCACTTGGCCTCAGCCTTGTACAATCATATTCCCATCACTTGTTTGTCAATCGTAATATCAACGCACTACGACTGATGAACTATCTGTGCCTAACCATCAAAGTGAGTAATGAGCGCAGCCGCGAGCTTGACTACATTTTGACCGAATCACATGCAGGTGCCTCGACTGGAACTAGGAGCTCGGCTGAAATCTATTGTGACGAACAATAGAAAGCTGCTGCTTCAGCATTACATAAAAGAGACATTGATATTTGTTGAAAAATGCTTACAGCTTCCCACCATGTTACCTTCTGGTATGTCGATACATTCGAGAGTCAAATCTGTCAGGTTATCTAACACCAAATTTTGGTGCAGCGTCCGATGTCGAGATCCTACGACTTAACACCAACTATGTCTTCAATAATTGCCGCGACCCTGCCCTCAAATCCTCACTTCCCGTACTCCAAGCCATTCATCAGCACTTGAAAGCAAGAAGGGCGGCCGGTGCACAATCATACCCGTATGACCCAGATGGGGTCATATCTGTTTTGGATCAGTTGGTCAAAACAGAAATGCCAGATATCGTAGCGGATCAGGCTAGTATCGAGCACTGCCGCGCTTGCCAATCCCGAATTCCGTTCGACTCACCGTGGCAAGCAGCATGTGACAATGGCCATGTTTGGGGTAATTTGTGAGCTGTCGTTGTGACGAGATGTGATGGGCTGAGCATTAATGCTGGTCCTCCCCGCCTATAGTGCGATGCATGGTAACTTTAAAAAGTGTAATGGTGCCGCAGGTGCGAGCGTGCCTTGGATGTGGGCGAAGTAGTCTTATGGGTAGGTGCCCTAACCAATTCCTGAGTCTGACTGTCGTGAATAACACTACTATTGCCAGGGCACGGAAACGGGCTAACCAATACGGTGCTGAGAGAAGTGAGCCAATGTATATATTGTGGAAATCGGATGAGGGGACCCATGTTTTAGATGTGTGAGTGTTCCAGGGTATCAAGTTTCTAAACTTTCAAATACACAACAGAAGTTTTTGGCATCATGAGAAATGCAGTTATTTGTTTGTAGAGCAATGCCCATCATCATGTTCACCAATGCAAAAGGGTTCCTGTTCCAAAAACTTAAATATTTGCAATGGGGCTTGTCGGAGATGATGACGCTCAAGCGGCCGCCCAAAAGTGCCGCTAGATGGCTAAGCCACGGAATGTTGTAACGGGTGCTCCGTGTGTCCTTTTCACCCCCAAGTTTCCTGCGGGTTGCACCCTTTGTCTCATCCTTTTTTATTGTTCCATCATCGCTGCTTGCATTCCTCCCACTCCATTAGACCCCTGTGGCAGCAATGCACACACCAGCAGCAGCAGTACCGCCTCGTGTACTGGGAGCATCGGTCTCGTATTCTGACGAGACCGAAAGGTTCATCGCCATGCCAGCCCCGCACAAACCGTTGGCACTTCGCAGTCTCCATATGCTGGTCCCAAGGATAGATACGTCTTCCCCAAGTTGTAAAGGAATTCCGATGCAAGACGCCCAGAACAAGAGGCCTACTATGGGTACCGGAAGGCACTCCATTTTGACTCGAAAGGACAGTCTACCACTATCTCCGTTGATTGAGCATGTTGAAAAGGGATCTAAAAGGTTGGTGTCAAGGACTTTGCTCGGCGATGATCATGAACTCATTTGTCTTTGCGGTACCCAAAAGTTTTAGCTTCCCGGGTGACGATGATGCTGTTGCCGAGTTGATGGAGATCGTTGGCTTGCGTCGGCCAAACGCACCCTCTCCCGTCTCACACTTGGTGGAAACGCCTCTATTGAATAAGCGCAGAAACTCTTCGGTCCCTCAGCTCTTTGAAATGGAACATGGACAGGATGATAGCGGAGATACTCGCTCTCCTGTTATTGAACCTCCGAGATTATCCGAAACGCCATTCAAGCCGACTGCACGCAAGGGATACTATGACGAACCTTTGTCGCCGTGTTCCGAGTTGCGCATGACTGGTGAGTTTGTCCGTTACGGGCTTTGGTAGCTTTCATCGTTCAGTAAACTAATAATCATGCGTCCCTTATTAGATAGATCTCCGGTGTCCCGCACAAGGAATCCAATTCCTTTCAATTCCCCGTTCTTGAATCGTCGACGAATGGCTTCTCCGCTCGCGGTTTCTCCCACGATCGTGCGACGCGAACCTGGAGTCGAACTGGGTCTCTTGTCTCCATCCCCTGAACTGAGAACTCCTTTCATTTTCCGTTCTACCAATCCTGTCCCCAGTCGCTTAGCCGAATATTCCTGCAGTGTCGACGTCCAAGGTCGGCCGCGCTCCAAGTCGGTCACCGACCTGGATGGCCGTATTCGCATGGCATTCGCTTGTTGATATGTACAATTTCTTTGCTGATGATGTAGATTTAGTCTTTCTTGTTTTTCTTTCTCACCCCACTTCTCTTGTTTACAAATTCTTGTACAAAGCGAACATCCCTTACTCTAGAGGGTCTATTTGTGAAGTAGAGTAGTTGACTGTACAATAAGCAATTATGATTTTTCAATTAGCAGTGGTCAGATCTTTTTCTTGTTCTTTACATTGTTGATCTACAGATCTTTTTCTTCTTCTTTACATTGTTGATCTACATATTATTTCTAGTTGCTACATATTAAACCGGAGGTACGGTCCCTCTAGCGGCCGCGCGGGACGGATGCTTAAGAGTAATATAGACCGCATGCGCGGCACCTGTTAACCAAGGATCATCAGCCACAAAAAGAAACACTAACAAAAGCACTGCTGCATAAAACACACCAGGTATGTATCCTGTATAAACATATGATGGACAAGCAATAGTTGTTAGTTATGAACCTCGATCCTACATGGTGAATACGTACCTAAAATGGTGAGCAAAACTGCGGTTTGACGCATTAGATACAAGCTTTTAACAAAATGTCACAATCTCATGTAATATCTTACCACTATAATGTTTTTGGATTTCATGGAGGAAAACATCTTGAATCAACAAAAAATCGTTCCAAACGATAATCGCCGTTGATATACACTCACTTTATCCAAAAATCTGCAGCGCAACCTCGTTTCAGGAAAACAGCCAACGGAGGCAAGAAGAGGGAGATCAGAATGTTGCAAAGGTCAGCGCAGGTTCCCATGATGTTTTGTCGTTAAGTGTTATGTCGAGTCGTCTTCTAAAGTATGATCGGAGGGGCCCCCTAACCTTGCTTCCGCTTTTATATGCGGTGAACATCGTGCGTCATCATCGCTAGTTTCATGTTGCCACGCACGTATCGAACTCCTACACTATTAATCATTGGAACTGCCATTGCAACCACACAGTTAACGTGACTTGAGAGATGCAGTCAGTGACTATATGCATTTGATTGAGTTAATGCATTGTAACCTGATTAACAGTGTAGGAGTGGTAATGGAACGTTCCGATGATCACACAGCCATAGCCGTTGGAAATTGACGGTTGGATTGAAATTGTGGTAAATGAAGGTAAATGAAGGGTGATATAATTTCTATTTACATGTTTGCTAGCTAGTACTATAAGTAATAAACACTATTCACTCTGTAAACGCTCTACATAAGCAACAGCGGCCTGCTTGACATGCTCCACAGATTCTGGAGTACCATGCTTCTTTTCATACTCGAGGTACTTTTTAAAGAAAAACTTCATCTTCTTTGAGGAAACCTTGAGGTTGATCACACGCTCGAAGAGTCGTCTAACGAACGGAAAGATGTTCAGCGTGGCTGTCACATTGTACACCCCATCCATTGTTTCTCACCTTATGATAGCAGCATCTCCGTTGCGCATTTCCATGTCCAAATATATAGACCATAAATCGATCCGTTTGGGATAATTGCTCATGATGCCTTCAAATATCGTTCGTCCACGTTCGGGCTCGCCGTACTTGAATTCCATTTGAGCAAACTTGCAGATCGTTTTCACATCTGCGCGGTAAGGTAAGAAGAACCGTACTCCTAAAGTCAATGATCAATTGCATCTACATACGTTTTCGCTTAGGAAGACTCTGTAAGCTTCGCTGAAGAATTCGGCGGGCGTCTTCCACTTTGCCTCGTCTAAGTTGATAAAGACCGTATGACGTCCAGATCTTTGAGCTCGTGTTGAACTTCTTTGTCATAACCTGGTGCAACTGATTTGCAAGCTGTAATGGGATCACGAAGAGTGAATAAACGAGCATTCCCACATATAGTACAGGATATGGAAAGTCTGCAACTTACATCCCACTTTTCGGTACGTTCATAAATCCGAACGAGATGAATGTACACTGCCTTTGGATTATTCATCGCTACCGCCCGCTCAAAAACTTTCAACAAACTCTCCTGAGTGCCGTACGTGTTCTCCAGATTCATAAGTGCCACCCAAACGTTCATTTTCTCCTGTTCCTCTCGGAAACTGATCGTCTTCAATGCTCGCTCAGCTACTTCCCGTGCTTTCTCAATTTCGGCTAGTTGGAGCTGGAAAGCCATGAACTTGATCCACAGGAACGAGCTGTTGGGAGATCCAAGTAACAAACGCTCAAAGTCTTCCGCTAATTCCGGTGGCTTGTCACCCTCAAGCAAGGATTGTTCCTTTTCTGCAATGCGTTCTTCTTCTTCGCGCTTCGCACGCTGTTTCGCACGGCGAGATTTCTTTTTCGCGGCTTTTTCTTCCGCGTCCTCAGCATCACTTTCGGACTCTGGCTCTTCCTCTCCTGCAGAAGCTTCTGCTCCATCCCAGTCGAATCCACCAATGTCCAAGGGAGCAGTACCGTCTTCATTATCATCGTCATCACTCTCTTCATCATCATATCCTGAATATGCCCCGTCGGCTTCATCTTCCTCATCATCCTCAGCTTCTTCGTCCTCCTCGCTATCGACATGCTCATCGTCCACGTCCATTGCGTTAGCATCTTCATCCTCCCCAACGACGTTGTCAACGTCCATTGCATCAGCCGGCTCATTGTCGTCCGTGTCCATCTCATCAAAGTAAGACGCTTTTAAACCGAGAGACAATTTTTTCTTCTCCAGGTCGACTTTGAGTACAACAGCCTTCACAGGATCTCCCACAGAGTAGAGTTTCTCAATCATATTCACCGGATTATCAGACAATTCTGACTTGTGGCATAGGCCACTGAGGGAACTGTGAGCGAGTTGAATAAAGACACCGTATTCAGCAATCTTCTTTACAGTCCCCTTCACTTTTTGACCCTGCTCAATATTACTCCAGGTGTACATCTGCGGATTGGCGTCGGGATCCACAACACTCTGCTTCATAGACATTTCGATACGGTTTACCGCAGGGTTGACAGCGACGATCCTTCCTCGGACGAGCTGCCCTACCTTGAAAGCCGACTGCCAGTCTTTGATGAACGCGTCAGAGAGCTCGCTAATTTTTACTCTGGCAGCCAAATGGCGATTGAGAGCGACGAACAGTCCCCCAGACCCGACACTCCGCACATATCCGCTGACCACTGTATCATTCTTGATGTGGGCGATATCTTTGACCTCTGGATCAGAGACATCCTCGGCCACATTCTTCAGACGCGACTCCCGCAAAGACAAGTCAAGCTGATTCTTTTCTCGGGTCACACCAATCACGCAACATTGAACAATCCTTCCGGGTTGGAAACCTGCAAGTGGCTCTTTTTGGTACGTATCGCTGAGGTCGGTCAGATGGACTCGTCCATATAGCGACGAAGACACCTGTATTGTCAACCCCTGTCCTGGTTGCAAAAGTGTAATACGGCCATGGAGCAGTTGACCGACTTTCACAGTGTCCAAAGTGATGAGAGACTCGGGAGTAGGTTCACACAAGGAAAGGTCAAGAGTACTTTTCTCCGCATTCTTCTTCTGGACCCAACAACGCACTGCAGTCCCAGGCGGGAAATGCTTTTGAGGTTTCCGTAGAACACTGGGATCCGGATGTGTTAACAAATGAGCTCGGCCGAGCAATGATGGGCTGATGTGGATCCAAAGAGCATCATCATCGACACTTTGCACAATACCAATATATTCAGTTCCAACCGTAACGTTGTCGAGGGTCGATGGAGCCTTTGAGGCATCCGTGAGCTCAAAGTCAGGTACTGCCATATCAGATGGCTTCACAGTCAGCTCAACGGCCGTCTGAGAAACAGGCTTACGGTGACTGAAGGGGAGGGTCCGATGCGTCTTGACGTCATGGAAACCGATGACTTTGCAATCAATGATTTCACCAACTTTGAAGTGTCGCAGAGGGTGCTTGGGGTCCGCAATGTCGGCAAGGTTATCGCTTACTTGCGTGCCATGTATTCTGCCTTTTAAGTTGGCACCAAGAGAAATGTTAACCTGGGTGTCCTTTATTGAAGTGATCTTCCCTTTGACTCGTGCGCCAAGGGTGTAGTCGTCAAGCCTGCGGAAATTAGGGTCAACAGAATTTTTCACCGTCCGCTGTGCATCGAGAAGATCCTTTGGCTGATCGTTCTCCGGTATCGGCACAACTAGGAACTTTTGCTTGAGAAATCCATCCATTTTGCTGTCTGGCTGAGCTTCAGGTAAAGCTGTAATCGTAACCTTAAGTTGCTGCCCGACTCTGAACTTGGTAAATGGTGTTCCAGGAGAATTCAGATTCTTGGCAAGGGCGAAAGCAACGGCATTGTGGATAGCCGGCAGAGTCAAGATTCCATAGTCCTCCTTGACAATCTGAACGACCGCGTCCACTATGGTTCCTTTGTCAAATGCAGCCTTGACCTGGGATAGCGTACCGATTAAAAACAAATGAGGGGCAGACAATATACAGCGATAGATAGCATACCTTTTTGGACGTAGCCGCATCAATATTCTCCTTGTCCGTGTTGGTGTCATCTTCAGACGCGACGATGAGATCCACAATACGCCGCTCTGCATTGACATCTACAATCTTTCCGTTGACGCTAGTACCAACATTCAATATCGTTCCCTTCGGGGTGTTCGTAATCAGTCCCGACACTCCGTCCTTGAGATCTACAATAACACCGTAGGGCATCTGCTTTTTCACGGTGCCCACCACTTTTCCGCCAAGACGGAAGCGACCAGCCCAATCACGGATACTCTTGGAAGTGTCTTTCGCGGTCTTTCCAAATTGCAGGAGATCTTGCTCTCGGAACAAGGATCGTAGTAGTGCGGTCTCAAAGACCTTTGAAGCATCCGATTTTGCACAGTGCGAATGTTTGAGGCTGACTTCGACGCGACGGCTCTCGACATCCACATTCGTTATTGCGACAAGGACAGTTTGACCGACTTTCAGGAAATCAGAAGGATTTGCCACGAATCGATCAGAGATGTTCTGCAATTGTTACCCGCACATTAAAAGATAGACAACGGTGGTTACTAAACACGAAATGAGCTTACATGAAGCTTCGCCATGCCGACTAAATCACCCAGTAACCCAACGAAACACGCCTTTTCTGTTATGTTTTTGACGTATCCAGGGACGACCATTCCTTCCTTGTAATCTTCAAAAGTAGGAACGCTGTTGTGGCGGCCAATTTCATCAACTAGCAGACCTTTCATGGAGACGACTACATGGCCCTTCTTGGTATCCTTTCCAAGGACTACCAAGTTAGATAGTGAATCTCCTTCACGTAATGTTTTGAACAGCTTGTCCGCAGTCACGGGGTGATCTGTGAGGTGCGCCTTGGTCAAGTAACCCCGAACAAGTGAAGGCTTAAGCTCAATTAAGACACCATCTGGGAGTACACTGATGATCTTCCCACTGACAGTATCCCCAATATTGACGGCATCTAAACTGAGAGATCCTTGTGGACCTTTGCCAAGCAGCTTGATGCTTACACGCATTTTCTCATCTTCAACATCCACCGAAATGACACGACATTTCACAACTTGTCCGACTGTAAACAATTTCGACGGGTCTTCCACGAACTTTTCGCTGAGCTCAGGCAATGGGGCCAGCGCCCGCACTCCATTGTAGAAGGATACAATACATCCAAAGGTTTTCACGCTGCTGATGACACCATGGACGAGGTCCCCGACTTTCGCATCAGCATATGACAAGATTCGAGGTAGATTGGAGCTCATCAAAGTCTTCTTGTGTGTCAAAATGACGCGCTTCTCCTTGACGTCGACTGACAAGACTTGACACTTTATGGGCGCCCCTATCTTGAACATCTTCTCTGGATTGCTGAGGTTGATGTCGGAGAGGTGATTCTTGGGGCAAAGGCCATTGATTGTGCTCGACAGCGCCACGATCATGCCCGCCGGAGTCAGCTTGACCACTTGGCCCTTCACTGTCATACCAGGTTTGATATCTGAATGCCGCATGAAACGTTGCTCCAAAATGCTTTTCTGGAAGGTGAGTTGCAGTAATCCATCGCAATAATCAAATCCAAGAACCCTTCCGCGATGCTTAGAACCAAGCTTGAATTTCTTTTCTATTTTGTCGATTGGGCTGTCTGACAGGCGAGATATGTGTGTATATCCGAGCCCATATGTAGGGTGCTCTACTAACACACCCACTTTTGCATCGATACGTGCGATGGTCAAGTCCTCGACGATACTGCCGACGTCGATAACGGATTGCGGAGGAAATTGATAAGGAACGCTGTCAAGGAGATGGGGTGCAAGAGTCAATGCTATCTTTTTCCTACTGGCGCTGATGTAAAGTATTCGCGCCCGGACTTTCTGGCCCGCTTTGTAGTGCGCGTTCAGGTCTTCCTCTGGATTTCTGACGACAAATCCCGCGTGAGCCATGTTGACTGTCCCCTCAAGGACGCCCAAGAAAGTGAGCAGTAAGCCATTGCCCAAAACCGCCTTGATTTTTGTATTGACAAGAGCGCCAGCCTTCAGCGTATCGAACCCGGCGGCGTGACTCGCTGGGATCACGGATTTCGTTAGGCCGGCAGAATCCAAAGTGACGGAAACTACTCGACGCGTATCATCAATCTTTAAAACTCCACCGTACACCAGCTGCCCTACTTTCAACGGCCGTCCTCCGTTCCTTTCAGATATGTAGGTATTTGCGTTCTTTCGAAGAAGAAACCCGGAAATCCCCCCAATGCCAAATGATAAAATGTATCCATGGTCCTCCTCACTCGTGATTGTAGCTGGTAGCATGAACCCCTCTACAAGATCTCCTGTAGATAGGTTTGCATTCACCGCTTCCGGTTTCAACGATAGAGCCACACGTCTTTTTCCCGATGCTTTATCTGCTCCCTCTTCCCCGGCCCCTGTATCATGCTCGAGATCTGTGACTACACAGGAAACAACTTGCCCGATCGAGAACAAGTCCTTAAGCTCGGGAAGGGGTGACTCATCATCTCCACTCTCTTCGTCATCGCCGACAGCCTTCTGAAGCTGAGCGGTTATTGCGTCAGAGATCTCAGTTATAGAAACATAACCGGTGAGTTGCCCTGGGAGCGACACTGCTAAATCCAGCTCGTTGATCTCCTTGACACAGCCCAATAAGCTCATTCCGACGTCAAGGCGCTTGAATGACAGAGTTTCGGCGAAGGAGGTATCGTCCGTCCGCGACTTTTTGGATCCCAATTCGCCATTGTTGGATTCATCCTCGGCTCTTCGTCTCTTCTTTTTCTGCTTTGGCTTTTCCTCCGTTTCGGTTTGCTTTCATACCCAGAAGGTAAGAGATTTGAACAATACAGAGCTGCTCGAATACAACCTACCTCAAATAGAATATCCTTTCTCGCTTGATCGGTGACATCACGATATTCTAGAGGTGTAAGAGCAGAAGCTCCCCCTCGCGGAAAATATTCTTCCGTGGCAGCAACTTCGCCATGACTGTCCTTTGGAGCCTTCTGGTCTCCTACATGATTCTCGGCAGGTGCCCGCTGTTCCAACTTCTTTTTCTTACCGGAGGAACTAGCCGCCGCTGGTGTCGCTGGTGTTTGCTTTTGCGGGGTGCTGCTCGTCTTTCGCTTCTTGGTGTCTGAGGCTGATTTGACCGGTGCCATGATAGTCTGGGCAAGACCTTCAAATGATACGAAGGTAGCTCTTATACACCGTATCTGGCCCCGGAGATGTGTTTTTTGCTCTGGTTGTTGACTAGATAGGAGGAACTGTTGAAACTCCTTTCTAGTCAATGACCTTGAAGAGGGACTGAACGCAGTTCGTCAAAAAAATTTCAGATATCTGATTGGCTAATACAGCGCGTTATTGGAGAGTTTCGAGGCAGCCATTTCACACACGAAGAGATTGGCTCATTTGCGAGGAGGAAGAGCAACGAGTGAGCCAACCACAAAAAGCAAAACGAACATGGCAAAGGAACTGAATTCAAAAGAGGAGATTGAAGCATTCATTGATTCGATCGATACATTTCTACTGGATTGCGATGGTACTAGAGGTCTCAGTAGACGGCATGTCGTCGCCTTGCCCTCAACCTTGCTTGGCCCCGGATTTAGGTGTCATTTGGTCTGGGAATCACGTAATAGACGGTGTGCAAGAAGTTCTCGACTTGCTTCGGGCAAAGGTACATGAAATATCTGATAATTTGCACCAAGTGGTAATTATCACTGACGGCATTATGCAGGGAAAACGCCTGCTCTTCGTAACAAACAACAGCACAAAATCGCGAGCTGCATATTTAAAAAAGTTTGCGTCCCTCCATATAAACGCTTCAGTCGTAAGAAGAAAATATTTTTCAAAAATGCATATTTGGCAATATTCCTAACCTGTCCAACCTGTCTTCGTGTAAGGATGAGATTTTTGGGTCATCTTATGCTGCGGCATATTACATTGCCAACGTTCTCAATTTCCCGAAAGACAAGAAGGTTTATGTCATTGGCATGAGCGGTATACGGGAGGAACTGGCATCGGAGGGTATTAGATATGCGGGTGCCGAGGTACGGTTGGCATTTTCGACTGTTATACAGTGGTCGATTTTTGGGTTTTAACGGCTTTGTTAGGATGACAATGAAAATCTTGCGGACATGAGTCTGATGTCGTCAATCCATCCCGATCCAGAGATTGGTGCCGTTCTACTGGGCTTCGACCTCAACATTAACTACAAAAAGCTCGCAAAAGCTTTTACATATCTTCATGCCGACGACCAGTGTCATTTCTTGGCTACGAATAGTGATCTGACTTTCCCTGCTGGAGGGACTGTTTATCCCGGTACCGGAGCCCTACTTGCTGCTTTGGCTGCTCCATTAGAACGCAAGCCTCTGGTTCTAGGTAAACCGCACCAGCCAATGCTGGATGTCATAGTGGCCAAGTATGCACGCGTCCCTAAAGTTAGTATGGACGATGAGAATATCGCTCAATAACATATGACATGAACAGGTACCACCTTAACAAGGATAGAACATGTATGATTGGAGATAGGTGAGTTTCATGCGAGCGGCACACAGTTTGGCATCGTTCGCTGAGTGACGCCATCCACAGACTAGATACAGATATTGAATTTGGGAAGAAGGGCGGGTTAAAGACTCTACTAGTCATGACCGGTAAATGCACGTCATTGACTTGCGTCACACTGCAGCCATCTTCTCATAAACCTTGCGTAGGTGTAACGAATCCCGATAAATTAAAGCGATCCCCTATTCAACCAGACTGCTATATATCCAGTCTTGGATGGTTGAGGCCGTAGATAGATACATCACAGTAGATATGCGGCTTCGTATAGGACATGGATATAGTGTATTTGCACTGCAATGATTCAGGCATAGAAACATTCCGGACAGCAATTGTATTATAGACACTGAATTAAATCCCGATTGTAACATACATGTTATTTCTTTTTGCCTTTTCCTTTCACCTTGGCGCCTTTTTTCGCTGTGTTTGTCTATTTAAGACGCAAGAGTTAGACTTCCTGCAAAAGTAAGATGCTCGAAAAGACTCGCCTTTCTTTTTTTAAGTAAGTCCCTTCGGACTCTGTAGCCTCGGAACCAGGCCTGAATCCGTACCGCGGCATGCATCTGACGCCTTAGTTCCTTCTCTCGTTCCTACTCAATTCCACAGCGGTTAGCGCGATGGACGGATATCGCAGATGAGACTAACTATCTTGCCTTTTCTTTCTCTTCCTCAACACGCCGCTCTTCCATAATTGCCTCATACTCCTTTCTCAACTCAGAGTGTCTTGCTGTGAGCTCGTCGAGCTGAGCTTTTTCTTCAAGATATATAGCCTAGTGGCAAAACCTGTTCAATCAGAAATGTATTTCAAAACGTCTCGGGTGGAAGGACCTGGGTACCGTAATATCCTCAAGTTCAGTTTGTTTTTCGTCCATGTCTTGATCGTACTTGTGTATCCAGTTCTCGACTTCGGATTCAATCTTAAACTTTCGTTTGCGGAGTTGGGCTTCTTCTTCTCCATTCCGTTTGACGAGTTCTTCCAATTGTGATTTAAGATTGGTAGTTTCCTGCTTTAACGCAGTTTCCTGTAGAAATAGTTGGTCAGCATCTTTAAAGGACATGGTGGGCTAGTTGCAGCGTCCCCTACCCTATCCCGGAACTGCTGTATATCTGAGTCCTCCTTTTGCTTAGAACGAGCTTCGAGTCGCTTTGTTGTTTCCTCTGCCTGTTGTTTAATCTCACGCAGCTCCTCTGCCGAATGGGTATTCGGATGAGCGGTTATATTCGTGTGCAAGCTTTGGGCGTTTTTTGCGTACCTTTCAGTCGTCGAATGATTTCGTTTTTCTTGTTAATATCAGTGGTCCTCTCCTTCCTGGCTTTGTCGAGCTCTTCCCGCAGAGCTTTGACTTCATTGCTGGTCTGCAGGTGTACAATGTGAGTTCCAAATTTCAGCAATGATCACAAGAGCAAATACAATGGACCTTCTGTTCCTTCGCAATGATAATGGAAAGTTGATCTTGCTTCGCCCTCTCTTCCTCCACTGTTGTCCCTAACCGCTCATATACCAGCATTTTCACCTCCTGCAGCAACTGCTCAAATTTAGCAACTGAAGGAAGCTTGGTGGATTTGAGGTATCGTAGTTTGCTTGTCGCCGCTGGATTCTGGAGAAAATGACGGACGAGCGACCTTGTTGCTTGGCGGATTTGCCGGGAGGTATCTTTCAACTCAGACTGAGTACGGAGGACGTAAGGTTCAATTTGCTGCATCATATTGCACATGGACTACGCTATGAAGTATACCCACCGCCACAGAGACCCTGTTCGGGCTGTCATCTTCGTTGCTTTCTAGCAGTGCATTGTACTTGTCCTCCAATTGACGAATTTCCTAAGATTATGAGCTGTAGCAACTGTCATTAAGTCGCGACAATAAATACCTCAGATCCCCATCAGCCTACTTACTGTAATTGCTGTAAAAGTGTCTCCACTAAAGACAGTGGCCATACGGCGGTCCATAACGTCCGGTAGGAGGCCTACGAGCTGCACTTTGCGCTGAGCTTCCACCAGTACAGACATAATTCGCTGTGCTTCGACATTTGTGAGTTTGCTGGAGAAACCGGTATTATCGGTTGATGTTCCGACGGGATCTTGATTAAAGGTGCTTGGCCGAAAGGGCGTACTTTGTCGAGTCACCGAGTTGCGTCCGCTGTCCCCAGTCTCCGTTCCCAGGATTCCCCGGATCGGGGGGAGCGGGGGCTCTCTCGGAAAACTTAATGCTGGATTGATGGCAGTCATGCCGATTGGATTTTGTGAAGGATGCAGACCTTGCACCTTTCGAGATCGGAACAAAAAGTTCGCTTATTTGGAGACACGGCGCTTATCTCACCTTCGACCCGAAATAGCTTTAAATTGAGGGACGCGCGACTAACCGTCGGGGTTAAGATATGATCAACATACAAGTCGATTGCAGTGAACTATTTCACCAAGATAGATTGTGACCATGCGTCAATTCGATCGATCAACTGTTGTCGACGAAGAGCTTCATGATTTGAAGCTTCGGTTTGAACTCTTGGGTGGGTCTGGCGATGTGGGACAAGGCATCTGGCCATGTTCACCCATGCTGCTTTCTATTTCATATAGAGGGCGACCGGAAGGCTTACTACGAAACAAGCCAATGGGCCATCCGGCAAAACAAGGAGGAGGTCAGCCAGCTTCGTATGCGAAATAAGGAGCTCAGTGATGCCATTGCCAAACTCAAAAAGGTACGCCGCACCACTGTCGCTTGGGACGGACCGTCGAATCCTGACAAAAGTTAGTTAGACAGAAGCGGATGTGCAAAGCAACCGTGCCTCCATGTCCGAATTGGAAAAGTTTGATCAAAAGATATGTGAAATGCACAAGAAATTTGATGAACTACAAGCTGAGGCTCGAGCGAAAGAGGAGAAATTGAGAGGAATGCACGACCAGCTAGCGGATTTGCGGAGAGAGGCAGAGATTGTTAAATCAAACCTACAGGATTCGCCACAGGCTAAGGTAATCTGTGCTCGGAGATGAGCGCGATTTTCGTCAATCTAATGTCTAGCGATCAACCTACTTCTAGGAGATACGGATGTTGGAGAACAGGCTCGACAAAGCAATGATCAAGTACAACGAAGCCCAAGCCGTTCGCAAAACATACGAACAGATTGTCAAACGATTGCAAGAGGAACGCTTGACCTTTGATAACCAGCTCGCAAATTTTGAAAAAAGCTTGAAAGCCAAGAAACAGGATGCATCGGAGTTGGAGATGATGTCCAGAGATGCGAACCATGCTAAAGAGGTCGCCAAAGTATGTAAAAGATGAAGCTTTTCCCTATCGGCTTTAGATAGATATTTGACTATAGTGCCAATTTTGCTAGGCAGAATTAGCACGATTGGAGCAGCAGATCAACGAAGAGCGGAAACAGCGAGAAAAGGATTTGCAAACTAGAAAAGAACTAGTGAAGCAAAAATTGGAGATATCCGATAAGATTGACTGGAAGGTTAGCACGAAAGGTTTTGTCTGATGGGTCTTTTGTTGCTTTACTCACCGTGATCTACAGAAGTTACAACTCGAAGACCAAACCGGTGACATGGCGATGACAGCAGAAGCCAATAAAGAACACTACGATGAGGCTCGCGAGAAAAAGATTGTAGAATACGAAGAAAACATGCGACTCATCAAGGAGGCCACTGGAGTGTCTGACATCAACGAAGTCATTGCGAAATTCCAGTCTCAGGGCGATACACACCAGCATTTATCACAACTTCAAAAAGCAAATGAAGCCCGCAATGAAGAACTAAAACGGAAGAAGAAGGAGATTTTGGCAGAATATGAGGATCTCAAGTATTCTGGCGAGGCGAAACTTGCTCATGCTAGGCGCATGATTGAGGAGATGGAGCAACACCTGGCAGAAGCAGAAGTGAAAACAGCTGAAACAAAAGTCAAGTACGAACGAACAGCAAAATTGATGACAAATGCAAAAGCTGGTATCAATCATCTATCTGACAAGCTTGATGGTATCCACCTGGTAGGCGGTCAAGAGATACTTTTCATATTGTCTCAATCGTTGACAGACTTGAAATTTGCCATAGCCCGATACACCATCTCTGAAAATGTCAGACGAGACAGTGGTGCAAATTCTCGAAATATGCATCCGCAAGCTCGAACAGTTGGCCACTAATGTGCAAGGGAAGGAGGTGCCTGAGGTAAGGTCGGAAGAACAAGGAGGCAATTACATTGTCCTTAATTTTGTCCTCCAGCCTGTTGCACCGCAGCCTGTCGCACCCGCCACAGCCGGGGAAACAACGAGCATCTTCCAAATAAGTCCATCTCAACTACCGGTATATAACACACGTGTTAAGCTTCGTCCCGTAGAGTTTGAAGAATCAAGTGGTGAGGGTAGGGACCTGAACTTTCCACAGGACCGTTTTGAAATGAGCTTTAGATAACACATCGATGTTTAACAGATGAGGAAGAAGATGATGATTACGGTGAAGTTCCTGATCGGGAAACCATCAAGAAGCACACCGCGCAGATGCTCAACGCCAAGCTCAAGACGAAGCAGGCAAAGAAAGGCAAAAAGAAGCGGGCAGCAAAGGATGAAGATTGAAATTAATAGTAAATGTAAATGTTTCAATATCGATCATCCCAGAGATGGTCCCGTTAATCGTTGAGGAGTCGCAGAGCAAAGATCAATTGATCATGCAATGGCCAAATTTCCCCAAATATGTACACACAGCCTCCAGGTTCTACAACTTGTCATCTTTCTTGAAGATCCACTTCGCACTGTCGCGAGCCTTCTGTTCTGCATTGGGATCCACTGCAAAATCACGGTCGATTAAGGTATTCTTGTCTGAACACAAGCGTCAGTTTGGGCCTTCAATGTTTGTGGTATGTTTGAAATCTCACCAGGGACGTCCATGCCCCGTCTCACAGCTGGACGTTCAGCCACTCGGTGCAACCATTTGTCAACATTCGGAAACTCATCCTGCAACATTAATATCAGTCGTAGCCCATAAGAACTAGGGAACTAATGTTCTCACCAGGGATACTCCAGCCCAGTTATGGGCCGCCACCCATCCAAAGGAGGCGACATCAGCCAAGGAGTAATCCCCAATAATGTAAGGACGACCATCTGCAAGCTGTCGTTCCAATACGGAATATAACCTTCGAGTTTCATCCTGGTACCGTTTGATACCGTATTCGATCTTCTCCGGAGCTGCAATGCATGTAAGTATATCACAGTTTGCTTTAATCCGGATCGGTTAAAGGCATACCGTAACGGAAGAAGTGATTGGCTTGACCTTGCATCGGTCCCAATCCACCCATCTGCCACATCAACCACTGTATGGCTTCACTGCGTTTGTTGGCATCTTCAGGAAGCAAGAGATGTTCGGGATCATAATGTTCTGCAAGGTACAACAAGATGGCTCCGCTTTCAAATACTGGGAATCCTCCCCTCTTGTTGTCTACAATGGCAGGGATCCGACCGTTGGGGTTGATTTTCAAGAACCATTCTAGAGATACGTATGTTAGCTGGACATCAGCAGTGGACGTTGGTGTATGGCGAATCTCACCTTCTTTCTGCTCAGACTTTTGAAAATTAATCTTGTATGTCTCGTAGGGAAGCTTCAGCTCCTCCAGGGCTATGCTGACTTTCTGTCCGTTTGGAGTTCCTGAGGTAAACGGGTAAGTACCCAAACACACTACAAAGTACGATAATCGAAACTTACCGACTGTGTAAAAGGTGATGGTAGGTTTTTCGGCCATGACGCTGGTGCTGGTGAGTCTTGTGCTAAAGTTGACTGATTTGTGTAGATGCCGAAGCAATGATGTGTGAAATTTGCCAGATACGACAGCCCGCATAGGATTGGAGGGGGGGCAAAAGGACAAACCCGGGCTTTTTATGCACAAAAAACGCGATGCAATATATCGCGTGCGTAACGGAATGGTTGATTTGAAATACCCTTCTGTTGCAATTTGCCCTTCCCAGCCCTCAATGTCGACATGGTGGACATCACCAGAGCACCAATGACGACGAGGGGGAGAAAAAGATCATCAGCTGCCGGTGTGCAAAATCCAACGATTGCGAATATGCAGCATTCAAGAACCAAAGGTTTTCAAACGCTTCCGTATCCAAACACCTTTGATTAGAGCAAGCTGCAATGCCTTTGTAATATCTGACTTTTGAAATGGATCGTATCTTACAAATTCTATTCTCTCAATATGTCGATGCACAATTGACATACATGAAATGGCAGCCAAAAACATATGAAGTCCGAACTCTCAAAAATGTATTTACTACATCAACCATCACTCAAAAAGTTAAAACATGAACGAGGAAAGCAGATCATTATTTATTTGGACATCTATTTGATACACGAAAGCACTAAGCATTACCGTCCGCTGCATGCTGCAATAAAAACATCACTCACCATCATCTTCACGAACTCCTCATAGTTGATTTGTCCGTCACCGTCGACGTCAGCTTCGCGAATCATTTCGTCGACTTCCTCGTCCGTAAGTTTCTCCCCAAGGTTGGTCATGACGTGCCTGAGCTCTGCGGCGGAAATGAAACCGTTGCCGTCCTTGTCAAAGACCTTGAATGCCTCCTTGATTTCCTCTTCAGAGTCAGTGTCCTTCATTTTCCGTGCCATCATGGTCAAGAATTCAGGAAAGTCGATTGTGCCATTTCCATCGGCGTCAACCTCGTTGATCATGTCCTGAAGCTCAGCTTCGGTAGGGTTCTGACCAAGGGAGCGCATGACGGTGCCCAGCTCCTTGGTTGTGATGGTGCCATCACCGTCCTTGTCAAAGAGGGAGAATGCCTCCTTGAATTCAGCGATCTGCTCTTCGGTCAATTGGTCTGCCTGTGGTGGAGGGTACCGAGGAGCAACAAGGTCAACAGGTTTGCACTGCAACGCGACATTTCTAGGCGGGTGTCATCTGCTTTCCGACTCCATCGTTGCCAAGCGCCATTCCAACGCACATCGTTGCACGTCCAAAAGGATTGACAGCCTACGCGCCAGTCCATCACCCCACACGATGACTGCCATTCACATGTACTGATTCCTTACCATGGTCGTTTAAATCAGTAGTAGCGTGGAGGGATGATGGGATCAAGCCGAGAAAAAACGGAAAAAAACACTTGCAGACAAGGGCACTGATAACCTTTGGCACAAAAGTAAAGAGTCTAAAGGATACAACAAGCGGCAAACTTGGCAACGCGAGCATTGGGTATGTGGCACAGTCACTGTTGCTACAATTGGTCCAGACGGCTGGACACTTAGGCCGTCGTCTTGGATGGGTCGGGGACCTCCCTCGTCTCGTAGGACCAGAAACCTTGAACGTCGCTGGTTAAGAAGCAGTTAGACGTAAAGCAAGGTCAGGGAGAAGGCAGCTCAACGATAGAGCATGGACATACCATAGCATCTTTATGATTGTGCCTCCTACTCCACATTTGATCAAGTCCGTCAACGTAATCCGATCCGACATTTGGGGATTCGCCATATCAAATACTTCGTTCTGGACAAGATATATGAGCCTCTTATATGCAAATGCCTCCCTCGTAACAGAACTTCACACCTTTACGTCGCGGATCCCAACTGTCTCGTGTCCCATTGACATCATCTTATCTGCTACAGCCTAGAATGCGTCGATATTTCGTTAACCATCCAGGTTTCTAGGGAGAAGCACGATATGCAATATACCTTGAAGAAATACATAATCGTATGCTCATCCAAATATCCTTCTCCTTTGATGTCCAACATCCGGAAGCAGTAGCTAATCGCTTCAGGTGTTTGTATGTTTTCCACGGCCAGCACAAAATCCAAAAATGTTCGATAGTCCTGCATTCACAAAAAGATGCACATGTCAGGATAAAATTCAGCGCCAAAGAGCGCATTGACTCTTTAACGTTACCATTTCGCCCCCATATGTCTGACATTCTGAAAACGACTTGCTTAGCATCCATCAATGTCAATAACTGCCATCCATCCTATCGGTACCTTGGAAGACTCGGTCCAGAAAAAGATCTGTCAGCGAACCACTGTTGTATTTCCCAAGCTCAGACCTGCTGAGCATGCCATTGCGGTCCGTGTCCAGATTCAAAAACTGCCCTGATCAAAGCAAACGCTCAACATTAAAGAAGCTAGTGCCGGGCGTCGAAAAGATCAGACCGCACCGTAAACCCGTAAGCTCGAGTACGCGGAGAACCAGTTTGACCGTTCATAGTCTTTGGGTAATTCAGGCTCCCGCAATTCGAATAGTTCAGTGAGAATTGGCGACAACAGAATGTTTTGAATGCCTATCTTGCCTACGGCATCCAGAACATGTTTACACCTGGCATTCCTCCCTTGTAATCATAATAGCGACTTACCGCGTCGCATGGGATCCAAGAAGAACCCAAACTTTCGGGACGCAGTGCATAAATAGAACTTGTGAAATGACTTGCTAAGAGTATGCAGGTTAAGAGACGGTATCAAATCTGCAACGTAACGTTGAAGATCCTGCGAATGAGAAGGGTCTCAATCGGCTGACATCGAACTAGCAGAGCATCCACGTCAGCGCACCTCTTCGGTAAGGTAACCATCGCGGTCATCGTCGTAGACACTCAAATCAAGGCGAGCTTGGAGCAAGGAAACTGCTCGGTATGAGATGTGAATGGCCTTTGGGCCGAGGGGAGCATTTGGTCCGATCGCGGCCATTTCATACCTTTACGCAACACATAATTGAAAAACTGAAGTACCGATATTGTTCCATCGTCTTCTTCAACAAATCGCATATAGCATGAAGGCTTGAAGAAGGATCGAAACTTTGCTGGCAATGTGGAATTGATTTGATCGAAATCAGCATAGCTTATCTGCTACAGATGAACGTGGATGAGCTTCAATATTGCTTCCAGCTTATTTTTCAACAGCTGTTCCAAACTGTGACCTAATTTTGATAAGGCAGCCCGCACCAGCGAACTTGGTATACTTACCCGTTCTTCGTCGGTTTCTCCCGTTGCTCTCTCCAACAGAGCGTCCCACAAAATATCCAACTCCTCGTTGGAAAGCAGACTGTTTCTTTGGAAGGAAATGAACTCGGCGTAGGCGGCTTCTCCAAACTTCTGAGCTAGTTCCGAACTTGGAACTTTCTTCTATACGAGGTGTTAGGTCTGTTGTACCCTGCGCGAGTAGCTGCACATACCTTTACGAAGAAGCGTGGGATACCACTCTGAATTTCCCGCTGTGGGCCATGTTCATACTCTTCATTCTGCGCTTCAGTGCTGTCGTGCACAGGCTGCTCTGCGCATCTATGAAGGGCCGCTCGCCAACTCGCCATGTAAACAAGTTGGGGATACCGGAGTGAATTCGCCAGTATGTCACGGACGCGCTTCTGGGGTTGCCTCGGAATACACCATTTCGCCACGCATCACCCTGACAAACCTTGGCATAAACAGCACCTCTTAAACGTTTCTAAACGGCGCGGATATCGAGTTGTGAGAGATGTCCTCAGGGGACTCCACTCCAACCACACCGAGGACTCCTTCAGAAACGGCATACCTCCCAGAAGTGGGAAGCGTGGTGGAGATCAACGGGGTGATTGGCAAGGTTCACTATGCCGGAACAACGTCCTTCGCTACCGGATTGTGGGTCGGTATAGAACTTGAGGCACCCAAGGGCAAGAATGATGGTTCCGTGCAAGGAATAAGATATTTTACGTGCGAAATGGGATACGGTGTATTTGTCCGCCCAAGTCAAGTTCGGAGGCCAGATGGCACCCCGAAGGTACGAGAACAAACAATGGATTCACCTACTATGTGAAGTGAAGTGCAAAAACTAATCTCTTGCTGTCAACTCCAGCCGGCAGGTACACCAACCTCCTCAACTCCATCTGCGCGAAGTCGACCCACATCCGCCCCACCTTCCCGCTCCACCACTCCAACCGCAAGAAACATATCGCAACGCACTTCAACCCGACCGTCACCTTCTCCTTCCACTGTGTCTCGACCTACATCTGCTCCTTTGGGAACAGCTCGTACAGGTAGCGCCCGAAACTCCACTGTGGGTCCGACAAGAGTCCTATCCCCAACCAGTGGCCTGCCTTCACCGAAACTACGAAACTCTGCCATATCTCCAGTGCCAAGGGGAGCATCTCCGCCAAATCCATTATCGCGGGGCTCATCCAGGAGCACATCGAGAAGTGGGTCGTTCTCCGACCCTCAAGAAGAACTGGAGAAGAAAATGCACATGTCTACTCCAAAATCCGCGTTGAAAAGAATAAGTTCGGAGCTAAGGGAAGAGGAGGCGCTTCATACAGAAGAAGTCGAAGAGGTCCCTGCTCCTCCCGTGTCGGTGACGAGCCAGGTGTCACGTTTGGTGACAGCCTTAGAACCTCCAAGACCAAGTGACCAAGTGAGCTCTGCGACCACGAATACAACAGCACGTCCTGCATCTGCACTGGATTTTGAGCAAGATGAGCAAATAATACAGGATGAGCATATTGCTCAAGTAACGGACGTCACGCCTCCGCTCAATACCACGTACGATCATCCAGTTGTCGCCTCGTCTATAACTAATGTGAACGCAAGTCCTTCAAAGTTCAGTCAAGTACGTGCTGAAACAGGTTGCGCAGTACCATGTGCCAGAATTTATTTCATTAACGCTACCTTTGCAGCTCGTTCCTCTTCGCGATTTGGAAGATCTTCGTATTAAAATTAAACACTTAGAAATCAAACGCGCAGAAGATCGAGAAAAACTCCTGGAATTCGAGCGTCTGCGTACAGAGCTGGATTCAGCGGTGGTCATGCGAAGTAAACTGAGCGAAAAGCTACAGGAGTTGCAAGCTGAAATGAAAGATGCCCGACGACAGCTAAAAGATGCATTGGAAGAAAAGGACCATCTGGAAGTACAATTGGCGGAAACACAAGAAGGTATGGAGATGATCCTCCTGGATAAGGAGATGGCAGAGGAAAGGGCAGATTCACTTCAGGCGGAAGTCCACGCGCTCGAGGAAAAGGTGGAGGAACTTTCACTAGATTTGGAGGTTCTTAAAGAGGAGGGCCATCCAGGCGCACCCGCAGATGATGAGGCAAACACTGGGGAATCGGAGGAGCGATCCAGTGTAGCTTTTATTCAGCTCGAAAGACAGAATGAACGGCTGAAAGACGCATTAGTGAAATTGCGCGACGTCACCACGGAGCAAGAAGCGGTTTTGAAAGACAAGATCGAGATGCTGGAGAAAGAGGCTATAGAACTCGCAGAGTACAAGGTCCAACATGAGAAGGTTTCTGAAAAGCTTGCCGTTGCTGAGGTTACAATCGAAGACCTGAAAGCAATGATAGATGATTCGCTTGGCGCCGAGGACATGGTAGAGACTCTTACGGAAAGAAACATGATTTTGAACGAAAAGCTCGAAGAAGCAAAGGCTGTAATTCAAGATCTGGAAGCTCTTAAGGAGTTGAATGACGAGCTAGAACAGGATCATATTGAAACCGAAAAGCTACTGCAAGAGGAGATTGATTTAAAGGATGGGCTCTTAGTTGAGCAGGGGAAACGAATTTCTGGTCAAGAAGAGGCATTAGCAGACTATGAAAGAACCATTGTTCAATTCCGGGATTTGGTTCGCACCTTGCAGAGCGATTTAGATCGGTTGCGTCGAGGGGTTGACGACGGGGCCCCAGACCAGAAGCAGCGGGACCTCGGCAGCCAAACTCAGGCCATGGTCAACTTGAATCTCCAATTACAGTCGACAGCGCTGAAAGCGCAGGCCAGAGCTGTAGAGTTAGAATTACGCAAGCTGGATGTGGAGCAAGCCATGCAGCAATTGGAGATGATTAAGCCATATTTGCCGGATTCCTTTTTCCAAACAGAGGTCGACGCCTTGTTCTGCATTTTACTTTTCCGACGACTCTACTTCAAAGCCCATCTCTTGGCTGAACGCGTCAAAGAGGTTGCAAATCAGACTGACGATCCCGGGGAAGCCGACAAAAGGTCTTTCTTGTGGCACATCGTGGACAAGCTGGGGCAACTCGATGGGCTGGCGCGTCAGTTTGATGGGTACATGGGGGGCTGCTCCGTTGACCAGTTCATGAAGCTGGGCAAAATGTACCCAGAGCTGACTGGTGCAGAGAAGAAGCTGGATCATCTCATAGAATTAGTGAAGAATGAGGAGATCAAGGGGATTGCACTCCTGAACGATTTGACTAAATCGATCATGAGACTTGAACGTCTTGCTGAAGCCTATCTGCGGCAGGGTGATGGACCCATAGATGTACGAAGTCGACAGCATCTCATGCAGGCGTGCATTGCGGCGGTAGGGGTAAGCACAGAGAGAGTGGGAGCTGATGTGGAAAGAGTTGATGTAGCTCTTACTGGCAACGAAGTGGATGATAATGTGGTTGATGAGACTTTGCCGGCCAGCAGAGGGGAGGTACTGACCCTATGGGAAGATGTGCGGAAGGTTAACGCCAGTGTTAAAGCTACTAGTAAAAAGCTTGAGCGTCGGTTGGATGACATGGCGAGACAAGGATGGACCGTTCGGGCATCTGCTACAACACTTATCCTCGATGTAAATACCCAACGTCTGCGTTTGACGGACTTTTGCGACGCGCTGGCAAGTGAAGTGGTGAAACATATTCAGGAGTGTCGGAAGACCAATCGACCAGTTGTGCCTCTGACGCTGCACAAAGCATCCCGTGATGCCGCAGAACGTATCTTCGGAACAACCGAAGGAATATTCGGGACTGCACTTCTTGAAAATCTCCAGAAGCTAGTCGATTCTCTCGGTCAGGCGGAGACCGCTCTGGGTGATGATGGCAACTGGGAGAAGATACCATCCACGTCCGCTCCTTGGCTCAGCCGTGCTGATAGAGTCAAGAGCGACTACACAGTCAATTCCAACCTCCAAAAGCAAGTGGAGTCTTTGAATGAGGAGGTCATGACTTTGGTACGAGAAGTCAAATCAAAAGATCAGCTGTTGCAGGAATCTGCAGTTAAAATAGAGTTGCTCGAAAAGAGGATGGAGAATGTTCGCAAGCACGCTGAAACGATATCTCATCTGGAAGACTCTCTTACCAAAACCAAGGAGAAGGCCAAGGTATATGAAGAGGCTGTCGAGTCTCTGCATGCTGATCTGGAGCAGCTGGAAAATGAAAATGAGAAATTACGGAAGGTTGTGAAGAGATATGAGAGACAGCAACCTGGTGTTCCGGGGGTGGTGTCGCCGCGGTCAATGCGAATTGATTCTACCAGCGACGCTGGGGCAGGCGCGCGAGGGAGATCTGAGGATGTGATGCGGCCGGAAGGCGTGGAATCGGTTATGGACGATAGTTTGCTGGCACAGGTAAGATGTTTGGGAATACGCAGAGCTTGTCATCATATCACCTGCCTTACACAATCGATCCTGTAGTTTGAATCCCTAAAATCTGCCGTGCGTTTCCTACGGACGGAAAACTCTCGGCTCAAGGCGGACAAGGCCATGGCATCCTCCGTGACACTGTTCGACCCTCTGGATCCGCTCATGCGTCGCGGTTTACGACGTTCTGATATCTTGTCACCCGCCGCGCAAACTGCCGATGCTGATAGTCCAGAAGAACGGGAATCCGTTCGGTCCCCATCCGTTGAGGATGGTTTAGCTCAAGTCAGACAGGAGGCTCGTAAGTTCGCCCGACAAGTATCCTTGATCGCTACCACACCACGCGTGGTCGATGTTACGCGCATGCCTGCTGCAACAGAGCGTAAGTGGTGGTCCTGCAGGGATGATCCCAGGATCCAGAAACTGGCCGAGGAAGAAAAAGGTAGACGACTGTGGGAAAAGGGGATGGAGTTACGGGAGAAGGTGCATCGAGCTGTTGGAGCGACTTCTACAACGCTCGCATCACATGTACGTATGCACTGCTGCACTGCATGGGCGTAATAGTGGCCATAATCTCTGATTCATTAAACCTTGCAGGGCCCACGTTCATTGCATCAAGGCAAGGCTGGAGAAATGCCACTTTTAGGACGAGTCCGATTCCCATGCACCTTGCCGGAAGAATCCGGCCGACGTAAATGCGTGGTCCTCAAGACGAGGAAAGAGTTTGAAGCGCTGCACGCGGTGCTCGCCATATGATGGAAACCAATGCTATTGAATTAGAAAATATTGCGATACCTGCGGGTGTGCAAACCAGTTTACTGTTCAATACCCAATTAGACAACTGTACTGGAACTATGTAGATAGGTAATGTATTAATGAGCTACAATCAGCAGCAGATCAGATTTACAAATTCGGCTGGCCCGAAATGAAAAACCACTTGTCAACTGGAAATAGAACGCCAATTTAGGTCCAGCACAAGAAAAGATCGAGGCACATTCAACGGCTACACTTACTTGAGGGGTCAATTGGTCCCGGAGGTTTGGGGGCGCTTGCAGGCACACTTTTGTATTCTGCCGAGTCAGTACCAACCTTGTATGGGCTATCGGCAACCGTCGTGTTCACACTACGATAGACGATACTTCAGAACTTGGACATGTGGAAATCAGACAACTGCTTGAACATACGTGGTCACGTCATAGCTCTCTCCTTTGTTAGGGACGGCCTTGGTGATGAGGCGGTGCCATGCCTCGTGGGTCTCGTTTATGACTTCGGTGGCATACTTCTTATTCTTGGCCTCACCGCTGAATGCAAAGTTGTTCTCGGGCTTGCCATCCGGGATCTTGTAGATGCGGAACCATTCATTGGTAGCCCGAAGAAGACCAGGCAGGAGCTTCTCAACATCCTCAATGTCGTTAAGCTTGGGAGCAAGCGGGTCGTTCACATCGATGACAATGACCTTCCAGTCAGTTTCACCCTCATCAAGAAGGGCCATTGTGCCCAGCACCTTGACCTGCTTGACCTGGCCAGTGTAGCCAACTGTCTCGCCAATTTCGCATACATCAAGCGGATCATTGTCACCCTTGGCCTTCGTGTCGGGATGAACCGACGTGGGGTCTTCCCAAGTTTGGGGGAATGCACCATAGTTCCAGATATAACCGTGGTGGGGGAAACAGTTGCGCACGTAGCGGAGCTTGCCCTTCTTCACATCCTGCTTGATGGGGTTGAAAGCTTCATCCTTGGAGATTTCCAACTTGGCGTTCGTCCAGCGAGGAATTTCGACAACCATGTTGTAGATTGTCTTCTCGGCATTGGCGTACAACGGAATGTCGTGGAAGGGAGAGACCACCTTGCCGGTGCTGTCCTCTACATTCATTACAGACAATTATCAGCAGCATACTCGAGAAAGCTAATCTACGGAGCATAGACTCACCAATGTACACCCGGTGCTCGAGGGTGTTGGGAGCACCGACAACGCGGGGCTTGTATTCAGTCATGTTGCTAGATGTAGCGTGTAAGGAGCGGACGGAAGTGGGGAGTAGGTGCTGGTAAACAGCTGTTGTTCTCCTAACCGGAGATGATGCGAACCTTAAGTGAGACAGCTTGGCGATGGCCAAAAGAATCGTGCACGAAGAGCGACGGGAGGCCTCGCCATCTTGCGCCGCATTGTTGCCATGCGATGGACACACCCGGATTACACATTGGAATGCATTGATCGGGTCGAACCGTGACGTCAAAGCTGAATATGAGATATCGACAGCAACTCATTGCCGCTGGCTGGGAGTCGAAAATATCAGAGGTGTTGAATCGACTTGTGGACTGTCTGTATCCCATCACGCCGTGAACCTCTCTGCACACGGCATGGGCTTCGTCTCCGAGCGACTCAATGCCCAGTTACGGGCGATAGATGCCGTCTTCCACCTGGACCCGGAACACGACGACTTGTCCAATACGTTTACCATTCTGTTTGGTCAAACCAGTAACTCTGTTGAGGGAACGAGACAATCCGATGCTGTTCGCATTATTTGGGACGTTTTGCAATCTCCGACTTTTAGGCGCCCCCGCGTAAAGAAGAGCGACGACTCGGACCTTGCCGAAGATCATTTACCACCACTAACTGAAGTTGCGGAAAGGCTGCGGCAAGTACGAGAGGCCTTGTCCGAAGAGAGTCTTGCACGTACTTCTGCCTCAACTTCTAGTTCTGACCGTACAAATCTTGGTCCACTAAAACAAGGGCGATATCCGCTTGCTGAGTTGGCATTCTTATCCAAAGTCGCGGCCGTACTACACGCTCACCTGTTGCACCGTCTCGTTACCGCGTCAAGTAGTCTTCCACCTCATGTTTCCTATTGGCGAGACCAGGAGATATCAAGTATCCGTGCTGGGTACTATCTGCTTCAAACCTTACCGCGACGTATATATCGCTACGCCCAGTTGTTGGCTGCATCAGTGCGATCGCAGCAACCACACCATCTCCGACCACAGTTCCAGATATTCTCAAAAAAGCTGCTGAGTAGGTTTGGCGGAGCGGGCCAGCAAGTCAATGTAGCGAGTACGACATTTTTGGGACTTGGGTTAAGCAGCCTTCGGCCGCCACCCACGGTCTTTGAGTTGGCGCGCCAAGAGATTAGATGCAAAAGAGAGAAGTTGGAGATCGCCAGAGAAGTGGAAGCAAGCTGCCTGGGGCTCCTAGCCGACCATGGCATTGATATAAAGCCCGCAACGGTGCGAGCAACCTTTGCTAGACGGAGCGCAGAGGGCCGTTTCAAGGTCTCACGCGAAGATGTGGCTGAAGCTGCAAAGGAGGTGCAAGCAACGCTGTCCAAAGTTTTAATACTTATGACAGCGTCCCTCGATAAAGTAAGCAGAGTGGCTGACGACATGAGTCCAGAGGAGGAAGTTGTATGGGCTGATGTGTCCAGCTTGGAAGGTCTGTAATAAAGATAAACGATGTCACAAGCGAGTGGGCCTGATGCATTGTCTGAATTCAGAGGATATCGGGCATACGGAAGTTCAGCCTATTGCAGACTTGTACGAAGAAGTCAATCGTGTATACACGTCCTTCGTCACTCTCGACTGGTCGTTCGAGCGCCTGACAAGAAAATACGGACGGCCTTCGCGGATTACCCGGTATTGGCTCCCGGCTGTAACAGGCACTTTCCTGGTGTACAGCATTGGCTCTACCCTGGCATTGCGATGGGATGACGTTGTAGATTGGGCTGACAATCTGCGGGACACCATATCCAGCTTTTTTACCGAATGGATCGTGAAACCTTTGCAGAACGTCTATACTACGATCCGACATAAAGAGGCGCAGCTGGCCATAACGTCGAGTGAATCATTGAATGCGGACCTGAAGGTATGATTGATAGCATTCATGAATATTTGGTCAAATCTCAACGGGTTCGGGTTTAGGCGCTTGAGAAGATGGTAGTAGAGTATGCGCGAGACCATGGAGTGACGGATCCCCTTGAACTGACCCGCATCGGGGAGCAAGCTCAGCATGGCGATATGAGTTTAGTGTTGCAACAGTATGCTGAAGAGCTTAAATCGCCGTTCAAAAATGCTCTGAGCGGTAGGAGATGATATTATGCTCGCTTGGGTTGCGTTAGTAATTATGACATTTTATTGGGATCAGGCGACTTGGTACGAGCGCTTCTCATTCAAATCCAGAAGGCGAAAGTCGATGGGGAGCTAGCCATATCAGCGCTCGATAAGCTGTTGCGCTCAAACGAACTCAACTTTGCATTTCTGGCGGTCATGCCCTCCATCTTACTTACCTGGTCTCTTGGAAGCAGTTTTCAAAGATTGTGGAGGGGATCAAAGGAGAAGAACAGGGAGAAAACGTATAGGCTTGTCAGAGGAAGTCTAAGGTGGTGTATTATGCAATTGTATATCTATTAGCAGGGGACTGATCCGCGCATTTTATCATTCTTAGGAATATTGATCGCCTGTTGAACCAAGCCAATCAGCAGGGAGCACGGGTTCAACCGCTTCCTCATCAAGCGCACGGTCTCCTCCTTTGTGAAGTATATCTGTTGCGACGTTGCGTCCCGAGCATTCCTAGAAGAGAGAACTACCGACAGAATTTTGTTGAAGATTTAAGAGAACTAGAAGGGGGAGCCAATGATGCTGAGTGGACACCGAACCACGATTTCCAGCTAGTCCGAGATTCTCGAGAGCGATGGACGGTCACCCAGCGAATGGAGACGGTAAAACGAATGTGGAGGACTTATCCTTTTGTGCGAGGGGTATCTGTATGATAAATTATAGTGGGCAGATGGCGGGTAATGTGACCCAGGATTGTACCATATTTCCAATTGAGAAAGCATCCACGATTGTAGCAAGCCATTCAAGAGGCATCAGTAATAATCATACAGTAATAATGTGGCTAATGCGGATATTCATTGATTATCCTGCCGGTGCATGGCAAGGAGCTGTTCAGTTTGTCAAAGCTGCCATTCCCTCTCTCTCCCTCTCTCTCTCTCGTTCCTCAACTCACGTCTCACTCTTATGTTTGAATCCTATCGCGCTACGTCGGTCATCACCTTTCAATCTCAACAATGCACTTGCCAGTGGAATGGTAAGCAAAACTCACCCTGCACCCTTCTAATTGCCACGGCCTGATTTCCGCTTATGGTTTTAGTCCCATCGTGCTGGAACAACTATGCTCGCAATTTCTCTCAAGATGGTGGAAGTTTTACCTGGTTTGAGGTACTTAGGCCCAACAACATCGCATGCAGAAAAGTTATGCTTTGTCAAGGCCACAATCTTCAGAGTGAAGACGGGAGCATCTTAGTAGTGTACTGATCTGGATTACTTAACACTGCACGTGATGCGCTATGCTTGCATAATCATAGAGTTCAAGCGCTCCTGGTGCTGAACTGTTCGCAAGACAGTATCGCCGGACCAACCTCGCTGATATGTATGGATCACGACAACCGAGGTAGTTTTACATCGTAAGATTTCTTTATTCGCCCTTTTTGATTGTGTAAACTTTGTCGCGTTCAGGACGAGCTTCGTCGGCGCATCTACAGCGACTCTCGCACCAACTTCATCCATGGAAGAGGACGACCTGTACACTTTTGATAAAAAGGTACCTTCCATCTGACTTGGTCTGTGATCTTTATTTATATTGAGATGTGTGATCAATGAAAGCCACCGGGATCGAGCCTTTACGGCGCAACATGGACATCCGCCGGTCGCGGTGTGCCAACCAGTTTTGGAGTACCGCAGACCGCAAGACTGGGAACAGCTAGTAAAGGAGATGGTGGGATGGCTCGGCCAATGACATCTGTGCGAGCTGCTGGATATTCAAGTCGCGGGCGACCGGGAATGGCTGCTGGACAGGCATTCGATCCGTTTAATCAAGGAGGTACGCAGCACTCTTGTCTTTGATTGCTGAAGACTTATCTGAGCATAGGAGCAGACGCCTAACTACTCTAACGTAAAGGTAGAACTCCCAGTGCAGGGGGCTACCACAAACTCGAGGAGACACCAGAAGAACAGATTCGAAACCTCGAGCGCAAAGTGAGTCAACTCATTGAAGAATCAACCATAGCTGCAGCAGAGGGCAATCTCCGCCTAGCTCTCGAAAAAGCCAAGGATGCTGGAAAGAAGGAACGTCAACTCTCCCGACAACGCGAACAAGCCGAACTTGGTGAACAGATGAATTTGGACTTGACGTACTGCGTGCTGTTCAATCTTGCGAACCAATACCAAGCAAATCAGATGTACCAGGAAGCCCTCAACACGTTTGCTGTCATTGTGAAGAACAAGCTGTTCAATCAATCAGGACGGTTGCGGGTCAATATGGGAAATATCTACTTTGCACAGAAGAAGTATTCCCAAGCTGTTAAGATGTATCGAATGGCTTTGGATCAAGTTTCGAACGCAAACAAAGATATTAGGTATGAATCGCTCCTGGAACTTGATGTCAGCAGCATTGACCAAGCACTTTTCCGCGATAGGTTGAAGATCATGCGAAACATTGGGAACGCCTTCGTCCGCATGGGCCAATTCCAAGACGCTATTACCTCATTCGAAGCAATTATGGAAGGCAATCCAGATTTTCACGCAGGATTCAACCTCATTTTGTGCTATTTTGCCCTCGGTGACCGCGACCGAATGAAGAAATGGTTGCAGAGGTTAACTTCTATTCGTCCTACTGCTGTCGAGCAATCTGAGGACTTTGGTGCGTCGGCAATGGATGAGGCTATTGATGATCACGAAGTCTTCAATGAGGATGAGCTGAGATCTATTGCTAGAAAGAGGTACAAATGGTTGCATTATGGGATGGTAGGAGGCCACCTCTGACACTGGTATAACTGCAAACAGACAGCAGTCGGCAGAACGCTGCATTGTCCTTGCCGCCAAACTTGTCGCACCCAACATCGAAAACACTTTTTCAACCGGTTACGACTGGATCGTCGATACCATCAAAAATTCACCACACTCTGCAATCGCGAGTGAGATTGAGATTGCTAAAGCGATCCAATATTTGAAAGCAAAGGATTTCACCAAGGTCTGGGCAGCATTTATTAGTGTCCACTACTGAAGTTCTCTTTGCTGATCATCGCTTCTCAATATACTTCGGGTAGGCGGTTGAGACCCTGAAAGCTTTCGAAAAGGCCGATCAAAAGATGGTTGGAACAGCAGCTACCAATCTCTCCTTCCTCTACTTCCTCGATGGCGACTACAAGCAAGCGGAAAAATACGCTGACCTGGCGATCACTACGGATCGGTATAACGCGAAAGCTCAAACCAATCGTGGCAACTGCTATTTTATCAAAGGTATGAACGTGTAACGATTTCAGATACCCTAGAAGCTTTCTGACATAAGTGTACTACCAAAAAGAGAATTACGAAAAGGCAAAAGAACATTATCAGGAGGCCGTTAGTGTTGATGCCGTTTGTACAGAAGCTATGTACAATTTAGGTATGAACTGTCAGATTATATCGTGTCGATACCGAATTCTTTCCACGTTTGCCTCACTCACATGATTGCACAATACAGGTATCGTAAATAAGAAACTGGGTAGATATGTAGAAGCTTTACAATGGTTCGAAAAGCTGTACGCAATCTTACGAAATAGTGCGGAAGTGATATTTCAAATTGCTGACATGTAAAGATTTACGTCGTTTGTCAATTCATCACAACCAACATCTCACGCTTCTTTATCATAGATACGATAAACAAGGCAATCTCCACCAAGCCATGGAATGGTTCAACATCCTTATCTCCGTGGTTCCTACAGATCCAGGCGTTCTAGCAAGACTAGGGAACATGTTCGTTCGCGATGGAGACAAATCTCAAGCATTTCAATACTACTCCGAGTCCTACCGATATTTCCCATCAAGCATGGACGTGATTGCTTGGTTGGGAGCGTATTATGTAGAATGTCAAGTGTATGAACAGGCCGTCCAGTTCTTCGAGCGAGCGGCTATGATTCAGCCTACGCAAGTCAAATGGCAGCTCATGATTGCGAGCTGTTACAGGAGGAGTGGAAACTATCAACAGAGTTTGGAGACCTATAAGCGGATACATGACAAGTTTCCTGACAATGTTGAATGTAGGAACTCCCGGTGATTTAAAGGGAGCTCGTTCTTCATTTGCCTTTTTCTAACAGTTTCCGGGGATGCCTTCACCCAGGTCTGCGATTCCTGGTGCGAATATGTACCGATCTCGGGATGAAAGACGTACACGAATACGCCGAGAAATTGGCTAGAGCTGAACGGGCAAAGGAGCGGGCCGAAAGCGCCGAAGCAGAAGGAGTGGACACCACCGCTAGTGGGTCTCGTGGATCAGTTCATTCAGGACGAATCTCTAGGGTTGCACGGGGAGAGGGAGATCAATCCCAGGCAAATTCAGCAAAATCGAGAAGTGTATCCATCGCAAAACCATTTGAGAAGATTGGTACGTTCCATCACAACGTTTGTGGGGTTTATGTGAAAATAAATCATTTGTACATGACCAGATCCCAATCCACCAAAACGACCGCAGACCTCAATAGTAAGTCAACGACACGATATTTGGTAGCCGGGTAGCCGAAATCTGACAGATTGCGTACGCGTTATAGGCCAAGAATAGACCGGAAGAAGATGACTGGCAAGAGGATGTGAATAACTTGTTGCCCGAATAGTTAATTACACGTCACGAATATAAGCAGACAACTACAACTGCCTCTTAAGGCAAAAGCCATATTATGCATATGCTGATGAATTCGTCATTTTAGTATCAGTACATCCGGTGGTTCAGGGTTCCTGACCAGGGAGATTTCCGCCGTCCATCATGTCATTTGCCATGCGAGCCATGTTCGGATCGCTCATTATGTTTTGCAAGGCCTCAGGGTTTGACATAACTTGTTGCGCCCTAAATTTGTAGTGCAGATATGCATTGATAACGATGGCTAACGAGATAATAATTTAATACTCACATTTGGGTAAATGCGGGGTTCGACATCATCTGACTGATGGCTGGGTTTGACATCATTTGGGAGGCTAGATAAAAACAGAACGGTGTCAGCAGGACATCTGTATGCCTTGACCACTGGGAAAGATAACACGCACCCATCTGCATGAAGTTCGGGTTACTCATCATGGAGGCGAAATCAAATCCAGCCCCTGGACGTGGAGCAGCGCCAGTTGAGCGAACAGGTGTGTCCGCATTCAGCTTTTGTTCGGCAGCGTTCAAAGTCTGCTGCATAGATGTATTCGCAGGGTCCAGCTTAAGTCCCTCTTCACACGCTTCTTTTGCTTCCCTATATTTTCCGAGGCAGAAATATGCTTGTCTACAGAACCATACTGCTTAGATGCGCCCAGAAGCGAAAACCATACTCAACAGACGCATCACGTACCCCATACGACTGTATGCTTTACTGTATCCAGGGTCTACTTCTACCGCCCGCTTTGCATCCGCTACAGCCTCTTCGAACTTGCTCACCTGACTGTACGCCGCTGCTCTATTTCAATCGATCTATAAGTGCTCTCCGCAGTCATCCACCTATGGCACAACTTAACTAAGTACCTGTTTGAATAAAATACTGCATTTTCGCCATCCAACTCAATAGCCTGGCTGTAAAGGTCGATCGCGTCCGCATATTTCTTCGCCGCCATTTCCTTATTTCCTGCTACTTTAAGTTCTTCTGCCTTCGCTTTCACATCAACCGCCTGGTACAAAGAGGAGGGTAATCAACGTCTGGACCAAATCCTCCTTTGTTCAATTTGCAGTTACCTTTGCAGCTGGAACAGGGCTGGGAGCTGCTTTCTGTTGAGAGGCTTTCTGCGTTGCCAAGAATACATCAAAGATCTTCGGTAGGTTAGCCGGCTTTATGGAGAACTGGGTTTGTTGGTCCTTGTCGCTCAAGTCAATTTCAAAAGCTTCGCCTATGCATTGGATTGCAACTATTATGGCCAGTGAAGAAAGCTCAGTCCACAATTCTAGATAATCCCGCCAATTCCAAACATACCCTCAACACCCTCTGCGTCGTCCTGTTTAATAGTTCCATTCTTGATCGACTCTTGAAGATAATCGCAAATGGCGAAAGCCAATCTCTTTTGTTTGTTGTCAGCCATTGTTGACTATGATGGGTTGCTGGCTGTCAGTTGGTTGTGGGCGGCCTGCTGTTGTCCTGCTCCAAAAAAGGTTAAATGAGAAGCATGTGATCAAATGCATGGGTTCGTCTCCCAACCTTGCCTTCCAACTCCTTGCTCATTTGGCCTTTGCCCATCCCCTTTACTCTCCCTGTTGAGGTACGGAAACAAGGCAAAAGAAGAGGTACATCCCAAGGCAGCGCTGACGCCAAGGGCATCCACCGCGCTTACTAGATCTCACCAACACCTACCGGATCTAGTCACCACATAGAAGGTAGAAAACCGTGACGGAACGATGCAGACCCTCCCGTTCTTCCTCCCTTTCTCCCCAACATCCCTCCTACCTAGCCAGTTCCAAAACTTTACACCACCATCCTTCTGGGTCATATTTATTTCCATTTTTCTGGGTTACTTGATTCTTGTCGCGATCCTAGGGTTGCTAAAAGGAGCAGTAAGAGCCGTGTGGCGGGGCATCAAGGTGGCCATTGTTGTCGCAGGCGTTCTGTACATTGCAGGGTTGGTGAGAACGATAGCAGGCTAATTTAGTTGTGCGCCGTCGCCTTTATGGCCATTTATTGGGAATTGTACATAATTTTGGAGGAATGAAATTTATGATATGATAGGTAGCTACACTAAATCATCAATTCAGGAGGTACACTCCTCACTGAGAAAGGTCAGCGGTCAGCTTCTCGCAGATACCGGTCCACCTGTCGTCGATTTTCTTCTCGACAGGCTTGCACCTTCACCCTCAGCACCCTCCCCAACCCGAATCTCAATTGGCTGTTCGGCAATCTCCTCCACAAACTTTTCAGCTTGCCTGACTACCGAATTGGCATCCGGGTTCTCCTGCTTCAGGGCAAACAGCAGCATACTTCGTCCTGTGACATCATACCAATGTTCAAAATCAAATGTTGGGGCACTAAGTAAAGTCGGCTGATTCGTGTCGACGAACAATTGCCAGTCAACTCCACCAACAGCTGGTGGCAGCTTGAACCTGACAACATCATGATGCGAATTCAAGATCAACAGAACTGTAACATCGGTTCCAGGTCGTTTGATTCCCGTCGCTTGGGCGCGACCGTCAAACATGATTCCCAAACACTTGCTGTTGGGATCGGTCCATGCCTCCATGCTCATCTCGTTACCATCAGGATTGAGCCATGTGACATCCTTCACACCTTCGTCTTCATTCCATTCGCCGGTATACCACCTATTTCTGCGCAAAACTGGGAACATTTGCCGTAGCCAGATCACTCGCCGCGTAAACTCCATCAAGCACCGCCCGTCGTCCGTGATGCCCTCCCAATCAACCCAGTTGATCTCGTTATCTTGACAGTAGGTGTTATTATTTCCATTTTGGGTGCGTCCAAACTCATCGCCAGCGAGGAGCATCGGAGTGCCCTGGGAAAACATCAAGGTGGCTAGGAAGTTACGCTTTGTACGTTCACGGAGTTGGATTATATTTTGGTCCTCTGTTGGTCCTTCTGCCCCATGGTTCCATGAAGCATTGTCATTGGCTCCATCGCGGTTGTCCTCCCCATTCGCCCAGTTATGCTTTTCATTGTAAGAGACGAGATCGTTCAAGCAAAAGCCGTCATGTGCGGTAATGAAGTTGACCGAAGCCCAAGGCTTGCGGCCACAGCGATTGAACAAGTCGCCAGAGCCGGTCATTCGGGAAGCGAGCTCGGGAAGCTTCCCCAGATCTCCCTTCCAATACTCACGCAGGGTATCCCGGTAGCGATCGTTCCATTCGGCCCAACCAGGCGCGAAATGCCCAACTTGGTATCCGCCCAACCCGATATCCCAAGGTTCTGCAATGAGCTTGGCTTTTGAGAGCACCGGATCTTGACGCACACTGTTCAAAAATGCACCGTTCTCGTTGAAGCCGTAGGCTTCTCTCCCCAAGATCGTCGCTAAATCAAATCGGAATCCATCAACATGCATCTCCTCTACCCAATATCGTAAGCTGTCAAGGACCAGCTGAATTACTCGCCCGTGAGTAAGATCGAACGTATTGCCACATCCAGTGTCGTTAACGTAGTAACGATGGTTCTCGTGGTACATCTTGTAGTACGTCTTGTTATCGATACCTTTGAAGCAGAGAGTTGGCCCCATTTCGTTCCCCTCAGGTGTGTGGTTGTAGACAACATCAAGAATTACTTCGATTCCGGCGTCATGAAAGCGAGCAACCTTTTGCCAGATGAAGATATGTTAGATACTGTGATGACACTTGAAACGACGGTACCCACCATCTCTTTGAATTCCTCAATTCGATTCGACGCTGAATAACGGGGATCGGGTGCAAAGAATCCGATGGAATTATAACCCCAATAATTTACAAGATTGTTATCTAAGAGATATTTGTCGTCAATAAAGAAATGTACAGGTAGGAGCTCGACGGAGGTAACGCCAAGAGACTTGATGTACTCGATGATGGCAGAATGTCCTAGCCCGGCATAAGTGCCGCGAAGGTGCTCAGGAACAGCAGGGTGACGTTGGCTGAAGCCCTTTACATGCGTTTCATCTGTTCAGAAAAGAATTAACGGGAGGGAAAAAGTGCAAGCCGGCGCGACAGCATCCTGTCCTTACAGAAAACTGTTTTCTCCCATGGGATCTCCGGCCTTCTTTCTCGACCCCAGGTATACGCCGTATCCACCACGCGACACTTTGGCATGTAAGGTGCGCTGTCGCGTTCGTCATACGACAAATCTTTATCGGGATGGCCGATCTGATAGCCAAACAGGGAATCATCCCATACAAGCTCTCCGACGAAAGCTTTTGCATATGGGTCGATCACCAACTTGTTTGGGTTGAATCGATGGCCGTTATGTGGGTCGTACGGACCATACACACGGTAGCCATAGACTGTTCCGGGCCTTGCATCGGGGAGATAACCGTGCCATACTTCGTCAGTGTATTCTGGGAGTTCTATGCGGTCGACTTCTGTGGATCCGTCTTCAGAGAAGAGGCAAAGCTCTACCTTTGTTGCATGCACAGAGAAGAGGGCGAAATTGACACCCAGTCCGTCCCATGTCGCGCCGAGGGGAGTTGGAGACCCTTCCTGTATGCGAAGGGGCATCGTACTATTTGTGTCTATGCCGCTGTAATAGATCAAATGTGTGCTTTCACTTGTGAGATGGCAAGATGGCAGCTCGTGAAATGAAGCCTTGAAGGAGAGTCAAGCCAGAATCGTCGATTGAAACTACGTCATACTATGCGTAATGGTCTTTCACGTGTCTGAGATTGCTGACGTAACATTAGCTGTTGACCAAAACCAACTTGATACCAAACTATGCAATGATTCTTTGTTTCTCGTCAAGACTGTAGACAATCACGCTGCCGAAGCAAAATGCAAGAGGACAAGTCCAAAGTTACTCCTCTACAATAAGTTACAGGCGGTGATTGATCATGTTGTCTATATGCCAAAGGTGTTGTGGTCGAATCCACTTCGATCTCATTTGAAAAAAACCAAAGTCAGCTTCGCTGTACCTTTAGCTTTTGCCGGGTGTCGCTCCTCCTGACTCATGTGCATCTTGGACCAACAGCCATATACTTGTAGTGCATCCCTTGCTATTGAGACCAACCGGTGCGGATACTGTAAATGAATGCTCCACATCAGCCGTCGAGCTTGCTAACGACGTCTCGCCAAAGGGGACCTCCTCTTCAGTGGCCCTAGCTGTGACCAAAAAGATTACTTCTGCAGTCGCTACCTCTCCTGCCTCCCAGACAGACTAAGTATCTCGATGATACGGACGGGGCCATAACAGAATTATTGGAGATCTTAGCCTGGTCCAAGCAGTGGAAACTTGATAGCTGTAAAAAATCCTTCATGGAACCCAGACGTGCAGCACAATGCCTATTGCTTACAACTGCATATATCTGCATAGAGTACAATAATCCACTACCCAAAGAAAAGAGTGCAATATCACTGCTCATACGGAAAAACCAGAAGAAGCATCTTCAAGAGTCGATGTAATCACCAGACTGATAACCAATTACCAGTTTACACAGCTGCGGACACTATTACGTGATCGCGTCCGCTTGAAATTAACGCATTTCAATGCATTGGCACCAGCTCGACGTCGCTCTTCATTCTGGCATCTCGGTTTCCTTGATTGTACAATTGCAACCATGTCGTCAACGACGCCGACAAAACCAACCTCCGCAAGTCCACGCAAAGGATCCTCCTCCGCCTCCAGCAAAAAATCCGTAAAAAAGATCTCACCGCTAGAGGAGAAAGAGTGCGATCCCTCCCTGAATATAATTCCAGAGCCGTCCATGAATGCAATCGCCAACTACATTCGAAGTAACGGTGTAAAGAGAATTTTGGTTCTAACTGGTGCTGGAATATCAACGAGTGCAGGGATACCAGACTTTCGATCTCCTGGGACGGGATTGTATGTACTTAACGCAATTGTGGGAGAAGGGGTTTGATATGGCACTAACGCATGCTGTTCCAGATATGACAATCTAAAGAAATACAGCCTCCCCTACCCAGAAGCCATATTCGACATCTCCTATTTTCGACGAAAACCCGAACCGTTCTTCACTCTCGCTCGAGAATTATATCCCGGAAGCTTTCGGCCAACCTTGTCACACTACTTTATTCGTCTTTTGCAGGAGAAAGGAGTCCTGCTACGGAATTTCACGCAAAATATTGATACCTTAGAGCGCGTCGCTGGGATTGCTGAGGATTCGCTGGTAGAGGCTCATGGATCTTTTGCTACCGCGCATTGTCGAGGAAGGATCGTAACGGCTCCCAAAAGCGAGGATGAGATTGATGCAACTCCTCTTCGTGACAATGAGACTGATTCTGAAGATGAGAACGTGCAACTCGACCCAGGGTGTGGAAAGGAATACACGCAGGAGTGGGTAAAAACCAAAATCTTTGCGGGAGAAATTCCCACCTGTGAAAATTGCTCAGGATTGATAAAACCTGATATCGTCTTCTTTGGCGAATCTCTTCCGGAGCGATTTCACAGACTTATTGCCGCAGATTTTCATAAGTGCGATCTAGCCATCATCATTGGCACATCCCTCCAGGTCGCCCCATTCTCCCACCTGATCAACATGGTCCCTCCACAGATCCCACGTCTGCTCATCAATCGTGAGATCGTGGCCGTAGAAGAGTACTCTTCCACCCGTGGGTTTGATTTTGTAGGTGACAGACACAAATATAGACGTGACGCAGTGTTTTTGGGTACATGCGATGAGGGTTGTGAGAAATTGGCGGAGTTGCTAAATTGGGGAGAAGACCTAAAAGCACTCATAGAGAGGGAGAGCAAGATTTTGCAAAACTTGCAGTCGGGTGAAGCTGCCAAGAGTATTGCTGAAGCAATCGGAGAGGCTGTAGCTGTGAGCGATGCAAAGGAGGAAGAGGAGTTGATACGGGGAATGGAAAATCTCTTGAAGGAGAAGGTATGAGGGTTGCGAGTTTTGCCCTTTGACACGAGAGTTAATTTAATAAGAATTTGTGCACATGTATCTACCGATGGCGCCCCATGTTTTCACGACTGTAAATGACCCCAACCAGTAGCTCTAATCCAACATGAATCTATCTAGCCATCCAGAAAATGAAATTCCGCAATAAATATCAACATGGAAATTTGACCCAAAAAAGCGCCACTATGCAAAGCTATGCTACCACCTCCATCAGTTGCTGTGCACCATCGGATTTCGGCTCTTTATTTTTTGGTCTTGTCCTGTGCACCTCACAGACAAACCTGGACTTGCTGTTCTTTTCCTCAATTTCCACAGTCGCATCCTGAGCCTTGTTTTCCCCAACCGGGTTCAAAGCACCTCCTGTAAATTTACAGCACGCCTTGCAAAGGCCAAAAGCACACTTGACGGATGCGACATTTGCACAAGTTTCGGTGGGGCATATGAGTACCTTGCCCTCTTTGATTCGGCGGGCTGGGTTGCGAAGTTGTCATTGGCCTAATGTCCGACATTTGATAGAGTGCACTTGGCTTCAATTCGCACCTTTCTTGGACAGATTCTCTGCAGCGCCGTTGGCTCCAGTACCGCAATCTGCCGACCTCTTCTTCCCACATCCATTCTGAACCACTTCCTTCGACACGGCTTCGGGATCCGTAGATGGCGTCTCCTCCTCACCACCCGCAGTAACATGAAGAACAGAAGGGGCAATTGGCCCATTTGTGGAACCTTCTGTCGTGCTCGAGAAGAGTTCGGGATCATCACTCTTATCCTCAGATTTCGTCTCTGCTCCTTTCGCATCTTCCCGAATAGGCCCGTTTGCTTTTTCGTCCACGGACTTACTCTTCAATGTCCCGTCCACCCGGAAGTAGGGTTGCAAAACCCAGCTTGGAAGCTTGCGAAAGCCGCTCTCGTCAGTTTCAAAGACTTCTGGCTGATACTCTTCTGCGCCACCGGATATGGCCTAGAGATATCCTCAGATTTAACAGCCAGACAATCCATGCATCATGACTGGAATACGTACAATTAATCGGTGTTTCAACTCCCTCACCGAATCAATAAAATCCTCCAACTTATTTGCTTTCGCCAACTGTGTACGAATGTCTGTGTGCTCTGACAAGCTTTATATGATGCATAGATGGTAGGCATCAAGTTTAGACATGACTTGCAGTGCCTAGGAATGATGCAACGAAGAAAATACCATGGTTTGAACATCTTGAAGAGATGCCCACGTATAGCTCCTAAAGGAGCGCTTTTTGGTACGTTCTTACATATTTGTAAATACTATGAGAGAAAGAGCGAGCGGTTCAGATTGGGAAGGAAATATTGTCAATAACCAGTCGTTGTTACCTCTTCTGCCAGCTTCCACGATGCGTAATGCTTGCCCGTAAATAGTGCAGGATTATACAAGTTCCCCTCTATGAAAAATCATTTAGTAAATTGTCACTAACTATGTTGGGCACTCGGTAGTCTTTACCAGCGGTCATGACCCCATCGACACCAGTTGCGGTGAGACACCGCTCAATGTCCTCAAAATAAAGGATGTTACCGTTAGCAAACACTGGTATAGATACGGCTTCCCTAAAGAATAAAGCTGGATGAGGCCTCTCCTTGCGACACTATGGGGTCCCCAACAAATGTCCTTACTTGACTCGTCGTATTTGCTCCCAGTCAGCAAGGCCCGTCTTGTGTCCTTTTTGCTCCCGTACACGACCATGAACAGTGAGCAACTACAGATAAATGCGGCGGGCGTCAGACTATTCTGTTGGTGCCTTCCTCATCTAACTCTACGCACCTGACAGCCCGCTTCCTCAATCATTTTCGCATATCGAATAGTCTTCTCAACATCCGGGAAGACCCTAATCTTGCACGTAACAGGTACAGCAAGTTCTTTGTCTAAGGTTCGCACTAAGAAAGTGAATTGCATGATCAATACAAGGTTTCCGCTTTTCCTCGGCTTCTATCCAATTCGCAACGAGCATATACCCATCTCGGCAATAAGCTCCCATTCATCCTGCAAGAAAGCTCCATATCTCCCACGCCTTGCGATATGTTGGGGACATCCTAGATTGATATCGACAGCATCACATTCATTTTCAACCATCTTTGCAGCTGCGAGGAGAATTTTTGGGTCATTTGCACAGAACTGTATATTGATGGCGATGAGCAAGTGTACGAAACGAAAACCAGAAATGAATAGATTACCTGTGCAATCAAAGGTCTGTCATGCTCCCCCGTCTGCCAGTTTTCTGCCCTATATTTCCCGTCCGGTTGGCTGAATAGTCGAGCATGTAGCATTGGGGTGTAACAGAGCTGGGCACCATATCGGTTCGAGAGAATACGCCATGCCTAAGGGCCGAGATAAGTTCAGAATACCTTGGAATTAGAGTGCGCACAATCGTCTTGAGCTTACATATTCTGATTGTTCGACCATAGGAGCCACAATGTACTTGGGACTTTTCAAGACTTTTTCGTAAAACTCATAACCTTTCAGCTTGCGTGACATGATTCTGGTGAGATATGGTAGCTCTTTGGTAGATGGTATTCTGTTGTAGTGTGCAATGGTAGGAATAAGCATGGAAAAGTGATCTCGACCTCTGGAATCAAAGAATGGCCCTTTTGCTGCAGGATTGGATCCGTCCTAATGGTTTGAACCACTTTGCCAGGACATTGCACTTGTTCGTCCCGACATCGCATGGTTTCGTCTGCGATTGAAACAGGCTACTCGTTAATGCCGATGGCGGGCGCATGCTCGGAGTGGATCTGTCAGTTCTGATCCTTTTCGACTCAGGATGCCGTCTACGGTCGCGCACGCCTTGGTCACGTTCGGAACCGGTCTGACCTTACATGCCCTAAGTGCCTACCGCTTCACTGCGCTTCATGTCTTTCTTTTGACTCTGCATGCCACCAATGGTCCAGATATCGGGTCGGTCGTTGAATTTTTACTTTCCGGGATAGCGCCTGCGTTTGGCACGTTCTTTATGAACGTTGTCCATTCCCCATTGGGGTATCCCTTCACACTCGGGCTGTTATGGACGAAGTTGGGCGTGTTCATGAGTGAGCGAGACATTCGTTGGGCTGGACGATCGTCTTGGTACTTGCAGGTAGTGCTAAGGCCCGACGCATGGAAAAAGCTTCCGCAAGGTTGCCTGGATGAGGATGTACAAGAGAGAAGCGAGCGATCCTTAACATTCTTTCGTTCTTGGCTTATCACTTTGGCTGGCGCATTGATGCACTTTCGTTGTGACACGATTTATGAAAATAATGGACAAGATCCGCTATACAAATGGATACTGTCCACTGGATACTGGCTTCCTGGTGCTAATGACGTTATCTACCCCTCTGTCGCAATCGCTTTTGTCTGCACCTTGGGCGGATTGCTGGGATCATTTGCGTTTATACACACCTCTCTACGAACAACGCTGCCTCTTCCTCTCCCTCAAAGACTGGTACAACTGTTAGGTGATGCACAGGGGAGAGCAATAGCGTCTGCCGGAGTAGCACTTTGTCTTGCTATAGGATATGTCGCTTTCGTTACGGCCAGACTTTCAATCGACCCTAGGATTCCTGCAGTGGGCGAGGAGGCCGATCTTGGTGTGATCTTATTTGAAGCGGCCACGGGTATTTTACCTTTGGTACTATGTGCTTGCTCGTGTCCGTATTTCCGCGAAGGGAGAAGTCCGGTAGTACATGAAGACGATACTGCCTTAGAGGATCGAACGAGTTGATAGAGATTTGGACAAATACCTCTCCCATAAAATGACTGAGAAAGATCGTTCAGTGGGCGTTACCCTCAAATACACCAAAACTCAAAGACCTCAGCGGAAGGCAAACTCAAGCTCCTGTTTGGTTTCTCCTTTATCACAGCATCCTCGGATTGCTTTTAGCGAACATCTTCTGCTACAATTGTATCTATTTATTTAAATATATTCACTTTAGTTTTCAGTTTCTGCTATTTCTCGTTCAATACGTTCAATGGGCCTCTCAAACAAGTGCCACTACCAAATGGCCGCTGGTTCGCAACAGTGTTCAGTGTACACGTGATCTGAGGCTTTGGCCACGGCCTTCCTGACCATTGGCAAGACCAGCGATCTCTCGCGCATGTCAACCAAACCATCTCACATTCGCATTTACAACCTGGCTCTGTGGCGATAGGCATTCTCTCACGTCATGTCCACTGCAAGTCCGTTTACCCTTACCGACGATGACGTCGGAAACCCCTTTGCAGATACTCCAACTTCTCAGCCGTACCAGACTCCATCCTATATTCCGAGCAGCACGACCACCTATCCAACGTCTACAAATGCCGAAAACTTAACGGCCAGGGAAGAAGAGCTTCGCAGAAGGGAAGCTGAACTCAACGAGCGCGAGGCGACACTACGACGAGAACAGGAACAAATGCGGCAGGCTGGGTTCCACCCGCCAAACTGGCCGAAATTCTATCCACTCTTCTATCATGATATTGATGTGGAGATCCCTGAGGCTAATCGAAAAACGGTTTTGCAAATCTATCGCTTATGGTTAGCCACTATGGTACGATCAAGGCCCATCTGCTCCATCATATATTCTTAATCGTCTCAACAAGTCTTTCTCAAGGTGTTACTGATTTGGAATATGATTTCGTGCTTGATGCTACTTGTTTCACATCCACGGAATATGAACAATGTGGCTAGTGACTTTGGGGTCAGTCTCGTGTATGGTATGTTTCCCCATTTTGTCCATTGTTTTGGCCTGGGTTCCGCTATGTTTGTATCTTATCCCCTATCTTAGTTTTCGTCATCGGAGGTGCGTCGTTGTACCTATGGTATCGACCCATATATATTGCTTTTCAAAGGAATACGGCATTATACTTCTGTAAGGTTTTCTTTTTGTCAGTTTGTTAAGAAATCTGAGACTGAACTGTATTTAAATATTGCAGATATCTTCCTGTTGTTCAACGGATTACATGTTGCGTAAGTTGATAATCTCTTTTGGGATGGTATGTGTAAGACAAACCTGATTCACATTCTGATACTTTCTAGATTTGCCTTTTACATGGCGGTGGGAATTCCGGGGTCTGGTAGCGGGGGATTCATCAACCTATTAGGGGTGCTTACGGACGGAAAAATTGTTGCTACAGTCTTTTGCGTTGTTGCCTTTGCTGGATGGATATTGGATGGACTGTATTCACTGTGGATGTGGAAAGCCGTGCATGGTTATAACAGGTCCGCCGGGCATACATTGGAAAGTGCGAGAAACGAGGCTGTAACTTATGGGGTGCGATCAGGCGCAGCACAGGTATGTCAGTCTCTCCAACCTTTAATGAATATGCGCTAAAAATCAATGGCGGTTCTGCGCAGACTGCGGCAAGTGCATACGTCCGTTCTGAATCTGGTAATTTCACTGTGTAAAGAGTAGGATATATAGGTACAGCATAGTGTAGGAGCATAGTATAGGAAGACAAATCAATGTAGAGTGTGTTTTTGGCGTAAATAGGTCAACCGGATGGCAGTACCAAAGGGCTTTTTTTTTCAATTTGGAATCATTTTCAATAAATAGTAAGGTTGCCCTTAGAAGCTAACAAGCGGGCAATATGGCGATCTCAATCTGCTGTCAAACAGAACATTACCATATGGTGTCAGTCATAGTGCGACCGTGTAATCAACATACGCAACTCACCATGCAGCCTAGTTAATTCCAGTTCGGTAAATGGTATGAAGGGGAGGCGGCAAGGCGGGCATGCGCATTGTTGTGCCAATCCTGGGGAGAAAGGGCAAAGGTAAATGAAATCAAGGGACACTGTCATTATCATATTGTAATTTCGATGAAAAGCGTGTCTACGTGCATTTAGCTTCAGCGGGCATATCGGTGCGGATCTATCTTTTCGTTCTTTCTTTTCATCGCCGTGAATTCCCAGTTGGATGCCTTGTTGCAACTAACTCTGTGGGACGATTAATTGAAGACAACGTCAAGTCTCAAAAGGAATCTCCAAAAGGACAGTTTAATCCAATACGCGGGTAAAGGAACGCGACCGCGACGGAACACGCTTACCTACACATCGACCGCCAACGCGCGTTTCGCTGCGCTTGCCAACACGCTTCCCATCTGGCCAGACATTGTGCTCAAAAATCAAGGTTTTGCGTTCCGTCTTCTCGCTGTGGTTATCTAGAATGAGCCCAGCATCTGCAGCATCGGCAAATCAAAGCCTCGGGCAGCAACTCCTTTCGCCTCATCTCGCATCTGGCAACAGCATGTTCCCAAGCCCGGCTGGAACACCTCATCTCCTTATGGACAATCGGCAACGACTACTTCCTTGCCATGCATTACCATACCATTCCCAGCAGCACCAGCACCATCAGCATCATCCTCGCTGCTGGAACTCTGGCCAGCATCGGTGTAGGAGCCTCAATGTCTCGCCAGTCGGAACTCCCGTAGTACCTTGGGCCACTCCTGCCGCTACACCGGGGAATCTTTCTCCGTGTGACGGTCCCACTCCACAGGCGTCTCCACTCGCTTCTCCCAGCTTGGTACCCGCTTCTACGAGGTCGGCGCCCGTACCGAGGTCGTCGCAAGCTGCCCTTGCTCTCAGCCTTCTTCGCGTACAACAGAGTAACAGGAGAAGACTGATGCTTTTGAGGGAATTCTCCATGAATACACCTGAAAGCCATGCCGAAGCTTGTGAAGAACTCAAAGATTGGTGTAATGATCGCAGGGCGTACGTACCCGAACTTGCAGCCGACTTAGATTTGACACTGAGGGTACGCGCAGCGTTTCTCAAAATGAATGAGGAAACTTTCAATCTAACATTCCATATTTTGGACTGATGATCAGACCGCAACTGAAAGGGCTTTGCTGCCTGGTTTCAGCGTGGAAGCTGCCCTGCGCATATTTAATGTTGTCGCCCGATACAGGGCCCTTATGCTCCCTTTGGCAGCTGGTAAGTTTCCTGTAACAGAGTACTCTGGAACGTGAAAGTGTAACAGATGACCTTCTGCTGAATAACAGAAAACTGTCGTCTTTACACGGACTGCTTGCTGCATCAGCAAAGCTTTTCTCTAAGTTTTGGTGAACATAACATTCCGCTCTCGTATGATGACCCCCTCATGTCGGTCCACGAGAATCCCGAAACGCCTACCGAGAACAACGATCCGTCGTGCAGTCCTACGAACCCTGTTCCTTCAGGGCACTCTTTGCTGCAGAGCTGGAACTTTAGTTCTGGCCCTGCTGTTCCAGCAGAATCTGATCTTAAGAGTGATCCTCAATCGCCGAGCGCAGCCAGTCCCACCCAATCGGAAATGTCCCTGTTGGAGGACCAGGCACCCGGTACACCCGGAACTTTCCTGGGTTTTCTCAATGCTCAGTGTGCATCTGTTGAGGGAGATATGCAACAAGGTTCCTCAGGTTCTCAACGCCCATCATCTGCTGGTTATAATGACAACGCGATGAACTATGAAGCCTACGTCGATCTATCGGCCGCCAAAGCCATGATGACTACAACCAACGCAGCTTTGTTAAACTCCGATACGGATGTTGGAATGGATATGAGCGTCATGAATTAATGGGCCACTCCAACATGGACAACCGGGCAAATCGAGAATTGTACATAACTCCGTCCAACACTTATTTTATTTCAAACCTTCCGAAAGAAGTAGACGATGATAAATATCGCCAGCGAAAGTCACGTTCCGTTCGACGCTTACCGTAAACTTTACGGCGTGAGGCAGACATTCTGGGGTGACGTGCTGGATATACACTATAGTTAACTTTTATCTATTTATTTTGCCTTTATTTATTTATGAGAGCGTCCAACGGGTCGTCCAAGTGGCGATCACGTTCTGAGAAGTGGGCCTGGGGACGTCCTGTAGTTAGTTTTGTTAGTTGCCTGGTCATTCTTTAATATGTATGTAAAATATGATATCCTTAATGTCGGAAACTTAGAAAGTCTCTCACCAGCTCCCAGTAGCCCGAACGACGACAGAATGCCGCCAGAAACGTTGGCCTTTTCAATTAAGAAAGGCGACCTTATGTAAGCAAACAACCAAAGATAACTCCGCTGCACCGCGCTCAAACGGCCTTCAACACCCGATAATTGTCAGGATAGCGTTTTGTTCGGTGGTGCACCACATTACCTCGTCAGCAGAGTTTCATTCGACAGTGACCCTTGGCAATAACTGAATTCGACGCGCTCTCTACTCGTATTGTTCACTTTCCCCGCGCCGGGCCAACGAATTGCTGAACCAGATAAACGTGAGTGTCAAATTGGAAAAGAGTCTCTGATACCCTGCATTTTAGCGGGAAAGTGAGCGAATCCCAATTTTGGCAAGGGATAAAGAATAGAGGTAACGATTTTTTTCCGATACTCTGGGGTTGGAGGTGATACTGGTCTGGTGATATGTGGATTGATTTTCTTGGGAGTTTCCACAAAAAAATGGTTGAATGCTGACGTTGTTCTGTGCCCTGACGTCCATTTACTATTAAAGGCTCCCTCGAATCCCATTGTACTCAGCCCGTCTTCCACAATTTGTATCCACCGCTGCAGCCCACACAATGTTTCCGTTTGCTAGACGTTCCACACAACCATCGCATTTGCAGTCAAGCGACTCGCCGTCTACTTCGAAAAAGGCTTCTCTGGTGTCACCTCAATCGAACGATATAGTAGAAACCGGACTAGGGCGTGAAAGTCCAGGTAACGCAAGGGACGAGCGACCTGCAGGAGACCAGGAGGTGATGCCCGATCCGAACGTAATCGACGGCTGGTTTGATGAGATTATGGTAGGTTTTATGACCTGTATTGTTTTGTCGAGTTTTTGTTCTGACCACCCACCTAGGAATCACTGCTGCCAGAAACTTCTGCTCAAAAATATCCGCATGACCGGGCAGCTCAAATCAAACTGGACGCAGAGTCGAAATGGGCGTTGGTCCGAGCATACCGCTCGAAATCCTCGCTTTTCGATGAAAAGGCCGGAAAAGGGACGACACCAACTGGGCCCAGACAACAGCCGTCCTCTCCTTTAGATTTTACCATGTTTTTAATGGCATACGTTGGGGACGGTGATACTGTATATACGGCCGATGAAACTTTGCTGAATATGATTAGAAAGTTGAGAATCTGTGTGGCGTGTGAGCTGGTTGGGTAAGTCAACATTATACTTGCCGAAACCCGAACAGCCTTAATAATTCAAAATTTTTCTTGACAGCTGGACGGAAACCTTTTTACAATATGATGGGCTTGTATATCTAACAAATCTCATGCGAAATATATCAGACAAAGCAGAAAAGTATGTAGCATTCAATATGTTATACTACCATGCAGAGATATGTTGATATATCTCCGTCACATCAGGTCTCCTCACGATTGGACTCTGCATCTCGAGCTCACTCGCACACTTCGCACACTCTGTTGCACTCAACCCTTCCTTTCGTACCTAATGAATTCGGGCAGCATTCTGTCACACCTCTGTCGGATTCTTTTCGGTTGGTGGAAGCAGCATCACCATCATTCGGATCACTGGGACCGATGCATAGGAAGGATCCCGCAGGTCATATCGCCAGAAGAATCAGGAAAATCCAAACCAAAGCCCCGTTACCAGGCTTGTTCAGAGATACCCGAGCCCTCGATACTAAAAGATTCATCAACACGACCTCCCATGGCAAACCGGCGAGTGGGGCTGGAGGTTCTATCTTTGGTGATTGAGCATGGCGGATGGAAATGTGTGGTTATGGCTCTAGATACCGTTGCCGGTGCTAGTTCAGTACTAGAAGGGGACATTATCGGCTGCCGCGATTCCAATGAGTTTCTTCCAACGCCTGTTACCTTCATGCCTTGGATCAGCGTCACCCATCAAGTAACACTAAATCGGCTGCGTCATTGGGCAGGACTCACTGCGCGTGCCCATTCTATCTACCACACCTTGAAGCATACGATGGCATCGTCAAAGCACTATCGCTACAAAAATGTACCGAAAACCGTGCCGGCATTGGAGGAGGGGGACGGCGTCGAAGATGCAGATGTGGTGAGATACCTGAAAGCTAGCATTCGATTCGCGGTGGTGCTTGTAAGCCCTGGAAACAGGCCGAATTCTGAGAGTCCTGCACACATCAGAAGGATCTTGGATGTGGCGGGGTGGAACAAAACGTTACAGGTATGCTCCTCCTTAACGACTTGCGCAACTGTATATTAAGCGCATCTTGCTTCTGCTGCATAGAAACTCAAGCAATCGCCGCATTCATCGATTCTCGCCACAGTGGAGAGATATATGAGAGAAAATATTGACGATGCGTCTAGAACTGAGGTGCAGGCTGGAACAACGCAGAACCGCCTTAGCCGGCCTCAGAGCATTACGTCACGTCATCGTCCCGTGCTTCCCACGGCAATTCGACCAGCTACCAGTCGTGTGCGCTCCCAGAGATCGCAGCCAGGCCTAGCGTCCAGAAGAAAACACGATGCAGCAACCAGGGTAGCAGCACAGGGATCAAGTGGTGTCGTAGGAATAAGAAGACCCGGAAGGAGACGCGTCGTGGTCGCAGGAAGGTCCCATGGGCATGGCGAGATAAATGAACACAGTCTCACTTCTGATGAAAGTGATCCTCGACACACTCTACCAAATGTGGCCGCCGCCGCTGAAAATCCAACGACAACACCAGAGCCTGAACCAGAGGACAATATCTCGCCTAGCACGACAGTAGCCGACGGTCCGAATCAGGAACAAAGTGAATCATCATCCTGGAATAATGTATCTGATGGAGAAGACACTTGCAGTGACGACACAAGTTCTAGCGAAGGAGAGTGGGACTTTGGTGCAGCAGAAGGTCCCGGGCACGATGTGACACCGGCGGCGGAGGAACCATCTGTTAATGCGACTTGATATATACATACGCTCACTACGGCACATATATTTATTAAGTCTTATCCAAGTTGGAATGTATTGTGTTTGTAAATCTGTACAAGAAGGACAAAACTACCGCGAAGACCATTGGCGGGGACTTGCTTACGTATCTAGTTCGATCAACTGTTGCCATGGCAGGCCTCCCGCCCAGGGTGGAAGTCCCTCCTGCCTACCAGATCTCCACACAAGGACGCTCTTCAGCAATGACCGACCACGCTGAAGAGCAAGCAAACGAACTGGAGGCCCTTCGGTCCATTTTTCCTGATGAATTCGAAGAACTTGATGTCGGTCCGCCCGCCGCATTTCGAATACACATCAAGCCAGAAGACACCCCAGAAGATGTTGCCCACCTTGACCCATCACTATATCTCACAATAACCTATACAGAAACATATCCTGATACCCTCCCCGAACTGTCACTAACAGACGTTACCGGTCTTACAGAGGAGGATACACATACCCTCTTGGAAACGATCAACGAATGTGCAACGGAATATGTTGGAATGGCAATGGTCTTCACGCTTGCAACGTCGGCAAAAGAAACCTTTGAGCGACTGCTCCAAGAGCGATCGGAACGTATGGCCACGGAGGAAGCTGCCCGGATTGCGGCGGAGGAGGAGGCAGAACGACAACGGCACGCGGGAACTCGAGTCACACCGGCTACTTTTGACATATGGAAAGCCAAGTTTCTGGAGGAGATTGCTGGTATATTGAAGCAACCTAAAGGGGAAGAGCTGCTAACACCAGCTCAACGCGCAGCAGCAGCTGTGGGTGGGCTATTGGAAAGTTTGAAGGGTGGGAAAGGGACGAAACTGACGGGGAGACAGCTGTTTGAAAAAGATCAGTCTTTGGCGAAGAGTGATATGGCTTTCATCGAGGAAGGAGACGTCACTGTTGATGTAGAATTATTCGAGGGGATGGAGGATTTGGATCTTGACGACGAGGATGAGGAAGAGAACTCAGTCTTGGCGAATTTTAGAGATGCAGACGATTAGATACCGGTTGGGAACACACGCAGCAGTCTTCGGCATTTTTTGTCAAGACAGACACAATTGCTGGGCTTTGTGTGAGGAAGAGGGGCACAGTGGGACTAGATTCCGGTTTTATCGAATCACAATACAGACATCATACGCAGAGTCGATGATGTCAATTTCATGCAGCTGTGTTCACAGCAAAAATCTATCGATACCAGTCCCGGAGCTTCTCACAGTTTTGCATCTTCATCTCCTGGGCTGCTCGAAGCTTTTTCTCATCCACCGTAAACCATCCATTTGCTTGTGCAATGCGGAAGCGCTTGATCTCTTGTTCTTGAGCGCAGAGATGCTGAAGGTTGCGATGCCACTAGGTACATATTTGTAAGGTATGTAATCCGCAGCACGTGTCGCATCTTCAAAAGGCATACCTCGGTTTCAACATCCTGCTCGTACTTCTGCAACTTGTCATGCCTAGCTTTTGAGCCATCCCATCTGTTCCATGCTTTTGCGTTAACAAAGTATGGGACGCTCCGTGACTCGGTGGCCCGGCGAAGATTGTACTGTGGGGAGGTTGCGAAAGAAAAATTCGGTTCTGGATCTCCTCCAGGGAGGAGGCCCGAGAACAGAGCCGATAGTAATGGGAAAACGAACAATACAATGACAGGGAGGAGATGGAAGAATTGCAGAACTTGGGCCTGGCCAGCTGTAGGATGATGTTGATGTGCGTGCGGGTTACGCCGGAATGATTGCGTACGGAATCCAGGGCCTGTAGTAAAACTGTGCATGCGAATTCCTAGATTCAAGAGAACTTGTGAAAAGGGGCTCCTTGGCACTCAACCCCTTAGAAATGACCCCTTACCTGACCCTCCCATGCCCCCCATGTCCCCGAAAAACATATTGAACAAATCCTCCGGACTGATCTCACTTTCAAATGGTGATCCGCCAAATCCTTGCCCGCCAAACCCGCCGCCACCACCGCCTCCCCGTGAAGTTTCAGAATCTACTCCAAATCGATCATACTTTGCACGCTTATCGGTATCCCCCAGAACCGCAAAGGCGTGTCCGATTGCTGATAGTTTGGAAAGATTCATTACCCTGTTTTGATACGATAGGACTGCGTATTTGAGTTGTCTTACCTTTAAAAGCATCGTCTGTCCCTGGTGCTCCACATTTATCAGGATGGAATTGCAAAGCCAACTGTCCCCACACTGTTAACTGCAAGGCAGCAGAAGATAGGAACCGTAGAACTCGAATAACCCACCTTTCGATACGCCTTCTTGATTTCAATTTCTGCGCATCCTTTCTCCAGTCCCAAGATAGCGTACAAGTCGCCTTTGGCTTTACAAGCTTTGATTCGCTTTATACCCTCAACCTGATCCGGTGTAAAGGGACGAGACGGACCAGCGTCTTCGCTGTCAGCACTGTTTGCAGATGCCAATGAAGTTGCGCGTTTCCGGCTTGTCGCTGCCGAAGGTCGTGCGCTGGAAGAAGTGGAGGAGGATGTTGCTGAGGAGGCGTGTGCGTGCTTTTTGAGAAATGCCAACTGTTTGACATGGAATGTTAGAGCGTGGGAAGGTCCAGTCACAAAATAACATAGGTAAAATATGCTTCAGCTGCAACGGCAGATGATATACTACGGATCTGCCTAATGGGCACGGTCTAAACAATAATGCTTACCCAGTCAATGCCTTCCGCAGTCTCGCAGAGTGCTATACTCTTGTTTGCAAATTTCAACGCCGCGTCTGTGTTGCCGCTCTGGAACTTGTCTTTTGAGATTTGCAGGCAACGTAAAGCCTCGTCTTTGTTCATAGACATTGTTTGTGAAACCCGATTGGGATGAACCTCAAAATCTGGGCCGGTTCGCGATCGCTGCAAACGTCGTTCAATCCCACAAGCAAGTGACAAACAGGAATCCGGCCACATCTGGCAAATTATGGCGCTGACGTGGCGCGTGGCGGAAACTCAGATAACAATGTTCGTCTTTTGCGACTGAAGACTTTTGGAAATTTGGAAAAGCACAAGACGACAAACTAGCCCAAAGTATGCTATGGTAAACAAGCTTCTACTATGGGTCTTGCACGCGCAAAACGCAACGGTTGGTCTAATGCAGACTGTACGACAAGTGGTGGTTGTCAACATGATTTGCATCTTGACGTCGGGGCAGGTAGCAAGTGGGAAGATATTTCAGATGCTAACAGTATGGGGATGTACAGACACACCTGTAACGAGGCTGCAATAGGAGCTTGATTGCTTGGTTGGTAGTACAGTTTTGGGTCGAAAGAGGAGGTAGCTTTTGGCCCGCCCAAAGTCAGCTTGAGCGAGTTTGCAAAGATCGACGATGATGGAAACGCAAGAGAACGAATCCTTGTAGAACAAGAATACCACTGTCTCCTGTGGCAAAAAGTAACTGTGCGCCCCTGTCATCCTTGGTATTTGGAACCGAGCTTTACGACTTGGATGTAGCAAACATTGTGATTCTGGCGTGAGTGCTTTGCAACTGGTGGTAAGACTCAAGCCATTTTGTAAACGCCAAGACTTTTAGGCCTGTCGAACAGGAATGCTGTGTCGATGTCTCATGGGCCGTAGTTTATCCTCCAAACTGAAATTCCTCCAGCTCTGGCGATTGCGTAAGCAAACCGCGTGAGCTTAGCTGACTTAGCTTTTTAAGCGAACGTGAGCCCTGGTGGGAAGGAAAGGCCAAACCAAGGCGGCGTCAGGATTTCCAAAGTCATCCGTGTGCAGAGGGGGCTCGTTGTGGCCGGATTTTGCTAAAGTCCTATAGGCATAAACTAAAATAGGACCACTCTGGTAAAGAGTGGGGCCCAAGTACAAGCACAGGGCTGTTCCTGTTTCCGCTTGTGCAGAATTGCTGAATGGATCACGCTCAAAATACTCCCTGGCAGCAAACGTCTGCCTCCCAAACCCCGTCCTCTTCGGCCGCTTCACCTTTTGGTGGCATAATGTCAACTATGACTCCATATGGAGCCCCCACAAGTGTGCAGGCGCTTCTTTCTGCCCAACGAAATGTGCTATCCTCCGCTCCACCAAATCAACCGCCGCAGTCGCAGCAGTTCTACACTTATCAGCTGCATCCGCAGCCTCTGCAATATCTCGTCCCGTCGACGCTGTCAGGCGCCAACTCTTCCGTATCCTTTCCTGTAACGATAACAACTCCTTATGGTAAGGGCAGCACATCCGCTAGCATAAAAAACTAGGACTGTTTTCATTTGATGTGAGACAAAGATAAAAATGCTGACAACCGGAAAGCAATCCAACTGTACATGGTTGTGGAGCATTATCGGAATATATCAAAATTCTGATTTTCTCAATGATATCACAAACACTGTTCGCATGCCAAGGTTCTAGCAACCGTCGGGTGCACATCGTTAACAACAGCAAAGAAATTGATTTTCGTCGTCACAAGCTGATCCTATGATGTGCCATTTTCGCAGAGAATTCCTCAACTTACCTAAGAAAGAAATTCAGCCCAGAACAAACCGATTTCATGAGAAAGAAATTCGATGAGAATCCTAAACCTTCTGATCAGATCTATAAGGAAATTAGCCAGACTGTTGGTCTTTCGGAGAAACAAGTAGTGTGCACAATTTCTGAGATGGGTTGGTATGGGATTCGTGTAGCTAAATCTGTCTCCCGGCAGGTCAAAGACTGGTTTGTGCGAGAGCGAACGAAGAAGAAGAATGCGAATAATGCCGTGTCAATGCCTACACCAGCGGCAACTCCAGTAACGATACCAGCGCCATCAGCTATAGCCTCTTCATTTGGACCAACGGTGACCAATCCAATGAGCCTTGGGCACTTCCCGTTCAACCCTAGCGCGACTACGACATATAACCCAATCGTCCCCAACACACCTGTTGGAGTCTCCGTGGCCCAACCAGTGGCAAATGCTCCTTTTATTTCAGCAGTAGCAGCCCAATATACTCCAAGTAGCAGTATACCGACAGTGCCGCATCCCTCAGCAATTGCATCCTCTTCGACCAGTAACTCATCACTGGCAGCGCCGACCGTCAATGCATATGAGGCATATACCCCACTGGGAACGACCAGCCAAAACACTACGGTTGCCGCACCAACAAGTAGCACGAACGTCTCGATGTCTGCACCGATGCCATCGGGAAATTCCGTATATCCAACATATTCCGCGTTTCCCGTCGCTGCAGCAAGTGCAAATATGAATGTTGTACCAGCGACGAATGCAACTCATGTGTCTACAATTTCGCCCCAAAGTGTCAATACATCTGCTGTCCCAACAGATGGAAATCTAGTACTACCATCGGGAATGACCGTCAGTGTAAACAGTCCATCAACAAATCCAATCTTGCCATATAGCATACCGGCTGCCACCAACAGCGTCGATGTAGACTTCAAGTCCCGAGTAGCGCAATTATTGGAGACTCACAAGTATCTTCAAGAAAGACATGGTTGCAATCTTCCTTTCTCTGCCATGTATCCTTCTCTTTGGGCATCCGCCCTACCGTCGACATTTTCGGGAGCTCAGAGCATGCCTCCGAACAATTCAATGCCTGGTTCACTGAACGGGTGGCAAACAACTGGTGTGCAACCATCAGCAAGGGAAACAAATGCAACAGAAGTTGCTAGAAGTGAGCCACTGGAGACGGAGACTTTCCAGCTACCTGAAGACGGCGGCATGCGTGCAGATTCTCCTGTGTCCGAAGATGTAAGCAGCTCGGCAATAGATGTGAAGAGTAACGCACATACTTACTCGGTATGGTTTATAATAGGAAGGATCAGGGGAGACTCTTTTGGCACCTTTTCTGACCGAAGATGGACAAGTGAAAGATAACTCTTCCGCTCAAACACTGGCGAAGCAGTTGGCGCGAGCCACGGTCTGGCAAGAAAGAATTCCGATATTAAATGCTTTTGAGAAAACCTCAAACAAAGAAGTCTTTGCGAGGTAAGCTCCTTTTACAATTGTACTGTGACATCGATCTTTTTTAATGACGCTCTGTCGTCTATGTCAAATAGCTTTTTGAAGAGGCAAGGATTAAAAACAATGACCAAAATGTTACTGAAGGCCAAAGACACAATACACGAGAACAATGTGGCTACCTGTGCTATTGTGGCGCTCAAAGTCCTTCTCAAATTGCCGGTAGAGTTGAGTGATTTGCGCGAGATGAAAACAGGGAAGCTGGTCAAGTACTTTGCATCCATAGACGCTGGGATGCAATCCCCTGGTAAGATCGGGATCTTACGCCGATGTTACTATACGTGTCGCGCTCATGACTATTTTGTTTGTCTTTGCCAGCCGTCCATGACGCTGCTGGGTCTGTAATGCGCAGCTGGCAGGCGCTGATCGGTAAAGCAAGCGCCGACAAAGCTGACGAGAAAAAGCGTATCAGAGATGATTCTAGTGGTGGAGCAGCCAAGAAGACAAAAGTGGTGGACGGACCGAAGAAGGCCCCTGCAGAGGCGGACCGTAAAGTCGTTCAAGCTGTGGATAATTTCGACATCTTTAAGTCGCTATCACATGCAGCCTTACCAAAGATTAAGAAAGCCGAAAAACCGGTTGCAGCAAACTCGGATGCTCCCGTATCAACTGAATCAGTGAAAGAGACTACCCCTGTAGATGACATGGCAGAATCCAGGTGCGCCTCGTCGGTATACCAGCGAATTTGTTTATGGACATTCATTGACCACTTGTCTTTTCTTGCAGTCCTACATCAACCGCTAATTCTTCGTTACTCATTGATGCTGACAAGATACCCAGCTACCGCAGCACTAACGAGAAAAGCGAAGAAACGCCAGCATCGGTAAATGAAGCCAAGCCAAAAAAGAAGCGAGTTAGGTTTGCCGAAGCGGACAAACTTGTTTCGGTGCGATATTTCGAGAAATTCGAGCCAACTCAGGAGGAAGAGAGAGAGGTGGGTAATACTTATAGTGCCACCGAGTCACGGATGGGCGCTGATGACTGTTTGATATATTTTGCAGGCGTTTAACATTACACCACATGAGCGTGGTAACGCGCGCGATTTCGATCGCCAAGAGGGGCATAGAGCGTTCAGACGCGAACTAATAGCATCAAGAGATTGGGTAGCTCCGTCTGGTGAGTCAGGGTATATAGACGTCACTCCTGACAGGATACTAGGGACTCACACCAGCTTCACCTTGACCTCCAGTCATCAGCTGGCCAGTTTCCTATGAATGGGGCCGCGACTCCACGGAAGCCACAGCGCAGCAAGACCGTGTACGCGGAATTCTCAGCGCCACGTACTTCTCGGAGGACCAAATTCCGTACTCTCCTGCTGAACCTCCAGAAGAACAGGAAACTAGTGCGGTGATCCCACCAAGGATCATTCTGGTGGACGATCAGCAGAGTGTGGTACGTGCAACGCATCCCGGGAACGTAAATAAGTTGCTAATCCGACTGTGGCTCTTTCTTAGAATCCAACATTGGACGTCGCAGGACAAGCGACGGATCCCAATGTTGCTATGAATCTAGGTACAAGCAATCTGGATGTAAGCGGGCTTTTGAATGCGCTGTCATCACAGCAGCCGAGTGTACTGGGTGCGATTGCTGGGCTACCAGCGCAGAATGTTGCACCCGTACCGAATCAGATGGACCTTGGGACCACATTGTTGTCTGCACTCAGTTCCCTTAGTATGCCCAGCGCGCTACCACAGGCGTCATTGCAGCCCGACCCTAACGCACCGATTAACGCACAAGCAATTCTAATACAGTCGCTTCTTTCGGTGAGTAACATCATTACGAGGAGTTCAAACGATGGTTGCTAAATCGTTGCGTCATATAGCAATTGGGTGGCCAGAATGCGGTATCTCCGGCGAGTATCCCAAATCCCGTGGGCTTACCATTGTCGTCTTCCCAGACCGAACAGCCACATCAGCAGCGACAGCTTCTAAATTCCCTCACTTCACAATTTGGACAAAACAGCACCCAATCTCTGTCACAACACGTACAACCACAACAACAAAACCAAGGGCAGAATGGACGTCCTAACTCGCGATGGGGTCCACGAGGAGGACAACCTGACTCGATGCACCGCTCTCATCGAGGCGGCCACCGACCGGGTCCTTACGAGCGGCCTGATCGGGGACGTGGAGGGATTCAGCAAGGGCGTGGACGTGGTGGCGTAATCAATCATCGTGCACGCGGAACCAAGAGTTGTTTTTTCTACACACAGGGCTATTGTAGAGCTGGAGAAGCCTGTACATTCCGACATGACGTGCCTCCAGCGTCAGAAGGTGGAACGTGAATAATTGTGATTATGAAAGCCGACGTATTGGAACCACGCAAAAAGGATCGTCCTTGATGGTAATTTAGTATGATATGTATATAAAGTACCCCGTTTGCAGCCAACGGCTCGTCCGCCTGTAGAACCCTCCTCTCCACTATCCATTACATTTCACTTGATCAGTGGTCCACGCACCTGATATTATCTTTTCAAACACTGTCATCAGTCAGCAGTCAGCATCCTCACAACAGAACCAGTGTGTAATAGACAATGTTCAGTCTCTAGTCCAAAAGTATCATGTAGCGAACGAAGACAGCACAATCAAGAAAGGTTGCAAATGCAGATAAGAGTGTCGGACTTATCACGGATTTGTCGCATCATGCTCTGTATAAATTTCCGTATGTCAGAAACAAAAAACATGTCATTTTGTATCGGCATAGTCGGCATTTCCAATATGGCATAATTTGCATGACCAGCGTTGCAATAGTGAGCGACTTGTTCGCTGATATCAGTGTTTTCAATGTACCAAAATTTATTCTGTAGTTATTAAATCCATAGACGAACTAGCAGATTGCCTCTAGTTTGGTTGTTAACTCCAATACGGTTTTGTCTGTATTGGAAGTAACAAATGTTCATAAATAATGCTTGTGCAACATGTCCGAAGATGCCGCGCCACATCGCGCTCGGACGTATGTAGGTGGAGACCCAAATACCTGTTGACTACAAATCGAGATTTGATATCTATACATAAGAATGCAGGCAGATTGAGTTCAGATATATGTGATACCCAATGCCCGTCGTGCTCTTGGTTGGCCTACTATTAATAACAGTCGCATCTCTTGTGAGACGTCCTGTGAGAGTCGATGGAGACAAAATATATCACAATGTACCAGGAAGGAATGTCCGCTGCATTAAATGCGCCAAGCCGTATAAAGAAACGCAAAGCGGCTAAAGGCCTCTCGACGTGTCGCTCTCAAATGTCGACAAAGGTACTTTGTCTCAGCCATTTCTGAGGGTACGTCGCATTGCAAGAGTAAATGTTGTTCTGATTTTGAGAGTCGAAAGAGAACCATGCATTTAATGCAAGCACAGATTTACAACAGGGTTTCCTATTTCCCCGTCCTTTCTGGACTTCCTCATTCTGCTTGCCGCAGGATTCTTCCAACTTTCTATCCCACCCACCAGCTGACCAAGGCCGGGATTGTGGATAACTTTCAATTTGCTGGCCAGTGCGGCGTAGTCTCGTTGGTGGCCATATTATGTTGACATGCAATTGAAAGTATTGAATATTGCATTCATTCGTTACCTTCACTGTTTTTATCATACAAACATCCAGTTTGGATGCTGTGGTGTATAAATAGGCGCTTCTGGATATTCTCCCATGTGTCAATGAGCCTTATAACCGCTTTGCCATGACAAGCGCAACTTTGTCTGAAGACTCTCGTCCACACGCCCGTTACATCGTGCAGGATGATGATGTGGAAGTGGTGATTTTGGATGATGGCCGACTTTATACTTCACAAGGAAACGGTCGAACGATTTGAGCCAGACAGTTCTGCGGTGTTGGTAATTGACGAAATATCATCCAGAACTTTGGCATCATTGGCACTACCTCTCTGCCTAAGCTACTGGAGCTGCTCGAGGAGTGGCTTCAGCTTGCTTCGGTGTTGACCAATGTCGCGGTAGCAAGGACAGCCAGATACCGGATACAGTAGAGGATCTCCAGGACATCGAAATACAGCGTGACAACACCAGAAGACTGCTCCGGTTTCCCAATGAATGTTTTCAGTGTTTCAAAGTTTTGGCTGTGACCAGCGCAGAAGTCTCTGAGAAACACTGTTGACTGCCGGGAACATTTATCTCCATGCCGCTTGATGTCCTCGAGTTTCAATATCGTCGATCTTATTCGTTGAAAAGGATGACCCGATGCAAACCTCTTCGATCCTTACGTACAAGCACAACTAACGGTTGTTTTTTCACTCTATCTGCTCCTCAACTTCTTTTAGTAATGGGCAGTATCATTAGTGCATCATCCAAGAATTACAGCGTCTGCTGCTTGCTGCATTACGCTTACTGAAAGAAGCAGAAAAGGTTGGGTGTTTGGGTGCGCTGGAATCTGTCCAACGCTATCAATGCTACCAACAGGATAGTTTTGGCATTGGTATTCAAACCAAGGATGACGACGGTCTATTGTGGTATGAATGAAATACGTGCAATATAGCTTGTTCCCTTGCCAGTGTGGAGGGAGGGTGTTTGGGCGTAGGGACTGAACGTCTTCTCCGTTCAGATGTACACGCATCTATGTGCTAGTATGCATGCAAACCGCTCATGTCCACACTCTCCAGCTTTGTGTTTCAAGTGCTATTTGACATCATCCATTGGCCCTTTCTTTATCCACCCCTTCATCCAGATGGACCATATCTGAGCAGGTTGAACGACGACAAGTGTCCATAGCAGGTGACGTCGCATAAAGTACGCTTATGTAAGCACTAAGTGCGCGTTATAGTGACGTCAACGCTCGACCCAACGCTATAAAAGCACCCAGCTGGTCGTTCATTCGTACTTGCTCACATAGCAAACAAATCCAACACTATCACACCATCATCCAGATTTTTTAAAGCGGTCACCAAAGTAGTTACCATGTCTTCGAAAAACGACAACCACAACGCCTCGTCTACCGACTCCACCACAGAAGGCATGACCACCAAGCCGGGCGGAAAGCACCTCGCAGCCAGTGCATCAAAGTCAACATCTCGACCCCACAACAAGGACCCCAACGAATACCCTCCCAATGTGAGATCAACTGGTAATAATCAAGGCACTGGGAAATCACAGACGCATAAGGCGGGAGTTAAGGGACGGTCTTGATCATTCACTTTGTACCGACGTTTGAAATATTCAAGGACATGCACAGTATGTAGATTCTCTATGTGTTGGACTGGAGGGCTCTTTGTAGCTGTCGTTGCTTGATTGTAATATATACCACATTCTTGTTGAGGGTGTGAGTTTGTAATATATGTGGTTAGCCATACAAGATATTTGGTCTTTCCAAAAACCCAAAATTTATTTCCATCATCAGAACTTTGCATAGAACGTTATATAACTTGCACTGACGCAGCCATCAATGCTCATCACAGTCAACGGTGGGACGGTACGTGCTCGACACTACTCTAAAGTCTATGTGACATGGCGTAGTTACCGGTAACTCCACTATTTACGCTAACCTCTGAGACTGTTTTTGCCAACTGCCGTACATCTTGCTCCGTCGCAAGTGCTAGACAATGCCATGGTACCATTCCAGAGGAGTTTTGATCGCGTCCTTCTTTCTTGAGGTCTTCTTGATCATTGGTCTTTGACTTCGCTTTTGGCATCCATTTGCGAGTCTCAGCTCCCGCTTTCTCCTTGCCCTTTTTGAACTTGAATTTTAATGGGTCCTGAGAATGGACGAGTGTCCACCCATCTTCAAAGAAGGCATCGACTACCACATAGTCGCCTCGACGAAGATTCATTTCGTCGGGTTGCTCTGGCTTATGTGCAAATACGGCTTTGCAAAGAATGCCAGCCTCTCTTGGTGGTCGCCATGTAGAGGAGCCGCCAGCAAATCGTGGAGGCGGGCCAGTGTACGTGCGGACGGCTGGCTTTGGCACCGTGGTCTCCAGGTTGCTCTGTGATGACGAACTAGATCGTGACTTGGCGGAGGTCCCACTTGGGCTTTTGAGGTCTTCCAACGTTCCAGATGAGAATAACAATGGGCCATCGGAGTATACGGACTTGTTACTTCCACCATACTCTGTAGATCCATTATCGGATACATCCGATCCTGTTTGCGGGTCTCTCGATTTCGGTCCTTTTTTGACCGCTTTCGCCATCCACTCTTGAACTTTTGTCCCTTTCTCTTGCATCTGCTCCGAGTCTCTACCAACCTCCCATGCTTTTCCCTTTCTTTTGCTTCGCATTACGCGTCGATGTCGTTTGAACCACACCAGGCCACCCATACCGACAATGACGACCGCTGCCGTTGCTGTAACTGGGCCTACATAACTTGGTACACCTCCCCCGTTATTGGCCGCTGTGGTCTGGCAGGAACCAATGTCATTGGCTAGGAAGACATTCGAAAGCGAGCCCATGGCACCGTCAGGGGACGTCAGTGTCCAAGGTCCTTCATTAGCAATAACAGCTGAAGATGGCACAGAGTAGGTGTATCGACTTAAGCTCCACTCCACAGGTGTGGTTGTGACGTTACAGCGGCTTCCTGCGGGTGTCTATTTAAGTTGTCAGTGTTATTTTCTTTCGCGGTCACTTCCGCCAAGTTGCTCCTACTTACCGCTAACTCGAGCATCAGTCTTTGGGCTGCTGCTGGCCGTAGGCCTTCCCACGTTATTGTTACTGGTTTTTCTCTTTGAAGATACCATCCCTCCGGCCCACCGGCCAGAACACCCCGGCACGCAAACGAAGAGGCATCGACCTTGTGCTCCACAAACCCAAGCCCTGTTCCAGGCGAGTTAGGTGGGACTGGGACAGCTTCCGCTCCAGTCAGGACTGATATGGCAATCCAGAAAAGGCACACTGGGAGGAATGAATGAGGACGGCATTGGAGTACTAGTGTGCTGGTCATTGCGGCGTTGGTCGCCGTCGTTCTCAGTACACAAGGATAATTCTTTGGATTACTTGCGGAGGGTGCCCAAGAGGGATAACGTAACGGCAAACCTCCCCTTGCACCGCCGCTCATTTCGCACACTTCTTTTGTTGAACGAAGCCAGCCGTTTCGTTTTTGCTTATCTGAACTCCACCTTCATTGGATTCTGCATTCCAACCACATTAGAAACCTGCCGATCAGGCCATGAACATAAACAAAACACACTTAACAGAGTACAGAGTAGTGTATTTCTGTCTTGACCCGCTGTGGTGACGCTGGGGCAAGTATTAAGTCTATAAAGTCCACTCTTTTCTTCTTTTTCTTTTCACTGCTCAATCTCGCAACGAGTGCTCATTGCAAGGTTTCCGTCCTGATATGAGGGTATGGTCTGGAGCGATACAGCTCTCCTTTGAATCTGCACCTACTTGGCAATCTCTTATTGTAAACATACCTAACGTTTATCGTTCTTGTCAATAATGGAGCTGCATGCTGACGTCCTTTGCAGCCGGAAGTTAAAGGTGCCCCTTCTTGAGATAACTCAATGCTCCAAAAGTTGGCTGGTGAAGAGAATAAAACCAGTTCTAGTGTCAAGTGTGGGGAGTGTGCTTCTGCGCACAAAGTCATGCGACTAAGCCACGGTCAGCCGCGCTCACCTGACGCAATTTACCTTAAAAGAGTATTATTAATTCAGCGCGCTTCTTTCTCGCCCCCGTCCTTCCAGATCACCCTCGTCGTCACCCTCTTAACTTGAGAAGATGCATCCGAGCGACACGGCCGCGCCGACCGCGGAGCAAGGGCTAGACCAACAGCAACAACCCATTGAAAATGGAGCTGATACTGGGAAAGACGACCGACCTTCCGATGAGGAAATTCTACGCTACGAACGAGCTATCAAAGAAGCCGAGACTGGCGCCTCACCGTTGATATCTGATATCTTGGGGATGCAAGGATTGGAGAAGGTTTGCGTTGCCTCTTATTTGGTTGGCATGAATATACAAAGGAGCAGAATAACCAAGTATGGTCTGTAAAGGAATTCGCCAGTGGACTGGAAATATTTCAGAGAAAAGTCAAGGTATCAATGCATTTTTGTGTTGCGCGCTAATAGGGGATAGTCCAATGATCCGTTCACTGATGCGATAAATTAAATAGCACCTTTCACAAACCTGCAAAGGAATGCGAACAGTCAAACGCGACGGAAACTGCTTTTATCGGGCTCTCAGTTTCCGCTTCTGCGAATTGTTATGGGAGCGACGGGGTACGCCATGGGCCCAAGCTGCTCTTGCACGGGCAGCTAGTACAAAAGACATTATGACTGAGATGGGTTATGACATGTCTCTATTGATCGATTTCTGGGAACCTTTCGAGACGGCTTTGAAGCCCCAAGAGGATAGCAAGACTCTGTTGGAGATATTTCAAACCGAATATGTTAGTGATACCATTGTGTGCTACTTGAGATTGGTGACAGCTGCAGTCCTGAAAAAGGTAGGTGAATTGTGCATACTGAACTACATCGGAATCGTGTTGCAACTTTACGTGTTGATTATAGTATCGAGATTTGTTTGAGGCGTTCATTTTGGATAGTTATCCCTCGCTAGATGCGTTTATAGGTTCACAAGTGGAGCCGAGTAAGTGATACATATGCAGATCTTTGCAGTCACAGGGTACTTGACCAATTCTGCTTTAAAGTGAATATTGAAGCCGACCAACCACACATCGTTGCCATTTCCAACGCCCTTGGCATCACGATCAGGATTGCCAACTTAGATCCTACTCCTACGGATGCTGGAGTAAACTACCACGAACTTTCGCCAATGGAACCTTTGGAGGTACCTGGTGATGTGCCAGAGGTAGTGCTGTTGTATAGACCAGGGCATTATGATGTATTATACCCATCAGGATAGCCCGCCCAAGTTTGCAATGTCGCGTGGATTTTGTTGCTGTAGTTTGCAATTTGGGCTTGTACATACAGATGCGGGTAAAGAGACAAATCGGGAATCTATTAATACACTAGGCTAAGTTTCTAGCTATACTTAACCTAGCGAGCCAAGGCACAGGGTTACTGCGAACTCCACGTCTTTATCGTTTCATAGCCACTCATAGCTACCATGGCTCCTGAGCAAGCAAAGACGAGTTACAGCCAAAGTACGTTCACAGAAATGAGATAAGTAGGTTAACTTACCAGGCACAGTAACCAATAATCTCAATCTCAAGCCCTTGTAAAAGCCCGCCAGCCCCTCCTTAAGATATATACTTTTTGCCAAATACCAGTAACCACGTCTAATTACTTCGGCATCCGCCGGACAACTTCTATCTAGCAGCTGATGGCGAATTCGAAGGATTTCAAAAGGATTATTTGCACAGACAGCACACAAACCAGCGAATCCGCCACTGATGCCGTTGACGATATGATCTCGATTTGGTATCCGTATACTTCGTTTTCTCTCAATAGCAGCCAGTACGCCATGCAGGAGGGGTTTGCTGTGTTCATAGGATCCCCACTGGACAGCGGAGGCTGGCGCATACGCTCCTATGTCTTAATAGCGTGTTGAAGGCCGTTTTCCGAGAAATAACAAAAGATAAACTACAAACGTACATGCAAGATATCCGCGGTAGAATCCCCGAAGTCCTTCGCTGCGCATGATTCTTTTCGCAAGATCTAAGTGGGTGCCAAACAATCAAAAGCCAGCTGACCCTGGGCAAAGATTTATTTGCCGCTTCGAAACGTAGCGTACCTATTGGTCCTGCATATAACCTTACCGCGAAACAAAAAATCACCACCGATCAATCGTCGTTAACGAAATAAACAAATCACACCGCCTTCTTTCACTAATTCAATTCACCTCGAATTATGGTTGAACCCATTGAGGTTCTGCACTTGCAACCGCTGAGCCACCACATCAGCAGGGACATAAAACAGTCCGGCCGATATTTCCGCACAAGCCCCTTTAACCAACGTAAATCGGTGATCTCGCTTGATCTGACTCAAAACGTTAGGATTGGCGCTCTCATACCAGCAATAAAACCTCTCAAAAACACACTCTTCTCCAACGTTTCTTTTGCCATTGACTGTGCACACACATCTTGGGCCGTTTCGTAGGCAAGATAATACATTGCTTGTCCAGGAAAGGAACCGACGACTGCTGGCGGAAGGCCACGCCAGAATCGGGCGATCCCTAAATGTATGGATCTGTATCTTGCAAGGACATCCGAAAACGGAGAGTGTTCGATTACTCACCTTCAGTTTTGGCAATCCGCCATATAAGTCTAAGAATATTAGGTTCTCGACCAAAAGTTGCTTCCTAATCCATTATAGTATAGGGGATAAGGAAAACTCGCTTGCAGGAACTTCATGACCTTCTGAAAGCTTCACTTACCCGTTGCGACATGATTAATGTCTTGATGGTATCCAATGGAAAGAGACACGAGTCCACTCCCAAAATGAAAATGGAACCAAAGGCGGCATAGCGCGAAGAATCCATATCGGACAAATTGATGCGCTCTGGTGTCGAAGCTGCTGTCGTAGCTGCAGTAGGTGAAGGGTCCATCTGTGGTAGTTGCATATTGGGTAATTGTAACGGTGTCGGGTGCGTATCTATGGCCATGTTTGAAACGGAATGCAGAGCGATGGTATGGGCCAGTATTTACTGGCAGATCACATTGTAAACTACTATTTACCGAGGTTGTTGCAAGTTACTTTGATGACATCTCGCTATTTTAAGCGTCTAGCGGGCATTTTGATTACGGAAGGCATTGACACGCGGTGATCGCAGGAATAGAACATGCCGGCCATGGTCCTCGTATAATCGTGTTCTCTGTGTTGAACACGGTTAATACGAAAGATGTGTACAATCGCATTGCTTCGCAGTGAAGGTGAGCTCGAGTACAGTACTGAGGCAAAGGCATCAATGAAGGTATATTTTCCGGAGCCAATACTTTGATTTCATCTGAGGAACTATCACAACATGACTTTGTAACAGTGATCTCCCAATGTATGCAAGCAAAAAGTATATTCGAAAGCGCACTCTCTACTCCACGTATATCGCTGTTTTTAAGCTCGTGTAAAACAGAAGCTATATGTATCAAAAAATACAAAAGTATATACATAAACCCGAAAAGAAAAAGGACATATATGTCGTAGCTTTATCCATCCTTCTTTTGCCTAGCACTGCCCCCTTTCTTCCTCCACCATCCCTCTACACCACTCAAACGCCCTAAGAAGCCCAACACCGCTTCTTCCGCCTCCCCAACTCGTTCTTCGAGGACTCCAACAGCATAACGCACTCTCAACACCTCGTTCTCCACCTGTTCCACCTTCTCCACCAAAGCCTTTTGACGATTTTGCAGTTCGGTTATGGACGATTTCAGAGCAGCAGTCTGGGTTATATGGGTTTCGGTGTGAGTGGACAAATACGAGGTGTTCGTTGTAAGGGTCTTGAGAAGCGGTGGGATCGTATCTCCCAGTGCGTGCGAGAGGTGATGGAGGCGTCGAATTAACGCAGCTCTCTGGGAGATTAAGCGCGGATGAAGTGCGAGGGAAAGGGGTGGTATTGGAGATGTGGATATCGGGGATGAGGGGGCGGCAATGGGGGATGGAGACACGGCTGGAGATACACCGGCGGAAGATTCACCGCCTCCGCGGGACCTATCAGACGGCGCACCTTCAATTGTTCCCCTTCGTCGAAGTGAAAGCGACGTTGGCGGTAAGGGCGGTGCTGCCAGGTCATTCAAATCCGTTGCCCTGCTTCCAAAATCAATGGAATGTCTCCCCAGTGTTCTCTCCCCACTTCGGCTTGTAGTTCCGTCACGTTTTTTGCTCAACTTTTCCAGTATGTTCATCTCGGTGCGTCGCACGCTGTCTAACGATAGAGCACGTCGGTGAATTGACGCGCGTTTGCCGCCAGATAGCCCGTCCGCAGGGGTAAGGGCAACCGGTGGTCGGCTCCGTTCCACAATATTTTCAACGAGGTCTCGAGCCTCGTCGTGTACATCCACATCATGACCTTGCGTTGAAGGGATGACCGTAGATACTTGCCGAGTGGCATTCCCGGACTCGGGAGCGTTTGCGCTGACATCAGCCTCACCATCGACGCCTTCATCATGAATGCCACCAGCTTCCTTGACAGTATGTGCCAGTTGCTTCATGCCTTTTGTTACCAGCTTCGACTTTTCCACTATGCCGCCAAGAGTCCGCGAGGTAGAGTCCTTTAGGCCGCGAAGCATACGAGCTGGTGTCGCCCGAAACTTTGGATGTTGCTGATTTTCCTCATCAAGGTCGTCAATGGGCAACCCTGGCGGGGGCGGTTGTGCACTGATACTAGAGTTGACCGGGGCTGGGGCAGTTGAAGTAGCACTTAGTGGATCAGTACGAAGCGGTAGCGCCGGTTGAGGGAGAGTGGCCACCGTTGGCGAGATAGGTGAAGTACCCGCCATTCTCGGTGATGGGGTCTGGGCATTAGGCGATGGGGCAGTCGGGACAGTCAAGTTCATGTTGTCGGTTCGCTTTTCTTTTTTCCTGCTCTGCTGTTTCTCTGTACGTTTTGCTACTCGTATCCAGCTATTCAGGAAATATTCCAAGTCGTGTTCATTGCTTCCTGGACCAGCTATTGGGCCTTGTCCATCACTATCATCACCTCGACGATGCGACGCGGTAGGAAAACCGGTTATATCTTCAATCTTGGAACGTAGAACGTTTACTGTAGATGAAACTGCTGCAACGGCCTGTGCCTGTGCTGGAACCCTCACGTAGAGAGTCTCAATCCTGTTTATCGTCTTTCGATCAAACACATGTGTCACTCGCAACCCTTGTGACTTCTGAAAGTGCTTAATCTGTCTCGCTAGTCCGTTGAGCTCGTTTCCCATCTTTACCGCGTATCCTAAGGCGCCTAGTTTTTGCTTCAACCCTTCCACTGTGCGTAACACGACTGTGACCAATGGCGGATCGCACCAATTACCGGGCTCAATCTCCACATCATTGAAAGGACCAAATTCATTGTAAAATTGCTTCAAAGCAGCACTAGTAGAATTGCACATCAGACCATCCGCATACTCTGCATTGAGGAGTGCCAGTAAAACCAACGCTTGCTGCACCATCCTCCCCACTGTGAGAACACATTGGTCAAAAGGGAGCTGAGGACTTTGCTGGGTGCCAGTAATGCGATAAAACTTCTCACAAACTGCTTGTGATGGGGGCCGAAAGGAGAGGAGCGACCGTTCCCCGCAACCGAACCGACGCAAATTAATATTGAGAACGAGTGTGGCAAGGTGCGCGTCATAGTCTCCATCTGGAACAGGTATACATGGACTATCGGGGCAAATGAGCCCAGTGTCTTGCAAAAGGAGAACGGAACTTGATCAGGCTACCCACCTTGAGGCTTTACTGAACCATTCTGGATTTCCCACCATCACCACCCCAAAGCCAGTCTCGCGCATCTGCAGCCTGTCCACCTCCAGCTGCGCAAATGCCTTTTGAATTTTTACATCGTACTCTTCCCCTACATCGCCACTGAATTCTGCTACGGCAAACAAGGCCACATGTTCAGTCCTTCCGGTGTAGACAGCAAATGTATTAAAAATGCGTCCGCGGTTGACAACCCAGTCGACATTAACGTAGAGCTGATAGCCTGAGAGAGCAAGGCAGTTGTTAAATACTGTTATATTCGAACCACTTTGTGAGAGATGAGTAAGTGTTTGGCGTTCGCCGGAAAGAAAATGGCGAGACATCTAGCCCTCAAGAGCGTCGACGACGGACTTTGAACGATCGATCTGCGCCAATGGCCCATTCGCACAGTCATGAAAGAAACAACCAATGGAATAACCTCCACATGCTCCCACATGACTTGCAAAAAATCGGCGGACTATAAAAGCCCTCCTCCCTCGCTACCTTTCTGTTTTTTTTCTTTAGGAAGTTATTCGGATTCATATCTTATTGAATACGGTAACCCACTATACAACTATTAATCTTATTAAAGGTGCTACTTTCATGCGTTGGCCTTTCTCTCCACAGGTCAATCGCTTCCATGCCACTTGAGAGGAACGTCTGGGCTCATTCTGAAGGGGATATCTCATGGTCGAGAGGCCAGATGGTTATTCCCTATTAGCGATCCCTACATTTGGATACGTTTTGGTTGGCGTATGGCAACGTGCAAGCAGAGGTGCGGTCTGTCAACATGGGATTACATGGAGCTACTGCCTGTTGGCCCATTCTTGTGCGTAGGTCATGATGTTTCCTTGACCAGACGGCGCAACCCCATCTGCATTTGCGCAATTCTTTTACAGCCTGTGAATATCGCAATTCTTTTACAGCCTGTGAATATCACTTGAGGACACTTTTCTGCCAGCAGAATTGTTATTTGTGCACCAGGCCCAAATGTCGTGTACATACGTAGTATCCTGCTATACTTCAGGGATCAGCATCACCTGGATAACTCCTCCCTCCGCCAATTTGAGCTCCTTCACAGCGGTTATATCTGCAATTGGTCTGCCCAAATAAAAAAACTTTAAACAGACTCGTCCGCCCTTGCTAGCCTGCGGGTTCAACTCTGCTTTCTCTTCCACCAACGCACGCAACTCCTTTATGGTTTCCTCGCCCGTAACGGAGAGTTTGATATCTTTCCCGGAACTCAATCGCGCAACCAAGGTCTTTTTCGGACGATGTGACGTCGGGGAAGGTATTATTACCTCCTCTGCTTTAGACGACGGTGCCTCGCCCTGAATTTGGTTCTTGTATTCGCTTGCTCCTTCCTTGTCTACAATGAGATTCTTTGGCTCTACTATGCACATTACTGGTATCACATAATTGCTCCCCAATTCGTCATAGCAGCCGTCGGAAAGGTTACCGGTTGGAACTGTGATATTGGCGCTATCAACGATGGCTTGGGCTAAATCCATGGAAGGTGATTCGCATGCGGCCCGTAGTGCTTGCCATATTTCCGGGCGGCCCTGCCATCGCAAACGTCCTGGGTTTGAGCCTATCGGGCGAACCAAGTAACCGGACGTCGGAACCTACCGAATATGCTGGTTGAGTATCCCAAAAAGCATCTCGTTGTCTCTGCAATTCTGTCCTCGTCATCGGTGTCTCCGAACTCCAAGCGAGTGATTTTTTGTCGACTAAAGGTTTGTTCCCTCCTTCAAAGCAGAAATAGTTCAACGTCAGTTGCCTCCCTCCTTGCACGCTCGTCGCAGACCTACCCACTCACCAGTAGGGACACCGGTCACTCCTCCATTATCGGCCCTATTCCGTTCCTGTTGCCCGTCCTCGTCTCTGGAGAGACAGGAACCCATGGCCCAGGTGTTGTGTACACTGCGTTACGCTAAGAATGATTCACCTCAAAATGGCCGTTATTCAGAACTGACCACGGTGAATACCAACTGTTGATGCTAATCCAAATTGGAGGTAGGTTCTGCAGGCTCTGGGCAAAGTCCTCCCAGTTTGAGTTCCTGTTTTTCCGTGATCTTGCCTTGCCCTTGCTCGGATGCAAGGGCCGAGGCCGATTACGTGATGTGACTCAGTTCAGTGGCAGCTGCTCGCCTAAGCGACACACGCAAGCGCAACCGCGTCCAGCTGCGACGTTCCGCCCACCTCCTTCGAACCTAAAAACGAACGATTCAGCATGTCAAAAGGAACATCCATAAAGGACGCTATCAAAGCATGGGAAGAAAAAACCAATGAAACTGCGGCGGAAGCAACAAAAGTCAAGCTGACCTCATGCCAGCCCTTCATTCAAAAAATGGACGCATCACTCGCCCAACTCACAAAAGTCGAACAGCTCGCGTTATCAACAAACCAAATTGAGAAAATCTCTAATCTCCAAGGCCTACCCCACCTTCGTATTCTCTCTCTCGGTCGAAACAGCATCAAGAAGATTGAGGGCTTGGATGCAGTAGCGGACACCCTGGAGGAATTATGGATATCCTATAACCAGATCGAGAGGTTGAACGGAGTGGAAGTGTGCAAGAAGCTCAAAGTCATATATGCTAGCAACAACAAAATTAAAGACTGGGCTGGCTTGCAGCCATTGGCATCGCTGCCTGCCATAGAAGATGTCTTGTTTGTTGGAAATCCGCTAGAGGAGAAAGCTACCGCGGACGGAATATGGGTGACAGAAATGGCCAAGAAATTTCCAACTCTGCGAAGATTGGACGGAAAACCAATTATCAGGGAGGATGACGGTGCAGGAGGGGAGGATGGGGACGGAGAGAAGGCCGACTAGATAGATGCACGGATGCCTTGGACTGTTACGTTGCTCCAAATTCGATCTTGCTCATGTATGTTTAAACGATCGCTGTAATGCGTAATCTTTTGAAAACATTTTCGTATAGAAAGGGCTGAAAAATTAGGTATTTTGCTATAATACAAGAATTAGAAGGATATTGTACAAAAATAAATCCTCGCCATATAACTAGGCGCGTCCCCGGCCTGCGGAGGGGCGGACCAGCATCGTTTGAGATCGTGATAGCTTGGTTGTCTCAGCAGGCTCAGCTGCCGATGATACCAGCTGCCCATCATAGCCAATGCTACCTAACCGCCCGCGAATCGCTGAGGCAACCGATCCTCCTAAACTAGATGCGACCGACTCTGGTACCTTTCCCTTCTCTGGTAGAACACTCTTTGCCTTGAGACTGGCCAGTACAGCCTGTGCGGTGTTGTCTTCACCTTCTTTCCTTTGAAGTTGGCTATCACCGCTGTGCACATCTTTCTTCTCAAAGCTTCCCTCCCCACTTCCCATCCAGCTAAAGAAAGCCTTAGCTTGATCAAAGAGGCGCTCGTCAAATGATCTATGACGAGGTCCGCTCTCAGAATCCGGAGTATTTGGAGGTGATAAAAGCGTCTCTGACGGTTGCAAAGATGAGGATCGGGGTTGCGGGCTAACAGGATGACTTGACCCCATCCCTCCTTGTGGTGGATTCACTTTTACTGGCGCCGCGGACGACTCGGCGATAGAATAGTAAATGTCGGTCAAAAGAACGTTGAATGCAAGATCCACGTTTCTGTTTTCAGATGCGGAGGTTTCCATGAAAAGGAACCCTTGGGCTAGCGCATACGCTTGAGCCTCATGTGTCGGCACTTGGCGTTCTGATTTTGCCCGATCGACTTTGTTTCCAACAATCATGATGACCGGCTCTATTCCCTTGTTTCCTTGCTGTGTGCAAGTGATTGTTGAGAACACGTGTACACGACCAAATTGAAATCCATCCGTGCGTACCTTGCTCTTGAAATCTCGAACCCACTTCCGCACTGCGTTGAATGAGTCCATGCTAGTAACATCGTAAACAATGATTGCGCCCGTGGCTAGGTTCCAATACGATTGTATGATAGATCGGAATCGCTCTAGGCCCGAGGTGTCAACAATCTGCACGTACGATATGGTTGGAAAAATCCAAAGCATGAGCAAGTTTGATATGACCAGAGTGCAAAAACTAGAGGTCTTGTAGTTACGTCATCCAGCCGATTAGACGCATACCTGGGCTTTAATTATCTTTCCCGAGGCAATCTTGACTGTTAGAGTCCCAAAATCGATCCCGGCTGTTGGCTTCGAACTTGGGTTGAACGGCTTACCAAGAAGCCGCTGGAACAGCTGTGACTTGCCGGCTCCTGAGTCTCCAAGGACCATGACCTTTATTATCGTCTCATTGAGTTCTCGCTCATTTGTAAAGGCCCACATATTTCCCCTTTCGTGCACTCTTGATATGTTTGGTTCACTCGACAATCTACGCAAAAGAGGCTCGCTACGAGGGCGTCTGTTACGACAAGTGGCCTGATGAGGAGGAATCAAGGCGTTGACGGCTGCCGTAAGAGTAGGGAAAGGCAGATGTTCAGTATTGGTCCCTCCCCTTGCAGACAAGCCCTTGCATGAGGTCCTTTTCTATTCAGAGGCTGAGCTCGTTTCGAGCCAGTGCGCAGAGCAATTTGGAAAAGGGTTTCTTTGGGTGGCAGTGCAAGCGGCTTATTGCATTTCATTTTACATTCAATGCATTCGAATGCACACATCGTCAGCCCATTAAAGGGTTCAACAACTCTTGCTTGCTTAGAGTGTGCTTGGTGGTTAAAGGTGTGCTTCAAGGGCAGATCCCACCATTGAGCGCTTGCTAGAGTGCATTATACAGATAGCAGTGATCGAATTGCAGCCCTTTTTGTCTACTCGGGGGACGTTTGGCCTTCTTCCGAACGTATTAACACGCCCAGATGTATTGACACTTCCTGTTGATGCAAAAAGACATTACCCATTCGTTCTGCTATTTGCTCGCAAGTTAGCCAGTAATCCAAACCCTGCAACATCTCCTAAATAGAATCCAAAAGGGCAGAACTGCAAATGCAGAGTCATGTGATGTTACCCGTGACTGAGCGGTGGGGGGGCTTCATTCATCAACGCAAATACACACAATACCACTGGGCTATTCCCTCCTTTTTTCTCCAAATCGCACATGTTGGACATTGTCATCAGCGAATCACTTTGGCTCGCCGGTGTTCAGAAGTCTTGCAGTCCTCTTCGTGCGTCTCCTTTTGTATTTAGTATTCGCATACCCACAGTAATGTTGAAAACCTACGTCGTTGCGTCATCCACACAATCACCACAAACCCAAAATGTCCCTTGCGATAAATCACCAACGCTCAAGCTCAGCCGTCTCAACGGTGGTTCAACCCTCAAGCTCACCGCGCACGCAAAAACTTGAAGACAGTAATATTAACAGCAACGGGAACACCACCTCAGGTCAATCCCACTGTAAGTGTGCCAGTATATGTAAAGCCAGTTTAAGACTCTTGCCTTACCCTCACCCTAGCTGCAAAGAAGCGCCAACGATGCTTCAGTGCAAATAAAGGTATATTTCTGTGGATGTCACTTACCGGTATTTGTCTTGTCTTTTTGAGTACACTCATTGATGCAACATTCTTCATCCTTTTTAGCTCATCCTGAAAACAACAATACACACACCCACCAGAAAACGGCATCCCCTCAGCAAGTTCGCTTTCCCGGAAACCAAAACAAGACTCCGGGCTCCCCTATGCGCAAAGAAAAACATACAGCTCAACAGCCTCGCCCTGACCGGCAAGAGCAATCTGCTCGCAAGTCGTGCAATTCAAAGTCGGAACGTTCAAGCACTGATTCTCGACCAGCTCCACCCACTGTAAAACCGTCACCTTCGACTTCTCCCAAGCAACGCGGCCTATTGGTAGAGCCAGGTTCAAAGGCTACTAGCAACTCTGAATCAAACGCTAACAGGAAGCGCCGCAGTAAACGGTCTTCCGCTTCCCGTCAGCAACTGACTGATGATGGAGGAAAATGCGACCAGCAGTACGATCAGCGAGCAACGCCCCTTGTACAACAGAGATATTCGAATACCACGCCTCAAAGACCGCGCAGGCTGAGCGCTCCAGATTTGCGTTTACAACATCAAGATCAGCCTCTTATGGATCCGCACCCCGCCGACACGCAATCAAATCAAGCTACTGGCAGCCTGTATGCTGGTGCAACTTTTCAGAATTCTCCCGCCGCGAGCGCGTTACCATTGCCAGTATTCTCTGGCCGCTGCGGACCCAAAGGTCCCGTGATTCCAATGGCGTCGTCTGCCGCGACGACCGAGTCCTCCTCATTGCCGACACCCTCTTTCCATCCGCCTCTTTTACGCGGCCCTTCCCGCACCTTTTCTCATGAAACTTTGAACATGACAGGCACTCCATCCCCACGCCGGTACATGGAACTTGATCAAGAAATGTTTAACATGGACGATGATGCAAGAATCAACGACGAGGAGCTCCGCAAAAAGTCTAGAGATCTTTTATCACTCCTCACTGGAGCAAAGACTCCAATAAACGAAACAATTAAGCCTGCCGACAGGCACACTAGACCTATCCCGTCTAGACCTTTGTCACACCCTCTTCCTTTGGCGCCTCAGGACGAGCAAAGTATGTTGGCTCAGATCAGCCAGGACTTGAAGCAAATGCTGAAAATCAATGGTCCTTGTGGAAATTGATTGCATGAATCAGATGGATGGAAATAATTGATGGAGATATTGCTATTGGGATGATCACGTCCCTTTTGTTCATTAAAATATACTAGCTGATCTCTGAAATTGGTCCGCTGTGGTTTGCCTCTAAGGTCTTTGTGAAGCGTGAATTTTTCAGTCCAAAAAAAGAGTGCACTTGTATAGCCATATCACCCCACTGTGCAATCAATATCCCTGGTGTACAGTATCCAATTGTTAGATGATTTTGATATGTACGCTGCCAACCCGACTTGAGCACTTACACAACATGAATTTGTCTTCTTTGCTGTCTTGTAAAATGCTTTGGATGCACTCGACAACGCATCAGATTGTGTAACCAGGTCGTCCAGTTTTTCTCCTCGCGCCAATAAAGACTCCATGGTTTTGTGCTAAGATGCCAAAAGTTACTCACGGCCATCGACCTAATCATAACTCTAGCATTCCAGGTACCCACCAAAACGATTTTGGTTTCATCCAATTCCTTTTGCACCTTCATAAAAGGATCTGCGCTTTCCGGATCCTGAGCTTTTACCAAATGTTGTCTCAGTTCAGGATATTTGGCAGCTGTTGTGGTAGGGTTCATTGTGGCCCACTTGTCCCGGTCAGGAAACTTTGCTGAGAATTCGTCGACTAGCCGGTTGAGAAGGGAAAAGGCTGTCCGGGTTGGATACGTATTGTCTGCGACGAGGATGCCGGCGAGACCGTCCCCGCGTACATATATGTGACCAAGGAAGTCTGGAGTGACGTACACAAGATTTCGATCAGTATGCTGCCATTTCAACCGGTTTTGGGCTCGTCCTCAACTGAGCTTCTCTGCAACAACTTGCAAGGGTTCTTTTAAGCTTCTACAATAAGATACTCACTATCTTGTTCGATCTTTGATCTCTGACCATTAGGCGTCCGCTCAACAACAGTTTTCGTGAAAAAGTTGATGAACTCTGTTATACTACGCCAAAACCAAAACTCTTAACTGACCCATTCAACTCAAACCAAATTCAGGCTATCATACAACTCACCTCCCCCGCTGGAAGAACGAAAAACTTGCCAAGTCCTGCTCAGACGCCAGGATTTTAACGGGCGAGCCCTTCTCAGCTACTGCTAGCGCATACACTTTAACCATTCTTTGATGTCTTGACGTTGCAAACGAGTTTTGCACGCTACGTGGAGCCCTCTGTCCATTGTAATGCCGCCTGACACGGTGGAACGAGCGTGACTGAGCCAGGTATATTACGTAAGCGAGGCTGTAAGTGAGGAAGCGTTGCCATCTCAACGTCGGAAGGTGAATGATGGCCAGAAGGGCTTCGAGCATCAGTGCTTTTTGTTTATTAGATCTTCACAAAGACATTTATTGCAGCCATGGACTTTAGCGGACTGTCAGACATGGAGAGGTCTCGTATGAATGCCTTCATTGAGCAAAAGCAGGTTGGTGGTCTCGGTGCTTTTGACTTCCCACTACTTGTCAATCTGAGCAATCATGTTGTAGATGAAGGACTTTCTCCGCCTGTATGCCAACTTGGTAGACCGTTGTTTTGCAGATTGTGTAAATGATTTTACATCCAAAGCTTTGAGCTCAAAGGAGGTTGGTGCTCTGTTATCATGGATTTACATATTTTGTGGGTTATGCTCAATGTTTGTGCTGTTTTTGTCAGGATACCTGCGTAAACCGATGCGTTGATAAGTTCATAAAACATTCGGAGCGTGTCGGGTTGAGATTTGGGGAGCAGAATGCACTGCTGCAACAGCAGCAGCAACAGCAAATGATGGGATCGCAATAATGACCGTTGTGTAGCATGAGAAATCGGGGCCGTGCTTGCTCGCTGTATAATACTGCATCGTGGTGGTTTGCATGGCGTCCGGACCATTTCCAGTCGAATTCGAGCATGAGAGCTCTTTCTGTCGGTCTGGACAGGCCTCAGCTAGCTAGATGAACGACGAGTGGTTAGTAAGAGGAGGAGCACATTACGAGTAGGAGCATATTATCTTATATACAGTTGATATACATTAGCGGCGAGGGGGCCGTCAGTAGTCTTAATTTACAATTATGTGCATCAGCTGGCGCCGTCCGATGCCAAATCTTCCATAACTAGGCGCTCGGCCAAACGAACAAGGTGTTTTGATGGACGCTACGATGGCATATTGTTTGAAAAACACTCGACGGCTGCGGATGTTGCCCCATCTACTCACCTGCTTTTCAGAAGACTGCCATTCATTGATCTGATCCACTACAGCTCTAGCCCTCGCGATGAGATTTTCAGTTGTGGGAACTTAAAAAAAAGTGTGCACAATAAGTTGTACGAACTATGGCTAACCGATTCAAGCACACGTACGATTGGCTTCAAGTTCAGTTGGCGGCTTTTGCGGTTCGCCAAATTGATATACATGGAATGGTAACAACCGATTAATTACGTCGTCAACAGATTTGAACGGCGATAGATCTGGCTCTCGGGCAGCTCGTTGATCGGCCACGAGAGCTTCATGGACCCTACAAGAGCGGTAAACCATACATTCCGAAATTTCGCGTCAAAGATTTCTCATCAAACTACCTTCGCTGGATCTCCTGTTGATTTTTTACTTCTTCTAAGGTAGGTTCGGGAGGCCGGTACGACGACGCTAAACAGTAACGTTATCAGCCATAACTTACAATGGATTTCTAATGTTGAACATACCCACCAACAAGTGGTGGATGTTGTACGTCGGTGTAGCTCGTCTTTGGCGGCCTGCCGCGTGGCCGCTTTACAGAGCTGGTGGGAGATGGAGAAGCGGACCATTGTCGCTTCGGAGTCCCATATATTAGTGGTGACGTCGATCCTGAAGCAAACGGGGTGGGTGATGATGGGAGACCAGTTGCACGGACTTTTGCTAGAATATTGTCCCGGAGTTGTTGCGTAGCTTGAGAGAGACTAGGGCGTACTGCCGGTCGAGGGGTTGTGGGATACGACGCTACTGGCTGTGCTTGAAGAGGGTTCTGTGAGAAGTGTTGAAGCTGCATCTGTGGTATCATTTGAATCCCCCCTCCGAACGGGTACACGATAGGAAGCATCGTGGGCAGAAGCGATTGCCCTGCGGATTGGCCAGCAGGACTTGAGCTGGGAGGAGTTGACCAAGCTGTGGCGGCAGGATAGATACTTTGCCAGGCGGTAACATTTTGCGCGGAACCATTCGAGGAACCACTCAACATTGACGCTGCCGCACTCAAAGCTGTCATCCCCCCAAGGTTTCCCAATCCACCAAAGGCTCCCAGTGGTGGCACAGGAGTTCCCGCAGCGGGTGGGTGATTACCTTGTCCTGTGGCGGCGAACTGAGCGTGCTGGCTAGATAAGGCAAGCTGCCCAATGAGCAGCTTTCGTTGTTCTGATGTCATGCTATTGACGTCAGGGATAATTTGATTGAGCGGCCGGACCGTCGGAGCTGGACTGTTGATCTTTGGGGTGGAGGGAAGCGGCTGCGGTTTTGATATCGGGGTAGATTGGTTTGGTGCTGCGCTTAATGATGTAGCAAAACCCGTTGTCGCTATCGGAGTTGTTTTGCCAGGAATAGCGATCTGTGTCCCTGCTGCAGATGTTGATGGTGCTTTTGTACCATTGCTGTCTTTTCCACCAGCGGCAGCTTCCACGGCCTGTAATAATGCATACTTGGAGTAAAGTTAGGATAACTTGATTTGGCACAGCGTTTCTAGGTCATACCAATGCATGCGAAGCGTCCTCATCCGCCATGACAGCGTGTTCCTTCAATGCCCTTTGGAGCCATCAAACCAGACAGTCCTATGGCAAATCACGTGATTTGAACAGTTTCCAGCAGAGCAAAGATGCGTATCGCAACAGTATGGTGAAAAGGAAAGGGAAATTAACCCATAATATAAAGCCCTGGAAATGAAATAGCTTGAGCCGAAGCGCCCTTAGAGTCTGGACATTGTGCATCCACAATGCGGCGATGGCCACAGGCCACCCAGATTTGTGGATTTCGATTAATGTTTTAACCAAAGAATTGGCCGAGAGAATTCAATGATGCGATTCATTTGCAATGGTGCGCTTTCATGCGATCTATGCTACATGCTTTTCTCTTGAATCCTCAAACCCCAGACCCATGGCATGGAGCGACCTGATCAGAAACGCGTCGTTTGCTTACTCCATGCGCGTTCTCAAATGCACGACCAGTCTTCCATACCACCGGCATCCATATCTCAGCGTGTCATTCAACTTGGCTTCCGACTAGGTTTAATTTATTACGAACAAAAGAAACATGATTCCTGCTCTTTTCGGAGCCAGGAGCCGTGAATCTCTTCAGAAAGTGCGAGAGGATGAAGAGTATCGCGTAAGAGTTCGAGGCATCTTCCAAGCTTCACTTTGCGACTTTCTACTGATCTTCATGGCGAAATTTTGCCACAATTCTATTCTAGACAGCCTGTTCCAAGCTTGTGGCAGCGGGATATCGCTTCTCTCCTGCTTCGTCCTTGGGAAAATCCCCATCCCAAAGAAGCGTTGCTACACCAGTGAGAGCCCCGTCGCAAAAATCAGCTGCGAGTTTGGAAAATGTACCAGAGGAGCCTGTATCGCCATCTTCTCACAAACCATCCTACTTTGGCCGCCGCAAACCCAAGTGTATGTGTATAAGTTTCAACTGGGGGCGCGATCATGATGGCTTAATGAATTTGTTTGCATACTGACAGCGTCTACGACATATATTGCAATGCGAGAGAAAATTGGCCCTGTGTGCATATCGCTAAAGTCCTTGGAGAGCGAGAAAGACACTATGCTAGCTTATGTTCGCACTAAATACGTATGTGAACGAGTTTCCCTGTTTGTTACCCTTATGTTCAATTGTTGCGCTTGCAGGGTTTCAACGTCCATACCTTCATTGAAGAAAAGATAGAAGAATACCCAGCCGCCGTGGCTGCACTTCGCGAGTACTTACGTCTTCCATATGTCTTGTGCGGGCTCCGGGAGGATAAGGTCCTAGCGGCCCCACATGGCACAGCCCAAGAGATGGACTTGATTGATGCAATGGGTGTAGAGATTGTGAATAGCGCACATGCTGTCAAGAAGCGAGATCTGGATAATGCCCTCTTGGAACTGGATGCCCTTCGGGTGCGTACTGTTATTGCGTTGCGGAAGGATAGTCTCCATTGAATCTCAAGCACTACGTAGATGCGAAAACTTGATCACGTTGTGATTGATATCATCTTAGCCCAACGGGACGCAACAGCCTGTATGTCGGCGGTATTTCCTTTTGTGCATCCAACTCTTTGAGCTTACGCTCACCAGCTCGTGCATCCCGGTATATTAGCGCTTTTAAACTCATATGATGGGCAAAATGGGTTCAAAGTACCTCTTACCCTTGGTGTAAAGGCGGATGAGCTAGTCAAGCCCATGGATGACTCGCGAACTTTTAGAGATCTCGGTTGGTAGCTACCCGGACCCTGAAGTCCGACAGACCCAATAACTGGCTTGAAATGTAGGGCTCATATTTCAGAAGATGAAATCAGGGCCACCTCGCAGTTCGAGCAATGTGGAGATCAAGGTATTCATTATTCCTTTCGGTGCAAAATGCCGCACACACTTATCCTGTCGACTTTGAAGACGCAAGCAGCTGTGATTGACAAGTCAAAAGTCACTCAAGCCATTTACGAAATATTTGAAGTCGAAAAGAGTAACTTGAAAAGGTTGAAAGTTCTTGAAACCGTGAGTGATCAATCCGCATATTATTTGGATCATGTAAAACCACATACTCAGACTGTACTTATTTAGCATTACAATGAACCCGTATGGAAGAATTGGCAAGAAGCAGATTTCGCAAGCCCCAGTTTTGCTAGAAGCGGCTGTCCAACAGTCCGCAGAATCATAGAGCAATCGGAAAAGTTGCTGCAGGAGCTGGGAAGTCCATCTGTTTCTGTAGAGCGCTTTTGCACCGTGTTCATAGACAAGGTAAGTAAGCACCTTTAACCCCACTTATAGGTCCTGCGTTGAAAGTTTCCAAAATTCAGGCGCGCGAGTCTGGAGACTTTTATCTCGCGTATCGGGATTATATTGACCAGTTCGACTATGCACATCAGTGTTTACCAAAGTCCCCAATCTTCCACGCTTTCATGGAGGTATATCATTAGCCGCAAGTAACATCTTACATTGACTAATGAGAATAATAAAGAAACTGCGTCAAGATCCTACGACAAGCTTCGATACGTTGCGCGCCTTACCTGTTCAAAGACTACCTCGCTATGTTATGGCTCTTCATACCATTATGCTGAATACACTGACGTCCGATCCAACCTTTCCCCTTGCGATGGAAGCCCACCGGGCCATGGATGAGGCGACACGAAGAATTGATGAACGTCGACGTCAATATGAAGACTTCAAACTTCTTACAGAGGTGGATCACAAGTTGAACCTCGGTGGTGCGGTAGGAACTTTGATATCGTCCACTCATGAGCGGCCCTGTGCTAACCTACTACGTACAGATATCGAGCGCACAAGTCAAATACAAATGCGAGCTGCATGTTGAGGAGATAAACGACAAAAAAATCCGTCTTCATAAACGCATCTTCCTTCTATTCAGTAATCTGTTACTGGTGCTGGAACGCAAAGAACAGCAGACGAATAACCTTGCACGAAAAGGAGCCCGTGAGAAAACTTCTGAACGACCTCCGTACATTATTGAAGCCATGCATCCGGTGGCGAGTATAACCGCAGTGGACCAACACGATAAAGGTATATATCATTCGAATAGTGTTTAGATTAGTATGAGCTAGCTCACATTTTCCATCTCGCTACAGAGTTCAAGCTCATTTGTTTGACTAACGGCCCACATCAGCGTCGAGTGGCCTCCTACGAAGCAGAATCTAAAGAAGCAAAAGAGTTTTTCCTGCGTGCCTTACGAGATATTGAGGTCAGAGCGAAGCTAGAGGGTGAGGCACAACATAAGGCTTTGAATTCTGCAACATCCTATTCTGAACTTCCATTTTCGGGCGGGCAGCCAACAAGCTCAAAAATGAGCCCTATGCCGACCGCTTTGATGACTTAGATGTGTACTACAATATCATGAACGCCAGCGAGTTGAACAAAAAATTATTGGTGAGTTGCAGCTGCATGAACTATCTTGAAGTTTTCTCTTTCTCAATTCTTGAATATGGAAGGGATCTGTTGGCGTTGTGGTACTTGGGGATCATCAGTTGTTTGCTGACATCTTGTCGCGAAGCAAAGACAGTTACTGTAGGTACACTTGAACAACGAAGTGGATCCCGTTCTGGTTGGGAATCTCAATCAATAATCCTTTAGATGCAATGGGGTTTTTAGAAACCAAAGATATGGAGGCACGATTAACATTTGCGGTTCATGAAAAAGCGCTTAACGCGCACGGTGATCCATTAAACCCCCAAAATGTTCCAACATGGAATGATCCTGCGAGCGTTCAGCAAAAACTTCTTTCGCAGGGTGTGTACCGTTGTTATCTAATTCCATCGTTGTGGTGAAGATGTTCACGCAGTATTCGATCACGTATAGCTAGCAAAATCGCCTCATTCTTATCGCACGAAGGACCGGATCCGGACCGGTTTAAAACGATAATGGAACCTGCTTTACGCGACGTTTGCGAAATCTACTACAAAGTTCGTCGGCCTTCATTGATGCACTCGCGCTCCTTCTCGTCCACCTCCTCTCTTCTTTCCTGGGCGTCCCGCAGCAGCGTTAGCAGCATGGCCAGCGTGACCAGCATAACCAGTGAGAAAAACGCAAACCTAACTCGACGCCCATCCACAGTCATGCGCAGGATTACAAACGCAATGAGAAGACCTGGGCCAGATGCTTCTGGTGACATTCCCTACAGAGCCGGCACGCCAGAACCTGGTGGTACATACTCCGGAAGATCTCCTGAGAGACGAAGCCGAATACCTGTCATTCCGGGCGCCGCACGTCCGTTTGGACCTGATCGGACCTCACCACAAAAGAACGTACCGCCCCTTCCCCGCGGTAATTTCCAGCGTCTCTTTCTTCGGGGGAAAAGCGTTGCTCCGTCACCCAACGAGAAACGTGAGTTGACACCACGCGGCTATGCTCATTTCTCATCTTAGTTAACTTCAACTGTTAAAGTTGTCCCAATTCGTGTTCTGGAGGTGCTTCTGAATTCAGTGGAGGAGCGAGGTAAGGATATCACGCTCTCTAATAGAGATGACTATTTTAACACCAGCACACCTATATAGGTCTGAACTGTAAGACCCTTTATCGCGGCGGCGACACGCACGATATAAACAAGATTGTGGAGGATTTAGGTATGAAAATGCCCTTTCTTCGCCTGCCATCATGTATTTAACGCCCGAATAGTTCTAAAAAAGCCACGCGCCGAAGCTCTGTCACGCCATATCGAAAAGATCCCACCAGAACGACTGGCGCAGATAACCAAGGGTTACATTGCGACAGCCAACAACGGGAATCTGTTATGGCCAAAAGAGACTCTTGCTGAGATACGTGGATCAGCAAGTAAGAATATTTTCTTTGTAGGCCATTAGCGTAATGCATGTCGTACCAATCACTGGCATAGGAATGCAGCATCGTAGTCATATTGATGAGGACTTTATCGAAGCAATTAAATTTCCCATTCGCAACCTACCCCTCACCAACCAACGAGCGTTAGCCATGGTTTTCCTCCATTGGCAGGGGTAAGTAAGAAGGGCCTTTGTCTAGTAAATCAGAGATTAGATTTTACATTTTTCATGCAGAATATCACGTCAAGCACACACTCAACTGGACGCACGTAAGCTGGCCGGTGTCCTTGCCCAGACGGTGATGCGGGAAGAGACTGGGTGGGCCATAGCGGCAACGGAATGTATCATCGCCAATGCCGACAAGCTGTTTGACAACATAGAGGGACATGTGCCGGTGCGACCAATAACTCCAAGGCGCTCCGAATCTATGGTATTTGATAAACCTGAACACTGTAGGTTTCTATATTCTTCGTAGTCCGCATATCCTAAAAATTTCTAACTTCCGCAAAATAGCAACGACCCAACCAGATTCGCTACAGCCAAGCGATCACGAAAGCGACGTCGCGCAACCGCAGCATATTGAGCTTCCAACAAATGTCACTGATCAAGAAGCTGATCAGGCTGTGGCAGTCAGCGCTCCTGGCTCTGTCAGTCATTTATTCGAGACTTCTACACCATCAAGTGATCTTCAAGTGCAATCAACCGAAGCTAATTTTGAAAACGTTCACCCCATCGTTCCCGAGCAGCATATGCACCACGACCAATCAGAGAGATCGGAGAGTCAAGCACCCATTGAACAAGAGGACGGCGAAATTGTAGAGTCAGTAGCACCCCGAGAGGACAGCGACCACAACATCTCGCCGGAAATCAGTGCAGAAATTGTGCCGCAACAACCTGAACACAGTATACCTGAACTCAACATGGGACAGCCGGTACCGAAGGACGTTGACGATCTAACGGCAGCACACGAAGAACAAGACCGAGTGCATCCATCCGAAACAGAGCCGGAACATGATGAAAACGAGATACCAGCCGACAAGGTTATGCTCAGCCCGGCAGCTCAGGCGACCGAGGAGACCCCATCAAGTCCTGCTAGCCTAGTAGATCTTAAGGGTTCGACAGGCCTACTTAAGCAGCTGAATGAAACTACGGATTCAAGTTCTACATTGGTTGTGAGACGCTGCGCCTCACTGCAGGAAGGGGACTTCGCTGAGGTATTTGGATTCTTATTTAGCTGGCTGGAATTGCCTAATCTTTGATGCTGACATATTTCCAAAGTCGTTGTACTTATCACGTATTGAACTCGCCAACAAGAGTCTTCGCCTTGCAAAGACAACGTTAGAGAGTAAAAAATCGGTCTTAGAAAAGGAGCTCTCGGATTTGGGGGAGATTCCGGCCCTGGTTACCGCGGAAGTACATGAAGGGGCAGGCGAGAACCTGGATACGGAACAATTGTTGGTTCACCTGCCTGAACTTAGTGCCGTTGTGGATGTCGAACGCCTGAGACCAGACTCGATCGCGGATGAGTTCAAGTTAGAGATGGCTGCGTTTGTTAAAGGAGGAAGTAGCATGACTATCGCCTCGCAGGTACTTGCGTATGAGTTACAAATCGCACCAGGAGACGAATAACTCGTTGTTGTCTTTAACTAAAGAAGTCAGATGAAGACTCCCATACTGAACAATCGACTAATACTGATCACCTGTTGAAACCAAATGATAGTGGTACGTTATGAACCCTGAACTATCATGAGTTAGCTGAGATGTCAGGGCTCATATCGTTCGTAATAGTAAAAGGAATTGTCTCCTCCCGATCTGCACCATATCTTTCCTTAAATCCGCTTCCATTGAAAGCCACCGGCAGTCCGGTACGTTTGCATAAATAAATCGTGAAAGAGAATTTACCATGTTATCATCTTGCTGATCTGAGTATCGGTAAACACAGATGATAGCAGCCTTGATTGAAGAGAACAAGAAACTCCAACAAGAAAACCTAAAGTGCATACGGGTACGTGCAAGTGCTTTTTTCCATTTGTAATAAAAGTTCATTTGCCTGACCAATTACGCATTGGCTTTACAAGGAGGTATCTCGCCTAGAACAGCAGAAATCTGCACTCCGCATAGGCCTGCAATCCAACGCCGAAGACATAGCTCTGCCTGCCGAAAGCTAAATAATTCCGGGTGGGAAATGCAAAATAGAATAATGATATGCAATGAATATAGATTAATGAATAAGTTATATATACACACGCCCACTGTCTTTGTACAAGCTCAATAATCTTCCCCTGGAACATTAAAGCACTGGTTAGAACGGGAATCCAACGGGTAGAATCTGCCCTAGCCGTCTGCTTACGGTCACTTGCATCTCCTCCAAACACATCGACATCTTCGTCGTAGTGATCAACCAAATAGTCGTTTTCTTCCTCGTACATTTCTTCGTCGTACTCCTCTTCTGGTAACGCTTCATCGTCATCATCAACATCTGCCTGCAAGTATCACACATGGAGTTATTAGTATTTTGGCGTACCGAGCCGGACCCACGCGCAAGTGCCCTACATTTCCCTTGGCACTGGCCTCTTCTTTCTCCAAAGCATCCAGAGCTTTGAGGTCGATGTCTTTCTTAACAAGTTTGGCACCTACACGATATCGGACAGGTACCATCTGTTAGCCAGCCCCCTGTCGAGTGGATCAGGTACTGGACAAAATCACGTTGCACACTCACTCGTCTTGGACTTCGATGGATCCTTTACTCCGTGAAGTTCTTCAGGGAAAAAAGCAAGATCTGTCGGGACTCCAGTCAAAGATTTATTCGCCTCCTTCGTCCGTTTGCGAAACCGATCTGAGTATCTCTCGATATCTAATGACAGCATGTCAATTTTCCCCGATCGCTAATTCCTGAGGTTTTACAATTTTCACTCTACCAGGCTTCGGAGGTGGGACATCAAGATAATATGGTAGCTCCCGAAGGCTGTCGAGAAAGACCTTCCACTCGTCGACCATGTACTGTTCGGGGAGGGTCATTTGTTTGAAAGGATGGGGTTTGTAGTCCTGCAATCACTTGCATGTTTAGCAAGTTCTCGTGGATATTGGTCTCTAAGGAATCGAACAGGTACCGGAAAGAGCGGAGTCTCCTTGTATGTTACTTCAACATCTTCCCCCAAGTCAGGTCCCCGGCCTCGTCCAAACCCTCCCCCACTGCCCCCTCCTCGCCCACCTCTCCAACCACCACCGCCTCCTCCTCTTCCACTCATGAGTTCGACAGTCTGGAGTGGAACAAGAACTGGATGCGTGATAGCAAGTCGTTAACGAATATCTATTGGGATAGTTCACTTTGCTCTACCGTGATTCGAGCCGGTTCTGCTGCGTTGTTGCTGTTGCCACGGTTACCGGACCAGGATTAGTGTGGTGCAGATCTCTAGTGCTGACAGTAACTCATCAACCTAGGCGGCAATGGAACACTTTGAAAAGGGAGTCGTGACAAAGGCGGGCCTAAATGGCACGGGCCTTAGGGTTCTTATTGGTCTGTAACTCTTTCATGGTATACCGGGACTATGCCATTCTGACACCTCTTGCTCTACAGTGCATACAAGATGGAATCTTCCAGTGGTTGAGGCCCTTGTCAAGGGAACTGTTAATACTCTTCAAGCGCATGGTGTTGAAGCGACGAACATTGTTATAAAGGACGTTCCTGGAGCCTATGAACTTCCTTTTGCGTCACAGTCTCTCCTTCAGAGTGCAAAAGTCCCTTTCGATGCCTGTATTTCCATCGGCGTGCTTATCAAGGGCTCAACCATGCACTTTGAGTATATAGCTGATGCCACAAGTCAAGGACTGATGCGAGTGGGGCTAGATACGAGAATCCCTGTGATCTTCGGGGTCTTGACTTGTTTGACAGAGGACCAGGCCTTTGAGAGAGCTGGACTTGGGCGGGGCCCATCCAAGGGACATAACCACGGTGAGGATTGGGCTCAGGCTGCCATTGAGATGGCTCTTTTGAATAGAGGATAGAGCCGGTGAAGGTACGACATTATATATCATTGACGGTGCTACTATATCAATGGCTATTTTTACAAAATCTAAAACCATGTATGTTCAAAGTAATGTGGTTTGCCTTGTTCACTTCTTGTACTTTCCAACTTGCTCATTCGCCACGCTTCGTATTAAATGCTTGAAAAAGCCCATATCTGAAAGGGAATTGTCAGTATTGTCAGCGTGCCAGTGAAATTGTCATTGTAGTCCACGTACAAGCATCGTAATAGTGCCTTGACATCCTTCCGGACTAAATCTAATGCAAAAGGTTCTTATCTTGGGTCAGCCTTCTGAATATTGCTCGAATGCAACCTACCAGTAGCATTTATGCGAGTAATGTCGATATTAAGATCCAACATCATGGATAGGGCAAACCGGGCATTCTCGATCTAGGCGATCTAGTGGTTAAACGCTTTGGTCTTCCCACTTTCACGGTCAGTTCAGATCAATGCATTGCGGAACACAAACCTTTTCTGCAAGGGTGGTTGGACTGAGAGTATAGTGGTGGAGGGGGACAAAGAAGTTCCCCAGCGTTCCAATGAGAAAGATCAAATATATTCCTTCCAATTTAGTCAAGCTGTTGATGCGGATGTCGAGACCTTCTAATTGAGAATTGACAAATTCTAGCAGCAGCTGTTGTCGCTAGGTTGTTAGCACCCTTCTGGGCATTGAATGAAAGCTCTCGTTCTCACCTTCGTTACTTTATCCATCTTTTCCGGTGTTTCAAATAACTTGTCAAGCGCGTCAGGCTCATATTGAGGACCACCTGTTAGAAATTGGGCAGACACAGATTAGAATGTTTGCATTAGAGCTACTTGGCAGGCTTACCATCAACATCTGGTGGTAGAAGCTCTATCTGCGACATTCTAGCGCTGCTGCTACGAGAAACGCCTTTGATTTCCTCGGGAGTAATTTTATGGACAGTTGTCTTGTTTTTAACTCCTCCAGGTAGTTCCTTTTGAGGAACACGGTGAGTGGCTTATGAATGTACTGATTCTTCCAATAGCATACCTCTCGTTTGATAATTGCCATTGATATCCCAGGGGGTAGACTGTAAGGACATCCCAAAACTTGTGCCAGATCTACCAGAAGGCAAATGATTGATGATATATCCTTGCTCATGATGCCTGAGATTGAGACGATATGTAAATTTGCCATCCACCGTCTGCGCCATGCTGTGCCGTACCCTCAATTGTCCACCGTTCCCGGTCTTGCCTCACTTTCAAATTAACCTCCACGAACTTGATGACATGAGCAAGGATAGCTACTTTGCTTCTTTCTGACTTTGCAGCAAGCATTTGCGGATCAACAACCTGCTCTCCGGTTATTTGACCTTTATTTGCAACGGATTGAGTATGTCGCCAAGGGTTTGCCATGGTGTGCTAAGGGGGGTCTACAGAGGCATACCCAAGAAGGCGGCCAAGATCTGACCATCGTCCATATCGGCTACAAGGTCACGGACAGTCATTGAATCGTTGATGACGTACGAATTTACCCATGCCGTAAGACTCTAGCTTGTTTTCTGGGCGTTACTACGCAGATCGCGTGTGTAGAGAATCCCAAAGAAAGCTCACTTGGATCACCCTCTTAACGTTCGGATCCCCTTTTGAGGTTGGGTGCATCTGATAGGTTGTAGTAACATCTGCAGCATCGCTTTATCAGTTGATCCACGCGCGCTTAACGGTGAACAGCACGGGCTGATGGGAACAGACCAGGGCGATACGGAGCGTCTGCTCGGGCAAGCGCATCTGTGGCACCTGTGAGTTTTGGATTACTTGCACTTTTCTTCATACTCCAATGGTGAGTGGTAATTGCCCAGGATACTGTTGCGAGCAGGTTTGCTGGCGGAGTGGATTAGATAACACCAGCTAAGCCTCAAGTTGGTGTGTCAGGCCTGTTACCGCGTGGCTGTTATGGACTTTGCAATCTGCCATACATCCCGTTAACGTCCCATCTCAGTCCATTTAAGGCGCCTCGAAAATAGAGACGCTAGTGTTTTGTTACCTCATCGACAACACATAGTCAGTTTTCCATTTTGAGCGTGCAACAATGTCCGAGGGCTCAGAAATTTTGGACACCTATCAAAAAGAGTATGATACCCTTCACGAATCGTTGTTGAGCAAAGTCGAGACTATCGGCGCCGCAACTGGAGGTAGGCTTAAATTGGGATATGATAGCGTGCGGTGGAGGTATCAACTCCACCTGCACGTCTTCGCATCAGTTAGCCGGTGTTGCTCCACTATAATAACCACGGCATCACATTTTCGACGCTTGAATAGAACAAAAGAAACTGCTATATAACCAAGCGGAGCGGGAGCTCGAAGAGGCTGATGAAATCATCTCCCAAATGGAAGTGGAGCTTGCCTCCCTCGCAGCAGCAACGCGAATGCGTCTTGCGCCCCGTGTCCGTTCCTTCAAAGAAGACGTTAAAAAGATTCGGAGAGATTTGCAAAAGGCCACAGGAGGTTCTGATCGAGACCAGCTACTGGGTCGCGGTGGACAACATGTAGTAGACTTTGAGGTTTCAAGTATGGACCAGCGCTCTAGACTGTTACAAGGAACGGAAAGGTTGCAGGAGGGAAGTCGGCGACTTGAGGATGCGAGGCGATTAGCGTTGGAGACAGAGTCCATTGGGATCAGCACATTAGAAGATCTCAACAGACAACGAGAGCAGATTCTGAATACACGAGATAGGCTTTCAACTGCCGATACATGGATTGCGAAGAGTCAAGGTGTCCTACGAGGAATGCAGCGACGGTGAGTTTTAACAGCGAATAGTTTGCCTGCGAACCCTTTCGTCGTAGCATGGGTCATGAGATTTTTATCTGCTACTGTAGCTGGTTCGCATGAGTCGGTCTGACATTTTTTCGCTTTTTTCCACAGCTTAATGACAAACAAGTTACTTTCGTTTGGTATCATCATTATGTTGATAATCGTCATTTGCGCCATTATCTACCTGAAGTGGTTCTGAGTGTAATTGCTTACAACAAAAGGTCTGGAGTGGGACAGAGAGCAACGTTTTCTGTCGGTGGTTTATGTTCGTATGATAATAGCATTTCGTCTTGCCGTCTGAATTATAAGGATAACCAAGCGTCTGTCATGCAGACCTAGCGTCATAATATCAAAATACGGCGATAGAGCACTATTGAATGGATACGACAAACTTGAACGGTACTGTGAATGACGTCAAATAACTCAAACCATATCTGCCCGAGTCCTGGCCTCTATATACATAGATATCCATATTCCAGTTGGTCCTTCTATTATGCTCCTTCAGATGAAGGCAGTGACAACCCATTGATCCGCTTAGCCATTGATGTATACATCATGGCAAAGAATGAAGTTATATAAGGATAGGTAGCCCCAATTCTGATGATGGTGTGACTTGTTAGCTCTGCCCTCAGCCGTCGAAATGTTCAACACCTTACCGATTATGAATGCCATACTCTTTCGCCCCGTGTCGTAACCTTCGCATGAGAAGTATTATCAAGCCCAGTTTAGCCGCTTGGCGTGTCCATATAGTTCGTTTTCTGAACCAGAGCGAGGCCGCCAGTCTCCCGGATTCTGAGGTCCTTGGGGAAAGCCACCACCACCGTATTTGACGCATAACAAAGTCAACTGCAGTACGTAAGGGCATGTCGACAACAGTGGTATTGGCCGCCCAGAGACAAAAGAGAAATAATCTAAGGGAACGATGCAAGCAGGAACGTGAGTTTTCATATATATCTGAGGCTACTTGCGATGATAACATATGATATATTAACATACGTTGAATCCAGGATGAAATCCTGATTGAACTTGCTCCTGTAAAGTTCCTAGCGGGATAGTACATATTCAGCACTTTCAATTTGGGATAAGCTATCATAGCGCAGCAATTGGCTTACCCCGATGACGGTTGACTGTCGTCGAAGTATTTCTCGCTGTCGATTTAGCTCTTGTCGATACTGCGGACAGGCGTCAGAGCCAAACAATGAGCATACTGAACAGTGAATATACGAGAGTGAGCACTTTCTTGTCATACTTCTTTCATTGTCGTTTCTAGGAGGCTCCTGGTATTATCCAACGCCGTTTTTAACCTTTCAGCAGTCTTCCGTTGTACAGCTACCTCGACGGACAAGAAGTCGACGGAGCCCTCCAGAGTCGCGACAGTATTCTGAAGCTCGAGAACTTGCTGCCTACCCTTGAGGACGGCTTTTTGTAGATGTCGATTTTTGGCAAAGTTGGACAGATTCACCACATAATTAACCGATATGAGTTTTGCGTTCATCTGGTTTATCTCTTTCTGGTGACGGAAAGCATCACTGAGTTTGGAGACGAGGGTGTCGTAAGAAGGTAACTGGCCATCTTCGTCTTTCAAATCTGTTAAGTACATGAGTCAGGATAACAAATCTCCAATAAATGGTGAAAAGCTTGTGGTAACCGGTCTTTGGTGAGGTACCCACCAACTTCATAATCGTTTTCCATTACCGTTCGTAGCTGGACAACGATGTCCTTTGCATGCTCTAGAAGAGCTTTGATCTGCCCCGCATTTGCCCCATCCTCGTCGTCACCGGTTATTATTCCTTCAGCCCAAGCTGACGATCTTCTTAGGTCAGTAGTAATGTCATCGAGCTTTGCCAGCGCGGCAGCGGACGAACGCCGCGCTAGTGGCCCGGAGGGTTGGACCTGGGCTACAGAGCCTTCTGATGTAGACATGCTACAGCTGTTTCTCATCTGGCCCTGCGGGTTAATTTGCAGGAAGGTGAGCAGTTCTGGTGACGCTCTGGTGGCTGATGCCATCATCACAAACCGTTCCTCTGGTTCCTGGATCCAAGGGTGCCAGATCCCGTTGGTCACACAGGGGCCAGGAATGCTTGGTAACCCACGACACTGGGATTTGTGGGCCAGAAAGAACTGTCAGTCTGCAGATGGATGCAGCCACTGGATCGAATGAAAAGAAATGCAAGAGGCCTCCCTCGATTTAGGCAAATGAACTATGCACAAAAGATGCTCCATCATGAGAAAACGGGTCCAATATGTGTGGCCATGAACAGATTGCAATTACTATCCCTTGCGGCATCTATGAGAGGAATATTCTGCAGCGGCCACTGGCATGACGCTAAATGACTCAATATATTTGACTCAGTTTTTCTATATAAACCTCTTCTTCTTCTTCCCTCTTGTTTCTTTATCCCTCGACTCGCAAGCATCTGCCAGCACTCAACTCTCAAGTCCATCATGAGAATCCTGCTCTGGTGCCGAGGACCTCGTCCGCCCGACAAATACAACATAACCCCTTGCAAATGCTGCTACCACTATACTGCTACGATCGCAGGTATATCTTTATGATTTTTCCCACGCGCATATTCCCAGTCTAATTCTGATCTACCTTAGTATCTGAAACATCCTCCAAGAATTTCGGAATCAAAGGGCGAGTAGGATTTCTCTCGTGGTGGTGGGCGCTAGTTACCCGGTTAGAACAACCGTAATATATTGCATGTGTAATTGGGCCTAGTGGTAGTTTGTTACTTGTAAGGAGTTAAGCTAGTTGGCTTTTCCGGGCTGGTTGTCGCCAGTCCAGTGGTTCAATCCACATTGGTGTATTGTTTGTAACATTAGTTCTTGCCAATACACTATCGTTAACATCTCATCTAGAATGCGTTGCTTCCAGGCGATATTGTCTTGTGGAGGCATACGTCATGTCTTTGTACTCATCGAGCATATGGGAGTTAATTTGTCACAATGGAGCTGATGAAGCTAGGCGCTCTCATTGCTAGAGTATCAGGGAACGTCAGATCGACTGGTGCAGGAGATGAATGCGAGGATGATTGATAATGTTGGTGCATTTGGGGCAAACTGCAGAATGCTGTCTCCGCAGCAGTGCTACCCTCTGCTAGACGTAGAGGTAACTGATAACCCAATCTACTAACTGTTCGATCTGAGCCGGCAATGATCGGCCTAACCAATGCTTAGTGGCTCCGAAGTGTATGAGCAGTTTGGGGAGCTCGTCATTGCATGACTTCCTGAAAGAAATAGAGCTCTTGAGAGCAGAGGATGAGATCCTTCGGGGATCGCTGCCTACGTGATCGTCTGGTTTACTAGCTATGTTACCGAAATGTACAATTTTATGCAATATTTGCCAAGTAGTCTTTGATCTCTGATCCACTCAGTTTCTTAAACTTGCCGACTTTGGATGTCTGACCGTCGAAAGAGACCTCCTCCACCAGCTGTGCAATACCAATTTCGATGGTTGATTCAGTCATTTGACCTTCGAAGCCTTCTTTCAGAGTCAGGATGGCTGTGTGTACTGCGTCCTCAATTTCCATCGATTCATTGTATCTACGGGTACGACGTGCATATTAGAATCTTGTTCAAACCCAGCACCATTCCGATTTTTTGCGACTACTTTACCTCTTCTCCAGGAATGTCTTTGCATTAACCATGTTTTTCCCTATCGCGCTTGCCTTCCACGCCCAGTAAGATCCTGATGGATCTACCTGGTACAGCGCTGGCCCAGTCTCGTCGAATCCAGCAATAAGAAGCGACACGCCAAACGGGCGCACACCACTAAAGTAGAAAGTTTGCTGTTAAGACGCAGTCCACCTCATTGCGCTACACGAGCCCGCCATCTCAACCAGTCCGGTACGACGCTAACCTAAAACTCACCCGCTCTGTGTAAATTCCTGCATAACGCTTGCAACCTCTTTGACCAGCATTACGGTGGGCGGCTCCTCATGGTACACTCGTTTGTATTCTTGCGCACTCTTACGGGCCTTATCCACCAGTACACGAGCATCTGGTCCCATTCCTGAATATACCATGCCAATGTTCGAGGAGATAACGGCCACTTTCTCCATCGTCGAGTCGTCAACAAGAAACGAGGGAGTTTTCTTTTCAGTTGCGATCACGATACCGTTTGTGGCTGTTTACGCGGGAAGTCAATAAAACACATAGCACTGCTGCAAAGGACTAGCTTCAACCGAGTCCACACCGAGTAATATTTATGATAACGAACCTTTGATGCCAATGCTGGTAACACCTTGAGCAACAGCGTTGAGAGCATACTCGATTTGCACGAGTTTTCCGGACGGAGAGAATGTTGTGAGGGAGAAAGAGTAACGGTCGGCCATATTGACAGCTCAGAATGTGCCGAAGATGTTGTTTGATGGACGGGATCGTCGTGTCGTTGTAGTATGTCCAGTAACCACCTCGCACGCGTGTCATATTGCCTTGGACGATGATAATTTATCGCCAAAGTTATCAATATATCGACAATAGAAACGTAATATGGACCGGACTTCGTAGATCTCAACTCAACATCCGCTACTGTCATGGCTTCAAAGTAAATATGCAACGTCTCGTACGGCTGCTGATCAGCTGTCCCAAAACTAACTAGTGTATAATGTTGTAGGTGGTACTTCCTTGACCAGTCTGAATCTGATTACTTGTCATCTTCCGGTTGGGAAAGGACAGACCCTAGCCGTCCGGTATCAGATGCCAGCAATTCGTCGGCCGTGGGAGCGCTCACTGAGGAACTTTACACTACTGACACTGATGCTAATAATTCGGAATATCCGAGCGCCCTCTCCCGGGCCGGGTCATCGTCTTCTTCGTCAATGTTGTCTGAGGACGAGAATCAAGGAGCGTCTCCTACCCCCGGTCCGAGCGCTGATAAAACAGAGCTTGAGATCCTGCCGCATACTCTCACCGCGAAGCGACGCCGCCAAGCTGCTGATACCGAAGTGGCGGATTTCCGGAACATTGTCATATCTATCGCAAACGAAGCTTTTGAAGACACGACACGCCTTGCGACAGGTGAGCCAGAACGATTAGGTTTGAGATCATCTACTACCGAAAGGTTAGCGATCGCGTTGCGCACCCGAACCGTCTTCGTTCTTCTATGAAGGTTTGGTCTGTTGATGCTCTTCTCCGGCAGGCTTGCTCTCTGGCCCTTACCGCCCCGCTGTGTTCCCCGGTATGTGCTCCATGTGACGATTATTTGGAGAGGAGTGGCAGCCAATACATTACACTTCAGATTACGGTCATTCGTTGATTTTGATGATGTTGATATCGAATCGCCCCCTTTTGACTCTGAAAACAATGGTCTTCCCAACTTAGTAAGTCACTTCACTGTTCAGAGTTCCGCTGCGGTATTCTTAAAAGTGAACGTAGTTTCAATCAAATGGCATCCAGCATGGCTCAACAGAGCCTTCAAATTTGGCCCATCAAATCAACAACGGAGAAGAGGCACTTGACGGGGAACTACAAGTTCTAGCAAACGAGCTTTGGTATTCCGAATGGTTAAGAGAATGCAAGGTACAAAACCGATCATCTTCTCCTGTATCCAGGTATGTGACGCCGACTTCTATTACTAGCGTCTACGTACGAGTCTTAACATTGCGTTTTGCATTTAGCTCATCCGATGGTCATCCGGTCTGCCCTCGGCTTGGACAGCTACACAAGCAGTTGTTGCGGAAGGAAACCGCCGGCATGATACTACAGGTCTTACGAATGGTAGCTCAAGTCCGCGCAGTCAACCTGTAGGGAGCGACTGGATCTTGTGTGTGAGGCGTCCAGCTAACACCTTGGTTCTCGCTCTCAGGGAAGGAAAACAATTCAAACGTCGACCTGCGCTTTCTGATTGGGAGAGTGTGCTAAATGCTGCCGCGATTTGCAAAGTTCCTGACTCGTAAATATCCCATATACCATGTCCAATTTAGAGTGCTATTGAGAAGGTCATCATTGTGACATGCTCATCCTTCTTCTATAGGGTACTAGCAAATGCTCGACGCAGACTGGAGCGCTTATATCAACCAAAAATACGGAAAGGTAGTCAAAGACCACAAGGACCTTTCCTATGCTCTTTATTGTTCTAATTTCACTTTCAAAAAAGTGCCGCGAAAACGAAGACGGACGCATAAATGTCTGGATGTGCATGATCAACTCGATGTCCTTGAATCAGAAGAAAAGCTGCAAACCAACAACGACGAGCACATCCGCGAGGGAGAAGAGGAACCTGGCAATGATGTGCGGATTCGCCGGAAAGGAATTCGGGGACCCCTACCTCCTCCAGGTCATGCCTTATTTTCGAATCCGGTGTTGAGCTGGGCAGAATTCCGACAGATCAAAACGCCACGCGTTCATGTAAGACCAGTCATCAAAAAAGAGAAGGAGATACAACTGAGTGAGGAGTTTGTAAATAGTAGTGAGGATGAGGATGATGATGGAGGTACGGGGATGCCTGAGGTGAAATCAGAACCTGTATAGTAGACGACACGAGACCATAATAGAACACAGCGGATATAATCATATTGAACCGTCATTGTGGGACGTCCTTAGATCCTAATAAAGTATCAGACAAACAGATGCACATACTTGTGAACAAGACAATACGATAATAGTTTTATCAACATTGCCATGGGCATGGTGGTCAAAAGTCTCAACAGTGTAATATAAACAAACGTTTCCGTCTCCACCTGTATTCATGGATGTATGACTCATATCAGCGCTCCCAGTCCTTTCACACTGTTGATCTCACCAGCTGCTCCCCCGCATGAAGAAAGCCATCGCGACAAGGAGGCAACTCATGTAGTCGACCACTTGTGTGGTGGCTGTTAATCAGCGTATTGAAAGTCTTCTTGTGATTTCCACGCTCGACACCATGGCCGCAACTCACCAACATGCAACGGCGTTAAGTGACAGTGAGGATGGGCGGCTCGTCTTAAAGTATGAACACTTCGCATATGGACGTCCGCCGATGATGACTAGGTTCTTACCTCTTGTATTCATCGCAGCAAATTTACCTTGTATGAGACTAGGATGGTAAAGATGCGTGTGCAAATATATTCCGTTCTTATTACATGTTCAAATTCTGGCCACCTTTTCGGTTGCCTTTCCAGCGCTTTTATGTAGTAGGGTCAAATCAAAGCGACGAACGATTTCGGGTGTTGAAGATTGACCGTACGAGCGGCAGTGAACTGAATGTCATTGATGATGAAGTCGTTTATACCAAACCGGAGGTTATGGACCTTTTGGGGATGATTGAGAATGGAAACAAAAATTCTGGTGGACTCCATAAAGTTGCTTCATTCTTTGGGATTGTCGGTGTGTACCCACATACCCTTGAGTGCTTGTCCGTTGTCCGTTCAGCCTGGACTAATTGTTGTGCAGGCTTCGTACGATTTTTAGAAGGTTATTACATTATCTTGATCACTAAAAGGAGTGCAGTAGCATTGATTGGGGGACACTATATATATCATATTGATGATACCATGCTCATCAGCGTACCTGGCCCTGGGGCTAAGTTAGAACGAAAACCTGATGAAGCAAGGTAGTGTTATGGTCGCGGCGGGCATCTATGCGTATTGTTTTTGTATCTCATCTTCGATCATTTCAGATATCTGCAAGTATTCGGTCAAGTGGATCTCAGCAAGAACTTCTATTTTAGTTACACATATGATATCACGAGAACATTGCAGTGGAATATGAGTCTTCCCCATGGCCGGGAGCATTTTGAGTACAACGACATGTTTGTATGGAATTCCAACTTACTGCGAGCGGGATTTGACTCACTGCGATCTGATTGGGTCTTGCCAGTTATCCATGGTTTCGTAGATCAGTCAAGTAAGTACAGCAACTCTTCTGGTCAACAATGCTTTCCTCACATCCAGCCTCTCAACAGAGATATCCGTATTTGGGCGCAATATTTTTGTCACATTGATTGCTCGACGGTCCCGATACTTTGCTGGTGCCCGTTTCTTAAAACGTGGAGTAAATGATAAAGGCTACGTGGCGAACGATGTTGAAACGGAACAGATTGTCTATGATGCCACAACCACCTCATTTTATTCACCTCAAGGCCGTTACGGGAACAAACCTGCCTATACGTCCTTTGTGCAACATCGTGGGTCCATTCCCTTGTTCTGGAGTCAGGAGACAGCCGCTATGGTTGCAAAGCCTCCGATTCAGCTGAATGTCATTGACCCTTTCTTTTCTGCGGCTGCGCTTCACTTTGACAACATGTTCAAGCGTTATGGTGGTCCAATAATTGTTTTGAACCTCGTGAAAAGCAAGGAGAAGAACCGCCGCGAGTCCATTCTGCTGGATGAATTCACAGAGTCTGTCTCCTATCTGAATCAATTTCTCCCACCCGAACGAAAGATCAAGTACATTGCTTGGGATATGGCACGGGCGTCGAAAAGCCATGATCAAGATGTGATAGGTGTATTAGAAGACCTTGCAGAGCAGGTCCTTACGACGACGGGATTCTTTCATAGTGGGGCGGAACCATACATAAATGCCCTTCGCAGGGCCAAAGCGGCGGGCGAGGATGCTCCGGTTAATCGCATACTAGGGCGACGGCAGAACGGCGTCGTAAGAACCAACTGCATAGATTGCCTGGACCGTACGAACGCGGCACAGTTTGTTATTGGAAAATGCGCACTTGGACACCAATTGTATGCACTCGGAGTTCTTGCCCACCCAAGCGTTCCATTTGATTCGGATGCAATCAATCTTTTGAACGCCATGTATCACGATCACGGAGATACTATTGCGTTGCAATACGGAGGCTCACATCTTGTTAACACGATGGAAACTTACCGGAAGATTAGTCGATGGACGAGTCATTCTCGAGATATGATTGAAAGTATCCGACGTTACTACAGTAACTCGTTCACGGATGCTGAGAAGCAGGATGCGATCAATCTTTTCCTGGGTCACTATGTTCCCACAGCAAACAGCAACACCCCTCTATGGGAATTAGTATCCGACTACTACCTGCATAACGAGGATCCCCGAAAAAAGAGTCCTTTGCGCAGGTTGGTTCTTACCTCATAGGGTATGCAGCAATTCCCCTGTATATTGATAGCTTTGGCAGCTACACACGTTGGTTCACGTGGGGAGCCATAATGCGGCACCCGGACGGTTCGTCGATTCAAGTCGGACCATACCTACCTGGTGATGGATATTATGTGGAGTACTACCGTCCCAAGCTCTACACCTCGTTTGCCAAGCTATTTGCCTTTAACATGATTAGCACCTGCACTGGGTACGGGCCACTGCAGCTTATATTTGGCAGAAAGTAAGGCGCTCACGAACAATGTAGCTTAGCATCCAAGGACGAGGTTTTAGATCATAGCCCCTTCACTGTCCGTTTAAATCCCACACAAGCAAACCGGTATGCGGCTGTGAACTAGTTCAATTTTGAAGTTTTTCTGGATGTTTCTCACCGGATCTTCTATTGCAGCTATCTTATGATTTACAGGTATGGCCCTGCTGCTCACCGGGCCGTGAACGGAACTCGCCCTCCGTTGACCATTGATAATTGTACTGATTCATGCTCGGATGTGCCCTCTTCAATCGGGACCTCCAGCTTGAACATAGGCGGCGTGCGTCGATGGTTGAAACTCACCAATCAAGAACGAGAGACGCCTACGGAAAGCGGCAGAGCAAGTGAAACACGCGACACTGATGAGCATGTGAAAGGCAAGACGGGAGCCAGCAAAGAAGCTTCAGCCCCGTGGTGGACAACAAGCGCTTTAGCTTCGCGGTTGTTGGATCCACAGGTTCCAGGTAGCGAACTGAAAGAGTACAAACGGTGGGTATTCTCCCAGCGATTGTCGTGGACAGTGTGGTGGCTGATATCTCACGTTCTCCAGCTACATTCACCAATTCAAACCCTCAACCACCCTTCTAACACCCACTGTCGAACAGGATGTGAGAACACAATCTTCTCATCCTGATTATTCCATATTTGCGGAGTATGTTGGTCGAAGGCTTGGGGAACAATTAGATGGCACATCCCCGGCGGATCATTTCGAGGTCGACTCTCGCGACGAAGCTTTGTATACTACATATGTTGAAAAGTCGGGGAAGACGAGCCACTACGTTGGTTCCGGTGTACAGAAAACGGATCTGCCCAGATACGAGGTGAGATGAACGGCCACTGTGTATATCTTGATTTGTTTGATGATGCATATTAACCAGCACTATGGCAGGCATATGCAAAATGGTTGTCTACAGGAAAGTTTGTGTCCTCGCGATCCAAACCGGTCAAAGGAATGGCGTGAGCAATACCTAGTCATTTATGTACTTTTTTTATATTTATTGAGAGCATCGTTTGCATCGTTTTGTCTCTTGGCGGACAGCAACCCAAAAGCCACGTGATATACATCCTAAAATTTATCAATGCGCAGCTTCAACATTTTTTTAATCTGCGGCACGTTTCCATGATCGAATTTACCATAAACTCTTAACTTTTGTACAGCCAATTATGTAGCAAGTTGCACAGCTGCAAGGCTGTGCTTTTTATTTTCTGTTATTGCTGGAGGTTGATTTCTCCACACACAAGGACTCTGCCTTTACCATAACACACACTCCCGCTACAATGAGCGAAAAGAGTAATCCTCCTCCTCCCGTTCAGACCACAGACCCGTCTCCCCCCGCATACGATGGCCATCCCCAAATCCCTATCGCCGCGCCTTTACAACCTCTGCCACAGACCACCGGAGCCGCTGTTCCAGCCGCGCAGCCTGTTCCATTCATGCACTCTGTTCCACCTATCAACGGAGCGTCTCATGGCACTCCTCCATTGATGTATCCTCCGCAACCACCCCAAGTCGCCGTTCCCGGTCAACAGGTACCTGTGATGCTACCAAACCAGCCTATGTACGTCGCCCAACCCCAACCCGGCGTCCAGTACGCCATGTACCCGGCAACCGTGGCACCAAGTGTATCAATCGCTGTGCAGCAGGGCCTTCATTTTGACGAGAGCAAGCCGCAAATCATGGTTTGCACAAGATGTCAAGAAAATGTCACAACAAGGGTTGCTATGGAGGCTGGTCCTTTTACATGGTTAATGGCCGGTCTCATTTGCGTTATTTGCTGCCCTTGTGCATGGATCCCGTTTGCGTCTGATACCTTTCAGGTGAGGAAAAAAAGCATCTTTTGTTGGTTAACTACATATCGGATTCTCACGATACATTTTCTGTCGTCTATAAAACAGGACAAGCATCATTACTGCCCGAAATGCAACAGCTCCTTGGCAGTCTTCAAAAAGATGTAAATTACGTTTGGTTGAAGGACTTTTGACAAGTCAACGTGGATAGATATACTTTTATTAATCATGTATTGCATACATAATAGCCTCATGGATCAGGCCTCTATGATCTGGACTATTTTGTCTTTCTTCATTCTTTCCTTATTCGCTCTTCAGCTGTGAAAGCAATCTTCTCCACTCTACAGCGAGTATCTATTCTAACTGTACCTGTACGTAGTAATTCACACACGATTGCGCTGTCCATCCTTGTCATCCACATAAGATCTATAGTACATTTCTTATCCACTGGGCGACCTTTCGCCCCATTATATCCGAATATCCGAGAACAAACGCATGGGGGAGATCGTCTCGACATAGATAAATTTCAGCTGACGTACGAACAATTAGCCAAAGTAGCACATCTGCCATCCAATCTACTTTCTCACTCACCCTTTGGAAACTTGGCAGACATTTGTTCCCAATGCCAGACCGGGCACCACTCGTCCCTCGTTCCATAATAAAACACAAACTTTTCGATATATTTCTCTACCGTCTCCTCATCGAGGTCCTTAATCTCTCTCATCTCATGTGATGCCAGATATAGCGTGTTGAGAACAGTGCGATAATGCAAGAGTTTGCCACACGTTATTGAGAGATCAGTTCCAGTTTGTCCCGAAAATGTCGAGATGAGACGTGGGAACAGTTTTGGAGTAAAGTACGTCAGAGTTCGGAGGAAGGAGACGAACAGAGGAGGGATGGAGCGGACGACGGGGAGAGTAAGGTACTGAATCATGGTCAGATCGGTAGTCGTTTTTGGGTATTCCCTAAACACCATAAACTTACTGATATGCGCCGCCCCTTCGGAGTGGCAGCGATGGAATGTAAAGTTGGAAACAGGGCAAAGATTTTGACAATATTCGCATAGGGCCGCGCCTTGAGCATCTACTTTGATACAAACCGTCCATCAGCAAAAAACCTTGAAATCCTATGGAAGGCTATCACATCTACCGCACCTGAACAGACACCCACGCCCCAAAACTGTGACCCATGAGCACAATCTTCATGTCTTTTCCATATTTTTTCGTGATAAGATCCAACAAGGCAATCTTGTGATTCACTTGATCTTTGACTGAAAAGTTTCGGTCGTGATCTACTGCTGAAGAATGACCTAGGTGTTGAACTGCCCGCAGGGTTTATTAGTCCATTCACTTCTTATCAAAGTCTAGCTGCAGAATCCCACTCACCTCCGATAATGTCAACCATCTCATTGCAGCATTCATACACCACTTGCAGGAAGGTCTCGTAGTAGTCAATCACACCTGGGTTTCCTGTATATTGCAAACGTTATAAAGTTTGAAATACAAAAGGCCGACACCTTTTTTACTCACCAGGTACCATGACCAATACAAGCCGTGGGATCTTAATCCCTTGTGCGCGAAACAGCAGTACTTCAGTCTCTTCTTCCCCCACATTCCAAAACTCGTATTCACCCGCCGTGCGAGCTCGGGATAACGAGGACAATGAGGTAGTGGTTTTGGTCGTGGGAAACACAGCTGACGCGGCTGAATGTTCGCGTATGTCTGTCATTTGATTTCGACGACCACAATGAGTTCGAGGAACAAAGAGGTTCGTGTGCCACAGCGCACGGATGACGTCCAAAAACTCTCTCCAAAAAACGTACAGTCACCTCGGGGAGTGCTCCCTATAGGGGTCGAACCTATGACCTTGGCGTTATTAGCACCACGCTCTAACCAACTGAGCTAAGAGAGCTTTGATTTTCATCTCGTAGGCATTAAGATGCATCTATCAGAATATTACGATGGTCGGCTAGGGTTAATGTAGGCCATATTTTAACGCAAAAAACAACAGCGAGCCATCACATTGACACCGTCTCTGGCCAAGGATGAACTCGGTGCACGAGCATGCGCCCGAATGGCTACAAATTACCGCTTTCCGTATTCAAATCCAACTGGGGATAACATGAAATCTTTTGTAACCGAGGGACAATGAATACAGATGAGCAATTACCTGGCTTATTGTGGTTGACGGATAGTAGAAAATCATCTGGGTCAATCAGGTAATATGAAAGCTCGAAGTACCTTTTTTGCATGTCATTTCACCCTGTTCTCGTAGTTATCAAAAAGCTCACAAATGAACTGTCCAAGGAGCAATTAGCAGCGGTAACTCCTTGTCCAGAACAATTTTAGGGATCAACGGCCATGCATACTGATGCCCAATCTTGGGTGACGCGAAACGTTGAAGTTCTCTCATCAACCAGTCAGGGTTATCTTCACGCCACATTTGTATTAAACCCATCGCATACCAGCTACATATTTACAACCCTCGTGCCCATCACAAACAACCGCAGTTTCAAATCTTCAAACGCCCACCTTTCTTGACCGAGGAACAGCCTCTACACTACCACCAACCACCGGAACTTTATCTGTCTGCACAGGTACTTTGCGCTGAACAGACCTGCGCTTGGACTCCACCATCCGATTTACCGCGTTGATATATGCCTTTGCAGATGCTACCAAAATATCTTCGTCCGTTCCTTGTCCCTGGAACGTCTCGCGATCTTGAAAGGACGCTGAGGACTCGTCCTCCAGACGTGGCGCTTTTGAAGGACGAACTGCATCCTCGTCCTCATCACTTGCCTCGTGAATTCGAACTACCACTCTTCCCAGCGAGTCTGATCCTTCAGTTACGGCTTTGACTTCATAAGATGCCAGCATGTTTGTGCAACCGATCAGACGGTTGATGGCTGAGAAAATCGCATGTACTGGCCCATGCCCAATGGCCGCATCACAACGTTCCACGCCTTCAGGTGCGTCAGGTGTAGATGCCGCTACCGGGGAAGTTTCGCCATTCTCACCAATTGACCCATTTGAGTTCGTTTTTGTCATGGTTGTGTCAATAATTGTAACGGTTGCGGTGGACAAGACGCCAGATCCGGAGACTACTTGAATTGACTTGAAATGGTAAGTTTCCCTTCCAGAGTCGTGCATGTTAAGCTGATCATCTAGGAGAGCCAACAAATCCTGGTCTGTTACGCCGCGCTTTTTCGTATCCGCCAATTTCTTGAACGCGACGAAAAGCTTCTCAAAGACGGCAGGCTCACTCTTCAAGACATCCTCATACATGGAATTCTGAATCAGCTGTTCCAACCTGGTGCGGAATGCATTTCGTCCAGAGTGCTTGCCCAGCACCAGGGAATTGGAAGGAATGCCGACGACTCCGGGTTCAATAATCTCGTAAGTCGATTTGTTTTTCAGGACACCATCCTGGTGAATGCCAGATTCGTGCGCAAAAGCGTTGGCACCCACAATCGCTTTGTTACCCTGAATTACCATGCCCGTTTTCTTTGTGACTAGCTGGGAAGTATTGTAAATTTGGTATGTATCGATGGTATGGAACACAGGATATGCGGTTGGATGGGTATAGATTGCCATAACGAGTTCTTCCAAGGAAGTGTTGCCTGGTATGATGAATATGGTAAATAAAAAATATTACAGGAGATATTTGCTGAATCCCAATTACATACCAGCACGCTCCCCAATACCATTGATAGTCACTTCCACTTGCCGTGCGCCGTTTGCCACGCCCGCCAACGTGTTGGCAGTCGCAAGACCAAGATCATTGTGGCAATGAGTAGACCATGTGACATTTTTTGCGCCTTCAACATTCTCCACTAGAAACTTTATCATTGCCCCATACTCCTCAGGTGTGTTGTATCCGACTGTGTCCGGAATATTGAGAGTGGTCGCGCCAGCTTTAATCACCTCGCCCAGGACTTGACACAAGAATTCACGATCCGAGCGACCAGCGTCTTCTGGAGAAAACTCTACATCCTTGCATCCCAAAGATTTGGCGTATTTTACTGCAGCGACGGCACGCGCAACGCACTCCTCGCGATTGATTTTAAGCTTGTATTGAAGGTGGATGTCGGAAGTGGCGAGGAAGGTATGAATTCGGTGGGCAGGTGCGTGTTTGACAGCATCGTAAGCACGTTGGATATCAGCTGGAACCGCACGTGCAAGGCCACAGATAACCTTGATATTAGGATTAGCGTACAGTTTGCCATCCAGCCGGTAAGCCATTAACACAACCTACCATTGGCTTGTTACTATGTCTCCCCGCCGTCAAAGGCCCAACCTCTTTTGCTATACGCTCTACAGCCTCAAAATCACCCTGTGAGGCAATTGGAAATCCGGCTTCGCAGACATCGACTCCCAAGCGTGACAGTTGTCTAGCAATCTCGACCTTTTCATGTGCTGTCAAGGTCACACCGGGTGACTGGATAAGTGCGATCAGTACAAGGAAGAAGATGGAGTTGGCCAAAGTTGCAAAAGGTATAGAGCGACTGCGGCGTTATCTCCTACCAGATAAGACTGGAGGGGTCTGCAGGCGTTGCATAAACGTACCTGCTCACCGTCTCGCAGAGTAGTGTCAAAGATGATCAACTTTTCCTTTCCAGAGTTTGTCATTTTGAATGTGAATATATATTTAGAGTGTGGAAAACGACAGAGTCTATGCAGGGAGACGATCGGGAGGGATGCCGTTTGTAAATGCTGTGCGTTGGGAGGGATGAGTGTGTGGAGTTTTTATAGTCCCCGCAAAGGCGGAAAAGCAAATTGCTCGTCGCCAACGGTCCGTGGGTGCCACATCAGCGCTCTGATTGGCGGAAAGAATCTCAATGAAAAAGATCTGATAAGGGAAATGACACATTTATGACTCACACGAATTTGTCACGGCCTTTTGTTTATAATCAGTTTTAGCACACTTGCTTAAAGTATTTGCAAGGCTTTTCTAATTTTACTTACGGATTGTACAGGCAAGTTGATGGGTTAGAGTTCATCAGTACATGTGTATGCAATGAGCAAGGGAAGGGACGGGCTTTGGTTTCTATCGCGTAAGAGTAATGTTATACAGTAACCACGCTCTTGCCAACAATTGTACGTTGGCAAAAATTACAAAATGCATGGAAATCCGTACGATACATACAATGTTTTTGGATTCAAAATTCCCCGTTACAAGGTGCGCAGTTGATGGAATGTGTGTGCTGCCGTCGTTTTCATTTTAGATACCCTCACACGAGCTGACACATCAAATGAAATTCTTCCTATCTCCTTATCTGATAATCATTCTGACCGTTTTTTTTGCGCTTAAAAGCTTGCCCTTTACACAGTTTTGGGCTACACAGGTATCATTGTCGGCTACCTTGAATACCGGAAGCACCGTCCCCCTCCACCGATTGAGATCCCAGACAAGGAAGAAGAGGAATTTGTGAAGCGTTATGTCGCGTGGCGTTTGGAAGAATTGAAAAAGCCAGAATTAGTTAGGAGGCCTTTCGACCCAAAAGCGGCGGGACTTTGATGGATGGCTGAATTGACACTCAGGCCATTGATTTCGACATTGTCACTGGATTTCACGCCAATATATATTACAGATCCGGCGAAAGAAAACAACCCCGAATGCCTAACGGTAGTCCGATCTACACTTCATACTTTTTTGCTATCATGCCTTCAGGAGGCGTAGTTTCCACCGTCTTCTTTCCAACTTCTTCCCAGTTTGTGCTCAAGCATGTACCATTACTTTCAATGTAGCTCTTCATCATTGCACGCCGCACTTCCTCGCTCGAATCCCGGTAGATTTGCTGGAATAGCGCATTCAAAGCTTGTTCCCCTTCAGGCTTTTCTTGTTCAAGAGATTTGGCTACCGCATCCCAGTCGTGTTTCTGGACAGTGATATAGACTCAGTGAAAGTGTTCCTCGGCTGCACTTGGCGGCTAAAATGAGAAAATACCTTCTTAGCGGATGATGGATACGCAGGCCTATCCTGGGCATTCGCCCCTGCAACCGTCGTTACTGGACCAATTTCCTCTCCTTCCAATGTGCCCCATCTCACACCCAGATCTTTCTTTTTGAGCTTGATTTCAATCTTTGTACTCAGAATGGAGTGCTTGCTTTCGCTTGGCACAATTTCATGAGCCAATGGATCCAGTTCCAACGAGTAGTCCCCACCGCTGGGAAGCTTTACGCTTAAGGAAAGTGCGCGCTCAACCAAGACAAGATTAACATCTTCTGATTTAGCATTTTTGACAAAAACTGTGAGGGTAACAAAGTTTTCGTTTTGAAACCATTCATGGCGAATTTTTGAAGGTGGTAGGAACGAAGCAGGTTGCGGAATGCTAGCGGGAGTCGATGTAGACGCGACATTGGAGGAGGGAGCTGGAGCTGAGGTTGACACTGGCTTTGGGACTCCAAAGTAACGGCCCTTAGCAAAAGCAAGGAAAACGAGCTACGCTGACAATAGTGCTTACCTACGGCACCCAATTTTTCACATTTCTCAATCCATCGTTTGACGCCATCTGCGTCCCCAGTCACCCTTCTCGCCTCCAGAAAAGCATCCAAAGCTTCCTGTGCATTGCCCAATTCCAATAAACCCATGCCTCTCCTTATGTGAGCTTTTCCCACAACTTTAGGATCCCCCCCGGCCAGCATGGCAGCTGCTTTTGCATCCTCCACAGCTTCACGAAATTGTTCCAGTTGATGGTAGCATGCCGCACGCTTAAGATATAGATCAGGAGTAGACGGAGAGGTTTCTATTGCGCGCGCATAGAGGGAAAGTGCTTCCTGGTAATCTTCATCGACAAATGCAGTGTTTGCGGCAGAGAGGATGGATGATGTGTCTTCAAGAGTCATTCTTGCTCAATATAAACTATATCCTCTTCGGAATAAGGAAATCAGGCGGCTCTCTGTTTTGTGTGTGCTAAAGTATTTTCAATAAATGTTTTAACAAAGGATCGTAATGAGTGCAATGGAAGAAGATGGAAAATCCTGCTGCATGCGAAAGGAGAGTCTGTCTGCTGGGAGCTTCGGTGACCGCGCCACGCACGTGTCTCTTCAAAACTTCGCGCGTCCGGGACGCGTAGGGAGCGCAGCAGTCGACGACCGGCCCCCTTGCTCCCTTTCCAACGTCTCCAGGCTACTCTGTATTGAAACTGTTATTCGACGGTCGCCAACGCCAGAGGAATTCACTCGTAAGACCTTTTCCGGATTGCCCAACGTCTTGTGTTGCACCTTGGTCTCTCGAAGCCTGCGGACGACTGTGAACAACTACCTGGCCCGTCCCGTGGAACAAGCGAAGACAGATCCGAGTTCAGAGTGCCGTACGAGTAAGCAAGCGTCCACTTTCTCTTAGCTGTGAGCTTGTTTTCTCGGGATAGACAATTAAGTCTTCGGTAGGTACTGCTGGTTTGTTCTGAATATACTTGCAAATTGTTCCATACGTGGTGTTTTAACGCTTTGAACGTGTAGCTCTTATAGGCAATTGCTAGCAACTGTCGAGACCAAGCTAGCATGATTCGTGCGCACGACATGGCCTTCGAAGGTGGCGCTCAGTATCCTTCACTTTCGCACACTACGGTCGGGAGTTCTGGCGCAGGCGCAATCGCTACACCTGCTAATGGCTCTCTCTCGGATACACTTGCCGGAGGGCTTTCAACTCCTTTACCACCACTGTCAAGCTCACATGACTTTCTCCAGTCGTACTTTGGGAATAGCTCTTTGAATCAAATGAGTGGCAGTTCAGGTCCCCCACCGTTCTTACCGTTACAAATTCCTGCGTTATCCCGATTGACTGAAGGCAACTCGATTCTTGGCGTTTCACCCCGTAACATATATAATCAACCCCCTTCACCAAAGAGATTACCAGAAGAAGAATCGGAAGAGGACGAGGGTCATGCAGATGGAGGGTCATCGACTACATCTACCCCGGCACCCGCTCTAAACGGCGAAGGGGAAATATACGCTGCCGTTTATTCCGGAATTCCAGTGTACGAGATGATGTGTAATTCTGTGGCCGTAATGAGGAGAAAGAGTGACGGGTTTCTGAACGCAACGCAGATCTTGAAAGTCGCGGGTGTGGATAAAGGGAAGCGGACTAAGATCTTGGATAAGGAAGTTATGATTGGAGAGCACGAAAAGGTGCAAGGAGGATATGGAAAGTATCAGGGTACATGGTAAGTCGTGATCCTGTCGAGACATAAGGATGAGTGTTACGCGAGACTGTACATAACGCTTTCTGCCATTTCTCTAGGATTCCATTCGAACGAGGCGTGCAACTGGCTGCAATGTACGGAGTGGATGGATTTCTTCGGCCACTCCTGGAATTTGAGCTTCCGGCACCTGGCCGGGCAGATCAGACTCCTACCAAGGAGCAAGTAATGGCTGCTAACCGAGACCTGCTGAAGCGATCCAACTCTTCCAGCTTCAACAAAAGCAAAAGTCGTTCCCACGGAGATGATGGTACTGATACTGCTCAACGCAGGCGAAGAGCGGGGGCTCCAAGCACGAGGGCAAGCAAACGGTTGATGGAGATTGAAAGTTCGGATATCCATGATGACGAGTCTTCAGACAATCCTTTGGCCTCACCAGGTCCCCTTGGCAACTACGCTAAGAAGAGACCAAGAACTGACGCCTATGCCGAGAGTGTTATCGAAACTAATGCGGAAAAGTACCGTGCCATGTTAATGGCAATGTTCGTCCACGAAGATCCACTGTATATACCCGATATGTTGTCGGGCCCTACGCTACCGAATGACCTGGACCTGGATATTGTGATCGATGAGCAGTCCCACACATCATTACATTGGGCCGCCGCACTAGCGCGGATTAATGTTGTACGAGTACTCTTGCAAAAGGGTGCCGACATACGGAGTGTTAACAATGACGGGGAAACGGCGCTGATTAGAGCCGTTCGTGTGACAAATAACTATGACAATCAGACATTTCCTGAGCTTCTCGACCTTTTGCATTCGACTCTCTCGCTAGTGGACGCTAAGAACCGCACCGTCCTGCATCACATCGCCGCCACCGCGGGTCTGGAGGGCCGTGTAGCGGCCAGCCGCTACTACTTGGAGTGTTTGTTGGAATGGGTTGCTCGCCACGGTGGTAACTTCTCATCCTTAGTGGACATACAGGACAGCGCTGGGGACACAGCGCTGAATGTTGCGGCCCGTATCGGGAACAGGAACTTGGTGGAACAATTAATCGATGTCGGTGCTGATGGTACCATTGAGAATCGTGCGGGCCTTAGGCCATCGGATTTCGGGTTTGAGGACGTCCTCGGGTCTAGCAGGGGAGACGGAGGAGTAGAAGGCACAGGCGATACTGGAGAGGCCGAGAAGATTGAAGGAACCAGTCGAGTGGTGTTTCCTAGTATCAGAACCGAAGAGGAGGATGCCGCTCTAGCTCTAAGTGCTGTCGCGAGTGCAACAAAAGGAAGAGAGATTGCTTCGGGTAAGTCTGCTCAGTATCTTCCGCCATTGACATGTTCTAATGTGTAACCATGCATAGCGGTTCAACAAATGGTTGACGAGATGTCATGCACCTTCTCTGCGGAGATGAAAGTCAAAGCAGATCAACTGACGGAAGCCCGAAATCAGCTGCGGCAGGTAACCAAAGAACTCGCCGATGTCCGAAAACAGAATCATATACTGCGCAAAGAAAACCAGATGCTGCCGGAAATGGTGCAACAGATCAAAAATTTGGAGCGGTGCCTCGGAGAAGAAATGGCAAAATGTAATACTGCCACTATTCATGATCAACGGAGTACAGATTCAACGCCTGGAGGAATGGTCACAGGAGGGATAACAGAAACCAAGCAAACCCCACAGGACCCCAACGGAGAATTGGCTGCTCTACGCCGAACCCTTCAAGAAAAGGAGGCTCTAGAACGTTCACTGCGCAGCGAGATCATCCGGTTAAAATCGACATCTGGCAAATCAGAACTGGGCTGCAAAAAAATTATTGCAGCATGTTGCAATGTTCCTGTCGAGAGTGTGGACGAGCTACTGAATCCCCTGTTACAAGCTGTTGAGAGTGACAAGGAAGTGGATATGAGTGCTGTTGCCGGGTTTATGATGGATGTGAAGAGACGAGAGGGAGGACGTTGTTAATTTTGGATAGGTACTATTTATTGTGTGCGAAAAGCGGATTGTACAGTAGTATCCAGAGGTAGGATCAATTGAAACCCATTCTTGCGCTGCTAGGTTTCAGTTTAGGATAGGCGCCTTGCGTTGCACTGGCGATTCTTAATAAATGAATTGTAATTTATTGCTCAATTTGTTCCAATCCACCATCTATATAGCGCCGAACAATGTGTTCGGGAAGGAATGCATCGCCGGCTGCCGGAGTCCTACCTATATTCAAGCCAGTTCCTTTGCTTTTTGCCAGTCGAGATTGTATTGAGCATCTTCTGGCATCTTGAATTCTTACAGCATAGATTGCGATCAAAGGATGCCAAGAACACTATAAGCAAGTTCAGTCTTACCTCGCAACGCTGTCAACAAGTCACTGACATTGTCCCGAACAACTATTAATTCTCTATTAGATGGCTTAATGAACCCGCTTTCGATACTCTTATCAATTAATGCTATCAGCGGGTCGTAGAATCCATTTGTGTTCAGGACACCAATTGGCTTGGAATGGATGTTGAGTTGAGCCCAGGTAATTGCTTCAAACAACTCTTCAAACGTGCCAAATCCGCCCGGAAGTGCAATGAAAGCATTGCAATTTTCTTCCATCTTTTTCTTTCCTATATGGGCAAGTGTGACAGTCAGTATTTGTCCTCCTTTACACTACTCTAAGACGCAAATTCCAGCAACTGAACTTGTATGCATGTCCTAGGGAAGCCCCAAGTTAGAAGAGAGCCAAAGCCGCTGTGCGATGTGCTATTTGAGACACTTTACCGGTACGATGGTGACATCCCCCACGAGGAGCATCCCTTCGAACTGCGTCATGGCCTAGGACGCAACAAATAATAAGATTACAGATCCCTACCTAGCAATGCTAGTTTTGCTCATGAATGCTACCTCTGGTATAATTCCCACTACATTTCCTCCTCCTTCGTGAACAGTCCTAGCGATTATTCCCATGAGACCCTTGTCGCCGCCTCCGTAGACCAGCGCGATTCCATTCTGCCGCATGGCATGGTTGAGCTGCAACGCTTACGGCAATTAAGGTTTGACATGAAAATACCTTGACTAAAGCTTCTCCAAGCTCTTGGGCGGCTTCTACATACTTTTGACTGTTGCCAGTGCTGCTGCCGCAGTAAACACAAATTGCGGTGATCTCCGTTGGCATTGTCGGAGTGGGGGGCTTGCTTGTCCATTAACCTTGCCCAACCAAATCCACGTCACCCAACCAGCTCTCCGGATCCAACCGCACTGTCGGTTAGATGGCTTAGGTGCTTACGTACAAATCAACTGTTCACGTGCGCTTTGGAAACACAACGTCCATTTCAGGCGCCGCTACTTTCGGCTTTGATGGAACCACCATTAGGACAAGGCATCTGTAAATTAACCGCTGGACCTCTTAATCCCTTTTACGGGCAACCATACGGTGTGCATTCATCCAAGTTTACCCTTGCTTGAGTGGCATTACCCCGTCGCGAAACACCGCTGTCAATGACCAGCGAGGCCGGACAAAGGCAGGAATCGCCAACGGAAAAGGAGGTGTGTGCAGCAGCTAAAATCGTTCGGGAAAAATAGCATAGCAAGTACGAGCTTGCGTAAAAGCTACTTTGGTTTTGAGCTTTTTTCAATTCTGAATCTTGCCCAAGCCGTAAATTGCCGCCCAAAACCTATGGGGATGCTGGATATCTAAGGATGAAAATTGAAGGGAATTTCTCCTTTGTATAGATCGGTCAGTTCGATACCGCTTTCAATGACAAACCGCCACATACATCTCCGGCGCAGGAAGAGCCCTCATCTGGAGGTGCACCGGTAGCAGTGGACCTGACCCTCCAAAACAACAGCGCCGCCGATGATTCTGATTCTAATATTGACCGCCCAGAGAACGAAATCCACTCCGACCTTCGCTTTTCTCAGCCAATAGATGAAAATGTAGACGACGACATTGACGCTTCCTCGGTCGGTGCCATGGATGGAGATAACAATTCCGACGTGGACTCAACTGGGCCTATGGAAGAATATTCATCACATGATCCCGACACAAAGAGCCAATTGCAGGATCACACATCTCTCTCCGAAAAAGAATTCGAACCTTCCCCCGTACAAGTAAATATGGAATCTTCAAATCGCACATCACCACCTGTAACGCCACCATCGTCTTCTCCTCGACGGCCGGACTTTCTGGACCGACGGCGGACGTATCAAGGCCCAGGCATATCCCGCCATTCCTCTTTCCCGTCTGTCCAAAGGCATTCCCGCGATGTGTCACCTGTACGAACAGAGTACGGCGGTGAGCAGGAGGCCGACAATGATGACGTGATGTCTGTTCGCTCAACCATGACAACCCATACTCTACGCGCAAACCGACCGCGTCCGGTCACAAAGTCGCAGAAAATCTCCAGTATTCAAAATATCTTCACAGAAAGTCAGAAAATTGCATATGTCGGACTTTGCTACCTCAGCGCCGTGCATAATAAAAAGGCGGATGTGAAAGCATGGAAGAAGGCCAATGAGTCGTACACCAAGTGGGCCGATGGATTTATGGAGCGACTATATGCATATCTGGATATAAAGGAGGAGGGTAAGAGCATCTTACCAGTCGCGCTGGTGAAACTTGCTGCATCGAACGGGGATTAAAGAGATTTCTGTGACCATTTTGCAGAAAGAGTCATGATCAAGAGCCTTGCCGAGCACGGTCTTGTACCCTCCGATCTCTCTAAATCACTCATAGACGATGCCAAAAAGGCGGCACAGATTATCAAAGACCGACAAGAGCGTCGCCAACGCGCCGAACAAGAAGCGCTTGAAAATGGGATTCCCTTTGAGCTGGACGGTATAGAAGATTCTGACGACAACATGGACCCAACAGACATTCGATATACTATTTTGACGCATTTGTTTATCCTGTGCATCGCGGATGGGCGGTATGATGCACGGAGTCGAGCTGTTCTGAGGTCGGTTGCAAACGACTTGGAGGTTCCGTGGCTGGATGTGGTCAAACTGGAAAGAGCAATAGCGGAGCAACTGCGCATTTACGAGGACAGCGAGGAAGTGAAAGGGGACGTGGAAGTGATAGGAAAGAGGAATGTGGCTGATAGTAAAAAACGATGGTTATTTACCGGACTGGCCACTCTTGCTGGCGGTGCTGTTATCGGATTAACCGCCGGATTGGCCGCTCCTCTCATTGCTGGCGGTATTGGGGTGGCCCTGGGAACGTTTGGTGTTACGGGGGCTACTGCCGCTCTTTCGACTACTGGAGCTCTGGCTCTTATTACTACAGGAGGAGTGCTTACCGGTGGAGGTAGGTAGCATTTAGTTACCATACCGTTCAAATCCAAACATCCATACTTCCATTTTTGTAGGCATGGGTGGGTTCAAGATGATGAAACGGACCAAGGGAATCACGCAATTCGAATTTTTGTACATCGAGGACGCGCTAAGGCTCATAGAGGAGAACAAGGAGAAGAGACGAACGGAAAGAAGGAAACGGAGACGAAGGGAGGCGCGCCAAGCACTACAGGACAAGTTGGATCAACAGCGAGTATCAAAAGAGGAGAAAAGAAAAGCGGCGGATGACCAGAATGCGGACGGAAAATCCCCGATACACGAGGCCGGAGAGGGCACAAAGGGTGAAGAGCTGGAAAATGTTGCTGAAATGCCCGAAGAGTTACCACGCTATGAGCCTGCAAACCAGGATAAGCTCAATCGAATCGGACATTGGGTGAGCATTTCGGAAAGCCAGCGAAAGGAACTCGACAAAATGACTGGCGACTCTCCTGGAAAGAGAATCCCTCCGCCTATTCCCAACAGACCAACTGCCGCTGAGCTTGCCAGCGTGGCAGAGCGGGCAGCCACTGTAGACGCCTCCCCGGCAAAATCTGTACCACCGCGTCTCGTTGTATCTACGACAATGGATGCGACTGAAAGCTGCGCCTCGTCTTCGATTCTCACATCTGGGGATGATCTCGGTCTGACACATGATTGGGGACTTGACGAAGGGCTGGGATTATCGGATGGTAGTCATGATGAAGGTGGGATTAATATCTACTCGGAAACCATGTATGGAGCCGGTGGGTTGGATGCAAACGTTTTGGAGAGCACTCTATTATGGGAATCGAGTCCTCAACTCCATAGCGAGAATGAACTCGAGCTGAAAAGTGTACGTAAGATGCCAAGCTTCAATCCTGGGGATCTGGATGATGTGGGAACCATCGACGAAGAAATGGCCGCTGCAATGTTCGACGATCTTCAGTCTACCATCGCCGGTGACGAAGATGATGGAATTCGGTTCAAAGAACCCGAAGGTCCACCGAAAGCAAAGCAAACAAACGTCCTCATAACTATTGCCGGATGGATCACCTATGGTCCCGATGACCACACCCTTCCGTTTTCCACTTTAGAGCATGACGTGCATGGTGATCAATACGCTTTGTGTTGGGAAACAGACGTGCTTCAAGAGCTGGGCAGTGCTTTGAAGTTGTTGGTTGGGGAAGTGGCTAGTTTCCTTGTGCAGCAAGGACTGCAAGCAACTGTATTGTCGACCTTGATGATTGGACTAGCGGGGCCATTATGGGTGATGAAATTGAGTTACTTGGTGGATAATCCATGGGGAAATGGATTGAGCAAAGCAAACAAGGCTGGCAGGGTAAGTTGAGAGACGTGTTTGATTGAAACCCTGTTGGCAGCTGACAAACAGTTCTCCTTTCAGGTTCTTGCCGACACTTTAATGCAAGGCGTGCAAGAAAACCGACCAGTCAGTCTTATTGGATTCTCCTTGGGTGCGCGTGTCATCTTTCACTGCCTTCTCGAATTGGCGTCTCGTGGAGCGTATGGTATTGTTGAGGACGTTTATTTGCTCGGCTGCCCCGTAATGGCGCAGAAAAACGAATGGGAGCAGATTGCCTCCGTCGTAAGCGGCCGTCTTGTTAACGGCTATTCGACCAACGATATGGTGCTCGGCGTCCTATACAGAGCGAGTGTTGCGGTGTGGAACAATGTCGCTGGACTTCGGCCTGTGGAAGGAGTCGCCGGGGTTGAAAATATTCAATTGGACGACGTCATTCAAGGGCATTTGGATTATCGACTGTGCATGCCTAAGATATTGGAAAAGCTCGGATTTTCCGTTACCCGGGACTATTTTGATGATGAGGATGAGGAGGAGGAGAAAGAGCGTATGGAAATCGAGGAAGAAAAGAGAAAGGAGAAGGAAGAAAGACTGCGAGCCAAGGAGGTGAGATTGAAAAAGAAGCAGGAAGAATACGAGGAGAAATTGCGAAAGAAGAAGGAAGAGCAAGAGCGAAAGCAAAAGGAACGGGAAGAGAAGGAAAGGTTGAAAGAGGAAGCTCGCCGTAAAAAGGAGGCGGAAAAGGCCGCAGCAGCGACCTGGGCCGGGAAAGATACAAGCGACAAGGTCAACCGATTAAGTTGGTTCGCGCGGCGTAGTAGCGGCCGTGCAACGCCCACCCCAACACAGGAGAAGGTACCGGACGAGATCGAGCAGTTGATGCAGAACTACTGGATGCCAAGGGAAATCAAAAGCACGCTGCCGCCTTTGGTTATTAAATCGCCCGAAGATGCTGTCATTCCTAAAGAAATCAAGACCACGCTTCCACCGCTTGTAATCTCTAGCGCAGAGATCGATGATGATGGTACAGATGCAGCGAGGTCGACAGGTACAGACGCACCTAAATCGGTAAGGGAAAATGCAGAGGGGAGCCTGCCCGACCTTACCTCGCCACCTCCAAGCTCATGCCCACCGGATGCTCCGGACACAAACGACGACCTAGTCGCGGCGCAAACGGAGCTATATGAAGCAGAGGCTGAGGTTGAAGCAGCCAAGAGGGAAGTTGCCGAAGCAGCGGCGGCAGCCGCTGCTGCAGCAGCCGGGAGTTTGGGATTGAGGGTTACTCTCGAAAATGGAACCGAACTGGAGCAGATTATCATTGCGGCCCAGAAAGACGGTACTGCAGGTGCTGGCGCAGGGGACAAGCTCGACGGAAGAGCTGGTATTGATGGCCATGAGAAGGACGATGATGAATTTACCGACGGGATAACGCCATCATCCCCGTCCTCTCAACCCATCGTCCCCCCAGAAGACGCACAAGATCTAGGCGTATGGCACAAACGTAGTACTGAAAATATACCCGAAGGCTTCCTCGATCCTCAGCCAAAGATTGAACCAAGCCTAAAGAGTCCAGGCGTGCATTCGTTCATGTCCTCATCATCTGACGACTCAAGCGGTAGTGCGTTCGTGGACGCCCGAGAAAATCCATGGGTTGGATAGAATCAATGATGTATGTATTCACAGTGTATCTGTAGCTTAGCGGATGAAATGGGGAATGGGTGGCATGGATTTGATAGAGATGACGCCTATTTTTTTTATCTATATTTTTCTTTTTTTTTGATATCATCCACCTTCTCCGATGCCAAGCTATCCATCTTGCATCGTCCATCTTTGTAATACACGTATCTTTACAGGACAAATCAGTCCACCCTTTCAGTCATGGGACGCGATGCATTTAGTAGGTGGATCAGTAGATATTTCGCTGCTTTCGTGTCTCGTAATATACCACTAATCAGTCTATTCATATGGATGCTACCTTCTAGAGACCTATTTGCCCAATCCAAGTTCAATACCAAAGGCGAGGACGAGCTTCACAAACTCCTTCATGTGGCTGAATGAGATGTGAGAAATATCGTCGCCAGATGTGTGCACATATGGACTCGACTGGTCGAAGGGCGCCTCAAAAGTGAATGTTGCCGGGTAGCCAGCGCGTGTCCAAGATGCGTGGTCTATGGGAATTCAAAGTTCTAAATTCTCCAAAATCGACTATGAAATTAAAGGCGCCATATTGCATACCAGAGCATCCGTATCCACATTTCACATCACCCCAGGGAATGCCGCAATATTCCTTAGCAATGGTTTGCAAGAATTTCCTAAGCGGTTCGTCGATGAAGTCCGTCGCAATTCCAACAATCTCCTTCTTATTCGGCGGTTTGTATCCAGTCATATCTACTTGTATCATACCGACCACCTTGACACCTTCGTCAGCGTACTTGCGAACCACCTTTTGCGACCCAAGAAGCCCGCCTTCCTCGGCAGAATACCAGTGAAATTCAACTGGGCGTGATGGAACGATCCCGTTTTCAAGAATAAGCCGGAAAGCTTCAAATGTAGTGGTAGTACCGGAGCCGTCATCATCAGCGCCGGGTGAGCGGCCCCAGTAAGGGTTCCATTGGTTCACCGAGTCGAGATGCGCACCAATAATCACAATGCCGTCATCTTCCGTGGCGGAAGCGACGGGATTGATGCGAGCAATGACTGAAGATTGTTGCCATGGGTGAGCAAATTGCGTTACCGAGACATTGAGGCCTTTTCCAGCGGCGTTTGCCTTGTTCGCTTCTTCTTGGGCCTGATCAAAGATCCATTCGGAGGCGGCTTTGCCACTAGACGTCTTGTAGTATCTGGTGGTGAATCCCGTCAGCCTAGTGAGAAAGTCTTTCATGTAGGACTCAGATATCTGGTCAATGACTTGTTTCACGATGGATTGTTGCACGGGGGCCTTTGGAAGCTCTTGATAGTTATAATTAGCAGGGTGAGAATAGCATCTCACATATGAAGTCAGACTCACCCGTACGGGAAGTAGACACAAGTCGATCATTTTCAAAATCCAGATCTCCGTCCGTGATATCGATGAACTTCTGACCTTCACGGATGAGGCCAAAAACCTGCCGAGAATATATGCTTGGTTCGGAGAGGGTTACCAAATTTCATAATAAACAAGACCGCACCTCCTCTTCGGTCATCCATTGTGCCTCCGTTTCAGATAAAGATATGAGGCGCTTTTCACTGACATCAGACAAAGGGATCTGGTCTACGGGAGCAGAGGCGGCGGGGTTCAAGGCCAATAGACAGAACGTGGCCGCCGAAAGGAGGAGCGCTTGGGCACGCATGGTGAGCTGGCAAGTAAGGAACAAATGTAGGTAAGCCGAAAGAATCTACACAGCTCAGAGTTCTGACTTACAATCTGCAAGTTAAATGATTTTGACAAAACACCCAACGGAGCGATAGGACGCGCGTGCTTCTCCCCCTGATCACGGGGGGTTGCAAGTTATGACGGTCAATAATCACACTTTCCAGTCACACTTGCAAGATAAACAAAAGGCCAATAAAGCAGATATTTTAACTGCATATCCCATCGATATTTCTATTGGATATTATGTCCAGTATCTTATAAAGGGGACTTATCACAGTCATTGATGGGGTTATATCCATTCTTCGTGATGTTTATTACTTCATCAATGTTAATAGAAAACAAAACATCACACTTTGTATGCATGTTGTTCCCCTTCCCCCTCTTCTCCAATACAGAATCTTGATTCAAGATTGAAACTACTTATACCGCTGTACTAGGACACTGCCGCGATACAGACCCTGCTGGTCCGCCGAATGATTTGTCGCCATCGGATGTTCCCTGTCCTGCAGACTCTGCGGTGCCAGACCCGGATTTAATGGTGGCTTTCCTAGCTGGAGCAGGATTGATGTCGGTCTTGTAGATTCTGTAATTGAAAGCGGAGGAATGGTGAGCCTAAAAGACCATCTTTTGAAATACACAGGAATGATACACACCCGTAAATGATAAAAGCTGAGACAACCACCATCAAGACCGGCGCACAAAAGTTCCACAGCACACAAAAGAGAATAGACAGGGGAGCATAGAGCATTAAGATCTGCCGTTGGCAGGTTGCGTAGGCTACGATGGCAAACACATAGGAAGCGAGGATAGCAATGAGGGTAGCAGTGACGTATAGAAGCTACACCAAGTTTATGAGCCATTGTCAACTGCAATTCACGCAGGCGGGTAGAAACTCACTTTGCGCCTAGCAGCCTCCAAGTTGTCAATGCGCCCTCCTGAGGCTTTTTGTTTCATTTGGGAAATATTTGCAGCTAGGAGTCGGTTGAGCTGGCGACCGAAAAAGCAGAAGGCCAGCATCAGAAAGAAGCTCCAGAGGCTATGAGAAACCAGAACAGTTAAGATATCAGCGGCGCAGCAAGGATGAAGGAAACTCTCAGTCGCTATACTTACGCCCAAATCCAGTAATGAGCTGCTGTCAGCTTCAGCGCCTTGTCCATATTATTGGTGTCAAAGTAATGACCGGCAATGCTACGAGTAGTATCACCGATCAGATGAGTTGACATGTATCCTGATGCTCTTCGCAATTACACATACCCAGCCAACGTGTTAGCGAGAATAGCCGGTAACACAACCATGAGCAAGGTGAAGATATTCATCTGAAGTCCAGAAGGCAGGTATATTTTCGCCATTGTGGGATCATTGATGGTTTCGGGTGTCGCAAAAATTCTGAAGGGAAAAAGTTGACCGGCTGCTATGAGGGCTGGGTAACATGCCAATGCGAGTCCCTATCATATAACTCACATTCCGATGAGATATAAGGCGATACCGCCGTAGCCAAATCCCCATGGCCATTCATGAAATGCCTCCATAATATAACCTTCATTGGAAACTACCCCATATCCCAGGGTGCCCGAAATCATCATAGCGCAAAATACAGTCCGTCCTTTACCGATGAAAAAAGAGCACGTAAATAACGACACTCAAGAATCACCCTATGAGAAGCACGACTTACCTATGATAAATATGGTTACGCTTGCCACATATGCCTCCATCGGACGCGGTTTGAATACCCCATCCTCAAACTTATATATCGGCCGACGTTTTACGATGACCAAGTAGTATAACAACCCAGAATAAACGATAGTTGTGATGACACTGAGGATAAGATTGGCGACGTACAATCCCCAGACAATTTCGCCTTCAGTGCCGTAAATCGAAACCCGCCAGTCGGCAGAGGGATGGAAGGGATTCGTAAGGTAATTCATTCTCGTCGGCAAGTTCTCTAACCTCTACTGTTACGTGTGGAGACGGACGATGCGCTTCCGCACTTTATATTTGTTTGGCAATAATCGTTATTTATGTTTATTTTCACATGGGGAATAGGGTTTCTCGCTCAGCATTTTTTGACGCCATTGCCAAGCGTTTGTGGGCCGAGTTATCTATTGTGCTTCGGAGTAATGTAAAGATCGGGAAGCGCATAATTAAGGTTGACCAATGGATCAAATGCCTGATCCTTGGAAAAGTCAAGTTTCCAACAATGTTGTGGGTAAATATATCGGGAATGAACAATACCAAATGTTAGCCTCGTGCCTTAACCCATGGCCACCCACGGAGAGACCAGGGCTTTATCCTAAAAAAACATGTTCCCGGAACCCGCAGAGAACTACGTAGCGCACGCTCCCCAGTCGTTCTCCATGCTCAGAAATAGAAACAAGAAGGTTTGGATCTGCGCTATTTATCGAGCTATATTATCCAAGCCTTTTGACTAATGATAGTGGCTCCGTTTCTCGTTAACAAGCATAACTACCCTCTGCTTTTAAGTTAATCGTCCTGCGTCGAGATGCGGGACACGCTTAGAACAAACAGTTACCCAAAATACTATTTTGGAATTAGCCATTAAGTTTGATGAAAAAATCTGGGTGTTTTTGTCGCAATGATTTATAATCCTATCTGGCTGCTATCTATTAAGTTAATTTAACCTTCTCCATGACTTGCTAAGCAAGGCTGCGGATTACCCAATCTCAAAGCATTATTACCATCCCTAGGAAGGGCCCCACTGGTCTTCCAACCAGTGGTTGGAAGCTTGAGCTCTAAGGGCTTCCCCGAACAATTTGACGATCTCTGCCACACGCAGTTAAGCCAGAAGATCCTGATTTGATGTCTCACATTCTGCGGGAGCTGCTGATGATAATCGCTTCAGAATCTTTGTCTTTGCTGCATCACAGCTGCGACTGGGCAAAACCATATGGACGAGACCAGTTAGCACCGTCGGTCGAACGCTGAGTTATGGAACCTCAACAATAAGACGCGATTACGTGATCTGAACCAGCCACAGTAAATCACATGATTTGCGGTTAGTTGGAAGGCAACCGGGGCGTGTGGCGGCTCTCGCGAGAGCTTCGCCAACTGTCGAAACGAGATTTGACCCAATCACCCAATCCGACGAAACCTCCAGCAAGCGCTTCTCGACATTCCCCCGCTGGGCGCGACAAGTTTCGACGGTCGGTCTTTTTACTATCCTTAGGTAAGAATCGCGTCAAGTCTTTAGGATGGCGTTGTGGGAGCAATGTGCGGGATGAGCGGTCCATGTATTATACGTTCGTATATGTTACTTTCCTGGAGGTATCTAGTATACGTTGCTTACTGGCTATCGCCATTGCTAATCAACAAAGATTGACCCAGAAAAATGGGACAGACACTTAATGAGTTTGCACATTTCCTCCCTGTTTCTGCTTTCTAACTTATTCAAGTTGCAGACAGAGACGCTTGACGCATCAGTATAGTTCTAACACCATGGGTGCCATATTTTCCCGACTATTTTCCCGGCTGTGGGGGTCAAAAGAAGTTCGGATATTAATTCTTGGACTCGATGGCGCCGGAAAAACTACGATTCTTTACCGATTTCAAATTGGAGAAGTCGTGACAACAATCCCAACGGTCGGGTTTAACGTGGAAACAGTGACATACAAAAACATCAAATTTCAAGTGTGGGATCTGGGTGGACAAACGTCAATTCGACCATACTGGCGATGCTACTACGCCAATACAGATGCGATTATCTATGTGGTGGACTCACAGGATAGAGACCGGGTGGGAACAAGTAAGGAAGAGCTGGTAGCTATGTTGGAAGAGGAAGAGCTAAGAGATGCAGCGCTGCTGGTATTGGCGAATAAGCAGGATATGGAAGGAGCGATGTCACATACAGAGGTTTCAGACGCTTTAGGCTTGACGAGCCTACGGAACAGAACGTGGACGATCTACAAGTGTAGTGCTAAGACGGGGGAGGGACTAACAGAAGCCTTGGATTGGCTGGTGAATGTTGTATCAGGAGGGAAGAAATGATTATCACTTTGAGACAAATAATAATGTATAGGTGACAGAAACTGGCACTAGCTACTACACCAGGGAATAAACCAGCGTAAACTGGCTCGGGAAAAGCTAACTAAGCTACTACTAGGCAATTATACACGCAATACGTAACGGTTGGTTCTAACCGTATAATTGCCCACCACCACATCGCGTTTCTACTGGGCCTTGATCCGGAACTGTTGATTGACATTGAAGTCAGAGTCATCGCATGAGAGTTAATATCGTCAGGGAGACTCACAAGCCGGAGGATTTTCAGTAATGAAGGCTTGGAGACTAAACAAGTGCAAGTCAGCCAGATGACAGAAATGACAAGAAATGCCATCGGTACATACCAACCAAGCTCAACAAATGTGGCAGCATAATAGCAGTTTTGTTAGCGGATCTGATTGGTTGCCGCTGGTTCTGATCGCGGTTGCTGTCGGGCAGTTGAGGTCCTCGGCACCACCACATCTGCATTCTCATGATTGGACCGAGTCGCAATGAGAGTTGCGATGTGGGTCATGATGAGCGTTTGCGCAGATGGTTTGAGAGTCGAGGATGGGTAAAGAGGAAAGAGGGAAGAGACAGCAAAAGGCCCCCTTTTTATAGACCTTTGGCATGTGCCTCACCGCAGGTTGGAGGAAAAAAAAAACATTACATTAGCATGCCACAGTGCTTTGATTAGCATGCATGCCTCACCGCTTTGAGGGATAGATGGGGGTGCTGATTATGCGATATGATTAACCGGATTATCCGGATAATAATGGGTCTTCGTGCCATTTTCAATCGCCTCCACACTATGTTGCTTGTGTTGGAACACGTTGACTAAACTGTGCCACTCTTCATTTTGCCTATTTCGGAATGTCCAGTCGGCAAACGAGTCCAGATGGTCGCGAGCAAACGACCAACTCTGTTCTTGGTGACCGTTTGAACGCTCCAAAGTTCTTCCAACATCTTCGCGTCCTTTGGCATCGCTGGTAGCTTGGTTCTCACTGGCTTGGTTTCGCCTCTTGCTAGTAGCCACATAGCACAGAAGCTACGGGGAGACCTTCGGACTAGCGTTGGGCGGGCAAATGGGGTTCTTTGCGTTTGCCCAGCTGGACGAGGTTTATCACCGCGTAAAGGCAAACGCTCTTCGTAACGGCGTTCCTGGTGCATCTACCGTGCTCATCTTTGTCAGTCCCGACGCTGACGCTTTGTGTGCACTAAGAATATTGGTGGTGAGTGGGATCTTCATGGGAGGCAAAAAGACTCTTGCTGGACAGCACCCAGGAATTTTCGGTTAAAGGTTGTGGGGAAGGAGGTCATAGTGGATTCAGACAACTTCTAATGAGAAATGGAGCTATCAAATTCGTGAAGCTGGAACCTGAATGCGCGCGAACTCGGGACACGGGTTGGACTCCCTGGTTCAGCATCTGTTGGAGGTTTCTTGAAGGTTCCCCTTGTCGTGATATCTTCAGCTAATTGCGAACTTCCTCTCTCATAGAATCTCCTAAAATCCGACTGTATAGCGCATAAGGTGGTGCCCGTCGCGGGGTACACGGATCTCAGTGAAGCCAATGAAGATCACGTGGAAGCTAATGAGGAGGTAAGGCCTGTCCTCACCCTCGTTAACACTACTCTCAAATGCTCATTATTATTCTCTGAAGTTGCGAAGCATCATAATGCTAAACTGTGGAGGATTGGTCGACCTGACGGAGATGTTCAGCTTATCAGAGGAGATGACTGTGTACGTCTGCGATTCGCATCGACCGTTGAGCTTGCAAGGCTTGTTCGGACATGACCAGGTACTTTTACACGTCAAACATATACTTGCAAGTTTTCTCGTCATGATTTAACTCGATTGAATAGATCATGTTTTTGGACGATGGTGATGTCGATCAGATGTCCGATTTACGGGAAGCTGTAGAGGAGCTCGAGGTAGATTTAAAACATGTGACGACCTTGCCGATCGATTTCTGAAGCGTTGGATGTAGTTCGCAGAAACAGATAGTGAAGCGGACGAGAACGCGGAGGAAGAAGGATCTGACAGTGAAGCAAGTGCCAGTGAAGGCGAGAATGAAGATCCAACAGAGGAGGATGAAGTTGGGGAAGTGGATGAGAAGGTGCGCAAATACAGGAAACCCTCCCGAGTAGAATTTCGTCTCATATTGCTTGGATAACAACTAGGACGACGAACATCGGAAGCCAGGAAAGCGAAAAAAGCCTCCAGCGGATGAAGCAATGGAAATCATATCCCCACCAACAAAGAAAGTTCGTGCATCAGAGCGAAGAAGGCGACGAAAGCAGCAACAGCGGCTAATAGCAGAATACTACGCGGAAGGGGCATACTATGGGATGTCAGTTGCAGGAATAATATATACAATGGCTTCTCAGCTAGGGCGGGCATCAAACGACTTTGTTTGGTAATGTTCTGGGTACAAGTGCTCTATATATGTACATGTGGAATTGACATCTGTTTCTCCGAAAATTTAGGTTGTCCATCATTGGTTTAAGTGATCAGTACCTGCACGATCGAATTGATCAACGTCGTTATTTATCACAAGTTGAAACGTACAAGGACGAGGTTGCGCGTTTTAATATCCGCCATGGCGGCGGGGACGAGAATGACGATATAGACTCCCTCTTTGGTGAATCTGCGACAAAGTCAGGACCGGGATCTGCCATTATCCGGAACGCGGACGACCACGCAATACGCTGTGATGATGAGTTTCGGCTGATGCTATTGCGACATTGGACCTTGTATGAGTCTATGTACCACTCTAGCTATGTGGCTACTAAGCTTGGGATTTGGAAGGAACGTGGGCGCCAAAGGCTGACAAACTTGCTCGTAAAGATGGGGTAAGTGGCTTTGAACTTGCTTTTGAAGACTCGCGCATACTTAACAGAAACCGACTATAGCTTGCCTCATAAAGAGTCACAGCAACGATTTACCGAAATGAACATAACGTTTAAGCGATCCATACGGGATAAGCTGTCGTCAGTAGCTCCCCGGTATAATATGTCCGAGATTATCTTTCCTTCGTTCTGCAAAAGTTTTGGGTACAAGGGTGTTGTATCTGCTCCCGATACGGTATACGCCCTTACAGCTCTTCTAGATTGGGGGGCGGAATGGATTACCCGGCATAGTGCCATTGCTTACAGCGAAGGCATGAGACCAGTGTCTTCAAGGCTTGGACGCCCGGGCGGTGGCAGGGACGAAACCTCGGAACTTGGAACTGGCGGACTTGCAGGAGTAGGTGTAGGAACGCGAACAGGGATGGCCGCGGTCGCAATGAGAACTGGTGATTCAATACATGACGACGGAAATAAAAGTGATGAAGATGATGAAGACCTTGCGGAGGAGGAACAAGAGAGAAGAAAAAAAGAGAAGCAAAGAGCATGGGTCCGCAACTTTTATGTCGCGTACGATGCTCTTGACAGGTGTGTTGAGCCCCATCCAAGTAATCAAACCATTGCATACCAGTGGTTCTTATCATACCATGCCTACACTCTAGCTTTGACATCCTTCAGCAAGGCATCCAGCTTTCCATGAATTTCCAAAGGATCCTGGTTCGCACCGGCGTGTCTGTTTTGGAGAAGAAGCTCACACAAACGCTACGGACTTTTCAATTGGCTGTGCTAACTGGGGAAGGATTAGGCAGTGCCATTGATGGTAGCGGCGCTCTCACCGATGAGAACGACTTTTCCCTATTTGGCCGCAGTCCGGCACATTTGGGACGGCTTGCCAAATTTTTAATGGATGCATTTCGGGTAAGGCGTGGGTGTCATACGGTCACTATTCATTGTCTAACCAGACACATGTACTATTCAGGAATATCGTCAGAAGGATCTTCCATTGGTTATAGCCGCTTTCAATACCGTTGCGGATGCCTACCTTGTCATTGGTTTTACGGGATCGACAAAAGGCGGGGTCGTGCGTAAGAAGTAAGGCTTGGACGATCTTTACCTGGAATGCAGTTACAAAATATTAACGCCCATTCGCATTCAGCACCTTTGGTCCGGCATTTCAAAGGGCAGCGCAGCGTACGAACGCCCGCATTCGGCATGACAGTTTTGAAACATCAGTCATGGAAGTACGAAAAGAAGATTTGACAGACTTTTTGGAGAGCTTGCAACTGTTCATGCAGTGAAGAGTTTGCCGCTTCTCGGATGTAGGCGTGAATGTATAGTAGCGGGGTGGACTTTTTTTTGTAAATACTGTTATCTTCTTAAAGAGCGGAATGGCGCTTAAATAGATTAATGGGATATATATAAATGGCTACTAAGGACCGGATATTCCATTTCCTACATACAAAAGCTCTAATCGAGACTCACTACATTATTTTGTACAAGCCAGATCCGCCAAAGCTCATCGCGCGGTTCCTCTGACACGTTTCCATCGATTGGCCCCTGCACAAAGTTGCTCAGTCAGAGATTCAATGTTCTTGTACATTTCATCATCGTCAAAGTTGCCTAAATATAACATAAGTGTTTTGCTCTTTTCAAGACCGACCTTGCTAACGTACCTCCAAGTGAAAGCGCAGCCTTGTCCGCAAATAATCCATCCAATCGATCAAACTGGATCATGTATGCTGGTGACGACGCTGCTGCACTTTTGTGGTAGCGTCGCGAAGACTCTGGCGTGACAACGAGCGTCCAGATGGAGGGTTCGAAGCTGTTGTGCAAAGATAAGATTTTCAAGTAGCAAATGTAATCAGCTACAGGTTCCGTCTTACCCCGCTACCATCCCTGTTAACGCCTTTCCAGTCTCACTCGAGAAACGCGGGAGAGCCAGTCGGTACATCACCGTCGCTGTTGGGTCAACACAATTTGGTTCTCCCTCTTCTGAACCTCCTGCGTAATATTCGAGCGCGGCTTGCACTAACGCCCGCATCCCTTCCGTGGGCATTTGGAGGACATTTGTTTTGACTAAGCTCCACAATTCCACGATACGGTGCAGTCGGCGCAGCCTGTTGACTTGTTCATCCAAGGGTAGGGTTGCATCCACAAATGCGTCCTACGGCATCAGACATGTTAGATTGCTGCATTGCCACGTACAAGGAAATATGCAAGTTTACCAGTTGATCCCAGCTCGCCACATCATTTTCTACACACTAGAGTGGTCAGCACTGCCAGCAGGGAAAATGAGCGAATGCGCTTACATACTTATCAAATGGTAGAAATAATCTCTTTTGAGCTTCCATATCCCTATCTCCACCATCAGCTCCAGTGGTTGTTCCAACCAGTAGTCAAATGTACGACTTATCGCTTCCTTTTGCTCATCGAAGTCTGGAGCCGTTTGCATCCGGACCAGCTTATAACAATCGCGAATAATCCGAGCAAAACTGGAATGATTCGCTTTATTAACCTATACCTAGTCAGCCGGTGCCATTGAAGTAGAGAAGTGTAAAAGACAATCATTACCATTGGCTGCAGACGTCCTGTTTCCAACTCTTCTATGACGGCAGTAAGTGCAATTGCGAGATCATTACGATTCATCGCTACTTCTACAACAAAAGGTGGCATCAGGCAAAGTACACAGTTTTGCTTCCCTGCCATCTTACGTTACCATGAGTAAATTTCCAAAAGCGCTCCGGGAAGTCTAGATCGGGTCGCGAGGGTAAAGCACTAGAGGCGTCAAGATCGAACGTGGTGTTCTCGCTTTCAGCTGAGGATTCGCCCATCACAAAACCTTCATCTTTGATTTCTATTAAACCATGCAAATCTTCAGCAACAGAGATTGAGCTAGAAGTAAACGGTAGTGAAGATACACACGCTTTACCCACTCATCGACTAGATTCGATGATATCCTGGCTTCCTGGGCGTCCTCTAATTCGCATTCACTATCGGGCCAGTCATCACGGCAGCGAATGCCATCCCACTCCATTAATTTTGTTAGCTCTTTAAGCAGGGGGGCGGTAGGCAAATGATTTTCACAATCAATTCCTCCAAAGACATTCCTGATTTTCTAGAACTACCCGTGAGCTCTAATGGAAGCAATCCTGCTGTATGGGAACTTCGATCATACCACGGTAATGTGCCCCGAAGGCGGAGGAGAGGATAGCAGCTTTTGGACGCCTCTCCAACCCACTTCCATCACAATTGAGCTTAAGGGACTATCAACTGAGGACTATGAGGCAGGAAGCAATGAGCGGCCCCGTCTATTCCAAGGATGTAGTTAAGAACAAACCTTAAAAAGGGTCTCGCTCAGAATGTCATATTTGGCGGAAATATGAAGATCCAATGGGTCCTGCAACGTGCGATCGTTATCGTTCTGCCACTTTTATCCACAGCCTGTCAATTGACAGATCACCCACGCATTCACGGTCCAGATTGAACTCATCATAGCAGTCCTCCAGGATGGCTTCAACAGTGGGCGGAGGTGTGCAACCCTGCTCCGCTTCCTTTGCGACCCAGCCTGAAGACGTGCATGCATATGAGGATAGCATGAAAGGAAGCTCATCTGTCACTTTGTCGTGAAACCCACCTTCGCTACTCTCAAGATGATACAATTTGTACTGAGATCCCTTCTGCAAAGGAAGGGCTTCAATCCCCAGATATCCTTTTTTAGGTGCTCCCAACTCATCAGGTTCATAATATAATATAATTATAGGAGGAAAATGCGTTGTATTCGTAGCAGTCGACGGTTGGTGTCTACAGTACAGAGATAGCAGATATCTGATATCCTCAAGTTTTACCGCCAGATTCAGATTTGAAAAATTTCAAAGGACACTTCCTTACGTACCTCGCGTCATCGGCAGGTATCGGCGTTGACATGTCTCTAGATGGTGGAATTTGCCACTCACACGTGGCGGATGATTCGGAATGAAAACCACTGAGATACGATGTCCTCTCAGTATGTCGCGGTCCAACATCCAAACAGTCAACACGCGTCAGGGGTAATGCGACGACCTAAACAAGAGAACAGTGAGTACCAAAGTAAGGACCACAGTATCACGTCATCTCAGTAATCAAGCAACCTTTGTATCTTCATTGAACGGCTCGCGGCGCTTCGTTGCGAGGAAGAACGGCTTCGGTCCAAAAGCGTCGCATAATGGATGTGATATGCCAGGACGAATATGCCATATCCAATTATCTTCAAAGGCAAGTCCATGTAATACCTAGCGGTGATGTTTACGGGTGGGTGTGCTAGTGAGTCTACTGAAAAGGCGAGACTGAATTCCCACGCGGCGAACCATACCTCTGGCTGATCCCCTGCCATTTGCTGACAAGATGCCAAAATGTCCCAGAGCCTCGACACGTCCTGATCCAAGGACTCTTCCACATGGGTTGATGTCAATTCCGCAGAGAGCATGTTGGAAATGAAGCGAGGTAAATGGTCCTAGATGCCAGCGATCGTCGTACTGTGGCAAGAGCCCAACCCCGACCTCATTCCATCCGGAGCCAATGCAGCCATGTGATATGTTGTCATGGTAATAAATGAGACAACTTTTCGAAAGCAACACAAAGAGAATCCCTTTAAGTAGTAGAACTTGTAGCTTTGTACTTTCGGGGCCTACTTTCCTCCTTGTGCCCATAACGTAACCCAGCGAGGACTTCAAGCTCCGAACATCGCGCGCTCGAGACATGGTGGAGTCCCCGCGACCTGCTCTGTCCTTTGTTCAAATGATGACGGCTCCTCTTGGTCCCAACCAAAATAGAGAAACAGGCAGTGAGGCTAATGGGCAGCCCGAGTCGCCCGTGCCGCCATCTAATGGCAGCCGACCGTTTTCACCAGTTTTACTCAGCGAACCTTACTCGGGGCTGGAAGCCGAAACCAGTAATAAAGAGTTGGAAAAGCCTCTCGCTGAGCAAGAACCCACAAAGCAACTGCCAAGCATTCATTCCGTTCATCCCGGGCCGCATCGTCTTCCTCCTGTACCACAAAGTCACTACTTTTCTCCAACCCCTAGTTTTGGCTCCCTACCAGCACTTCTCCCACCTCCAGCAGGATCGCAACAACACTATCCAGCACCACAATACCAGCGACAAGCTTTTGAGCGATCGCCTTTTCCCATCTCTGCGTATCCCGGATATGGACCGGCCTACCTTCCTTCATTTTCCCCGCAGTATGCTCCGTCTACAGCCAAGGCTGAACAGTCGTCAGAGCAGCAAGAGAATGGCATGAGGCAATCAGATAGACAACTACATCCAGCACCAGCCTCTGTGTCGGGACAGACCCTTGCGACGCCACCGCTCGAAGCTCAGGCGCAAGAACGACGAGATCACGACGATCCCCTCGGACCAACACCACATACTAATTCATGGGATCGATTATCTGAACACCCGCCTTACCTTGCTCCTCAATCAGCACACTATTCCACTCGCCCCGAATTTGCAGCATCCGGAAATCCAACCTATGTTTATCCGCCTACCGTGGATCCCCGGTCAACACCATATGCATCACCCATGTTCTTGTCCGCTCAAGAACGCTCGTCACCCGCCATCGCCGCCCCAGCTGCCGAAAGTACCTCTGGCACGGCGGTACCTGCATACCTATACCCCCCTTTTCCAGCGTCATCCACAGAAACCCGTTACTACACAGCGCAGGACTTTAAGAATGCCATCATTAGTCGAACCTTTGATAAGAAAGAAGTCGCTCTGGATTTTATCAAAGAAGAGGCGCAAAAGTTTGGTTTTTCCGTATTGGTACGAACAAGTAAGCCCGATTACGTGGTCGTGATATGCAATTGCGGCAGGAGATTGAAGAAATTGCAAACCGAGAGGAAGAGAAATCGGCGCTTTAAGACGGCAATGACCGGTTGTGAATGGCGTATTGTTCTGTTCCGAAACCGGAATATAGGGGGAGGTTATGAATTTCGGGCAACACCAAAGATGGAGCACAATCATCCTCTGCCGGTGATACCGCCCTCTTCAGTTTGAAATGCCTTTGATAGAGTGGACATAGCATAGTCTCTTGCTTTTTCTTATCGATTGTTGGCGTTATTCAGACCTATTTTTCTTTTTCTGTATATCCTTTGCGTCAAGTATGGTTTCATTCATATACAATAGAGTTTAGTCGACAAGTTTGATAAAGTCAACCGAGTTAGCTTTCTATGAGATATATTTAGTTATTTTCCCTTCCAACACTGCATGGCCCAGCTACCTGCTCGTCACCATCCCATTAAACAAAAAACCCCGTACAGCAAAAGAATGCTCCAGGCATCCAAAAATGATATGAGGTCGGATTATTGCCATCACCGGCGCCTTCAATCCTCATCAAGATCGCTTTCACCAATCAAGTAAATGAGGAATAAACGGGAGCCCTTCTCATTCAACAACACTGCTTAGCCTACAAATCCTCCAGACCTTTCAACGTCGAGTCAAGCTCCTGCTTAACGACATTGTATTTTTGGGTCATGTCATCCAGTCGCTTTTCGAGGTCGGACTTTTCGGCATCAAGTTGTTTTGCTTTGCGTTCAGCCTGTTCTACACTGAGTTCCAAGCCACGGGATCTGCGACAGAGAGATTAATATAGCTGTTACAGACTCGATGTCGTAAGCTACGTACTTTTCGGTAGCATCTCGCAAGTCTCGTCCCTTGTCTTCCAATTGCTGCTCCAGCATTTGGACCTTACGTTGGAGGGTTTCCACTTGGGATTCCTCCTTGTCGCCTTCCACCTTCTTGAGTTTAACCTTTGCGCAAAGAAATTAAGGATCCAGTTAGCATACAGTGCTTTATGGCCATCCACATCAGGCGGCGGGAGTACAGGACAGATAAGTGGCCAAATGTTGGTGTACCTCCTCGACTCGCTTCTCAGTACGATCCAAGTTCTCTTGAAGAAGGGTGACTTTGTTGTTGAGACTCTGCACTTCGGTTTCCCGCTTTGCAAGTTCTTCCTTGAGCTGCCTGACTTCGGCTTCCGCCTTTTCAGCTCGTGAGTGATGGGACTCCGACTCGATGCGGAGCTTTTCGAGTTTCTACGCGAGATAAGAGTACCAGGTTAACTACAATGTTCTGCTAAAGCATATGTGACCATGAATTTCATAGTCTGCCCCGCTGCCCAAGCAAACTCGTTTCAGATCTCCCACACGCCAATGGGACTTGAGAATCCTATGGCCATCGCATCCAAGAAAAAGCGCGTCGTGCTTCCCAGGCAGCCACTCGGCCCCAGTTTGAATGCTACACGTATACAAGACGTACCTCCTTAATCTTGTCCATTGTGAATGACTAACGAGGGGGAGTAGCGGGGAGAACCGTGTAAATAAAAAACAAAAAGATGGACTTGTGAGGATGATTTGAAGAAGAAAGCAAACCGAACCGTGTTCTTTTAGCATGCATTTGTTATTCCACGCCCAAAAGCGGCAGCCACGGACCGACATGTGGCACGGTGACTTTCAGAATATGATATTGGGGCAGAGATGGCTTGCATCATCACTGAATGGAAAATCGTTGAAAGACAAAATAAGCGGGAGAGCAGATGATCAGGCACCATTACCCGCAGGGAGACACTAGAAGCATGCTCCAGAAGTGAGGGCATCGGAAGGAACTCGTTGCGAGAAGCTTATAGAGAGAATTTGGATCCTGATGTCTGCTTCCAGACCACCAATGCATTGGCTGTCAACTTGCCGAGGAATGGCAATTCACCGAGGGTTTTTCTATTTCCTCCAGCCTTTTCACATGGTGGAATAGGGTTGTGTTTATGTATATTCGATTCTTCTGCTAAATTGCCAGCATAACTGCAAAGAGGCAACAAGCTTCCAAACCTGGGCTCTCTGCCAAGAATGCAATTGTTCAAATTCAACACTGTGTAGTTCCAAAATCCGGTGTCGAAGAAGTCTTCACAGTGTTTTCGCTGTTGGACTTCTCCGCGATACTTGGATTCTGTATGGCATGTGTTCTGTCTTACACGTTTGCGAACACGTAATAAGACCAGCCGTTGTCGAGGCAACCAGTCTGAATCAGTCCTTGAATCAGCAATAGAGATCATGCCGTGGTAACATCAGGACCATGGCAGTGTACTATGTTATAGGGATCACTGTTCCTGACCTTGCGGATCAAGAGATATGGAAGGTTCCGGTACTCGATCTCAACAATGCTGGAATACAAGTTCATTCCGAGAAAGTCCATGATGGCGTTCTACTCCTGGAATGCTCAACAGAAGACCATAATGAGACTCACCTGCTGGGAGCTCTCCAATCGATACCTGCCGTCTCAGATGTGGAGATTTACGTCTCGGCTCCTTGTCGAATACCTATCAAAAAGTGGGAGCTCGCGTCGCTGGACTTGGGAGCTGCAGGTCAAGAACTATTTGCGGAGACGGGGCTAGGGATATATCGGAGAGGGATATCAAAGGAGCAGTTGATAGCGCTTGAGGAAATTTGCAATAGTCGCATTGCGGATGCGCATTCGCGGCTACAATCCCATCACGATATTGACGTTGGTTCACAACAGTTTGCATTTAAAGAATTGGGAAGTCGAGGAAAACAAAGATTTGATTTGATTCTACCCGAAAACAATGCTGCCATTGGACAAGTTGTTCAATCGGGGCCTTGGGTTCCGCTAATACGCAAGGTACTGAACCTTACGGACACCGCAACCCCTCTTCCATGTTTGGTCAGCGTCGTATATTCCCTACCGGGGGCTGATATCCAAAGTTGGCACGCTGATGGCCCTCCGTCGAGGCCACCATCACGTCCTTACGCCGTTTGCGTCTTCTTACCGCTTATTGACCTTACCTGTGAAACCGGCTTCACTCAGTTCTGGCCAGGTTCTCATAAGGATGCCGGTTTGCTTGGTTTTGGGCCCGCTGCTGAAGTCTGTGGGGCGACCGTCGACGGAATGGTCAGCAAAGGTGATGCTGTGATATACGACTACGGGCTTCTTCATAGAGGAATGGGAAATACCAGTAATTTGCGGAGACCTGTGGTTCAAATGGTCTATCATGTGCCTGGCTGGCAAGACAGGAAGAATTACGGACGAGAAAGTTTGTTTTCTTAGAAAGGGCCACGAATCGATTGCTTTCTCTGCAGCGCGAATGCTCTCTTTCAGGCGGAACATGTGGTTTCCTATGATAGAACCAAACATTTGGACACTGGCAGTGGCCTCCCCAACACAACAAGGCAAGCTACGCACGTCACAATAATGCAAAGCTGAACGATCGCGCATAGAAGAAATAGAGATGAATATACATGTTTCAGTACCATCTCCTTCAAAACGAGTGGTTACTGGTCCTGTTAAATATCTGTGGCGATATTTGCCAAGCTGCAAGTTTTGTTATTATGTGGGTAGGATGCTTCTGATACCCAAGGTTTTTGGCTCTCGTAGGGATGATCCCTACCCTTAGACAAGCGCGGGAAATTCTAGATCAGGATGAATCCTCTTTCAATTGCAGCTTATTATCAGATTGGAAGATTAGAATTGTGGCAATATATTACGTAGAACTAAAATAATATCCGTGCATTCTGTGGTCCCAAACATTTGCACAAAGTCTAATTTCACTTTCAAGCGCATGTACCAATGCCACATGCGCCAAAGTACTCCCCTCGGGCTCCAGAGGTCTCAAGCAGCCGTGTCTCCCGACTTTTTCGTGTCAGCAGACTTGTGCGCATCGCCGCTTTTCCCTCGTGGACCAGTCCCCTTCCCCTTATCAAACCCGCTAAGCACTTGAACAATAGTGTACAAGTATACCAAATTCGACGCATAGTATAGTCGAATAAAAAGTTGACCCAGCACGAGAGAAATGGTTGTATACAAGGCTACAATGACTCCGACCAGTACGATGCCCAGGAGGAACGAAAGACCGATGAAAAATACCAAAATTCGGGTTGCATTCTTTTGGACGGGCTGATGGTCGCATGGAGGTCTCGCCATAGCTTGCTGATCAAGTAGATGGATACTCCAGAGATGATCGAGTCAGTGAATAAGATCCAAACGACCACTGGCGCAGTGCCGTAACTATAAAAGATATAAGTATAGAAGATAAGGAGATATACCGGGTAATCTAGGGAACCAAGAGCCTATGGAATCTGGTACGCACCTGAACGATGATCCATATACAATATATTTTGAAATTGCGAGCTGATTGTACATCTCAACCGGGAGTAGGTCAATAATTATTGTCATAATCACGCCGATCAACCAAATAATCATGCTGAGGATCTGCAACCGTAGACAAATCGGCTCGTTGTACCATCTCCTTGTCATGGATCTGAACGACAAAAACCGTTGCATTGCAAGAACGGTGTTGAATATGCCGCCGGTGATGTTGAATATCAAGGCTAGTTTTCCACCCTGTCTCCAACTAGTGGTGCAATTACATTGAACAGGTAAGCTGCTTGCTGTGAGGAAGAAGATGTCGGAGAGACTAAACCAAACGCGGTAAGTTATGATGTTTTTCTCATTCCAGAGTTGAAAAGATTAGCCTACCCGAGAGAAATCCAGCAGATGACAAGCAGCATATTGAAGATGGTGCGCTTCCTGTTCCAGCTGGCAATGATAACTCAAGTTAAACAATTGTCTGACATGCCAGAGAGTGAACCACATCATCCAAGTGGGATCACGATGGATACCTACCTCCATACCGTAAATGCTATAATCGCCAAAGTGAATGCCAAGGAAACAGTGGATACGCCAACGGCTGTATACTGGGAGGAACCTCTTGGCTCATCAGCAGCGTATTTCTCGGCGTCGTTGGTGCCCATATGGATACAGTTTCGCGCCTTTCAGTGCAGTGTCTCAGTGTCCCGTCTAGTGTGGGGGTTTGTCAGGAACGTGGAGGCACCCTGGGGTGCCATTTTAAGGTGAAGATTAACTTGAATCACACATTTCAAACAATGGCCAGCTGAAAGGGGTCAAAGATAGGGTCATGTCGCGATGAATACAAATACCGAGCTTTAAATGGTAATCCGCTGAGGGGTTCTAGGAGCAAGAGACTAATCTGAAGGGTACAAGCCGTATTTCAACCCTTGCAAAAGGTGTTCTGCTACTCTGTTTACGTACGGTTTTGTTGGGGGGGCGCTCAAAAACAAATACAACTCTGATCCCCCAACAGCACTGTGTGTACGCGTGACTAAGCCACTACTTACTAAGCATTTTCGGACATGAAAGTTTTTGGAAATTTACATGCAAAATTTGAAACTTCTTTTCCCAGACAAAAGCCACGCTCTCGTTGCCCCCCCTTTATATAAAGAAGCGTTTGCCGTCTTTTCCCGTCGCCCATCTTTGACTTTTTTTCCTTCCACTCGATAACCACCCGTCAAGCATGAAATCAATCGTTGCGTCAACTGCGCTCCTCGCCCTTGGTGCTATTGCTGGAGTGCAGGCACAAAACTCTTCCAGCGTCTGCGCAGCTCCGTTGCCATTCGAGGAGGTCGGTGGTGCTATGTCATTGCGCGCGTTTTCAGGGCTGCGCATTTAACATGAAGTGTTTCCTTTCTTACTAGTGCTTGAACAAGACTAATCAACTCGCCGCTACGTGCAGCACTGATCTTGCGTGCCAGTGTCGGACCTCCAACGTTTACGTGTTTTGCTACGTCAACTTTTGTGGCGGAGTTGGTTCCTCTCACCCGGACTACCCAGCAGCGACATGCAAACGTAACCAGGTCTGCGCACAGACTTCTCAAAATATAACTCAACCGGGATGGTCAGGCTCTTGCAGCAATATTCCTACCAACGGAAATGGAACTACAAACCCCGGAAATGGTACAACCGGTAACAACACTGGGAACGGAAACAACAACAGCACGAGCGGCAAATCTAGCAGCGCAGCCGTGTTTACGCGGGTGGGTCTTAGTGGATTTGTGGTCGCCGCTGTGGCTGGATCAGTCTTTTTGCTCTGAGTTTCACCTCTAGCGTGAGAGAATAACCTTGAATTAGAGTGCTTAAACTTATCTACGTAGTCTGTCTGTTTTTGTATTTACATAGTATCATAGTTGTCCAATTGCAAATAAAGTCATGGCATATACAGTACCATCATAAGATCCTGATGCGGATGGATTCGCCTTTATTCATTGACCTGAAATAACAGCAGTACGTTGTGTTTGCTCATAAAACAAGCTATCTGTACATCTTTGGAGGTAATTAATACTAAAAAACATAAGGACGCCAACTGCTACACATGAAATACAACTACAAAATATTGGGTGACAAATTGTGTACATGTGGTTTAAAGTCCAGTGTATCTCCCACTCCCTCCACTAAACACGCCGCGAAGTCGGCCTACAAGCGATGATCTCGGCTCAACCCTACAGTCAAGAGACATCAAAACAGGCAATCAATAACTGGTAGCCGATAAATACTCGTCAATCGGAACATACCCTATATCATCCGTTGTCGGAAGGGAAACTGAAGAGGGAGTAGGAACAAATGCCTCCCATGTCTCCAGCCATCGAAGCGCTCGACTTGTTTCAATATAAACGAGCGCTTGGTCTGGGATAAAGAAGAATTTTAGGGCACCAATATGATCTACATGGAAGGCACAAGAATAGTGAGATCCAATGCGGCTTCCGTCAGAAGAGGTTCATTTGAGAACGTACATAATATCCCTCCCAGAATTCCAGCCAAGTTGTAAAAGAATGGGGATGCCGTAAAGAATAGTTTTGAGAGCACAAGTAATATCCAAGGGTATATGGCACCTGGAAGTGGAACACCAAATATTCTGCAAACCCGCGCAGATGAGTATCTCGAAAGTCTGTCAATCAGCAAACTGCAACGCGACATTCACTCACCTTCGTGTTTTGAACACACCGACCTTTTGATTAGCTTCGACGGTCATCAAGGCATACATCAAACCATTCAGTCCCCCAATACACCAATCGACCTTGATCCCAACCGCCCAAAATGGTATCACCACAAGTACATAAAGCAGCCCCGTAACAATCCCAACAATGACGACAAAATTCATGGAATGCAGGGTTCCTCGCTGCGTCTCCAACATTTTATTCAACGGCGGAAAAAACAGCAGGTTGAGAAGGAGGGTAACAATGGATGAATGAAGAAAGGGTACGGTAAGGAGATGGTAAATGTTTGAAAGCGGGGACGATAGAATGAGGTTAGGACAGAGTCCAACGTCAGGAGATCCTCTTGCGACGTTGACAATGGAGAGTGTGACGCAAGTCAACACTGTAACTGCACTGCTTAGGGGAAGTGAGAGGTACCATTTCTTGATAAACTTTAGCGTTTCTATAGAGTAATAGCCGACCGCGGACATGATGATCTAGTGCACGATGCGGACGCAGAGGAACCTTGGGTCGGTGGCCTCTTGTTGACGTGGCCATGTGGCTTAGAGTGAGGCTTATCCCCCATTTCGCAGTTCAATATCCACACACGATATTTGGAACAAACTATAGTATTAAAATCTAAGACATGATAAAGACAACATACATGACATAATAGGTATTGAGATAATTTACAGTACAATATGAACGCAATGACATATCAATTTGGGGTATCCAACCTTCGCACAAATAAAAAGTTCATCCAGCATCATGGGGTTCCTCAATAACCGCCCTTCTTTCCCTTCTTTTTCTTTTCGCAGACCGCATCAATATCACACCCAACGAGATCGCCAAGTGCAGCTTCCCACACATCCAGATCACAAGCCTCTTCTGTGCACCCAGGGAGGATGATAGGCCGTTCGTTGAGAAGAGCACGAACCTTGAACTTATTCGAGCCGGAGCATTGGTGGAGCTCAAAAGCCATATTAGCCATGAAAGGTGCAATGTGGGACGTGCGAAAGACGCGATCCGGTAGCGGAGTAGTAGCGTTGCCTGTTAGACGTTGGGTGTCTTTGAAAAGACCCTAATGTGCCATTGTCAGCATCTTCAATACAAGAGTAACATGAAGTCCTAAACGGGATTTACCAGCGAGGTGACGAGTGCAAGTAGCGTCTCGGAATGACCAAATTTGAAATCGGCAATGACCCGCGAGTTTCCTTCAGATCTGGCTTTCAGCCCTTGCACAATTTCAGTGACCAGACGACAAGCAATCTTTCCATTGAGTTCATGGCCATATCCATTCTCCAACCAGTCATCGAGATCCTCGCCGTATTCCAACCATTCCACCTCGTCCTCGTTGAACATGGTACACCATCCATCCCGTCTCCCAAACACCGACCATTCAAAGGCACAGGCCTTGAACGCTGCCAACGCATTTGCAGGGCTGAAAGTCAAGCAAGTAGTTTCCGCAAGTCGACGAGCAATGGGAGGCAAACGAGCAGACTTGAACGCCTCCATTTCTGCGCGATGAGCAGGTCCACGTTGCACGTGTTTCCGCCAGGCAGAGCACGATTTTTGGGGATTCATAATATGGTCCTTCTTTTGCGGGGACGTTGTCATGTAGATTGGAGTGTTCCGGCATGTGCCCTCCTCATTTTGTGGAGTGAACAGACCCGCCGCAAAAGAGCTGCCCGTCTGTCCCGACCTTGAGCGACCAGAGCTACTGAATAGGTAAACATTTGGGTTGTAGGGAACATTACTAGAAACAACAAATGTCAATGTCCGCCTAAATATCCGACATGGAAGCGGATGCGATCAAAGGCTTACGCTAAAAGACTCTCGTAACGTTGCATCGTCCTTTTTCCAAACAGATATGCTTCTCCTTCTCCGGCTTTGGAGAGCAGACCCTCATCCTCCAAGTTGAACGGATTTTTCTGTAGGGCAAAAAACGTTGTATTACTTGTTCCCTTTGTGCAATTGCTATAACGATCACACTTACCCATGACCTAATCCACTCATGCTCTGGTGACAGGCAAGAATCCGCTGAACGTGCAAATGCTTCCAATTCATTGAAAGATACAATATCTTCGTAGGTTGGCGCACGGGTACCATGTCTCACAACCTTAAACAGGTCTTTAGCATACAATTCGCATATCCCATTCTCATATCCCACGCAACATACCATCTGAACGTGGGCGAGTGCACATCCATTCACCTCATCCTGATGTGCCTCATCATTCCGAATCGGGTATGCACCTTTTGTTCCCAAGTGTCGAGTAATATCAAACTCGGGTTCCAAGTAGAGTGCAACTTGTGAGGAGGTAGCAGATGTAACAACAATGTGAGGATATGTCGGAGCTGCCAGCGACTGTGACCCAAACAAGAGCGTCGCAAGAAGAGAGACACGAATAGGACTCATGAGGTATAATTTAGCGGCGATGAGAGATGGTCGTCGACTGCAAAACGCTGGTGTGAGAAAATCGTAACCGTAAACCGGAAGAAGACGACCGTTTGCGACGACCGACGAAGCCGAGGTGAACGAGGTCAACGAGGTAAACAAGAACAAGGTGGGAATCTGCTAAAAAGCAAAAGGACAGCAAACGTAGGAAAGTTCCCAAGAGGTCTATATCTAAATATCCTTGTTTAAAAAAAACGGGCAGGTCCTTCTAGACATCAAGTCAGTAAGACACGTGTAGGAACGAGAGGAGGCAATAACTGATGAGGGCCCCCCAATTTCCAGAGGACTCCGCGCACCAATCAGATTTGATCGTGCCCAGGGAAGTGGAGCTGATTGGTTGGAATATGGTGTAGTTGGGGCAAAGCATTATTAAGGAAAGCGTTTCATTAGATTTTCAATTGGGGTAGTAACTCAGTGGTAGAGTGTCTGCTTCGCATGCAGGAAGCCCGGAGTTCGATCCTCCGCTACTCCAATCAGTATTTCACCCGTGACCCTTTTTTGAAGCACTGGCTTTTTATTACTCGTTATTTACACCTTCATCGATAGCAAAACCCTTTCATCAACGGGTAAATCATGCAGAGACAAACTGTTTTTAATGTCAAAATTGGCGATGATAATGTAATGCTGCAGCGAGCTATGGAGCATCTACCTACTCAGACCGCCCCTCACTGAAATCTAACCAACCTCTCTCCCACGACACAGCCTTAAGCGATCTCCACGCCAGTCATATCAGAAAATTCACTAATACCAGACGGATCCTCTACAATACAAGTCCACGGCGCGGGAACATCCAAAAGATCATTCAAACTCGTAATGCAGTCCACAATCTTGTTTTGATGGTCATCCGACATGGGAACCGTTCGTACATGGGTCCCAAGCTCAAAGATGGCATTTCCGATATGATTGTACAAGGAATCTATCTTTTTCATTCCGTTTCGTTGGATGGCAAACTCTAGTTCGGGGATTTCTATTGTTGCATATGGGCTTTTGAGGAGAACGTTCCATAACTGGATACATTCCACAAAAAAAAGAACAGTCAAACAAAACGTGTCTCAAATAAAACTAAATCAGCTTTCTTTAATACTTGCCTGCGTACGGTCAGTGATGCGCAACGTCAGTTTCCGAGCCTTCCATTCTTCTTCCGGTGGTTCGGGGACCACCTTGAAGCGCACCTCTCCATTCTCGCCGGTTTGAGTTTGCACGTTGGGAAGGGTGTTGAGTAATTCTACAAAAGTTCCTCCAAGAGCGTCGTTAAACTCTTCTTCGTCTTCATAACCCAATTCCCGGGACAATAGATCCGCTATAGGAGCCGCTGGAATCCATTCTACCGTAGTAGTGGTGTATGCCTTTTCCAGCTCTTCAATGATACGAGCGACTTCCTGGTGGCTCAGGTTTATCTTGATGGGCGACTCAGTGGGGATTGGAAGACCCATGATGTTTGAATTTGACAAAAATGTGTGAATGCAAAAAGGAAATAAAACAGCGACTCGATGCACTCTGGGGCGAAACTGCTCTCATTATTTTTGTCAGCGTCCATATTTAGACAAATGACTGCTTACGAGAGCATGATCTTCCTCTGCAACTCAAGACTCTTGTATTTCAAGTGTCCATATACCTTGGTTATACTCTATAAGCTATACCTGTCTTTCTACTTTTATCTAGAATCTACTTACATGGACCGCTCACCTCTGCACCATCTTCTGCATCCAACGTCAGGGTACACGTGGCCATCCGATGTTCTTGTTCTGGGTTGTGAGTGATCCAAATGCAAGTGTAGCTCTTCAAGGACTGTTCGACAAGTTCGCATGTTTCAGGGTCGAGTGCACTGGTCGGCTCTACAGAATACGACTGAGCGGCGTTTTCAATGTGCGGGTAGTTGGAGAGTCTTTAGGTACCATCCAATAACAAAATGTCTGGTTCGCACGATATGGCACAGGCAATTGCGATTCGTTGCATTTCACCTAAAAGCCAAATTTGAAGGTGTGAGCACTCCTGAGGGTTCACACCAGGTACACACACTTTTGAAATTCCGGCGAATGGTAACATGGGTGCGACTCACCTCCCGAAAGCTGATTCCATTCTTTATCCCATGTCTCTGGTGCCAAATTCCAGCTATGCTTGACATTAGCACCATCCCCTCAATAGAATCGCTTCATCAACCGTAGAACAGTTTTGTCTCACCCAGCAGCCAATTCAATCTAGGGATCAATACATGAGTATCAAACGAGGTGTTGCGGCGTTTACGACATCCATACGTTCCTACCGAATCAACACATTTAGATTGCCGCTTCTTTTGAGCCGAAAATGTATTCACCGTTTCTAGAAATTTGGCAGGTGTTCCAGGTAGGATCGGTGGTCGTTGGGGGACGTACATAACCCGCGATCTCCACTCTGTTATGCCGTACTGCTCTGGTGTTCTGAAAAATCCCAAGGTATTGTCAGCACGGACAGGTACGGCATGTTTGTGTTCAAGGTAGAGCCTTTCTTGACCTTCCATCTAAGGTGATCTTGCCGGAATTGTACGGTATGAGTTGGGCGAGACATTTCAACAATGTCGTCTAACATGGAGGTGATTATGATGAGTAGCTGTCAGCGTGACCAAAAGGCAGCCCTTAAAGCATGCCAGAACCTTTCCAGAACCTGCCAATAGTCATTAAGTGCACTTTAAAAAAAACCATGCTGCATGCAGTTTGACCAAAATCACTACCCTACGTACCACTGGGACCACGAACGGCTAGAATCCTCGGATTTCGCTTGTCTAGCTCAAGGGAGAAGTGAACGTTGGAGAAGAGGTGCGAACCGTTTGGTAGAGTTAAGCTCAGGTTTTCGACTTGTAAAATGGTCATGATGAATGTGAACAAAAAGCTAGTTTGGAATGCAGGAACCGCGTTATATAGGATTAGTTCGTCATCATCATTACCCACACACGCCTGCTTCCTCTACTTTTAATTACTACATCAAATATAGCTATATCCTATCCAAGATACTCTAACAAAAACTAATCTGCAAACGACAATCTATACAGCCCTTCTCTCAACAACTTGATTCCAAATATCCTCATCAACAGTCCCTTTACAAATAAACCGCCACACATGGACTTTTTTCGTCTGCCCATATCGTCGAACCCGTCCAATAGCTTGAGTTTCGCACGCATCATAGACTTCCGGCGTCTCAAGATGCAAAGGGGATACGAAAATAACATGATTGGCTCCCGTTAGATTTGCTCCACTGGCTTCTTCATTGGTTGCAGTTAAAAGTAGAACCCGAGTTCCATCAAGATCGTGGTCGACATCAAGGTCATCCATATTCTGGAATCGTTCCACAGCTTTGCTCATTTTCGTTGCGCCGCCCTCAATCTTGAGGTGGGCGATACGAGCATCGTCGAGCGCCTCGCTCACCTTCTGCTTGAGTTCAGGAAACTGGACAAAAATCAGGATACGATCCGTACTTGGGATCTTGTCCTTTATCAACGATACGATGGCGGAGAGTTTTGCTCCGTGGCCAGAACCAAAATCGTCTTGATCGACTCCAAGACTTTCTGGGGTTACTATAAAATTGCTCCGGGCTGCAACTTGACATCCAGGCGTCACGCATGTTTCTTTCTCGGCTTCCTCAAGCACACATGTTTGGCATCCCAAGTGTCCACAACATGAAAGGAAGACAACCTGGTCATAGTTGTCAGGCAGGTGGAATGATTTTTGACATTTTGGGCAAATGACCTCGGCTTGTTTGCGGGTTTGAACATCTCGTACCGCTTGAATATATCGCAATGATCGCAACCGATTGACCAGTTCTTTTTGTACTTTACGTAAACGGTGGGTATGCTCTCGCAACTCCCATTTCTTGTCAGACAGAGTTGGGGCCTTTTTGGGTTTACCCGTATCTTCATCCTCATCATCATCATCCAAAAAGTCGTCATCCGCCGATTTCCGTTTAGAAGAACCCACTTTTTTCTTTCCATTTTGCTGCGTTTTCTTGATCATATTCCCAACTGGTTTCAAACTCGTATCTCCCATGTTTTCTTTCCCTTTGCCCTTCTTGTTGCCCAATTGTCCCATGTTTTTAACAATCTCCGCGACCAACAGCCCTGTATCGACATCATCGCTTCGTCCGGCCAGAGCCTGTCCCCACCACCTCTCAAGCGGCAAATCATCTCCTTCTTCATATCCACCATGATCCAAGATCCAAGAATGCAGTGCTTTGGCATCATTCAAGTGCTCCTCAAACAATTGTCGACATTCCTCCAACTGCGCTTTTCGTTCAATCACAATCTTTTCACAAGCTTCCGCAGCGTTCCTGACGCGCAATTGCTGTTTTTTGCCATCCCGTCCAGGCGATCGCAATTCCAAATCAAAATGAGAGCACCGAATCAAAAGGGCTTGTTCGGGTGACTTCATTTTTTCTAATGCGAGACCTAGCCGGAGTTCACGGTCCCCTTGAGCTGCCTTGCCTGCCCTGACCGTCTTTCTGACATTCATCTCGACACTCAGCAAGTAATGCTGTAGTTCGTAATAGAGGGCAAGTTCTGCAGGGGGTAACTGTATAGGCATGATATGCTCCTCACACAAAATCTCATCAATCTCTGCAATATTCTGACGCACGAAGCCATCCAAAAACGTTTGAGCAACCGCATGTCGTCGGGCATGCCAAGCAGCCGTATGCACCTCCCGGAACGAATGAAATTTTTCGGCAGCTGTTCGCTCATTAAGTCGCTTTTTAACCATATCTTCACCCATTTCGGCATCATCATCCACTCCTAGATGCAAACCAAGGAAACTTGCAATGGTTTTGACGGTAGCGAATTCGTGGACCGGAGAAGTTCCAGATAGGACCCACCGGTAATTGGATCGTAGTTCCAAGATGCATGCATAGTCTTTGCCCGTTACATAGGTGTACTCGTCAACTACGATACGGTTGAAATAAAACATTTCGAGAGGTGGGCATTGCATTTTTTTCCAGTTTTTTTGTACGGATTGTGTTTGGAGGTTCCATGGATCTTTATCTTCACGGGATGTGGTATCGGCATTTTTAGATTTGGACGTTTTACGTTTGTCGTAGGTGTCCATCACATCACTACTATCGCCATCTTCCAGGTCATTCAACTCTTCACCTGTTTCGTCTGTTTGTTGCTTCAACTGATCCCGGTAGGCCTTGGTGCCCCTCACCTGCTTTTGGACAGGTACAGTCTCATCACTTCCTTGCTGTTTCCTCCTCAATAACCCCTCTTTAACAGCCTGGATAACCAACTTGACGCCGTCGGTTCCGCCAATCTCGGTCAACTCCTTGACGCGAATTTTGAGCTTTTCCAAAGCCTCCTGATATCGGATATTAAAATACCGTCCCTCAGAAACAGGCAAGAGCTCACTTCCAGCCAATCCAGATAAATTAGACCAGTAATTGATACCCGTCAAAACACTCCGCGCGCAAATAATGATATCCGCTTCCTCAAAATCCGCGACAGTCGTTTTATTAAAATTAGCCACATTGAGCATGGTGAGGACTTTGAACCGGTTTCCAGTAAACTTTTTGATTTCCGCTGGCCATTGTGCTACCAAATGAGATGGAACAATGATTAATGTTGCTTTGATGGGGATACGCCCTTCGAGTTGCGAGGGAGGCGGGGGAGGCGGGGGAGGTAGGGACGCAGCGTAGTCAATGAGACCGAGTGTGATGGCGGTCTTTCCGTATCCGACTTGGTCAGCTAGGACACCCCCTCGAACAAATACTTGCCGCTCCGCCTTGGCTTCTACACGCCACCCCAACGGTTCCAAAACAGCTTCTGAAACCTCTTCTTCAACAAAAGGTTCAATGGTAGCTTGCTCTTGACGCACCATCCACGTTAAAGACCGACTTTGCTCCTTTCTCAGCTTGTACCGCTCAAAATGCGGCGGCTGCTCATGTTCCGGATCCAGTTTGTTACTCTTGACTTCAAGAGGTTTCAATTTCTCTTCTTGGTCAGTAAATTCTGTGGAAAGTCGCCACGATACTCGAGGGGATTCGGGACGGTCTTTACTAGGTAATCTCGATAGGGCCCGATGAACCAAAGACGCAACATTCACGCCGAGACGGAGCATACCCAAGGTACCATCCAAACGGAATTGAGCGACAAAAGGGGCGGGTCGCCGCTTTAGATTCTGTTCGTAAGCACCAGCTTGTTGGGGATCTTCGAATGCAGAGGCACTCGTTCCTTTGCGGATCCAGAGCAGTTCTGGAGGTGTTGGAGCACATCGCTCGCAAGGAGACGGTTTCCCTCGCTAACACATACAAAAAAAAAAAAATCAAAAATCAGCAACTACTCCAAACTTTTTATTAGATTCACTCACATCATCAATATCATGCACACCAGGAACATCCATCCAATCCTGAAGGGCAGTAATTCCCTTTATCCGCTCCGTAATCCACGCCAAAGACTCAAACGTCGACCGTCCCCGATGCAACAAATCAATTTCCTCCCACTTGTCACGAGGCCATACAGGCTCTGCATGCGTAAGCGGGACTTTACACGTCAAGACGGCAGTAGCGGTTTTACATGCATCCTGTTTGCAGGAAACTGATAATGGTCCTGCTGGTGTGCTGACGGTACCCTGGAGAGTAGCCTCGGTGGTTGGGACGAGTCGTGCGCATTCCAAGGTAGCCCATTTGCCTTTGACGTGACAAGCAACGGATTGAGGTCCGTCAACAGAACTAGGTCGCCATTTGGGATCCAATGTAGCGTTTACAAGGCGGACTTCTCCATAGGGTAATCGACGTGCATTGGTTGAGAAATTGAATGCATCCCCACTTTGCTCACCGCAAGGTTGTGGATCAAAAAAAAAGAACAATGGGAGTTTTTGGTCATCGGTGGATGCTGGTCGCTTTTTATGGAGGGCGTTCATGGCCGTTCCGCACTTTTCCAGCAAGTCATATGTACCCGAGAGATCGCGATCCAAATACACCCGTGCATCATCAGGGATCCCGGAAATCTCCAACTGAGACCACCATTTCCCAGATGCAAGGTGATTCTGCAAGCCAATACGTGCTTCCCATGATTCAACAAGTTCACCCCGTCCAGTGATCGTAATGGAAAATGATTTGGATGCAGGGAAACATACTTCCCACGTCCCACTGAAAAAACTCGTGTCCTGGCTCTTGAGATCCAAATACATTCTGGCTGCTGGGCTAGCAAGGAGACTTCGTAGACGGCCATTGACAGGTTCGTCCTCGGGGGCTTTAATAGTTAACTGCCATACGGGCTGGTGGGGATCGATGATGAGTTCAAGTATCGCCATGGGTGCGTCATAAGTAACAACCCAATACTCTTGTCGCTTGACAGATCTGAATCGGAATTCATTCTTGACGGCGTTCACAACAGCGTCGTGCCAGAGTGTCCAATCCTTGCTGACAAGATCGATCGTGTCATGCTGAGATTTGAGCGCTTCTAGTGCATCCAGTGTAATGCCTTGGAGATGAAGCCGCATGGGTAAGGCCGACCTAAGCTCCTTCTCAAATCCCGTGGGAGATAGTCGATTATCACTTGTAACCTGTTCATAATAATGTTCAGGCCGAATTCCGCATTTAACACAAGAAGTTGCCCAACATTCTCGGCATTTCTGAATCTTTTCTTTGGTGACACCCGTTCGTCCCTCACAGTCACACTGCCGGCTACTTCGATCCGCATCCGCAACCAAAGCCTCCAACGACATGTTGGTATAGGTGCCTAGTTCGAGTGGGAGTTCATTGAGCTGGTCATCTCCCCCAATGGTAGGAAACGGATCCAATTCAATTTGTTTCGGAGGTACACCCGACCCCGGCTCCAAAGTATCCAAAGACACAACAAGAGCAGCCAACATGCACGCACCAACCACGGTGGTGGTCATGGCGTTACCAGCCAAATCATGCAAATTCCGCTCCGATTCGCGGGTCAGTAACAATTCATCAACAGGGATTCCCTGGAGATTCAGCGCCTCACGACCGACAACAGGGCCTCCACGGCTCGTCACAAACGGTATAACCCTCGGAGTCAAACAAGGACAAATACCCGGCCGAACACTTGTACTAATCCGATCAACATTCTGACTTAGTTCCCATACCAGCGTCTTGGACATGGCGTCAATGCCCTTGACAGCCATCTTTAGGTACAGAATATCAATGGAATCAAGCACACGCGTAGACTGACTAGCCCCCCAATCATTCCACGCATAATCAGGAAACCGACACACACTATTCGGTTCCCATCGCGAAAAAGGACGCTTGATACCTAATCCTTCTTCAATCCGCTGACGTTCATGCCGACTTTCACAGCGTTCCCAATCCGTTCGAGCGGCCCTGCGATCCACACTCGCACGCGCAAGGTCGAGTCGAGCTTGATGGACACGAGGATCATCTGTTGGGAGGAGGAAGGCTTCCAAAGGGGATGAAGCGGGTCGTTGCATGGATTTGACAAGGTTGATCCACATTTCTGGGAGGTTTTTGGGTCCTTCTGCTGCAGCAAAGAGGTACCCACGTGTTCGGGTATGCGGGATATAGTAATCCTTGGTATCAAACCGGGTAGCCGTGACTTTATACCGGATTTTAGTAAATTCGTGTTGCATGCTCGTCCAATCGGCTCCACAGACGTTTTCGAGGATAACGAGTTTAGGACGACATGTTTTGACCCAGTTTAACATTCCCCAAAACGTTCGGCCAGATTCGCCGCCGGCGTGGATGCCCTTTTTCTTGTTATTTAGGTTAGAGTAGTCGACGCAGGAGGTTCCTGCTACGAGGAGGTCGACTTTGACGTTTGGGACTTGCACGAGGGATCCGTATGCGGTGGTTGCTTTTGGGTTGGCGAGTTCGCATACATCGCGGAATAAAATGGGTGGGGAAAAGTTGCGTTCAATGTAGGCTTGTTTAAAAGGTTCGATTTCACAACTAAAGACATGGTCAATCTCAAATTTGATTCCATGGTGACGTTCAATGGAGCGAGATATTTGGCCGAGGGCCAATAGGGGACTCTCGGTTCCGCTGCACATGGTAGCGACACGGAGTTTGCGGCCTTGGAGTCGTTTGGCTACTGTGGCGCTTTCGGGTAGGTTTTTGACCATGTCGAAAAACATGGCTGGGATATCTTGGATGGGGGGAAATTCCGTGGCATGCAGTTTTTGTTTCTTTCGCGCGGGGCCGGTGATGGGTTTATGTTGCAGTCGCTTTTTGATGGGGGATGCTTTCTGCGGGGTGAATTTGAAGATGTTCTTCCAGGCGGCTATTGGGGACTGTAACGGGGTCAGTTTGGTTGGTGAAGTCATGGGTGGTGAAGGAACCTCTGGCAACGTCTTGACCCGTTTCGAAAGAGGCGAGTCAAAGGCTGCATTTTGTCTCCTTGTATATTCCACCGCCGCTCGTTTGGTCCCGACTCTCGACGTAATGACCACAAACGGTCCCTTCACATCCTTCTTGACCGACGACCGTCTCCGCAGACTCCTCCGTCGAATATCATTCCCCTTGAACGCATCCTCGTCAACAGATAATTCCTCCTCACTCGCGACACTTGGCTCAGACATCGAGTCGGATATATCATCACCGCCATTCCAGTCCTCGTCATCCGAAACGACAAGAGACTTTCGTTTGCGTACCATTACCATTCTTTACTCGTATATTCAATTCTGCAAGAAGGTAGTGGGAGGTAAAAAGCATCCGGGCACCATGTGTGTCCGAAGACACGGACGTGCGACGTGCTTTAGTAAGCGTCCAATTTCGATTTGCAAGGGGGTTTTGGCAAGGGAGTTTTTCTCCATCTCTCACCGTGATCAGTACCCGCACCTACTTTTTACATACAAGAAGACCCCCTTACAAAAAGATCCAGAGTTTCTTATAGACTTCCATTCATGTCGGCGCGTCAGACTGACAAGTGGCCACACCCTTACGCGGGTTCCCTTCCTGACCCTCTCGCCCTTGCCGCCGAACAACTCGGGAGTATCCCAGATCAAGTATGGCCAGCCCAATCCACACTTTTACAGTACGGAGCGCCAGATCCTGCTATACCAGCTCCTGCAATACAAGTGCACTCAAAGCAAAGCTCGAAGGTACGATTCCAAAACCATTTTCATTGAAACACTTTTTAACATTTTTTGTCAATAGGCAAGGGCAGGTGAGAGGCACCGAACTGCGTCTCAAAACACAGAGAACACAGAATCACGGGCCGATATAGAACGGGTACAAACTCTCGAAGCCCGTTTAAAAGCTCTTGAACAGAGTAACCCTGTAGCCAGACCCATATCAGCATTACGATGGACACGGGACCAAGTTCTGGGTATAAAGTTTTCACGATACATCTTGTCAGACCGTATCGAGATCCATCGCGTTGCAACTGAATTGGACGTCATGGATGTGATTGCGGGTGGGAAGGTGGAGTTGATGGGATGGTGTCTTGTTCGTCCTTTTGAAAAGTGTCCACCCGTTTTGTGTAAGAACCCGATGCCGTTTTCGGTGTACATGCAGCACCCCCTTTTTCAAGCGGATTGTGAGATCCTAAAGGCGCATTACAAGTGTACGAGTCCTGTACTTGTTGGACAATTGTTGTACCATATCCCGCATGTTGGAATGGTTGTGCATCCTGCGCTAGTCGTGTCTTACTCCAGGTGCGTTGGAGGGGTGTTTGAACAATGTGTAAAGCAGTGCCTTGATATGTATGTACCGCCTGATGGTGTACTACGATCGTGGACTCGAAATATCACCACGGGTGACAAAAAAGAGATGACGTCGGAACAGTCGAAACAGCCGGACCAGCTCAAGGATACGATTATTGATCTCATGAACGAACACTTGGAAAAAAATTTTGGAGAAGAAATCAAAAAGTACGTGGCGCATCAGGTCTCGCAGTGTATAGCCGACCGTTTGAACAGGCACGAACAAAACTGCAATGCCCTTGAAGAAACCTTACACGCCACCATTGAAAAAGAGATTCAAAAAGGGATCAAATTGACGGGTACGAAAATGGCGAGGGTTGTGAAAGAATTTGAAGGGGGTACACGAAAGGAGTTGTTTGACCGGTATCAATCGATCCAGCAAGGTGTCTTTCATCTTTCTGATCGTGTAAAAATCCTTGAGGAAGCGCGAACCATGATGGATCTCGAATGGTTGTCTCTAGCCACTTGGCGAGAGGATACACAATCCCGACTTCAAGCCCATGGCGACCGTTTATCGTCTCTTTCCTCGTCGCAAACAATGACCACTACGACGCTGGATGCGCTTTCCCAGTCATGTACTACCCATCAAGCAGAGAACACCCGTACACTCGACAAACTCCAAACCACCGTCTTTCCTGCACTAGATCTCCTTCGCACCCGACTTGACACCCTAGAAGCCCAACATGGGAACCACACAATCACTGATATGGAAAAAATGGAACAACGACTGGATAGATTGGAGAAATCAGTATCAGATGACACTGAACTAAAACAAGAGATTATTGAACTCATCAACGAGATGCAGGCGCGTGTTGTGGATTTGGTTTACGAAAAAGTTGAGCCGGTTGTATTGAGGTTTGTTGAACAGATTGTGCAAGGTGAGAGTGTGCAAAGTGGTGGTGAACAGTCGAGTGAAAAGGCTAGATTAGAAAAACGGAAAAAGGATGTTGAGGATGATTCTCAAAGTGGTGGTGAAAAGTCGAGTGAGAAGGCCAGATTAGAAAAGCGGAAAAAGGATATAGAAGGTGATTCTCAAAGTGGTGGTGACAAGTCGAACGAAAAAGCCAGATTAGAAAAACGGAAAAAGGAAGCAGAAGGACGGAAAAAAGTAGAGGATGGAAAGAAACGGGTGTCGCCTACTCAAAAATCGAGGTTGAATACGTTGTGATGATATTATGATCGTATTTTTTTTTGCCTATTTGGTTGGTTTTGTTTTGGTTGTTTTGTATTATTTGTATGTTTGGAGGGTTGTGGATAGGGACTGATTGTAAATGTAGAATATTTTATTGGTTATGTTGGGATGCTTTACGAGTTTATTGTTTGTGATGGTTACCATGATGTTTGGATGTGTATCATTTTCATTGCTGAAGAATGGTGAGAGTCGAGTAACTAGATAGCAATACTTACTGAAAAACGTAAATGCTCCATTCCCGATATCTCATCATGCTGTAAAATTCCGTTCTCTGACAATCCACTTATTTTTTCAATCTCCTCTTTTATCTTCCTGGATATAATTTAATCGTCATGCTGTGGGATGAACGGGGTTGGTGGGGTAAGAGGTCCTGGTCTTTATGGAGAAGAAAACCGAGAATAACTTTACAAGAACCATACGTAGCATAGCCATCTACGCACACACACATCCAAAAATGCACAAGTTCTTGGGATGCTATGCTGAGGTCACCCAAATGGGTGACACTATTCCCATAACAACAACCCCATCACATGACATACACACGGTGCCGTTTAACAGCGTAATCAAACATCCTCCCCAAATCCACTTTTGAACACAATTCCAAAAACAATGCATTTACATTTCCCATTCCTCTTGTCGCTCCTAAGCATCCTCACACTAACGACCTCCCAAACCATAAAACACATTTCCCAATCCGAACTCACCAAACTCGCCACCCAAGCCGACCAAAACATTACATTTATCCCCCACACGGTGTTCAAGCAGACGATATCCGATGGGACCTGGTTGGTGTTTTTTGGGGCGAGGTGGTGCAAGTATTGTAAACAGTAGGTTTTCAATGTTTTGTTTGGTAGCTTTAGAATGGGAGTTGAAGTGTTGGGCGGTTTAGGTTGTCGCCGACTTGGTTGACGATTCAGGAGCGGGTGCTCGATGCGGTGCAGGGGATCAAGATGGGAAAAGTGGATTGCACGGATCAAGAAGGTAGGTTTTGGAAAGAGTGGATCTTTAAAGAAAAAGACAAGAGGGTTGATATCGATTTTCTTTAATACAGAGTTTTGTGAAGAGGAGGGTGTGGATGGGTATCCAACACTTCATCTGTACGTTATTTTTGCAATTATTTTGTTGGGTGTTGTAAATGATGGCTGATGACATGGCATAGATACAATAACGGTAAACTGATTGAAGAATACGATCAAGGTCACGATCTAAAGAGTTTGTACACGTATGTTGTGACAAAGGTATGTTTTTTGTGTGTGTGGATTGTACTGGTGGTTCATGCGATGGTAATTTGTTCATGTGTAGGCGAGTTATTATCAGAAATTGCGACGAGAGGATTTGTGATATGTGTGATTGCGTGGTGATGATGGCGATGATGGTGATGAGTTTGTGAGAACGGCGTGGGATGAGAGGATGGGAGCGGGTACGAGTAGAATGGGAATGCGGGGAATGATGGTAGATGTGAGGTCCATGATGGGACATTAGAAAGGACAAGGACGTGTCGAATAATGTGTGCCATCGTTGCCTAGAGGCATTTGTCGAGATAGGGCATATAGAATGTGTATGGGATAAACAAGCCTGTCCAGAGAATACAAGATGATGGATAGTGCGGACGCCGGTGGGTATTGGCACTAGCACCCGCACCAGGGATGAACCGCGCGACAACCGGCTCGGAAAACCTAATCTAACCAATCTAAGCTACGGCTGGAACACCCCTGCTGAACACTTCTGGTCTACCGTGTCCATCCAACATTGATTGCACGATCGTTAGCATATTGCAGGTGCTCAGCGTATCTCGATTCCAGTAGCGCATCGTCCAGGCTTGCTGCAAACAGTTAGGGTTGGTACAACCCAGCAATCCATGGACTTTTTCAATCTTGCCTTCTCGTCGTCGATAAGGTCTTGAATGAGGTCGTTCTTTGAATTTTTTCTCCACAAACTCAGATGAGGAACAGCGAGGGCAAACAGATGAGGTCTTGTACTCGTCGAGAAGGAAACAATCAATGCGGTTGCGCTTAAAGAGGGTGCGCCAGCCTTTTGTCTTTGATGAGGTCTGAAATCTTGCAGTTCGACCGGCGTCGCTCCAATCACCCATTACAACAGTAAGGTTTTCACCGTACTTGTTGCGCATGTTACTTATGAGGTCTGATTCGCTCTTCTGACGGTTTATGAAGGAGTGCCATTTCCATCGAGTATGAGCAGGATGCGAATAGAAGTCCTTGCGGCGGTTCCAGTCGACACGACGGACGAGGAGGTAGCGGAGGAAATCCATGAGGTTCATCGTCTTGTGAGATGGTATTCGCGATTCTATAAGGTCCATTCCCGCTTCCTTCTTCATCCACTGCCGTTCCTTTTGCTGCCGACGGCTTCCAGTCTCCTTGCAGCGTTGATTGGCGGTGTAACGGAAGATGGTGCCCTTGTTGTCTTGGCAGTAGAGAACGTCGCGCTTGTTTGGGTCGATAACGACGACGTTCTCTGCTGCTCGACAAGCAGGCAAGTTTTTTTCCACATATACTGCCTTCACCTCAGCTGCTAGAGTCTTTGCCGACTTCTTCTTTCCTCCGCGCTTTCCGTACTTGTCGGCGTCAGGGTGTTTCAAATACACAGACACCGAGGTTCCGTCCGTCGTGATCGAGCCTTCAAACTGCATACCGCCGCCGCGGCGAGACCGAAAAGCCTTCGTGCGTAGATTGCAGACGCGCAACCACAGATCATCCTTTTCGACCGCTTCTGCCTCTCTGCGAAAAATGCAAAGAATGTGGGTGTAGAGAATGACGGTGTCAATCCGGACATGGCTTTGAATGAGAGACCGGCGAAGAGGTATCGCGCTGAACCGTCGGAAGCCATGTCGTTCATACAGCCCAGAGAGTTTGCAGTACGCAGGAAAAAATGACATCGGATCAGCAACAATGGCGTAGGCAAGGGGATTGTCGGGAAGGAATGGGAGATCCAATGACCAGATCTCTTCTAGAAGTTCACTCTCTTCAGCAGTCAAATCATCGAGCGACTCAGGCACGATATCAAAAAGGAAAATTGACTTCAAGTAGCGAAGACGAGCAAAGAAAGCGTTTCGCGCATCGCTTTTCAGTGGTAGTCGCTGCTTCTGTCCCTTCAGATCAAGCCGCAGATTAATGTACCGGAGCAGCATCATCATGAAGTGTTCCTGGACATTGACCTTCAGATTCGTCATCATACTCGCTGTCAGGTAATTGACTGATTGTTGCTCGCCTCGCAGGTTTGGATGAGAAAAATCAACGATGCGGCAGTACCGTCGAACATATGGCCACAAGCATTCACGTAACGCCTTCTTCGCATCAGTTTTTGGTTGCCACGATTCACCTTTGTTGAGAAGATAGAGGATGACTTCAATCGTCTCTTGATTTACCGTGGGAAAAGCTGGTGCTGATGAAAGGAGATAGAATTTCAGTGCGTGGGAAGCATGGTTGGCGAGTTGATGGATGATGGCAATGTAATCTAGAAGCCGTTGGCGGGAGATCTCGTTTGGCAGGAAAGCTTTTGCAAAGGAAGTCTTGTTGCAGGTATGTAAGCAAGTAGGTTTGTCGAGTTTTTCGAGTTTTTGCTTTTTCTTTGGTGGCATGATGATATCTGTGGAAAAAGACGAAAGCCTGGGAAAATGGGCACGACAACTTATATAGGACTTTTTGGATCAAACCAGAGTTCATGAGTCTAAATCGAGTAAAATTATGATTAAATTGGTTGGAATCTTTGTACTAGTGCCAATACCCATCGGCTCCGCACTATGTACCTTGTAAGATATCGGACGCTGAGTCACACGCGACTGTCCACGCAGCTAAGCAACACGCTTCTGGCTGTGATTCCCGCTGTGATTCCCACTTCAACTATTGTCTGTTTGACATTTTGCAAAATGGCCCGTCACTCGACTAGCGCAGTGCGCCCCAGCACATCCCGCCAACCAAGCACCCCACCACCTCCACCAACCCCACCATCACCAGCCCTCTTTTCTCCCACCCCAATCCTCCACGACCCATACGAAACAGACATTGAAGACCTCACGACAGCAGCACTCGAAAAAACAGACGCATTTTTCCGGGAATTCAAGCTTTTTGTATTGCAGAATCGGGTCTTGGAGACGGGTGTGGGTGTTATTGTTGGTCAGGCGTATGTATTTATAAGAGATTTGCCAGAACGAGAGCATTTTGCCAATTCGGTCCATCATTATATAGATTCCAAGATTTTGTGCGTAGTTTTGTCAACGATGTCATGGTACCCCCTCTTACACTCGTCACCGGCCACCGCCTCATCAACATCTTTTTTGTTCTCCGCCGAGGCAAAACCGGCCGTCGTCCCAAAACGATTGAAGAAGCCGCGACCGATGGAGCCGTGACAGTCAACCTAGGCCGATTCATTCATCAGACACTCAATTTTTTTACGGTTGGGATGGCGGTGTATTGGTTTTTGAGGGGGTTGAGATGGTATTTTCGGTTACGAGTTCAGTTGCCGGATACGAAAAAGTGTCCGTTTTGTTTGCAGGATGTTGCCTTGTTGGCTTCTAGGTGCGTGCGATACTTTGTTTGCTGGATGATTCATGTCTTTTCATGTTTTGTTTATTTTTTTTAATTGATTCTAGGTGTTGCTTTTGTACTTCGATGCTCTCGGAATCTCATGCACCCCCAACTGAATAAACAAATGTAACCAAGGAAATATAAAACATTTTTGCCTGGCGGTCGTGACTAGCAGAGATTTTTGCAATGCCGCCATATCTGCCTCTCTCTCTGATCGAGTTGACAAAAGATTTGAGAGACAAAAGTGGGTTTCAGATCATAATTTTGATTCTTGATAAGAGCTGTCTAGAATGGTAGAGAGTTGGGCAGAGTGCAAATGCATCAACGATAGAGCTCCCTCTCTCCATTGCCCATTGCTGAAATGGTCAGTCTCTCCAATTGTATATCTCCACGACGAGCGTTAGCCCTCGACCCAAATGCTAAACACGCAACGCTAAATCCGAGCGCTCAATTTCAAACCCGAAATCAACCCGAACCACAAGATTGAAGAGAACACTCTGCCCCCGCTCTCCAGTCCGCCTGTCCGATAGTTTAAAGGCACAGTCATGAAATAATACGAGTATGGCTGCTCCCACGTGACCAAATGACGGCAAATTGCGCAGATCAGTGGTTTGTGTGATGAGAGACAGAAGGGTTAAAAAAGGGATAAATTTGAGGAGTGAAAAATGTTTTAAAAACAGCCGTTTTTCTCGTTTGAAAGCCATTTGCTGATAAGAATGATTCATGGAGGGATTGATTTGCCATTTGCGGTTGAATATCGGGCAGTGTGCACGTTTGTGTGTGCATGCGTGTGTGTGTGCAATGTGTACGTGGGCGGGTATGTGTGTGCAATGTGTGTTTGTGCATTGTATGTGTGTATGAAATGTGTGCATACATATGATACAGCGACTACACTCTCCATAGCATGAATCCCACTCTAGAATAAGAATAAGAATGAGAATAGTACAAGAAGAGTAATAATAAAAAGATAAAAAATCAAATGACGTGTTTCCATCTTATCAATCAAAACAATCAAATGACTAGTGTGTTGTAGAAATAAGGAATAGACGCCCCAACAACAAGAGAAGAAATTCCCACGTAGCAGCTCTATAGGCAATTCTCTCTTTGTAGCAATCTACCAAGTACTGTTCTCTCTCTCTCTCTCTCTCTCTCTCTCTCTGTGTGTGTGTGTAGTTTGTGTAGTTTGTGTAGTTTGTGTGTGAGAACTCTCTCTTATCTCTCTCTCTCTCTCTCTTGTCCCATCAAATTCCCTTCTTCTTTCAATCAACGCGTTTTTTTTTATTGTTTTTTTTTGATTGTTGTTGTTTTTACTTTTTGGTCAGACGCTCAGTCTGCCAGTTGTTTATTTTATATTCCCACTCTTTGTTTATTCCCACACTCTTCTTTCTACTCGAGAGCATCATCATGCTCGTTTCCTGCATTTCCCACTAGATACAGCCATGGTCAACGTGCAACAACAACAAGAACAGACGGCTGCGGGTCTTGCCTCAGTCGCTGTCGTCAAGCCAGTCCCTTCCCTCTACGAACGCAAGTATGGCGCATACGGGGCTCAGCGCTTTTCGCCCTTGCTTCATCACTCGAGTGACCACCGGCGTCCACCCGTCGACAAGGACGTAGGAAAGGAACGGAGCAAGCACCTGGCTCAAAAGGCTGCCAACAAGTGTGCAAACTGTGGCACAATGTCTACTCCACTATGGAGGAGAGGACCCAAGGGTGAAGTCATTTGCAATGCTTGTGGTGAGTTTTGTTAGGGTTAGGGTTAGAGTGTTGGAGTTTGGTTCAGGTTAGGGTTCGGGTTGGAGTTGGGTTAGGGTTGACGTTCGCGTTTTCGTGTTCGGGTTAGGATTCGTTTTCTGGTCGGGGTTAGGGCCATGACTCGCTGACGCTCGTCATGGCATAGTTACTCACATTCGCCCCCTTTCATAGGCCTCTATTTAAAGGCGAGAAATACATATCGTCCGACATGGCTCAAGCAACGCCGCCCGAAAAAGGAGGGAGATTCTGCGCAGGCCGCACCACCACCATCATTGACATCGTCCAACAACCATACCATTGAGCGGGCGCCCACCTCTTTGGACGCGCTCGTCACCATTGCACATTTGACCACCCATATTCCCCAACTCGTCCCCGTCAAACAAGAAGATGGTTTGCGTCCAAACGTCTCGACTCCATTTATGGGCGACACGTTGCCCGATGCGCACATTAAGCAGCAGCAAGGATGTCACTCTGGTCTTGGCAGGCCTCCCGGACCCGGCCGCGAACACATGCAGTGCATCAACTGCAGTACGACAAGCACTCCTCTTTGGAGGCGCGACGATAAAGGCAATGCCATTTGCAACGCCTGTGGATTGTACTACAAGCTCCACCACACTCATCGCCCAGTGACCATGAAGCGGGCCGTCATTAAACGTCGCAAGCGCGTGACACCCAACTCGGGTGCGGTCCTGTCTCCGTACGAGACAAGTTTGTGGTCCTCAATTGACGCTTCTGCTGATCATGGAGCACCAGCGAGTGCGGCAGACGCGGAGCACCGTCGCAGGGACACGCCTCCCCAGCAGCAGCAACAACAGCAACAACAACAGACGAGCGAGGGCAGATTTGTACTTCCTCCCCTCAAATCGATTTTACCCATGGGACCCATGGCACTGGACGCGTCTCCCGCGTCATCGACATTGTCATCTTCGTCGCCTCCGGCGATGGACGCTCCTTTGGTCGATGGGTCCTTGTCGTTCCGCATGTTACCTTCACCGTTTGCCAATCCGCCTCCCGCCGCGGCGAGGTCACCATACCCAACCTCCCCCGCCACACAGCATGAGCCTATGACCGTCAACTCTGGACTCATCCAGCACACAAGGGCCGAACTCGTGAATGAGATTGACCGCCTCAAAACGCTTTTATCGCACAAGGCTGGTATTTTGGTGGGGTTAGACCAGGCTGAACGTTTCATGGACCAACATGCTCCCCAGCCGTTTGGAAACGAGACGGTCCGACTTCCTCCCATTCGTGAGGCGTTTGATTTACAGCGACATGAAGGGTTGGAGGATGCTGAAGCATCTGCGACGCAAGCGCTCATGTCGTTGGCGACTGGGGCGGGAATGCGTTGATGCAGTTTTTGGCTAGAAGTGTGTTGACGTTGTATATACACTTGTGGGTGTATTGTTTTTGTACTATTGGTGTGTTGTTGTGTGCGTTTATGATGATGATGCATGTGGAGACTTTTCAAAACCACCATGCAATTCGTGCAAATGTTTCTTTTCTGTTGATGCTGTCCTTTTTATTGGTACTTTTGCAGAGTTGGGTGGGATGGACCCTATTTGATCTTTGGCGGCTTTGCAGGCAGAAAGTGCAGACAAATACACTGGCGTGGAGTGGAACCACTTGGGTACTGGCGACAACCAACGTATGTAGATACAGCTACTGGACCCACTAGGCAATACATAACGGTTGATCTAACCGGGTAATTGTTGTCAAAGGGGGCCCTGATATGCTCAGTACAAGGAGCTTTTTACACCCGTCTAGCAAAAGAGGTCGACCGGCCAAAACTGTCTCCAAAGCCAATTTTCACAGCGATATTGCAATGTATTGCATTAGCTCTCTGTGTGTGTGTAGTAACTCTCAACCACCATGAGAGAAAATCGTAATAAACCTCGTTTCAAAGCTTTTTTGATCGGATAATGTGATAGATACTAGTAAAGCAGTCGATAATGAGCTTTATGAAAACCGCATGGAATCACAGGAGCACAGTAGAAGGAGTAGTAGTCTGGGCGATTGCTTGTTATTTGTCGGGAGTTACAGGTCCATCAGTATCCAGATCATTCTCATCGAAAATTGTTTTTGATGAGTTGGCCAAATTGCTTGAGAGTCAGAACAAGAGAAGGGGAATGTGATGCGAAATCAACTCATCAGATGGCAAGAGACAGTCACTTTATCGCATGCATGTAAATGGACCCATTTTCATATGGCCTTAGGGTAACTGACCTTGGGATATTCCCATACACGACACCATACTCTACTATAATCTACATATCCATAACAAGAGATGCCCAAAAACTTGGGACCGGCGATCATCACAGTCTACATCGCCTTTTTTTGAAGCTTTACAAGAGTCCAATCCTAATGCTGCTTTCCCATCTCACCTCCTGTCCCTACTGCTTGCCATTCACAGTCTTTTACAAAGCATAACCATATTCATACCCATCCACCTCCTCAACACCCTCTCATATTCTAAAAGTTTGGTTTTTGGAAAAAAATAAAAATACAGTGTGTGTGTCAAACAGGTTCGTTTTGTCTAGCATTCCGACCATGGAAAAGTTTGTAATCACTTTTGAAAACTATACCGGTTTTTGATATCGGTTGATTTATGAAATTGTACTGTTGGAGTGAGTAGAAACGTGTACTAGTGCAAATGGCAGATACGAAGTAAAGAAGGAATCACACTTTTATTCTGTCGCATTTTGTTTGAATATGGTGAATGGAATGCAAGGCATTGTTTTGAAAAGAGGTAATGATATCCATCTTGTCATTTTGCACATTTGTATCGTCAGACCGGAAAAGGTCGTCCTGGGGAGCTTTCGCTACATAATCCAAATGAAGAAACTTTTCTTCCTACTTTTCTACAAGACGACCTACAAGAAAACAATCCCAATCTCTCCGAAACCATCTCGAGAAAAAAAAAAAATGAGGCCCATTATAATTGGAAAACGTTGAACGAAGAAGGCTATCCCGTTGACGGTTTTTGGCAGGTGTGCGTGGAGGACAATCTGTTTTGACCCTTATGTCTATTCTTGCATAGTAATAGTATGTCATATTGGATCTACATCCTTTTTTTTTTGCTATTACTTGTATCGCTCCACTCAGATGTAAACACTCGCAAAACCTCGTAACTACTCGCCTACCATCCCAGACTCACCTCATCATCATAGCAACATGGGCAAAACCCCCTCATTAGCAACAACCACACCACTGACCATTCACAACAGACTTACCTACCAGCATGTCCTCTCCACCTCATGTACCAACATTTACACTCTCCAATGGTGTCCAACTCCCCTCACTAGGCCGTACGTACACTGACCCACACTCTCACACACTAAAAAACTAACATGCGTGGCGTTAGTGGGAACTTATCGACTCAAGGGAACAGAATGCCGCGAGGTGGTCAAGAATGCACTTAAAGTTGGGTATAGGTTAATCGATACTGCTGCCGTCTACAAGGTAAACCAAAAAACGAAATCCTCTATGTCTATGGAAAAAATGGGCTGACAAAAAGTAAAAAGAATGAAAGTGATGTGGGAGCGGCTGTACAAGAATTGGTAAATACTGGGGAAATTACCCGGGAACAAGTATTCATTACGACCAAGATATGTGAGTTTTTAGAGTTTGTTTGATTATTGAGTTTGAGAGGGGCTAAGATTGCTTTTTGGATTTTAGCGCCCAAGGATCAAGGATTTGATAAAGCGTATGCAGCGGGATTAACATGTCTTTCCAACCTCGGTCTATCTTGTACGTTTTACCTACCTCCCAAAACACCACACTACAACCACATCACTGACATACACAAAACCATTTTCAGACATTGACCTCCTCTTAATCCACTGGCCAGGCACACAAGGCCGCAAACCCACCGACCCCCGCAACACAACCAACCGTCAAGAATCCTGGCGAGCCCTCGAAAAACTCTACAAAGAAGGCCGAGTCCGCGCAATTGGTGTGAGTAATTTCACAGTGGAACATTTAAAAGGATTAATTAAAGTTGCCGAAATCGTACCCCATGTCAACCAAGTAAGTTCGTTCCCCCTCTCTATATCATTCCCACTATTTTTCTCGTATTCCGACATACCCTACAGTTTGAATTCCACCCTTGTCTATACAAAACACAACACCCCCTCGTCACCTACTGCAAATCCACTCAAATCCAACCACAAGCCTACTCTAGTTTCGGTGAAGGCCACCTCCTCCACTCTTGTCTCAATTTAAACACCAAGTGCACACGAGCGCAAATCTTGTTGGTATGGGCGTTACGTCAATCCGTGGGAGTGATTCCTAAAGCTAGTTCTTTGGAACGGTTGATTGAGAATTTGGGTGCTGTTGAATTGGATGAGGATGTGGAGGGCTTAGAGGTTTTGGATGGCGGGGAAAAGAGGTTTTGTTGGGATCCTACAAGTGTTATTTGATTTGTTTTGTTTTATGGGTGTGGTATGGGTCTCTAGATTTCTTGTGTTGAATTTCCTTGATGTTGCTTTGATGGTTTGGATAAATAAGATTAGAACACCGACCGCTTATCGATGTTTGTATATCCCATGTCATTACTTTTCTGCTATTTAACTGTTTGGAACAGAGGGGTTTTCCCAAGGGATGTTTCAAAGATACCGACTATGGTTCCACACCCAAGACTCAACGATACTGAAAGCAGCTATGAATTGTTTTTTGTTACTTATGGGTTACCGCATGTGTTGAGTCTATCATAAGAATCCCTCAAGATCTCTTGTGTTAAATCTCCTTCGAGCGTAATGTCACAAACATGATCACCGTTTAGTAACACCATCCCATTACGTTTTCGTAATTACCGTGTGTTTGTCACAGCGTGTAACAGCCAACGTCTCCCCAATGATGTTTATAGTTCAAAGATACTGAACCATGGTTCCATACCTTGATGAGGCAAGTAAACTGAGGGGGGTATTGAATTGGTTTTTTTTTTTTGTTTTTTTGTCGTTTAGGACATGGTCATTCAGTTACAAAAAAGAGGCTACATCCATCCCGTACACATTTGCATTTGAAAACGTGCTAAAATGTCTGATGCCATGTGCCCCATGAGTCCAATTTACACCTTTGAACTTTTAAAAAAAAAAAGACTACCAGGTTTTTATCTAGCCACCGTATCCTCACCCCAGTACTTTGCTCGATAATCATCACTACACAAACAAGAACAAAAAAAAATCAAAACTAAAGACCAAAAAACCAATGCAAAAGAACCAAAACTTTTTTTACCTGCAACTAACAAATCCATTCTCATTTGGACTCGCCACAATACATCGGATAGGCGCCATATGAGCTACCAGTTAAAATCAAATAAACAAAAACAATGCAACGGTATGCCCACAATCGTAGAAAAAAACGTACCGGGTATTCTTTTAAGCAATGCGCCTAATCAAGGGTTGGAAACATATCCATTTCAGAAACAGCGTTTTATGAAAAAGACTGTACAACTCACCAGTTCTTGAATCCCATATAACAATAGCCCAATCATTCTCATCCGTACCCAACACAAAATCCTCATTATAATTAAACGTATTCGTAGTATAAACGTCCTAACCCGCCATGAACAACGATACTCACATCTCACTCAAATCAGTAAAAACATTACCTTTTGTACAGCCCCCGCAAACTCTTGCACAACATTCCCAGTATGCATATCCCATAACCTTCCAACAGAATCTAATCCACAAGATAAAATGTATCGCCCACTTTTTGAGAATCGGACACTTGTCACTGGTTTGCCGGAATGGGCTGTTGTCATGGTTTTGATGCAGTCTCCGCTGATTGTGTCCCAGATTTTAATGGTACCGTCTTCCCCCGCGGTGGCTACCAAAAAAATGCATCAGAATGTAAAGATATAATAAGAATACATTCTAATGTTCTTACCAAATACTTTGCCAGATGGGGCATATCGCACCTACATTTCACATTGCATTACATTACAGATTCTCAGTACTAGTATTGTGCAATACGTACCTTATTGATGGGCCCACTGTGTTTATCATTTGGATTGGGAGATGTAAAGCACTTTAATGTGTGAACATCAAAAATTCGGACAGCTTCATGGTCGGTTCCTATCACAAAAAACACTCGTTCATAAACACATTATCAGGATTATTATTTCATGGTTCATACCTGCTGCAAGGTAATCTCCAGATGGATGAAAATGAATCGATCGAACAATGCTCGCATCCTATATAGAGCGTCAGACCGCCTTTCATGAAAACGCAAAAAAACCGATAAACGAACCTGCAAATATCGAAAACTCCGCTTAACATTCGGTTTCTGTATATCAAACAATTTGATACTCTGATCATGTGAACAGGAAGCCACCACCGTTCCATTCGGATGAAAATGCACATCATTCACAGGAGCTACGTGGTCATATAGTGTGCGTATGACTGGTTTTTCTGGTGCACCGTCCCGATAGGCTGCTTTGATGCGGCTCACGTCGAGGACTTTTAGTGAGGAATCTTCTGATCCCGTTGCAACGTACTTGCCGTCCGCGCTAAATGCTAGCATGACCAGTGAGTTTGTTCATCATAGTTTGAGTAATTGATATCAGTCGTACCTGCCGCTCGACATGATTCGCGATGTTGGGTACTGAACCAGGGAGTTAGGTTTGGAACGGGTTTAGGAGCTACATGACAAAAAAGTGCACCGTTAGCACAGTAAAAACAAAATGCCTTGACCCGTCCAAATCATACCAAATCGCACCCCGCCATCCAAATCTGCAAGTGGTTCCTCATCTTCCTCGTCTTCAGATATATCCTCGGTAATATCTGCCGGTATAATATCCTCGCTATCATCTATTCAAAATCCGTTCTAGGTCAGACTCCGATTGCAATGTTACAACAAAAAGTGATCTACAGATCCACAACCATTTTCACGAGCTATTCGACCGTGATAACAAAGTTCTGCGAGTCGGGGGGATGGGTCAAAGGATAAAGGCGTTTCGCTGGCTTCAGCGACAACTTGTGCAATGGAATTCAAGCCATAATGTTGGAGCTGGCTGGAAAAGTAAAAAGAACGGAATGGATATGCGGCACTTTGAAATGAGATGTGCACATTACAAATTTGGCATACCTTATAATTAGAGGTAACACTTCCTCTCTTGGCATTTGATTGTCGAGGTCATCACCCGTATTTGAGTTGGTGTCCTCCATGGTCATGTTTTGAAAATCCCAACCCAATCCTTGCATTTCACTCCGTCCACAATTCCTATCCAACTTCTAAATATGACTCACGTGATCCAAGCCTCGATCGCGTCGCGTCTTGGCCAGCGTCTTGGAGCATTTATTTCATTCCTTGACCAACCAGCATGCCTTTCCCATCTCTACGCCATACCACAAAGGCAGCATCCAATAACATCTCTCTTTTGCGACGGTACATCTCAACTCACGAGCTCAGTCATAACTGGTACAAGCCAAAAACACAAACACATGTTGCCCCGATAGTCATTTTACATGGCTTGTTTGGGTCTAAGCAAAACTGGAGATCACTCTCAAAGTCCCTGTCAAATCGACTCGGAACGGATGTCATACCTGTTGACTTGCGGAATCATGGCGAGTCGTTTCATCATCCTGTCCATGATTATCCGGCCATGGCTGCGGATTTGAACGAGTTTCTTCGATCCCACCAACTGGATAACGTGAACTTGATTGGTCATTCCATGTGAGTGTTCAAACTGGTTTTCATATGAGCCTTGTGCTTTGACTGATGTGAATTCTATTTTTAGGGGGGGAAAAGGTTAGTCTATCCCCATATATAGCATAACATTCCTTAACTAATCGGTTGATCAAAAACCAGTTGCGATGCATTACGCACTATCTCATCCCGAACGTCTGGACCACCTCATCGTGGTGGACATGTCCCCAACAAATAGAAACTTGACTAGCGAGTTTGGATCTTACATTAAGGCAATGCATCAAGTTGAGAAAGCTAATGTGAAGAATCAGTCGGAGGCGGATAAGATCCTTGCTGAATCGATCAATGTGAGTCTATTTAAACTACTTTTGGGTATTCTGCGTCATGTTAACCTGCCAACAACTAGTCTTTACCAATCCGCCAGTTCATTCTTACAAATCTTAAAAAAGCGCCGGGCGAAAGTATCATGAAGTTCCGTATCAACCTCCAGGCCCTTGAACAGTCTTTGGAAAAGTTGTGGGAGTTCCCTTATGAAGGCACCGGCAAAACCTACGATGGTCCGGCGCTTTTTATTGCTGGAGCTAGAGCGGGTTATATAACGCAGTCAACACACCCTGTCATTAAAACTTACTTTCCTAATGCGGAAATAACGTCGTTAGATACTGGTCATTGGTAATTGCGTTGTTTGTTTGAGATTGATATCGAGGTGCTTATGAAATCTTTCATTACCATTAGGGTACATTCGGAAAAGCCGGATGACTTTGTTTCTCTAGTAACTTCATTTTTAACCACTGGGCAACATTGATTTATAGACTTTGATTGGCATTTTTTTGACAAGGATTTTTGCATGTAGCTTGCTTGTCTTGCATTGGTTAGGACATTTATTTTTATTATATTGCGGTAGTTTTTTGGTGTCAGCAATACTAGTGCTGAACACCAAGATGGGGAGACTCAGTGTCTGTGATTTCAATACGACCAGATTAGCTGGGAGTATCCAGAAATTTGATCTCATGTGTATCTTCGATGGGCAATTCCGATCAACGTTTTGTATCAACCACATATTTACTGGAAATAAAAGTATGTACAGGTGAAAGGGCCTTGCGACTCCAAAAGTTTTCCGCCATCTTATAGAAAAACACCTGTGTTATCCTCGACTATCCCTCCTTGACCACCTCCTGATTCCCGAGTACTTTCAGCATGATTCGAACCCACTGTTTCCCTAACTGCATTTCCAACCACTTCGTCTTGCGATGGACTCTCTACTTCATTCGAAACTTGCACCCAGGTCCCATCCACGAGTTCTCTGTCGCACCCTCTTCCACCTGCTGACCCATTCGGCGGCGCTGCATCGCCGAGTAACTGTTTTATACGCTCTTCATATTTTCTGATAACTTGTATTTGTCGTTCAATCACTGCAACGTTCTCGTCGATTGCCTATATTTCAGAATTTCAATACACGCAAAACATGTAACGAGAAATGCACGGGAATGACGGCACCTGGACAAAATCTGGGTCCCCCGGGTCAGAATCTCGCATTTCTTGATTTGAACGTAGTAATAGTTCGACAGAACGTCGTAGGCGGGCTGTTTCTTGTTGGAGCCACTCGGCATTGTCTTGGATTGTTCCACCCGCATCTTGTTGTGCACCTGCTGGGTTTGGTGGCTTTGGGTGCGAACCCCTTTGGGTTAGGTATATCCCTGGAGCTATTTCTACTTCTTCTGGGTATGCTCCGCGGTCACCATTCATTGCGTATCTTTGGGGCCGTGAACGTTACGATAAATAATGTGGAATGATCTCACCAGACTTGGACTCTCACAGACTCGTCTTGTCATCGCATTGTCAGGTGATCATGCTTGGGAACAGAATCAAGCGTTGTGCGCAGTAACCTATTCCCAAAAAGCAAATCTACCGCATAATGACCCCTCCTCCACCTGCTCCTGCTGCTAAACACGGAAGAGCACCCTCACATACAGTTCAACAACAACAACAACAACAACAAGGTCACTCACAACATCAGCAAATGCAACAACAAGGACAACAACAGCAATCGCCACCGAATGTTACTGAAGTGGTCTTGGCGACGGCTGGGTATGACCATACCATACGGTTTTGGGAGGCTTTAAGCGGGATTTGTTTGAGGACTATACAGCATCCTGACTCGGTAGGTACGGGATTTGACGCGTTGATGATGGGTTTGGTGGGTTTGTCTTTTGGGATGGTGTCAGGAGGTAAATACGGTACATGGTCTCACCGGGCGATATGGACGAATTTAATCTGACGATGATGCATGATGACGATATCCTGCATACATGATGCTAAATCATCGTCATTCCCCTGTAGCAAGTGAACCGATTGGCAATATCTCCCGACAAGCGATATCTTGCGGCCGCAGGTAACGTACTTCAGTGCAGCGGATATCAGATGCGCATGGTAATAAGATTCTTTATGAAACGCATTAGGAAATCCACATGTGCGAATGTATGAAGTACAAACCAGCAACCCCAATCCCGTACGTTTTGCGGCCCACATCATTATACAACGTTTGATGCGGATCTGATATCCAGCGATGATTACTTTTTTAAGATTACATCATTCGACGGACATACAGGCAATGTCACTTCTATAGGCTTTCAATCCGCAGGGCGCTGGATCGTAACCGGGAGTGAGGATGGAACTATAAAGATTTGGGATGTTAGGTTGGTACCCACAAACAAATCGTGGGATACGGTAAAAAAGGTTTTGATCAAACATATTCATAGAGCTCCCGGTATACAACGAGATTATGAGCTCAAATCCCCAGTAAACGATGTGATCATTCATCCCAACCAAGGAGAACTGATTTCCTGTGACCAAAATGGATCAGTGAAAGTATGGGATCTTGGCGAGAACGCTTGCACTCACGAGTTGGTAAGTAAAAATGTAGGGGATTGGGGGGGGGGGGTGCGAACTTTGTGTACCCGTAGCATGATAGGACGTCACCTGTGTTACGCCCTAAATTCTTATAATTAGTTTCCTGCATCATAATAGCTACCAGAGGAAGATACGCCGGCTCGATCGGTAACAATGGCTGCGGATGGTTCCATTCTTGTAGCGGCTAATAATAAGGTAGAGAACTACCTTGTCTCGTCCGCTTCCATGTTTTTCGAATTTTGAAGTCTGACCCGACGTTAGGGCAACTACTACGTATGGAAAACCAAAACAACGGGTGACTTGACGCAACTGGAAGCATTGACAAAGGTTGCGGCTCATAGCAAGTATATTTCAAAATGCATGCTAAGTCCAGATACAAAGTAATCCCATGGCGTTTGTGAAAGTTTAGCGTAACGTAATTAACGCGTTCATTTGTAGGCTTCTCGCCACCTGCTCTGCGGATCACACTGTAAAGATTTGGAATACCGTAGATCACAAATTTGGATTAGAAAAAACATTGGCGGGTCATCAACGATGGGTGTGGGACTGTGCCTTTTCAGCCGATTCCGCATATCTTGTGACGGGTAAATACGACTCTGATGGGAAGCATTCCTTCACGCAAGACACTAAACCTTGTATCCTGCATTGTAGGATCCTCTGACCACTCTGCGCGATTATGGGATTTGGCGACTGGGGAGACTATCCGACATTATAATGGACACCAGAAAGCAGTAGTTTGCGTGGCGCTGCATGATGTCAGCATGTAAATATTAAAGTCAAGACAATTGGATATGTCCACTCGAGCGCTATATACCATCTTTTTTTCAATTTGATGCTACCTTATGTCCCCCCAAATACCCCCTCCCTCTCATCCAAACCCCCCAAAGTCTCCACAATCCTCATTTGCCAAAGATCATTGCTACTGGCCAATTGCGTACTTAATCGCCATATTCTAACCTCACCAGATCCATCCCCCGTCGCAAGATACTCTGGTCTTTTGGCATTGAAAGCCAGGCTGGTGCAAGATACCGATGCCTTTCCGGATCCTTCGAGTGTCGTGTGGGGAAGCGTCGGATTATGCTATTGTCAGGTGGTGGGATTAGTGAGACATTTTTTATTCGAGAGTACTTTGCTTTAAACTTACGGCTAGATCATAAATGTAGACAAGTCCATCTGAAGACGTGCATGCAAAGACAGTAGCCCGCACAGGTGACCAATCGGCGCAGTATATGGAACTTTGTGATGGTTCCAACGTACAAAGTTGTTTTGTCTGCAATGGATAAATAAGCTCCTTTGGATCCAACACGACAAATAATCCACAAAGGGCACCGCATACCTCCAATACATTATATATTCTAACCAACCCATCACTCCCACAACTCAAAAACAAATTCCGGTGAAACGGCGAGCAAGCCATTGCTGTTACGGGACCGGTATGTGGTGTATAAGCAAACTGTATCGGGTTCGCCAAACGCGGGAGGGACACGGCGTTTGGCGGGATGGTCGTACTGACTGAGCGACTGCATTTGGCAATGTATCCAGCTTCTGTTCCGGTTAGGTAGATGGTAGGGTTTTCCGGTGGAAAGGAAATGGTTGTGCCTGACAGATATATTGAACGATTTTAGTGATGATTTAGAGTGCTTATTGGTCGTTGAGTGACGTACCGCCAAGGATTGCGTCGGGTTTTGTGGGCCCGCCGGTGCGAAGGTGTCGGGGTATACTTCCAATTTGCAATTGTGATCTATGGAAATGAGGTATTTACAAGACGCAAATGTAGATCTTCACAGTTTTGAAATAGGACGACATACCCGGATATCGGTGCTGCCAGCTTGTTTGCAAGGTCCCAGATTAGGACTTTACCATCGTTTCCTATGCTGACAATCTCCAAGGAGCAGGTGTCAGTTTAGCGGTCACATTGAGATGACGAACGTTGGGTGAGTATCTTCCATGTCCTACCTGATACTGATCTACTTTTGGTCCCGGTATCCAAGCAATCTACAATGTTTTTCTAGATCTGTACACTTTGAGAATTATGAACAGGATTTCCTTACCTTTGCAACGGGTTCCTGATGTGTTAGATCGCTCATCTTGGACGCCGCTATGATCGGGTCATCTTCTGTATCGTTGGTTCGACAGACAAACACTTGACCTTGAGAAAGGCGATGATGATGTCAATCCAACTATGAGGCGAGTTCAAAGTAGCAGATAGGTACCATTGAATGTACCACCAACAATGAGTGATGGATCCATTGGATGGAAAGATATGCACATCAAGCAGCTCTGTCCAATTTGAGATAAAAGTTAGACGCATCATGTACCTCCTTGCACGCATCACATACCACCCCTACCAACCTCAACCTCCAATTCGAAAGCCGGCTCATCCGCCCCACTCTTGGTCGCCAAACTCCAGGTACATAACATCCCTTTATGACTGCACCAGCTCTCATGGCCCCATTTTCCAAATGCAACTGCAATGGTAATCCCGTTCTTATTCCAAGAGAGATCACTGCAGAGCATGGATGGGTCGCGACGAGAATGTGAAAGGGTATGTTGGAGAGTTGTTGTGTTGATAGAGTCTTCCCAGTGGGCTGACCATCCTACAGTGCATACGACATGCAAGGTCAGCGAGGAAATGGAGAATACTTGCTTTACAGAACAATACCATCAAATGCGGTACTCTTGATGTTTTGGAGCAGTTGGGCCGAAACTGTTGATTCAACCTTTGCTAGAAAATCTACCATGGACCCACGATCGTAGTTGGTCAGCAGCTTAAACGATCTGTGGGGTTCAGGATCCGTTTGGACCTATTGCCAATCAATGTCAATTCACAGAACAAGAAATAACGCAGTTTGCTAATGAACTGAATCTACGATAATGGTGATCCCCTGGTACTCTCACATACATCAACATCCAACTTTCGTAGCACCTGACAGGCAGCTTCTGCTGTCGTAACGGGTTCCGTTTGGGACGTTCCCTCCGTCATATGTTTCACTTTTTGCCATGTAGATGGAAGGTCGATGCATGTGCTTGGTATGGCTGGATGATCGGTAAATAGAGGTGAGGGTCCCATCTGGTTTTGGGTCGCTGGCAATGGTGCGCAGCGACGATCGGACAACGCGCTAGGCTTATTACGTGAGGTATCACGTGATTGCGCTGATTGCGTTCCTCCATGTCCTTTACTGTCTCTGCCTTTACCTCTTCGAGCTCGCCTCCTAGAGATTGCATAGATAAAAGATCAAATTGATTTTCTCTAGAAGATGAGGGGCTCAACATGTACCAGACAGCTGCTGTTTGTATCCTGTATGAATTTGAGAATCCAAACACCGAGCATAGATGAACTGCTTGTTATTGATAGTTACCGTTAGTGCCATTTCCTCGTACAGGTGCATATTATGCTCTCTCACACTCCCTATCTCGAATAGAAGGTGTAAGGACCAGTGAGGAAGACATAAGAGAACAGGATTTTTAAATATGGATCTTCATGAAGCAAATGTACACATCGTGCAGAGTGTCATAGGCAAATCTCGACATTTTTGCATAGCAGTCCTGTCATCGTGGTCCACCAATCCATATTCCTTTGGTCACTCTCAATGATTATTATCAGGATACCTCGGGAGTTTGCAACAAACTGGAAACTGGTTTTTGCGATAAAGTATTAACACTGGGTTGAGAACTAAAGATTTGACCAACCAACGATAGCTTGGGGGCGACGTTTATTGCAGAACAAGCTTGTCGCTCCGATACATTAATGTCGAGATTCATAATACCCATTTCCAGCCTGAATAAAGTTTAAGGAAAGGTCGAGGGATGAATGCAAGAACGTGAGTCCTGGTCAACGTGACACTCTGTGCGCTGACGTTTAACGCGCGTCGGTTACGATATCCAGATCCTAAAAAACCATTCACCATCTGTTGCACCCGATTCAAACTGTCCTCTGGCGGGTCTTTAAGAGCAAGACACCAATGTGGACAGGAGAATGATCTCATTATGGGGGGTTGATGACGTTTTTCAACCCCGCTAATGCTCCATGCTAAAGTTTCCAGGTGCTATAAAAAGGTGTGAAAGGCAAATATTTTGCCTTCGATAAATTACTGAGAAAAGATCCATCGTAAAATCACTACTGCGAGCAAATATCAATCCAACGTAAATCCCATACATTATGAGCTCCAACACGGAATACCTTGACACCAGCCGCGCCGACGTACCCATTACGACCGCGGTAAGTGCAGTCTTAACATTTTAGCTCAAAGGTAACCTTGCATGATTTCTAACTTTCAAATATGTCCAATAGACGGGCGACCGCGTTTCGACGTTTGGCTCTGGATTACAGCCCACTGCCGGTACGCAGTCTTCTGCCGAATTACAAGACTCGACAGCAACTGCCGCCGCTCTTGCTTCTGCGGGGGCTCACACAACGCACATTGACCACGATGCCCCTCACACGGCGCAGGAGAAGCCTACTTTACCCAGGCATGGAGGATACTGAGGGATCAGAATCTTGTATAAGCTCCCAATCTCATGTATAATGACTTTGAACATAAAATGAATTATTAGGTAAAAAGTAAGGCAAATACACTGAAAATTCCCCCCAGAAAGCTTAGCGTTGTATCTACATTTATATTACTACCTGTTGCACGAGCCGAATTCCTCGTGCATGAAGCCAGACCTATAGACCCTGTTCTCTCCGTATCATCTATACAGGTAGGATTGAACAGACTTTGTCCAGAATAAAATCCACAATTGTTGTCAATGAGGGTCGTATTTGATGATTGCATCTCGGCAAACGTTTGCCGTGCGGTTTTGCCTCCAACAAGCACCTTATACCACGGCACTGGGTGGGAAGTACAGGCAGGGAAAAACAGCGAATGGCTTGAACGGAACTGGGTAGTTGCGGCTTCATTGCACATTGTACGCGCAAAACTCGATACATAGTTTTTCATGTTTGGTCTTGTTGACATCTGTGACAAGTCCACATTGTTGTCGCTGAGTTGAAAGTTGTCAAATAGATCCTGCATGATGAACAGAGGCGTTGATATATGCGGAATCAGAGCAGACGCATGGACGCAATTGAAAATAGATCCATTGACGCTGACGGCGCATTCTTGATCCACAAACATATTCCACAGCGATACGGCATCTGCCTCCGACTCTGGCCTGGAAGCAAGCAGCCCGTTAGGATCGTACCGACCGAGCACAGCAAAATGTTCGACCCGCATAAACCAGCCCGCATTTACTATAGCTCGGAACTTTGCGTTGGGAAACTTGGCAGCAAAGAAGTCGACATTTAACATCGTCCCGACAGCCCCAGCGCTGATGCCTGCCATAACGACCTCGGCCGCATTACCGAATCCATGCTTGTCCACCAAGTCCTCAAAGATTGCATTCAAGATATTGTGCCCGGCCGCATAGTAACCAAGCTTGTTGCGCCCTTGCATCGTTCCTGACCAGAGATCTTGACTGCAGTACGGGATGGCAACGCGGTTCCAGTCCGCAAGATCGTTATTGGCAGGATCAGAGGACAACATCCCCAGGACCACTTCATCATTGAAGGCGGTGGTATCCGAGTAAGTTGCAGAAGACCCAAGAGGGGTACGGGATCGAACGTCGCATTGCACTTGAGTGAAGCAAAAAGAGCCGCCTTGCAGAAATATCACCCATTTATTTCGAGATTGGTCTGATGTAGCGCCGTCTACATAGTAAGCTGGCACGGTACCGTCCATACACAACGCTGATCTAGACGTTGCTATAGACGCAGGCAGAGAGTTCTTGTTGGCGCACCCACTCTGAGCATAGGCGCCGCTTTGCAGAATAAGCCAACTCGCTACATAGACTAGTAAGTAGCGCATTGTGTCCGTTTCGTTCGGAAGGATAGTTTGGTGTTCATGGAGTCGGGGAAGGGCAAGTAGTAGGTAAATAGGTAGCTCCGCTATACAACTTACGGTCTATATTCCTGCAACGTTGTTACAGATTTCGGACTTTCAATTTCACACCTGATAGCCATCATGTGACCATGACTAAGTGTGACTGTGGCGGTGGCCGTGGCTCCGGAGAAGCTCCGATCGACATCTATTCATTTTAAACCACTTAATTATCATACCTACTTTTGAAACTTACTATTCTAATGAAATATCTACATGACTCAAAATTATGAATCCAAATACGAGAACTATGCTACTATCGCCCCCGAATTGTTATTTGCGACTGAAAACTGGTATACGACACACAGCCAAACGAGCAGAATGCCTGCTGGGACAGTGAACACATAGTGCCCGATCAAGTTCCACATCGGCGTTGGACGATGACCAGTGAGCTCCAAGCTTCTGTTGCAATTATAAGAAGAATCATGGTGATTAGTCGGAGCTGGACAGAATTGATTTCAGAAGCCATTGCGACTGTACCCATAGATCATAAAAGACACGAACGCGGCAGAGAAACACAGCTTATCAAAAATGATCAAGCGACCAAGAAATCGTATCTTCCTGGGGTATGTTTTCAGCAGCGTAAGTCTATCTCCATTGAGCGCCCTAAATGAATGCTGGGTGCCTGCAGTCGTCGGGGAAATAGAGTCGGAAGAAAATGCAGATTTGGGAGGTTCGCTCGGGCGCCGTGGACTCCCAATCGATGTTGTAAGAGTGCTTCGTAAATATCTTTTACTTATTCTCTCTGCATTTCCAATATCGCTGACTGTTTGCTCAACCTTATAAAGATACATTGAGTGGATTGTTGCAAAGAGCGTGGTATTCGCAAAGATCAGTAGATACTCACCGTAGTGGCAAGGTTTTCGGCAAATTTCCGAACGATGACTGCAAATGATAGAAACCAGGGTATCAAGAAACAAATATGCACAAGTGTCACGATGTTGTAGGGTCTTTGGTTCTGATTGTCATGTAGAACGATTCTAACGATGAAGATTGGAATCAAAATGATGTGCTATGCAATGCAAGGAGTTAACCATCATGCAGGAGTTACTCTGTAACCGACAAAACGTACCAGTGCAACCCTGCTTTTATATATTCCGTCTTTTAAATTCTGGAGGAATCTGTTGAGGATTTGCTGCTCTTCGGTGCCTTCGAATAGCATGCGAACTTCCATCAGATTCAGTGATATTCTTGCCCAAAGCATGATCACGAAGCTTTCCAGCGTAACTCCGAATATATCTGTATAAGACTGAAATGAGTATCTGAGTGCAACAACGGTGGTGGCTTCGTAAAGAGGAGCTTACATGCGCTATACCACCCAATGCTATTTAGCCATGCAATCCCAGCAATATCAGAGACACTGAGAATGAAGCTGGCTCCTGCTGTCAAAATTCCTACTGTTGGATAGTGCAAGATCGATCAGCACCTAAACTCTCCGTATATGCGAATACAATAACTTACATGAATATACTTGAACAGCATTGGACCACCCAATTCCATTTCGATAGAATTCATGGACAATAATGCCAGCAACCGTTACTATGGTGAGACTGCATAATATGCTGTTGGCGAGTGCGAGACCGAACAGAAATTTGCTCTTGACGCAAGTACTGGATTGCATAAACTGCACCAAAAGAATCATGTTAGGTTTAACACTATTCTTCACGACAAAACCTGACCTACCGAAAATATGAGCGAGTAGCCATTGAGGTCGCCGTCAAAGACACCGCAAGCTACGTCTGTGCTCATCGCATTTGTGGTTTTTTTTTGGTGTTCTCTAGTTTAGCTGGCGATTCATATAATGTTCCCTGGTGGCCAAAAGAGAATGCCACTGGTATTTGGGGTATGACCCTGGACAATCACAGGGAGATATTTTTGGCACTGGACCGGGAATGCTCCGATATCCCTGAAGATTCATACCTAGCTGTGTTTTTGTTTACGGATCAGCCGGCGCCCTCCGTTCCTCAACAATACGAATGATATGATTTATATTTCTTACCACACAACAAAGCAAAAAGAATATTGTCAGCGAACTTCAACTCCCAATGCATTGAGCTTGCGAGTTATATGCCTGAGATATGGTTCATCGTTCGGATAGTCAGTTAGATATTTTGGATCTCTGGACAGTTTTGATCTCGAGCGTTTTCATAATTGTAGGTCATAGAAGAGTTACCGAGATCATGATGTGCTCATGGAACTGAGATAGTCGAAGACTGTGCGCTGATTCATATTTACAAAAAATACACTTGCAACAAAGATACATTTTCCTGGCCCCTCACACCTGTCCGCGCTATACTGGAGGGCTAACTATCATCTCACCAGAGATTTTCGAGGTGAGTACGAACCCAAAGTGCTTTTCCAAGTTCAAAATCATTCCTTCCTCTTGGACCCCTCTGTAGAGCCGGCCGCGCGTTTCAACTGTTCCCAGTATTCATACTGTGTCTTCGTCAATTCTTAATAGCCAAAAACTTCTTTGATACGACGAGCCATATCTTCTCCGAAATATTCGCGGAAGGTGATTTCTGACAAGCGTTCATCGTTCTCGGGTAGCGGTTTTAAAGGGCTTTCCATTGGTTTCTGAGAAGAGATAGCAGAGTTTTAGCAATTCCGAGAGTTGTTCATTTTTTAGCACATAACACTTACTGCGGTGGGGTTGAACGTCTCACCATCATCATAGTTTTGTTTTTGAAGTTCTAATAGTAATGGATTATGAGAATAATAATGACGACTGCTAAGCATCAGCTTTACCTCCACGTTCGTTCTGTTCTGCCGGCATGTTTTCTTGTCTTCAACAGCGTATGCAAAATGTGATGGCAACGATGAGATTTCAGATTTTTGTGGTTGATCAAAGTGTAAGAAGAGGAGAAAGCTTACGGAGATATATAGGACACCGGAATGAGGCATGTTAAGTTAAGAACCCGTAAAAAGCTTGATGTTTGTCTGGTGACGACTTATGTTAAAAAGCCCGGTAAGCCCCGCGCCCTCTGAATCCTGTGTAGTAGCTTCCACGCTGCACCAGAAGTGTCGGCCTCCATGTAGACTTATTTTCTTTAGTGCAGTAGTTTTTCAAAAACGCTGTTGATTGCATCGTATGTATTGATATTTACAACATAAATTGTTATGAAACAGAAAATTTCCAGTTACTCAGGTTATTGAATTACTGAACGTCGAAATGGACATGCAGAAATTAACCACTGCCATATGCCGTAGAGCTTCCATGCCGCAAGCCTTTCAGCAGCGAGTGCATGGGATCTTGCATGGAAGCTCGTAAGCCCCATGACGTGTGTGATAACGCTGATTGCAGCGGGTTACCGATAGTAGCAAGCATGTAGAAAGTGCCAAGCAATTCCTGGAGCTGTTTATTTGTTGCACAAGGCCAACTCATTAGCATCTGATCTTCAAGAAGTATTCATAATAGCTGGGATAGTCGAAGACATATACATGTAATACTGACTTCCTTGAAAGAAAGGAACCATCTCCCTGCAGATGCAAGGGGATTCGTAAGTCCTATTTCCGATGTACCAGTAAATGTGTCGATACGAGTGCTGTTTAAAACTATTTACCGGCTAGCATGGAAATGCAGACGATATTCATTGATGGCCAGTTTTCAGAGCACCTGAGGGTGAGTGGTGACCTGGAAATGTGCACCTGGTGCTGGTTTCAAAAACCCAATGGGGATATATACAGTATTGAATGTGCCGCACTCAGCTATAGAGTTGCATTAAGGAAAACGTACAAACAAGGTGACTAGACGTCGCTGATAGTGCGAGCTCATGAAAGGACACGCATGTCGAATGAAAGAAACAGCCTCGTGTTGCGGACAGCGCACGTTTTCCAACATTATTTGCAATTACACAGGAGTGTTGATATAATATACACTTTCAATTCTATGCTACCTACGAATATTGCAAACAATTGTGTTGACGCAATGTGATTCTGCCCAGTGCTCCGAATTTGAAAGTGAAGAAATTCCACCAACCGCGAGTAAACAGCGGGAATCAGTTCCAATTGTCGTTCTTTCGCCTTCTGCGAAAGCTATCACCTTCCCCTCTTCCTCAACGTTCTTGTACATGATCACAGTTAATCCCGCACGACCTGCTCGGCCCACCCGGCCCACCTTATGTGCCTAATTCCTACTAAAGCAAGAGCCACTGAAAGCGATCACCTCAACCGTCCACATCAAGAAGAAGCGGTATACACGCGGAAGACATCAAGCGTTATGGGTTAGGAAAGTTCCGCGAAGGCGTGAAGTCTCCCCTCATAGTCACGGATGCTTACACCGATGGGGTCGACATACCAGACAGGTACGGTCATTCTGTGCAAGATGCCCACTAAAGAAAGAGTGCGAACGCTATCAACCCCAATGGTTGATCCGTATTCGTTTGCTTACAAGGTCCCACAGGTGCAAGTTTTGAATATCTGAAAGGCAGTAACGTTACAATGAAGTCCTGGACACATAACGACGAATAGTACCTACATTTCTCCGGAGGTTGGAAGGCGGCTGCTTCCCATTGCTCGCCGGCACGTTGCAATGTCATATTTAGATATGTCCAACTTCACATTTTGTTGCAGCTGAAATCACTCGATAGTGGATGGGGACAAGGAGAGAAAGTGTCCTTTAAATAAACACTGTGGTGAATAACCGCGTCATTGCAGTTACGATCCTCCATCCAAGACCTCTGATGCATGTGAAAGGCACGAAAGGCTTGGCACCATGGAAGCCCAGCCCTGCAGTGTGGAGGTCACTCCATGCGGTAACTCTGCAAGCAGCGTACCAACACAACGTCATGGGGCTTAGAGCTCCCATGCAAGACCTCTGTGCACTGACGGCTGGAAAGGCTTAGCAGCACTGCACTGCAAAATGGATCTCACTTCTGCATATCCATTTAATTAACCTACTGTCAATCAGCGTACCGACACACGGCGTAGGGCTTAGCGCTCCCATGCAGGACCTCAGATGCATGTGAAAGGCTTGCAGCATGGAAGCCCAGCAGTGTGGAGGTCCCCATCTGCCCAGCACACGTCACAGTACTTTGACTGATTAAGTTAAGACATAAAGGTCATTTGGGCGAGATGTGACTACAGTCAAAATCAGAGCAATGTGGGGAAATGCCACGATGGCATGATGTCCCATATGGCTGACGACAACCGAGCATGGCTGGCTTGACGTGGGTACCTGCGTGTACTTGTACAATAATGACATGGGCGATGTGGCAGACAATGAGCGAAGTCGAGCAAAAACATCAACAAGAGAACGTCATTTGGTCCACTGTGCTCGTTGAATTTTGATAATCCTCCCATTATATAATTGTCATATTACAGAGCAGTTGTTATTCCCTTCTGAGCCTCTTTGATGGCAAAAGTCAAACAAACCACCGTGCTCAAAGGCTTATTGGCAGTCGACTATTTGTATCGGTCTACTCGCAAGCGAACGCTTATCTAATCATTCAAACCAGTCACTGGAATATGAGAATAAGGTTCAAATGCATTACCCTAAATCAATGAAGCCATATGCGGAATAATTGGCTTGATGTGTAAGCTCAGTGGCACAGTATAAAAGGTGTCTCCCTCTCGCCCTCTCCACACACTTCGAACAATCTAAAACCATTTCAAATTTCAAATCTTCTCTGTTCACAACACCTATTTTTGAGATAGGTCACCCCGGCTGCATGTAGCATGACTCTGGATGAGAGCACCGCGTCGTCATCTACATCAATTCCTGTACCAAGCGGCTCTCTGAAAAGGAAAACACAGCTAGAAGAGCCAGTTAGTCCTAATGCGCAAAGGAAGCGCCTCCGTTACGATACCCAAACTCCTCAAGAGACCGAGCTAGAGGATGTTGATTGCCATCGCCACGCTGTGCAGGATATTGATCCGAACGCTGTACTTCTCGACGGCTTTGGAAATGTCATCATGAAAATAGAGGAAATATGACAACATCAGTAAGTGCAGGTTGGGGTTAGGTATTCCGCTAACAACACTCATAACGATTAATCTTTTAGATCTTTGTACTGGGGGGTTGTAGATATGAGGCCTTTAGACCCGGATGGACCGTTACGTGATAATCCGAGAGCTGATCTCTTATTGTCTTCTGAGACGCGGACAAGCCTAGAGGATCACGCCATGCAAATCTTAACAGAGGCTACGCAGCGAATGTCTTCATCAACAGCAGCACTATTTAGCGTCCTAAGGAGCGTGAATAGGAGTTGCGATCCAGCCAGTGGTATCTATCCCATAGAAATTAAAGATATTTGCAATTCACTGCGTAAGGGAGGTATACCTAATCTCATCGGGACTATCATGGAACGATTGCAAGTATTCGAAGACAATGCCGTAGATGACTGTGATGAATTGCTGGAGCAAGTGGCAACTCTACGCAAATACCTTGAGCATGTCGACCCCGATGATGATGAGACCAGTTGGGCACTTGACAACTTAAAAACAATGGGGCGAGTCAACGAAGGAGCAACCGAGCCATACCATATGCTCCCCTTTGCGATGATGGATGACGTTTCCCTTATCTGTGGAGATGAGGAGTCCAAAGCCGATAGCGATGACAAAACACGAAAGGCTTCCACGTCAACTGGAAAGCCTGTTGATTTCCTGCACATTGTATGTTCTGTGCGCAATGATGCAATGATGTATTCCATATTGATAAGAACCTCTGATCTAGATTAATGGAAAAGAATACGGTCAAGGGATGAGTACGCGCCGTGGGTTCTTGGATCGCGATTTCTTAGCTAGCATAAAGGTATGGATATGCACCCCCATTCATTCCTGCTTGGCTGACAAGTGATTCTGAACAGGTTTCGACAGCCCAAATCAAAGCTCACAAGGATTACCTTTCAAACATCTTCCCTCCTGCTATGAGTTCAGTCCTAAACGAATTGTTGATGGACGTTGCGGTACCTTTTTATCAAGTGTATCTGGGAACCATACGATTTTACCTTGTATTCAATGTGGGATCTGAACTGTATATTCTGCACGAGTGGGGACGCGTTTCCCTCCCCAACGGTAACGTCTCTACCTGCTTAAACATGGCAGAAATATTTCTGATTTCAAGGGTATGCATGCGTGATACACAGTTACCGTTTTAGCATGTCTTTTGATTTTGTTATTCCCAATCTCAGCACATCATGCTCCGGTCAGCGGACGCAGTTAACAAGGCTGAAGAAAGATTGCGAAACGAACGAAACAATGTGTCCGGTCTTGAGGGGATTGAATTTTCGTTAAGAAAATATGTTTCATGGACCACGCCCACAGAAGTCGGTAGAAGCCCAATACCTCTTGAGGGGATACAGCTGACTTTAAAAGAACGTAGCTCAGCGACGAAGCCCGCAAAGACGGTACAAGCTCAATACCTCATGTGGGGATACGGTTCTCTTTAAAAAGGCGTCTTTCATGGCCCAACGGATTTGCGGGATGAAGCCGCGTTAAATGGGGTGTGGGTTTTATGAATTTGTTGCTTGATAGCGAAAAGAGGATGCTTGTATATTGTGGTCATTTTGTATATTGTGGTTAGTACAAACAGAACGTTTCGGTGCAGTTTATATTCTGAGATGCCTTATCACCCTGGTTACCTATTCTGCAAGTACAAGTGGCTGGGATGAGCTAAACAGCCTACCAGCACTGTAGAGTACAAGTAGTAGGTATGGTAGTGCATAGGTAGACATCGCAAGGGGAAGCAATAAAGTCATATGCGGATCATTAGCCCATTGCTTACTTAAGACTGCACAAAGTGGCACAGTTGTGTAATAGCGCGGATATAAAGGCCCTTCCATTTTCCCACACACTTTGAACAATCAAAATCATCAATCTTCTCTGTTCGCGACATCTACCTCCATACGTGTGACGCTCGTACCTAGATGTCAAGCCCGATGCTGCATCTGTACCTCGCGAAAAGGATTCGCGCCAGTGGTCTGCAGATGACTTTTACGCGTTGCATGGGATTAATCTTCCGCATCCCTTGATTGTGTGGACTGCGTCTCTGAGGAAACTGGCTTCCAGGAATTGTCCAGAGGGACTGCGCGCAACAGAACTCAACGACCAATCAAAAGTAAGTCACCGTTGTATTATATTTGTACTGCAACAATGAGCAGTGTGGTAGGGAGCTGGTATTACGTTCCATTCCTTTGTTGAACCATCTGCCCGACCCCTGGGGTTGCAGTTCGTTTACTGGCGTGGAGCACACTGGATTGAAAATAATTCCCATTCAGTTCCTGTCAGTTCGTTCACTGGCTGGAACGCAATGGATGAAAAAGATTGCGACGTCGTTCAGTTCATGTCGCCCTCTCGGGTCATGCTTCTCAACGAACTCGAATTCGTCGCAATCACCAGGCCACCCTCTACCATGATGTGCCCCACTGTCGATGAATGCGCATCGTCTGAGTATTTCCATGCTCACTTTGCATAAGTCTTAAAGTCACGTGTCTGGGGCACGCTCAGAGTTGCAGCAGCGAACGAACCATTCACAGATTAGGACTTTGGTGCGCATCGTAAGAAATACCGCACGCGACGGGAAGCCTACAAGTACAACGATAAGTCTGGATCCAGAAGTTGAGAGTATCGTGGCATCCTTGTATCCCAGGGAATGCTTTTAATTTTCACAGGTAGGTTTGAGGATTGGGAGGGAGCGAGCGATATGCCAAATTTAAGTACCCCGTGAAAGGTGCCAGAGGGATTTACACAGGCTGTGATGGACCTATGAGACTCTCGTGTGAAGAGGTGGGAAGAGGTGAAAAATGGTTACCACCTCTTGACAGCAACGTTGGGCGGTTTGTATTTCTAATGCGAAAGCCTTTGACGAAAGTACTGTAAACAATGTATGATAATAAATTGAAAAATTCCTGCTGTTCATCACTGTTGTGCAGCCCTTTCCACTGTCGCCATTTTGGCATATTTATCAATGCCTCGCTCAATCTTCTTAATGGGACTATTCTACTGCCCATCCTAAATCGTACACATCTTCCATCCATGTGCAAATGTAGAACAACAACCAACCAACTATGGACAATTGAACCGCTCTCAAAGATCTGCGTTCAAGCCTATTACAGTTATGAATAGCCATCTAATGTTGCATACTATGCATTCGTTACATTTCATTTTGAACCGTGTCATGTAGTGCACAAGTACTCAATAACAGTGAATGATTAATTGATAATAGGAGAGGTTTGCAAGTTGGGTTGCATGGACGTCTGGAGCGATCAACGCCACTGATTTGTACCGATCTCCAATCGCTTCCGTACTTTACTTATCTAGCTGAACATATAACCATAATCCCATTCACAGGTGTGCTTCCAAATGAGATGTCCACTGAGATCCTTGAGACATGTAGCTGTATTGATTCTGAACTGGGGCTGATGCATTGTGATGCTCCAGATCTTGAGATATTTACCTGGCACTGGGATCCCACTAGGTTATTGAACTACGCTGTGTGCTCCAACGGTGTTGAGCGACCTATAACCCTCGCGCTGCTAAACAAATGGAATTATCCTACCACTTCCCTGAGTAACTGCTCAAGACAGGGTCGTTAATGTTTTCCTTTGTGTGTTCAGTCTGCGTTCCAGAATCCCTAAAAGAAGCCGACGTCCAAGGGTTGAGGACTGTGGCAAATATCAAAGCCGCATTGGAGACCACAAATGTTTGAACCCAAAACACAGATGTCGAGATTGGAGTGGATGCGTTGTGCATGTGGGAGGTATGCAGGAGGTCCCTCAATGAGGGGGGAACACAGCCGAAAACCTCGAATGGATGGCGGACATAAGGTCAAAGGGACCCTGTGTGCAATTGTAGAGTTAAACGCACCGTGCAACCTGGAAATCCGGTCTCTTCTATTTACCACTGCAAACCCTCAGCCTACCAGCCTGGTTTTAGAATAAAGCTATAATTGGAGACAAGAAGTTTCAACCAAAGGTATGGCAGTAAATCTCTGATATTGTGGCCCTTTGCATACGGACAGGCATCAGTGTACCACATCTTTACAGCAACGCATGAGCAATCGTAAGGAACAGGTTCTTGGTTCCATATCTTGTGTTGTATGAACCAACCTACAACGGGGATTTTGGTCATATACTGGCGGGGGAGCACCAATGAAGTACGTCCTCACATGTTAGGGTTCCTAATCCGCGTAGGTCTTTTGTTCCCCAAACAGATACCGACAGAGCGACTCCCTCTACTGGCATGTGCCCCAACTAGTCAGTCATTCATACCATGGTCCTGATAACAATGATGACGCTCAATGCTGGTGGGCGACTCGGTTCATCTGGTTAGGGTCCTCAAACATATGGCCACCCTGAACCATCTTGATCGATCTACATCCATCTCCTGGTATCCGAGTTCATGTGCGCAAGTAAGAGACAGTATTAGGACCTGAAATGCAAGCGCAGAATGTGTAACTTGGCCTGCACCAGTGGTAAACCTCCAGTCCCAGGCCGACTGTGGGCATACAGTCTCTGTGCAACTTGTATCGAATGCGTAGATACATAGATTACTGGTACACAAGGTCTGGTAAAGGCTCCAAAATGGACCGAAGCTGCTTTAGATCCTTGCATCGCCGCTCTCAACTGCATATCCGAGCATCTCATCGTTCCAACTCGTTTGGAACTCGAGCGGAAGAAGTTGGGGGTTTGCTTGTGCAAGTTGTCACCCCCCCTCCCCAACACCAAATTAAATCGGAACACTCCAAATGGCACAGCCATGCTAAAGGTAATTTCACGCTAGAACACCTTCACACTTCATCTGCCCCCAACACCGCATCGGAAGAAAGAGAAAAAGTGGTCCAAATATTTGTCATTGCTGACCGGTACCAGCCGCCTGGCAAGCTGTAAAAGCGCAAAATACGCCGCTTTCGAAACGCCTGTCCGCAATGAAAAACTCACGGCTCGAAACGCCTCACCGCCAGAGTTTATTTTTGGCAAGTTGGAAAATGTCGATTTTCTTTCTTGGTTAATGGAACCACTTTCATAAAACGATCGAAACACTTTGCGCTGAGGAGGAGGCGCCGGTCGTCCAAGGCCTTGTTCAATTTGTCGCCGCTTCTCTGGCAGTCAGGGGTAGAAAAGGCGTTATTAGCTTTTTTGGTTGAGTTTCTTGGCCCGTCCTCCTGGATGCTCCTGACTCGTCGTGGCCGCTTGCATTTGTCGATGCAGGCCGCCGGCCTCTTTTTGTCGGGTCAATTATGTACACTCTCAAGATTCATCGACTTTATATTACTAGAGTTGTTTGCCATTTTTTTTCGTTTATTTCGGCCTTTCAAAGAAAATTATGAGATCTATTTATATGGTCCGCAGGGTCAAGAAAGAGGGCTCTTTTACATTTTTCATTTAAGATTCTTTGAGCAACTCGGCGAACTTTTGTTCCCTTGGCTTTCACCCCTTTGCATACCGGTCCTATTGCCATGCCTTGTCACCTTCCACTATCACCGTCACCATCACCTCCTCCCTCCCCATCAAGTCCTACCGCACTTCACCACTACACAACCTTCGCTCACCTTGCAACACACATTTATTTACGACTGTTTGGCACCATCAATCCACACCGCCTTGAATCATTTGTTCATCATGTACTCTCTCACACCCGACCGACACCAACATGCCTCTTCCTGTCGCTTCAATACCTCTCTGCATTCGCATACGCACAGCCAAAACACTCTAGCAACGGGTCATCGCTGACCCCGTTGTTCCTCTTCACGTCGGCTCTATCACTTGCCGATTCGTTCCTCAATGACTCGCCGCTAACATTGGCCCAATACGAACAAGCAAGCGGGTTGTCACGAATAAAAATTGCGAAAACCCGAACAATGATCTGCGAAACACTGGAATGGAGGTTGGCCGTACCAGAGCAAGTCTTTGTCCGCTGGACAGCATTTTTAAAGACATTGATGAGAAGACCGCATGTGATGCATCATAACAAGGTTACAAGACGGCGAGCGTCCTCTCCCGCCGTGTTGCGACAGGATCGGCCAATGAGCGGCAGAAAGGATGTGGAGCAGTGGGCGAGAGATTTTGTATATAAGGGAGTGATGCGTGCTGTTGGCAGCAGTGACCCTAGTGAGAACGCTAATATTATGGACAATTGTCACCAAGATGCGAATGATGTGGACACTGTTAGCAGTATAGCTGGCGTAATATAGTGTTTCCTAGTGTAGTAATAGTCTAGGTGGTTTGTACAAATGATGGGTACTGGGCGTTCGTAAATATCTAATATACGCCGTCGAATACATGCCTGGGTGCATGTGAAGCATCAACTTGAACAGAAAGGACCAGAGGCACATTGTCTGACAGAGTTCGCATATAATGGAATGTGTTGATTCCGCATACGTGAAGATGAATAAAGAAATTGCATTAATCTACAAATGCCAGTGAACGTGCCTATGAAAATGCCTATGAGAGAGTCTCGACTGCTGAAATCAGCGACTGATAATCAAATCCGGCTGGATTCTTATGGAACGTCTCCACCAAATCCTTCTTGGCTTGAGATCCCGTCACATAAAAGATTTGCATCTGGTATACCAAGTTTTGCGCTTCCTGCAAAGTGAGGATTTTGCGATCGGGATCGCCAAGCTCACCAACCATGAGGACAATGTCTTTCTCATCTGCGAGCTCGACGTAGTGTGTCAGGACGAGATGGGGTCGAGCATTTTCTCGGTGCGTCTTGTATTCTAAAGTGTCGGTCCCTTTAGTGCCCATGCGGCTCCACAGGCCAAAACGGTAAAGCATACCTAATAGAGGTGTAAAGTAGATTTGATGACCGGAAAACTGAAGAAGAAAGAACTCGTAACCTTCGTTACGTGGAAGGGGTAAAAGGAACTGAATAGACATGGATGAGCTGCTCAATTCAAATGATCTACAAATGATAGCGCCAATCATACCATCGGGAACTTCTTGGCTTGGTCAAGCAGGCTCTGGTAGAAGCTTGACGGCATAGCACCACTCAAGCATTGTCTTGACGAGTGATACTCGTTCCAAATGTTGGCAATCTGGTCTGACGACTCTTGCTTGAGGCGCTCCACATCCACAATCTTTTCCAAGCTCTGACGATATGAATCCAAGTCGATCAGCTACATGCTAAGACGGTCACGTATCCAAGGCCATTATACCTTGACATGCGAGGGTAATCCATCAGCGCGAGGAGCTAGCCCCTTGACCGATTTGCCCGTCTTCGTTTCATCTGGCTTGTCATCCTTATTCTCATTGGACGGTTCTGGAGGAGGTGCAGAGCGCTTTCGCTGGATAAGTTCGTCTACCGATTTAGCCCCTTCGCTTGAGTCTCGGTCAGAAAATGTTTCAAGGTTCTGGGTAGTCAATTCAAACCCCACACCTCTGAACCGCTTTCTTGAGCTTGTCCGCATACTTTTTGCGATACTCGTTCGCGACATCATCAGGACTCAATACAGCAGATAGTAGTCCGTCCCATATCGATCTCAGTGCAGTCGGAGGAGCTTTCGTGGCAGGAGCATTGTGAAGGAGGTGGTGAAATTCTGGGAGGTAGATCATTCTGATCAGTATACGAAAAGAGCACTATGTGATGGAATTTGTCGTACCAGGAGCGAGAGTAGCAAAAGGTCTCGCCAACGGTCGCCAAAGACCAAAGGACGAGCCCCCTGCATGTGTCGTTAACCGTAATGAATGCCTGCTGATGGACATGTTTGAAAACTTCAAAATCCTAAAGTCAAATTCCGTCCGAAAGAACTCTAAAGTCATGTGACATGTCACCCCGCCCAAAAACCAAACCACGTTTTTCCTTTCCGTCTAGACCTTCCTTCTGCCACGGCCACTCCTTCTGTTTTTTAGACTCGATGCTTTTGGTACTCTTTCATCCCCCCACGTCTTTCTCGCCTTTTGTTTTGGGTTTATTTTCCTACCTTTGTTTATTATTCTTTGTTTTCTCGGGGAATTGGGTTTGGAGCCCATAGTCGTGAAAGAGCAGTTTTTAACAATATATCACTGGAGACGGAGACACTGTAAAGGATGCCCGCGGGACGGACACCCAGGGAGAGCATGAGTGCCACCGAGGATGAAGATGACGACCATGTCTTTGCATTTGACAAGGATGAAACATTCCGACGAAAAGGACCATGCAATGACTCGGCTTGTGAGGACTTGAGTGGAATAGACTCTGATGGTATGTGTTCATTAGTGGGCTGTGCTGGCCAGGGCGAATTTTGGGCTGATGTATGGTCGTCTATAGCTTCTTCCAGTACGGTGCGGTGGCGACCGCCTGTCCCCAATGGTCAATCAAACCTAAACCCAGCCGTCCGCAAGAAGAGCACAACAATTGCCGAAACCCCAAGCAGTATACTACCCTCTTCGCCCTCTGAGGAAGACACCGCATCAACTTTAGAACCGCGTCTCTCCTTTGCAGAACCTGCCGATGTCTCCCAAGTCGTTGATATTCACAATTTCACAGCAATTACGTCTGCAGATACGCCCAACTCTGTTTATCGGCGGAAAGTAGGACTTTCTGACTTTGATGTTGTCAGTGTTATTGGAAAAGGGGCGTACGGAAAGGTGTTTTTGGTTCGCAAGAAAGGTGGCTTACATGCCACGCAAGGCAAGAGCGATCTCTACGCAATGAAAGTATTGCGAAAGGCTTCGATTGTTCTCCACGGTAAAGATGCGGAGCACACTCGGAATGAGCGAAATATTTTGGAAGAAGTTCAGCACCCCTTCATTGTCACACTTCACTACGCCTTCCAAACTGAATTCAAGTTGTACCTGATTTTGAGTTATGCATCGGGAGGCGAACTCTTCACGTACTTGGCCCATGAAAAGATGTTTGCCGAAGATGTAGCGTGCTTTTACATTGCGGAGCTCTTACTTGCCATCGAGCATCTCCACGAACTCGGTATCATCTACCGAGACCTCAAACCCGAAAATGTTCTCCTCAACTCCACCGGCCACGTCCTGTTGACTGATTTCGGGCTCTCTAAAGTTGCGTTGGATGCGCGGACCGTATGCGGCACCATTGAGTTTATGGCACCCGAAGTATTGGACGAGCACCGACAGGAGGGATACGACAAAGCCGTCGATTATTGGAGTCTGGGCGTGATGTTGTATGATATGTTGACGGGATCTGTGCCATGGAAGGGCAATCGCAAGCAAATCATGGACGGAATCTTAAAGAAGAAAGTAACCTGCCCGAAATACATGACTGCCCATGCACGCGATCTTTGCACGAAGCTCCTGCAAAAGAACCCTGGAAAGCGACTCGGAAGCGGTCCAAAAGGCCCTGCTCAGGCCAAAGAACACCTTTTCTTTCGCCGGAATAAACTAGACTGGCAAAAATTGGCTAAATTGGAAGTTGCTCCGCCACTTGTGCCCAAAATGTTGGATCCAGAGGATACCTCAAACTTCGATGAGTGCTTTACCAAGATGCCCGTAGCGGATTCGCCTTCTGAAGCTGCGTTTGATCATTTTGCAGGATTTAGTTATGTGGCCGAGAGTGCTTATCTCGGATAGTTTGTTTTTGGTGGGCATTCGTTTTTGTTCAGTTGTAAAGGACTGCGAATACGCAGTGTACATAAGGTCGTAATCATAATATATTCTCGAATGGATCAATTTGGGACTGATTTTGAGGGGAAATTGGTGCATGGAAATACCTGGAGGTGACCGCTCGAAAAGCTCAGCGGCCAGAATCGAAAACTCGCCATTCTTGGCATACCTTGTAAAGTTACGATTTGCCTCACCGAACTTTGTTAGGGAGGACAAAAGCCCAAAGAGTTAAAAGATCGTCACCGCCCGAATCCCTTACCAAGTTTTTAGGTTTCCCTGATACCTGGGCAATGTACTCCAAATTATGCAAGCCCTCCGAAAGCCCAGTCGCCTGTGACCTTCTTTATTAGCATCTTTTCCCTGACAAACACACAGCCTATTGTTTCAAATCCCATCGTACAGATATCAATGCTGTGCCTTTTCCCGCTTGACCAAGCATATCGACCAAGGGTTAAAATCTTTCAAGCACCTTCTTTAGAATCGGGCTCTTAACACTGCTACCAGAGTTAGGAAGCTGCTGGTTATGACTGCCATGTTTTGGATGGGTTTGCGTGAATTTGGGCTTTTCGTCTGTGTATTCCTCAGTTATGGTATTCCCCAGTTAGGTGTTTGTGAGGATTCCATCTACCGTCATATTCGACCCGCGGCTCACCATCTCATCATCTCGTGGAACATTGCAAACAAAGAGCAAGAATATAGATGGTTTGATTATTCGTAAACCAATGAGGGTTGGCAGCAAAGTTATATTTGATTTCCATTCAGCGGCACTATTCACATACAAAAACGTATACCAACAGTACAAACTTTGCAACATATAGTGTCCAGGAAGGTAAAACAAAACTAGCAAAAAAACATTGACACATCCCCTCGCTTTTTGGAGGGACGCAAAATGTGCTCATGCACAACGCAACCATACCATGCACCAACCAACAAACTCGAGGGTCGCTACAATTCTTTTTTAATTCCCAGTACCTCCACCGTTTGCATTCCCGTTTCCATTTGCATTTCCATTTCCATTGGTATTCCCATTGCCAGCAGTCAAAACTCTCTTTACAGCCCCCTCAACAGTCTCACCCTTATCCACAAAAAATAATTTCGCTAATCCACTCCCAATTTTTGCACAACGTCCCAAATTCAGAGCTCGCAACTCCTTCCATCCCAGGCACACATTGACAACTTCCTCTGTTACCCATTCGCATCCCCGCAAATCAATACTCACAATCCGGGGACACACTTTGACGAGACGCTCGAGTGCCGTTGTCGGTGTGATTGGAATTCGGGTTAGGTATGGTTGAGGCGTGTATTGAACGGTGGACAGGTATTCATTTGTCTCCTTTATCAGCGTGTCGGGGAGGATAGGACAGTTGGAGAGAGACACGTGAAGGAGGTTTGGACAGTTTATAGCGAGGGATATTAAGGATGACGATTGTATTTGCAGTCGGGGAGACTTTTTTATGTCTTTTGCCGGGGTGCTGGGTATTGTGTCGGTTTGGTGAACCCGTAGGTGATGGAGGATATGGGGTGGAATTGGTGGATTATGTCCAGGTTGGAAGGCGAGGGTGGAGCCGGGATGGTGGAGATGATGTACAAGAGGGTGTTGATGCACGGCGGTAGGAGGCTGGTTTAAATAGTTCCAGACAACCGTGTGGTGAGGTGGTGCGGCCGTAGGTGGCTCTGGTGGGACCGTCGTAATTCCTTGTCCATCAGCACTCCCCCCCACATGACTCTCCGCATACCCCCACTGGCTACCATTCACCAACATGGTAACTGGCGGTAAAATCGTCGACAGAATATCAGGTTCGTTATCTTCAGAAACAATACTATATCCATCATCTTCTACGCCGATCTGGTTGTTGTTTCCAGCTTCCCCTGTCTGAACAATCAGCTCAATGGTGCTCGTAGCCGCCGAGGAATAAATTGGAACGACGCGAGACGACCGCGCATTGCTGTTACTGGAATTAGATTTTGTTTCTGGTGAGGATAAATCAATCATCTGGAAAAGCAGCAAGTGTCAACATCATATCGCGCATGAGTATACATACAACATAATTGGAAATATAGGGCACTACAGCCGATAGTTACATACCTGAACAAATGTTCCCAGCGGACGAGTATTCTGATGGCGAATCAACGTTTGAATAAATTGTGCCCAGTTGAAGGTGGACTTGAATTTGGGATATCTAATGCAGGAAGGAAACCATATTTAACACCAGGTTAACATTCTGTTCATCTGCAAACAGGGAAAGTCCTTCCCAACTTGCCTGTATAATAAAGGCGTCGCGCAAATGTTGAATGCGCGACAAACAAGCGCAATTCGTGCCAGGGTGGACTGATCGTGAATGTCTGTGTCAAAAGTCAAAGAGCGTATGAGCCACCCTTCATAACCTACACCACCCCTTTCGCCCTCTACTTTTCTTGAACACATGCGGAAACTCACAATAAAAGACCATCGAAATCAGTTCATGTGGCAGAGCAGCCACAGGACTCTCAGCCATTCTCTTCAGCTTGGCCTGTGCAGACTCTCTTTCTCGGTCGCAAAGCTCCTTCAATAACGGTCTCTCGACGTGCACATGGCCCGGCACGGAATCAATCACTGTCACTTTCTGCTCGCAAACTGTCAGCATTTTCTTGCTTGGCGAGCAGGGGCGGATGACCTCTTCGGAGGGACGTTTTTTGGGTGTGTGCATGTGATGTCTGAGTGGCCCAATCTCCGTCGTTGGAGGCAAGTAGAAAAGTGTTGCAAAATGGGTTTTCAAGGTGACTTGTCCTCCACCGATCGTGGAGGTTGGTGAAGTGGTCTCTGCGCACTTTCAACTTCCTTTGTAAATAGCAGCCTCTGAGCACGTGTACGGCCAAGGATGGCACAGTCATGGATACTATTGAAGGTCTTTTCTGCTCTTCCTTTTTGTTTTTATTTTTAAAGGCCTATAACGAAAGCCTACATGCTTCCATCAGAATACCCCACAGTTCAACTCTCCACATCGTTTAATCCCAAAAGACTTGCAGTTGTAAATAATTGTATTGGACATGACTCAGGACACCAGCTCAGAGCACATCAACGCTTCTCTATCCGATATAATACTCGTTTCTCGACGACAGGACAACACACTAATATATACAAGAAATCACCAAAAGTAAGATGTGGGGTCCGTACATTTTACTTCATGCAAGGAAAACGTTCAAAAAGGTCTGGAGGAACCGTCCAATCGGCGGGGTCCCACGGATTGCCGTGACAAACCGCTCGCCGCACTAATTCATCACACAAGGCAGCAAGATCAATGTGTCGACCGTATTTGAGGATTTTCTCGCGAAGAACGAAACAAGGCATAGTCTCGGCACAGTTTTCAACGGCTGCAGGTGGCTCTAAGGTGGTAGAGAAGGGGTTCTTTGCAGGAGGGCAGCAGCTTTTGATGGGAGGGCAAGGATCGGGTGTGGGGAGGTGAGATATATGGGCGGTAATGACCGAAGACTCCTCAGCATTGGGTGTTTTGGGATTATCGTCCCATTCTGATTGAATCGCCGGAAGGAATGTATCCTCGCCTCCCTCTTGAAAGCTTTCGTCCTCTGTATCATCTTCAGTCTGTGTTACGTCCATTGGAACTGGAGAGTAAGTCTTTACATTTGCTGGCTCAGCAAATACTTTCTCTTGACGAATGACTGGGCGAGCCTGTAACTCCGCTAATGCCTTTGCCGCAATCATCACGGCGTCGTGCGAGTGAGCATCCGCCATCTCCTGCGCAACCTCAGGAAGCCACGAGCTAAAGGTAAGAGCCAGAAGCTGTTGTAGCTGCCGGTTCTCTTGACGCAATTGCGCCCGTTCCTGACCAAGAGACGAGACCTGAGAGCGGAGAGAACGTAATTCGTTCTGGAGCTCAAAGGCCTGCTGTGCGCGTCGCTCTACATGAAGGAAAGCATGAATTTCGCGCACATGGTGGAAACCAAACCGAAAAACACGCTACCTCGCAATGCCTTTTGAGCCTGCCTGTTCTTCTCTTTCCTATGCGCAACCATGTCCGTTATGAAGGGATTCGGCTTGGCACCTGGCTTCTTGCGCATTGGCCCAACAGAGTCCATATTGGTCATTCGCAAAGACGAAGAGGCGACTGTCCGTCGTTGGCGCAAGAAGAAAAAAAAAACAAGCTCAAAGGAAGAGCGAGAGCAAAAAGGAACGAGACACCTCTCCCAACACACGTCGCCAAATTTCTTCAAGCAAGGGATTAGTGTATTGGTTAATACACCAATGTGGATTGAACCACTGGACTGGCGACAACCAGCCCGGAAAAGCTAACTAGCTAACGAACTCCTTACAAGTAACAAACTACTACTAGGCCCAATTACACATGCAATACATTACGGTTGTTCTAACCGGGTAACTAGCGCCCACCACCACGAGAGAAATCCTACTCGCCCTTTGATTCCGAAATTCTTGGAGGATGTTTCAGATACCAAGGTAGATCAGAATTAGACTGGGAATATGCGCGTGGGAAAAATCATCAAGATATACCTGCGATCATAGCGATATAGTAGTAGCAGCATTTGCAAGGGGTTATGTTGTATTTGTCGGGCGGACGAGGTCCTCGGCACCAGAGCAGGATTCTCATGATGGACTTGAGAGTTGAGTGCTGGCAGATGCTTGCGAGTCGAGGGTAAAGAAACAAGAGGGAAGAAGAAGAGGGGGGGTTTATATAGAAAAAAGAGCAGATATATTGAGTCATGCATGTATGCAGGTGGCAACTGCAGAATATTCCTCTCATAGATGGCCGCAAAGGGATAGTAATTGCCAATCATTCATTGCAGGTATTGGACCCGTTTTTTGTTTATCTTCGTGAGGATGATGTCACAATAAATGTGGTTAATTCAACCTGGCTGCAATGCTTGCTGATGTGGGAGGGATTATGTTGCACTGAAGATGTTTGATTGGTTGAATTTGGCAAGCATATCACGTGTATTAGGTAATCACTCGGCGACGCTCGGCCTCTGGTTGCTAGGTTACTCACGTGATACCCTGTCGTGGCTGCTGTTGAAGGTCCTTCTCCGAGGTGGAAATTGGGCAATCGTTTTCCTCATCCATCACCCACATCCGCTAGCAATGTCTGACGACTGGAACCCCTCTGAAGACCCCAAGCCCCAGATTGAAGCCGGTATGTCATTTGTGCTTGTTTTGCGCAGGTGATTAGATTGTAGCATATTCACTCAATGCTAAATCTCGTCCGTTTTGGCAGACTGTGCTGAGGGTCACCATTGCCACAGCCTAAAGGCAAAACTCGACGCGTGTACTGCACGAGTGGAAGGCGGGGATGCTGGAGAAGAGACCTGCGTTGAAGAGTTCTTTGACTTGATGGTAAGCCTCCATTTCCAGCCCCTACTACAGTGTCGTGTTTGACATGTGTTCCTTTCTCTTGTGTAGGAGTGCGTCAACCACTGCGTAAGTCTGAAGATCATGGCAATCCCCTTCATAGTCAGATTTGACTGGTATCTAACTTGAGAAATTTGGAAACTTTTAGGCTGCGGACAAACTCTTTGCAAAGATGAAGTAGAGGAACAGTTGGCGAAGGGGAATGTTGCGGGTAGACTAATATATATCGATTTAATCCTGCGAATGGATCTGGTTGCGATTCTCCGTGGACTTTTGGATGATGAATTTTTGTGGGCCTTTTTTTTGCCTGTTGAGATGCCCCTCTGATGTGACATGGGTTCGGACGGCAAGATGATGCACCTCTTCCTTGAACCGGTTTCGTGAGGAAAAGTCGAAGCCGAGCACTAATGCATGAATACCACATGGCACAACTAAACAGTATGCAGCTCCATAACACGGTGAAGCAACCCCATATGCAGATTACAGGGAGCGTAAAGACATATGAAAGTGCAAAACGGGGTTTCCCTCGCCATTTGCATTCATGTAAAGGACCCATCTTCTGATGTTCGGGTTCCATGAGCCCAAGTTCTCCTTGTGCTGGAGACATCTCACCTTTCTTTTACATTTTCATCTGCCATTTAACTTCGTGATGCTTTATAAAATTCAATGTTCTGAATGCCTTAATGGCACCCAGGTTACTACCAGAAGTTAATGGAAACCATCTTGTGCTCACAGATTTCATAAGTTACTTTTGTGTATATCCAGTGGCTCTGCAACAGCAAAAGTAGGTCCAACTCTGGTGCTATCGCTTTACTTTTTGTCGGGCAGCTGCTCCATGCTGCGACACTCGACAGAGCCAACCTGACGTTCCTTACGCGTCACCAGGCGGAACGTCGGACCACCCAAATGGCCGACTTTGATATCCCAACCTGTTTGTCAGCGTTCGATTTTCGAAAACACTTTTGATCGACTGAATAGTTTTATTCATATAATCGACGAACAGACGAACAGATCTGTGGTCAAGCGACAAGCAAGGATTATGACGGGGACTATGCGAGCAGTAGTTGTCAAAAAGCCAGGTGGGGTTCACAGTTGCTTATTTATCTGATAGTGGCATTATTGAAAACGGGCGAAACAAAAGGCAATGCATCCGGGCTGGCGATCGATACCGTTCCCAAACCGAGTCCAAAGGACGATGAGCTACTAGTGAAGGTAACAAACCTATCCATCCATTACAAAAAGGAGGTTCTGACTAATCAAAGTGAACCCAATATGATAGATCCACTCTTTTGCTTTGAACAGAATGGACATTCTCCAGCGGGACCAGCATTACCCCGTTCCAAAGGGGGCGTCTGATATCCTCGGGGTGGAATTTGCGGGTGTTGTGGAGGAAGTTGGTCCAAAGGGTATGCCGACGATCGCTCGATTTATAGATTGTGGATCTAATCTGACTTGTTTGGTCAGTGGAGAGGTACAAGAAGGGGGATAGGGTTTTTGGACTCGTCTATGGGGGTGCCTACGCAGAGGTTGGTTGATGTCAACAAAGTTGAATAATGGTATTCAGGAAAAGTTGACGTGCGATTCAGTATGTGACAATTTCGGAACACATGGCAATGTCCATTCCGGAACAGTTTACCTTTCAACAAGCGACTGCCATTCCTGAGGTATGCAAAACACTTGTTTGTTTGTGCTCCACACATGATGCTGATCTAGTCCTTGGACAAAGGTTTGGTTCACGGCATATCAGGCTTTGTTTCTGATCAACGATCTCAAAGAAGGTACGCCTATGACAAAGGTAGATTTACGCAAACTGCCAAGACAGCTTATTTGTAAAACAGGCGAGGATGTCCTCATCCATGCTGGAGCCAGTGGTGTGGGGTTATCTGCTATTCAACTTGCCAAAAAGGCCAAGGCGTACGTCCGTTTTGTTTGTCATGAATCGTTATATACCATTCCTCATAATTCTTTGTTTGCACCAAAAGAAAACACATCATTGTAACAGCCGGACACGAAGACAAGCTCGCATTCTGCAAATCCCTCGGAGCAACCGACGGTGTCAATTACAAAAAAGAAGACTTTCAACAAAAGGTGCGGACTTGACAAATGACTTTTTAGACATGCTCAATGTCAACCCACTGCTGTGATAAACAAAAAGGTGCAAGAAATCACAAACGGAAAGGGTGTCAATGCCATTGTAGACTTTATCGGAGCGGGGTACTGGGATAAAAACCTGGCTTCTTTGGCAGTGGATGGGCGTATGGTCCTCTTGGCTTTCTTGCAAGGTAAAGTATTTGCTGATCAGTATTTTATAGAGCGTCAAAGCCTGAGCCATTTGACCTATATAGGCGCTGTCCTCGAAAAGTCCAATATGGCACCTATCCTTCTCAAACGACTCAAGGTATGACTCGTGTGTTTCCATTCGACCAGACTACAAACACTAAGATTGGCCCGACAGATTCAAGGATCCACGCTTCGCTCCCGTTCACTAGAATACCAAATCGCTCTGCGAAACCATATTGAAAAAGAGGTCCTACCGGGCCTTGTCGATGGAAGTTTGAAATTGATTATTGATAAGGAATTTGGATGGGAGGACATTGCTGAGGCTCATAGGTGGGTAAATAGTGGTTTTACGCAAGTGAATTGTCACCAATTTGGGGATTGAATCGCTCTGATTGGACTTTCCTTTGTTTTTCGGGACAGGTACATGGAAAGTAATCAGAGTATGGGTACGTTATGGTCTTATTCGCATCACACAGTTTCTCTCCAGCCAAACTCACTTTCTGATCCGGCGCCTCAGGGAAAATCGTTGTAAATGTCACCAAGTGAGGGCATTTTATGCACTGATATCATAAATCTGCTAGGCAGATAGTTAGGATCTTGCAGTGTTAGGCAGCATTTACCAGCCAACAGAGTATATATACGAGGCTTGGACAAAAAAGCAGAAAACAAGAAACTAAACACAACTTGGTAGATCAAAGAACAATATATACATCAGACCAGAATGCAATCGATACATGGCGTCCCATTCCCATTTGCATTGCACTCCAAATTATGCAAAAGACATCATTCGCCTTCAGATTACTTATGCAGAACCCGCTGGTATACCCAATAACATACGCCACCTGCATCTCCACCTCACAATATGGGAACATTGATCCGGGTAGATCCATTCGTTGACGCCGAGCGCTCAGATGCGCGCATAGGATAAGAGGGTTGTCTGTTAGAACCCATAGGTTGAGCGTATTCTCTAGACGCCTGCAGTGGATGCGGTTGCTGAGGCTGCGAAGGTACACCGCGTTCGGAAGGACTATAATGCATCGAGACACCAGAGTCTCGCGGCTGCCGGGTTCCGGCGAATGCCTCTGGCGTCGCATGGTGTAGATGTGGGTCAGATACAGGACAAGACGCGCTTCTCGGAAGATTCAAGTGTGAAGCATTGTGCGCTGTTTCCCAGAATTCATGCATCGAGGGAATGGTGCTATAGCTCCTAAACACACCGATCCTATCAAAGAAGGGGTCAGAGAAAGGATCGCGGCGAGATGGATCTTGGGAAACTGAAGGACGCTGGCGAGTAATGCGTGCCCGTCCAGTCGGAATATCGGCAAAAGGATGACCCAAGAAACCCTGCAAAAATGGGTCCAGATGCTGAAAGCCGGGGTTAGGCCGACGTGTGCGGCTATGGGCTCGGAAATCTTCAAATGGATCATGACCTGGGGTAATGATAGCCGCGATCCATGGTCAATTCCCTGTCAAGCAGCGCAACCAAAAGCATGGTAAACGGCACATACTGAAAAGCTGTTCCATGACGGAAAATAGCGAAGTGTTTCCAAAGAAGGCTTCAAATACATGGAAAGGATCGACCGGATGTCCTCTCGGGTGTGCTGAAAGAATATAATGAAAAATCAGTACACAGGAGTCGTTAATACAGTGAACCGCAACACCACTTCACCGGATGGGACTGACGGATTCTCTGGGATATCCTTGGCTTGAGCACCTGAAGTAACACGCATGTGGTTAAGCACCTTTCACAAAATGGTTCTCTGAAAATGTCTAGGTCCTACCCGTGCGATCGTAGTACGCTCTCTTTTGATCTTGATTATCAAGCCAAATTAGAATCAACGATCTATCATGCTCTTCCACCGAAACTTGTTCATTCACTCCGTACCATCGCTCAACACTTCATATGCCTCAGCTACAAGCCGAAACCGCATTTGAGCTTCCTCAGCATTTTCCAAATTTTTATCGCTGAACATCAAAGGAATCGGTATGAGGGCGCAAGTTGATATTCGCACTTCGAGTCAGACTTACGGGTGCCATTTAAGCGCTTCCTTTTTGTAACTACACATCAATACTACATTAGTACGTCAATTCATGGCAGGAAGAACCAACCCACTTACGCTTTTTTGATATCTTCTGCGGTGCAGCACTGTTCCAGACCAAGTATATCGTAATACTCTGTTGCCATATTGACGCGACGGTGACCGAGATCACAGATGAATGCGTTCAGCAAATCTCTTCACCGTAAAACAAGTAGACAAGTTCGACAGGTAAAGTTGCGGCAATCTGCAGTCGCCACAGATGGCGAATAAAACCTCCGTGGGGAAAACGAAGGAATGGCTGCGTAGGAAAGGGCGTGTTACGTGAAGTTGATGGCACAGCTGTTCATGATTATGTCAGCAGAAACTGCCAGAACTGCGCTTTCGAACATTCCTTTTTGATAACCAGTTGACATGGTCTACCATGTGCAACAAGCAGATGTCATGACATGGTATCAGAGGCAGATACACACAAGTGGTACTCTGATACGCAGTCCGTGAGTGCTTTGAGAAGGCGACGTCTACTGAAATGGAGTAGACTGTAACGCCTAGCTGCATGCCCACCGTTGAGGTCCAATGCATGGGCTGTTCTTTAGTGCACTACGTTTCTTTCTTGGAATTGACATGCTCATGCGTTCATGCTTTCTACTCGTTTCTGGCTCAGCGTTACGATTTAATGAACTAAAACTTTAACAATTCTCTGTAACATTGTGCGTAAATACATTGCGACCCTCTTGAAGGCTGCCACGAATGACGATGACTCAGAGGGTTTGGGATCGCGCTTCCGTCATCCGGAATTCCCGCTGCCGACCAGCAAAACGGCATTTGTCAAGTTTCCAATTCCACATCTTTTAAAAAGAGCGACTTGCAAAGGTCACTTTTATAACCTCATCTCCATTCTCCACTCTCATACCATCGCAACGTTGCATCGCCACGCCCAACGCATAGCCGCTTGGAGGCGATCCTTCGAGCACAAGCACCGAGACACTGCTTCTCAGCTCTCTGCTGCTATAGACAACTTTCGACGAGCATTACCTAAAGGTGCTGACCCTCGAATTTGCAACGCTCAGAAAGCCCGTACTCTCAGAGTCCCGTTCTTTACTCCACAACGACTTGCCTCATTACGGCGGCGCATTGTTCGACAGTCCACAATGGCCGACGTTGCATTTGTGCCCCACCAACAACCCAAGGGCCGAAGTTGGTCTTTGTTCTCCTGGACACCGACATCAGTGACGCTGGCGCAGGCGGCAGAAAACAGGTTGCTCTCTAGATTTCAGTACTTTAAGCCAGCGAGTACCCTCGTGGGAGCTGCTACACCACAGGAGGCTCGTGAAGCTGTACAAGAAACAACCGAACTGCCAACACCAACCAAAGACATCTCTCAAGATATTGCGTCGGTGCAATCCACGGAGCCGAACGAGAGTTTGATTGCCCGTGTGGGCCTTGTAGACGTTGGCGATGGGCAAATGATCAACACACTAGTTATCGATCGAACAGATGAAAAGTTGCATCATACCACGGGTGCTGGTATCCTGCGAAGAGAACTGAGTCATGGATCAGGCGGCGAAATGGTTCACTTGGAACAGGACGTGGCCCCCGTGGAAGAAGTTGGTCGAACGGGCACAAAGAAGAAGACTCTGGTTATGGCGCACGGATATGGGGCTGGGTTGGGTTTTTTTTATAGGGTACGTTTGGTGATAAGCTCTCATCCAATACGGCAACCTGCATTGTTAATTCTTTAAGGTCAACAGAACTTTGCTGGACTGAGCGACGTCTCCGGCTGGAGAATCTATGCTATCGACTGGCTTGGCATGGCAAATAGTAGTCGTCCGCCATTCCCGAAATTAAAACGTGGAGCAACGGATGATGAAATCGTGGAAGATGCGGAGACGTTTTTTGTAGAATCATTAGAAAAGTGGAGAGAGGCGAATGGTATTGATTCAATGACATTGATGGGTACGTATATCAGACTTTCATATTCGCCATGGTTATAATCTGATGCAGTTTTTAATAATAAATAGGACATAGTCTGGGTGGTTACCTCTCTGCATGTTACGCGTTGAAACACCCTGAAAGAGTCGAGAAACTTGTGCTTGTTTCGCCAGGTACATATCGCATGTTCAAATGGTGCAGCGGCTTGGCCTCTACTAAAATTCTCGGATATCAGCCGGTGTTGGCAAAATACCAGAAGGTCAGGAAGCGGCACTGAGACGACGTGGATTCCTACCCGCGCTCTTTACGACGTTGTGGTCATGGAATGTTACACCCATGTCTGTTATTCGTACGATGGGGCCCTGGGGTGAGTATTTTCTTATAAGATATCTTATTCGATAGTACACGTCAATTGCTAATGCGCTGATGAATAGGTCCATCACTGGTCCGCAAGTACACAAGTCGTCGGTAAGATGGACTGTTTGGACGTTGAGTGCGAGCCTGGATATTCATGATTATCGTTCAGGTTTGCCTACCTTGACCAGAGCGACGCAGACGATCTGCACAGTTATATCTATCATATATCAGCTCAGACCGGAAGTGGAGAGTTTGCATTAGCAAGATTACTTTTGCCGGTATATTACCTCTTCGAAGCTTGTTGTTGTTGCATCCTCTAATGAGTGCTTTGTTCCGCATAGGGAGCTTGGGCACGGAAACCCCTTCACGACCGCCTAGCCAATTTGAAGATGCCAACGACCTTCTTATGTAAGCACCAGTAAAATGTAGACCATCCGTTTCTTTACAATTCTGATAACAAGACCATGTCACTTAGACGGAGCGCACGACTGGATGGATTACCACGCCGCCATGAGTGCCGTTAAAGGAATGAAGGTACCCACCCGAATAGCCCGCGTAGCTGATTCCGGCCATCACTTGTATCTTGGTACGTATAATTATCGTTTTGAGGACTGCCGCCATTTCTGACTCGACTGTTGTGCGTAGATAACCCAATGGGGTTTAACAATGCCATGATTGCCGAGATGGTTAATAAGGATGTTGCGCGAAAGGGGGTGGAAGATGTTGAGTATGTTCATGTAAATGACCGGCGGTGATATAAGGCTGGCGCTCGAAGCATAGATTTTAATTTATAGCGATTATCGTACGATTTATATGCAAGGAGGTTGAATCGCAAATACACGGCGAGTAGATCTGGTTTAGATCACGTGACAGACCTCAACTTGATGACATCACGCGAATTGTTGAGAAGTGTTCTTTCCTAGCCATTGCGTTTGATATTCCTGCCCTTGTTCTCTTGGTCGCCTTGTCTATCCTTTTGCATTTCCAAATATTCCATACTTGCATTACCGCAACAATCTTCCAATATGGCAATGAGAATCAGCAACAAAATCTTGAACGGCCTTATTCAACAAGTATAATAGCAATTGACACTTTTCCGCAAATGCCACCTTTAATCGCTTCACATACACTCAGGCTAACCGCGAACTGTCCAATTCAAATGCCTATCTCTCCATGTCCTTGTGGTTCCAAGACCGTGAACTTCCTGGCTCGGCCCAATGGTGCAAAACCCAATCTGACGAAGAGCGCATGCACGGTCTAAAGATTTTCGATCACATTGTAAAGAGGCGGGCAAAGGGGGCTTTGGTGCACGCAATCGGGCAACAAAAGTTTTCGTATGATGACCCTTTGCAGATTTGGTTAGTAGGTCTAAATGTTTTTTGGTTTGCTTGATTGGACATACTGATATATCATTTGTATGTGTAGGGAAAAGGCTCTGGAACAAGAACAGCTCAACTCGGTTGCCATCATGGATCTCGTCCGACAGGCGCGAGAAGAGGGTGACTATACGACCGACACGTTTCTTCAGTGGTATGTCGCGGAACAGCTTAATGAAGAAACGTCTGTGAAGGATATTTTGGAAAATGTAAGTCGGTTCTCTATTGTGTGCAACTTCTGGAGTATGCCCTTGTCGCATGGTGGTGACAGTATTGCGTATTTGATCTAGGCTAAACGGGTCGCCGCAACGACTGGGTTGTATGTTACATTTGATTCGCAAATAACGAGGAAGCCACATTGAGCATGTCATGAGGAAAAGCAATTTTCGAGACGTTGTCCGCGTTATGGTCTGCTTGGTCGAATGGTTTGTGGGTGGGTAGGGAATATATTTAGGTCTGTGCATAGCATCAAAATATAATGTAACTGAACCTCTGACAGCATCAAAGAATGGAAAATCGTATTTGTTTTGTGAAATTCGAAAGTCCAAGTGCATCCCAAAAAAAGCCAAACCCGACAAAGGAGTGTCCCCACCCAAATAACAGAAACCCGAATAACAGAACTATATACATTTCGTTAAAAAGGCCTGCAAGATAGTCTGCTATACTATTCAAGAAGAGCCAACGTAACGCCCACCACCAAAAGATATTGAAAAGATCCAAGGCGATAACCTGCTAGAGCCAAAATATGTCCACTTAAGCGGCGTGAACCACTCGTACTTGCGGTTTGGCACCCAAGAAGGCTCGTTTGAAAGCTTTGGTGAGCTTCTTCACCGCCGGAGATTTCGATTTAACATCAATTTTTTGTGCTTCTTCTCCTTCTTCTTCATCTTCATCGCTGCTGGTGCTGTTCTTATTGCTTGTGGCAGTGATGATATTAGCGTCCGAGGTTTCCATTGGAGTAATGGATTGATTTGATTCATTCTCCTCTATTTCTCCACTTTCATCCCCGCTCAATTCATTATCTGCATCGCCGCCCTCATCATCTATCAATTCCTCTGGGGGTATCAGTTTCACTTCTTCAGCGAATTGAACACGACGCTTTGGTCGATCTGTACTAGGTCTTTTCCGCGTCAAAACTCCAGTTGTTGCCGTCAAAGGACGACATACCACCTCGGTTGGCTCCTCGTAAGAGTCTGATCCTCGTCTTGAGGCTTCTGCACTCGACACGTCCAAATGGGAACTCGCCGCAGCAGAATCCAGTTCCAGGCCCGCGAGGGCAGCATCCAGTTCATCCTTGGCGAACATTCGCCCGGCACCAAATGAACCAGTGCTCATGGATGATCGCCTGGCTGTCATATCGAGATTCGACATTGTGGATGATGTCGATGGGGTTGAGAGTTGGGTAAATGATGTCGACGCTTCGGATGGGGAGGAAGCGGCTTCAACGTCGGCGGCGAAGCTGGCGTTGGCGTCTCGTACAAGCGCTGCTCGATACCGTTTGGACCACCTTTGATATTATAAAATAATAAAAATACTTGTAAGCATTCTCCCCTCGTCAAGAACCATTAAACTCGGTAAACTCCCATCACGCCTCACCTCAACATGACATACATCCTCTCCATTCTCTCCCGTTCCTCTCTGTCCTCTTGCCCCTCAGCCGGCGCCGCCCGCTTACCCAACATATCTCTCATAATAGCGTCATCCAATACACTCCCCCGTCGTCGGGTCGGAGGTGGAGGAACGCTGTCAAGCATGTCGTTTTCGTCCGAAGAATCGTGCTCTTTCTGCATGTCATCGAGAAGGTGCCCAGTAAGGGTTCTCGCATCGTCTTCATCCGAATGTCGGGAGAGTTTGTGGAGGTTCTCCTCCTGTGCCTCAAAAATGTGTGGTTCGGCCGTGGTTGTGATGTGGTGGGTGGGGGAATTAGACTTTGATATGCTTGCGTTCTTTTAAAGGACCGTGTTGCTTCGAATACATAAACACACACCGAGTTGCTCAACCCTTGTATGTACTTGAGAAATAGTGCACAAGATATACGCAAACTGAGAAAGTCGGTAATCTATAAAACCTAAACTGCCGTTTGCAGGAGAATTTCCACCAGGTCATTCTTTTCACATCCTTCCAGGTGTTATCGCAGTTTTTTTTTTGCTCACGGGCACACCAACACAACACATACACACAACACAAATCCCACTCAAAATGTCTGGCTCACGTCACTATCAGCACCTTTTGCTCCCTCTTGTCCCTTCATGAACGAGATTTAATGGGGACCACCCACGATCTCTTCATTGATGGCCTCACTGAACTGCACCGATACCCTAACCCTCGCGCGTATTCAAGTTATTATTGTTGTCCCAAGCCAAGCATCGCAAAGGAAACCCTGTTCAGCATCTATATGGTATTCCTTCTCAAAAAAGAATACGATCGATCTCACACACTCAGCTGCTCAGCAACACACATAGGAAGGAATCAATCCTTTTCTGTCCCGCCTCGCCGAAATGCATACATCCCATCGGTCGGGTCCATGGAGTGCCCAAACAGAAAAAAAATAAGCTCTGGCTTTACTTCAAATATTGTGACCAACCCATTCAAGTATCCCGGTGGTATGGCATCGAATCAGAATTTACATGCAATTGGAAACGATGCACCTTGTATTTGGTAGACCATGGAGTTCAGATCTCATGCATGGAGCACAAAGAGTTTACAAGGTTTACAACATCACATCCCTCAGACGCTGTATGTTGGGGGATGACTCCCGATCATCAATGAGAGCCGACTAGGTCAATGATCCACAAATTGTGTTACCTCCCCTGACTCTAGAACTTCGAATACAGATATGCGCAAAGCTGAGCAGCGTCCTGCAAGTTTCTTGATGATTTAGTCAATGGTCGGGGGGAACAGCAAGAACGTTCAATGTAAGCACCGATGCGACAATGAACGTCCATTACAACGATTTCGTGGCGAGGGCAATTCAATAGTGCTCGCTTGCCATCTCAACGATTACGTAATGTCGGAATAATACCAAAGCGACATTGGTGTCAAGTTGCATCGTTCTTTCCCACATTGAATGAGCTCGTGGTTCCATCTCGCTTCATAATCGTCACTGATGGACCCGTGCGCTTTGGAGGCTGAGAAGCCATGGATGAAGTTGATGACGTTGAAGCTACACGATTGCGGGACATTTTCCTGCTATCGTCTTTCTCTGGCCATGCCTCTGCAGGTTTTGAAAGATCCGTGGTTCCGGTATTGTCACGGGATCTCACTTGCCGAGGTTTACTTTTGCGAGTGTCTGTATCGCCTTCATTGATTACAGCCGTCACTCCATCAGCTGATGCATCGATGAGATCGCCTTCGAGTCGCGTTCGACGTTTCTGACGATACCCTCTCCCTTTACTTTCCTCCCTCTCCTGTAAACCAGGTCCATTGCTAGCTCTAGCTTCTGGCGCCGTATCCCCACTAGCGGAGGCATCGTTTTGAGAGTCTTCATCCGCTTTTTGCTTTCGAGCACTCCCCCGCGGTCGCTTGGTCTCTTTGGCTCCGAGCACAGCACCCAATGAAGCCTTGAATAATCCCCCGGTGGGAGCAAGGCGACTTCGCCGTTGTTCAGCTTTAGGTGTCACGTCCGTAGCCTCCTTGGAAGAAGCGCCAGATGCAGACGGAGTAGTTGCAGACTTCTTTCCAACGGGTGATGAAGATCGTTTGACTATTCCAGTTGGGACGACACTCTTTGTCATGCCAGAGGTACTTCCGGACTTGCCACCTTCCTTGGACTTTGAGGAGGATTTCTTCTTTTCCGATCGTCGTGATTCTTTGCCTTTTGCATCTGTGACTGCTTTTGTTTGTTTACTTCCCTCAGCGCGTGACGCTGCCTTCTTTGCGCGAAGTGCATCGAGCAGAGGAGTCGACTTTGGTTTATCGGGTCCTGCGAGTTGGGATGAGCTTGCTGTTACTATCGAGGTGACGGTTGAGTGCGCAACGCCTTGCTCCTTCGCCACTTGATCCGCCAACAACGTTCTTTCCAATTTTTCCAGCTGTGTTTCTCCAGTGGCTACACTAGATGCTGCAGCCTTTGCTTCGTTGTCTTCTTCGAGACTTTTGAGAAATGCCAGAAAATCTGGGTCTGTGATAACCGCGTAAAGAGGATTAGTCTAGTAACAACTTGTCGCAATTAGACACGTTGTACAAACCTTGTTCGATCGTATTCATTCTCGGGTCAGGCTTCTTCTTACTCTTTGGAATACGCTGGAAAGGGGCAAATTCAACCACAGCCCGATGCTCAACTCCTGTCGCAAAGATGAGATAAAGGTCTCGCGCCTAACAAACAAGCAGGTCCCCATACCTTTGGAATCTACAAAGAGATGACCATTGTATGTACGACAGAAATCAAGAAGAGCATCGATGTTTTTAAAGTTGAGATATGCTCGAGAGAACACGCTGATCTTGGCTTGGCTGCAATTGAAATGAATGTAAGCTTTTACATAGGTGGTGCATCTGTTCTCCGAATGCTATATACTATACCTTGTGGCAATCTTTCCTGCAACAAAAGTCCACCAATCCGTCTCACCCAGCCATTTGTCAACGGTCGTCTTGAAGATCTCTTCGGGAAGATGAGGAGGTAATCTGCGAACGACAATCTTTGTGCGTGGCTTGTTTTCTTTTGCCTTACGACCGGGTCGCTTCCGTGTTCGGCGTGAGCGTTTCTTGTCATCTGCCTGACTGCCTTTTGAGCGTTCATCTCCAACACTCCGAGTTGAGCTGTGGGATACTTCAGCAGCCGCTGGAGTCACTGCCAGTTCAGAGATATGTTCTAATATCACAGCAGAATATTCTTTGCTGACCTGCTTCCGCTGCTGTCACCATGATGCCCCCAGGAATCCTCTTTAAGATTGTCGTTATCCCTTGTTCAAACAGCCTGTGGTCAATTCGATGCGTGGGTAAGTGGGGAACGATCGACAGTGCCACATGATAAGTGGCACAGTAACTGATAACGCACTTGTATGCAGCGATGGAATAGTTATCTTTGGCTGTTACCACCCTGAACAGGCACGCATCTCAAGGAGATCCGCAAATGCAGATACTGGTACTCATTACATTTCTCATCGTTGTAAATGTGATGCTCAGACTCTTGTCTAGCTTACATATGGTGCCCATCCCTATATGCGCTATGGTTCATTCACCCTGGTTCCCAATGTCCTTATGTGTTGCATTCTGTCTTGGATCCAACAAAGTCAATGCTAATGTTGTTTTGCGCAAGGAAATAGTTCCCAATGTTATTCATCGCCGTCCCTCCATCTAATGCATTGGGCCTGTTTGGCAGCACATTTGTCTTGGCATTCTCATCAATAAGAGCCTTTTGATCAAAAGTTGGAGAGCGAGTTTGTTAAATGACTTCATGTCCACAACGATTGTAGGCACAGCCATGAAACTGGGTGGCAACGTGACTCCACGTCATGATAGCGAAATTGAACGAGTTTAGCGGAGTTGATCAGTTTTGGCGTCAAGCAAACAGCCAAGTGTTCTAAAGTTGCAATTTTCACAATTTTGGTTTTCCATCCTTCCGCTTCCATCTATCTCGAGTTTTGTCCATTCCTGTCTACCTCATTGCCTTTTTGCATTGAAAAAGAATATTCAAAAGCGACCTCAACTGCGACGCATACCTCGACCAGTCTGCGCATTCATCTCAGTGGACACTAGAACGTTGTGGTCAAGCTTGCCTTCTCGCCAACAATACAGTACAGGGTCTCTTGCTGACAAGCGTATGCCAACATTTGGCCGTAGCTAGACCTTCCGACGACCATAACGACCCTAAAAGCTTCAAAACCAGAGGAATAAGCTTGTGTGCAGTTAGTTGCTATTTTTAGCCTGGAAACCTCCGAGGTCGTTGGTGGTTCCCACTTTATGAATACCAAATACGAACGTTTGAATCGCATGCGGTAGCTCAAATTGTCGTCAGAAGGACTGCCACCGGGAAAGGGACATTGGGGTGTGGAGGGCTACACAGAAAAAGCGAGAAAATTACTGAAGTTTAGCAAAAACCTACTCTCTTTGCAATCATTTTCACACAACCGGCTACATTCATTTCTGGAACATCAAGTACTTCCATAGGAACAACACACTATGATGACCGATGGATCGTTTTCTATGGAATCAGAACGGAGTGCTTCCCACATGCGTGCTGATAAACGCCCGGGGGTGCTTGACCCGCTCAAAATGAGATCCACAAAACATCGCACGAGTTACTCTTCTGCATCCTCATCCTCATCGACGACCTCCTCTGTCGAGCATCACCTTCACGAATCAGCGGAAACAGACGCGGGTGGAGAGTGTGACTTGTAAGTTGTAAAGCTGTTCAGCCATCAGAGTGTTGCGTCAGGTTGTTAACTATTAACATTTACGTAGTGGTGAATCAATGTTACCGTCATGCATATCTCCTGCGCTGTATCCAGCTGAGCACTACACATCGCTAACCACATTAAATCGCTCTCTTACCCAATCCGTTCTCCGATTTGACCAACTCACAACATCATACATCAACCTTCGAAACCAGTTGCGGAACATCCTGGACAGTGTCGAAGAGCAGGAACGACAATATGAAGCTTATATTGAAGAAATAGGGCAGCTGCGCTTTGAACGCAAGTTTTTGAGGGAAGTGGTTGAGCTGTCTTCGTTCAGGGAGCGTAAGCAGTCGAATGCATCGGACAAAAGTATAAACAGCACCGGGGCAAACAAGCGATGGAGCTCACCCATGAACACAGATAATGGTGATGGCTGGGGAAAAAACGCACGACGATGGACGGTGGGAGGCGCACATTCATTAGGAGCATGTGGTGCTTTCCACAGTTTGCCAACTAGCCCGCGTCTCTCAATAACAAGTTCAACCTTCCTCCCGCACGTTGACGACGAGAATCGCGTAACGGTAGATGACCTAGCGTCGCGGAAAATTCAACGGGAAGCCTTTGCTGCCATGCTTCAAACTATACGTGAAACGTTTCTGGTGGGCGCGGGATTCGCTTCGACCATTGGGCCATTTCAAGGCTTGGAAGTGGACTCTGATGAGACGGATCGCTCCAGCTGTCGTTCCCCTTGCTCTTCCCCCGGCACCCCCGTCACTCTCCTCAACCCTAGTGTTCCGTCGTCACCAAGCCACATCCGCCCCACCCCACTCCCTTCGTACCCTTCCAACGAAAAACATGTAGAAACCATACACGCACGAATATCTCATCTCACAAACCTTATTGGACAGCTCGCACCTTCTGTTGAAGCCCTTCGCGAAAGTCTTGAGGACGTCATTGCAGGCCCCGCATTGGCGTATCGTGCGTGGGTCCGTGAAGCAGAGATTGAACGGGAAATGCTTCGAGTCGAATGTGAGGGTTTGCGAGAAGCTCGAGAGGGCTCTAAAAAAGTTGTGGATATGAGAGGAGTGAGTGAAGCATCAGTTGGCCTGATTTCGTCTGCGCTAGAGTCCTTGTGGGTTGAGCAAGGTGATGATGATCACGAAGAATGGGAATCAGAATCGGTGTACTGGTCGTGTGATGAGGGTGACGATGAACGGTAAATCTCCCCACAAATGGGGGCCACCTCTATGTAACTTTTGTTTTTGGTATCTCTTTCATAGTCTGCATCTCCATAGGGGATGTGCGCTTTTTACTTTTATCTATGATTGTCACATTGTCTTGTCAAAACGTGCAATTAAAATAAATAGTCCGGTGTCGAGAGGTGGCAGAACGTTCATCTCGAATGTTTTACCATAAAAATTGGTTCTACTTGATCATAAGTAGTGTAGAGGTGACAGAAACTGGCACTAGCTACTACACCAGGGAATAAACCAGCGACAACTGGTTCGGAAAAGCTAAGCTACTACTAGGCAATTATACACGCAATACGTAACGGTTGGTTTTAACCGGATAATTGCCCACCACCACACACGGTCCCTACTAGGCCTTGATCTGGAACTCTTGATGGCATTGAAGCCAGACTCTTGCATCCAGGAGCGAATCGACTGGGCAGCGTCACAAGCCAGAGGATGTTCAGTGACAAGGCTTGGAGACTACAAAAAAATGCATGTCAGCGACAGAATAATATGAAAAGAGATGATGCCATTGGTACATACCAACCAAGCTCAACTAATGTGGCAGCATAATAGTAGGTTTTGTTATCGGATCCGATTGGTTGCCGCTGGTTCTGATCACGGTTGCTGTCGGGCGGTCGAGGTCCTCGGCACCACCACATCTGCATGCTCATGGTTGACCGAGTCGCAATGAGGTTGCAATGTGGGTCGCTATGAGGTTGCAATGGGTCGCGATGAGCGTTGGGCAGATGGTTTGAGAGTCGAGGATGGGTAAAGAGGAAAGAGGGAAGAGAGGGCAGGTCCCCTTTTATAGACCTTGAGTGTGGCAAAATGGGGTCCAGCTGAAAAGAAAAAAAAACATTACATTAGCATGCCACACCGCAGTTTGGAGAACATTAGCAGGACGCTTTCAGCGATGGGGGTTCTGATTATGCAATATAATTAACCGGATTGATCCGGATGATAATGGATACTAGTGCCATTTACTGTCAGCTCCACACTATTGATGCATTCATTACATGCATATGTGGACCCAGTTTACGGTTTTCGAGACCTATTTCTGACAATTGTTGACAAAGGACATTTACAAGTCGTTCAATGTCGCCTGCGGTATGCCATTGAATGCGAACAAAAATGCAACTGAATCATGCTGTCATTTTGTTGTTTACGCCCTGATCTCGCTCAGTAATCATGTTTTGGTTGCATGCATCGTCCTTTCCAATGTACGGAGGATCGCTCCGAATTCAGGAATTTGGGAAAAAGAGTTCCGCCCTCCAATAGTCCCAATGGTAACAAAGTGGCATCATCGTTTGACCACGCACTGATGAAATCCCTCAACGCGCGGACAGCCCTTGCAAGGGGGTACGCGCTACAAGCATCTCCGAGTGTGCTGTGGAAATGCCCCCGCACGAACTCAATGTTTGGACAAACCAAAACAGAATATAATCATAATCCGGGAAAATCCCAACCATCACAGCATGCAGAAACGCTGTCAATTCGGCAGTCTGTCCAAATCACAAAAAAAAAAACCAACGAAAAGGAGAGGGAGTTGAAGGGACATCCATGGCATGGCTTTTGGGCGCAGATGCTTCCTTTCTCCTTTTTTTCCTCTTTGAGTATATATCATGTCGTATGTGGACAAATCAGTTCAACCTCCTACTTACGCAATGAACAAAACCGCTTATCTCTTTTTTTTTTTTTTGGCTGTGTTCAGTCTTTGGTTTTTGAGGAAGGCGGTCGGGAGGTTCACGCCAGCGCGTTCATTGTCCTGTTGCTTTTGACAGCACCTTTGTCTTTTGGACATTTCCGTTTTGTTCCTTTGTGTTTGAATGTAAACCATTGTATTCCTTGTTTGTCATCGTCATCGTCACATTAAAAAGGAGTTATCTGCTGTCATCTTTTGTTGTAGCGTAGATTTGCTGCGCATGAGTCCACAGGAGCACTTTGTCTCTCCTTGCGCGTTATTTTGAATGCTTGGGGGTTGAGACAAGGGTGATAGGCTCATCGACATAAAAAAAAAAACCTACAGAAGAGCGTTTTTGGATTCATGTTACAGAAACATCTCAAACGGGGTCGACGGGCAACTGGACGCCATCCCCGGCCGACTGTCCAGGACGTATTGGTAAACTGGGTCAACAATAAGGACAAGAATGGCAAGGCTGCTGAAGCTGCCGAAGGTAAAACAGAATGTTAAAACATGGACAGTATTTGTCTTCATACTGATGGGAATATATTATTTCACGTCACCGATGACAGGTTTACCAGGTTTACCAGATACGACGACATCCTCTCCACCACAGTCGTTCTTGGGTATACCCGAGCTGGATATGACGTCCCCCTTTTTGACATTTTCGCCGGCTTCTTTGGCGAAAACCCTTGCGAAGAATGATGACCAAGCCTTGCTAGAAACCAAAGAGGAGTGGGACACAAATATAGACGACAAAATCCAGACAAACACAAAAACTATAACCCAAAACCCGACCATTCCCATATCATCCGACCAAGACCCCATCCCAACCCGATCCCTCACCTGTGCCTGCCAAACCCACCCCGGACGATGCGTACTTGATGCCGTTTACCGGATTGGAGCCAACGAGGCGGCGGGTGCAATATTTGGTGAAGGAGGGTCAGAGGTCATCGAAAGCGTTTGTGAGCGGAGGGGATGTACCGGTTCGTAAATGTGGTATATAAACGTGTCCATCATGCATGCACTAAAACCTATTTTTTTGACTTGTTACTTTTAGATCTCAAAATTGAGAAATGGGGGCAGGATCGACATGGGCGATGGGTACGTAGGAGGGTTACGTATAAAATCCATGTGAAAGCTCCCATGTGTATGTATGCACATCCTAGGATAACATTCCAAGAAGCGAGTTTTCTAAAGTTTTTGTGTTTTCAGATGGAAATATGTTGACGGTGGCCATTGAAGATCAACATGTCGTCCAACACGAATACAGGTAATGGTGCTTTTTACCCGGTAGGGCAGACCAGCTGTAATCTCAATGACTCGCCAAAACAGCGTCCTCGTTGTAGATGTGACGACCCTCACACCTTCCCTGCCTTATGGAACAGTCTTTTCAACGGTGCAACGATACTGCATTACCCCAGCTGGTGTTGGTGGACAGCGAGGTGTGAGAGTGCGTGTTCATGCCTGGGTGGAGTTTTCCAAAAAGGTCATGTTGCAAGGTATGCATTTACATTTTTAAAACTCTGTTTGCAAACGTTATAGTTTGTTGATATTGGGAACGTCGGTTAGATGCGGTTACCAAAACAGCTTTGGAAAGCATGGCGCTTTCTACCCGATACCTTGATGAAGCGCTCCTTCATCTCGCAGCGGGAGGAACAGGTCGACTACCTTACCACTACGAACGCCCATCCCGACAAACCGATATCCTTCCCGAAGACGTTCTGACTCACCGTGGATTAGAAACACCACCAGACTCTGGACGGACCTCTCCCACATCGTCTTCATCGACCTCTTCCCGTGCGTCCAGCTCGTCAAGCAGCAGTACCGATACATCCACACCATCCACGACATCCTCTACTGATTCGGCGAGACGAAGGCTATACGGTCCACGACCCATTCTGGGATCTGAGACGCCGTCTACACCCGCTTCGACCATTCACACGACCGTTGGGTCTACACCGGCTGGTATCACACCAACGGGTATCACACCCGGTGGTAGAGAAGCGGCACGGGAAGGATACTTTACAGGCGTCCCCGTGCCCAAACTCGATCGAAAACCAGTTGGACCAAGACCTTTTGGTGGGTGGCCACAATCCACACCAACAACACCAAAACTCGAGACCGAACAAGCGGAAAAGCAAAACCGACATCCACCCATGGCAGTGGTATGGGAAGGCGGAAAATGGGTGGAAGCCCATCCGGCCATCGCTAAAAAGCTCGTCGCAGAAAAACGAGAAGGGCGCAAGAGGGTGCTGAAGAGGGAAGGTGGAGCTGTCGCTGTTTGGGCTGAAGGACGGTACATTGTCGCAGGGGAACGAGAAACCAACCAAGATACGATAAAAGTACAAGCAACCCCCGACACAGCTCTGTCATCACCTATTACATCCACCCATCCACTCGTTACTTTATCTGAACCTACCGCAACAAAAGACCCACCCTCGAAACCACTTAATGCATCCTACACCCGCCCACCAACTCCACCCTCAGCAGCACTCGTACCCAAAACCCCAGCTGAAGCAGCCGAATGGCGAGAAGCAGCAGCCAAAAGACTTGAAAAACATTTATCGAAAAAGAAAAGTATGGAGAACGCAAGTGGTGCATTGGTTGGAAGTGGGGAAGGTTTGGAATCATTGTCGGGAGTACCGTCACCCCAACTCGTATCTACCATTCCGCAAAGTCCGACTCCATCCGCCGTACAAGTAACACCACCAACAACCCAACCAACTGAACCGACAACATCAACATCAACAACGGTTATCCCTTACACCCCACCACCCCAATCATCCACACCACGCCCCGTAACCCTCCTCATAACCTTCCATATCTGCGGTATACTCCTCCTCCTATCCCAACTCGGTTTTTTCGGCATCCTACGATGGATCTACGTCCTCGTATCTTGGACACTCCGTACGCTCTTGTGGAGTATCACGCTCTTGTTTTTCCGTCGTACGCGTCCGTCTCCGCAGATTGTACATCATCAGGAACCCATCCCGGATTCGGCGTGCCGTGTACCAAACAAAGAGGATGATGGAGTGGTTGTAAAGTGGGGTGAACTTTGTTTTTGGTGGGGTGTTGTTGTGATTGTGGTTTTGGGTGGTGTGAGGGGGTTGGTGAGGAGGGTTTGATGGTATTTTGTGGGTTGCACGTCCGTCGTGGGTGTATGTCCATACAGTCTTGTAGCGCTGTAACTAGTGAGTGCTCTTTTTTGCTGTATGTATGTAGTGGCAGGTTCGTTTGATGGAATGTCAAGGCGGTGTGAACAAGAAACGTAGGAAATGTATTTGTACATCTGAATACACACACTCTAATGTTTAAAAACATAAAATAGGCGATGAAAAAAACGGGTTTCCGCATTTCAAACGAATAGAATCAGTTCAAGTGGATCGTACTACGACAGGATACTCCAAAAAAAAAAAATTAAGGTTTAAAACGACATCCAACCAACATACGAGAACTCATCCCGTTCAAACGACGGGAGGGACCACAATAGGACCAAAAGGAACACACACCCCCGTCTGCGTTCCTTCCACTCTAATCACCACATGCAACTCATCACCAACCACACATCCCACCCCCCAATTCCTTCGTCCAATCAATTTCTGATCCTTTAACGTTTTCCCATCCACGTCCTTGGGAAACATATCCAGCATCTCCTCCTTGACCCCATTGCCAAAGTCCAATTGTTTTGCGCTTGAATGTAGCATTTTGAGGACGCCTTTCGGTGGAGGGATGTTAACGATGGCGGAGGCGATGAATTGGTACATGAGGGTTGGATCTGTTGGGTTGGTTGGAGTAAAGAAGCGACCAACACCGGCGCAGTGGACGTCGCCGGATATGAAGGAGATGCGGGTACGTGTTTGGGAGGCGTGGGCTTGGAGGCGGGTTATGAGGGCCGTACGTTCGGGGGTGTGGTTGGGGTGGGTCCAATGATCGATCAGGTCGTCTGTAGGGAATGAGAACTCCAGCGTCAGTAGCAATTTAAACGAATAAAGAACTCTAAGCGACATACCAAGCAGATCCACCTCCCCAAACTGACTAATCACACCACTCATCAACCCACTCTTGCCCAAACCCTTTTTAACATTTCCAAGCACATCATCAATCGTGCCCTTTGTCTCAGCCTCCCATTGTTGCGCGTCGACTTTGAGACCCACTTTTCCCAATAATCGCCCAGCACTTCCAGCCACACTTCCCAGGCCCTTTCCAATCTCATTTACAGCATTATTAGCTGATCGTTTTGTTTTGCCAAAGTGGGTTAATAAAGTTTCGGGTGCTTTGAGACGCGGGTAGACGATGGGAACTGCGAGCATGGCAATGACGTGCTTGATGGTGGGCGGAAGGGTTCTGAGGGTTTGGAAAAGAAGGTTGTAAGATTGGGGTGAGAGGATTTGCATTGGGGTTCGTTCGCTGCGGGTGTCGGGACCGAAGAGAGCAACACTGGGTCCGAGGAGCTTGACGAAATGGAAAGTTTGACCATTAGGGGAAATGAATTCTCGTGCATGGGGTCCACCAAGCGCAGCAAGACGCATGGTAGTGTGTTGTTGGAAAAGTAAATAAAATCTCCAAGCGATACGTCCAATGTTTTGAAAGTACTGAGAGTGCTGAAGGTACTCTGGGTACGACCCATATCCGTCGAAAATGTCGTGATCATCAATTTGAAAAATGGAGGGAATGGAGGCCAGGGCTTCTCTAAGGTGCGGGGTCGCAAAATGGCTAGTGTACATGTTAAAGTAAAAGGAAGAGACTGCGAATTCGAGTTCTGGAGTCCATGGAGCGTTTCGACGGTTTTCTTTGCCCTTGATTTGAAGCCATGCTTTGAGGCCGTCAAGCTCCTTCCAGATGGGATCTCCATATATCCTACAAAACACCGAAACAAAAAACGATAATCAACAAACTCGTTCATAAATACCAAGAACATTACCGCTCACATATATACTCACTGATCACCACCTCCCAACATGACATGAAACTCTTTGCCATTTTCACGATGAAGACTCAAAACATCCTTCCAAAGCGCACCCACACCACCCAATCGCTCCCTCTCTTCCTTGGACACGCTATTACTAAACCCACTACAAGAATAGAACGCAAACCGCCAGTTGCGATCATGCACAGAAGCTACGTGAAAATTAAAAGTTTGCTCTGACAATGCGTCTATGGAATATGTCCACATGGCAGGATAGTCCCCCATTGGGAGGGTGAGGTCGATACGGTGAAAAGTGTATTGGAGGTGGGTGTCAATCACGTTGGAGGGAACGTAGAGGGGGGAGGTACCGGGGAGGTTGGAATAGACCGTGGCCGTGACGGGGGAAGGTGAGCTGGTAAGAACAAGGATGGAACCTATTGCAAAAAAATATAGTAAAGATCCCATTCTCACTGATGATCCGCAACAAAAAAATATACATACCAAACCACATCCGGTTCCCCACATCCATATTTACATATCTCAAATACGGTCCAAATACTTGTCCGCTCTGACCCTTTTTCGATGGCATACTCTGCCCTGTAGCGGCTTCCGCGGCCGTTGGGTAGGGTGTCACTGGATACGGGGCACCACCATATGGTGCACCGCCATAGGACACGGGCGGGTACGCACCACTGGCAGTCGTTGGCGGATACCCACTATTCACAAAAGGTGGCGGATACGATTGAACCGGATACGCAGGGTAAACGTCAGTGTGTGCAGCAGAGGGTTGCGCCGAGTAAGCTGGTGGCGGGCCGGATGGGTACGGATTAGGTTTCTCTGGGTTCATCGTGACCAGTTCAAAGAATCGTCAAGCACAAGCTCGTCGTTCGTCGTCGTCGTTCGTTTTGTTGAAAGCGCTATTCGGCAAAAAGCCAAGCTTTTAACGCAAAGGGGAAAAGAACAGAATGCCCGATCTACTGTGCCACAACGCGCAGGTGGCGCAGCACTTAAGCCATTCCGCTTTGTTTATAATTCCCTTTCTTTTGTATTGCGAATGATTATTCATGCAAGAGGTTAGAATGCTTTTGTTACTCAAAATATCGAATTACATTAACAAGATCTTGTCCCATAACTGACATGTTGGTTGCCATGTTGAACCACAGCTGCTCAAGCCCAACCAACACCATCAGCAAACAAACGTTATTTTACATCCTTTGTTCCCCAACATCAAAATTGCCAGTCACTTTCCCCAACAAATGCTCACCATACACGACATCAGGCAACCTCTCGACCCCACTCTCTTGAACACATTTATCAATCGGCCGAACACGCGCATCAAAAGCCGGCTCATAAAAAAACGGTACCGAGATCCGGTAGACATTCGTTGAAGAATGTATCACGCGATGGAGGGTTGATTTGTAGATCCCGTTTGTCCATACCTGGATCATATCGCCTATATTGATAATAAAGGCATTTGGGAGCGGGGTAGGTGAAATCCATTTTCCATTGGAAAGAACTTGGAGTGCGTTGGGTGTAGAGTCTGCATTGAGGAGGGTGAGACAACCATAGTCGGTGTGTTCGCCGCAACTGAGGCCAGTTGAGGAGGAAGGGAGAGGAGGGTACCCAATCATGCGCATCACCCAAAAACCTTCTTGCATGTAGGGTTCGAAAAAGGTTTCACCGACACCCAACCCAAGTCCAATGGCTCGCATCATGGCAGCGCCAAGGCGGGTCATGGTCTGAACATAACTGTTGACGACGGTAGAGAATCGTTCAGGGTGCCGTGGAATAGGATTACTTCCACAAAGCGTTTTAATTCCCTTTTGCAAAAGGGATTTAGGAGCAGGCGCATACAAGTCAATCGCTTCATGCCAATCTTGAGCCTCCTGCGTGATATTCTGACCTAACCGTTGATATCCCCTCGCAAAATCGTTTTTTGTAATATGAATCTCCTCCTTTTCTTCTGGAGTCTGCTTGAAGAATTCGTGCGCTACCGTTCGAATCTCTGTCATCTCCTCTTGGGTGAGACCATGGCCCACAAGGTAAAAGAAGCCCACCTCTCGACAGGCCTTGTCGACAAGTTCGGCAGTGGCTTGACGGGCGAGTTGCACATCGGGTGCATCGTCTGGAGCGAGAAATGGGGATATGTCGATAAGAGGGAGGGAGAGCGTCTGCTCGGTGGTTACCAGCATGCTTGTTTTTTTGTTCCGTCGAGATGCCCCCATAATAAGTCTGCGCGTCACGCGATCGTCATCACGTGAAAATAAGGTAAGATTCGTTATCAACATGCGATTTGCACATTGATTGCACGCACTAGGGGATATCCCATGTAGCCCCTCACACGTCCAACGGAAGACGCACAACGTACAAGAAACTCGCAAGAACGAAAAGGATGCAAGAAGCCCCGTCTTTTCAACGCACAGACAACAAACGCTGTTCAGAAAACTACAATGGCCGCTGCAGTGATCACAGCGGGCCTATCAATTCACGAACCAATAAAAAGGGAACAGGAATTTGACGAGAAATGATATGTATAAATATACAGATATTGCAAAAAAAAAGAAGAAAGAAAATGTCCCAACAAAATATAGATATGATATAAACCACCTCAACCCGCAAAAAAAAACGGAACCCAAATCTATGCATGGTCCCTGCTTCCTCCGTGCGTCCATCATTACCAGATTCCTGTTTTCATACGGAACGGACCGTGGATGGCAGGTAAATAAAGGAAACAGGTAACCTTCAAAGCCATCTACAAGAAATCACGTTCGTTTTCAAAAGGCCCAAAAAAAGTGTTATCCCTTTAAAAGATGGTATAATGGGTCGTATGATCTTAGCAGGCTCCGAGTAATGAAATATGCGCGTGCTCAATGTGATACTAAAATGGGGCAATGAGTCAAATGCGCATGAAAATAACGTGCATGAAAGATCTTTACCTTGAGACCATTAAGATTTTTGTACCGTTTTCCACAATCAGGAACAGTGCATTGGTATGGTTTGTGAATGATATTGTTCATTTCTGGGTCCCCAGTGTCCTCACAGTGTCCGTGCTGCATGTGGTATTTGAGACCACCGGGATTCTTGTACGCCTTGGTGCAGCCCATCACCTTGCACTTGTATGGGCGATCGTCCTTTTGGGAATCGTCTGTCACCATGGCCATTGCATCGTAAGACATCGGTGTTTGTCCAGCTGCTGCAGGGGCGATAACGGGAGTATCAAAGTTGGGGAGAGCAAGCGAGGCGGCGGTGGGTAGATGGAGGGGTTGGAGGTTAAGTGCAGCAGGAAGGGAGGGAGGACAGAGGGATTGTGGCATCGAGACGGGCGCTGGAGATGGGGAAGGAGCGGCAGCAGGAGCTGGTGTCGGAGCTGGGGAAGGTGTTTGCACGACCGATGGCGACGGCGCAACTGGTGGCTCGTCAATGTCCATATCGCTAACCATCTGAGTCGGTCCGTCTACGCTAAACGGCAGCGTGGGTTGTTGCTCTGGCTGCTGTGCAGGTTTGACTTTTTTGACCCGGGTAGAGGTGGGGCCAGAGGTGACGCGTTTACGTATCACTGATGTGTCAAAGGCAGATGCAGTCGAACCGGATCGATTGCTAATTCGGTAATCTTCGGAAAAGATGTCAGACAAGGCGACTGCTTGTGTTGGGTTGGTTTGGGATTGCAAGAGCTGGGATTTGAGGTAAATGTCGGAAAAGGTGGTGGGATGTGAGGAAACGCTGTCGCCGTCGCTCATGTCCGTGTCCATCTCGTCCATACTCTCAAACTCAAAAGGGAGATCCTCGTCCTCGTCGACATCGGATTCGACGCGGACATGGCACTCTTCAAAATGTTGTAGCAGATCATGCAGGTTTCCTAGGTTCATGCCACAGCAGAAAAAGTCTTTGCAGAACCGGTCTTCAAGTCCGGCAAAGTGCGCCAGCTCGTGTGCTGGCGATGCAGCAACCACGGGAGACCGTGCGCCAAATTGAAAGTTGTAAACACTGGGAACCGGGTGAGCTTTCGGGAAACGATGCACAAAGCAAGCACACTACACGCATACATACTCTAAAAATCCTTCTCTTGTATAACTGTTGCGACCAAAGCTCCCTGTAAAAGAGCGGCCAAGACTGGTGCCGAGAGATTTTCCCAAGCTCCCAATAATGGAGAAACGTCTTCTGTACGCAGCTGTGTCACCGCCGGGTGTTGCTGGTGAGCACGCCATTGCTATAGGCATGGAAACGTCGATCGCTGGCATGGCGAACGGGTTACGATTGTTAAGCGTAAGCTGAAGCTAAATACGCTGAAAAGGGGGGCGGGGGGAGGAGGGATTTCGGTCTTTATATAAAAGCGCGTCTTTGACAAGTCACGCTATGCACAGGGTGTCCCAAAGGGGTGGAGGAAAAAGGATTGGGCCAAAAGGTGCGGGGAAGAGACAAAAGGTGAAGCGCAGCTCCAATTGCTCGTAGTCGTTTGCAGTTGTGTGTGCGTGTATGTGTGTAATTAAGAGTATTGCAATGCTTCCGATAGTTTCGTATTGCGTAGATTCTATAGGTAAAACATGTAAAGAAAGGTGAGCCGGAACTGATGCGACGCGTAGGGATTTTTGACAGCCGACACCATTCTTATAATCATGAAACGGGTCCATAGCCTAATCTCATCATCCAATAACAAATCCCCCAAAATAGCGAGAGAGAAAGAATAGTAGGAGCTATTTCTTGTCTCCCTTCCAAGTTGCATAGCTATTGCGCTCCATTTCCTGACGAGGCCCTCAAAGGGCGTGGCGTCCCTACGCCAAAATGCGGGCGTATCACAAAAACAGCTCCTACTCCACCCCTGCTCCCCCCAACTGTCCAATATCTCTTTATCGTTTTGCATATCTAGGTATCAGGTATAGCATATACCTGGTTACCGCAGTTTATCCGGTCGTGTTGCGCAGTTGAGGAACAAGCACAGAGAGAGACACGGAAAGAGTGTGCGGGCTCGAGACAGGCAATGCGAGAAACTGCGAGAGCAATATACACACCGAGCATGCCCGATTCTTGTGCAAAACGCTACGAGTTGCCCTTTTTTATCCCTTCCAATTCCTCCATCCCGGCTTTTTGTAGTTGCCCAACAGATTACAGTACCGATAACCCAAACACTTTAGGCCCTTTTTTTGCGAATATCACACGAGCGACATTTGCATCACATATCACTCTCGTACGTCATACACAATGTACAAAAGGAGCGGAACTCCCCTGGACGGTCCCTTTATTCCCCCCTCACCGGAGCGTGGCCACCGTGATTGCACACGACCAGCCGCACCAACCATTGCCAACAAAACCTACCTTTTACTCTTGTTGTCCTCGTCCTCGTCGTCGTCGTGGTCGTCGTGATCGTTTCGTACGGAAGGCGCGTGTGGGGAAAAAAGTGTGAAATTCCTATTTAAACTGTTTCGCCCTCGTCAAGCGACGGGAAGCCAAACACGCGGATAAAATTACAAGCTTTTTGCTTTTGGGATGCAAATTGCATTTGAACCACTTTCACATATACAGATATGGAGGGCATGGATTCAATTGGAATGTGGATTGTGAAATTTATGTTGCTTTTTTTATTTTTACTATTGCAATTTTTATTTTAGATACAACCTCGGTCAGGGACTTGGGGGATGGTGTGACGCTGTCACCATGCTTGCCCTATTCACATGCTTATGTCCCCAACCGATTGTATTTTTACCCGTTGTGTTCCATCTTGATGGACCCTTTTGCATTCGAGTGTGGCGATCGTGTTGGCGACGTACCAAGGGGTGTTGGCACCCGTGGCAAAGGGTGGAAGCCAATCAGATGCCTGGAGGGTGTGTGGGATGGATACTGATGTGGTGCATTCGAATGCAAAGAAGGAGGGGTCTACCATGGACTGCAGGGGTTTTGTGTGTTGCAGACTTGACACGGTGTCTCTCTAAAACCTCCGAATTTCCAATTGTTTGGCTACACGGACATGTGACAGAGCGTGTCCA